TGGCAACACAACTGAACTCAAAGACGTCGGGGCGAGGTCCTGGGGAGAGTTCTCTTTTCTTCTTAACAAATCGCTGCCCTGGAGGTCTTTGCGACGAGAGAGGGCTATCGGTTTGGAAGAGCAGCACACCCTTTGTGCTGTCCGGTGCACCTCCTTCGGCCCTTGAAAATTTGAGGGAAATCTTATCGCTCGCCTGGCCGTACCCATAACCGCATCAGGTCTCCAAGGTTAGCAGCCTCTAGTACGTAGAACAATGTAGATAAGGGAATTCGGCAAATTAGATCTGTAACTTTGGGAAAAAGATTGGCTCTGAGGGCCAGGTCTTGGGCCTTCTGACCTCTTCATAGCTTCGCAGGAAGGGGCGACCTGACCAGCGTTAGCGACTGTTGAGCCAGGAGTAACCCAGGACAGCGAATGGCTAACTCAGAACTGGAGCAGCGAGGGGAATCCGACTGTTTAATTAAAACAAAGCATTGTGAAGGCCTCAAAAGGTGTTGACACAATGTGATTTCTGCCCAGTGCTCTGAATGTCAACGTGAAGAAATTCAATCAAGCGCGGGTAAACGGCGGGAGTAACTATGACTCTCTTTGGGACCAAAATTTTTTCCATAAATATTTCCTAGTAAATTTACTATAAAATATTGATTTTTCTCCTCTCTTAAGGTAGCCAAATGCCTCGTCATCTAATTAGTGACGTGCATGAATGGATTAACGAGATTCCTACTGTCCCTATCTACTATCTAGCGAACCCACAGCCAAGGGAACGGGCTTGGCAGAATCAGCGGGGAAAGAAGACCCTGTTGAGTTTGACTCTAGTCTGGCTTTGTGAAATGGCGTAGGAGGTGTAGACAAGTGGGAGCCCTGCGACCTTGAAAAACCACTACTCTTGATGTCATTTTACTTACCTCGTGAGGTAGCGACCATTCGTGGTTCTAGCTTTGCTTGCTAAGCGAGAGACAGAGCCAGGTAGGGAGTTCGGCTGGGGCGGCACATCTGTTAAACAGTAACACAGGTGTCCTATGGCAAGCTCAAAGAGAACAGAAATCTCTTGTAGACCAAAAGGGGAAAAGCTTGCTTGATTTTGATTCTCAGTACGAATACAAACCGCGAAAGCGTGGCCTATCGATCCTTTGCTTTTTAAAAGTCTTAAACCAGGCTTATTTTTTTTAGTGGAAAAAAATTTTATGTTTTTTTTATATAGACCCTAAAAAATTTTTTTTACTATATAAAGCTAACACCCCTAAACCAGAGGTGTCAGAAAAATTACCACAGGGATAACTGGCTTGTGGCAGCCAAGGTGACTCCTAAAAATTTTTAGAAAAATCTTATAGGAAATTATTTGTAAAAAATAATAATAATCCACAGCCAAGCGTTCATAGCGACGTTGCTTTTTGATTCTTCGATGTCGGCTCTTCCTATCATTGTGAAGCAGAATTCACCAAGTGTCGGATTGTTCACCCGCTAATAGGGAACGTGAGCTGGGTTTAGACCGTCGTGAGACAGGTTAGTTTTACCCTACTGATGAACTGATGTCGCTACAGTAATCCAACTCAGTACGAGAGGAACCGTTGGGTCAGATCACTGGTTCATGCGATTTCCTGACAAGGAAGTGTCGCGATGCTACCATCTGTTTGATTATGGCTGAACGCCTCTAAGTCAGAATCAATGCTGGAACGCGACGTCCGCCAGTCACCTATGGAAACCATAATCCCACTCCCAACTGAGATCCTTGTCCAGGCGAAATGCTGAAGACGGCTTCTCAATGTACCAAATAGTGACTGGGACAAATCTTTTGCAGACCACTTACATGGAACGAGGGATTGTACGTACGAGAGTAAGCTTGTCTTACGATCTACTGAGATCCAGCCTCCTTCCTTCGATTTGTCACCCCCTGTATATTATTCTCTGCTGGGGTATCAATCTTATCTTTGGTTTCGAATATTAGAAACAAATTATTTGCCTTTCTTTAATATCTTATGCATTTTATTTGATCTTTCTCTTATTTTTGACAATAAAAATATTCATTCTTATCATCTATATTTTATTTAATTTATATCAAAATTATTAAATACAATAGAATGAAATGAAAAATATTAATTATCAAATAAATCAGCTGTAATTTGGAAATTTAAAGTATTTTTCTAGGAGCGCATATAAAAATATTATTGGAAAACTCCAGGTGAGAAAATTTTATTGCTATAGTAATAATTTAACTACGAAATAAATTGCAATGTCTTATTTTAAGTACTCTTTTTGAAGAAATCAGGTAGATTAATTATTACAATTATTATTTGAAACAGATTATATAATAAATTTTAGTGCATTTATTAAATTAAAAACAATATTTCAAGATCAAAACACAAGAATCTAAGTCCAATGAAGAATAAAGCACTAATTTTTTGCATTAAATAAGAAAAGCCACTAAATAAAAATTATTTTAACAATTAATATTTATTTTTAATATAATTAAAAGATTTCATCTAGAGTAGCTGCGCAGAACGTAAAAATCCTATTAATGATTCATCTTTTTAAATATAGAAATTGCCGGATGATGGTGCTCTCAATGCGCCATCATCGGGCAACGTCTTTTCAGGGTCCACACGGGAATGGGTTCCACGTGTGGAGCCCTTTTTAAAACGTGGAGAATCCTCACTTTCACGCGCCAAAAAGGGCTCCACACGTGGAACCCATTTCCCTTGTGGACCATTAAAAGACGCTGCCCGATGATGGCGCATTGAGCGCCGTCATCGGACAATCAGTATATCCCTTATTTATGCACTTGAAGTTATAAATTTATTTAGCACTGATATGACATAATCATGATTTTAATCAAAAATTCACTGATAATCTTTTTTAATGCTGAATGCTAAATAAAATCTATTTATTGTTAAATTCTTTATACAACCATTAAAATGCAGCCAATGCGTAAATTGATTATAGGAGCCAATTGGAAATCCAATGGGACTATCCAATCAATTCGAAGCCTTGTTCAAACTGTCCTAAACCCTGCAATAATTGATTACAAAAACACTGAAGTAGTTATTGCCCCAATGTATATTCATCTTCCTATCGTCAAAGATATCCTTAAAAGTGATTTTCATCTTGGAGCTCAAAATTGCAGCTTGACTGGCCCAGGAGCCTACACCGGCGAAGTTGCTGCAGAGCATTTAAAAGATTTAGGCATCCCATGGGTTATTCTAGGCCATTCCGAAAGACGCCACATATATGGAGAATCTGATGCAGTCATAGCAGAAAAAGTTAAAAGAGCCGGCGCCTTAGGACTTAAAACTATTATTTGTGTAGGCGAAAATCTTGATGAGAGGGTTGCAGGAACAACAACTGAAGTGGTTTCAAGACAATTGGATGCTATTAAATATTCACTTTCTGACTGAAATAATGTCGTCATTGCTTATGAGCCAGTTTGGGCTATCGGGACCGGAAAAACTGCAACTCCAGAGCAAGCTCAAGAAGTTCATGGAAGTATTAGGCTCTGAATAGGCTCAAATATTGGGCGTCTTGTTGCCAATTCAACTAGAGTTATATATGGAGGCTCAGTGACTGACGAAAATTGCAAAGAGTTATTAGTTTTAGATGACATTGATGGCTTCTTAGTTGGAGGTGCTTCATTAAAGCCAGCATTCAAAACAATATTAGAAATCTGTGATAATCATAAGCCAGGAAAGACATTTACTTAATTTAATATATTAGAATCCTTTAATTTAAAAATGAATTATTCTAACGATTTTCAAAGCGAGCTCAGATGAAGAAATATTGTTGATGCTGAAGGGCAAAAAAAAGATTTTAATTATCCATGGAACATGAAGTACCCATACCAACAAAAAAATTCGAGGAGCTCAGATATTAGCTATAGATCTGACTCTTCAAGATCAACTGTAAAGGCAAGACCTGATAAAATAAACATCCCAATAACTGCAAGGTTCCAAGAAAGCCTAAAAGATAGAGCAAAAAGCGTAAAACGCAATGAAAGATCAATTATAACTGAAAGGTTGTCAAATGCTTATCCGAACTGCGAAATAGATTCCGCGAAAAAGGAACTATTTAATAGTAAATTTGAAAGAACAAGCCCGCTTAAAAAAGAATTCTTTGAAAAAGAAAACATATCAGTTTTACCTTCAAAATACTTAGATAACACACAAGAAACTTACAACTTTTCATCGAGTCCTAATACCGATGCAATGAAAAGTTTTCTATCTTCTATCGGTTCAAACGCTGCTGAAGACGAGAGTTTCGTTTCAAGCAGACTAGATTATGGAAAATTGAAGTATAGAAACGGAGTTAGAAAAATGAATCAATTTTTAGGCCAAAGAAATTGTTATGGATTCGACTCTGAGAATAGAAGCCCAAATGGAGATTTGGCTGAATTAAGAAATAGCGACAGAATTTTGAGAGAAATTAATTTAGAAGAAAAATACAATAGGAATACTGATTTAGAGATGACAATAGACACAAGCATGAAGGGTGATTTTAGCCCATTTAAAGCAAATAATGTTAGCCATTTGTCAAATGCACTAGACAAATTTATAGCAGGAGTTTCCCAAGTAGAGGATGAGCTAAAAGACTTAAAAAGGGCTGCTTTTGGAAAAAGCTCATTTGATTAATTTAGTTATAAAAAATTATTTTATTGACTCTGGCAATCTAGATCTTTATAAATGAATAAAATTACGAACTTAGCTATTTTCTAAGTATCTTGTGACTTCTTCTAATACAGAGCTAATAGGTTGGTCATTTGGCATACCTAATGCTTGCCTTGCAAACTAAATTACAATTACGGATAAAAATCTCTTCATCTCATGTACGAACACAAAAACATTATCAATCGTCCCTGTAATTTGATCTGTTTGCTTTATTGAAAATAATTTACAAAAATGTCTCAATGCATTTGCCTTTTCAAAAAGATCAATATCATCACTGCTTCTAAAAATTTCTAAAATTTTCTTTTTAAACTCAGTCAATTCAAAAGTTCTTTGCTTCAAATGTTTTATTGCCGGTAGCACATTTGCGTAAATTTCTTCTCCTACCTTATATTCATCAGGAAATAACTCATTTAATATAGATTCTATCAGTTCTTCTATCCTCGGAAGTGACAAAACAACTTGCTGCATTTTGAAGATTGATGATGGAATTTCGCTAAAAGAATTCAATGAAAGCGCATTCATTATTAAATTCAAAACTTTAACTTTTTCATTATATTCAGAATTCGCTTGTTCTTCTAAACATTTCACTCTTTCTCTCACTCCCAACCTCCATGAGCGAACAAAAAAATTTTGTTCGCTAATGAAGGGGATTAATTTTTTTAAAAATTTATATATAAAATTAGCAGAAATTGGAAAGCAAATATTTATTTAATTTGTAAAATTTACGTTTTAATATGCAATTTTTTTTAAAATTAAACAAGATTTGCAACAGATTCCATTATACTAATTATCACTTATATATCAAATTTTTTTTTATAGTCAGTGTCACTAACTATAATAAAAAATTTTTTGTTCATTCATGGAGGGTGGGTTTTTGGGCAAAAATAGGGATTTTCCCAATGGTTTTGTTCGCTTAGGGAAGGGGGAGCCAGCATTTTTACTTCCTTTTGTGTTTCTTCAAAGAGTTTTACTTTGTCTGTGTTTAGCATCCTCTTTATATTAAGAATCGCTATATCCTTGTCATTGCCAACTTCATTGGCCTTTTTTAGCTTCTTTTTGAGAGTTCTGTTATATTCTTCAAGTTCTACATTTCTTTTGGTCGTGTTTTCGTACTCTTTAAGTTTTTCTTTTAATCTTTTTAACTCTTCATCTTTTCTTTCCATCTCTATTTTTAGCTCTTTGTTTTCTTTTTCTAAGTCACTGATTTCATTGGTTTTTTCAAGTCTATTTTTGAGCATTCTATTATAATCTTCAAGCTCGGCATTCCTTTTGATTGCGTTATTGTATTCTTTTCCCTGTTCTTTTCATTTATTTAGCTCTTCTTCGTTGCTTTCTAATTGAGTTTTTAATTCTTTGTTTTCTCTTGTCAATTTGTATATATTATTTTCTGCTTCTCCTAGACTGGTTACTTGGTGAGCATAGCCTGTTAATACGTCTACAAGGGCATCAGAAAGTGAATTTCAATCTGGTACTTCATTATCAATTTCTTGATATAAAATAACAGGATTAAACCCATATTTTTCTAGCAATTCATTGATGTCTTTTCAGTAATCCTGCTGATCTTCAATTTCTCTTTCTTCCTCCTCATGGAATTCTTCATTCGGCACACTTATATTAGGTGATATCTCATTTTCTTCACGTGACCATTCTTTTCCAGCATTAGAAAATGCTATTTTAGAAGATCGGTTCATGCATTCTCTTACTTCTGATAAGTGACAAATTCACGGAAAAATCTTGTTTTTTGTAAAATTAATATTTCTTTAGGCTAGTATAATTTTTATGAAGTATTTTGTTATGTAAATTATTATAATGAGATTTTAGTCAATTCTAGGCATCTTTACGATTTTTTTTCAAATTTTTTAAGTTTGAGAAGTTATTTTCTCGCATAAAAAATTATGCACACAGAAATATTCCTGATTGCTATCAAGCGCCATAATTTTTCCCTTCAAAATTCCTCATTTTTAGAAAAATAGATATTGATTGGATCGACCAGTAACAATTTTTCTCATGCATATAATCTTTATGCAAACAAAAATTAACTCTCTATTGGGTGGGGAAAAATGTTTCACCACTCATAAAGGAATAGGAGTTAAATATTTCTCTATATTTTAGTTAGGTACTCACTTTTGTAATTTTTATGGAAAATAAAAAATTACCAAAAAATGTAATTAATTTTATGATTCTGAGAACAGTTTTATCCCTTAGAAGATGCTTCTTCTTTTCTTTTAGGAGAAATCTGGTGAAAAAGGCCTGTAAGCTTCCTTATTTCGCTTTGGATTTCTCCTGATTGTTTAAAAAATTCTTCAACTGATTTATTTAAAGTTGGCGATAGTATGTGTGGAGACACATAAGTCTCTTTGGTGTTTTCTGATTTATCACTGTAGCTTTGATCGCTAGATAGATCTAAAGGGCTTTTTTCTTCTTTTACCTTTTCCATTTCAGCGAATTGGCTTCGCAATTTTCTTATTAAGAAATTAATGAAATTCCAATAATAATAGAAATGGACCAAACAAGTTTAAGAAAGTTGGCACTCTGGGCTAATGAAAACTGTCTACCTAAAATCTTAAGGGTAAATATAAATATTAGTGTGAATCTCATGTAAACGAGCTATCCTGGATCCCTGATATAGCAATCAAATCAAAGGCGCTGGTGGATTATGGAATTGTGAAAGCAGAAATGATAGATTTAGAGAGAGCAAGACTTCTTTATTATGTAGCATTTGCATATCAAGGCTTTCCAAGTGAAAATAACTGCAATGAATCTCCATTTGGACAAATAGTGAGAGTGGCTGAGGTACTTAACAAGTAGATCGAAGATCCTTTGCTACCTGAACTAAGCACTTCTCAAGAAATGTTAGTCCCTGGGACTGTTATATATGCTCTCGTCATTTGTCACTCCAAAGAAGATTGTGATATTTCAATAGGCTCCGATTCTTTCTTTAAAGAACTCACGACTAATTAATTTTTCTCAAGGGAATAGTTCAGGGAAAACATCATATATGCTAGGAAAAGTAGCAAAAAAGCATATTTTTCTACCAGAAAATATCCCATTAAATTTAAATCAAGAGCTTATAAACAAAATTGGGATAAACCAATATTCTCAACCTACCAAAGCTTTTAAAGAGCCTCTAGATTTTGTATGAACTATATAGAATGATGCAAGAAATAGCCAAAATAGCAAATGATCACAAGAAAAGCTAGATAAAGGGATCACAATAGCCACAGAACTTGAAGACTTGCCAAGAGCTATAAAATATTATAATGATGCGATTCAATTAAACAGAGACAATAAAGATGCTTATAAGGTCAGGGCTATTGCTTACTCCCAACAAGGGAAGTATGAAGATTCCATCAGCGACTTCCAAAAAGTCTTGAAACTTGACCCAGACGATTCTCAAGCCCAAGAAGCCTTGCTAAAAGTTGAAGACAAAATAAAAGAGAAGCAGCATAAAAGAATGCTGATGACTTTTGGTTACGAGCTAAAAAACGCAAAACAATACAACCAAGGGAACGAGCATCTTCTAGTATACTCTCCAAAGCCTAGGAAAATTAAAAAATAGTTGGCTAAATAATACTTAAATTAGATCATCTCAAATCTTCCTGTTCGATGATTGAAAATTCTATATCTTCTTAGCTTCCTTAGATAGTTCTACACAAATAAAATGGTGAAGTCACCGACCTGTCCTCTTCAAACTTTCAGAGTTTGACAACCTTGAAGTGGTCCGAAGCCAAACCGAGCAGAAACGGATCCGGATGTTTATGTTTCGATTGGAATTTGCCTTCCTCATCTGTTAATGAAGACTTAGAGTCTTCCCAATGGTATTTGAAAAGAAAGGCATTGTGCTCTGGATGTCGCTATGCTGGCAATAAAAACATGGCTTTACCGATACAGCTAGGGAGTTTAGTTTAGTTGAACTCTAATCACAGAAGCAACAACTTTCAAGTCTCTAAACCGTATACTATCTCTGATAGTAATGCTGACAAATCTAGGGTGGTTGTCTGGTGCTGAGCATGCCTTTTCCAATGCCTGCCTGTGGTGTGGCGTTAAATAAGGAGGCCCTAATCTTTGGTAATCTTAAATCCTAATCCAAGATAATTCTTGATCTTTCTCTTCTCTTTCATTGTATATTCTTTCGGGAAAATATCACGATAATTGACTTCTTTATCGAAATTTTCAGGCTCATACTTAAGATGTTTGATTTCTTCAGGAAGTTTATTGGGGTCTGTTGTATATATGATTTTTGCAGAAGGATCAGAAATGAAACTTTGGAAATTATAAACTTCATTAATGTCTGGCGCTTTTCTAACCCTTATTTATATTTTGGGAAAATTAGAGACCATTTAAGAGCAAGTAAAAATACTTTGTAATATAATTTTTTAAATAGATAATAATTATTACGATAGCAAGATCTCTTGCTAATCTATTAAAATTTACACCCTAAACATAAATTTCATCAAATATTTGCAAATTAAATATAATTTAATATAAAAATTTTAAAAAAAGATGACCTTAGCCAGCGAAAGAGGGTGTAAGTACAAACTGAGGGAGAAAATCGAAGTCATGATATAAATCAGGGTAAATAAAGAGCCTTTGCATATAATGGGGCCTAACATTGTTGCTAGGAAGCATGCCTCTAACAGCTTGATTTACTACTCTTCTCCAGTGGTGCCTTTCAAGGACTTGTCCAATTGTCATTTCTTTTAAGTGGCCTGGATATCTGGAATGGCTGCGATATAATTTTGATCTTCCTTTTGGTCCCAAGACCATAGGATTTTTACCATTAACCACGACTACAAAATTCCCAACACTTTTGTCTGTGATGTGGGAATGATTATAAATTGGCTGGTTTTTTCCTTGGAGATAATATGCGATTTTTGTGGCCATTCTGCCAAGCGGAAGTGCTTCAGCGTTAAAGATATGCCAGGTTTGAGTGCCTACAGGGTAGCACATATAAGCAGGCTGTGGAGTTCTGGGCTTTTCAATACCTGCTAATTCAAGTACATCATCAGTAGGAATATCTATCCAATCTGTTTTTAGACCTCGCGGAGGATTAGAAGGGTCTCCAGGAATTGGTCCAAGGGCTTTAGTCATGTCATCACTATCATCACTTGTGTCTAGGGTGTAAGCCGAATTAACAAACTTTATTCTTGAGCTTCTCTTGACTCTTAAGAAAGGGTTAGAGATTGCAGCTCGAAATATCCGAGAAAGCAGAGCCATTTTATTAAACTCAAGCAATCAATTTGAATTGGATGCTTTGTTGCTATATTAATATAATATATATTAAAATAGCGGCACACGTCAACCTGCTATCTTGGCGCAACAGTCAAGACCTTATGGCCACGGCGAACTGGGACTGACTCCAAGCTGAGAATAAAGTAAAGACTCAAGAGGTGTGAATCTTTGGATCCGAGGATCCATGGGCATTCCTCTACCGAGACTGGGGGTTTCAGCCCAGGCCACTGGAGAGTAGTCTTTTTCCTGAGCTGTCGAAGGAAGGCATCTCGACACCCAATAGACTTCAAAGATCTTGAAACCAAGCTACTCCAATCGCCCGTAGGCCGAAGGTATCGGAAAGGGCATTATATGAGGGATAGACCCCTCTGGGCTGGAGTTGAAAAGCGGTAGAACCTCCCGTACTTGATGTCTTTTGGTGATTGCGTCACCAATATCGCTAACACCTAACTTTAACAGCCTAACCTAGCTATATTAATATAATTTGAGAAATAAACTCTTTATTATATATAACAAGAGAAGAGGCTTATTAAAACCCTTACTTATTTAAAGCAGTGAATTGGTATAAAATGAATTCTCTTCCTAACTTTATCTTAAATAAAGTCTGTAATGGGTTAGCAAATTCATGATTCTTCTCTGTATGTTATATTTATTATTACCCATATCGAGCATTCTTCATAATAAAAAAAACTTAATTAAAATCTATCAAAAAATGAGACCTTTATATAATTAGAAATGTCTGACAAGATCAATATGAGCCTCGATGAAATAATCAAGCAGAAAAAAGAAAGTCAGCAGAAGCAAAGAATGAACAAAAAGAAGCCACATGTTCAAAACAAGCAAAAGCCTTTCAAAAGAAACAACTCGAATAGCAAAAGAAAGGATAAAAATCCAAAGCAAAAACCAAAAGTTCAGAAAGAAGCTGAGCCATCAAAGACCAAGCTTTTCATAAAAGGTCTTACTCATCCCTCCATTAGTAAGCAAAAACTATTGGAAAACTATCTTTTAGGTAAAAAAACCATCCACGAGCAAGAAAAAATTTTTTCAAAAAAAAAATTTTAATACATAAACGATAATTATTATAATGAAGCCTCTAATTCTGTTGAATTTTAAATAGCTTGCATTCTAAACCATAAATTTAACAATTTAATTAATTTTTTGTAAATTCAAATAAAAAATTAGTACTAAATTAATATATAAACTTTAAAACAATTCCGAAGGGGGGCTAGTATCGGCACTACTAATAATGAGCTGAATGACGCTTTTACTGTCTACGGAAAGCTTGTAAGCTGTGGAATTAATTGGGATAAACTGGGAAGGTCAATAGGTTTAGGTACAAATTATTGATAGGCTCCTGGCATCATTGCGCGAGGATTGAATTCTTTCAATTTTGCCGTCCTCAGTTGTCTTACTAACTAACCTCGCTCCGGAAGGCAGAACCTGATCGAGGAAACTACCCAACTATGAGTTTTCAGATTTCTTTTGATAGCCATTCCCAGATTGCATGGACTAGGTCACTTTGCCGTACATCAACGGGATTGCCTTTCCAGAAAATTCGAAAAATTGAATTTTCTGTCCAGGTTGCTGGCCAAAAACTTTGTAGCCCAGGACGCAACGCTTGTTATCGCTGGAAAATTGCCCGATTGATCATAAGACGCTACTGGGCTTTTTCTTTCCATCTCTGAAGACACTGTATCCCCACAAGGTAAAACTCTGATCCGGATGTGAGCATGAGGTTGACCAGCCCGACATTGCACTCTACCAGACCAGGTAAAACCTGACCGATACACATTTCTAAACGCTGTTCTCCCTTCAAAAAGATCCTCTGATTCCCAGTTAAAAATAGTGGATCGCCATGCCATTTTAATGTATGGGAAGGTCAAAAGGTACTGCACAAGTTGAGTATAAAACTGCTGAAGAAGCTGCAACTGCTCTTGAGAAGTTGAACAACACTGAAATAGCAGGGCATACTATAGCGTGAGAAGCTTTTAGCGTGCCTTATGTTTTAGCCTTCTCAGAAATTTGAAGGTTTGGCTTGTCATCTTCAGTTTGCAAATCCAGACTTAAGGATGTGGTCCTGCCAGCTTGTAAGGACTGGCTGCATAAATGTAACGCGTATATTTCCAAGTCTCACAGTAGCTGAGTACAAGGGTACACTAAAAGCATGCCGACGCTATATTACAGTGGCTTATTTTAAATCTAAAGAAGAATAAGTCTTTGAAAGAAATCTTTTATCTTTTTCTAAATTGATTAAGTTTAATTAATTTTAGGCTTCATTAATAAGAAGACGTCTGCTTAATATCAAATTAATCTAATATTAATAGTTAAGAGATTTTTGTTATCTAGGCGATGGTTTTCTAAATATTTTTTACCGTTCAAGTCTGATCGTCAAGTTCTTGCCACTTGTGCATATTTTTTCAAATTTATCAGTCACAAGCTCCAGCTGCTTGACAAGCTCTTCGGGGTTAGGCCCATCCCTGAATTTAATAGTTTTTATGCATGCATTTTGATAGCACCTGCATTAAAATTACTGTACCAAATGATGTGCAGCATCCATCTCAATATTAGAATCACCTAAACATATCAAATTGGTAATAGTTCCTGTATCAAATAGTTTGGTCATCTCCATAAAAGCTTCAACTTTCCATTGATGATAGTTGTCAGGAAACTTGTGCTCATACTCACTTCTTGCTGAAATAACTGTGATTTGTTCAAGCATAATTAAATATGGCATCTCAGCTTGAGCATGGCCTCCCGGCCATGCAACCTTCGAGTGCATATTTAATTATATCCGGCAAGGTTTTACCAAGCTGAAAATAGGCAGCTATGCTTGGTAAGCAGCTCCTGTGGTGTAAGGAGCCTAGCCCTTACCCATTTTCCAATTTTGTTTACTTCGAGGAGAAGGAGGCTTGGAAGTTGGAAAGACGTGGAAGTTGGAAAGGGATTGCCCAGTAAGATCCTTTGGGCTCATCGGGCATTTTTCCCACCGTGATACCAGGGGTTATGGCCTGGGGTGCAAGTTTTCCTTTTTGCCAAAAATCAGCCAGAAAATCCATTTTTGGATTTTCCGTGCAGGCAACCTTCTCGCTGCAGCCTGAAGCAAGGCCCCGGGAACCCGTAATCTGCCCATTCAAAGCTGGAGCTACCACGCTGTAGCAAGGAGGAGGTGACTGCCAGGCAGCCCACCTTTCCGGAAGTAGACGTTACCAAAAAACGGATGAATCCCCTTGCAGGATACTCGTAACAAAGTTAACAAAGTGGACTCAGCCACCTAATTAAATAAGTAAGATTTGTTCAAGCATAGTAAGTACCCCAGGAATCCATAGGCCTGATGAATACTCCACCCATCCTTTCATTGCATTAGTAATGATATATGTATTTCCTAAGCTTAAAGCAAGTGTAAGCAGCCTTATTATCGCATCTTCTAATGTTTTTAATTGGGCTTTGACAACTTTTGAAGTAATATTCATAGCGTCTTCTCTAGAGTTAAGGTAAGTTGTGCATAATAAAGTGTCATCCCAGTCAAAAATAATGATAGAGTTAGACTTAGGAGGCCTTTGGCTTGGAGGAAGCCATACTCCTTCTTTACTCATCCTTTGAAGAAATTGCCTGCGGATATCATCAGCTGTTTTTACTTGCACGAAGCTTAAATTATAGATGTCGTTTGATGCGATTTTTTCTGAAACTTCATTAGAAGGAGGATGAGGAGCCTTTTCTTCTTCTGTGATTGGGGCGCTGCTACCCATTCATTGTGGAACTTTAAAATCTCTAGCAGTCATTCCTTGGTATTTTCGTAGCACTTCTCCAGCTTGCCCAACGCCTATTCTTGTGAGATACTGGCTACGGATGTCTCTTGTAACCACTTTTGGAGGTTCTCCAGCTGCTTTTTCTTCTTCTTTTGGCTCTTCTACCTTTTCAACTGCAGGAGGTGGAGTGTTTTTGCTTTGCCTTGGACCCATTTTTATTATTAATTACCTTACTACCACCCTCCGTGAGTGAACAAAAAAATTTTGTACCCCCACGGAGGAGGGCTCATTTTTTTTTCTTTTTTCAAAATTTAAAAAAAAAATCCCACAAAAATTGAACGCAAAAATTAATTTAATTTGTAAAATTAATGTTTTAAAATGCAATTTGTTTAAAATTAAATAGAATTAGCTAGAGATTTCGTTATAATAATAATAATTATCACTTATACATCAAATTTTTTTGTTCGCTCACGGAGGGTGAGTTTTTGGGCCAAAAATAGGGATTTTTCCAATAGTTTTGTTCGCTCACGGAGGGGAGTTAGAGTTATTAAATGATGAGATTAGAAATGATGATTGCGCAAATAACTCCAATACCAATCAGCATCCAAAGGTTCTTTGAATACAGTTCTTCTGAGGACTGATAATGAATTAATGCAGCCTGAAGTTCTTTTTGGAATTTCATGTAATTTTCTTTGGCCTCTGAAGTTGTCGCTTGCTGAAGTTTATATTCTTCTTGCAGCCTTTCAATTTCTTTTTCATATTTATTTTGCATTGGATCGTTCATAACGGAATCATCATCTGTAAAAAGCTGCTTTTTAACTGACTGGTATTCTCTGTCTAGCGAAATATTTCGTGATGGGGATGAGTACCTGATAGGGCTTGCTTTTCTTTCAGATAAAAACTTGGATCTATTCTGAATCTAAATTTGCAGGTGGGCAAGTATCGTATTGGTTACGTAGTCACAAAGGGCCTCTATAGGTTCATCAGCTTTTTAACGTCCGCTTCTCGGCTTGATCAAATCGATGACAATCAGCAATGTTTAAAGTCATATTCTTCTTCTTCTTCTTCTCTAGAATCCACCTCATCGAGATGACGGATTGAGTGCGCGAGGGAGATACGCCTCCTTCTTGCCTAGCTAATAGCTCCAGTTTTAAGTGCGCAGACTATGGACTTCAGCGACCCAGCTATGCGCTCATTGGACAGTAGCTTGATCCAGAAACCTGGAGTCTAGCAGGTTCTGGGTACCGAACTTAGCAGCTACAGGTATAAAGGTTAAGTTCTGGGCCCAGCCTGCTGCAACCCATGGTATCGCTGTGAAGGTCTAACTTAAGGGTCCCGAAGAACGCTGCCAGATTACCATTTTTAACCATAGAAACCGAGTCAAAAAAATACCCTGAATCTCGACTGGTTTCTCTCCCAGTTCGCCTTCACCATAAGGTTGAGAAAATTGTGTCAAGATGTCGAATACGCTTAGGTTGCAATTTTTATGTATAACTTGGATCTATTCACAATTTCCATTTTCTTGTAATCAAGCTGCTCTAGCATATATTCGTTGCTACTAACAATTTCTTGTTCTTGTTTTTCAAGCTGCTTTAGCTCTGCTTTATATTGATTTTCTTTTTCAATTTCCCTCTCTCTAGAATTACGAAGCATCGTTTCTTTATCTTTAATGATGCTTTTCAAGCTTTCTATTGTATTGACTGTGCTTTGAATTTCCGCTTCTACTTGAAAATCAGAAGTTTTTAGTTTTAAAATTTTTTCTTTCATAGAATCAATAGCATCGCTTTGGTCTCTCAATTTATTCCAGGACGAGTCAAGAACTTCGTTTTTCAAGCGAAGCTCGTTTACTTTGCTATCAATTTCTTTGTCAAGTTGTTGGCTTTCTATAGTGATTAGTAAATATTCTTCATCAAAGTTTCTCAGATCTGCAGACAATTCTTCTAAATACTCTTTGCGGAGATTGATAAAATTGCTTTTATCTTCAACTTCTTTTAACTTGGAATTTAATAATTGTTCTGAATTTTCTTGTAAACTTTCTAAATTTTTGTTTTGAGAACTAAGCAAATTCTTTTGGTCTTCTTTATTTTTTATTCCCAGTTTAGATTGCTCAAGCTTTCCTTCCAGAGATTTCTCATCACTTTCAAGCTGTTCTTGCTTGTGTGACAAATAACTATTAAGAGTTTTGGATTCATCAAGCTTTCTTTCTATTTCTATAGACTTATTTAATAACTCTTTGTTCACCTTTTCCAGTTTTTCAATTTCTTTGGCTTCTTCAGCTCTTTTTTCTTGCTGCTTCTTTTCTTCTTCTTGCATAGCTTTTTTGATCTTTTCTTTTTCTGCTTTTTCTTTTTCTTCAGCTTTCTTGGCTTCGATTTCTTGAGCTTTCTGGGCTTCTATTTCTTCGGCTTTCTTGGCCTCGATTTCTTGAGCTTTCTTGGCCTCAATTTCTTCAGCTTTCTTGGCCTCAATTTCTTCGGCTTTCTTAGCTTTGGTTTCTTCAGAATTTTCAGATCTTCCTTCTTCTTCTTCTTCTTCTTTTTTCTCAGGCTCTGCTGAAAGTTTTTCTATTTCTTTTGTTTCTTCAGAATCATCAGGCATTTCCTCCTCTGCTTTTTTTTGAGGCTCTAATAAGCTATTTGATTCTTCTTTCGCTTTATCTTGTGAAGTTTTATGTGTTGGCTCTTCTTTAGTTGGCTCTGTAATGGGCTTATCAGTAGTTTTTTCTTTACTTTCTATCTTAAGTACCCGTCTCTAAAAGCGAACAAAACCATTAAAAATTCTGGAGAAATTATAATGAAAGAACAAAATTTTTTTAATATAAAAATTTTAAAAAAAACCTTTAATATATTATAAATAATAATTGTTATAATGAAAACTAGAGTTAATTCTATTAAATTTAAAACACCTAATATTCTAAAGCACTAATTTTTAAAAACTAGTCCTCAAGAGCCCATTTGGATCGCTGAGGACAATACTTAAAGAGGTTAAGTAGTAATCTGACTAGTTTAAAATGGAAATACAACTACCATTTTTCTGGCGAGCATATATAAAATTTGTAAATTTTGTTGATAGGTTCTCTGTTTGCCAACCCAAACATAAACTTGTCATGAAAATAGCATTTTTCATTTTCAGTCTGACTTCTCAGATCACTGCTTTACCTTTTTAGGTATTGCTCCATAGTGATCTAAAAAATGTATTATAGTAGTTTATATTTTTAAAACTCTTATTAAAAATAATCCTTAGCAAGTATCAAAATTTCCTCTTTACGAAAGATGAGAATTAGGATTTTGATTGATATCTTTTTCAATTATTTGTAGCGGCCTTTCTTCTTTAGATGGATTTTCATTTTCAACTATTACGTCAGGCTTTTGCTCTTTACTTTGTGCTTCCAAAAACTTTTTGTAATCCTTTTCTGCAAGATGTTTTCTTGCTACTGATTGAATAACAACACTAGCAGCGATTTTTTCATTGCTTATTTCTTGAGATTTTGGCTGGAGTTTGTCTTCAATTTTAAGAGGGATATCTATATCTTGCTTGTTAGTAGGGGTTTCGTCTTTCTTTTCAGGAACCACCTCATCCTTTTGGATAGGAGTACTCTCAGTACTATTTTTAGAATCATCAATTTCAGATAGTTCAGTTTTCTCTTCTTCAACCTTTTGTAATTGCTCTAAAGGCTTAGCGCTATCTTCTTGGGGGAATATTTTTGCTTCTACCATTTTAGCGATTAAGCTCTCCTCAAAGCTTTTTTTAGTAAGATATTTTCTTGCAAAAGATTGAATGAGGACTATTCCTTCTTGCTTTTCAATAGTATCATCTTGCTTGTTTTGAGCTTGATTTGGCTGGCTTTCTTTGGTTGGTTCAGTTTGGATTTCTTGCTTAGTTTCTTTCTCAGGAATTTTTGACTCTTCTACTGCATTTTTGGATGTGCTCTCTTCTGATTTAGATATATTAGAAGAGTCAAGCTTATTTTCTTCAGCCTTTGCAAGAGATTCTGGAATATTAGTGCTGTCTATTGGGATAGATTCTTTTGTTTCATCTGTCTTAGGGATTGAACGATTCTCAAAAATTTTTTTAGTAAGATATTTTCGTGCAAAGGATTGAATAAGGACAATACCATCTGAACTTTTATTAGTATCATCAAATCTAGGTAAGACTGCGCTAGCGTCATCTTCTTTCTTTTCATCTTGAGCTTGTTGGCTTTCTTGTGCTGTTTCAGAAACTTTCTGCTCAGCATTGTCGATACTTTTTGACTCTTTGCCAGAATCTTGAAGTGATTTTGACTCCTCATTTGACAGTTGAGAAGTATTTTCGGATGCTTTGGCTGAACTTTCTTCTGCTTTTTTCTCAGGGCTTTTTATAGAAGTCTGTTCATCGGATGCTTTGGCTGAACTTTCTTCTGCTTTTTTCTCAGGAATTTTTATAGAAGCCTGTTCATCGGATGCTTTGGCTGAACTTTCTTCTGCTTTTTTCTCAGGAATTTTTATAGAAGCCTGTTCATCAGATGCTTTGGCTGAACTTTCTTCTGCTTTTTTCTCAGGACTTTTTATAGAAGCCTGTTCATCGGATGCTTTGGCTGAACTTTCTTCTGCTTTTTTCTCAGGAATTTTTATAGAAGTCTGTTCATCTGATGCTTTGGCTGAAATTTCTTCTGCTTTTTTCTCAGAACTTTTTATAGAAGTCTGTTCATCTGATGCTTTGGCTGAACTTTCTTCTGCTTTTTTCTCAGGACTTTTTATAGAAGTCTGTTCATCGGATGCTTTGACTGAACTTTCTTCTGCTTTTTTCTCAGGAATTTTTATAGAAGTCTGTTCATCGGATGCTTTGGCTGAAATTTCATCTGCCTTTTTCTCAGGACTTTTTATAGAAGTCTGTTCATCTGATGCTTTGGCTGAACTTTCTTCTGCTTTTTTCTCAGGATTTTTTATAGAAGTCTGTTCATCGATTGCTTTGGCTGAACTTTCTTCTGCTTTTTTCTCAGGAATTTTTATAGAAGCCTGTTCATCGTGCTTTTTAGATTCCTTTTTCTCTTCTTCTTCTTTTTTGGTAGTCTGGGCTGAAGCTTTCTCAAGTTTACTTTCTTTTGCTTTTTGAATTTGCTCACTTGTGGCTCCCTGAGACTTTTGCTCTTTTTCTGAATTAAATCCTTCTGTTGATTGAACTGTAGATGCTTTAGCCGAATTTTTGCTTTTTGTTTCTTCTTCTCCTCCTTTCAAAGATCCTTCTGTGTTTTGAAGTGGAGTAGTTTGAGCTTTACTGGGCTCTTCCGCAATAGCTTGGCTATTAGATTCCTCTTTAGATTTTTGAGTAGGTTCAAAACTATCCTTATTAGATTTTTCAGGCTTTTCTTCTACTTTTTGAATAATATCAGGTATTGTTTTAGTTTTGTCTTCTTCTATAGATTTTTCTTTCAACTTGTCAGTAGACCCTGCACTTGACTTCGTCTCTTCAATTACTTTTTGAGCGGGTTCAGGGATTGATTGAGCTTTGCTTGCTTCTTCAGCTTTTTCTTTCGGATTTTGAGCAGGCTCTACATTTGTATTAGTCTGTTCTTTTAATTTTTTAATCGGCTCATGGATTTCTTGAGCTTTACCTACCTCTTCTGATTTTTCTTTACTCCTCCCCGTTTTAAATTAGAGCAAGCATAGGTAAAATTTCCAATTTTTGGCTGCTTTAACCCCTTTTAAATTTAGGCAAAATTTTTTTCAATAGTAAAATTGTATAGGTAAGAATACTAATTTTTATAAAATTAGTTTTGATTTAATTTAGCTGCAAAATATTCAAGCAACCAGTCCACTCCATAAGAGAAAAAAATGAATTTTATAAAATAATTTTATATAAAATATATTTGATTTATAAAATGATGCTTATTGTGATGAAATTTCTTATAATTTTATTATATTTTAAACAATTTTAAAATATAAATTACATAATTAGTTTAATTTTTGTAAATTGGATAAAATAATAACTTACTTCATGAAGGAGAAAAAAATTTCTTCATTCACGGTGGGCAAGGGAGTTAGAGCTTTGAGTAGGCTCAGCACTTTTCTTGGTCTGCTCACTCGATATTTCAGCTGGCTGAGAAATTGCTTGAGTTTTGGCTACTTCCTCAGTTTTTTCTTTCAACTTTTCACCAGATTCCACGTTTGTTTTCTTCTCCTCATTTGATTTTTGAGCTAACTCAGGAGTTAATTGACTCCCGCTTGATTCTTCAGTTTTTTCTTTCTCTCCCTTCGAATAGAAACAAAAGGATTTTTTATATATTATAAAAGATAGATGATTTTTTAATAGAAAAATATTCGACAAACCTTTTCTAAATAAATTTAAAAATTTTATCGATTCACACATTAAATTTTTAATCAAAGCTATTTATATATGAATTATTTTTTAATAGAAGAATGAATTTTTGTTTCAATTTTAAATTGAGGGAGTTAGATTTTTGAGCAGATTCAGCTGATTGCTTTTTGCCTACTTCTCAATCATTTTCGTTTGTTTTTAACACAGGATCTGGAATTATTTGTGATGTCTGAGAGGAGGACTTGCTTTCTTCAACAACAGGCTTAGCTTCTACTGTTGATTTTTTTTCATGTTTTGCCTCAGATTTCATCTCTTCTTTGTCTTCTTCTTTCGGAGCTTGGTCAGCAGCATGAGCTTGTTTAACTTCATCTACTTTAGCAGCTTCATTATTTTTTGCATCTGCACTTTTTTGCGCTGGGGCATTTTGTTCTTGCTCTTTTTCTTTTGCTATCTCAGGCTTAGATAAAGGAGCTTCCTCTTTAATTTTTGCCTGAGGTGCCTCTGTCAGCTTCTGGGTTTCTTTTCTAGCTTTAGATTCTTCTTGCCCTTGGTGAGAGGAAATCTCAGTTTGGTTTGGAACTTCTGCTTTTTTATTTTTGCTTTCTTCTACATTTTTTATTGGCTCACTTGGAGTTGATGAATCAGCTTTTGACTTAGACTCGACTGAAGGCGCTTTTGCTTCTTCTTTTCTCGGCAATTCCTTAGAATCCTCGTGAGAGACTAATTGTTTGTCTTTTTGCTGAGAAGGATTCTCTGGAGCATGAGATTCATTAACTGCCTCTGGAGTTGGGGAAGCATCCTTGGAGAGCTTGGACTCTTCTATTTTTGGCTGCTGAGAAGTATTTTCAGGCACTTTAGCTGCAGTTTCTTCAGTTTTCTTCGTAGAATCCTTTATAGAAGTTTGCTCAACTTGCTTTTTAGAGGCTTTTTTCTCTTCTTCTGAATTGGGAGCAGGCTGGGCTGGAATTTTCTCAGGTTCACCCTCTTTTGCCTTTTGAATTGGCTCAATAGTAGTTTTTTGAGGCTTTTCCTGTTTCCCTGTCTTTGATTCTTCATTTGATGCAACGTTAAGTCCTTTAGACGATTCAGTATCTTTTTTTTCTTCTTTCTCTGCTTTCACGACTCCTTCTGTTTTTTGGGTCTGAGCTTTGCTTGACTCTTCAGAAGTAGATTTCTGTGGAGACTCTCCTTTTTGTTCAGCAACTTTAGGAGTATTTTTATCTGTAGCTTCTTCTGAAATATTGGTTGGCTTAGAAGACTTATCCCCTTCTATTTTTTGTACTGGCTTGACCCCTGTATCTTGCTCCTTACTTGATTGAATCTTTTCTTTGGTTTCTTCATTAATATTCTGAGATGTAGTAGCTTGGCCTGACTTATTATCTTCCTTTTTAGTTGGGTCTGCGCTTTTTGGTGTTGCTACAGTTTTATCTTGCTCTTTTGCTGTTTCAGACTTTGACAAAGGCATTTCATCTTTGCTTTTTGATTGAGATTTCTCAGACTCTTTTGGGTTAGGTTCTTCAGTTTTCTTTTGGGGGGTAGGAATATTCTCATTTTGCTTAAGCGCTTCATCTGATTTATGTTTGTTTTCTTCTGCTTTTGATATTGAATCATTCGATACAGCTGATTTTTCTTTATTTTCCTCAACTTTTTTCGAAGAAATTTTATCTTTTGTCTCTTCTGCCTGTCCTGTCGCTGACTTTTGCTGAGGGGAACTTTCAATAACTTTAGATTGTTGGGCTTCTTCAGCTTTAGCAGTTTCATCAGAGCTCTTCAATTTTCTTAGTTCTTCTCTATCAAGATGCCCTCTTGCTCCTGCCTTAATTGCAAGATCGTTTATTTGCGAGCCACTTTGACTGACTTCCTTATTTTCTTCAATTGATATTTTTCCAGATGCTTGCTCAGATTCTTTTTTATTTGTTACATTTTCAGACTTACTTTCATGAACAGGAGCACTTTTTGGTGCTTCTGATGATACAGATTTAGTCTTTGCTTCTTCTGCACTTTCAGCAGGTTTGATCTTTTGAGAGGATTCTTGGCTTGATTTTTTATTATCTTCTTTGGCTGTTGTTTTAGCAGACGTATTTTCAGTAGAGCCTGGTATCGCAGATGTTTGAGATTTGGTCTCTTCATTGGATTTTTTGGATGACTCTGCTGATGTGTTAGCAGGAATTTTGGATTCTTCTTGATGAGCTTGGGATGGATCAGAAATCTTTGATTTATCTGACTGTGGTTGACTTTCAGCTTGATTTACAGTTCCAGCCCCTGATTTTGGCTGCTGGATAGATGACGAATTTTCTGAACTTTCTTTGGCGCTATTTTTTCCTTCCATTTATAAATTGAAGCTCTTAGCATTTCTATTTGAATTCAATAATCTTACTATAAAAAAATTCCTTATTAAAATATTATGTTTAAATAATTAATTAGTGCAAATAAAATTCTATTTTTTGGGGTTTTTTATTATAAATAAATTTAAATGCTCTTGATCCAATTTATTTAAGATATCTAAATGCCATATTTCTAGCCTAGCAAAATTTCAATAAGTTTAAATAAAAAGCTTACTCAGCTTAACTAAACATAACCCTTTTAACTATTAGTTTTGTGATTAAGAAGTTAAAAAAGATCCTCATTGGTGCCCTCTAGCAGATAATTATTGATTTCTCTAATTTGTTGTATCAAACTTCCTAGTTCGTTCGGGTACTTACCAACCCCAGCTTCAATTTCTTCAGGCTCAAACCCAAACTCATCAAAAATTTCATCTTCGAGCATCCTCATCTTAATATTCAGTTCATTAGGATCTTCTTCATTTATCTCCTTAGATTTTGATATAGTAAATTGCATTATTTCAGTCAGCCTCGCTGGATTCAGCAATGGCGATACATTTGTAACTAAAACTGTGCATACTTTACTAAACGCCAAAGCAACTTCAGGGTCATTTTCCATATGGTTATAAGAATCATTTAATATTTCCTCAGTTAACCGTGAACGTTCAAGAACATCTGCAAACGCTTTTTCATTAGCCCTCCTGGCATGGTCTTTTAAATCCCTTATGCAAATCCTATATTCTCTTCCTCCTCGATGCAGATTTCTCCGTTTCCTACGATTCAGCTTCAGCAGTGTTGCAAAGTTTTCTGAAAATGCCTGGCGTATTTGGTTAAGGACTCTTATCAAGGAAGCTTTATCAAGGAGCTTTATAGTGGAAAATTTCATTGGAGGCCCTCGTGTCTTTCAATACAGCAAGCCAAGTGCGAAAATACAAAAGAGCCCTTCTATTACATAAAGAACCTTTTTGTTTTCCATATGGAAATTAAAGCTAATTATAAGAATGGCTTAACTTATTTTCTTTTGAACACCCATTCTAAGTTTCTTGCAAGCTGGGCTTCCCATCTGTCGCCGTTATCAATGAGCTTGGTTTTGGTAAAAAGCATGTCAGAATGAGCTATGGTTGCGAACTCAAAGTTGGAAGATAATACGATCGCATCCACTGGGCAGGCTTCTGCACAGTATCCACAATAAATGCATTTAGTCATGTCAATGTCATAACGTGTTGTTTTCCTTGCACCGTCTGGTCGAGGCTCTGCTTCGATTTTTATTGCTTTTGGAGGGCATGTGGCTTCGCAGAGCTTGCAGGCGATGCAACGTTCTTCACCAGTTGGGTACCTTCTGAGACTATGCTCACCGCGGAATAGAGGACTGAGTGGACCTTTTTCTGCTGGGTAATTGATGGTTACTTCTGTTTCAAAAGAATGCATACCCATTGTCCAGACCATCTTCAAGATATCAGCTTGCCAGAATTTGCGATGCCAGTGGTTCAAGGTTGATTCCCAATCCACATCTGTGCGGATTTCCAGGGGGTGAGGAGCCAATTCGTCTTTGGTTGCCCAATAATAATCTTGGTGTGGAGTGTAGTGGGGGTGGTTGCTGTCCATAGGCACTTGAGTGTAAGAGTATTCTTGCCCATCACTACCTTTTTGCAACTGAGCGAATCTTCTTATAACTCTACGTATCATTATTTAATATTTAGTTAATTCTCTATTTAATTTCCATCTTAGACATAGGAATATTTGAATTATGACTTTTCGTCATTCAATTTTGCAAGCTGCTCATACAGCCTCCTTTCTTCTCTTGTTAAATGCTTAGGGATCACTACTGTGAATTTAATATAATGATCTCCTTTTTTCGTCTGATGAGGAGGCAAGTGGCTTATTCCTTGACTCGCTAGTTTAACAGTTTGTCCAGGATTTGTGCCTGGTTCTACTTTTAACTTTATATTTCCTGCCAAAGTTTCGACGTCTATTGTACCTCCAAGTGCTGCTTGGGAAACAGATAATGATACTTCAGAGTGTATATCATATCCTATTCGCTTAAAAACTGGATGAGGCTTGACTATAAACTTTATCAAAAGGTCGCCAGGGTTGTCTCCGTTTTCTGAAAAGTTCCCTCCTCCTTTGATTTTTAATGAAGAACCTGTATTAATCCCTGGTGGAACTATGACTGTATCTGTGTGTCTTTCATGGGCTATGCCTGTTCCTTTACATGCAGTACAAAACGATTTTATTATTTTGCCTATACCTTGACAATTTTTACATGTCGTCTGGATAGTTATTGGACCTTTTTGGAATACTATGACCCCAAGTCCTCCGCAAAGATCGCATTTTACTGGCGAAGATCCTGGTTTTACTTTTGTGCCTTTGCAAGCTTTGCAAATCGTCCTTTTGTCTAATATTATTTGTTTTGAGACACCATTGACTGCTTCCAAGAACGAAATTTCCATAGTTAACACTATATCTTCGCCTTGATAAACACTTTGATCATGATTGGAGGCTCCTTGGCCAAAAAAGTCACCGAATTCGCTAAATATATCTTGAAAGCCTGTGAAGTTATTCGTAAATCCTTTACTTGTAAAATTTCCAAAAGGATTAAATCCATTGAACTCAGAAGCATTGAACCCTGAAGCTTTTGCTTGCTCTTGTTCATCTCCTGTCATCCCAGTATTATCATAAGCTTTTCTTTTTTCTAAATCTCCCAATGTTTCATACGCATTATTAATTTCTGCGAATTTTGCTTTAGCATCGAGAGATTTGTTGACATCTGGATGATATTTTTTAGCGAGCTCAAAATAGGCCTTTTTTATATCGCTTTGAGATGCATTTGAAGATATACCTAGAATTTTATAGTAATCCTTTTTGTTCAGTAATCTTAATGAGCTTCGGAAACCTCTAACTCCCCCTCCATGAGCGAATAAAAAATTTGTATGAAAAACATTTTGATATGTAAGTGATAATTATTATATGAAATCTCTAGCTAATTATGTTAAATTTTAAGCAGCTTGCAGTTTAAAAAATAAATTTTACAAATTTAAAAAAATATTTGCGTTCCATTTTTTGCGAATTGGGATATTTTTAAATTTATAAAAAAAATTGCTCTAAAATTTATATATAAATTCTTTTAAAAAAAAATTGATCCCCTTGTGAGCAAACAAATATTTTTGTTCGCTCACTGAAGGGGAGTAAGTAATATCATGTATAATTTCTAGAAATGGTTTTCACGAACTTTTTATTTAAATATGATTTAAAATTTACTATTAATTTTGATAATTTAAATGCAGCAATCTAAAATTTTTATTGGTAATAATTTATAAGTTGATTATGAGAAAATCAATTTGGATTTTTCAATTTACCTTCCTTGATTTATTTTTTAAAAGCTTCTTTAAGAAAGCTAAAATTATTAGTAATTTACAAATTTTCTAAACAAATAAATTGCGTTCTTTCATTAATTAAAATTTATACTGATGATTATGATAAAAATAAATTATCTATACTTATTATATATATCTTAATGAAAGTACGTTTTTATCAATGTAAATGTCATATAATAGCAGCTGCACGCCAGCATAAAATTCATTAACTCCCCCCCCCCCTCCGTGAGCGAACAAAAAAATTTTGTTCACTCACGGAGGGGGGTTAATTTTTTTTTTTTTAAAAAAAAATTTATATATAAATTTTATAAAAAATATTTTTTTCGAAATTTAAAAAAATCCTAATTTGCAAAAATTGGGAAGCAAATATTAATTTAATTTGCAAAATTTATGTTTTAAAACGCAATAAACAGAATTAGCTCTAGATTTCATTATACTAATTATCACTTATATATCAAATTTTTTTTCCATTAAAATTTTTTCTATTAAAAAATTTTTGTTCGCTCACGGAGGGTGGGTTTTTTGGGTCAAAAAATGGTGATTTTTTCTAATGGTTTTGTTCGCTCACGGAGGGGGGGGGGGGGGAGTAAGGTATTAAAATCATAAAAATTTCAAAATAACTTAAAATTCTTGCAGTTCAAACAAAATATGGACCCACGAGACTTTGAAAAAGGTTCGAGACTTCTGCCAAACCTTGGAACTTCCACAAACGAGATCAAAGAAATTGTCCAAGGCCTAAACGGCCCTCCATTCAGTTATAATTTGACACTAGTCAGCTTTGACGAAAAAAGCCCTCAAGAGCTGCAAGAATTATTAATCGATATCATTACGAAGCTCAACCCAAAGCAAAAAATCGACCTCTCTACCGATCAAAGCGAAATCGCTCAAACAGTTGTGGAGTTCTTAAAAGTGTTAGGTTATACCAGCAACTTTGATATGGAATTCCAACGCGGGCTTTTATACGGCGATAAAAGAATTCTCTATCCAATCTTCCACTATATCATTTCTAACCTCCCCCTAATGCAAGCAAGAGCATATCTTGGCAAATTCTTGGTCACCATACACGTTCCGGACGAGTTTTTAGTGGAAGAGGACATGAAAGAGTTATATCAAACTTATAAGGAATTGATGGCACAGTTCCAAGTAACCCACCAAGAACTTGAGCAGGTCCGCCAGCAAGCTTTGCCTCCTCAAGAACTAAAGCGTGACATCGACCAATTAGAGCTTGAAAAAGAACAACTTGTCACCAAAATTTCTAAACTGAAAGCAAGATACCAAGGAAATGAAGAATTTCAGCAGCTGCTAGAAGCGACAAGTAAGCTTAGAAAGGAGCAAGAGGAAGAAGCAATGCTAGTAGAAAAGCTGCAAGAGCAACAGCAGCATTTAGAGTGGTGTGAAGGGAACTTAATGTCTGCCCAACAAAGGCTGATTGACATCAAAAAAGTAACTGCCTCTGATACCAGTGCAGCTGATATGCTTAATTTGCTAAGGGTTGATGTAAAAAGGAATAGAGAGTTTTGCAATGAAAGGATTGGAAGAGAACTCACTGAAAAAATAAAAAGACTTGAGCAAGTAGAGCAGCTTCTTAATGAGCCTATTGTCAGCCAAAAAGACTTAGATGGTCTACAGAATGATGTAAGAAATCTGCAAAGAGAAGTTCAATTATTGGAAGAAAAAGCAAACAACGCCCAAAATCCTGCAGAAGATAAATTGGGCGTTTATAAGCAGCAAGCCTCACTTGTGTCTAAGAAAAAAGAGAAAGCAATCGAAAAATTGAAATCCTTGGAACAAGAAGAGTCAAAATTGGAGAAAAAAATGATGCAGAAAGAAAAAGAATACGAAAATGTCAAAGGTGGTAACAAATTTATGAGCAGAGATGAGTTTACCAAATACTCGCAATCTTTAAGGGCGAAGAAAACTCAATACCAACAGATGAAAGCTCAATTAAGAGACATCAGAGCTGATCTTGCAGTGCTAGGGAGGACAGAAAAAATCCTAAAAGGCGAAGCAGAAGAGCAGATCCGAGAAATGAGAAACCTCGAAAGGGAGCATGGAATCGAAGGAGGCTTCCAGTATCAAGAAGAATTAGAAAAGATTTCAGCTGCTAAGCAGGAAATTGATATCCAAAAAGGAGCCACTCTTGACGAAATTGCAAAAATTGTAGAAGAACTCGACTACAAGATTAAAGAAAACAGAGCAAGGTTGAGTCCCTTAGTAACTGAGCTGAGAACTGCAAGGGCAAGATTCCAAGAACTTAATGCTGAATATGAGTCTAAAAAGGCGCAATACGACACGGTCAATGCTTCAGTAGAGTCAGACAGAGCTAAAATAGACGAAGAAGTTAAGCAGCTATTAGAAGAAACCAACGCTATGGAAAGCAAATATCATCTTATTAATGGCCGCATTCAACTTGCAGATGCCCAGCTAAAACGGCTATTGAACGAACAAGCCTGCAGGAACGGAGAAAGAAAGCTCAGCTCTGAATACAACTCTCTCCAAGAGTGCTATAATATCAAGCAGGAACAGCAAACTAAGCTTATCTCTGATCTTAGAAATAAGCAAAAGATGATCAAGGAAACCCATGATACTAATTCCAGACAAGTGAAACTGTTTTCTGATTTAAGACGATTTTTAGACCTGAAGATTAGAGTAACTGAAGAAGAAAACAGAGGGCAAGGACGTGCGTTGAGAGGTAGAGATCTTGGAGGGGAAATCGGAGTTGGCGGGGTAAATCGTTTGGTATTAAATGACTAATTTAGGCTTAAGTTATAATTAGAAATGGTAAATGTCATATAGAGTGAAATAGAAGAAGCATTTATGAGGATCAAAACACATAAAGGAGTCAAGGGAATCATTATCGCGAACTATGCAGGAATTTCTGTGAAAAGCTCGATGAGTCAAGCTGATACTCATAAATATGCTAGCTTAATTTCAAGCCTAACATTGACTGCAAGATCAACTGTTAAAGATCTGGATTCGCAAAATGATTTGGTGTTTCTCAGGATAAGAAGTAAAAAGCATGAAATTATGGTAGCGCCTGATCATGAATATATGCTTATTGTGATCCAAAATCCTGATGAGGAGTAAGAATTGAATATAAATGAAATAGATGAAATTCGTTTTAATGAGTTTTAATGAGTTTTAAGATAATTAAATTGTGGAGATCCTGCAGCAGAAATCAGCTAGAGGATTGCTTAAAGCTCGAGATAAGAGGAAAATTGCGCCATATTAAGAAGTTGTTAAAGGAACTTTATATTTAAATACAGCTAGGAACTTAAAAAATAAGCCAGAAATAGCAGGATTTTAATTATTTTAGTTTGGCATCGGAAACATTTTTTTTCTTGGTAAATAACTATTAAAATTTGGAGATTTTATGCAAGATCTTTTGATTTCTGCTTTTTTCTTTTCCTTTTCATTTGATGAAGGACTTTTCGGAGATTCATCACGCAGCGTTGACTGAGTAATGTCTGAGCAAGTTTTCTGTCACCATCTCGTATTCGTCCTTTCTACAGAAATCGTGGTTTTAGGCCTCAATGACTCTGGAAGCACCTGACCCGCATCGACTCTTAATATAGATTCATTCATAGAGTGCCTTTTTTTCCTAGGCACCATTGTGGCTTCAAAAACAATTTGATGACCTATATAGTAGTATCCATTATTGGATAAATCCTTTTCTGCATGAAATTTTCTGTAAACAGGCCCTGAGCGCTTTCACCTAGGGCTTACTTCGTATGACCCAGGACCCACTCTGTAGCCTGTGATTTTAGAATTGAATTCATATTGAGGGAACCTTGGCTCTTTAGCAAAGGAGGGCTTTATTTTTACTGGGGATATAGATAGTGAAGATCCATTGGAAGTTATTGAGGCATTATGAAATTCACCTGTTCTCTCTTTTGGGCTGCGAAATTTTAAATCAGTTGGTCTCATTTAACTGTAATTGATTAATTAATTAATTAATTTTATACTTAGCCAAGTATATTAACATTTACATTAAAAAACAAATTAAATAATTTTGCGAAGCAATAAAACTATCTTTATCTGATAATTTTTGAAATCTATGGAGAATTCCTACTATAATCAATAATTTTTGTTACTTGGAAATAAATCAAAATGATGCACAGAGTTACCCTCAAGAAGCAATGATTTGTAGGTTCAAAATCTACCAACATTGAGAATTCTTACCGATTCGACGCTGAGCTTGGAAGTGGAGCATATGGGAAGGTAATAAAAGCAACTAATTTGAGTAGTAACCAACAAGTCGCTATCAAGATGGTCCAGAAAAATAGAGTAAAAGACTACAAGACCTTCAACAAAGAGCTCTCAATTTTAAGAGTCATGGTAACCTTAACTTAGGACCACCCAAATATCGTAAAGATCCTCGAAACTTATGAAACAGACAGAATATGCTACTTGGTCATGGAATTATGTGAAGGTGGGGAACTCTTCGATAGAATTATACAAGAAAAAAACCTTTCTGAAGCACATGCAGCTTTTATTATGAGAAAATTATTTAGTGCCCTATCATATTGCCACGATCAAGGCATTTGCCATAGAGACTTGAAGCCAGAAAATCTTATGTTTTTGACGAAAAATCCAGAAAGTGATATAAAACTTATAGATTTCGGACTCGCGAAAGAGGTGAGTGAAAGCTTAGTAATGCATAGATTTAATGGGACTCCCTACTATATAGCGCCTGAGGTCCTCTCAAGAAACTACTCATATGAAGTAGATTGCTGGTCTCTAGGTGTAATTATGTACGTTATGCTTTCTGGAACTCCTCCATTCAACGGAAGAAATAATGAAGAAATACTTATGTCGGTATACAATGGATCTTATTCATTTCGTCCAAGAGCTTTTCAAATGGTATCGAACATGGCTAAAGACTTGATAGCTAGGCTTCTTGTAAAAGATCCACAACTTAGATACACTGCAAGAGCTGCATTTAACCACCCATGGATCCGAGGACTTGCACCTCTGCCAGAAGTTCCTTTGAGTGTAGAAGTTTTCATGGATATCAGCCAATTTGTTTCGTCAGAAAATTTAAAAAAAGCTACCTTGATGTTTGTAGCCTCTAGGCTTTCAGAACGAGACCTTGATCAGCTCAAAGAAGTTTTTATCGCATTTGACAAAGATGGTGATGGGCTACTTTCCAGAGCTGAATATGAAGCAGGATTACAACAAAGTGGGATTTATCTTGACAAATCAACATTAGACAATATGTGACATATAATAGATTCTAACAAAAACAACTTGATCGATTATACAGAATTCCTTGCTTCTTGCTTGCATAACCAGCAGTACTTAGACCGAGGGATCTTAAAAACTGCTTTTGAGTATTTTGACATGGTAAAATGTATTTAGGATGGAAATGGACTTATTACGCATTCAGAACTGAGGAGCGTGCTCAGGGATAGAGAAGTCACGCTAACTATCAAAGACCAAAAGGTAGAAGAAATGATTAAAGAGGTAGACAGGAATGGGGATGGGTATATAGACTATCAAGAATTTCTGCAAATGATGGCAGGAGGATCGTAAATAAGATGGAATTTATATGATCTGAAAATAAATAATAAATATTTAATATACATTTAGAAAGCTATTATCAATGAGGATTATAGTAAAATTCACCTAAAATGGAAGATGTAAGAAGAACTCATATAATTACAAATGATACTTATGTAAAAACATCTTTCTTATATAGAGGTCTGGCTATTGTGCTACTTCTTTTTATAATTCCTCTAGAAAGTTTGCTTGGAAATTACATTGAAGATTGAGGAGGGTCTCTTGTTTATGAAATCCAAAAGTGCAGGACATATGGAGGAGACCAATTTTTTAAAGTAATTTCATGACTTGGTACAAGCTTTACCTTTTTTATCATATTTCCTGCTATATACAATTTATATGACACAAGAAGGGCTATTAAAGCTATTTTGATTATCAGCTTCTCTATGTATGCCTCTCCTCGAACCACAGACGAAGCAGGTACTTCTGGAGGAGCATTATGTTGCCTGTAAAATGGCAGAGGTAGTTCCAGAAGGAGGCAACGGACGGCTCCCTCATACCCTGAGCACTACCAGGGGTTAAGAGAGTCTTTTGCTGAAGTTTTTTGGTCCAAGCAGGTTCGGGTGAGTCTCCCCGAAAGATGTCGGCGTCACCATTTTTGATGACGTCATCAGAAAAGGGCGTTAGCTGGGATTAGTGCTTAACGCCACTGAAGCGCGAAGCTAATCCGTGTAAGGGTAGGGGCTGGAATAATCCCCTGGGACCCCTATAATTTTATCTCTCTCTTTTTTTTATCTCTCTCTATGTATGCGCTTAGCATTTTGAGTTTAATTTATCAAGAGCCAAGACCTTATTGAAAGTCAAGCGATATAAGAGGAGTGAATTGCGAAAGAGGCTTTGGAAACCCAGCCCCAGAAACAATGATCAGCTCTGTACTCTATACAACTCTTGTTGTTGAATTTTTGCATGAGAGAAAGCATTTATCAAAATATTTATTTTACGGCGGAACCATTGCCTTGCTTGTATTATTGGGATTTAGCAGGCTTTATCTAGGAGAAAACTATCCTCATCAAATAATTATTGGCTTATTTTATGGGTTTATCTATGTGACTCTATGCTTTGCATTTGATAAGCAAATTCTTAAGCTTTCTATTCAAAGCTGTTTTAACTGGACGAAAAATAGAAAAAATGTGTTCTATTGGTTTGCAGTCATTATGTTCATGCTTTTAGGGGCTGTTGCTGTGTTTGATGTCATTACTTTATCAAATAATGTTAGCATTGACTGGAAAAAAAATGCTTTAAAGCATTGTGATGCAAATTATTCTGTAGGTGGAGGAGCTTCATTTTATATGTCAAGCTGAATTTTTTACAACTTGGGAATTGTTTCAGGGAATATGCATTCTAGCAAAACTGTTACGCTATTTTGGTGGCACACAAACTGAATTAAAAGGTGGACGAGAGTTATAATCTCATCTGGATTATGTGTAGGGATCTATTTTCTATTCAGTAATTTATAATTAGACTTGATCCCAACTTATGATACCACTACCTCTTATGTATGAAAATATGTAATCCCAGAGTTTCTTATGGCCTACCTTTATACAGGAATTTTACCTATAATTTTCGTAAAATCCAAACTTGGGACCAATATCGCTGAAGAAGATGAAGATGAAGAATTAATGTCAATAGTCCAGCAGGACGATTAAATATATCATTAAGGCTTAAAATTTATTACACAAATAAAATGGCGACGACACCGACCCGTCCTCTCCCGGAACTGTGGCGAGATTGGGGACCTTGCTGCGGCCTGAAGCCAATCCGCCCAGGGAAAGGTCTGGAATGGGTGCTGGTAGTTTGTGTCCGGCTAGGTTTCCTCCCAGTCCAGCAATGACGATCCTAGGGTCGTCCCGATGGGACATGGGGCAAAAAGGGTTTTTCCTCTAGGGACCGCTAGTGCCAATTTGGAGGGCATGGCAGGAGCCGGCAAGAGCTAAGAAGTTAAACCTTAGCTCTAACCCTAGTCTGGCGCCGTGAAGCACGGTGACCCAGTCCGCCTACTTCCGGGATAGCATGACCAAGCCCCATGACCGGAAGGAGCTGAGTGGTAGCCTGTGGCACTTAGGTGTACACTGGGAGCAGGGCAAGGAAAGCAAGCGAGGCGTCCAAAAGGCGGAAGAAAAGGACCTTCGGTCCTGGCAGGGAGCTACTCTATAATTTTAACTAAGACTAAGACTAAGGCTTAAAATTTATTTATTTTAGCTGCTAAAAATTCTTCATGCTTAGAAAGCCATTTCAGCAGTAAATATGAGTCGTATTTATATATCACAGAAATAATACCTTTTAATCTGGCTTTATTTTCGTTATAACTATGAGTTTGAAAAATGATTTCGTCACAAACTCCGATAGTTGCTTGGTACCCAAATCTAGCTTTTGTTATTGCATATTGGTAATCCCATTGTCTTAACTTCATAAAAGCTCTAAATAGGGCATCAGGATTTTCAATACTAAGAAGGCTTTCTTCCTTGGCAGTAAGTTCTTCTTTACGGAGAGGTCTAGCATCAGGTTTTGTATCTGGAAAAGAATTTGTGATAGGGCAAGGAGGTTTATAGTCACTTTGAGGAGGGGAAGGACTGTAGTGGCATAATATAGGATTTTGATTGGGATACTGCCAAGCTTGCAAATGTTGGCTTGAGGGTTTTTGATGGGATAAAGGACGGCATCGAGGATCAGTATCTATAATCATTGGAAGTTCCATATTATTATTAGCCCCCATTTATTGCTTGATTATTTTATTAAAATTATTTATGCTATTTTCGATTTGCTTTCCTTAAATTTAGCAATTTTTTAACTTGCAATTATAATTTATATATTTGCTCTATTCTTAATATAAATGCTTAACTTAAAAATTAAAAAATTTCTATCATTCGTTGGTTAATTATCAAATGCAGATTTCATTTATTGTAAATTATGTGATTGATGGAATCTTCATGTTGCAATTCTTATCTGCGTACATTCTTGATCCACTAGCTCCAGATGCAAAATTGCTTGATATATAGAAAAAGCAGAGATGATCTATTTAGCAATCACATAGCTTAATATTATGATTCTAAAATAAAAGTTAAACTATATTTATTCGAGGCTTAGGCTTTAAAAAGTACACTAATTAATATGTATGATTTCCCTCAAAATAATTTATTATTAATTAGTATTAAATGTAAATAAGTTTGAAATCAGCTTAATCATTTATTCCTAAATAGCAACTCGCTACAAAAAACATTTTCATATTTTTATACTAAGTTCTCTAAGCAGACTAAATTAAAAAGCGGGCATTTCTAAACCAATTTATCAAAAAAATATCTAACTCCCCCCCCCCCCCCTCCGTGAGCGAACAAAACCATTAGAAAAATCGCCATTTTTGACCAAAAACCCACCCTCCGTGAGTGAACAAAAAAATTTTTTTAATAGAAAAAAATTTTAATGGAAAAAAATTTTGATATATAAGTGATAATTAGTATAATGAAATCTAGAGCTAATTCTGTTTAATTTTAAACAAATTGCGTTTTAAAACATAAATTTTGCAAATTAAATTAATATTTGCTTTCCCAATTTTTGCAAATTAGGATTTTTTTAAATTTCGAAAAAAATATTTTTTATAAAATTTATATATAAATTTTTTTTAAAAAAAAAAAAATTAACCCCCCTCCGTGAGCGAACAAAATTTTTTTGTTCGCTCACGGAGGGGGGGGGGGGAGTAAATGATTCTAGATAACCAATCCTCATTTTCTACCCTTAAAAACGTTTAATAGTAAAAATGCTTCTCCATAAATTTAAAGCCAACTCCTGTCAATGTCGAGATTCTATATCCCAAATAATCTCTCAACGATTTATGAAGCGAGTGAAAACAGCCATTCAAATACCTCAACTCTACTAACTGGCACATTCATTTTGAACAGCGTCGAAATACATGTGAGCAATCCAATCATCCAAGAAGACAGTCCTTTTTCAAGGCATGTCTTATATTTGGTTCATGGAGAAGACTCATCAGGACCTTTTGAGGTTCATCGAAGATATAGCGATTTTCAAACTCTTCGAACTCAGCTGCAGTTGAGATGGCCTGGATGCTTCATACCTCCAACACCTCCAAAAAAATACCTTGGAAATTTTTCTGCAACTTTTATTGAGAGTCGAAGATCTTTCCTTGAAATGTTTGTGGGAGAAATTTCAAAAATCAATTTCCTTTATACGTGTGAAGATTTCCAAAATTTTATAAGAGGAAAAGGTGACTATGAAAAGAGCATATACAATCAAAAACCATCCATAAGTGATTTAGCAATTGTCTATCAAAGTATTTTTAGTGAATTTGTTGATATTGGGATCAATGATGAGATGCTGGTCAAGATGCAGGAACATGAAAACTTTTTGAAAGCAAATTTGAGTAATTTGAACGCTTTTAAAAAAAATGCGAAAAATATTTATTTACATGCTGATAGCTTGAATATGCAATGGATGAATTTAAACGAGAAAATCAAAGAAATTGAAGGAGAGTATATTAAGAAAATGAAGGAAAATCAAGAAAATCAAAAAATTAAGCCTATAGAAAGGCATAATCCTTTCAGAGAATTGTATGAGTGAGCAAAGCTGGAAGTCATGAACGTAAATGCTATGATTGAGACAATACAAACCAAGCATGAATACAATGCGCTCAGGCATGTGAAACAAAAAGAATTTAAAAAGGCTACAAAAAATATAGTGAAAACCGATGAGCCAATTTCTGGAACTGAATATGTCCAAAAATTCGTAAACAAGCTTACTAACTCTCCCCCCCCCCCCCCTCCGTGAGCGAACAAAAAAATTTTGTTCGCTCACGGAGGGGGGTTAATTTTTTTTTTTTAAAAAAAATTTATATATAAATTTTTATAAAAAATATTTTTTTCGAAATTTAAAAAAAATCCTAATTTGCAAAAATTGGGAAGCAAATATTAATATTTAATTTGCAAAATTTATGTTTTAAAACGCAATTTGTTTAAAATTAAACAGAATTAGCTCTAGATTTCATTATACTAATTATCACTTATATATCAAAATTTTTTTCCATTAAATTTTTTCTATTAAAAAAAATTTTTGTTCACTCACGGAGGGTGGGTTTTTGGTCAAAAAATGGCGATTTTTCTAATGGTTTTGTTCGCTCACGGAGGGGGGGGGGGGAGTAAGAGATCTGAAGGTAAAATCAGCATATTGGGTAAAGAAATTGATGATTTAGAGTTAATATTACATATCATTACTGTGCGGCTTTGCGAAGAAGAAATTCCAAATTTTAAGGCTGCGAGAACTAAAGAGTTTGAAAGAATGGTTGAAAAGTACTCAAAAATTATTAATGAAGGATTTAATAATATTTCTGGTAAAGATTCCCCTCTCCTAATGAAATTTGAAGAAGAGCTTACCTTTAGCAATGCTCATTAGCTTGATAGCCTGCTATCATTGTGCTTTTGCATACAATAATTAATTTTTCTAATTTATTTATAATTATTATATAATCTCAAATAATTAACTCGGAAATAAAGAATTCAAAATTCCTTATTTGTTCAAAATTAGAGCATTAGCTAATCTGTATTTTAGATAATATAATCGAATATTTTTCAGCACAGTATATATTAATTAAATGCATAAAATTCAAGTGCTTTTTTTAATTTCAGCTGAAATTTTTGTTTCAAAAGATACACAGATATAAAGCTCTGTGCAGATTTTGGTTCTGGCGATTGTTATTTTTAATATCGTTTAAAAAGTTGAGAAATTTCACAAATTAATAATAATGTGCCTATTTTCAATGGATAAAAACACACGATGCTAATTAACTGTTTTCCTGCTTACTATGTAAAAATATAATACGGTTATTATTATAAATGATCATATTCGCTGAATATGGGTATAATAATTATGGGTCTCGGATCATATAGCACACCTGTACATCAGTATAGCCAAGCTATTTCCGGTGAAGAAAAACCCGGAGAAACTCCAATTTATGTAAGTCCTTTAGCAAAACCATATCTTTACACTCCCTTACTCCCCCACCCTTCTCTCTGTGTGCGAAAAAAATTATTGGAAAGTGTCTATTTTTGGTAAAACCACACCCTCTATAAACGAACAAAATTTTTATAAAAAAATATGATGGATTGATGGTTAGTATAATGAAATCTCTAGCTAATTTTTTCAAATTTAAACAGCTTCAATTTAAAACATAAATATAGCGTCTGCATCGCTATAGCGTGCCTTGCACAGGTTCTCCACACCAGCTTGGAGCTCAGACAAGCCACCTAAAGGTGGCAATCCAAGTTGACAAATCCTTGCAAAAGGGCACGCTTTTGCCAACTTGGAGTTGACTTGGCACCTTTAGGTGGCTCTTCAGAGTTCCAAGTTGGTGTGGAGAACCCTGTGCAAGGCACGCTATAGTGATGCAGACGCTATATCGCAAGCTAAATTAGTTTTGCTTTCCAATTTTTGGGGAAAAAATTTACTATAAAAATTTAAACCCCATCCGTGAATAAACAAATTTTTTTGTTTTATTTTGGAAATAGGGATGCTAGAAACAGGAGCCACAACTTTGTATCAAAATTTTCAAGTGAGTGTAAAAAATCATGGAGAAAAGCCATTCCTAGGGACACGTAGAGTAAAAAATGACGGCTCTTATGGAGAGTATATATGAAAGACCTATGACGAAGTATCAGAGCTTTCAATGAAAATTGGTTCGGGACTGCATGCTCTAGGTCTCACAGAGAAAAATGATGAAAATTTGTCAATTTTAGGGATTTATGCAAAAACTTCTGAAGAATGGATGATTACAGATATAGCTGCAATGAGTCAAAATATTACTATTGTTCCGATTTATGAGGTTCAACAGCCTGAAACAATTAGATTTATCATTAATCAGACCCAAATGAAGGCTGTGGTCTGCTCTGTCATGCAACTTGAAAAATTAATGTCAATAAAAGCAGATGGAAGTCTACCAAGTTTAAGGATTATTATTGTGTTTCCTGAAATTAATGAAGACATAAAAGCTAGATGTTCAAGCATAGGAGTTGATGTTTATAGTCTCCAAGAAGTTGCAAATCTGTCCCAGGAAATTGTGGAATCTCCTCCAAAGCAAAGCGACGTTTATACAATTTGCTATACAAGTGGCACCACAGGGAGGTCAAAAGGTGCAATAATCACCCATTCAAATGTGATTGCTACCATCGCTGGGATTTCTGCGTCTGGGTTTTTATTTAATCCAAATGACAGTCATTTATCATATTTGCCATTAGCCCATATGCTCGAAAGGCTTATTTCTCAGATGATAATTTTCTATGGGGCAAATATAGGCTTCTATTCAGGTGATGTGAATAATATAAAAGACGATCTATCAGCTCTCAAGCCGACGATTTTTGTATCAGTTCCCAGACTTTATAATAGATTTTATGACCTTATGATTCAGCAGTTCAATAATATGACAGGGATTAAAAAATTCATAGCTGACAGAGCGTTGGCGTGAAAAATGTCAAGCTATCATACAGATGGAAGCGTAAGCAATAGGTTCTGGGATACCTTGGTTTTCAACAAAATCAGAAATAACTTACTCCTCCCATCCTTGATCGAACGATTGACTGTAAAAATTCCTAAAAATTGGGAAAATTAACGCCCATCCTTGATCGAACGATTTTCATATCATCCAAATTTTAATATATGTAAAAATATCTTTAAAAATTTAAAATTTTTAATTCAATAAGGAACAAATTAAAATTTATACATTTTAAAGGGGTGGCCAATAAATCGAAACATTAAAAATTGGTATTCTTATGAAATTAATTCAATTTTTTGCTGTTAAAACAATTACTAAATACTCTTAATATTTAAAAGTAAATAAAAAAACAAAAAACATATTTTTTTTTTTTATATATATAAATTTTTTTCTCAAAATTTTTTTTTAACCCCATCCTTGATCGAACGTTGGCGAGCCGTTCGATCAAGGATGGGGGGAGTTAGGCGGAAGGGTCAGATTCATGCTTACAGGCTCAGCACCTATTTCTGGAGAAGTTTTAAGCTTTTTGAGGGTAGCATTTGCATGCCCAATTGTTGAAGGCTACGGACAAACTGAATCTTGCGCTGGAAGCATGGTTACGCGCCCTACAGATAATGAATGTGGGCATGTAGGTGGTCCTTTACCTTCTTTAGAGGTAAAACTTGTCGATGTACCTGATATGAAATATCTATGCACTGATACAGATGAAACTGGAACATCAGCCCCTAGAGGAGAAATTTGCATAAGAGGGCTTACAGTCTTTAAGGGTTACTATAAAGAGCCTGAGCACACTAGCGAGGCTATTGACTCTGAAGGGTGGCTTCATACAGGTGACATAGCAACAAGGCTGCCACATAATGGCGCCTTTAAAATTATTGACAGAATAAAAAACTTCTTTAAGCTTGCGCAAGGTGAATATGTGGCAGTAGAAAAAATAGAGCTGATGTATACCAAAAGCAAATTTATCAGTCAAATCTTTGTATATGGGGATTCATTCCAATCGTTTTTGGTTGGAGTGGTGGTCCCTGATGAAGAATATATAAGAAATTCATGGTTAGGGGAGCATGGAATTAGCCCTGATACGCCATTTGATGTCATCTGCAAGAGAAAAGACTTAAAACATGATATTTTAGAAGATATGAAAAGAATTTCTAATGAAGCTGGGCTGTTTGTTATTAACATTCATTACTCATTTAGATTATTATAAAAAAGCTCCCGACCAGCAAATTGCTTTTCATATCCCTTACTTCATGATCGATTGGCCAAGCGAATGCCTCTAGCCTTGCTGGAATGTCCCTTTCCAACTTCCAAGTTCTATCCTCCCTCAAGATAAAACCTTGCCCTGATGCGAGCTTCCGGTCGGCCAGCCCGATGATGCGCTCAACCAGACCTATGAAACCCGCCACTCACAGTACTCTGCTCTGCCTTCCACAAAGTCCCTAAACTCCCATCTGGCTGCAGGTGTTAAGAGGGCAGGTAAGCTCTCCACACTATTTTTATATATGCTTGGTTATGAGCAAGTAAGAAAAATTCATCTGGAGCCAATTCCTTGGAGCACTGATGATTTGATTACTCCAACCCAAAAACTGATGCATTTTAAGGCAAAACTTAAATATCAAGACGTAATAGCAGAACTTTATTCTTAAGTAATGCATTAATTATGGCAAAATTACATTCAGCATGGCTCTGCGATCTGTTGGGAATTATCCTTTTCACCAATTGAATTCTGTCTAAATGATATTGAGCTTGCTTTCCTCCTTTCGCTGCTTTCTCTTGCTTGCTCTTTTTCCCACCTCTTTTTCCTTTCATAATTCATCATTAATTGATCCCAAACTGCTTTGTTTACGACCCCATTCACTAACATTCCCGCTTCTTCCTGGAACCTTTTAACTAAGGCTTCAGTTTTTTTCCCATAAATTCCATCAGCTTTATGCCTCGTCCCAAGGGAGCTATTAAGTGCAGCTTGTAGCAGTTTGACGTCATCAGGGTCGTTTTCTGGTTTTAATAAGGAAATGTTGTTTTTAAATGGTGGGATTTGAATCATTTGGCGCTCTGACATTTCATTCATAAAACTTTTCATGAGTTCTCTGTGCTGGGAGTCTTTTGACTGGATTTCAATAGGTGAGGTATTTCCGCTAGAAAAGGAAGGGCTAGGAATTTCATGAGAGGAGAATTCCCGTATGATATTTTCAAAGCTGCTGTTTCGAGAGCCCATCCCAGAGCTTATAGGAGTGTAAGCTGTTGAGTCATCGTGAATGTGCTCAAGCTTTTCTCGGATTACCGATGCAATTTTGGAGATAAAAGAAGGCCGAAGATTAAATGCTGAAGCCATTTCTTCAGCTACTCCTTCAGGAGTGTCTGCATGAAGGTTAAAAACAAAATCCAATTTTATAGGAGAAACTTTGCCAGTTGCGGCATCTCTGTTTCCGATATTGATTGAGATTTTTATTTCTGTGTCCTGCGGCTCTTGCGGAGCATTAGCGAACTGTATGATATCAGGACGATGCACATTTTTTTTATTTTCATTGATGACTGTTCGACTCATATTTTCTGGTATTTCTTTTTCCTTCCCTACATGACTTTGGATTTCTTTTTCTTTCAAGGTCTCTTTGGTTTTTGATAAAGTTGCAGGCTTTTCCCTCACTGAACTATTTTTTTCCTCTTTTTCATTATTTTTTGGCATTGAATGAGGAGACTCGTTTTTTATTTCTTCATAATCTATATGTGGAAGAATTTCTGGGGTTTTGTGCTCAAGGTTTTCTTCAGATTTCAGCGCAATGGGGTGGTGGACTCTTTCATCATTTTCATCAATAAATAGAAATGGATGATCTAATAGTTCTTGCGCGTATGGTCTTTGGTCAACAGGAGCTAGACAGAGCTCAATAAATTCTTTTACTTCTTTGTCAGCAATTCTTTCAAGGACGAGTGGCTTAATTCCGTTCGTGACTTTTCTATAGACTTCAACAGGAGTCTTGCATTCGGAATATGGAATTGCGTGGGTGCACATTTCGAGTAAGCACAAGCCGAATGAGTATATGTCGACTGTCGGGCCATATCTTTCTTCGAATAGCTCAGGAGCCATGTATTGAGGGGTTCCAAGAACAGTCTTATTGTGAGAGGTCCTCATAAAAGTGGATAGACCTAAGTCGCCGATTCTGATATCTCCAGTGCTTGAACTTACGAAAATATTGTCGCATTTTAGATCTCTGTGAATGACTGGGTAAGGTTTCTGTGAGTGCAAATAATGGAGCCCATTCAAAATATCTCTGCATCATTGTTTAATGACCCGAAGATGTGGAGATCTGATTTTTTTCAAATATTGCTTCAAAGAGCCACCTGTCATGATTTCAGTGATAAATATGACTTCTTCTCTTTCTTTATTGTGCCATGCTTTGATAAAATGTATGATATTTGGGTGCATTAATTTTTGAATCATCATAATTTCGTCTCGAACTTTTTCTTTCTCGATTTTGCTCATTCCTCCAGTTTTAACAACATTTCACGCGACTTCGCAGCCGGTATCATTGTCAATAGCTCGGTATACTGTTTTATACGCACCACTGCCTATTTCTTCATTGAACTAAATAAAGGGTACTCGAGAAAAGCGGCCTTTTGGAGAGTCTTCTACGATTTTGTAGTGAGTCTCTTTGATTTTGTTGAGGTCTTCTTCGTTTTCGCCTTCTTCTTGGCTTTTCATTTTTAGGGTTTATTATAAAAATAATTCTACTTGATATCGTGACATAATTTTCTTGACACCTACAGAGAACACCCGGTCCTAAATCCTTGGTGTATGCCGGCGTGAATTTGTTTCGTGCCTCAGGGAGCTAATCCCTGGGACATAAGTTTTTACCTCCAGAGACTCTTGGAAAGCATATAGTCAGTGAAAGTTAAGATGGGTAGAGCGATAACACTCCCTACAGATTCCTAGACGGCATGTGCCTAGCATGATACTGGGAGTTATGTCCCTGGGGATCAGTCCTTAAGGGTTTCAAACCAGAATTTCAATCCGCTTGCGCAAGACTCTCCTGTGTCTGAGGGACATATGTCTGCCGAGGCTCCTCTGGATGATGAGCATGCATGGGGCAAATCATTGGCCCGTGCTGTAAAGGCGAACGTAGTAAATTATAGTGAAAACACTATGTAGCACGGGGATTTTTTGGCTGGAACTTGAGCCAAAAAAGCCCCGTGCTACATAGTGTATTTCACAATAATTAATAAGAATAACTCAGCACTACCATGTTTGGTGGCCTCAGGCTTAACGAATGATTTTTTTAGTATGTTGATATGGATATTAAAGATAAAAAAAATTGTTAAAGCATATTCTAATGATCGATCAGCACTGCTATTATAAAAATATTTTCTTTCATATGGAAAATTCTTTTAATTATAAATAGAGATAAATTCTTAAAATCTTTTAACTGCGTTTAATAATTTATCCTTACAAATCGACTGCATTTTTGATGTTTACATCTGCCAAAGAGATTATATCATTTTTGGATAAAATATTGATATGAACAAAAAATGAATATATAATTGGTCGCAACCAATCATTAAATTCCAAAAAATTATTCTTCCATTTTAAAAATTAGCTATAATTTTATGAAAATATAGCTTGTTCCCGGCTATAGATCGAGCTATGCCCAATCTTTGCCGGGACACTTGAGGAGTTGTCTGCGTCAATTTTGGGTGATGAGTCAACTCCCCGAGTTGGCAAATAGCCAATATATAGTGATTTGCCAACTCGGGAGTTAACTCGTCACCTCGAAGTGGCGCAGACTACCCCCGAGTTTCCCGACAAAGATCGGGCATAGCCCGACCTATAGACGGGAACGGGCTATACTTATTTTTTCCTTTATTTCAATAAAAAACAATAAACTAATATATCTCTGAAAACGTATTTATTTAATATATTTTACCTTTATAGTATAGCGCGTTCTCCCATATAGATTTTCAAGGAAAATGCCTTTCAAAGAAGAAAATTATTTTGAAATTCCAAAAAGCCAAATATCAATTTAAAAATGTCATTATATATGTCCTATTTCCCAATTTGAAAATTGAGTTTTCCGATTTTCCTTAATTTTAAAATTTAAATTTTTTATATAAAAGCACTTGTCCTCAGGGATCTAAAATGAGGCTTGTGCTATAACTAAAACTTAAAGTTTATACTTGGAGATTCCTCCACTAGGTCCTCAATCATATCCCCAGAAATATCGTTTCCTTCTAAACTAAGTGTCTTGATGTGCTGCAATTTCTCGATATTGTCTAAAAAGTGTTTTGCACCTGCATCTCCAATTGCATTCTGTGATAAGAAAATGGTTTGCAAGTTCGGCATGGCAACAAATGCAGCAATCAAAAATTTGATCTTCTCGGGGCCGATTTCGTTTTCAGTTAGGCTGATTGTGTTGAGTTTTTGCAACTTTGGAAGGTCCTTGGCTAAAATTTCTGCGCCTTGAGGTCCGATACCATTAATATGGAGTTCTAATGTTTGCAATGATTCAAGCTTAGCAAATGCTGTGCAAAGGTGATGAATTCCATCAGAGCCCAGATTATTATCAGCTAAAGATAAATACTTCAGCTTGCTCAAACTTTGAATTGGCTTTGCAAGATCTTTAATTCCTTCAGCTCCCAGCCTAGCCTTTCATAGATTCAGACTATTAAGGTTAGAAAAAGACGGGAGAATTGTGGCCAGATGCGAATGATTGGTGCAGAGGTCAATAAATTTCAAGTCAATAGTAAAAATCTGCTGATCCTCATGGGCGAAAACAGCTTCGTATAAAGTTTTGATTTTTCGGTTCATGCCTTGCTGGGCGATAAAGTAAGACTGGAGGTCTGATAACTCGGTGTTATTAGCAGAGATGAACGTTACTCTTTCGTGCGTGTCAGATGCTTTTTCTTTCGGCTTAATTGTTGATGATGATTGTCGCTTACCTGATCCACATACACTTCCCATTGTAACAAATTAATAGAATACGTATTTAGCTGATGCAAATATATAAACAATCATAGATAAATTTATTATTATAATTCAGTAACAGTTTTAGCTTTTTGTCTTTTAAATAATGGCGAATAAAAATCTTTAGGTGCAAAAGGCATTATATTCTATGAAAAATTCTGAGGAATTTCACCTGCATTTTTAAGGTTTTTGTGGATAATATTTTATTGAAAATTTAAAATTGGCAGTTGCTATGTGTTTAAGAAATCGCTTTTTAAGATAAAACAGTCATTAGCGATAATTAATAAATAAATAATATTTAAGATTTACTATGAGCTACTACAATTATATATGAGTATGCCTGCCATGAGGGGCGTCAGAGCCCGAAAAATCTGAGCCGCTTTCAGAAATACTTGAGCTGGAATCGATCTGATCCCTTGAGTTCGCTATAGAAGCTTCACTATTCTCACTCATGCATTCGCAAGAGCATCCGCTTGATCTGGAACTATGCGAGCAGTCACAGGACGGGCAATGACTATCTTGTGAGACTTGTGAGCTTGATCTGCTCTCCCAGGACCTATCAGAGCTCTCTTCCCATTTTGGGGAATCTTGATAAGACCTTCTAATATCTTGTTCAGACTTATAAGTTGGGAATCTGTCATCAGCTCTTGACTCGAATTGTCTATGGTCATAAGCTCTTAATGCAACCTGTCTTGAATCAATTTCTTTATCTTCATCAATAGGCTGCTCAAAGTCTTCAGACTTCCTAAGCTGCTCTTCGTATATTGGCTCATAAGCCCTTGTCCTTGGCTCTTCTAAGCGAGGCTCATAACCTCTTATTCTTGGCTCTTCTAAGCGAGGCTCATAACCTCTTGTTCTCGGCTCTTCTAGCCGGGGTTCATAAACTCTTGCTCTTGGTTCTTCGTAGATTGGCTCATAAGCTCTTTGTCTTTGATCCTCTATGTGTGGCTCATAGTCCCTTGCTTCGGCTTGCCGGGATTCAAACTGTCTTGGCTCTTCCATCCTTGGATCATAGCTTCTTGATTCAATATGTCTTGTTTCTAAGTTTCTAAAACCTTCTTCTCTTGGCTCATACCCTCCTCTAAGTTCGGTTTTTCTCGCCTCAAAATTAGGCTCAAATCCTCTGGAGTCAAACCCTCTTGAGCTTCTTTTTTCAATTTCTTTTAGTTCTTGCTCTCTTTGCTTTATAATGGTGTCCATTTTGAGCCTATGTGCTCTTTCTCTAGCAGCTGAAATTTCTTCGCTTTCTTTATTCAATTGCAACCGTAGCTGATTAAAAGACTCTCTTTGGTCTTGTAGAGCCCTTTCTTCATTCCCTCTTACTCCCCCCCCCCCCTCCGTGAGCGAACAAAAAAATTTTTGTTCGCTCACGGAGGGGGGTTAATTTTTTTTTTTAAAAAAAAATTTTATATATAAATTTTATAAAAAATATTTTTTTCGAAATTTAAAAAAATCCTAATTTGCAAAAATTGGGAAGCAAATATTAATTTAATTTGCAAAATTTATGTTTTAAAACGCAATTTGTTTAAAATTAAACAGAATTAGCTCTAGATTTCATTATACTAATTATCACTTATATATCAAAATTTTTTTCCATTAAAATTTTTTCTATTAAAAAAATTTTTGTTCACTCACGGAGGGTGGGTTTTTGGTCAAAAAATGGCGATTTTTCTAATGGTTTTGTTCGCTCACGGAGGGGGGGGGGGGAGTTAGCGCTTTTTGGAATGCTGCCCTTTCTTTGATTTCTTTTTCTTTAAATTCCAAATCCTGCTGTAACTGCCGTTGCATTCTTCTTTCTTCTTCTATTTTCAGTAGCATTTCTTGTAGCTGCTTTTCTTCTTCAATTCCTTTTATTTCAGTCATATGCCTCATTTCGTTGACTTTATCATTTAATATTTTTCTTTCTAGCTCTTTTTCTAAGTCTTCAATTTCTTTTCTGTTCCTCTGCATTTCGTATTTTTGCTTTTCTTTTTCTTCTTCCAAAACTCTTAGCCTTTCATCAGTTTTCCTCTGCGCATATTCTTTTTCTTCATTTAATAAATTTTCGAAATATTTTTCTTCATGTTCTCTTACTCCCTCTCCGTGAGCGAATAAAAAATTTCTCTTACGGAGAGGTTAATTATTTTTAAAAATTTATATATAAATTTTATAGAATTTTTTATTTGAATAATTTTAAAGTAAATATTTAAAATTTATGATTTAAAATACAAGTTGTTTAAAATTCAACAAAATTAGCAAGAGAGATTTCTTTATAATAATTATCACATATATAACAAAATAAAATTTTTGTTTGCTCACGGAGGGGGAGAGCTAGCAATTCTTGTTTTCTCTTCATCGATTGTATTTGATCTTCATGTCTCAACAATTCTTCTTCTGAAACTTGTCTAATCCTTCTTTCCCTTTCAATATCCTGCCCTTTTAGCTCCTTTTCAAGAATTGTAATGTGCTGCTGAATTTCGACTCTTCGCCTATCATTATAGTCTGATAAGGTTTGAAGTTCTTTTTGTTTATTTTCACGCATAATTTCTAGTTTTAGCCTACGCTCTTCATCATCAATATGCCATTTATTCTGAGTCAGCCTGTCTTTCATTTCTTGCTCACGCTCCCAATTTTCTGTATCAAGTCTAAGCTTTCTCATAGACTCTTCGCCAGCTCTAACTCTCATCAATTCTAGTAGCCTTTGAGTCGCTTTAAATTCAAGAAGACTCAAGGCTTCTTCTTCAGTACGGTTTTGCATGTAATATCGATCTTCTTCTTGCTTTCGGGCAATTTCTTCTTCAAGTCTTCTTAATTCTTGCTTTCTGATCTGCTCTTGGTGACTTAATGAACTTTCAACTGTATTCTCAATTTTTTTAATTTGATTGAGCCTTTTTTCTCTGATTTCTCTATCTAATTTAAGCTTTTCTTGCATCCTAACCTGGTCTTCAATAGCTGCAGCTTTTCTTCTTTCATATTCTGCAAGAAGTAAAGCTTCCTGTTCTTTTCTAAATTGAGACTCTTGCTCTTCCAGCATGGTTAGTCTTTCGTTGATTCTTTCAATATGTTCATTCTTTTGAAGTAGCTCATTCTCTTCTAATAAAAGCCTTTCTCTTACCTGAGCTTTATATTGGACAGAAAAGTCAGGATAGTTAGTGAATAATGGATACTCTCCGATTGGCAATGGAATCCTAACTTCAAAATTCGGGATTATTATATTTTCCCTATTATCATACAGCCTCAAAGCACCTTTTACGAGCTTTTGTATATTTATAGGATTTTGGCGATGCAGAAAATAATTAAAATCTTCATTAGAATTTATAGTCATAATTGTAGGCCGGAAGTACATGAAATACTCTGCAGCAATAAAAATAAGGAGGTCTGGCTTGGATTTTTCACAAAAAATATGATCCATTAGAGATATAAACTCCTCTCTAGTCATGACTTCAGTAAACACATTTTTAAGCACAGGCCAAATATAGCTGCTGCAATTAACTCCTAAATTTCTGATATGCTCGAATAATTTGATATCATTTTTTTTAATCACGTCTTCGATTGCAACTAAATACTTTATTGGTGGCTCAGGAAAGTTTTCAAACCAATGCTGAAACCAGTATAAAATAAGAGAAACAGTGATTTCAAAGGTTATTAATGGATCTCCATTGGAAAGCTTTAAAAATGGAAATACTATTGAAGGCATAAAATCTGCTTCGCCTAAAGCAGGACACCAATATGAAAGAGCGCTCATTACAACTGATAAAGGACTAATAAGGCTTTTTTCTTTTAGTGGAAACCTTTTTTCTAAACTAGATTGAGAAGGATGTAGACCTCTGCTTTTTAGTCTTTCAAACTCGTTTGAATTCGATGGCAAGTTTAATAGGTTGCTTCATATAGCGATTCTATGCTTTTCTGGGAATTCTCCATATTGAGATAGCATTTTTTTTAATGCAGGAAGTTTAAATGTGACTTCATTTGCGGGCTTTAGGGCGATTAAAGGTTTTATATCTTGGGCATCTTGATTATCTTTTTTATCAGAGCTTTTGGCAAGATTAGGGGAAATTCCGATATCAAGTCTCTTTTTTGTTTGAGATTGGCTACTTGCCAGCAAAACGTTTATATCGTAAATCACTACATTCCCATTTGCTAACTCCCCCCCCCTCCGTGAGTGAACAAAAAAATTTTGTTCACTCACGGAGGGGGGTTAAATTTTTTTTTTTTTTAAAAAAAATTTATATATAAATTTTCTAAAAAATATATTTTTTTTCGAAATTTAAAAAAATCCTAATTCGCAAAAATTGGAAAGCAAATATTAATTTAATTTATAAAATTTATGTTTTAAAAAGCAATTCGTTTAAAATTAAACAGAATTAGCTCTAGATTTCATTATAATAATTATCATTTATATATCAAAATTTTTTTTTTTCATAAAAATTTTTGTATTAAAAAAAATTTTTGTTCACTCACGAAGGGTGGGTTTTTGGGCAAAAAATAGGGATTTTTCTAATGGTTTTGTTCACTCACGGAGGGGGGGAGTAAGACTCCTGACAAAAGTCCATTTCCACTAGTCTCAAAATTAACCATTGCATCAATATTTTCAATTTTCGTTTCAATTTTGCTGGTTTTCACATTAATCAAATAAAATTGTCCGTTTCCTCCAATGCATGCAATGATGTCTCCTCTCAGCCAATCTAGTTTCACAATCCCTCTCAGCTCTGCTGGAAGCTTTAACGCCCAGCTTTCTTGTTCTGGATTTTCAGACTTCCACACGTGCAAATTCCCAGATTTCCCAACCCCAATAACCAATTCATAGTCGCTTGAAAACGTAAACCCAAGTGGCTCATTTTCATTCATAATAAACTTCCTCACAAGTTCATAACTGTTTAAGCTTCATTCAAAAATTATCCCATCTACAAAGCACGTCAATATTGACTGCATATTTGGGGCAAATTTTCCTGCTATAAAAGCAGCCGCCTGTGCATACAGTGATCTTACCCTTGTCCATGTTTCCACATTCCATATAATGCAGCTATCTGAGCTTATAGAAAGTAGCAGCTTTTTGACTGAATTTACACTGATTCCGATAACAGGCCCGCGATGGCCTCTGAGACTGCTTACTAATCTTCCTGTTAACTGATAAATTTCTATGTTTTTTGTTGACATCCCTACTGCAATTTCATCAGGCTGTCCTGGAATTATAGCGAGACTGGTTGGAGAAACGCAGCCTCTTATTATAGTGGAAAATCAGTTTTGGGAAAAGTTAAAGAGTGTTATAGTTCCTTTTGAATCTCCGATAAGAGCAATGTCGCCTGAAATATTGAAGGTAGATTGCTTTGCGAGAGCGCGGGGCTTTGTAATTGAAAAATCGATCAAAACTTTGAGACCTGATGATGAAGTCTGAGTTTTTGTGTTCCAAATCCTGCCTGAAGACGCATTAAGCGCGAGGTTTAAAGCCATTTTGAAAATATGAAGGTATCACTTGTGTAGAGATTATAGAGATTTAATTAAAATATTAGCTTGCATTAATTGCTTCAAATAAGCTTGGCTATTAGTTATATAAGAGCATTTAATAGAACACTCATATGATTAGATTTATATTATAAGCAATCCTTTATATATAGATTATAAAGGAAATAATTGTTTAAATCAGTTTTTTAAAAATAATTTTCTAAACCCATGAGAGAAAAAATTAATAAAACCATTTTCTTATGAGTTCCTGGAAACAACTCTTAAAAGAAGAAAAGCTCAAATGAGACGTGGTTTCTGATGAAAAGGTCACCCCTACTTAGCTTTTTACCCAGCTTGAGTCTATGGCTGAGCATATAATCCAGCGCAGTACTCAGCTTAAATGGGATCTCGATACCCTTGCTAAAGACACAACAGCAGCTTCAGTCCAAGTAAGCAGTGTCTTGAACACTCTCGCAAACTTAGCTTCCTCCCAATTCGTTGCAAACGTAATAATCATTCAGAGTATCTCCGAAAGAGAACCAGAAAAACTTGACCAAAAAATAGCAGAGCAGCAAACTCCATCATCCTCAACCACTTTGACTCCTGCCAAAACTCTACGAGATGCTAGAATGGAAAAAGTTCACTCACAAGAGGTGAGGGAAAACAACTTGCTGCCTAAGCATATACAATCAGTCAAACTCGGGATCGCAGGGCTAAAAGTTGACGATTTACTGAAAGAAAGCAAAGATGAAGACGCTATAAGTACCACGACGCTAGGAAGCCAGATTTTCAGAGGGACGGTAAAGAAGCTTCCACACGTGTATGGAACCTCGTTTTTCTTTAATGACCCATGGATTGGACTTTATGAAGAAAATGAGCAAGTCTTAGACGGAATGGATGAAATCCCTACAGATTCAACACCTATCAAAACTCCTGATAGAACTCCTAGTCAGTCAGTGTCAGGTTCAACAGCTCCTCCAATTCCTCCACCATTACCAAAAACAACGCCACCTCCACCGCCTCCAATGACTGGAACAGTTCCTCCACCCCCACCTCCACCACCGCCACCTCCACCACCAGCTCCTCCTGCAATGGTGCCTCCACCAATACCTCCACCTATTTCCAAACCCCAAACACAGTCTCAGACTTCCGCTCCAAAGCCTCCAAGTGTTGGAACTTTCCAGCAAGGTCTTGCAGCAACCCTAGAGCACCGTCGTCAAATCATTGATGGAGAAGTCAAAGGCGATTTAAGTGTAAAGGACACTCTTATTAGTGAAAGTGAAGTGTTAGGCCTCCCAACTCCTAAAGTTTTCAATACTTTTTCACATCCTGCACCTTCACAGCCTGTAGAGCGAAGCGTGAGCACTAATGAAGCCCCTAAAAAGAAGCCAGAAGAAATGACGATGGAAGATAAGCGAAAACAATTGGCAGGAATTTTTGGAGGCGCGCCAATAATGAGACCACCTCCTCCACCTCCTGTCAAGGAAAACCCACCATCAGTGGCAACCCAGCCTGTAATGCCTCAAATTAGCAAGCCTCCAACTGCTCCAAGCCCTCCTTCAGTTACTCCACCTAAACAGCCAACTCAAAAAGCACCTGCAAAACCTGCACATAAAAATGGCGTGGAGAGTCAACCTGCCCCTTTTTAACACCTGCAACTAGAGGAAGTCTGGGGACCTTGTGGAAGAGAGCTGTACGCGGTGAATGTACTGGCTGGGTTTTGTTTGGTCTGGTGGAGCGTAATGTATGGCAGCCGACCAAGAGCTCACATCCTGGGCAAGGTTTAACCCAGAGGAGGATGGAAATTGGAAGTTGGAAAGGGATCGCCTAGCAAGTACAGCGGGCTTTCGCTTGGCCCAATCGTGCATTTCCCAGTGCAATGTCAATAGTTGTGCCGAGCTAGAAGTTTCTTCTCGGTCGATAATCTGACCAGAAAATTTCATTTTGGAATTTTTTAGGGAAAGGTAACTTGTATGACGTCGACATAGTGATCCAGCATCTTTACCTCCGGCTTGTGAGTGATGGACCTCGTCCGGAGGAGCAACACAAGCCCTAGGCTGTGAAATTAGACTGGCGATCAAGGGAGTGGTGCGGAACATGGACGCGGAAAGCCGGTTAGCTGGCTGGGAGCTTCTCTGTAATATTTTAATGAATGAGTGCCTGCTAAGCCAGTAGAAGAAGAGGAAGAATCTTCGTTATTCAGACCTTCTAGGCCTTCTACCCAGAACCAGAAGAAGTTTGCAGGTATTTTTGAAGATACACAAGAGGAAAGTAAGCAGCCAAAAGCAAAGGACTCAAAAAGAGCAATGAATATGTTTAAATTTATAGAAGAAGAAGATGAAAATACAATTGACGTTCTTCTTAATTCAGAAATTGCCAAAGGAAAGCTCAAAGGAAAAGAAGACAACCCGTTCATGTTTAAACAGCCAGAGCCGAAAGCTCCAGAACCTCCAAAAGAAGATAATCCTTTCATGTTTAAAGCTCCAGAGGCTTCACAAGAAAAACCTAAAAAACCAATAACCATTGAGCCGGAAGAGAAGAAGAGCGTGGAAGCTTCTCCTAGCCCTGAAAGACCAGCAGAAGAAACCAAGGCTCCAATGCCTCCGTTTCCATTTGGAATGAGGCCACCTCAGCCTCCAAAAGATACCCCCGCAGAAATTAACGTTGATATCAATATGAATAAACCTATCCGATTTGGAAGGCAAGCTTCTTCAGCCAAGAAATTTGATGAGTTTGAAGAAGATGTCAAGCCAGCTGTAACTGAAGAAAAGCCAAAAGGTAGGCCGAGTCTGTTTGATGAAGAAACTGATTACCCCCCGAACCGTCCTTCTAAAATGAAGTCAATATTCGATGAAGACGAAGACTCACCTAAAGGAGGGAAAAAGCCTTCATTATGGGATTAAGCTAATTCTATACCAGTTTATTACAATTGGATTTATTTCCTATTTGCAACGCTCATTTGTATTAGAATATAGTAATAGCTTTAAGCAATTTATTGAAAGTAGACTATACGAGCCATAATTATAAAATGGAACTTCATCACATCCCAGTTGCATATTACGATGAAGCAGGGATCTGGCCTTTATTTTCAAAAGAAATTATTGACAGGACTCCCATACCTGGAGCCACTTTTTCGACTTTCCAGGGAGAAATCCCTCTTCCGCCATTAAACATCAGGTTTATTAAGCATGAAGAAGCCTATTGGGAACCCAAAATCGAAGATGCCTTTCTCAAGCCTTATCTCTGGATCTTTTTACTACACTGTAATAACTTTGAAATATATAAGCGAGATATCAAGCATAAATTGAGAGAATTAGTGAATGCCATGGGTGTGCAGAGAGTAGAATGGCTTGTTTTATACGTGCCGTCGCTTACACAGCTAGGCAAATCCCAACACAGTACCTTTGCGAAGGTTTTTGAAAAAATTCAAAAGGATATTTTCTCAATGTTTGGTCTTCGACAGTGTGTCAGACTGTTTTCCCAAGCTACGAAATCATTTATGGCAATTGACCAGCCGAGCAAAATCAGAGACGATTTTTGGGCTGATTTAATAAAATCTATAGGAAAAGGAGTAAGCGCAGGACTTTGCAACAGAATGGCCTTATTTTTAGAAGAATTATCAATATTAGAGCAGACTAAAGATTTCTATAAGTACTGTCTTACGAAAGAAGGGCTTGCTATTATGTACTCTCTTGCAGGGTTAAATTTGCATGCTAAAATGTGCTACGACGATCTTTTGGCACCTCCTGAGCCGTATTTGCCTTTAGATTTTATCCAGATTTCAATGCGGGATTTGCAGCATAACTCAGAGATGACAATGCAAGATTTCCGAAACGCTATGGAAACAGGCAGCATGAGTGAGCTTTCTTTCAGAGAATACGTGTTTTCCCGACAGAAGGCACAGTTAGAATATATAAAGGCTTATGTATTGATAGGAGAACTCAGCTTGAATTTAATATCTACATCGATGCGGCTGTTTAGGATGCTTCCTAATGACGAAGAAAGAAAGTTTGGAAGCGTTTGAGTGTATCAGACGTCATTAAAGCTGGCTGAATATCTGCAGCAAAACATAGATGGTATTTGATAATAAGACATTGATGAAGAAGAAGTAAGAATTGACGTACATTATAGTGTGGGGTTGCTGCTTTCTATTGCAAGAAGCAGGCTTGAAAGATTAGCATCAGACAGGTTTGGGGACTTTGAAATATTTGTAATATATAATTAGACCAAAGTGGACCTAGTTGACGATTTTGCACTAGATAAATCTCCAGTGAAAATTGAAGGAAAAACCAAATCTCCTCAGGTCATGCTTTCTGATAGTCCCACTATAGACATGCCAGAGCATGGAGGTGATCTTCCACTTTCAGATTCGTCAAGTTTGCCTGAAAATGACCTAAATCCTGAAGATGTCCTGTCCAACCAATTTAAATTTGAAGACGCCTTGCTAAATATGACTGGGACTTTATATGAAGAATTCAGTCTTGCCAAATATTCGAGGATCTCAAATCGATATAGGGTAGAGCAAGGAGTTTTGCTTAATAATCGCGGCTTTTATGAGCAAGCAATTAGAGTTCTGAAATCAGTATCATATAATGATTGAAACAGCTTAGACTTAGTGATACAAACAAATTTATTCCAATGCTACATACAGACGTCTAAACTTCAAGAAGCTTATGATACTGCTATGATTATTACAAAACAGAGCCATTGCGTATCTTCTGCATTTTTAGCTAAAATGTCTAGCTTCCCTTCCGCGTTTTTGAAAAAAATCGCAAAATTGGGAAGTAAAAAATTAATTAATTTGAAATTAATGCTTTAAATGCAGATTATAAAATGTTAGAGAAAATTTATATAATAATTATCACTTATATATTAAAATACTTGATAAAAATTCATTATATTAAAAATGTTTTTGCTCACTCATGGAGGGGTAAGTGATTAGAAGAAATCTCTTATATTTCTGAAAATTTTTCCTATAATTCTAAAAAGAACTCTAATGTAATGCTTTCACCTGTCAAGACTTTAAATGAAGAAAATGCTGGCACAGAATCTGAAACAGTTAGACTAAGGACTGGAGTTAATATAGAGCCTCTAGATGTACATAGCAAAATTTATAGGCAAGATGATATAAATGTAATTTCTATTTGTGTAACAAACCAAGCTCATACTTCATTAAGGCTTCATAATTGAAAAATAATAGGCTGTGATATTCAAATCGACTCGAATCAAGAAGACTGCATCTTAAGGACTGGACAGCAGCAATATATGGCATTTTTAGCAAGTAATATTATAAACCCAGAAATTGTTTTCAAATATTCATGTGTGCCAAGGAGGAAGGACAAAAAAGCAAATCATAAAGCGAAAATTTCGATGTTTGAGTTCACTCATGTAATTTCTAATGAAGAAATAATTCCTTGTAAGAACAATGATGAGATAAACTAGGGGATAAATATATTTTCCAAGAAAACTTAATTATAATCACTGCTCCTATTAATAATTATTTAACTATCATAATCAGGCTCACTTCCAGGAACAATCTGCGTAAGCGTTACCATCAAAATATTGGCTCCATTAAGCAGGATGCTATGCCTTGTCGTCAGAATTCTTTGATTTTCTACAAGCTCACCTATTAATTCATTACTATTCCTTGACTTCTTGTAGAACCATATTAAAATACTCATCATGCCCCTTTAAAACTCCACAAAATTCTCTATCATCCCTTAAAATCAATCAAACTTTTTGCCCAATGCATTTGTCAAGCATTTCTATCTATTTTTTACTTAAAGGTAAAATGCTTCCTCCGCCCTCATAAGCCATTTTATAAATATTTAAGAAAAATAAAATTAATTTTCTTCATCTTCTGTGTTTAACTTTCTTCTTTTTCTTGGCTCCTTCGACTTCTTCCTTGCCAACTTCTGCTGTTTTTTCCTCTCAACATTTTCTTCTTGTATCTTTTTCCTCATTTCTTTTAACTCTTTTTTCTCCTTCAGGATTCTTTCTGCTTCTTTTGCAGCTTTTGGATCTTTGTGTATTAAAGAATGGTAAAGGACATTTCCTCCACAAATCCCTTCTTCAATTTTGTGAAGCTTTAATGACATTCTTGGGCCTAGCTCTACAAGTCTTAGGGAAAGTTTTGAGGACTGGTCAGAGACAGTCGCTTCTTCTCCTTCGCTTTCACTTGCGTTGCCTGAGTTTTCTAGCCACTCTGAGACCGAATTAAACTGGTTCAAATTTGGGATTTGGTTTTTAGCGATTTTTTTTAAGGATTGGCTGATTCCTGTAGGTCTTGTTTTGATGAGATAGTGCCTCATTTGTAAAGTGTCGTCTTGATTATCGATTAAAACGACTCGTTTGCACTTTTTTAGCTTGATTTCTGACACGTCGAGAGTGGGGAAAATGCTCTTGAATAGGTTGTTGGGAAGACCATCAACACCACGCATTATCAGAATTGGGGAGGATTTGAAGTCCGGTTGAAGTCGGCTGGCTTTTTTTAGTGAAGCTCTAACATCACTAGAAAGTGTGTACTCTAAGATTTTGAAAGAAATTGTTGGACCATTTGGCAATTTCACAGCCTTTAGATAGGTTGAATTCTTTGTGCAAGTGACAAACAGCATATTGTTTACCTCAAACTCGTTGGCCATGTTAATCAGATCTTTTAGATTGCTTTTCGAGCTTTCTTTGAAATCAAGAGGACAATTGGGGTAAAGGACAATTCTCAACTCACTGACAAGGTGCTTTAGAATGGGACCTATTTTCCCTCTTCTTGATACAATTGTGACTGGCTTTTCTTCATCGTCATCTTCTTTATGAGTCCTGTGCTTTGTCCTTCTCCTCCCTCTTCTAGGCATTTTATTAGATTATTTCATGCCGATTCTAATAATAGACTAACTAAAAAGTGGTTTAAAGCAAGCCAACATGCATCAAAATGTGTATAAAAACGCATAAAATTTATACTAAAATAAGTTTCGTCCACGATATTAAAATTTTCAGTTCGGATAGGTTTTAGCATCTGTTCAAACAGGATGGACCTATAATCCGAGCTTAGTGAGAGGAATCAAATCTTTTTGAGAGTCTCGGCTTGAAGAGAAGAGGTTGGCACTGACTAGAGAAGTCTGGAAGGGCTTATTAACTTTAACGGTTCGACAGTTAGGTCGGTCCGCCTATCGTTGTTCAGAGCTGTTAATGTAGCTGAGCATCAAGTTAAACAAGACTTATAGAACCGATGTGCAAGAGTAATTCAATTAAACTTAAATTTAAAGTTGCGTCCAATATATGTGTTTGATCCAATCAACTTTTTATATAATTAATATAAATTGCCAGTCAAAAGCATTTATGCTATATATATTTGATTAGTGATTTTTATAAGATTAGATATCATTAATCAATCATAATATATACTATTAATTTGGATTTCGTTATAAATTTCAATTATATATTAAAATCGTAAATCCTCTGCGCAAAATCAGTAAATCAAGTGAAGAATGGCTTAAAAATTTGTATTTTTAAAATATAGCGCTTTCCCGAGGATGGCGCGGAATGGCGCATCCTCGGGAAAGTCAACTAAGCATCCACACGGGAACTGGGAGTTCCACGTGTGGATGCCATTTTTGACATGTGGGATCCAAACTTCCACATGTCAAAAATGGCATCCACACGTGGAACTCCCAGTTCCCGTGTGGATGCCTTCCTGGCTTTCCGAGAGGATGGCGCCATTCCGCGCCATCCTCGGGAAAGCGCTATAACTCTTTAAATGGTAATAGTTAATTTTTCCTGAAACTTAAAGACTTCGCACATTTTAACAAATCTCAAGCTGAAATTTAAATTCCATATAAATTTCGGCCAAAGCGAATAAATAAAGTCTTAATTCCACCTTTAAATTGGAGCAAAACATCGGTAAAAATTTGTATTTTTGGGCACTTTTAACCCCTTTAAATTGGAACAAATTGGTTTTCCAACAGTAAAATTTTATCGATGAAGTACTAATTTATAAAATTTAATAGACAAAATGCATAAAAATAAATGTAAAATTCAAATCTTAGTGTTCAATTTATATTTTTTTAAGAATCTTAAAAAACGTTTTTGAAAAGAAATTAATGATTAAAAACTAATTAGCACTTGACCTAATTTAGTAGATAAAATGCAAGCAGAATGCTATATAAACAATTTTACACTAAATCAATAAATTTTTTATATAATTCTTCATAAAAATAAATTTAAAATTAAACTATTGTATTCAATTTATATTTCTTAAAAATTATTAGCCAATTTTTTTGAAAAAAATTAAAGATGAAAAAACTAATTTTTATAAAATTAATTTTGACCTTTTTAATAGAAAAAGTGTAATTCGAATGTCATTTAAACAATTTTACAATAAATCAATTATTTTTTGGATTTTTTGTTCCAATTTAAAGGGGAGAGTTAGAATTTTATTAATCTGGATTATGGGAGGTTGCTTCAGTAATAGACCCAAAATTAAAGACATCTCCTCAACTTGTAAGCAAAGCTCAGCTCGAATTTCTAATAGTAATCTTGCCTCTGCCACTATGTCCAACCGATTCACAACTGAAGAGGTTAAAGATAACTCTCGCCCAGGCTCCGCCAATAGAAAAGCCCATAAAAAAGGAGCCCATGTGAAGAATATACAAAGAAAAGCCAGTATTATAACAGAAGCGACCACTGCAGCAATAAATACTCGAGATAAAACTCTGGAAGAAATGATAGAAATTAGGGAAGCTTTAAACCAACATTTCATTTTTAATAGTTTACCCGATGAAGTTATAGACGTAATCGTATCGATGATGAAGTTATTTGTTTTAGAGCCAAATCAATTAGTTTATGCACAGGACCAAATGGGTTCTCACTTCTTTGTAGTCACAAAAGGAAAGCTAGAAATAAAGGTAAAAAATGAACCGAAAGGCGTTATAACTAAAGGGATGAGTTTTGGGGAGTTGGCATTGATGCACGACTCGAAACGCACTAATTCAGTCTATACAATAGAAAGGACCTTGCTGTGGGGAATTGATAGATATGAATTTAGAAATGCAGTAGCTTCTTATAACTCACAGAAATTTGAAGAAAATAGAAAGTTCATTGATTCAGTGCCTTTATTGCAAATTTTAACAAATGCTCAAAAAGAAGCATTATTAGCAGTACTGAAAAGCCAAAGCTATTTCCCAGGGCAAAAGATTGTGACGGAAGGAGAACCTGGAGATTTATTTTATATAATAAAAGAAGGTACAGTAAGCTGCTATGTCCAAGGAAAAATTGTGAGGCAATTAGGCAAAGGCGATTTTTTTGGTGAGCAAGCTTTGCTTTATAATTCATTAAGAACTGCAACTATTGTTTCAAATACAAAGGTTGGGGTTCTTTCTTTGTGTAGAGAAGATTTAATCAGTGTGCTTGGAGACCAGCTCCAACTTATTATTTATAAGAACTCTCAAAGAATCGCTATAGAATCTAGTCCGCACTTGAAAGACCTGACAAAAAACCAAGAAGAGGCTGTGATACAAAAAATGAAGGTTGTCAGCTACCAAAACGGAGAAATTATAATTAATAAAGGTATGCCTAAAGGGCATAAACTATGACTTGTGGTAAAAGGGGCAGTAATTGCTGAAGAATCCGGCAAAAGAATTCTGTCCCTGCATTGTATAGGTGATGAGGAATTAATTAACCCAATTCAAAGTAATTATGAGGAAAATTATATCGCTGAAGGCTCTGTTGATATAGAAGAAATATCAAGGGCTGAGTTTGAAACTTGTATAGGAGGGAAATTAAACAATATAAAATCTCATAATGAAGTGCTAAAAATTATGAGGAATGTACAGCTTTTTAGGGCTTTGCCAACAAACAAGCTTGAATCTCTAGTAAATATGATTTATGTGCAAACATATGGAGATAAGCAAGTTATTTTCCACGAGTTCTCGCTTGGTGATGCATTTTACATCGTCAAATCAGGCCAAGTCGATATTATTAAAGATAACACTGTATTAAGAACTGTTGCTAAGCATGGCTATTTTGGAGAAAGATCTATAATTAACAACGAAAAAAGAACAGCCACAGTCGCTGCAAGTGGAAAAGCGAAAGTCTGGGTCCTTAACAGAGAAGATTTTTTAAATTTAATTGACGAAGGAATAAGACACCAGCTCCTCAAAAGAATGGAGCTTCAAGATGATTCCATCACCTTACCCGACTTGTCTATAATAAAAATCCTGGGAAAAGGGATGTTTGGAAATGTCTTCATGGCAATTAACAAAAATAAAGGCACGTTGTACGCCTTAAAAACTGTGAATAGAGCAAAAATAAGAAGCTATGATTTATATACAAATTTGTTACTAGAAAGGCATATTTTGTTGCAAATTGACCATCCTTTTATCATGAAGCTTGTAAAAACGTTTAAAGATGAGGAGCGTGTATATTTTTTGACAGAGCTTGTGAGAGGAAAAGACCTATTTGATGTGCTCAGGGAAATGAACTTACTTACTGATTCTGATACAAAGTTCTTTTCATCGTGCATTTTAATGATTCTTGAGCATATCCATGAAAGAGGAATCATATATAGAGACCTCAAGCCTGAAAATATTATGATTGATGAAGATGGCTATCCCAAACTTATCGATTTTGGAACTGCCAAAGTCGTAGAAGGCAGGACTTATACGGTGGTCGGAACCCCACATTATATGGCCCCAGAAGTAATTTTAGGCAAAGGCTATGGACTTTCCGCTGATTATTGATGCTTGGGAGTTATGATATATGAGTTTGTAGTTGGCTCCATGCCTTTTGGTGATGAAGAAGAAGAGCCATACGCAGTCTATGAGCAAGTGCTTAAAGCTAAGTTAATCTACCCTCATCATACAAGAATTAATGCAAAATGCAAAGAAGTTCTTGAAAAGCTACTTGAGAAAAATCCAGTAATGAGGGGGACGATTGAAACTATTAAAGCAATGAAGTGGTTTGAAGATATAGATTGGGATGCCATGCTTGGCAAACAGATTAAACCTCCGTATATCCCTCGTTTACCTAATCAGTCAGCTGAACTTAATCAAGCCATGAAATCAAAAGTGTCATTAACAGCAGTCTTAAATTTAAACTAATTACAGGTCGTGGCTTCTGCCTATTGGTAAGGAGTCACAAAATATCCCCTAGGGGATTCACCCTCTTTAGGAAATGACAAGGATAACTTTTTCGAGTTAGACGATTTACTGGGCGAGTTACGGCTCTTACCACCTTTCCTCTTCTTCGCCATCTGACCTCATGATACCTGTGAAGTAAAGTTCTCTCTCTTCCTCTCCTCGCCTTCAGTGCTGCGTGAGAAGGCTCTGGACTTCTACAGCATGCTGTTTGGGTTGAATGAAGGTTGACAGTACAGAAGTCCTAAAAATCCAATTTCTGGTGGACTATCGGCAAAAAGGAAAAATTCAAAGCCTCGGGCGTAACTCCCAGTTTCGCGCTTGAAAGCTACCCGAATAGTCTAGGCATTGCATTTAGACGCTGCTGGGTTTTTGTAACTCTGAACCCACATTTCCCTCCAGGTAAAATCCAATCCTGAAAGCAGAATCAGACTAGACTCTGTGGCTTATCAGAATTGCTTACCTAGCGTTGCTGTCCATTTCTGGGTTGCCAAACCTTGCCGAATATAATTAAAATGTATTCGAAGGAAGTCGACGTAGCCGACTGCGAAACGTTGAGACACCATATTTAATTATATGCCACTATCAGCAGTCATTTCCGTAATTTTTATGTAGAAAGAAGAAGCTCAGGATAGTTTTGAAATTCCAAGAGGCAGAGGAAAACCTCCTCCAACTGCGTGGGATGAAGTTTTTTAAATATTATATAGCTAAAATAAGTTACTGTAAAGAAAATATAATAAAGATAGTTAAAGAGACAAATCCGTTCACCTATAAATGAATTAATGTTTATAAATGGAGCAAGACTTAGTTCTTTATAAATGCAGCGATCTCTACGACCCAGTTATCCAAATGGTGAGATGCTGGGTAGCGTTTTGCCATATCCAAGGATATAAAGAATGTGAAAGTGAATATTATTGGAATGCTGTTGGGAATCTACCTGTTTTAAGGTATGAAAGATCCGTTTTCGCTAAAGAGCATATTTTGGAGTTTCTTAAAATTGCTTATGATATTAATTTCAATTTAACTGAAGAAGAAAGAAGAGAATCTACCTTATTAGAAGAAATATGTGTCAGCAAAATTCATCCAGGCACTATATTTGCTATGTGGATTGATGAAAGCACGAGCAAAGGATTTTATGAGAAAAGTAAGAGCAAAATTTGGAAATTCTTGATGAAGCCTTTTGCAAAATTAGGGTTTTGGGTAGAAAAAAGAAATATTAAAGACTATTTGAAGTATCAGCATGGCTTTACCTCAAAAACAAATGCATTCTCCCATATCCATCAAGCTCATCAGCTCTTAAGCGAAAAACTAGGAAATCAAGCATTTTTCTTCCAAACAATGGATAGAGCGAATTTCCCAAGAAGCGCAGACATTACCATTTATGCCTACTTATTAGAAGAAATCATATACTTACACTCCCATCCTCATGTTACAGATTCTTTAAATAGCTTCCCAAATCTACTGAATTTTATGAAAAGGATGAAAAATTTATTATCAATAAATAACCCAAAAAAAGAAATCCCAGAATATAGTCTTGTGTATGGGTATTTTTTGCATCCTCCTAGCAATGAAGATCAAGAATACTACCCACCTGCAATAGCAATCAAGCCTTATCAAGAGAATAATTGGGAACAGATTAAGTATAAACTTCAAGGCCAAACTCCAACCTTAAAAGCATCTGTAGAAGATGCTACTAGAAGAAGGATTTATGTGACTAGCGTCTCTGCAATCTTATTTCTCTTTATATATTTAAGATTCAATAAACACTAGTTAAGATTATTCGTCATAAAATAATTAATTAACACCGTTAAATAACTAATAAATATTTTTCAAAACGTCCTACCTTATAAACCTGAGCAAAATATGGAGAGGACAAACGATCAATCTCTCTACCCCAATGTTTCTCTACTTTCTCTAAACTTATTCCTAAGACCCCCAGTAATCAAAACTAATATCTCTGACTACAAATCTGCGAGAGCGAGGTATTTCTTAGACAATATTATTTCAAAATATGAGATTGTCTGCTTGCAAGAAGTATTTACAAGTTTCAGCTCGAGAAGAAAAAAAATCAAAAAAGAAGCATATCGTAAAGGATTTAAAGACTTCGCAGAAAGCCCAAATCCTGGGTGATTTGGTAGACATCTAACTGATGGAGGATTGCTAATACTTAGCAAATACCCAATTGTACAAAAAGATTTTTTTGGGTTCAGCCGCTCCAAGATGCCAGACACTTTAAGCCTAAAAGGCGTCCTTTATGCCAAGCTTCAGATAAATGATAAATTTGTCCACTTATTCACAGCACATTTGCAGTCATCCTACCCAACATCAGATTATCATAAATTTTTGAAATATCGGGAAATAAGAAGATCGCAGATTAAAGAAATGAGAGAATTCATGGATCGAAAAATTGAGTCCAGCAACGAATTGGTTATTTTAGTAGGAGATTTCAATGTCAATGGACGAGAAGAAATCAAGCCTCCGAAGTTCAAAGACCAGGAATGCCAAGATGATTATTCTTGCTTTATTAATGAAATCAGTAAGGGAGGAAAGGAAGAAATTCTAGATGTGTTGAGAATGAAATTTGGGTATACCCCTGCGACTTATGGTAGAGTAGATAGAAATGGAAACGCAATTGAAACTGTGTTGAGCGAAAAAGACGAGACTATGAGTGATGAAGGGCTAGACCACATATTCTTTTGTAATATTGAGAAAAGCATTGAAAATGATTATAAAGTTCACATCAATATGGAAAGAACGCTAGTGGAGCCATTTTATACCCCAAATCAACCTTTTACACAGATAAGCGACCATGCTGCCGTCCAGACGTCGTTTACATGGCTTAAAAATAATATGAGTTAATATCGTAACTATCTTGCAATGTCAAAAGTCTGCACAACAGGTTTTGATATTGTTCCTAACATTAATCGCTTATATGGATGCTCTCTATCGAACTCTTGTGGGCATAAGACTACAACTGTTTCGTCACTTCTTTCAGGCAGCTCCAGTCCATCTGGTATCTTTGCTTGTAAATATGGAGCGAGCGGCTGAGTCTGAGCTTGACTTCCTACAACAGATATGTTGAAGTAAAGTCCTCTGTCTTTGGATCTAAACAAATAAATTATTATAAACAAGCTAATAGTCTCACACACCTCACCAAAAATGACAACAATATCTCAATATATCTCAGGAGGATCTAAAAAGCTTGCAACTATCATCAGAAATGTAATTGTCAAAATTTTTTGAAAATAAAAAAAATAGCAAACTTTCAAGAAAAATTTGAGCATAGAAACTTTCTCCGATGTTGGCGGAATCATTTGAGTTATGTTGGAATCTCTCAAAGAATTCAATCGGGTTTGCAAAGCCTTTATGTTCGCAGAACAGTATTTTCAGGTAAGGTAAAATAATATAGAGAGCATTATGTCCAGTAAAATAATCAACTGCTGTGGGTTGATCATAAATGCACTAAATCCTAAATAAACGGCTCCCATCGTCATTGCAATAACTGTGACTTCACTTCTTTCTAGCATATCCCTAGTGATCCCAAACCCTTTACTAATTAAAATTAAGGATGTGAAAATAAAGGTGTTGTAAAGCGTATATGTCGAACTTCAAGCCAAATCTCAATAGTCATAAGCAGCTGATTCTTGGCATGTAAAATATCTAGGAGATAAAAAAATATCATTGAAAGTCTTGAAGCATAAAACCAAAACTATCACTTTTTGCAGAGGCTTGGTGAATCGTCAGTTTATTTTTCAGGTATTTATGATTCACCAGATAAAGCAGCTACCCCAGGCTATGCTAGCGAAGATGTAAAAATAGCCTAAAACCAAGCTATTCGAGCATGTCATTTTTTAATTTTTATTATTTTTCACCAAATTGCTAGTCTATCTAATAAAACCTATACAAAATTGCTTTATACAGCAAATCAAAGGTGCTTTAGATTATAAATTCAAAATATCCGCTATAGAAAAGGCTTATTAGAGGCTTCCCCTAAATCAAAAATTTAGCATTTTAATTGTGATTATCTGCTGTCAAAATTTGAATTGAGTATTAAAAATTCATGGCTCCGAACTGAATAAAAAAGAAAACTTTAAGATTTTCAATTCTTACTTCTATTGTGCTTTTTATCTGCTCCGTTTCTAGTTAACCTTCATAAATTCCTTTTTATTTTTCTCCGCTGACAAAGTGTGTGAATTTTATCAACAGCCTCGCTAAACCAAACAATTTAGCTCCTCAGAGTAAGGATCTGATTTTTCAAAATTAGCACAAAAATCAAATATCAAGAATAACTTCTTTGATAAATTGTTTAATGAATATCTTCATATGCTTAAATTTTGCTATCATAGCATTTCTAGGAACGATAGGATTAACTCAAAATTTCGGCCTGAATCCCTGAAAGAAGTCAATGCCAACATTTTGGTGACGTTAGGTGGCATTAATGAAGGTGAAGCTCGACCGGATCAGGGCTGAAATAAATCCTATTTTAACCCTCTCTAATCGTAGCTCTCTCATATGCTTCATGAAATATATCTTCAATAAATTTTGAGAGTTGTACTTACAAAATGAGAGTATGTTAAAAAAGTAAGCATAGCATATATATATATAAAATTAGAAATCAGTATTTTAACATAAAAATTCTATAAGATCAAAAAACAAGAAGTAATTAATAAAACTACCTAAAAAAGGCTTAGAATTGCGCTTTTCCTAATAATAGATTAAAAAATCAAAAAAAAATTGCAAACTCTATCAAACTATTTACAATAAAAATATTCTCATTACTTCAATGTCAAATTATATAAATATTCAATATTTGAATCTGAGTGCATTTTCAGAATAATTTAATTTATTTAATTCTAAAAATTTGGATGAATGCATTAAGATACTTTGACTACATTACTACACAAATAAAATCAAAATAATTAGAAATCAAATGATAGCAGTAAACCATAAGAAATTGCCTATTAAAGTTTATCTTCGGTATTTACTTAGCCTTCTTTTGCTGCTGCATCTTCTTTTTAATTACTTTTACCTCTTCTGTAAGGAAAGCTCTGATAATTCTCTCTTTAACTGTTTTGTGAGAAAGAACTCCTCCATAAGCTCTTGAAACAGTTCGATCCTTTTTGTTGATTCTTGAATACTCTTTTGGCCTTAGAGCTGGAATGCCTGCCAATCTCTCTCCAGTCTCTTTGCAGTGTGGCCCTTTTGCAATTTTTTTGACATAATGAACGAGTAAGCGTCCTCCTGGGGTTTTGACTTGTCTGATCTTATGAGACTTGGTGTGATATGGGCATCTTTTCCTTAGAATCACTCGTTTCACCATTTTATTAAGTCTTATTGATACAAAATGGGTATCTCTCATGGATATTGATGCAACCTGAGTAATCTTTTTATTTATTTTGAATTTTTTGTGCCTTACTAATTTTTCCAGTATTAATAAAGCAAAAAAATAACTTTTATCATGATATAAAGATTGTCATGTTATTTATAATGAGCTCGTTAAAATTAAGCATGTAATATCCTCATATATGATCCTTTATAACTCAAATTTTATTAAATGCAATTTTGATTATTAAGATGCTGTCTAAATATAAAATCATGCTAAAATTTTAGCTTAGCTTTAATTTTTCTGATGATAATATGAGAAAACTGTTTTCAACATAAAAATTAATTTAATATCTCAATCCCCCTCCGTGAGCGAACCAAACCACTGGAAAAATACCTATATTTTGCCCAAAAATCCACATTCCGTGAGCGAATTAAATTTTTTTAATAGAAAAATTTTTGATATATAAGTGATAATTATTATATTGAAATCTGTAGCTAATTCTGCTTAATTTTAAACAGCTTGCATTTTAAAACATAAATTTTTGTAAAATTGAATAAATTTTTTTGTTCGCTCACTCAGGGGGGCCAGTCTTTAAATATGACATAAAAAATTACATGAAAAATTCCGAAGTGACGTCAAAAGATAAAACAACTGAAGAAAGACAATTAAGACTAGAAATGAACAGGGCTGCAGCCATGAGATCAAGGAACAAAAAAAGAATGGAAATGCTCAGACTTAAATCACTAGTAGTCGACTTAAATAACGAAAAAGTCCTCCTAGAATTGAAGTTACAGCAGTATGAGATGCTAATGCAAGCAAGCTATGGCGAAAATAACATGCTAAAAGTCGAGATGACCCAGCTCATGCTCGAAAACGCTGTTTTAAAACAGAATTTAAAGTGTTAATTTTAAGTTCAAGTTTAAGCTATGAAACTTCTTGTAATTCCCATTCCCTGGTAGCCTCAATTTGGACACAGTACTGAGTAACAGTAGGGAAGACCGGCCTAACCATTAGACCTATTTCAGTCCCCAAGTCCCTTAGGACCTCTCTATCTGAATCAGGATCAATGCAGAGCACTTCTCTTGAAGCCAAGACTCTCAAGAAGATTAGATCTTCTTTCACTGAGCTCGATGGTAGGAATGTGGCCCTTCCTCTAAATGCCACTTTTCTATTATGAGTGCTAATTTAAATTCTCTTGTGGTTTTTGAAAATGCCTACATTATTCATATTTAATTATACTTCGCTTAAAAAATGGAGAGAAAATTCTTTCCTTATGACCCTTTAGAAAAAATGCTCAAAACCATTTTCGATTCTAAAACAGTCAAAAGCATTCAATAAAACTTCCATCAAAATAAGGCTTTATATAAAATGTTCTAATATATTTATATCATAATCACCATTATTTTTATTAATTCCGCTTAATATTTGCAAGAGAGAGTTACTCTTGCAGATTGATGAAACAAAAATACAGCTGGATAAAACGTGCCTGTCAAATTAACAAATGCCGGCCCTAATTCGACGCCATTTTTTAAAAATGATAATATTCCATTTTCTCCTTTAAATTCAAGCAAAACTCCTATCACGTCTCCAGTTCTAGCACTAGCAGAATAGTCTTCTACAAAGCCTGGCCCACATTTTTTGCCTCTACAATATAAATTACACTGAGCAAATATAGCCCCAAAACATTCCTGAATCAGGAGGACTTGAATATAAATTTATTTCTTTAATAGCAATTCCAATATAGATGTCTTCGTCGTTAGGAAAATTATCTAGCTTAACCTCCCAATAGTGCCTTCCTGAGCTGATTGTGGAGTTTCCTAGTATGCATTCATAACCTGTTTCAGCCTTTTTGGTAGCGGTGCGATTATTGTTGGAGAGTTCAATGTTTTTGGTTAAAACTAGAGAGTCCCATTGGAAATAATTTTTTATAACCATTACAAATTTGGTAACTGCCTTAAGTCTCAAACTATAAGGCGTGTCTGTCACTTTTACTTCTCTCAAATGCCCCATAGGGTAGAACAATTTTAACGAGCTAATTGAATCCACCCCCAAGCTTTTTGCTAATTGTTCGTAAAGCATTTCAAAGGTATTATCAATATTCCACGAGTACTCAAACGATTTTCGCCTCCCTACAAAGCATTTCACTCTAATTGCAATTGCATTTGTTAGGTCTGAAAACTGTATATAAGCTTCCCCTCCTCATGTCATTTTTATTCGTGCTCGCTGCGAGTTCTTTTCTTTAATTGTTCCATAGCCGTATGGAGTCAGAATAACTTCTTCGTGGCCCATATATCAAAAATTATGTCAATATATGGAGGATTCGGAACTCGTCAGCAGGAAACTCAGTATAATAATCTCACAGAAACGCTTATTTCATTACTTCAATATAGACTGATCGCTTATATGAAATGTGAAAAAATAGATGAAGAAAGCTTCAGGCTGGGTATTTTGAATGTTTATGATTCTATGACTAGAATGGAAATCAGGAAATATCTTGAGCCAAAATTCTCAGATTCGTGCAAAGATTTGGTTAAAAAGATAGTAAAAGAGATGGAGGAAGAAAAAAAGATTAGCGAAGTGGCTAGCGAGCATCATATTTTTATTAAACAGACAAGTCCTAATTCACTGTTAGGCGAAATATATTTTGATAGTGAGTTGCTAAATAGTAAAGGGAAAGACACAGAGAAAGTACTGAAAAAGGTAAAAAGCAAGCTTAAAGTAAGGCAAAAATATCACCTGAATGAAGGAAAATCTTCAAAAAAAGTCAGCAAGAAATTGTTTCCAGGATCTTACACAATGATGGATCAAATGAAATCAAAAGAAGATTCCCCTGAACTAAGAAGTAAAACTCCTATTTTGGCTCAGAAAAATCCACTAACTTTCCGACCTTCTTTAACATCTCGTGATCCTTCAATTCCAAAGCCACCTTCCAGGCCAAAAACCCCAGACAATGGGTTTCTATATGCAAGAATACCTAAAACCTAGAATGAAACTGATAAAGCCAATATTTAGAAAATGCTTATACTAAAAATTTAAATCAATAATAAGCTAAAATGTATTATTTTGTTTTCCTATTCATCCCTGTATTTGCTGCAATCACTATCACCGCACCCGCTGATTTTTCTATTGCAGCATCCAGTGCAACTCAAACACTTTCATGGACATTTTCTTCCTCCTCGTCAATAACATGCAGCATAAATTCATATCTTGGCGAGATCAGCTTTCCAGTCTATACAGCATCAGGCGTTTCAGCAACAAATTCTCTTTCATATACAGACACAGTATTCTATCAAAGAGCAAGCTTCACTGGCACTGCTTCTCAAATGGATAATGCTTTTGCAAGTGCGGTATACCAGCCTCATCAATTTTACTCTAGCAATACTGGGTCAAAGGCTGTCATTGAGCAAACAGATTATATTGAAATAGTCTGCACGGATGGTTCTACCTCTGCATCTGCTTCTACAATGGTTGGAATTGGAACTGGGTGGGTTGACGACCCTACTTGTGGAGGAAACAGTTGTGATAGTCATGGCTGGTGCGATAAAACCACAGGAAATTGCTATTGCTGGTGGCCTTATTATGGAAGTTCAACCTCGAGATGTGATAAATTAGATTGTGGGATCTGCAAGCATGGTAGTACCTGCGATACTTCAACAGGTAAGTGCACATGCACCAGCAGCACATTCTCTGGAGACCATTGCGAAATTGTAGCTTGTACAGCTGCTTCATGCAATGGCAATGGCTGATGCAACCCTACCAATGGAGTTTGCCAATGCTATTCAGGATATACAGGAGAAACTTGCAGTTTAATATACTGTCTTAACAACTGTAATGGAAACGGTGTATGCAACATGTCAACAGGCACTTGCACATGTGCTACAAATTATTTCGGAACGGACTGCTCTTTCAAAAAATGCCCAAGAGACTGTGGAGCATACGGAGGCTGCAACTATTCAACTGGTGAATGCAAGTGCTATGGAACTTATAGTGCTAAAGACTGCTACTTTGCTACATGTCCTGGCACTCCTACCTGCTCTTCCAAAGGCGTTTGCAACTACTATACTGGGGAATGTGTCTGCAACTCAGGATATGTTGGAGTGGATTGCTCGCTCACTTCAGCATAAAAACTGCTTAAGATAATAGTTATTAATTAAATGGGAGCTATGCTATGTGCAAGTGGGCGTCCAGATAAAGAAGCTCTGAACTCAGCAGCGTATTTCTGAAGCAACCCTTCGTTTAAGAAGCTTGGGAAAAGACAAAGCCCTTCAAAGCAATATAATATTGGGGTTATGTATAGAGGAAAGAGATCGATTCTGACAGAAGAAGAGTTATGGGCTGCTAAAAAGATCATGAGAGCTTATAGAAATTATAAAAACCGAGTATTGACGACCCAAACTTCTTTATCATCATCTTTTGAACGACTAGAAAAAGTTTCAAGAGAAGGTGTCAAAGTTTAATCTTTATTATTAAAATAATTAAAAGCCGGGTCTATTAGAAATTCAACGTTAAAAATGCATTCAAACAGAAGCACTAATGACTCTTATCATAGCGATTCTTCATTGAAAAGACCTACAAAGGAAAAAATAACTGCAAGAAAAGCATTTAAAGTAAAAAAAATTAAGAGAAGTCATACTTTTTGCAAATCTGAAGTTCCTAATGAATTTAAAAGCAAACTTGAAAGAATAAGAAAGAGAAAAAATACGATGCATTTTGAAGTTACTCCACAATTAGCTTCACAAGTAGTTAAAGAGTATATCATTCCTATGTTTGAAGCAGATTACAAAGCAAAAAACATTGTAAATCGATCAATCTCATATGGCAGAAATAAATCATTGAAGAAATCAAATTTCAAGCTCAGCGATATTTTATCAAAAGAGCTTGAAAGTATGAAATTAGAAACTAAATTTGTAGAAGAAAACTACAGCAAAGCTATAATTGATACAACTGCTATTAAAAATGAATTAAATGAGCTTAAGCAAAATCTGTTAGAAAAGAGAAGCTTGTTAGAATCAATGAAATATCAGTATAATGAAGGAATAAAACAAAAAAAACTCGAGTTTTTGAATTTATCCTTAATAAATCAAGAAACAGCTAAAAATAGACAACTTTTGAGTGAAATTGAAAAATTAAGGACTAAAAATGGTGAAGATCTTGTGGGAGAGAAAAACGTAAATGAAGAGTTGAAAAATACATCGAAGCAGATGCAGCATTGAAATTCAGTTTATAAGATGTCAAATGATGTCATGGGAGAAACATTAAAAGGACTGTATCAAGCTTCTTCAGAATTTACTAACGAAATATTGTTTAAAAAATCTTTAGAAAATTTGGCTTTGAAAAATAAGCAAGATTTTGAAATGCTTGAAGAATTGGAATATGAAATTATTAATGAGCTGCCATTTATTTTGACTGAAAATGAATTCTTCAGTTCAGAAAATACTACAAAGTCAACGTTGAAAGAAAGCCTAATGCAAGATATTAGAAGACTTAAGCAAGCAGCAGCAGACAACATTGAAAGCATCAAAAATAAGCTAAAAGATACGGTTGATCAAAACACTGATTTAAGCCAAAAATGCTTAGAAATGGAAAAGAAAACTGAAGTTCTAATACTTTCTACATAAATTATTTATTTAATTTAATTATTGTATTGCTTTAAAAAAAAATTTTTGTTTCATTGTTATGAAGTAAGAGAAGAATACAATAAATTGGCCGAAAAATTCAGAGAACTCCAACCAAAACAAAAAATCTTCGGGCAAAATGGAATTTCCATCTTGCAAGATGGAAATCCATTTTGGCTCAGCAACAGCAAAAAAATCCCACTCGGGCAAAATGAAGAAAAGTTATGTAAGAGATGCAACTCAATTTACACTGAAAAAGAAAACTTTAATTGGTCATGTGTTATTCACAAGAGTGAGTGGACTAACAAAATATATTGATGCTGTGGAGCTACGAAAAAAGAATCTGTCGGCTGCGTCAAAACTAAGCATATTTCTAAAGAAGAAGCTGAAAATTTTGAACTAATTACTCCTCAAGGAGACAATAAAGATAAACTTTTCTGCACTAGCTGCAGAACAAATGGTCATAGCCTAAATAGTTGTCCTAAAGATCCAAATCCAAATAGTTTTTCTGACAGAAAAAGCGAACAAATAAGGACAAGAAATTCCATCAGAAAAAGAACGAAAATTGGACAATTAAATTTCGATTCAAGTGCTCGAATTTTAAATTCATTAAAATACAGAAATAAAAGCGCAAATAAAGAAAACTCCTTTAGAGAGATTTCAAGCCTGAGGAATGCTGTCAAAATGGATAGCTCTTATAATAGAGTTTTAATTGATGATATCCTATTAGAGGAAAATAAAAGATCGCCTATTCGGTCAAGGACTACAAAGGAGGATACAATGGAGATTGATACAAAATGCAAAATGACACATTTGGATGAGAATTTTTCAAGGAATTTCATAGAAATGTATAAATTATAAGTTAATATTAAAAATGAACCCCCAAAATCAGCAACGGACTTCTCTAGCAGAACTTCAAAGAAGGTCACATATGTTAAGCCAGCAATTTGATGAGCTGCCAGAGAAAGACTTGGATGCTCCAACATTCCACAGCATTCCCACTCCAGACACACAGAATAGCTTAGCCCCTTCAGAAACAATGGCCAACTTAGTTGCCCCTCAAAACATTCCTCAAAGAGAAATGCGAATTTCCCAAGGCACTCTTCCAAGGCCTCTCAACCGTTATGATACCTTTGACGGGGTTTTTAATGTCCAAAGTCAGCCTCCTCCTTCAGTTCTTGCCCAAGTTATATATAAAGAAATCTCGGTCTCTTCTCCAAGATTTTTAAGATTCACGAGCTCATACTGCGCTTTAGACGAAACAAAGCAAAATTCATCAGGAATTCCATTAGGCTTTATATGGCAACCTTTAGCTGACTTAGATCCTAGAGAAGATCCAATTCCATTTATTGATGGTATTCCTTATAGATGCTCCAACTGTGGCTCTTATGTAAATCCTTTCTTTAAATACGACACAGCCCAAAAATGAATCTGTAATATTTGCGAATCTAGACTAGAAATATCAGAAAAATACATAGGGAACCCTGAAACAAAGCCTGAGTTGACACTGGGGACTTATGAGTTTGCAGCGCCTAGTGACTTTTCTAATAGACCTTTAGTATCTCCTTTATATCTCTTTTGTGTTGAAATATCTGCGCATTCTTTAGAAATGGGGTTGCTTCAGCAAGTGGTTTCTTCTATTAAGAATATGCTTGATTATATACCTTTTAAAGAAAGATGCCAAATAGGAGTAGTTACATTTGGGTGCTTTATGCAATTGTTTAGACTAAATTCTCGTGGAGACCTTACTGAAGTAGTAATAAGCGACATTGATGACCCATTTATTCCAGATCCTCCAAATTCATATATGTTTCACGTCGGAAATCAATTTGATGAATTAGAAAATTTTCTAGAAAAATTGGCAAGCTGGGATTTTTCAAACCCTCCAAAAGTAACAATTTCGATTGGGGCTGTGCTGGGCGCTATAAAAGATTATTTTTTAAAAAATATTGGTGGAAGAGTTATAGTGTTTACTACACAGTTAGGAACTATTGGAAAATTAAAATTATCTGATAGAGTTGACGTGAAACTGTTTGGCACTGATAAAGAAAATAATTTGTATTTACCTTTAGAAAGCTATTCTAGTCTAGGTAAAGAGCTGTGCGAAGATGATATTTGTGTTGACATTTTCGCTTGCACAAATGAAAAAAGTATTGACGTGCCAAGTTTGGCTTGCTTATGCACTCAAACAGGAGGTGATTTGTATTATTATTCTGGATATAGAAGTGATATTGATGGAGAAAAAATTTATTATCAGATTTTTAGAATCTTAACCAGAAGTCAAGGATATCAAGGATTGTTAAGGGTGAGGTGTAGTAATGGATTAACTGTTGACTATTATACAGGCAAATTTAAACGAAAAGGCCCAGTTGAGATGGAAATTGCTGCAATAGACTCTGATAAAAGCATTGGAGTTGTATTAAAATATGACTCAAAACTGAAAGATGACTATGATAATTATGTACAATGCGCAATGCTATATACTAATATTTTAGGACAAAGGATGATAAGAATTTTTAATGGAGTAATAAAAAGCACAAAATATGTTGCAAATTTTTATAGGTCAAGTGATCCCGATGTCATAATTAACATCAGTACAAAAATTTGTGCGTATCAACTTTATGAGCAAAATATAAAGACTGTTAGAGAAAACTGGCTTTCTAGCATTGGAAGGCTTTGCAATTTATATTTTAAAGAAGGTGCTGACCAAAACTTCAAGACAACAACATTGCCAGAGCCAATAAAAATTCTTCCGCTTTATATAGGAATTGCCCGAGGATGGCGCTATCTTGCGCCATCCTCGGGCAATTCAAAAATGGCCCCACACCGGAATCGAACCCACGTGTGGGGCCATTTTTGGTGCGTGTAAAGTCGATGTTGGCCACACACCAAAAATGGCCCCACACGTGGGTTCGATTCCCGGTGTGGGCCATTTTTGAATTGCCCGAGGATGGCGCAAGATAGCGCCATCCTCGGGCAATTGCTATATAAACTCTGCGATGAAAACTCCTGCATTTTCAGTTTCTTATGGAATTGATGCAAGAATCAGCTTTGCGCATTATTTATTAGCAGCCACTGTTCAGCAATCAAGGTTAATGCTTTACCCAATGATATATAGCTTGCATGATATTAATGAGCAATCACATTTTCCAGGAAACTTGTCAAATAATGAAACGGTGATTTTACCAAATTTAGTGCCTTGTTCTAAGCATAGTATCCAATCTAATGGGGTCTACTTTATGGCTGATGGAGAAATAATATGATGCATTGGATTAAATTGGCGAAAAGAAATCAAGAAAAAGTTATAAAATTATTAAAAAACCGAATGAATTCAGTTAAATGAGATTTATGTCTTTATATTGGAAGTGATGTTTCTGTGGAATTTATAGTTGATGTTTTTGGCGCTCAAAGCTTCGAAGAGTTAAGCGAAAACCCAGAAAAATGAGTTTTGGCCGATTTAGGAAATGATAATTCATCAAAAATTATCGCTATTTATGAAGAAATTAGGAATAGAAATCCAGGACATTTTCCAACACTTTATTGGCATTTTGAAGGTAAAAGCTCTGAACTAGTGCTAAAAAGATTTTTACTCCTCCCTCCTTCCGTGAGAGAGCAAACAATTGAAAAAATCCCCCTCCTCGAGCAAAGAAAAAAAAATTATGAAGAAAATATTTTGATATATAAGTGATACTATAAGTGATATAGCCGGGAACGGGCTATAGTATAATGAAATCTCTATTTAATTCTATTGATTTTAACTAATTGTAATTAAAACATAAATTTTTTAAAAATTAAACTAATTTTTACTTTCCAATCTTTGTGAGCTGAGTTTTTTTTTTAATTTTGGAAAAAAAATTAACCTTTTGAGCGAAAAGCATTTTTGCTCCTCACCAAGCGAGGGAGGAGGTAGTTGAAGATCAGATGCCTAATGAAATATCCTATCATGATTACTATTTGAAGATTCACAAAATGGTGATTACTAATTCTTGCCTTCAATAAAAATATATATAGATAATCAGCAAAAATATACTAATATAAATAAATCTTTAATTTATATTTTTTTAATAATGCTTCAGCAAAAGATTAAGCAATTTAATTAATATATGAAACTGTTAATTAGAATATAAAAAATGTTTATAGCGTTTTCTTCAAATTTGCTTCCAAAGAGATGAGCTTTGAAATAGAGAATGAGGTCTATTTCAAAACAGAAATGCTTGAAAGAAGCTAGAAACATCATAAATTTTATCAATAAAATACAAGAAAATAGCTCTAAATAAATTTTAATTTGGCATGACAACATATTTAGTTTGTTAAATTATAATAAAATGGAATCAGCATACTAATCTCAAATAAACAAAAAGTAAAAGAAGAAAGATCTTGCTTTCTTAAGAAGCATGGAGCCATGAAAAAGAAGTTTTTGATGCACTTTAACGGTCTTAATAGATTTAAATTTAATAGTCTACCCAAATGCATTGCTCCTTGCTTCTTTCAACCATTCAGCCTTGGAATTGGGTCTCGCCCCCTATTTCAAATCTCATACTTTCAAAGCAAATGTGAAGAAAACGCTATAGCAGATTTCAAAAAAGCTTCAAAAGCATCAATATTAAGAAGCTAAATATCGTCGCATGTGGATCGATTGCAATAATGTTTCTAGCTGACCGATTTTACCATAAAACTTATTTTCCTACTCTTCTCTCGAAACTCCCTAATATCCCAAATCCGGAACGAATTAATTTCAAAACGCTTGACAAGGATGAGGAAACTATAAACGATTTAGAGATCCACTACTATTAAATTGAACTATTCAAAGCTATCTTGAACCTTAGCTTAAGTCTAATTTATTGCATTTGACTATTACACAAAATTTTGAGGTGTTATCCTTCCCTTATTAGTCCAGCTTGCCATTCTACGAGTCATCTTGATTTAGTGCTTAAGCTTCCATCCAATTCATTTGTATATATATCAACAGCATCGCGAACCACATTGCTCCACCTAAAAGTTCTTGCTTAACTAAGAGGTCAAGTGGAATAATCTTGACCCTCTAAACACCAAACAACGTCCAAGGTTTGGACTCCTCTTTGCTGGTTGCCCGATGTACTGGCTAAAGCCTCGTGGGTAAAAGCAAATCCCATAATAATAAAATTATGAAGGATGGAAAACATATTGTAGGGAACTTATCCTAGCAGCACCTTTATTATTAAACCTATTTTGAATCAAGAGCCAATTTTAGCATTCATACAATTCAACTATTTATTCTTGCAATGCTAAATCACTATTTTAGAAAAAGAGGTGAATATTTATGAATTCTTTGCTGCTTAATCCTTGCTGGAAATATTATATATGCATCAGCATACTATTTGCAATCCGTAAGAATGACGATTTTAATCAATTATGTAAATGATGGCAATTGAAAAGTTTATGAAAATTTGGGAAACAAATGTTTAACTATCAGCATGTAGCTGGAAAATTGGTACCTATTGGCTGTTTTGGGATTCTTATGTGCATAATAGGAAATGCGATTGCTTGACCATTATGGGGATCAATCGGAAGTATTTTATTACTCACAATCTTTTTTAAGCATTGGAGATAAAATCTAGTGTCAAGGTTCAGTCTCTGTGAAGAGAATTGTATTTCTTCTATGTAGACTCCTTTATAACTAATTTTAATATTTTGTTGTACCTGTAAATAACAATTATCGTACTGCACTTTCCATACCTCATCGATTTTTAATCAACTTATAAGCCTTTGCTATTTCATGAAAAACTATTAAAATAGGATTTATAAAGAAAATGTTCAGCATATTCAAAGCAAACTCCGAAAATGTCAGCATTAAGAAGTTGAATACTATCACATGCTGATCAATTGCTATTACCTTTTTAGCTGATAGATTTCTCATAAGATTTATATTCCCAGCCTTCTAGTAAGACTTCCTGATTTCCCGAAATCACATTACATAAAACCCAATTATTTTACACGCGGCGGGAAGCATAAGTGAATGATAAATGATCGCAAAGATCCAATAGTATTTCAAGTAATTATCAAATATTATCTTAAATCGAGAGCCAACTTTGATATTTCTGCAATCCAACTTTTTAGTCTTATAAGTCTATATTGCTATTTCAGATATAGAAGTGGACGCTGATTAATTCCTTGCTGCTTTCTCCTTACAGGAAATATAATCTATGCATCAGCATATTACTTACAGTCTTTAAGAATGGCTATTTTATTTGATTATATAAAGAATAAGAATTGAAAAGTTTACGATGAATTTTTAGATCTTATGTATAGTAGCCCTATAATTGACTAAAAAAGCTCTTTTTATAAAAATGAAAAAAATTATATTGGAGCAAGCTCTATTTTATTACTTCTCTATACTTCACCTGTCTACTCAAAAAATCTATATTATCATCTTCATTTGGCACTAGCTCTTATTTTCATATCTAACTTTAAGTTATTTTAGTTAGTTTAACTAACCAAACATTATACTGCTCTGTCCTCCTGGTGGAGGTCTAGCTTTGGGCTGTGGTGCTGCTCTGTTGAGCTCTTCCAGTCTCTTCTTTTCTTCTTCTTCCTTTTTCTTCTTTTCTTCCTCTTCTTTTTTCTTTCGTTCTTCTTCTGTCAATTGAGGAGTCTTTTCTTCTTCTCCCCAGCCTAGTGAAAACGTTGAGTTTCCTCCAGGCATTTGCCGAACTCTTACTGACGTAAAGTCAGTGTTGTACTTTTGTTCAGCTCCACTCATATTATTATAGACAATGGTATTTGAGATATGGTATAAATAAGTAGCGAAATAAATATCAAAGAGATTAAAAGTGTATGAAGAAATATTAAAAGGCGTAAAACTTAACTAATAGCAAAAATAATTGGATATAAGACATTTCATATTATTTGGCAAATTCTATTTACTAATAATTTAGTTTTATTTGTATAAATTTATATTTAATTAGCAGCTTTTATAGTTTGAGAATTTTTCTTTATTAAATTTTATCGATTTTATAAATACTTACTAAGCTGATTATTACAAATTTTAAAATAATTTCTTATATGGAAAATCTTTCTCATTCAATCTTATCAGACGAGCCTTCTAAATCGATTTTATCTCACAGTTCTTCACAATCGGTATTTTCGTGCCCATCATCATCACAATTTTCATTTTCCTCAATATCTACCCAGTCATCTAGCCAACTGAATCCCACCAATTTAATACAAAAATCAGGTTGGCTCCAAAAGAAATCAACAAAGCTTTTCAGACGTTGGCATTGACGATTCTTTTTGCTAAAAGATAAGAAATTAGTTTATTTTCGGAAAAAAACTGATAAAAAGCCATCAGCTACTATAAATTTTGATCAAGTAACAGTAAATGTACACTTTATTAGCTGAAAATCGAAATCAGAATTTTTGATTCTCCCTCTCGGATCTAAATCAGGCTTCAAGTTGAAGACTATGCCTCAAGACGAGCTCTTTTCTTGGGCATCTGCAATAATTCAACACATAGAAGTCTCAGATGGGAATAAATTTTTGCTAACAACAAAAGACCATTCATGAAGGAGTATCCGGGTTTCAGAGAAACAATTTTTAGAGAATGTCTCCTCTGGTGACGTTTTATTGTTCCAAAGCAAATGTGTTCCAGCTACATTGCAAAGAACTTTGATTAGAAGCAACTATGATCATGTTGCTATGCTGCTAAACATTGAAGGAACGATTATGTTTTTAGAAGCTACGAGATTGCAAGGAGTAAGTATTTTAGAATGAGAAAGTTTTAAAGAAAGAAATTGGCATTTACTTTATAATAAATTAGTTTACCGGAAAATCGAGCCAGAATTAAATCTGCAAGAAATCGAAGCTTTGGAGAATTTCATTGCTGAAGTGCAAGGCAAGAAATTTAGATTCACATTTACGAAAAGGAAAAAGTTCTCTAAATTAGCTTAACTTAAGGGGCTTAAAGTCTCCTAGATTTGAGGCCTCCACACGTTGCAGCAATGAGCCTGCTTGTAGGAGGAATTCAGTCGTCGGAACCCTGCATTAACACCAGCTAATCCCGGAACATATTAATTATAAGCTCTCTAAAGGAAGAGTCCACGTACAAGAGAAATATTTTTGCAGCGAACTAGTCGCTTCAGCTTACCAAATGATTGGAATATTGCCATGTGATGTTCTTCCTTCATATTTTTGGCCCAAACACTTTTCAAGTGATAAAGTTTTACCTTTGGTGCGTCATTCTTTGTCACAAGAAATGATGATTGATTTTGAAATTCAATAAAATATTATACCTTCTTATGAGTTAAGGGCATTAATTTCAAGTAATTTTAATTTTTCGTATAAATCGGTATATGGACTTAAAAATCTTCCGTGAAAAATGCTTTTGAACTTAATGAAAATAAATTTTTCTATGTCATTTAGTAATCGTCCATTTGAAATTAAAGGTGATTTGCTAATTTCCTCGAAGATATTAAATTTTTTTTTAAAATTTAAAAAAATCCTAATTGAAAATAATTTTTAAAACAAATATTAATTTAATTTATAATATTTATGTTTTAAAATGCACGCTGCTTAAAATTAAACAGAATTAGCTAGAGATTTCATTATGATAATTATCACTGATATATCAAAATATTTTTTCATAAAAAATTGTTTTTTTTGCCCAAAAAATAGGGATTTTTCAATAGTTTTGTTCGCTCTAAGAGGAAGGGGATAAATAAAAGGACAAAAATTTTCGAACTACTGTCAGTGCCAAGTGAGCTCAGACAAGAATCACAAACCTATGAAATTTCTGAAATTTTGAAAGAAAATCCTGTTTTGTTTAGATATAAAGGAACAGGTCAGTTAGAAGAATTAGCAAAACATTTTGAGGTTGAAAAATTTGAGCCTGGTGATTTTATTGACATGCAAAGATATGCATTTTTTATTGTGTATACTGGGAGAGCAGCCTTATACGAGGATCAAGCGAAAATAAAAGAATTTGTTCAGGATTATTATTTTGGATATTGAGATATAGAAAATAATGCAGAAGTTAGGTCTATCGATTATTCTGAGATTATAGTTATCAAGAAAAGCTTCTGAGATGAAATTATAATTGTGAGGGAGCCTGAATATTACCAAGAAAAATTCGAATTTATTAAAACTGTAGAACTTTTTGAAGAGACTCCAGAACCAATTCTAAGTCAGCTTGCGCAGTCTGGATATCTAAAGAAATTTCTCCCAAACTCCATAGTAATTAAACAAGGAGAATTATCTAAAGGAATTTATATTATAAAGACAGGAGGCATAAAACTGTTAAGAAAAACAAAAGCTTCAGATGAGTCTGAAAATACACGAATTGTAACTCTTGATGAGCTTGCTAAAGGTGATACTTTTTCAGAAGCCTCTTTATTTAGCAACGAGCCATCTTATTATACAGCTCTATGCATTCTTCCTTTGACAGCTTATTTTATAGATAAAGAAGATTTCAAAGAAATAGATAAATTCTATTTATATGACTTACAAAAGAAAATCAAAAATTACCCGAATGACGAAGAACTTCAAAGGGATTATACGGAGAAGAAAAAATGAAACTTGTATCAGAAGAAACTGATCTTTGGGCTAAAAAAAGAAAAATTGCAAGAAAAGTAAGAGATAAGTAGAGGCTTTAGCACTAATTTGCGTGGTAATGGGAAAAAGAAAAAGAAAGTAAAAAAAGACGAAATAAATAATTTACCGCCTTTGATATCCCCGAGAAGATCCTTGCAGTTAAACTTACAAAAATATCGGCATCACTCAAGTTTTGCATAATTTTATTACAGCGATTTATTGTAATTACATACTAAAATTAAGCTTCTGTGAAGATTCTTGAACATGTTCAAGCTCTGATAATCTTATTAATGATGGCCGTGGGAGCATTATTGGCTGAATTATCATTTCGCTATAGTTTGATGACTCTGGAGCTTCTATTTTTTCATTAAGCATATCAATAATATAGTCAGCTAATTCTTCCCGCTCCAATTTAATTGGACTGAGCTTGGCTAGTTCAGCTTCACTAAGAAGATGTAATATTGATTCTCTCAAAATTATTTCAAACCTTTGGTATCTGTCGCAATTTTTTCAATTCTCAGGCAAATAAGAACTCAAGCTTTCATATTTCATTTTTTTGTAAATTTAAGAAGATGCTTTTCATTAATGTCTTTTTGAATAAGCTTTTTCGGCAAAACCTAATAAATCTTATTATAAATGTGCAATTGGATATGAGAGAGCTGAACTAGGTGAAGAGTTTAAAAATACGATTATTATTGGTCGCACTTATTATACTTTTTTCGACAGTTTGTGGCATTTGTGACTGCAATTTAATAAAAGTTATTTATTATTTGCTGGAACTATTTTTTAATTATATTGCTATTTATGGTTTCATTCATAACAGCATAAGGTGCTATATCCTTGGTAAGGTTTGTATATAAACCAAGAAGTGTATGTTTCCAATGGCCATATGTGTAATTTACACTACCTAGAGCTCTACATATAGGTTCAATGGATTCGTTGACACTTGTTAAGAGTGGTCTGAATGATAAAGATTTGGTCATAGGAGTGTCTACAAAACCAGGCCTTACACTCAGCACATCTATTTTCGAACCTTTTCCTTTCATTAAGTATTTGGCTTCTTCAGCAACAATTAAAGAAAATAAATTGTCAAAACTCTTGTCAGCTGAATAGATCCCTGAGCCAGGCATAGGAAACGTGCTTGCTATAGAACTTAAATTAATAATAGCACTACTACTCTTACGTAAAATCATATCTGGCAAATAAAGTCTTGTAAGAAATGCAACTGGCCAAATATTCATTGCGTTTGAATGCAAGACCTCTTCTTCAGTCATGACAGCAAAATATTTTCCTCCAGAGCCGAAACCTATATTATTGACAAGAATGCTGATATCTAAGCCTCGAGTTTGTGCTTTGATATCATTAAAGAATTCTTGAGGGTTTTTAGCTGAGTCAAAGAAGTCCTTTACAATAAATTTGGTAGTAATTGGAAATTTTTCTTGGAGAAGTTTAGAAACTGACTGGAGCTTCACTGGATTTCGCCCAACTAAAACTATATTGAAACCTTGTGAAGCTAAAAATTCTGCAAAGCCTAAACCCAAGCCATCTGTAGGTGCTGTAATTAAAGCCCAGCTATTAAGACCATATGATGAATAGTTTACTTTTGATTTGAGACTTTTTATAACTGTAAAAAGCTCAAGGGTGATTTTTAAGACAGTCCAAACCCCTGCTATAAAGCAAAGTAATTCTATTCAATCAAGCATGACGAATTATTTTATTATTTTTTAAATAAAGACTCAAAATTATTTTATTACTTAATAATTTAATATTTTTTTCTAGAGAGCGTTGGCCATTTCAGTTCTGTGTTTCCCATTACTATCGATAAAAATGTTTCATTTACTCTTGCAGCCAAATAAAGAAATTGATGCTTCCAATGCCCGCTAGTGTAATCTACCCTCCCTATTGAACTTCAAGCATAAGATATGCATTCATTGACACTTACAAGTAATGGCTTTCTTGTAAATTTTTGAGTTAATGGCGTATCTACAAATCCAGGTCTCAAACTAAGGACATCGATATTGGTGCTATTATTTGCTAAATATTTTGCTTCTTGAGTAGTGATCAAAGAAAATAAGTCACCAAAGCTTTTACTTGCAGCATATAAGGATGATTTTACCAAGGGGCTTTGACTTGTTATAGAGCTTACATTAATAATCGCACTTTTTTGCTTTCTCGAAATCATATCAGGCAAATACAGTTTAGTAAGAAATGTAATAGATCATATATTTATGGCATTAGTACTTAAATTGTCATCTTCTTTGAGAGATGCAAAAATATCAAATGCATGGCCATAGCCCACATTATTGATTAAAATACTAATATCCAAATGGTTCCTCCTCTCTGGGTCAAATTCTTTTGGACTAATTTATTTTGGCCTATTTTTTTTTGGCCTAATTTTTTTTGGCCTAATTTTTTTTGGCCTAATTTTTTTTAGCCTAATTTTTTTTGGGCCTAATTTTTTTTAGCCTAATTTTTTTTGCCTAATTTTTTTTGGCCTAATTTTTTTGGCCTAATTTTTTTTTGGCCTAATTTTTTTTGGCCTAATTTTTTTTTGGCCTAATTTTTTTGGCCTAATTTTTTTGGACTAATTTTTTTGGCCTAATTTTTTTTTGGCCTAATTTTTTTTGGCCTAATTTTTTTTTGGCCTATTTTTTTTGGCCTAATTTTTTTTTGGCCTAATTTTTTTGGCCTAATTTTTTTTGGCCTAATATTTTGGGCCTAATTTTTTTGAGTGGCGCATTAACTAATAATGAAAATTTAGTTATATCTTGCTTTGTTTTAAAGGATAAAGAGTAAATAGCATTTTATTAAACAAATTTATTAATCTAATTCGATAAGTTTTTGAAATTTTTTTTTTAAAATTTTTATATATTTTATAAAAAATTTTATATTGATATTTTTTTTAAAAAAAAAAATTAGAACAAAATTTTTAGTTCCAATTTAAAGGGGGGAGTAAAGAATCTCTATTTTATAGATTATTGAGCTTTTAAGCCGAGGCCGATGGTTAAATCACTTCGAATGGTTGATTTCGCAGCTTTCTGTTGTCTCAAAACTCTCAAAGCAACTTCATTAGATACATCTTCCCAAGTTTTTGATAGCTAATATATTTTTATATATATAAAAATTTGCATGATATGAAAATCGTTCGATCAAGGATGGGGGTTAATTTCCCTAAATTTTAGGAATTTTTACAGTCAATCGTTCGATCAAGGATGGGGGGGGGGGAGTAAGCTTAAAATATGAGGAAAACAGGAAAATGAGCTCAGAGATATGCTTATATTTACTCATCAAAATATTAAGTTTAATATAAGAAGGAGTATTAAAGTTAGAATCTATCTCACATCCGCATAAATAACTTGAAAGTATTATATTATAGAGCATTGAGGAGTTGGATAGAGAAATTTTATCCCAAAAAATTAGGCCAAAAAAAATTAGGCCAAAAAAATTAGGCCAAAAAAATTAGGCCAAAAAAATTAGGCCAAAAAAATTAGGCCAAAAAAATTAGGCCAAAAAAATTAGGCCAAAAAAAATTAGGCCAAAAAAAATTAGGCCAAAAAAAATTAGGCCAAAAAAATTAGGCCAAAAAAAATTAGGCCAAAAAAATTAGGCCAAAAAAAAAATTAGGCCAAAAAAAATAGGCCAAAAAAAATTAGGCAAAAAAAATTAGGCCAAAAAATATTAGGCACAAAAATATTAGGCAAAAAAAATTAGGCTAAAAAAAAATAGGCTAAAAAAAAATAGGCAAAAAAAAAATAGGCGAAAAAATATTAGTCTGAAAGAATTAGTCTCAGTGAGGGGTCACGATCCAAATCTCTTGTTTGTTCTTTTATGTCAGTAAAAAACTCTATCGGATTTTCTGTGCACAAAGAGAAATCTTTTATAATGCATTTTGTTTTTATAGGGAACTTTTCTTCCAAATATCTAGCTGCATTATGCGTTTTATTAGGATTCCTTCCAATTAATATTATATTAAACCCTTGGCAGGCTAAATATTCAGTAAATCCAAATCCAATACCATCCGAAGCTCCAGTTACTAAAACCCAGCTATTGCTACCATAAGATAAAAAGCTTGGCCTTGAAAGTAAGCTCTTGCATGCATAGTAAACTTCAAGGCCTATTTTAATAGCAGTCCAGAGACCAACAATAAAATAATACCACTCTAATACCTCAAGCATTCAATTTAGCTTTTAATTGTGGATTATAAATTAAATGGATTCAATTTATTTAAAAAACTATTCAAATTTATTTTTTATTATTATAAGAATTTCTTGCAAAATAAAAACATATAAAAAAATTTTAAATTCAATAATTTATGAACTTAGAAACCTTGAATTATTAATAATATCGTTTAAAACAATATTTTTCTACTTAAATCTTATCCAAACGAAATCTTTATTAGGTACCACAGCCCAGATAGAAGCCTTGATAATCTAGTTACTTCTAAGAATGAATAATTTTTTCCCTTCACAATTCGCCTATATAAATTCAATGAGCCATTTAATGTATAACTCCAAGACTTTTGAATCAAAATTAACAAGTCTGAAATCCTCACGACCAAGAAGTGCATATTTCTCATCATCTCATTCTTCAATATGCAATCATGATACTTACCTTGAAACATTGAAATCTAAGCCGATTCTTCGTTTTCCGTCATCCTCACAAGTTATTGATTTTCAATCAGATGATATTTTCAATTTTGTGGAAGCCAAAAGTCTTCACCCAAAAGAAATTGAATCTTCCTTATCCCCCCCGTGAGTGAACAAAAAAATTTTTTTTGCTCACGGAGGGGTTACTGTTTTTTTAAAAAAATTTATATAGAAAATTTATAAAAAAAATATATATAGAAATTTCCCTTAGATGGCGCAGTTTGCCCTTGATTTGCCTACTGAAAAAATTTTTTGGTTCGACCAGTACCATGTGGTTTGGTCAAACCAAAAAATTTTTTCAGTGGGCAAATCAAGGGCAAACAGTGTCATCTATGGGAAAATTCTATATATAAAGTTATAAAAAATATTTTTTATCGGAATTTAAAAAAAAATCCTAATTCGCAGAAATTGGAAAGCAAACATTAATTTAATTTATAAAACGCAATTTGTTTAAAATTAAATAGAATTAGCTCGAGATGTCATTATAATAATTATCACTTATATATAATTTTTTTTTCTGAAAAATTTTTGTTAGCTGACGGAGGATGGGTTTTTGGGCAAACAATAGAGATTTTTCTGATGGTTTTGTTCACTCACGGAGGGGGGAGTTAGTGCCTAAAGGAGAATTTCCTAGTGCTAATTCTTATTTTCATCAAGCCTACAAATTACGATCTAAAGGAGATTTCGATAATGCTTTAACTTATTACAGACAAGCACTAAATATCGACCCAAAGCACTTGCCTAGCAGAGTAAATATAGGAATTTGTATGATGAAATTGCATATGATAGAAGCTGCTATAGAAAATTTCAAAACTGTCGAAGAGCAATATAAGCATGAAGGAATTCCTTATTTTAATCAGGCGATTTGTCATATGTATTTACAAGAATTTGACGAAGCTATAAAAGTTTTGAACATTCCGATTAGATTCTTAAGTGAAGAAGAAAATAAAGATTACATTAGTTTGAAAGCTTTGGCGTTATTTAGATCTGGAAGAGTTAACGAAGCTTTAGAATTAGTAAAAAGCAAAGCAGCAGTAGGAAATAATGATAAAGAAGACTATGATATGACGAAATCTGCATATAATTCTTTGTTTCCTTATAAAATCAGTAATGCTTATAATGTTAGAAGGCCAAGAACTAATAATGGAGTCAGAAAATTGCTAAGTGAGCTCAAGCCAAACGCGGGGATAAAAATAAAAGCATCCAAACAAAGCAAGATGGCTTCAGCGCGTACTGCATCTTCTTTGATCGGAAGCACAAGAATTAGTTCAGCTGTAAATACCCAAAGACCTAAAAAAACACCAAGATTGGCATCAGCATATCCAAAACTGATGAGAACTGCACCTAGAAAAAGTTTTTTAACAGGCGGGCCAGAAACTACAAACGATACCAAAGAAATAATTATTTCTCCTAAATCTGTGGTATCAGTTAATAACACAATTACTGAAGATCTCCCTACATATGAAGAAATTGTGGCTAAAAAGCGTATGTTTGATGACATGATTGCTGAAAGCGAAGCTATTTTGAGCTCAATTGTACCAGTTTACCCTAAAAAAAATGTAATTGAAAATCAAGAAATTGGTTTTTTTCAAGAAGAAATGGGAGAAAAAGTTGATTATAAACAAGAAATTCTGAATGATGAAGAGAAAAAAGAAAAAATTGAAAAAATTAAAAAGGAATTTCAGAGAGATTTAGAAGACACCAAGTCTGTCTTTATAGAAAAATCTAATTTAATAGAAGAAATAGTTACTGCTAAAATCAGTATACAGAATTTACGATATATTGAAGAGCAATTTGCTAAAGAGCCAGAAGAAAGGAATTACAGCGAATTAAGCAAAATTTTAGCAAAATTGCCTTTTTTTGCTAAATTTCCTGGAGGTGTTAGAGTGCAATTATTAAAAAAAAGTTTATTTAAAATATATAATCCAGCCGCTACCATTATAAGTCAAGGAGAACTTGGAGATTATATGTTTGTTATTGTAAACGGAGCTGTAGAAATTAAAAAAAAATCTCCTGATTTTGGAAGCTTGGAAATTACTATAAACTCTATGTATGATGGTGAAACATTTGGCGAGTTAGCTTTGCTAGCTGATCCTACTGGGATGACGGTTAAAAGAACCGCTTCTTGTATAGCAAACGAAAGAACTATGCTAATTGCGCTATCAAAAGATGACTACAAGCATATTTTATTAGAGCAAATGCAAAACGATATTATCGGAAAAGTCGATTTTTTCAAAACCCTACCATTTTTTACAGGATCTGAAGGCTTGAGCTTGATTCCTCTTGCTTCAAATATCGAACCTATTATTTACAAAATAAACGAGCCTATAATCCAAGCTGGTGAAATACCAAAAGGTCTCTATATAATTTATAAAGGAAGATGCATGGTATATTGAGAAGGATATTCTTTAAAGCCAAAAGAAAAATCGTTAACCATAAACCCTAGGCTCAGAAATCCTATCCCTCGGCCATTCTTTACAGGAAATTATGTCCCTCCGACAGCAGATATAAAAGAAGATCCTGAGCAGCTTGAAGAAAAAATCAATGAAAAATTATTTTACCGCACAATTGATTTAACAAAGCCCGATGAGGTCGAAAAAGCTTCTAATTTTTTAGGAACGAGCAAAATAAGTGACCTTTCCAAGACAAATTCCATCTTTAAAGAAAGAATTGAGTTTTATAACTTAAAAGAAGGGGACTATTTTGGAGCCAGAGGACTACTAGAAGGGCACACAGGTGAAAGCCAGAATGGAGCAATTATTGCTGAGCCAGCCAAATTTACAGTAGTTTCGGAATCACAAGAAGTTAAAGTCTTTATTTTGAGGAAAAAGCATTTAGGCCTTTTAACAGAAAAAACAATGGTAAATCTTATTTAGGAACAATTAAAAATTGTCCTTGCAAATCATTATGAAATTGATTGCCCAAAACAATGGTCGAATGACTACTTACGCACTGCCTTTACAGAGTGGCAGTCTTATAAGCTAGCACTTATTCAAGATATTCACAAGGAAAGATTTATTGAAAAGAATAAAACTCGGCTATTTATATCAAAAAAATAATAAAATTATAAAATATGAATAAAAAGAGCTTAGACTTAGGAAACAGAATGCCAAAAATAATAGGCACGAAATCATACTTGGTAAAGCAGCTTTTGTCACCTAGACAACAGCCTAAAGTGAAGTTCAATATTCCTAGCTTAAAAAATATTGGAGTTTCAAGCTACATACCTAAAAATATAATGAAGCAGGAAAGAAGTAATCTGCCTGCTGACGTTTTAAAGAGAATTATAAGGGTTCAAGCCTTAGCAAGAAGATATTTGGTCAGGTGCAGATTTGTGAAATATGCGATCTATTATCATTCCGTACTGCTGATACAGTCGGTATGGAGAGGATATAGGACTAGAAAACGGCTGAGACTTATGAAGAAAAAGCCATGCCCAGATTGCAAAAAGGTGCTAAATATGATTTTGCCAGAATTAAGATCAATTAGAATGGAAATTGATCATATCGCTGACCAGCAACAGGAGCTTTTAGCGCTGAACCAGAAATATGAAAAAGCTTTTAGATACTTGTTTGAGCAAGTTGCCAAGTTACAAAATACTTCCACAAATAACAAAATTATTTAAATTTTGGAACAATTATACTTTAAAATTATTAAAATGGGAGGAAGTCTTCGAAAAAAAGGCACAGGAGTTCCAATCTGCCGAACAATCCGCATTGGTCTAGTTGGTGATCCCTTAAGTGGCAAGTCTTCAATCCTCACAAGATTCATATCAAATCGCTTCCGTTTTGAATATGAACCTACTACTAAAAACATAGTTGGCCTCAAATCTTACATTCTCGATGAAGTTGCAATTCCTGTGACAGTTGAAATATGAGAACTCCATTCTGATTTCAACCAGCCGATAGATGTAGCAATTATTGTAATAGATTCAAAGCTCCCTATAAATGAAATCCAGGACTATTATATGAGATGGTTTAAAGAAGCACAAAATTATTTCTGAAATGACATTCATGTAGCGTTGACGAAATCTGAATTGTCCGAAGATGAAGCTGACAAATTTGTTGATAGAGTCACAGATGCTTTAGTTCTTCCTGGGAATAGAAAACCGTTTTTAACTTCAGCTTCATCAAATATAGGGATTTTTCAAATGTTCAAAACAATAATTATGTCTTTACTCCCCCTCCTTGAGTGAGCAAAAAAATTTAATTGTGAACGGAGGTGAGTCATTTTTTTTTTAAAAATTTATATAAAATCTTTGTTTTCAAAATTCAAAACTTCCAACCCGCAAAAATCAGAAAGCAGAAATTAGCTTAATTTATAAAGTTTACCCAAGCTTTGTTATAATAATTTATCATTAATATATATTATAGCTCGAATGTTTATTAGCAAAATAGGATTTTTTCAAGGGTTTTTATCGCTCATGGAGAAGGAGGGAGTTATTAACAATTAAACTTGGATAAATACCAATAGAAAATATATTTTAATAATGAATTAAAAGATGCTAAAAGCTGGGCCTGCTTAATTATAAGAATAAGAATAGTCAAAAAATGCGAGGGTTATAAGTAAAATAAAATTTTCATAAGAATGGATAACCGTAAAGAAAATTCCGATTCCGATGGAAATCGTCAAAGCAGCGATGCTTCATCAACAGACAGATTGCTATTAGAAGGTTCACTAGCAAATAAAGAGCAAAAAAAGTATGTTCATTGGCAAGTCCGTATTGGAGACTCTCCTGACTCCTTCCCTACGTTAGCGAACAAATAAATTGGAAAAATCTACTTTTTTGCCCGAAAATCCATCATCCATAAGCAAGCAAAAATTTTGATATATAAATGATTATGAAAGCTAGTCCTGTTAAATTTTAAACAGTTTGCATTCTAAAGCATAAATTTGCAGATTAACTAATATTTGTTACCATTTTGCGAATTAGGATTATTTTATATTTCAAAAAAAATTATAACGATGACCCCCCCCTCAATCTTCATGTCTATTGCAACAAAAATTTTTCGAAAAAATTTTCATGCCTACTGCAACACAAAATTTTTATAAAAAAGAATTAATGCATTTTTCTCTAGGTGAGTTTCTCAAAAACCCCATAAAACAGCGCTGCTGTAGGCGTGTCAATGACCTTCTCATCGAGATTTGGACGGCTATTGTCATTGCTCGCCATTTTATTAAACTTATCTAGCTAAAAAGTACAGAAAAATTTAAGATGCGAATCTAAATTTGCTGCAAGAGGATTAGGATTATTACAGACAGGCGCTAGCCATATTGGTGGCACAGTCACCAAAGACCTCCCGTGCAGAAGGTTCTACCGCTTTTCGATTCCAGCCCAGAGGGTGTATTCCTCTTATTAGTGCCCTTCCGGTACCTTCTGTCTCCTCCTTGCCTTGCGGGTTCAGTCTTGAGTGGGCGGCTTATGGATTTCTGCGTCCCTGCTACGGGCAATTGGAGTAGCTTGATTCCAAGGATCAGCTCCTTAGAGTCTATCGGGTGTCAAAGTACCTTCCTTCGACAGCTACAGGAAAAAGACTGTTCCCCTGTGGCCTGGGCAAAAACCCCAGTTTCTCGGTAGAGGAATACCCATGAGTCCTCGGATCAAAAGGACGTTGTTGAGCGCATCTATTTCCAACCACAGGAAAGCAGCCAAAACCTGCCCGGATATACACTTCTTGAGCCTGCGTCTGATTCTCGGCTTGGGGTCCGTCCCAGTTCGCATTAGCCATAAGGTCTGGAATGCTGCGTTAAGAGGGCAGGCTGACACGTGTCGCCATTTTAATATATATAATTTGTTGCAAGAGACATGAAAATTATTATTTTTTTTATATATAATTTGTTGCAAGAGACATGAAAATTATTATTTTTTTTATATATAATTTGTTGCAAGAGACATGAAAAAATTATTTTTTTTATATATAAAATTTTATATTAAAAAATTGCATTTTTGTTGCAATAGACATGAAGATTGAGGGGGGGGTCATCGTTATAAAATTTTATAAATATATTTAAAAAAAAAATTAACCCTTTATGAGCGAACAGAATTTTTTTGTTGGCTCCATGGAGGGGGAGTGAGCAAAAAGTTGTAATTGAGCTCGACTACGAAACTTGCCCCAGAACCTGCGAAAATTTCTGACAAATTGCAAACTCGTTTAAGGAGCTCAGCTATAGAGGAAGCATGTTCCACAGAGTTGTAGCAAACGGCTATGTAGAAGGTGGGTTTATTAACTCCTCTGATGGAAGCAAGATAAATTCATCAATATATGGAAGCTATTTTTCAGATGAAAATTATTCTTATATACATGACAAGCCAGGTATTATAGGAATGAGTAATAGTGGGAAGCATAAGAATGGGAGCGTGTTTTATATAACTCTGAGACCAATGATGCATTTAAATGGGAGACTTGTAGCTTTTGGTAGGGTTGTTGAAGGGATTGATGTAATCAGAGATATTTCACAAGTGCAGTGCAAAAATCAAAGACCATTAGTGCCTTGTGTTATTAAACTCTTCATAGTGTTAAGTATTTCTCTATGAAAAGTGGTATTTTATTTTCTTATTACAAAATAGATAATTAATGATTATTAAAATTTTTTATTTATATGGATAGGTCTGTTTCAAGTGGGAATTACTTGAATTCATTAGCGGGAGCGGAAAATAAACACAAATTACATAAAGATCACTTTCAAAGCAAACTGGAAGCTGCGGATTTAACTACATTAATGAGTAGGAGAGAAGCAATTGTGAAGGAAATAGAAAGCACAAGAGAAGAACTGGAAGAGCAAAGGAAATTTAGAGATGTTATTTCAAACCTAATAGCTGATATGATGGCTTATTAATAATTATAAGACAATATAGATCCCTAATATATTTTGTATATTGTTGTAAATTCTTTAGATGCTGATATTTTAGATGCAGGCCAGATCATTCTGTATACAATTGATTTTAATTTTGAACTAAGTAATTTGATAGATAAAAATAATCAATTTAACCTTATAGAAAATATTCCATGCTTTTGCTAATATTCTTTTTTATCACTTTAGAGGAGTCTAAATACACTTTTTATTATGTTGTCTTTAGATTCCTTATTTCGATACTCAATTACCAAAAATAATAGCTTGCACATTGAGAAAGTTGCTCATCCAAATAAAGCTCCTCAAATATACCCTGAGCGTATTAAGCCAATTTGATGTACCATATAAGTTAATATCATAAAAACTCACGTTTTAAATATATAGATGATATCTTTACTGATTTAAAAATTAATTTGAATACTCAATATATTGGCGATGAAAAAATTTTTTTGATAAAAGAATCATTTATTTAATCTTTTTCTTGGAATTCTTAAAATTTCTGACACAAAAATAAAATATGCATTGCAAAATAATGAAATTGATATTAAAATCGATTCATGTATAAGAGTTCTAGAGTCCAAGTATAAAACTTAAGCTATCAAATATAACAAAAATGCATTTAAATTATTGATTGTGATTACCAGCGTGTTATTCATTTGCATTACACTACTTCATAAAGAAAAAAGAGCAATAATTCCATTACAGAAAGAACTTGCTTTAGGAAGAATTCTCCTTGAATAAATAAATCATAAAAAATGTTTTATAATTATTATGATTAATTGAAAATTACTATTTCTCATTATCTCAGCAGTCACTTCCAAAGATTTTGGCACCTTCTATTTGTCAGAAGAAGAGTGGATTGACCTTGATCTTCATGAATACTTCTCTTCTAATGAGATTGCCTTCTATATTTCCAATACAAATTCTTCTAGTAATGATATTTCTTTGTACCAAAATTCTAGCATTCAATTAATTTCATATGTGCAGCATGAATTAATCAATGAAATCGATTATTATAATAGCAGCTATGATGAAAATTTTCCGATATTTGCAATGAATAATAATTTTTTTGTGGTGTGATTTAAAGGAAAAGAAATCGTTTTATACATGCTATCTGAAAACATTAGGAAATTTGAAAAAATGTGGAATTTAAATGTTGGAAGCAAAGAATGCAGAGGAGAAATTACACAAATTAAAGAGATCTCTAATAAAAATGCTGTCTATTTAATTATTCTAGTAAGATGCAAAATAAATAGTTCACTGGATTTATGAAAAAACGAAATTTATATTCTCGATTTAAAGAATTTCTATGAAACTCCAACCCCAATTCATTTTAATTTATGAGATATAAAATACTTACACAACTTAAAAATTTCATCTCAATCTCATCGCAATTTTATAGCAATTTATGGAAATTTTCAAAGCGGAAAGCAAATAATTTTTATATACGAATTCCTAATAAATCAGCAAATATGCTTGAAATTGATTCAATCAATAGATCAGCATCCCCAGCACTATAAATTTCAAGAAAACGAGCTTAATATTGCTCAAATACAATTTTCGAAAAATCAGATGATTTTACTTGATGCCTTAAAAGGTGCTTTTTACTTTGAGTATAAAGCATTTCATAATATATTTGAATGTATGAAATATGCTGACCTATCAAACTATGGAAGACTTTATAGCTTTTCTTGGCTAATGAATTATCGCCTCGCTGTTGGGAGTGATAAAGGAATTGCAATCTTAGAATCAAAAACGCAAGTATATCGCTTAATTTATTGAATAGATATTTTTGATATTACTGGATATACTTTACCAATTCAATCATTATATTTTTGGGAAAATTTAATTATATTGAAGATGAGTGACATAAATACTAACCTTTTGCTAATTCTTGACATAAAACAAAATTTGAAAGCTCAATTGATAAGTACTATTGATTTAAGTCTTCTTATTGGCAATTCATTTAAACCTTCAGGAATGTGAAGTTGCATCGAAAATATTTCTGGAAATAAATTTTATTTACGAGATGATTATGATGGAATTCGATTATATGCTCTGGAACCAAAAGATTGAAGCCTAAGAATCTGAGGAAATCATTCATTTTATGCTGAAATTGCTGCTAAAACAGGACATAAAAATAAAAAACATACGAAAAAATCTTTCAATGTAATTTCAATTCCTCTTGAATCAAATGACATTTACACAATAGCAAATAACCAAAAAATAGATCCAGATACAAGCATAAATTCAATTTTTAATGGAGCTTATCATCTCGAACAAATTCACCCAAAATCATTTTTTTCGGGTCCAAATCTTACATACTCAATAGCAAGCATAGAGCTCCCTAATGATTTTTCAGTTGAAATTCTGCAAACCAATAAAATTAAAGATGCTAGATTCCTTGATCTTGCAAAGCCCCCAATTATCATAAAACACAATTTTAATGAAATTGGTATGCTATCAGAAGATGGTTTATTATTTTATAATGTTTTTAAAGGAGAATACAAATATTTGAACGGTTCGCAAAATATTATTGATATAATGTGAGGGAGAGATGATTATACGATGATGACATTAGAAAATGGCGATAAATCCCAAAGGCTCTCCATTTATGAAGCATTACCATTATGAAAAAAACAATTCAAATTTATTACTAGTATAGAGTATGAAGAAAAATGTAGTTTTTTCAAACGTATTCTTGACTCTTTAAGTGCTGTTATTATAGTCTGTGCTACCAATCAAAGCATTTCAATTCATCGTATTTTTAGCACTAATTATATATGGGCACGACCAAAAATTTATTTAAGTGAATATGGGATTAACTCAGTTGCTAGCTTAGATGGAGCGATATTACAATTTAGTCCTACTATCATTTTGTCTATTATTGACCAATATAAAGGGCTATTGTCACTTGAATGCGGAATAGAACAATTGCAATGCAAAATTCGTCAAAGTTCTTATTCAATTAGAATATCAAGTATACAAAAGATTGTAATGTCTGGGGACTTTGTTTATTTGATTTGTTTAGATGAGAAAATCAGGGTTTTGAATTCAGATCTACAGTATTTAAAAACTCTAAGCCCTCGTGTCAAAGGCAAAATAATGAGTTCTTATACACTTTTAAATTTTTTAGTGCTGCAAATTGATAATCATATAGTAGTGCTAGATGGATCCCTTTCCTCACATGATTCTTTTGTTTATCATTTAGAAATTGATGCACAATGCGAAACTATTCAGAGCGATATTTTTGAACATTTTGATTGCCCCTTTATTTTTATTGCTATTATTTGTCAAAAGTCTAGAATAAGTATATATGAATTTCAATGTGATTTTTATTCAACTAATTATAAGGTCTATCAATTTGCTTATAACATAAACATATATTTAAAAGATGATACAATAGTTAAAGATAATGAATTTTCAGGGAAAATTAGTTTGGCGGCTCAAAATTTATATGATAGATCAGTGATCGATATCAATTATAAAATTAGTTTGGTTGATAATAATATATTAGTTAACTATGAAAACGTTCCGAAAGAAATTGAGATAAAACACAGTCAAGTCAAATTTATCAGTCTAAAAGACGTATTTATAGGAGATGATATTAGAGCTTCTGTAAAATTAAACAATATAGCTGATGAGCAAGAATGGCCTGGCATGCTGCCAATTAAACTCCAGCAAATATACACAGAATCTTCTGTTTTTACTTATAATAGCACGAAATTCTACGACCACACTCCTATTGAAGAAATAAACAAATATATAGTCCGATCCCTATTTTGGATCTATTTCTAATGATTTCTTCCGGTGTCATATGCGGATTTTGATTTACGACAAAGTTTGTGTTCGCCAATTCTCCATATGGCATCAAGAGAAGTTATGAGAGCTAGATCCAAAATAGGGATCGGACTATATTCTTGCAACCAATGAAAATTTGATGATTTTAGATATAAAAGATAACTATAAAATCGAAGCAATAATACCACTAAAAGCCATACTTAACTATGAATTAAATGGATGCACCTCATTGACAGCTGTAGGTACAAAAAATTATTCAGTCTTGGTTACAGCAATATGTACATATTTTATTCCTATGGAAAATTATTGAAACGAACGAAAAAGGAGGTTAGACTTGATAATATCCAAAGCACTAGTTATATTTGAATATAATTCTCAAACAAAAACTATATTAAAAAGAGCTTTTATTGGCATTGGAGATGCTAATTACATGATAAGAGCTTCAAAAACAAGCGACTTTAGGTATGATTTATTTTTAATGAAAAAAACTTCAGAATTTTCTTTGGCTCGTAATAGTATCTTTTGATATAAAGGGACCTGAAATAATGAAAAGCTAACCATAGATTTTGACAAAGAAATTAATTATTCCCTTCTTGGGATAGCTGAGTTCTTTGCAAAATCAATTGATATTGTCTTTTTTAAAACAAGCATAATTGTATTGTATATAGTTGATGCTGAATTTGGCTTAAGAGTCCTATTAATAGATGAAAATAGCCAAATTAATCTGGTAGAAAGCATTCCTCACCCTCACTTAAACTCTTTTTCCTCAATTTGCCATAGCCAAGATAAACTCTTCGTTGATACTTTTAAGGGACATTTATTCAGATATACAATATTAGCTAATTCAAGCTTAATATTTGATAAAGCTGCCTATTCTTATCAAAATTCTTACTATAAGGAAGATATAGCCAATTCAATTGCATGTATGAAAGAGAGCATTAAATATGTGTTTAGCGTACATATGAGAAATCCTAGCACTTTTCTGAGGATTTGAAATGACATGAAATGAACTGACATAAAAATTAATATATTATTTTCTGAAGCTCATTTATTTAGGATTATGACAATAGGTGATAGCAAAATTTCACTTATCGAAGATAATTTTTTTACTTTGAAAATTCGGACTCTAATTGACCCATATATTGAAATTAGTGCACTCTCGAAAGAAAATTATTCGAAATTTAATAAAATTTGAGGAAAAAATGGAATTAAGCTTGAAATAAATGCTTATAACAGTTTTAAAAAAACCAACTCTGCTATAATTTATATTAAATCTACAGATCAAAATATTTCACATCATTATTGAAACATATGACCGATTTTTTGATTTGCAACAGTGGCTAGGTTAGACTATTAAAGCAGACGCTAGCCATATTGATGCGCAGTTACCAAAGACCTTCTGTACGGGAGGTTCTATTGCTTTTTGACTCCAGTCCAAAGAGTCTTTGCCCTAAGGTGGATGCCATTTCCAGTACATACTTTCTCCTCCTTGCGGCTTAGTCTTGAGTGCTTATAAATTTCTGCGTCCCTGCTACGGGCGATTGGAGTAGCTTGATTTCATGGATCAGCTCCTTGGAGTCTGTCGGGTGCCGATGTGCCTTTCAACTCCCTTGTGGATCAAAGGATGTTGCTGGGCACCTCCATTTACAACCACAGGAAGGCAGCATAAACCTACCCGGATACAGATCTCTTGAGCTTGCACTTGATTTTTGGCTTGGAGTCTGTCCCAGTTCGCTACAGCCATAAGGTCCGGACTGTTATACCAAGAGAGCAAACTGACACGTGTCACCATTTTAATGTATATTTGATTTGCAACAGTGATTTTTATTTTAATTTTATTTATTCTCATTATTTTATATTATAAGAAAAAGAAAAATAATATAAGAAAAGAGTTTAATGAAGAAGGCTTGATTTTAGAAGAAATTAAACATAGGAATTAAGCTGCTTAATTTATAAGTCTTATAATTATTAGTCTTTTAGAAAAGGGAGCTAATTTGGAAAGAGAAATTGCGAGGATCTATCAATCTGACATATTTTTAAAGTCTATATTATGATTTCATTAATTAATCGCACTAAAATTTAATCTATTAAAACCAGAGTAGTAAGGATAATTTTAATTAACTGCTCAAGTTTGCTTCAATACCATTAATATTGACGGTAATAAACCAGTTATTTTTTATTTTTTTAGCTCTATTAAGATTATAAGATAAAATAATCTGTTTAGCTTGCAAATGGTAAATTTGATTTATCTATTTTATTATTCTCATTAAAGGAATTTTGAACATTTTATTTGGCAGAAGAAGAATGAATTATTCTTGATCTCCACGACTATTTTATCTCTAATGAAATTTGAATTTTACATTTCCAATAATAATTCAACTGGTAATGATATTTCTTTAACTCCCTCTTCCCTGCGTGAGCGAACAAAACCATAAAAATTTTAATGAAAAATATTTAATATATAAGTGGTAATTATTATAATGAAATCTCTATAATTTATGGACTTGCCATTATTTTTAAACGAAAACCGTTAGGGGATGAGGGTAGGGGAGAGAGGGGCTACCAAGGCCGAGTCTTAGTTGTTCGAGAAGTATATGCACATGAAATAATAATTTAATGAAATTATTGGCACAAAACCCAAGGGAAATTTTCTCAACAGTTCTTGGAGAGCAAAAGAATGAAGATAGCAATTTTATAATTAATCAAGAAAATAGTTCAAGAATCGCTTATGAAAATTCAAATTCACCTAGAGATTATATAGAAAGAAAAGAATATAAATACTTTGTGCATCGATGAAATTCAAAAAAACAAATAAAAATAAATCTCTTCGATTTATCAAAATCCGAATATGAACTCCCGATACAGCAGCAGTCAAATTGGCCTCACATAGTAATGCATGAAATTCCTAATAGAGGCATTTTCTGCTTTGAAAACAGAAAAGGCGGACACGTTTTCTTAATTCATCAAGATAATTCAATTGAAAATCTTTCTAACAGGCACAATCTATCTGAAGGTTCCAGTGCAATTTATCATAAAGATTTTATTTATTTATTTGGCGGGATTAATAAAAGCAATCAAGCTTTGGTTTCTGAAAGATATAATTTTATGAAAAGCAAATGAGAAATAATAAGCTCTCCTTTAGCTTTTCCATTTAATATATCAGGATTTGGAATTAATCAAAAAATTATTTTTCATGAACAGAATAGTGGCTTGCTAGGTATTTATGATATAACAACAGATTCATATAGCGAGCTATATTTGCCTCTAGTTTATGGAGAATATAAAGAATTATTTAGTATTTCATTGTCTGTATTTTTATTTGAGGGTAGATCGAATTTATTGGAAACGAATATAGAGGGATTATATGATGGGAGATGAAAAATTGTGGGAAATATTAGTCCTTGCATGAGCCTTATAGGGAGTCCTGTTTATACAGATAACTCTATTTATTTTTTATTTTTGATACCAACTCTTAGCCTCTATAAATTTGATTTTGTTTCAAAAACCGCAATTAAAGTTAAAGATTTTATGAATAATTAATGAAATAATTATAGAAATCAATAAGAGTGAGATAAACATCATTCTAAAACCTAAACAAAAAGATGCCTAATAAATATTTTTGAAATTCTATTATCCTTTGCATATATTTTTAATGTGCAAGATATGCGGGAAATTTCCCTACATATGAGCAAAAACCTCACCTGGGTAGAAAAAATCAGGATCGATCGAGCGACTCATATTCTCGTACTTTTTTCCTGTTTTAGTGGTATCAGATATTTTTCGTGTTTTTCTGCTTACCGTATTATTTTAATTATGGCACATATTTAACAATTTTAATATCATAATAAATCATAAAATAATAAATGATTATGAAGCTTTTTGTTTTTATAGTCACTTTAATTGCTTCAGAAGAATTTTTGAAAGAATTCGGAACTATTTACTTAACAGTCAATGAATCAAAGACACTAAAGCTTCATGATTATTACTCCTTCAATGAAATAGACTTCTATATATCAAACACAAACATGACTGAAAATGATATAAAATTGAAGCACAACTCATCTTTAAATTTAATTTCACACATTCCATCGAAAGTTGCAAAGAGTTCTCAGTGTAGTACTAAAATAAGTAAAAGATTTGCTTTTATTAACTTATTAGAAGGTATTTTTTTTACTCGATACTTTGGTAATGAAATTTTTGGCTACTTTTTAGATAAAAACACTGAAAAATTAGAAGAGCTTTGAAAAATAAGCATAAATCAAAACACAATTTATCAAGTGACTATAATTCGTGAAACTTTTTATTATCTGATTTTAGCGACAAAAAACACTCTACAAGAAAACGAAATATATGTCATAAGTATTGAAGAAATGAGAAAGCCTGGAATACCCTTCAAATTAGAACTTTGGGATATCAAATATTTAGAAGAGTTAAAAATATCAACTGTAAGTCCAGCAAAGCGCGTTATGGCTATATTTGGGCGATTTAAAAGTGGAAGACAAATAGTATTTTTATATAATGTTTCATATTCAAAATCTGTTCATTTGATTTATTCGTTTGACTACTATATAGGCTCAGGAGATCATGAAAATGCTGATCTTAACATCGTTGGAATTATTTTAATTCATTCTAAACTGTTATTATTGGACTCAAAATTGGGATTATTTATATATGATTTTCTTCCACAGTATTTGAATTTCCATTATAGTAGTTTCATTGATTTGAGAAAATATGGAACATCTTATAGTATGCATCTAACCGAGAATAATAAGAATTCTCTGCCTTTAACTGTTTCCACAGACATTGGAGTTGTATTTATTTCGCAGTATAGCTCAAATATTGAATTTCATTGGATTAATACATATGACGCATTTGGCTTTCTGGCATCGATTCAGTATGCTATAAGTCAACCTAATTGAATGTTTTCACAAGCAGAAATAAATACACAGCGCAATATTACCCATAATTTAAGATTAAATAAGGTAAACCCTATCTTAGGATGGTAATTTGTGTGAAGTCCATAATTCCTATTATTTAATGGTTTATGAGGCTTCTGAAATATGAAACAGACATTCATACCAAAATATAGTGAATTTCAATCTGGATAATATTATTGGAGAAAGTTTCGATCCATATGGTGAGTGAATGATTTGTATATTCAAAAACAAAAAGTTTTATATAAGAAATGACTATGATGGAATTAAGCTCTTTTTACTTGAAGCTGAGGATTGAAGTATGGAAATATGAGGAAACCACTCATATTATATTGAAATTATTGGAAAATCTAATCACAAAGCAAAAAAAGGAGTTAAAAAGTCTCTTAATGTTATATCGCTACCTATTGGCTCTTATGAAATTTATAAGAATCCGAATTATCCAAGTCCATTGCTGATGGAAATATACATAGACTATGAATATCATACCGAAATCCAGCTTAGTTCTATGTTTTCTGGACCCAATCTCATTTATTCTATAGAAAATATAAATATGCCAGACAATTTTTTCGCTAATTTTTCTATTTCAGAAAGCAAAATTCTGGTCAATGAAATTATTTTGCCGAAAAATGTAGAAATGATCAGGCTTGATATTGATCACAAATCCATTGCCTATAATATTAAAAATGAAATTTTCTTTTCTAATTTGGATAATATGAATCGAATTACAGTTTTATCAAATCATTCAAATGTATATAATTTTTTATTAGTTATTGCCTATCCTACTATGATTGCTGTATTTGAAACTGAAAATTCAGCTAGCATAATATCTCTATGTTCAATTTATTCAGAGTTTGAAGAAGAAATATTATGTCGCAAAACATATTTGAAGACAATATGCAATTTTACCAATTATTTGCGCTTAGGGGCCCTCTATATCATATGCGCAGATCACGAATCAATATATATTTATAATGTTGAAAATGAAATGCATGAAGAGATAATTATAAATAAGGAGCTATTAAATCTTCGAGAAAATCTATCTATTATTGATATCAAATCGTTCGGAAATATTCAGGCATATCTTCTTAAATTACGTATTTCCATACATTGCAATTATGGAATCATTCTTGTTGAAATAGGTTTACCTGGTTGAGATGTAAATTATAAAATTATTAATAATTTTTCAGGAAAAATTGAAGCAATAGCATCATCTTTAGACTATATATATATCGCTTTTTCTGATAGCACAATAGGCATTTATGACGTATTTCTTCAACATAAAGTAACTTTAGGACCTCATATTTCTGGGGGTGTTAAATATATAGATTCATCTTTGAATATATTATCTCTACAGATTGGTAATAGAATTGCTATATATGATTGAAATAAATCAATCCATGACTCTTTGCTGCACAGTTTTACAATAAAAGACTCGTGCAAATTGATAGCTAATGGGTTAATATCATTTAAATCTCCATATATCCCTATTCTTTGTCAATTTTCTGATAAAAATGTTATGGAATTGTATCAACTTAAATGCAACACAAATAAAGTGCTTCATGATTGCTTTTCTCTTGCTTTCATAAATTTAAAAATTAATCAAAATTCATATATTGAGAATGAAGAACAAGAAGGATCAATTTCAATTTTTGCAAAAAATGAATATTATCAGTCGAAATCTGAAATAAAATTTATTTTTCACACAAATGCAAGCCTTAGTGTAATCTGGATTGATAACAGAAAAATTGAGAAAAATTTGAAAATTCCATACAATAAAAAAGAAAAAATTGATTTAAGTGAAGTTTTTCACGGACATGATGCCAAAGTTTCTATGTTGATTAATAATAGAACCTATGAAAATACAGATAATAATTATTTTCCTGCATATTTTAGACAAAATTTTGAAGAAATTGTTTCAATTCAACTGCCAACTTGTGACAAATCTTCAGATCAAGTTTTGGTAGGAAGTAAGCTAATTGTGACTGCTGCGAGTGAATTTATTATTTTTGATACTAGTTATGAGGCTCCAAAGGTTGATGCAATATTAAATTTTAAGGATTATATTAATGCAAATATTGCAAATTGTAAAGATTTAGATGCAATTCAAATTGATGAGAGCATTATTTTAATATTTAGTATCTGTTTATATGGACAGAATTTTACACTATTCTGGAATGAAAGAGAAACATTGTTTTTTAAAAATGGAATAAATAGTTTGCTGATAATTGAATATGATTTTATCAAGAAGATTTCTTTAAAAACTAAAATTTTAAATTCAATTCCCTCCTTCCTAGACGTAAAAGCTGTTAAATTAAACAACCATAGATTTGAAATATTTTTATACGAATCATTTAGCAATGGCCTAATTAATCTTAACAATTATATTCTCAGATACAAGGGTACTTTAGAAGAAAATGCTATATTAGTTGAAAAATCTGAAAGAATCGATTTTTTCTCTCTAGAAATTAGCGAATTTTCTATTAGCGCAATAGATTTCGTCCTTTCAAAATTTGGTCCGCTTTACTTATATATCATTGACGATTTATATGGATTAGTGATCATACAAGTTTATGATACACTTCCAGCCAAAATTGTTGGAGGCTTAAAGCACCCTGATTCAAGTAAATTCGCTTCTCTTTGCATTTGCCAAAACAATTTATATATTGTAACTAGAACAATAAAATTATATGAATATTCTATCAATGAAACTTTAGATATAAAGCTCATAAAATCATTTTATCCAGGTCCAAAATTATCAATCGATTGTATGATGTATAGCAAACTCTTATTGTTCCAAGAAGACTGCAAATATATCATTTTCGCCAATTTAGATATTAGTTATGCGTTCTTGTATGTATGATATAGTGACCAATATTTTGACTTTTCATTGAGAAAAAATGATGATGTTTTAAAATTTAATGGTGTATTTTTAAAAAATAATGCAATTGCATATTTAGACACATTGGAATCAAAATTAAAGATATATTCCTTAAATAGTAGATTTATTGAAATTCCAGCAATGAGTAAAGAAAATTATGAAAGCATTGTGGAAAAATGAGGGACTGACGAATTCCAAATTCAGCTGTGCATGGAAAATCTAGACCAAAAAGTAACTTCAGAAGTAATGATATTGAAAAGGAGCATAAATGAAAACGAATTTTTAGTTACTTGATGAATATGACTTTTAATTTGTTGTGCAGTAACTTTAGTTATTGCTATGTTTGCATGTGTTTTTAATAAATATAAAAAGCGCAATAGCAGAAAGATCAGCATTAAAGATGAAGGAGTAATGATTGATTAGGATTATTTAATTCAGGAGCTAGCCATATTGGTGACGCAGTCACTAAAGACCTCCCATACGTGAGGTTCTACCATTTTTCAACTCCAGCCCAGAGGGTCTATATACCTAACGGGCGCCACTCTCCTTATGTCTTCATTTCCAATCACAGGAAAGCAGCCAAACCACTCTGATACACATCTTCAGAGGATGCACTTTATTCTTGACTCAGAGTCTGTCCCAGTACACCGCTTCCATAAGGTTTGGACTATTGCGCCAAGAGGGCAGGCAAGCATTTGTTACCATTTTAATTTTATATAGGATTGCTGATGGAAGAAATCAAATAATATAAATAAAATTATAGTAGCTAGCTTCCCCAATATATTTAAACTCTATTAATTTACATAATTTATAAATATTAAAAACTATTATCGTATAATGCAAGTAATAAATTAAATTTTTCATAATATTCATGCTGATGATTTAATATATTGATAAAGTCGGAGCTTAATCCTAACAAGGAATGATTCTATAGCCTTGAATCTTCATGATTATTTTCCACCAGATAAATTTGATTTTTATATTTCTAATACAAATACTTCTGGAAATTACTTTAAACCATATAATTAAAATATGGCGTCTTCGTCTAGGTATGGCCTCACGGCCATACATCCTCGACACTTATTTTAATTATATCCGGCAAGGTTTTTCTAGCCTTGAAAATGAACAGCAATGCTATGGTAAACAATTCTGCAGGAGGCAGAGCCTAGCCCAAGTCCAGTTTCTAGACTGGTTTTTTACCTCGAAGAAAAGGAAGGCTCAGATTTGGAAAGGGCAAGCCCAGCAAAGTCTACAGGCAATACCTAGACCAATCGGGCAACTCCCTAGGTGAAACTGGGCGTTACGTCCCAGGATCTGGACTTAATTCTTTTGCCGATAGGCTACCAGAAATTCCATTTTTTGGAATTTCGGAATGCCAACTTCGTACTCCCTCAGCCTCACGAGGCCGCACAAACCCGTAGACTGCTCACTCAAGACTGGAGTCTTTTACAAGAGACAAGGAAAAACCCGACGGGGGAAGGTCGCAAAGCGGTTGAATCCCACAAGGGATCCTCGGTGATTGCGTTAAATTAAGGGCGCGAGCCCGTCTACATAATGTAATGTACTTTAAACCATAACTTTAAATTTCATTTAGTTCATATATTTTGATTTCAAATTAATCATTTTAAACTTTAAGCATTTGAATATATATTGTTTTCTCAAGCATTATTATTTTTTTTGCTTTATTTTACACTTCATAGATAATTATAAAAAATGGAGGCACTAATATCTCAACACATACGGCAACACACCATAGTTCCAGGAATCATAATCAAGTTTGTTATCGCTGAAGGAAAAGGAGACTTGATTCCTTCAGGCTCTACAGTGGAATTGCACTTAGAAACCTATCAATCCGATAGCACTTTAGTCTCATCGGAAACGATCTTTCACACAATCATAGATCACTCCCTCAAATCAAACAGAAGCTCAGTAGACCTTGCATTGCTCACAATGAGGCAAGATGAAGAAGCTTGGGTAAAGGTTTCAGCTAACAAAACTGTTGTAAACTCAAAAATTTGGGAAGATACATGATATTCTATGCAATGCTAAATGCTAATGAGAAGATATTAATCATTAAAAAAACTTATTCATTTTTACTGAATCTTGCAAGTTTGCTGACCAAAACAATTTAATGAAAATTTATATATAAAATGATCCCGCTCAAATATGAGCCGGGCTCAGACTTAGTTTTTCCAGCTCAAATCCCTTTTCTACGTGAAGATATCATTTCCCACAGAGAAGGCCAAGTAGCAAAAAGAGTTCTTTGTGAAGGATCAAGCGACCTATCTACTCCAGAATCTCTAATTACCTTCAATTTTGAATTTCGCCTCACTAATGGCTTCCTCTTGCAGCCTTCATCCTCTAGAACTATCTGCTTAACCAGAAATCTTAATCCAAGCTTTCACAGAGGTATGCAGATGGTTCTAAAGACCATGAGAATCAATGAAAAAGCATGGGTTTTAATATAGAAATTGCCCGAGGATGGCGCTATTTTGCGCCATCCTCGGGCAATTCAAAAAAAGGCCCCACACGGGAATTGAACCCACGTGTGGGGCCATTTTTGGTATGTGGAGAATATTGACTTCCACGTACCAAAAATAGCCCCACACGTGGGCTCAATTCCCGTCTGGGGCCATTTTTTTGAATTGCCCAAGGTTGTCGCAAAATAGCGCCATCCTCGGGCAATTTCTATACCTGAACATCTCCATTATATAGAAAATGCAAAAAATTGTCAAGTCTGGGCCTATGTTGAAGTAAACGGCATAGAGATGAATGAGAATATCATTTATCCACAAAATGAATCGTTTTTACGACAAGAAAACCTAGGCGATGGGGTTGTGAAAAAAGTAATAAAAGAAGGCAATGGAGAAAAAGTTCCAAGAGGAGCCAAAATATGGATCAAGCTAGAAGGAAGAACAGAAGACGGCTTTGAGTTTCAGAAGCCTAATACCCTTGTAATTGGGAATGAAAAAATGTATAGTGAAGCGTGGATTCTCGCATTCGAAAGTATGAGAAAAGGGGAAATCGCGTGGGTTAGAGCAGAAAAAGATAGACACATAATAGGGGACTATATAGATGATACTCTTTGGTTTAAGTTTGAAATGCAGGATTATTTACTCCCCTATTTAGTGAGCAAAAACAATATGCTTGTTCATGAAGTTGGCTAAAAAATTTATAGTAAAATATTTTTTCTCGAAATTGAAAAAAATACATATTCGAAATAATTTTTTAGTAAATGTTAATTTAATTGTAAAATTTATGTTCTATAATGCAAGCTGTTTAAAATTAACAGAATTAGCTAGAGATTTCATTATAATAATTATAATTTATTTAAATATAATCTATAAAAAAAAATAATTTTGTTCACTTACAGTGGGTGGGTTTTTACCCAAAAAAAGGGATTCTTCCGATATTTTTGTGAAGGGAAGTTACTAGCTAAAAACATTGACCCTAAAAGCCCATTTGTTGACAAAATTGAATTTGCAAAAATCTTGCTAGATGACGGAAATCGGCTTTACTCATCAAAAATTTACAGTGAAAGCAAAACTCTTTATAATAGAGCTTATCATCTTCTGACTGTAAAAAAAGCAATTTTTGATGAAATCCCTACAGAAGTAAAAGAAAAATACTTTCCAGTCCGTATAAGAGCTGCACTTAACATCGCACAAATTTCTATTGTAAGTGCCGAAACTATGCCAAATGAGCCTGCAAGGCTGAAATATCTTGATCTCGCCTGAGATAGATGTGAAGAAGTTATAAAATATGACCCAAACAATCTAAAAGCTCACTATAGAAAAGCCACCATCCTCCAAATGAAAAATGACCTCCCCAGCGCTTACGAAATCTCCAAATTTTTACTCAAAAAATATCCAGAAAATGCAGACGTTCTAAAGCTCCACAGTAATTTAGAACGAAAGCTAGAGCCTTTAAAAGCCAAAGAAAAATTCATGTGCAAACACATTTTTGAAAAATGGGAAACCGAAAAAGAAGCTGAAAAGCTAAAACAAGAGGAAAATACAAGAATAAAAATAAAAAAGCATAAAAAAGAATGGAGTCAAGAGGATAGAAGAATTATTGATGAAATAAAAAATCAGATAGAAAACGGAGAAGCTGTAGGCACAATTGACATGTCAGGAGACAATTGCATGCTACTGGAAGGAAGCGACTCTGAAGGTGAGGAAAGCTATGAGTCTGATAATTAAAATTTTTCCTTTACTCCTCCTTTAAGTTGAAGCAATATCCTAATTTAAGGGGTGTTAATTTTTTTTTAACAAATAAAAAATATAAATTGAAAGTATTTTTTTAGGCTTTAATTTATTTATGGCGCTTTTTCCATCTATTCAACCACATAAAAATTAGCATTTTTACTTATAAAATCTTCCTATTGAAAAATAATTCATTTTCAAGGAGATATAAATTATCCAAAAATGCAAATTTTATTATGTTCTGCTCCAATTTAAAGAGGGACCTTAATAAAATGGAACATTTTGGAGTTTATAAAGGAGAACGAAATAATAGAGGCCAACCCCATGGATTTGGAAAATTTGTATGAAGAACTAATAAAGATGTATATGAAGGGCAGTGATATAAAGGAAAACAGCATGGAGTAGGTACTATGCATTACGCAACTTTTCAATATGTTTATCATGGGGAATGGAATTTAGGGGCAAGACACGGATTAGGGACTATGACGCTAGCTAATGGCGATCAGCTGACAGGGACTTTTATAAATAATGAATTTGAAGGGCAAGGAGTTATTTATTATCATAATGGCGATTTTTATGAAGGCGATGTAATAAAAGGACTAAGACATGGAGAAGGAACTTTACGATATTTCAACGGAGAATACTATGAAGGCCAATGATTCAATAATCAGCGGCATGGCTTTGGCCGCCAAACCCAGCCAGATGGAACTCAATATTATTATGGTAACTGAAGATATGATCAACCTATGGGTATTGGCAAACTTTGCCAAGTCGTTGAGACTGGTGTTTTAGCTACCCTTGAAGGCACATTTCACAATGGCAGTTTATATGGGAAGGGAATTCTAGCTGATACTACTGGAAACCTATATAAAGGTGATTTTAAAGATAATCATATCCATGGAGTCGGAGAACTTTATTTGTCCAATGGGCAAAAATATATAGGAGAGTTTAAATATGACGATTTTAAGAAAGGCAAGGCAGAAATGCCCGACAGTACTGTGACTTATGGAACATTCTATCATTTTGACCCTGATGGAAAAAATGTTAAAATCAATTATGGGAATGGCGATATTTATGAAGGAGGCATGAAGCAGGGGATGAAACATGGATTTGGAAGGCTAAAAGCAACGGATGGAGCTGTGTTTGTAGGCAATTTTCATGAGGATAGTAAAGAAGGGGAAGCGAGGATTGTGTACCCTGACGGAAGTGAATATGTAGCTGATTATACTGCAGGGATAGAAAAAGAACCTGGGATTTTAATTAAACCAACTGCAAAGGATAAAAAAAAGAAATAATTGTCTAATTAATGCAAAAATACTTTTGATGCTTTTATCCTCTGAATTTTCTGAATATTATAATCTGAAACTCAATTTTCTTAATCTTTTCCCTTTTCCTTTACTTTGCCTTTCCGGTTCTTCACAATTATTTCTTTCCCCTTTTCACTATAATAAAAATGCACTTCTTCGGTGGTGGTGGTGGAGGAGGTTTCCCATTCGATGACTTTTTCAGCCATCAGCGCAGAGAAGAGCCTGAAGAAGAAGTGGACAGCACCCGTTTCTACACTTTATTAGGCGTTGATAAGTCTACATCCTGTGCTGATATCAAAAAAGCTTATAGACAGCTTGCAAAAACAAAGCACCCTGATAAGGGTGGAGACCCTGCAGAATTCCAAGAAATTACACATGCTTCCGAAATCCTTTCTGATCCAGAAAAAAGAAAAGTTTATGATCGGTATGGAGAGAAAGGAATAAATCAAGGAATGAGTGGAGCTGATACTGAAGCCTCCAGCATTTTTGACTTGCTTTCGGGAAGAGGAGGAAGGAGAAGAGAGCAGAGTGGGCCAAGAAGAGGAGAAGATGCAACACATACATTGAAAGTAGGCTTGGAAGAGATTTATAATGGAGCTACAAAGAAAATTGCAATAAATAGAGATAGGGTTTGCCAAGAATGCAATGGCGAAGGAGGGAAAAATGCAAAAACTTGCAGCGGCTGCAAAGGTAGAGGAATGGTAAACAAGCTCCAAATGATTGGTCCTAATATGTACACACAATCAGTAGGTCAATGTGACGACTGTAATGGCACCGGAAAAACTTATGATGCCAAAAACCGCTGCAAAACCTGCAAAGGGAAGACCATCTTCCAAGAGCGAAAAGTCATTGAAGTGACCATTGACAAAGGAATCCCAAATCACCACAAATACTCCTTCATGGGTGAAAGTGATGAAAAGCCAGGAGTTTTACCAGGAGATCTTATAGTGATCATTGAAGAAAAGCATCATGAAATTTTCAAGCGAAAACACGCCGACTTGATTTTCATAAAAAAAATCACCATAAAAGAAGCTCTTACAGGGTATAATTTCAAAATCCCTCATTTAGATGGAACCGAGAAACTAATTGAGTCCGCTCCTTTAGATATCATAAAACCAGGCGATATCAGGACTGTAAGGGATCTTGGAATGCCAATTATGAGGACTCCATTTAAATTTGGAAACCTATTCATTACTTTCGAAGTAGAGTTCCCAGAACCAAAATCGTTGTCTCGCCAGCAAATTAATGAGCTAAAGAATTTAATACCTGGAGAGTCCATGGATTTGGACGAAGCTGGAACTGAAAAGCACACAACGATTGAATTTGATAGGACACATCAAACAGAAAATGATGCGAAAATTCATTCAGATTATAAAGATGAAGAGGATGAGGATTTCAATGACCCAAGATTTGCAAGAGCGAGAAATTGTTCTGGAACGATATTTTAGATAAATTCTTGATAAAATTATAATGCTTGGCAGCCTTATAGCATCATTTGTATAACTTTTGACTTTATGGGGCTTTAACTTTAATTAATTTTCTGGGACAAAGTGAATATGAACTATTACATTTAGAGAAATGATATTTAATTAAAATTAATTTTTGTTAGTAATCGCGAGAGAAAGAAATAATAGTGCTAGTCTGCTATTGAAAATATTAGCTATTTGATACAAAATCAAGCTTTTAAAGGATTATCAAATAACTCGATTCGTTTAACTGCATATTTAAATCTCAAACACTATTTTTAGTATATATAATTAATTACTAACTATCTGATGTGAAAGTGCTAATAATTATCGGTTAAAACATTTTTCAATGGAATAATCAAGTCATTTTCAGCCTCATAGCCCATATATTTCCTTATCTTCTCTTCATCAATCCTAGCCATCTTTTTCAATTTCTCTAGAAGCCCAAATGACACTCCAATTCTTGATTCTGCTTCAACCCACATGCATAATTTTCTGCAGCACTTTCTAATATTCTCAATACTTTTATCATTTTCCAATTCACTTGAATCTTTTGAATTGTTTTCATGCACATAATCAATTACAAAAGTTCTTAGCCAATGATACACATTCAATGAGTTTTCGCTGAAAAATTCAATCAGTTCTTGGGTTAATTCTTCATTAATGTCAATTATATGTGCAATGCACATAATTGATTCTTGCTTGAAATCGTATTGATATTGAAGAGTTTTGGAGTCCATATGTTTGGATCTCCCATCGATTTCTAACTCCTCCTCCCTACGTGAGTGAGAAAAAAGTTTTGTTCGCTTTACAGAGGGTTATTTTTTTTAAAAAAAATTATATTGTAATCGCCCGAGGATGGCGCTATCTTGCGCCATCCTCGGGCAATTACTATGTATAATCCCAATTTGCAAAATTGAGAAGCAAAAATTAATAGAATTTTTCAAACTTATATTTTAAAAACGTAAATTACTTAAAATTCAAAAGAGCCAGATAGAGATTTCATTATAGTAATAATTTATATATAATTTTTTTTTCATAAAAAATTTTTTGTTCAATCATGGAGAGGTTTTTTTCCAAAATATGGATTTTTCCAATGGTTTTATTCGCTCACCTCACTAACAGGAGGTAAGCAATAAACTAAGGAATTCAGAATTTCTGCTGAATACCCAATCAAATCTTTCCCAAACTTCATCAAAAGCTGGCATGAATTTATTTTGGTTTTGAAGTTATTTTGGGTTTTAACTGCTTGTATTAAATTTGGTATCAATTTGTGTGCAATTTCATAGTGAGGCATACTCTCATTTGCAAAAAAGGTGAAAAATGCTCTGCAAGCGTCCCATCCAACTTTGGCTGTTTTATGTGATAGCCCTCTTACGCAGATATCAAATAGTTCATCAAAATATTTATGGATTTGCTCATAAGTAAACATGCCGAAGAGATTAGCAATTGAAACGATTGCGTTAGAAACCACTTTTTCTCTTCGATTTTCGCTATTATCTCTGATAATGTCAATGATAGTATCAATTCTGCTTAAACTAATCGGATTTAAGCAGAAGTAAGATAGTGCTAACGATGAATTTATAGCGACGCTTAAGTTACTTGTATCTCGATGAGCAGAAATCACACTGATTCCTCTGTCGAAAAAGTCTTCAGGGACAAGGTCGGCTTTAGCTAGAGTTCCGAAAAGTTTCATAATAATGCTTTTTAGAAGGGAAGAGGAGTTGCCTGAAAAGTCAAACTTTTTTAAAAATTCTATAAGTTTTTAATTCATTAAACCTATTATATATTTAAAAAGCGCTAATATTTGTAAAAATTAGAATTATTAGTAAATAATTCGAAATTTTATTCATTTTAATTAATATATAAGTTCTTTAACTTCAGCTTGAGTCAAAACTTTTATATCTGGAAGCAAGCTTAAAGTATTTAAGCAAGGCGCTAGAGTATCTACAGGCTGCTTTTTCGTCAAAACTAAAGCAACCCTGGCAATGACCTCAACCATACAGCAGTTTGGCTTAACCCTTATATATTCGTCTGTAATCTCGAATGCAGTTTTCTGTAGTAATAAATTATCTCCCATCATTATGCTACTAAGCTTCTCTTGTATCCAGCTTTTAAACCCATCCATTTCTTCTGGATAGTTTTTAACTAAATTAGTAAACAACTCAAGTCTTTCTTCGACCAAATCTTGACTTCCAAGGACATGGTATACAAAATCGTAGGTCAAAATGTGCTTTATTTTTTCTGATCGCTCTTTAAAGACATTTTTTAACTCCCCAATTAAATTGGAACAAAATACCCATAAAATTTCATCATTGCTACCCTTTAATAGGAACAAAATTTTATTTTATAGGGCAAGATGATAAATTATATATAAATAGTCTGATACCCAACTGTTTTAATGGGAAATGCAATTAGAATTTTATTTAAACAAAACAGGGCTTAAATCAATAAATTTTATAAATTATTTTTATTAAAATTAAAGATTTTATGTAAATTTTTTTATTATGAGAAAAGGTTAATGCCAAAAGATTAGCTCCTTCGAATATGGAAAGCATTTTTGATCCAATTGAAAAGGAGGAGCAAGCATTTTATAACGGCAAGCCTGATGTCAGGATTGAAAGCACCAAGGTGAATCATGACGGATTCAGCAATCTTTAGTAGATGAGAAGGAGAAAAGACTGAGTAAGGAGTTTTGGAAATTAAGGCAGCAGTCGCTCTAAGGACAGCTACTAAAACTTCAGGAGCAAGCTGTGATCTGAGCACAAAATTGAAAATTTCGTGCAAGTTGTCTAAAATTCCTGCAAGTTCGTGGAATTTTGAATTAAAAACTCTGCCAGATATATCTAGAGATTCAAGAGCTTCATACTCAGTTGATTCTTCTAGAAGCACTGCTAGAGTTGTGGCTGCTAAGGAGCGAATCTCATTACTCGAGTCATTTAGCATCATGAATATCAACGGCGTTTGTGCTGATATGCTGTCACACACATTCCCTCGGACATCAGAAGGAATTATCGCGCCGATGTATTCTCGAAGCCATTTCCCATGCTTTTTATAGATGATTTGAAGACAGTTGATGAGCCCAGATCTCACCCTGATATGCATCGAATTTTTGGATTTCTTCGCTTGTTGGCTGGTCTTCTCTATATTTACAGCTCGATGGACCAAGCCTTGGATGGATGTCCAGAGGGATGTAATTTTTTCTGGGTCGTCTGTAATAACTAGCTTCGTCTTCGGAATTTGGGTTTCTTTAAATAAGGACTCCCGTTTCAGCAGCTCTTGCTCAGACCCACTTAAGCTAATTTCAAACATCCTCTTGATTATGTCCTGGTAGCTTTGAAAAAGCTCTTGGTCTTCTGGGTCAAATTTTTGTGGAGGCTGAGGGGCTTTCGTGTAATTTTTCGGCTTTGGTTTTTGTTTGAATATTTTTTCAGACTTCTTCTTCGGGCCATTCAACTTAATAGATGCCATCAATTTTTTATTTGAAACTAGAATGTCGGACTTATAACGATGGCAGAGATCTAAATTTCATTCAATCATAATATTGATTAGAAGGTTTTGGGCTATAATTAAGAACAGATTTTTGAATAGACGCTTCTTAAAGATTATAAAGAAAATATGCTGATAAGATTTATAGCAATGTATAAATTAGTGGCTGTTTAATTACTGGCTTTTTATCGCATTTATAAGAAAGCAAGGATAGATTACAAATTATTGCTAGTTCTATAACTTTCCAAGATATAAATGGAAACGGCTGATCCGTTCAGCTATTTAATAAAATTATAAGCTATTTAAAATGACAATTAAAATCCTCAAGGCAAATTTCTTGCATACGAGAGGAGATAGAATATCTTATTCTTAACAAGAAAAATCAAACTTATTATTAATCACTTTGTAATATTCTAAGTTTTTCACAAGAATGATTATTTTTTTCTTTTTGATAAAAGTATATAATGCACATTATAATTATACCATAAAAATTTAAGAATTTTGAGTCCTTTTTGACAGCATTGGCAATTCTATCGACTCAGGACTGGTTATATCACTTGGTGATGTCATATCTAGAGAACTGCCAGGAACAGACAAAGGTCTTCTCCTTCTTGGTGATGATGTTTGGCATGTTTTTGATCTAGACTGTTTTATCTCTTCCAAAATTCCTCCCAAAACAGGTTTTTTGTTTTCATTCCTTAGACCAGACAAAATTTTACTTTGTGTTTCTATTAACTCCTTTCTTGTAAATAGTTGTTGTCTAAAAATCACAGGACTGGGAGTATATGTTAAGCAAGCCATTTTGAAGGCAGATAGTACAATTGAAGACTGTCCAGTACATGATAGACAAGTTTTGTCTATATTCACTACATTTCGAGGAGTCTGCGAAGCAGAACTACGAGGAGTCCCTGAAAATTTCGCTTTTGGCTCTTTATAGCCCATAAGGAATATTGATTCTCTATCAATTTCATCTTGTGTAGTTAATACGCTTGAAATTATAGAAAAATCAATTAAATTATCAATAGAACTTTTCATGGAGTCTATAGATATAGTCGTTGAGGTCAAAATATTACTGATATTTTCTATTGAGGTATTAATCTGTCTGAACTCTGCAGAAATGTCAGACAGGTCTCGTTTCCTTTGAGTTGCCATTAAGTTGTAATCGTTTATTGCTTGGAGGAATTTGAATTCTAAATCTTTTGTATGAAGCACTAGATCGGCTGATTTTTGTTCGTTATCTTGGACAATTTTATTGAATTGAGTTGCAGTAGTATCTTCAAGAGATTTCAGCAGAACTTTGAGGTTTTCTGCATCGGTTATTCGATCTTTTGTGTAATCAGCTTGATTTGAGGAAATTATTGAGAGAATTTCTGTTTTTGAGGCTTCTATAAGGCTTTGATACTCAACTTTTTGCTCTTCAATTTTTTGCTCAATTCCTGATAAATCTGGCATAATAATTTGTGGAGCAATTTCTCTTATTTCTTTGCGGAGTTTTTTTGATTTCTTTCTTTTAGAAATGTTAATAGGTTCTTGATAGTTAGTTTTTGGCTCATTGCTAGGCTTTGGTGTATTTATAGAGTAATCAATAGATTTATTTAGAGCATTTAATGGATTTTCTTGATTTCTTAAAATTTCTATAGGTCTTGTGAACGCTGTGGAAGTTCTTGGTGTATTTGGATATGAAGTTTTAATAGACGCAACCTGGTTTTGTTTTATAGGCTCTTCTATAGTTCTTTGTTTATCAGCCAAAGTTATGCTTTTATTTATCGATTCTGCATATGAATTATTAACACTTGAATAGTTTTGGCTGGTCCTAACCGATTCAGTGTAGCTGCTTTGTCTGTCTTGAGAACTTCTTCTTAATCCATCTTCATATATACTTTTTTTACATATCTGAAAAAATTTACTGGTTAGCTCGTGCTCTATTTATTTCAGAAAGGCTCATTGAAAGGAAATGGAAATAGGAAAACTGTTTGATCGGTAAGTAGCAATGCTTCTAGTGTGTGTAATTTTGTATATTTTTTGATTGCTATTATAATAGCCTTGCCTTATAATTGATTCTTGAGACTGCTCAGTATTTGAACTCTCAATTTCCGAGTCTTCACTATCAGATGATGAAGAATATTTTTTCTTTTTACGAGAATAGTGCACAGGCTCAGGAGGAAGTGGAATTTGGATGATTTCTTCGGTATATTTTTTGTTTTTTTCGAAGCACTCTTTTATATCCTCTGGCAATTTGCCAGAGTCTATTTCTTCAAATTTTTTAATTGCTCAATCCGCTACACTTTTTTTCTGTTTAAGATCATTAGAAACCCCATATAACGTTTCAATTGTTCTTAAATCTAATTTAACTAAAAATTCTCCAGATAAATGCACGTTAATATCTTTCGAAATTTTCATTAAATCAGCAGAATTTTTCGAAATATTTGTCCTAATTTTTTCAATTTTGTCATAGTTGTCCTTTTTATAAATACTCAGATTTTTTTTGATTTTTGCAATTAGTTGATTCAAGTCATTTATCATTCTTTCATTATTTTTGCTTTCTAGTGATAAATTCTGTATATCTTCTTTTATTTTCTTAATCATAAATTCAGACTCTTTGTCAAATTCTTCGATTTTTCTTATATCATCCTCAATCGCTTCAAATTTTTTAATAGAATCTTCTCTGTGCATTTTAATAGTTTCTTCGAAATTTGTTTTCATCATTAAATGATCATGAGCTAGTTTTTGTATGTCTATTTTTTGCACATCTTGCCTGTTCGAGATTTTGCTTAAAACTTCATCAAAGCTGATCAATTTCATTTGAAATTCTCCGAGATGATTAATTATTTCTTCTCTATCTTTATCGAATTTTGTTTCCATCAATTTTAATGTTGCATCAAACTCCATAAGCTTTTTTGAGTAATCGTCTAAAAGAGTTAACCTATTCCTTAGCTTGGTGAGTGAAATGTTGGTATCACCTAGCATGGCTGCCGTTAATTCTTGTTTATTTTCTAATGACGATATTTGGTCTTTATGCTCCATTACTCTTCTCAGTGTCGGGTCAATTAAATCTTTAATTAAAACTCTAACCTTGTTTTCCAGGATAAGCCAAGTCTGTTCGTCCATTTTCTTGTTTTGAAATATAAAAATGTAATGCCATTTAGACAATAAACGTGAGGCTCTTATTATGATTATCTATATAGTTGCATGCAGAAGATAAGAAAATTAAACAGATTGGCAAGAGATTTCATTGTACTAATTATCACTTATATATCAGATTTTTATATTAAAAAAAATTTTTGTTCTATCACGGAGGGAGGCTTTTGGGCAAAATATAAGGATCTTTCCACTGATTTTGTTCGCTTACGGGGGGAGGTGATAGGCTAGGCTATTAAAGCCATGAATTAATCATATTGGCGATGCAGTCTCCCAAAGACCTCGCGCACGAGAGGCTCATCCGCTTTTCGGCTCCAGCCCAGAGGGTCTTTCCCACGAAGGTGGGTGCTACTTCAGGTAGATTCCATCTCCTCCTTGTCTTAAGGATTCAATCTTGTTTTGTGCGGCTTACGGACTACTGTAGCCATGGAAAGGGGGATTGGAGTAGCTTGATTCCAATGATCCTTGGAGCTTATAGGGTGCGAAGTGCCTTCCTTCGACAGCTATAGGAAAAAGACAGCCCCCATTTTCTCGATAAAGGAATACCCATGGGTCCTCAGATCCAAAGACTTTGCTGAGCAACTCCATTTCCAATATCACAGGAAGGCATCCAAAGCCTATTTTTATACACATCTCTTAAGCTTGCACTTGACTCTCGGCTCAGAGTCTGTCACAGTTTGCCGCAGCCATAAGGTCTGAACAGTAGCGCCAAGAGGGTAGGTTTGCACGTGTCTCCATATTTTAATGCGTACCCATGCATTGAGGAAAGTAAGAATTTTTTTAGCCGAAACACTTTTTAATCATCTTTCATGCGGGTTTCAATACTTTTCATATATATATCAATATTTAAGCATCACATTCGATGTTATTTACTGTATTTAACTTCATCTATCTAATAAATATTGGTCTATTAGGGGAGGTATTAAAAGTGTGTTTAATTAATGCTTTCATAGTTTTTCTCTAATGAAAAATTTTGATTGAAGAAAAATCTAAAAGTATTTTATTGTAGAGAGTAAATCTTATTATAGGAATTGCGCATGAATTCAATATAGAAAATCGAATCCCAAATTTTCTATTTAACATACAAATAAGGAGTTTTAGAATTTATTTAATTAAAAACTATATTCTTTTTGAGCATTGAATGTGAATCTTACAATCTGGATAAGATTTTTTTTTTATTTTTCCTAATTTCTGCATATTTTAATTTAAAAATTTACAGATTCTATATTATATATATGGAAAACCTCAAAATCGCATGGCATGACAGCAGGATTTATAATCGAGAAAACTCTAGCTACATAAAAACATTTCCTTTTACCTATGAGCTAACTCCCCCTCCGTGAACGAACAAAATTTTTTGTTTGCTCACGAGGAGGTTAAATATTTTTTTCAAAATTTATGTTTTTATTAAAATGATAGCTGCTTAAATTAACCAGAATTAGCTGGATATTTCGTTATACTAATTATCACTTATATATCAAAAATTTTTGTTCACTAACGGAGGGTGGGTTTTTGGTCAAAAAATAGGGATTTTTCCAATCGTTTTGTTCGCTCATGGAGGGGGGAGTAAGAGCATTTTCTGAAGTAGAAGAAACCATCAGGTTCTTGCAATCTGAAAACAATCCATGGGTACTGGTGACCTCTGGCAGAAATGGTGAGGCATTAGCTAGCCGTGTCTGTGATAATCCAAATGTGATAGGGATCATCATTTTTTGTATGAATCGGAGAAAAAACAAAAAATTGTTAACTAAATACCCAAAAGTAAAAGAAATTGTAACAAGGGGGTTTCATGAAGTCCTTGATCATGCTTCCAATATTTTTAACACTTATGTAGCCCATACTGTCTCGCAATTAAATGAAGATCCTAGTGTCGGTATGGTTTCTCTGATGGAGGCATTGAATCCAATTGCGCCTTTAAACCAAATCAATAGCCCAGATTACTATTATCACATGCAAAATGAACTTGAAATGAGCTTTTTAATGGTCATCAAGCTAACATTAAAAAATAGAAATATATCAAGACGTAAGGTTTTAGCTGAGCTGTTAGCTTTAAATCCATCAAGAGCAAGTGAAGTTAAAAATGTCTTCAATCAAAATAGGAGAGACCTACTAAAATCAATTATATATACTTATTCCTCAAATTTAGTATATAGGCAGCTAAATGAGTGCTATGCAAGCAACAACTATCATAAAGTTATGAACATTACAGCTGCTTGTATGTGTGAATTGCAAGCAAGATCAAGCTTTCTGATGCTCCAAGAGGAAACTGTCCTGTATAGAGGTGTAGACATTCCAGAAAACCAACTAATTGACTATCAAATTGGGCAATTAGGATTTTGGAGTGCTTTTACTAGTACAACTACAAATGAAGCAGTATCAAGAAGCCCTCCATTTGGAGGAAACGTTCAGTTTGAAATTCATCTGTCAAAAACAATACGTCATCCTCATATAGTTCTTGAATCTGGATGGTCAATGCATAATAGAGAAAACGAAGTTCTTTTGTTGCCTTATTTCCCATTTAAAATCACAGATATTGAAGATTTAGGCAACTATAAAAAAATAATTGTTCATCAAAATGAGGCGCATCTTTCACTTTCTCTTGATAGTCAGGCACTGAATGAGTACTGACTCAATAGGTTTATAAATGAAGTTTCAGTCCCGTTTTATAATCTCTGTGAACAAATTCACCACAGAATCGCTATTTACGTAGACTACAGAAGCTATTTTTACATTCAAAATCGGGAATTTCAAGGCGAAACTAACTTCCAAATAGATTTACAGAAGGCCATTTGCAAGGTCTACAGATTAAAGATAATGAATAAGTCATTTAAAACTCGCCTTGACAGTAGTGCATCAATAATTAATTACTGGGGAATTCTAAAAGAAGATATAATAAATGACATGGGAAAAGACCTCAGAAAAAAAATTAAAGACTTTTTTGCACCAGATTTCATTAATATGAGAAAAAGCATATCAAAGGTGATGAACGAAGAAATGATTAGTACATTTGAGGTACCTTTGAATTTGTTGTATCAGTGCATTCAGCCGATTTTTAATGAAGTTGAAAAGAACCTTATACAGTCTGCTCCAAATTTACATCATAATAGTATGCAAGACAGTGATGGATATATTGAATTTTTTTGCAGAAAGGTGGTGATAGAGATGGGAACGGTGATGGCTGGGCAAAAACTAAATATAGATCACACCACAGAGGCCATGAGAATCAAATTGAATGAGCAGCTAGAAAAACTGAAGACAAGGATTGCAATAGTATTGGGGGAGATTATATTTTAAGTTTAATAGCTGTTAGAATTTCAGAAATATCTATATTGCTCTTTTTTGAAATCTTGTCTTCTTACTCCCCTCCGTGAATGAACAAAACCATTCGAAAAAATTCCTTTTTTTGGGTAAAAAACATTCCCGTGAAGAAAAAAAATTTTAATATAAAAATTTTTTGTATATAAGTAATAATTATAGGTGTGAAATCTCGATCTAATTCTATTTAATTTTAATCAGCTTGCATTTTAAAACATAAATTTTACAAATTAAATTAATATTTAGTTTGAAATCATTTCAAATTTAAAAAGCAAATTAACCCCTCAGTAAGCAAACAAAATTTTTTGTTCGCCAAAAATAGGCGGACTTAGTAATTTTTTAAAATTGGCTTGAAATGTTTCGATGGATTATTTTCTCAATCATTTTCATCTCTTCGAAGGGCAATAAATGCCATGTGCTAAAAATGAAATTTTTATGACGCTTGCATTTTCAATTATCCAGCTTTGAACTACTGCTATACTGCCATAACACTTAAGATAGTTTTGTGTGCTTTTAAGTCTAAAGCTAATGCCTTATGAATATAATTATTTCATAATTTGTTTAAATTTAATTAATAGCAGTAATGAAATGGTGTAGTTCGAATTATTTCGGCAGGATGTTTAATCTCTAAATTATGGATCCAATTTTATCTGTGAATCTTTGCCTTAATTCTATGGCCCAATGCTTGATTCTAGGAGGCATGACAGATTTAAAGTTAATAATGTATTGTTATTATTTCTTTTTACCTACTGAGTTAAAACTCATCTTACAGGAATGGCTGGTCAATATATTAAATGGTATTGTTCCTATGAAGGATGGCTACATCTACCAGCATACCCTCTAGGCGCAACTGTCCAGGTCTTAAGGACAGTGCAAACTGGGATTGATTCTTAGTATAGAATAAAATGCATTATCAGCGGATATGTATCTGGCTTTTTTTGTGATGCTTATAAGAAAGATAGAGAAGAAATTACAGAATTTTTGTGTTGTTTAATGAAGGAAGATCTTATTGGATTAAGTTTGACTGAAATAATACTGTGTAGCTGGAAGTTTGAGGAAATTGTGCTAAAGAAATACAAGAATCATGTTGTATTGATAAATGAAAAAATTCGGAAGTACGTTGAAGGAATCCTAAAAATTAGAAAAGAATTGACCCCTTAAGGGGTGATAACCATAGTTTAAATCTTAAATCTGGCTTTTTTCATGAAGTTGGAAATAGAGACGCCTAGCAACGTCCTTCAGGCAATTGGGGCATCATCTAGCAAGAAACTGGAGGTATGGCTCGGGCCATAGGAGAGCTTTTTTTTTGCTGTAGCTGTCGAATGAAAACACTTTGGCACCAGACAGAATCCAAAGAGCTAATATCTGGAGTCAAGCTACTCAATTGCCTGCTGCAGGGCTTCAAAATCCATAAAGATGAAGGCTAAAGACAAGGAGGAGATGGATGTGCAGGCTATAGCCAGACCTACTAGACAATTCGACTCAAAGAGGAAGGACCTCCAGTGCAGGAGGTGTTGGTGACTATGTCACCAATGTGGCTAGCGTCTGTCTTTAATAATCCTTATTCCTGTGGAAGGAATTAATACATTTTCCCCAAACATTGGCTTCAGCGCGTGCGAGCCATTATATCATGCACTTTTATAGCGTGATTGCTCATCAAACTAATTGTAGAATTTTTTTGATAACGAGGCTTTTGGCTAATTTCGATCAAATTTAGCGTGATGAAATGCTGCAATGTCAAAAGTGCAAGATCATTTGTTCAGAATCAGATTAAGCCAAAATAAATTCTCGATTTTTGAAAATTACTCTTTTTAGAATAATATAAATTTATTTAATTTATATAATATAATGTATTCCTATCTTTTACACTTAAAATTAGAATATTGGATTAATTCATGATTCTATAAAATATGTCTTCTCTAAAAGCAATAATTCGGTTAATTATGATTCTATAAAATATGTCCTCTCCAAATGCAATCCTTCAAAGGGAAGAAAATTCAGAAAAAGCCTTATCCCCATGCTCATTGAATCAATTATATCGTTCGATAAAATATGGGGATTAAAATATTTCTTAAAATAAGCTGCATACTCTTTTAAATGAGACTAAACAGTATGGAACTAAGCCACATTTGCAAATTTTGCTAGAGAATCAGTATCAGTTCATAGAGGTGTGAAGGGAAATATTTCAGGACTTCACCTAACTTCCCCCTCCGTAAGTGAACAAAAAAATTTTGTTCGCTCACAGAGGGTCAACTCTCTTTTAAAAAATTCAAATATAATTTTGATAATAAAATTTTTTTTGGAATTTAAAAAATCGCAATTCGTAAAATTGGAAAGTAAATATTAGTTTAATTTGTAAAATTAATTATAAAAAATGCAAGCTGCTTAAAATTAAACAAAATAATTAGAGTTTTTCATAATATAAATAATCACTTATATATAAAAATATTTTTTATAAGAAATTTTTATATTAAAATTTTTTGTCCACCAAGGAGAGTGGATTTTACCCAAAAAATAAGGATTTTCCAATGGTTTTGTACGCTCACGGTGTGGCGAGAGTTAACGAACTGAAATTAATATCAGCTAAATTTAGTTTTAGTGAGCATGTGAATTTTGGCAAAACTTGTTCGCAAACCAAAATATTTGAGTGCTATTTTTTAGTTTTTCCAAGCGCAAATTTCTTCATTCACCAAGTTTTTCCTAATGTGAAGTTATTTAAAAATACCTCCCTACACACCTTCACCAGCTAACAAGATTATTTGTCAATACTTCCTTGTATGAATAGAATCAAAAATGTTTATATAGATAGGCTATAACTGTTATACATATTTTATCAGCCTAAATTTTTTTCTATGAAAAGTATTTTATGACCTAGCCAAAAGAGATGGACTATGCAATATATTAGAAATTACTATAAATCTCATAGAAATTGCATAGAAGCGATTATTTGATAATATCTCTAATAAATATTATTATCAAAGATAAGTAGTAAGATTTGGAGTGAGGCAAGAATGCGGATTTTGTGCTTGACGATCAATATCGTTTCATCAAGGATGGGGTGAGTTAAGAAAAACAGTGGAACTTTTGCACGATAGGGTTGGATTTTATGCATATTCTTGGAATTGCTTTGCTCCAATAAGCAGTTCTGATCCATATTCTTATGTTAAATATTCGATTTCTTTTTTCCGATCTACCTTTGCCGAAACAATACAACTGATTTTGCTCGATCCCAACTCTGAAACTCAAGATATCCAAAAATTATTTTGTTTTTCTGAATATACAAGAAACATGAAAAAGTCTGTTACTACACGATTTTTAAATACAATTTATATTCCACAAAATTTAATTTATAGCTTTGCCAATGAAATTGACAATCATGTCCATATATACTAATTGCCCGAGGATGGCGCTATCTTGCGCCATCCTCTGGCAATTGAAAAAATGGTCCCACACCGGAATTGAGCCCACGTGTGGGGCCCATTTTGGTGCGTGGAAGTCGATGTTCTACACACACCAAAAAATGGCCCCACACGTGGGTTCAATTCCCAGTGTGGGGCCATTTTTGAATTGCCCGAGGATGGCGCAAGATAGCGCTATCCTCGGGCAATTAGTATAGCTATTCAACAGGCTTTCAATGACTTTTTAGCAAATAAAAGGTTTGAAAGAGCAGCAACTCTAGCTGATGCTTATCAAGAAAAAAATCCAAATATTGCACTTGAATTCCAAAATAGAATTGTTGAAGAAGTAAGCCCTATATTGCATAAATTAGCCAAAGAGTCATATTTATTCAGTGCTTTTGATCAAAGTTTATCAAACGACAAAGACTTAGAGGCTGCATCATTTATTGAGCATATGCCTGTAAGCTTCAGAGACACTCTAAGTGAAGTATACCACCAAAGCCAAGAAAAGGTAAAAATCCAGCAACAAGAAAAAGAACTTCAAAAAGCAAAGCAGATTGAACAAGAAATTGAAATTCAAAAGCAGCAGCGAACTCAATTAGCAACTGTTTTTGATGGATATAGAAAAAGAGACAATTCTATTGATTCCTTTCTGTCATTCATAGAACAAGACACTGAAGCAAGATATTTTAGAATTGCAGATAAAGATATTCAAACTGAGTGTGATTTGTTTGGAGTTGATTTTTTTAGACCTCTTTCTTTTTCTATGCTATTTAATCCACAAATAGTTCACTTACAAATTATCAAGTTTTATCTTGGGGATGATGAATTGATCCTTTTAGCTGAAATGGTAAGAAGAAATAGAGTTTTAAGAATCTTGGAGTTTCAAAGCAATCTCATTGGAGATAAGGGAGCCATTGCTTTAGGAAAAGTGCTAGAATTGAATTCTTGTCCTAGTCTTAGTATTCTTCATTTGGAGCAAAATCAAATTGGCGATCAGGGAGCCGTAGCTCTTGCTCAAGGACTGCGGAATCACTCTAATCTCCAAATACTTCATATTTCTAGCAATAAAATTAAAGATGATGGAGCTATTGCGTTGAGCCTAGCTCTCAAAGAGAATTCAGCACTTCAAGAGCTATATTTTACTCCCCCTTTTAAAATTGGAATAAATAGAGAGCAAGGTTTACATTTTTGGGCAAACCAACTCTTTTAAATCGAAATAAAATTTAATTTTCCAGTAGAAATTGCTATATTCTAAAACAATAATTTATATGTAAATAGCTTTGATGCCCAATTTTATGTGCAAATCAAAAAAATTGTGTATATGCTTCCTATTATTCAAAAATACAAACAATATAGGAAATTTAAATTTAAATTTAAATTTAATTTTTTAAAAATTTATAAATTTTTCATATATATTTTTTGTTCGCCGCCTTTAAATTGAAGCTGTTTATTATTAAAATCAAAGGAGGAGATTAGTAGCAATCAAATTCAAGACGAAGGAGCGACTGCTCTTGGAGAGGCTTTAAAAGTCAACTCTACTTTGGTTGCTTTAGATGTTTCCTTCAATCATATTGGCAATGATGGATCTGCTAAAATAGGAGAAGGGCTTAAGTTAAACTCTTCCCTTAAAAACTTGAATATTGCAGGGAACAAGTTAGAAAATAATGATTCTATGGGAACAACGCAATGAATGATGCTTAATGATGCGCTTCAAGGTTTAAATCTCGATAAAATTCATTTTCATAGTGAAGGAGCTCAAGCCTTACTCCCCCCCCCCCCCTCCGTGAGCGAACAAAAAAATTTTTGTTCGCTCACGGAGGGGGGTTAATTTTTTTTTTTTTAAAAACAATTTATATATAAATTTTATAAAAAATATTTTTTTTCGAAATTTAAAAAAATCCTAATTTGCAAAAATTGGGAAGCAAATATTAATTTAATTTGCAAAATTTATGTTTTAAAACGCAATTTGTTTAAAATTAAACAGAATTAGCTCTAGATTTCATTATACTAATTATCACTTATATATCCAAATTTTTTTCCATAAAAAATTTTTTCTATTAAAAAAATTTTTGTTCACTCACGGAGGGTGGGTTTTTGGTCAAAAAATGGCGATTTTTCTAATGGTTTTGTTCGCTCACGGAGGGGGGGGGGGAGTTAAAAAAATACTCGACCTTCAAAGAATAATAATTAATTTTAACTTTAGAAAACTTGCTAAAACATATTATGGCTCTAGACGATCTTGGCTATGTTTATTGATATTTCCTGACGGGAAAAATGACTTTGGCTTAACAAACTCCCTAATTTGGGGAATTGGATTGACCAATATAGGCTGGTTGAACCAAAATCCTTTTTCCGTAGGGAAAGATCAGGAAATCAAGCCGAAATCATGCTCGCGTTATAATCTATTAATCACTTATTACTCATAATTGAATTATTTTCTTAGTATCAATAACTGATTGGGCCCATTATCTTTTCTCTCTTCTAAGTTCAATAATTCATTTTCAAAAGCTGCAGCGAGTAGGAAATCTTATTCAATCTTTTTATGTTGATAGTTAAACTTTTATTTATCCTAATTTCTGTTAATATTAGCTTAAAAGTCTATAGAAATTTATAATCTATAAATATGGAGACAGTAAAAATTGTGTGGCACGATCCAGACATACACAACTCAGAGAATTCTTTTTATACAGAAATCCTTCCTTTTACCTATGATTTAAAAGCATTTTCTGAAGCAGAAGAAACCATCAGGTTCTTGCAGTCCGAAAATAATCCATGGATACTGGTGACTTCGGGCAGAAAAGGTGAGGAATTGGTTAGCCATGTCTGCGATAATCCAAATGTTATAGGGATCATCATTTTTTGTAAGAATAAGAAAAAACACCAAGAATGGACACATATGTACCCAAAAGTAGAAAAAATAGAAACACAAGGATTTGAAAACGTCCTCGACCATGCTTCCAAAATTTTTAGTACCCGTGTGATGAAATCTGCTTTTGATTTAAGCGAAAATTCTACAGGAATAAAGATTTTGAATAATGCAGTCGATCCAAGTGGAACTTTAAACCAAAGTAGCAGTCCAGACTATTATCATCACATGCAAAGTGAGCTTGAAATGAGCTTCTTAATGGTCATCAGACTAGCTTTAAAAATTAAAAAAGTAGATAGAGATAAGGTTTTAGCAGAATTTTTATCTTTAAATCCATCAAACGAAGTTAAAAATGCTTTTAAAGCAGGTAAAAAAGACTTAATAAAGTCAATTGTATACCTTTACTCAACAAACATGGTATTTTTTATGCTAAATCAATGCTATGCGAGAAATGAATACCATAAAGTTATGAATGTAACAGCTGCCTTAATGTTTGCGTTAAAAGCTAGAGCAGCTTCCTTTATGCTTAATGAAGAAACTGCACTTTATAGAGGCGCAAATCTTACAGAAGTGCAAATAAATGACTATGAAATTGGCAAATCAGGATTCTGGAGTGCTTTTACTAGTACATCTAAAAATGAAGCTGTCTCAAGAAATGATGATTTCGGAGGAAATGTACAATTTGAAATTTACCTGTCAGGAATAAGACCTCATCCTCATATCGTTATTCCAGCAGGGTGATCAATGGTAACATCGGAAAATGAAGTCCTCTTGCTTCCTTATTTTCCGTTCAAAGTGGAAGCAATCCATAAAGATCTTACTCCCTTTTAAATTGGAGCAAATCATCGATAAAACTTGCAATTTTTAGGTACTTTAACCATGAAAATACTAATTTTTATAAAATTATTTTTGATGGAAAAGTGTAATTCGAATTATATTTAAATAATTTTTCACACTGAATCGAATAATGTTTTTAATTAATTTCGAAAAATAAATCAAAATTCAAAGTATTATATTTTTTTAAAATATTTATTGGAAAAATTTGATATAGTTAGTTGCTTGGTTTTAAACATTGCAACTTGCACATGGAATCTTTTCGACGTGTGAAAAGATGATTCCACATGTAAGTTGCATTGTTCAAAAACAATCAACTTACGATATAATTTTTTTAAAATAAAAAATTAACCCTCTTTAAAATTTTTTCCCAATTTAAAGGGGGCTATTACTGACAATTACAACACATATACAAAAATAGTTGTCAGGCAAGATGAAAATCATCCTTCCCTTGCACTTGACAGCGAAGTTCTTTTAAATTACTGACTTGAAAAAATATAGATAATGTTTCAATTCCATTCCACAATCTTTGTAAAAAAATTAAGAGAAAAATTTCCGAATCTATAAGCTTTTCAACCTATTTTTATAATAGAAATCCACAAACAGAAAGAACTCAATTTGAAACTGAGCTGGAGAGCACAATAACTTGGGTTTACGAGTGAGTATTGGAGAATTCATATGGTGCTTCTTTAAGCTCAAATGCATCGATAATAAACTATTGGAAAACATTAAAGCAAGACATTATAATGGCCATGGCAAAACACATAAGGAAAAAAATTAATGAAATTTTTGGCCTGGACTTTAAAGATATGAAGCAAAATCTCGTAAAAATAATGAATGATGAGATAAAAACAACATCTGAAATCCCTTTGGAGCAAAATATCGTAAAAATAATGAATCATGAGATAATAGCAACATTTGAAATCCCTTTGGATTTACTTTTAAACTGCATTAAGCCCATTTTTAAAGAAGCTGAGGAGCATCTTACACAGTCAGATTATCCAAATAGTAGCCGTGAGAATAATAAATATATTAACCATTTTAATAAAACTGTAGTAGCTGCTATGAGACTTGTAATGGCAGGAGAAAGGCTAGCTATTATTGATAGAACTACAAATGAACTTCAAATTAGGCTGAGAAAGCAGCTCAAATTATTGAAGATTAAGGTTTCGAAAGTTCTCGGTGAAATATTTTAGTGCTTATTTTGATTCGCTTAATATAAATAAATTTGAATTGATATTTCAGAAGTTAAACATAATTTTATCTTTCAAATACTTGAACTGGAACAAATATTTCTAAACTATTAATAATTATTGTGTTTTCCGATCCTCTTCTAAAATTACTTTTCTCGCTAAGTCAAACCTGAAGAGTTTATTTCTCTTTAAAATAAAATAAACTGAGTTTCCAAACTCAACTCCGTAGCTTAAAATTTTTAAATCCTGCCTATCACTTTTTCTAATTTGTGTCCAGTGATCCATATCTTCTTCAGGATTCTGTTCATAAAGAAATCCTGGTTTTTCATAGACATAAATTCTCCCATTTCCTTTGAATATAGTTTTTTTGCTTCTATCTTTAAGTGGAAGCACATTTTGATGGCAATTTTCAGATATATCATATTGATAAACCCCTGGTATGCCTGCGCCGGAATAATAAATAAAATTGAAATAGCTAGCACAAGTAATATAAGCTGTTGGAATTTCTAAGGGTTTTAAACTCACTCATTCGTTTTTAATTAAATCATATTTTTGAACATTTTCCATATCATACCCATTATTACCTCCAAAAGCATACACAAATTTATCTAACACTCCTCCATCAGCAAAAAAATCATCACACATTTGTTAGCAAAAAAAATAATTTTTTTTATTTTCCAGTCATTTAGAAATTTTGACCAATTTTTAAAAAATGGACATTTATTGATTCGAATTTGACGTGTCAAGATGCCTTCCATATGTGGAATCTACATGTTTCAGCATATGGAATGCAGTTCGGCGCATCAGACTCGAATCCATTAGTGTACCTTATTAAAAATAGGGCAAAAATTTCCAAAAGATTATATATTTGTTACCAGTAATTATATAAACGTAACAAATCTCTAACTAATCTTATTAAATTTATGCATTCTTATTTTTAAAATATAAATGCTTAATTAAAATCAATTTGCTATTTTTCAATTTTTAAATTAATTATATTTAACTTTAAAAAGATATAAAATCTATAGCCATCCTTCATATGAGAAAAAAAAATTCACAAAAAGTGGATAAATAAATTAATCCAGCAAATGTGCAGCTTATGCCTTGGACAAGATATTTAGCTTGATATAATTCATCAATAATAAAAGTTGTTCCGGAGTAGATGCCGTGATTTCTACTTCCATAGCAAAATATATTACCATTAGGAAGCAAGCACATAGAGGTATCCTTCGGAGGATTTTCTAAATTTTCTATTTTTATTTCTCTGAGAGAAAAATCCTCAAGATTATAGGTAATTATTGTTGTTGATCTTGGCTTAAAGCAAGAAATTTTGCTCTTAATGGCTTCACTTGAGAATTCATTACAAGGAATGTCAATATTTACCTCTGTAGAAGCTGCTACTATTTCTTTTATATGCTCTTGTGTTGAATATCTTCGGATTTCATCTAAATTTACAGTGCTCCTTGCCACTGGATCGCTTAAAATGAGGCTTTGTATAATTTCTTCAATCTTTCCTATTTCTTTGTTAATTTTTTCAACAGTTTGATTTAATTGAAAATTCAGATTCTTAATTTCGTTATAAATATTTGTAGTAATTTTTGCTCTTTCTTGGGAAAGCTCTTCAATTTTTTGCGCGAGCTCAAAAATTATGACTTCTGATTCAGTATTTTTAAAAGCTTTAAGCTGATGAGCTGCAAATGAAACTATTTCTAGATGGTTTAGTACATGGTCTTTGCAGATCCCAAGTGCATAATTTTGACAACTGCAAACGAAATCAGAAGCTGAAAGGCATCCTTCAATATGGCACTTCATTTTTATTTTGAGTATTAGCTATATAACGAGTTTTAATTTTCAGGAATTTTAAATTATGCAGCTGCTGCTCTATATTTTGCTTAAAAATCTCTTTCTTTAGCTCATGCCATTATTAAATTCCTTATTAATTTTGGTTATCTTAAATTAGGGATGCTATAAATAATAAAATATTTACTACCTGTCATGGACTATTTCCTTTGCTAAATCTCCTGAGCATCAAAATCAACTTGATAAAGCTCCTTTTTTTTAAAAAATAGATTGAATTTCTAAACTCAGCATTAGGGTTTAAAAATCGAATATCTACCTTATCGCTTCCATCTTATTTTCGTTCAAATACTATGTCTTCTGCATGATTTAGCTCATAGATAAATCCAGCTTATCATTTACAAAGATTCTCCAATTTCCTTTAAATACTCTTTTTTGTTTATATCTCTAACACCCCTCTTGTGAGGAGTCAACCATTGCACAAGTGAGCAAAATTTACTTTAATATATAAAATTTTTATATATGAACTATGATAATTATAATGAAATCTTTTGCTAATTCTATTAAATTTAAATGGCTTGCATTCTGATTTTTAAATTTATAACTTATAACTTAACTTTTACCGCTTCGTAATGAAGCATTTCTCTCTTTTTATTCAAAAATTCTTCACCATCATTAACTTCTTTGCATCACCATCATCATCTTCAACTACAACAGTAGCATCGTCAAAAAACCACAGCATCAACAACAACACAACAAAATAAAAAATTTCAGCATCAATAACAAGTATTACAAACTCCATCAAGCCTCATCTTCATCTTCAGATGCTCCATGCAAAATCCACAAAACTCCATTTGCTAATGTAGCACCAGCTCGAACCTCCGAAGCCAGCCATCAACATACAGAACCAACATTTGTGAATTCTCTATGTACCCATGCATCTCTGCATGAAATCAAGCATCACGATAATTCCCTCCGTCTTTGGCACTTTCGCGCCATTTTGTGCTAGATTAAAGAATTATTTAAATTTATAAATCAAAATATTTTTACCTTAAAATTTTGAAAATTCAACAAAAATATTTAAAAGCTAATCCGCTTTGGTTAGCGAGTTGAAAACTTTGCTTGCTATAGAGTAGAGAAGAAGTATGATGACATTTTGATGGCGATCTTTAAATATATCATATTGATAAACCCTTTAAGAGCAAATAAATTTTGTTTAATCTAATTATTTTATATAAAATATTTTTATATATAATTAACAATTTTCATAAAGAGATCTCTAGCTAACTATATTAAATTTTATACAGCTTGCATTTTATAAATTAAATTATATTTCTTTTCAAATATTTGTAAATTGAAAAAAAAATGAACCCTTTTTCAGAGCGTGCATAAATCTTTCTCCCCTTAAAGAGGCTAGCAAGCGAAATAATTATATTCAGTTTTATTACTTACTCCCCCCCCCCCCTCCGTGAGCGAACAAAAAAATTTTGTTCGCTCACGGAGGGGGGTTAATTTTTTTTTTTTAAAAAAAATTTATATATAAATTTTATAAAAAATATTTTTTTCGAAATTTAAAAAAATCCTAATTTGCAAAAATTGGGAAGCAAATATTAATTTAATTTGCAAAATTTATGTTTTAAAACGCAATTTGTTTAAAATTAAAACAGAATTAGCTCTAGATTTCATTATACTAATTATCACTTATATATCAAAAATTTTTTCCATTAAAATTTTTTCTATTTAAAAAAATTTTTGTTCACTCACGGAGGGTGGGTTTTTGGTCAAAAAATGGCGATTTTTCTAATGGTTTTGTTCGCTCACGGGGGGGGGGGGGAGTTAGCACGAATAATTAAAACTTTTCGATCTCAAAGTTTTGCCATTTTCAGCGAAATAGGTTTAAATCTTTATATCTTTCGACCCATTTTCACATTTATTAGGATGAGAGATATATCTTCATATTTTTTATCAAGGAAATATTACTTATTATCATTTTAAAGCAGAATAAATGCATCTAATCTTCCCAAAAATCAAAATTTTCTGATTCAGATTAAATGCGTTAAGTCGCGTACCAGAATAGTCCTGAATCAGTTGTTGCAAATGGATGTTTATGAAAAAACTAATTATTATTCTTCCAATATTAAATGCAAAGTCTTCGCTGCATTCAAAGAGTGCAAACTTTTCTAATCAGATCTGATCGGTTAAAACCTTTATCAATTGCAAAATAATTTGATAATAATAATTAATTCCTAGACTACTAAGTCATGAACGGAATTCGCTTTCATATTGGATCAGAAAAGATTCAAATAGTTGAGTGTCCAAATACTTTTTCAGCCTTATGCTGCTTACTCTCCTTTTTAAGCGAATAAATTTATTTTGCATCAGGTAAAGAGTAGATTTTGATTAGGGGTCTCAATTATCAATATTTAAAAGTAAAATTAATTTAATTGTGCTTTATTATTTATCTGTATAAAATTAAATAGAATTAGAGATATTTCATCTTCACAATCATCATTTTAAACCATTTTATTTTGAAGCGTTTAATTTTTCTAGGAGGAGGGATTTTTCGATATTGCCCCAGCTTAAAAGGGAAAGTTAGTAGAGCAGAATGTGCCTCACTATCAAATCTCCCAAATCACATATGAAGACACGGATGGCGATTTTATTGCTATCAAAAATGATGACGACCTTGTTGAAGCCATAAAAATAGGTAAAAAAATCAATGGAGTTTTACTTATCCATCTCAAAGGCACGATCTTGACTCAAAGCTTTATGACTCAGAGCACCAAAGGAAAAACACTTTCTGATGTTGAGATAATTGAAGAAGAGTGTCAAGACTCTCAAACATCCCAATCATCGTGTGAAATAGATTTCCTATTCCCTTGCTATGCTTGTGATGGCAAATTTGAGAAATGCTCGCTATGCTCTGGAAGTGGATTGGTTGATGCAAGCCGAGACCCTAAGCTTAAACAAATATTGCAAAGCGAAATCGAAAATTATTTTCCAAGAGTTAAACAATCTGCAGAAAACAATAAATCAGAGATCGTTCAGGAGAGGGTAACGTGCGATAGCTGTGGGGTCTCCCCAATTATTGGACATCGATATAAATGCTCGGTTTGCCAAAACTTCGATTTTTGTAGTAAATGTGAAGCAAGTGTAGATCACGAACATTCGTTTATCAAAATCCGTGCCCAGTATCAGGCACCAAAATCTATTTTCTGCGCTATTGACGAGCAAGAGCCGAAGCCAAAGCCAAAAGCTGGACTAAAATGTTTCAAAAAGCAATGCACTCAAGATACCAGACTGCTTTGTTCCTTTGTAAAAAATATTTCTGGTTCTGACAGTGATGAAGTCATTGCAGGAACGAACTATACCAAGACTTGGAGACTTCGTAACGACGGTAAAAACTCTTGGCCAGCCGGCTGTACACTTGTCTGCATTAAAGGTAACGCTATTGAAGGAGCTACTCCTCTCCCACCTTTAAAGCCAAACGAAGAAGCAGACATTACAGTAACCTTCACTGCTCCTACAGAAGAAGGAAGATACACATCATTTTGGAGAGCTGCAGACCCTGCAGGCACCAAATTCGGCCAAAGAGTGTGGTCTACCATTCTAGTAATCAAGCCAAAAGACCAACTGGGTGAAAAAACCCAAGCCCTCATTGAAATGTTCAACAACCCTGAACTTGTAAAACTTGCTTTACAAAAAGCTGGAGGCGATTTAATGAAAGCCACTGAGGCTTTATTGAACGGAAGTGTCCTCTAATGAACTGACATAAATAATTCAGTTGTTTAACTAGTGTTTAAATATTAAATGGAAGAGTTAAAAGAAATTATTATTCGAACTCTTGATGCCGCTGGAGTTCTTGATAAAATAAGAGCACAGCTCAGGCTAAATGTATTTAAAGCAGTCCAAAATGACGAAGGCAAAATTCATATTGATAAATCCAAAGCAATTGCGGCAACTCAAACCCCGGAAGGGAAATTAGCAGCGTATTTGTTTACTCCCCCCCCCTCCGTGAGTGAATAAAACCATTAGAAAAATCCCTATTTTTTGCCCAAAAACCCACCCTCCGTGAGTGAACAAAAATTTTTTTTAAATAGAAGAATTTTTTTATGGAAATAAATTTTGATATATATAAGTGATAATTAGTATAATGAAATCTAGAGCTAATTCTGTTTTAATTTTAAACAAATTGCTTTTTAAAATATAAATTTTATAAATTAAATTAATATTTGCTTTCCAATTTTTGCAAATTAGGATTTTTTAAAATTCGAAAAAAAAAAACTTTCTATAAAATTTATATATAAATTTTTTTTTAAAAAAAAAAAATTAACCCCCCTCCGTGAGTGAACAAAAACATTTTGTTCACTCACGGAAGGGGGGGGAGTTAGGGATTTTATGGAGTGCTATAAGATGAAGTTCACGCTTAATGTCTTTGTGCCAGAGTGCCATTTGCTACCAATTGAAGATATTCGTGGTTATCTTCAAAACGAGCTAAAAGTTACTCCTCCATCTGATGTCGCATTCTTGACTTTCATGATTCAAAATATGCTGCCTAAAGCGGAGTCTAAACCAGAGCCAAAACCTGAGCTAAAATCAAATCCTCAGCCAGTAAATCCTGAGCCTGCTGCTAAACAACAGCTGGGACCGATCGCAAAATCAAATTTAGCTCCTCTTTCAAAACAGCCTCTTCCCAACATCCCACCGTTAAACTCCCAAAAACTAGGAAAATTCATATCCCCTCCTCCAGAATCCTCACTCCCCCCCCCCCCTTTAAATTGAAACAAAAAATTTTGTTTCAATTTTAAAAATTTAAAGGGTGGTTAAGAAATTTTTTTATAAAAAAATTTATATATAAAAATTTTTTCAGAGATAAAATTTTATAGAAAATAAATTATTCATAAAATTTCTCAATCTCAAAGTGTAAACTTGCTGAAATGGTATTCTTCTAACTCTCCCCATAACAATTGGACAAAATAGAGTTTAATTTCTAAATCTTATATGTTTGAGGCATATTAAATAGGGTATTAACGTATTTACATATAAAATAATGATTTTTACCCTATAAAATTTTCTATTATAATAAAATTTTGTTTCAATTTAAAGGGGGGGTAATTTCCCAAAAAAGTAGGAATTTTACCTATATTTTGTTTCAATTTAAAGGGGGGGGGAGTCAGAAAGTCCTAGATCTGATTCTCCTCCTCCTTCAAAGCCCGCTCCAAAATCCCAACTTCAAAACATCCCTCCACTCAAAAATCAAAAATCTCCCCCCTTCGCCGCTCCTGAAATAGCTTCAGATTCAGGCTCAGAACCCGAATTAAGACCTCCAGAAAAGAAAACCTCAAACATACCTCCTTTAGGTCAACAAAAAGCCAAATTTGTCCCGCCTGAAATTGATGCGGGCAGTCTGAGCGATTCTAGAGAAGAAGACTGGAAAAAGAAACCGAACAAATTTGATACGGTTGACGAAGAAAAAAAGCGACTGCAAGATATCGATAAAAGGATACAAGAAATAAACAAAGGGGACGACCTAAAAAAACTTATAGAAATCCAAGGAGAAAGCCCGCAGCTAAGCTATGAAGAAGACTACGAAGAAGAGGCAGGATCCCAAGACTACTACGAAGAAAGGTTTTCAGAAGACGAAAGCTTTAACTCCATAATATTAGACGACTACGACATCAGAGAGCCTGCCCAGCTAGTTTAAATTGCTTAATAATCCCCAGCTCTCCTGCTAACTTAAATTAGCATTAAAAGTACCGCTAAATTCTAACCCAGCCATTTAAGAATAAAGTGATGGCATCTCCATTCTATCACAAAATTTTTGGAGATACCAATCGGTCCTCATCAGCCCCGCCTTTAGTCGATTCCAACACACTTTTTGCGTTCCCCATGGACTCTGATTATGCATCACCTTTTTCTCGTAACTTCGGCAACGATCTTTACAAAGACCTCCCAGGGCATCACGAAAATAAGCAAGAAGCAGACACAAACGGCTCTGGGATCGAAGATGAGCCAGTCCACACATGCTCGACTACCGCACTTGTAGACAACGTGGTTAATAACTGTATCAGAGAAGATGAGAACTCGCCAGATGATACTTTTTATGGAGGATTCTCGATGATGGCCAATTTTAACGCTGCCAACTTTGTGCCGGAGTTTTATGGGTACTCGATTTTCACGCCGCAAGATGTCTACACAAGAGCTGTGGAGATGGCGAAGGACCAGAGCGGCTGCAGGCTGCTTCAGAAAAAGTTGGAAGAGCTGAACCCTTTTACAATTCAAACAATATTTGAACAGCTGGCTGAGCACGTGAATGAGCTGATGGTCGATCCATTTGGAAACTATTTGATACAAAAGTTGATAGAGGTAAGCGAAGAGCCGATTATTTCCTCAATTATCATGTCAGTTTCTATTGAAATCACACAAATATCTTTAAACGCGCATGGAACCAGAGCTGTGCAGAAGCTCCTCGAAATCTGCTCACAGTATCCTAAATATATCTATATTTTGGTTAATGCTCTCAACAAAGACATCATAACGCTTATTAAGGATATCAACGGAAACCACGTCATCCAAAAGTGCCTTAATGTGTTCGAAAAGAACTACAATAATTTCATATACGAAGCAGCTTGCAAAAACATGGTCGATATCGCAACGCATAGGCATGGCTGCTGCGTTTTACAAAGATGCATTGATGCGGCTTCTCCAGAGCAGCTGAGTATTTTGATCGATAACATAGTAGAGAACGCAGTTGCCTTGGTAAAAGACGCATTTGGGAATTATGTAGTCCAATATATAATTGATCTGAACAGCTTAAGCGTCAACGCCCGCTTAGCTTTGATTTTTATGGAAAGTATGCAAGATTTATCTACACAAAAATTTTCATCTAATGTCATTGAAAAATGTCTCCAGCAAAATTCGAGCGAAATCCAGCAGGCCATGATACAAGAAATCGGAAAACCGAAAAACCTAGCAAAAATGCTGACTGATCAATATGCGAATTACGTCGTACAGAGAGCGCTAACTCTAGCTTCTCCAGCTATGCTTGTGAAGATGCTAAAGGAAATTAAATCGATGATGGAAGACTTGAAGAAAAATCAGTTTGGGAAGAGAATACATGCCAAGCTACTGAGGAAGTATCCAGAACTGATGGAGAAAGGGTAAAAACTATGTAGGTTTGGCAGGGTTTAGCAGTCGGCTGGATTTCTAAATTCACTGATAATTTAGATGAGTTAATAGAATTTATTAAATATGTTTTGAGTTGATATACGAAAATTTCACTTTATAGATTTTTGCTAAATAATATAGGAAATAAAACGAATAAGATGGAGACAGAAAATAGAGGCGATTCTCAGGCAGATAAAGGAAATGAAGGCGATTCTCAGACAGACAAAGGAAATGAAGGCGATTCTCAACTAGATAAGCAACCCTTAAAAGATGAGTACTCTTCACATCTAAAAGTTTTAAGTGATTTAAAATATTCAGATGTTAAAAAGAAAAAGTACCATATTAGCAATAGAGATGCTCAAGACTGCTGTGAAATCTTATGCTTATGTTGCTTATTTCCATGTCAGCTTTGCGATGGTAATTGCTAGATTATTTACTAATAATGAGTAATTACTTTAGCTATATACGTTTTTACCCAAACTTAAAATTATCATCACTATTATTGGCTGCAGCTACTCATTTTTACCTTCCTATCAACACTATCTCTATTTTTCCTTCTAAATATTCTAGACAAAACTGACTTGGAGCTTCTCTTTTTAGCGTCATTAAGTTTTTTCTTTAGCTCATCCTTGTGAGTTTCTGCTTCTGCGTATTTCAGTTTTGCTTCAATAATTAGCTTTTCAGCATCACTGAGCTCTTGCCTTAGCATGTTATTATCTACCAGTTTACTTTCTTCAAACCTTGCCTTATACCAGCTCAAAGAGTCCTCCAAGCCTTTAATTTGTTCCTGCAGCGCTATTTTTTCTTGTGTCAAAATTGCAATATTCGCTTCTTTTTCAACAAAATTGAAGCAGAAATTTTCTCTTGGAGTCAATGTTTTTTCTCCAAGCTCGCTGAATTCACTCTGCAATGACTCAAAAGTGTCTTCAAGTGTGTTGCAGGGTTCTTCCAAGTCCTCAATCTTCTGCTCAAGCTCTTGCTTTTCCTTTTTCAGTGTGAAAATCCTTGACGCCATTTCTTCTTTGATTGAAGAAATTGATAGAGAAGCTTCTCTTTCAAGTTCTTCGTGTTTTGTGTGTTCTTCTTTAAGCTGAGATTCCAATGCGTTTATCAAAGATTGTAACTCTTTATTTTCGGTTTCAAGCTTCAAAATTGAGGATTGGGAAATTGCCTGCTTGGATTTGCTGTCATCAATTTTGGCTTCAATTTCATGGCGCAATGATGAAATTGTGATTTCTTGCTTGTTTATTAAGTTTTGGAGCTGGAAGTTTTTAATTTCAAGCTCTTTCAAACTTTGGTGTTTTTCATGGGTTGAATCTTCTATATGTCCTTCAATTTGTTTTTGCAGGCTCGATATAATTTTTTCTTTCTGCGAGATAGTTCTATTCAGGCTCTCTATTTCGTTTTCTTGAGTTATAACTCGCTCTTCTAGATTCTGTGCCCTATCTTGGATTTCATCATTTTCATTGAATACTTCATCAAGTTTTGTATTAAGAGAGCTTATTGTTTTTTCAGCCTTAGAAAGTTTCTGCTGGAGATATTCAATTTTCTCTCGCATCTCAGAGATCTCGCTATAATAGCTTTCTTCTTTCTGCTCTTTTATCTGATAATTCTCGTCTAAAAGTCTTTTAATGATCATCGCTTTTTCGCTCAACTCTTCGTTTAACGTTTCTATCTCAATCTCCATTGACTGAAACGCTTCTAGTTGGTTCGGATAAACGTTAACTGCCATGTTTGAAAAATTATTTTCATTATTGTAACTTATATTTGGACTCATTGCAAAAGGTGAATTGAAATCTTGGGAAACTAATGCTTGGAAAGAAGTGACGGTGGAAGATGCAATTGAAAGGGATGGCTCTTTAGTGAAGTAGTCTCCAATACTATTTGACTGAGAATCGTCGGATAGCTCGTCTTCAATTTCCAATATTCGGGCTCGTGGGTCAGCATACAATTTTTTTCGGGTCGTTGAGTCAATAGAGCTGGCTGGCATGCTACTCAGATTACTGCTCGCCATAATAGGTAATTTATCTATTATTTCACTTCTATTAATATACTTTTATAGCTTATGCACCAATATAGATTGTCATCATTATAACTATAACTGTTCTAATAGCACTCATATCTTGTGCATCTTAGATCAGATCTATCGCTATTTTGAGAAATAATAGTTGTATATATTTAACCCTGAATATTTCTCAAAATAGTAAGAGATCTTGTCTAAGATGTGCAAGATATAAAATCCATAGAACGGTTACATTTCCAACGATGATAATCTATATCGGTGCATGAGCTATACTTTTTAGGCAACAATTTATGGGCTGTGCAATAACCATTCATAAGCTAGATTTTTTCATTATGAAAATTTATTGTTTGAGTATCAAGATAAAGCATCAAAAATATTATATTAAATGATAAACTAAAAAAAATCTAAATCATTCATCTGTCATAACAACATAGTCTCTATCAATAGACATAGATATGATTTTTTTAAAATATAATTCTTGAATTAAATTTTTATGAAAAATTGAAAAATTATATTTAATTATGGGAGTAAGTGAATAAACTTAAAGAATTAGAAGTCAAATAGATAGGAATAATTTGTGAGATAAATGGCACAGCCTGTTCACACTCACCTTCCAAGGGTAGAAAGCGTCCAAACCTATGGCAAGAAAAAGCACGCTCAAGCAGTCGCTTTAATTACAAAAGGAAAAGGCATGATCAGAGTTAATGGTGTCCCACTTCACCTTGTCGAGCCACAAACCCTCAGAGTGAAAGTGCTGGAGCCTATTCTATTGCTTGGAGAATCTCGCTTCAGCAAGGTTGACTTCAAAATCAGAGTTCATGGCGGTGGTTACGTAAGCCAAATCTACGCAGTCCGACAAGCAATAGCCAAAGGAATCATTGCATTCTACCAAAAATATGTAGATGAAGCATCCAAGAGGCAAATCAAAGAAATGATTTTGGCTTACGACAGAAGTCTGCTGGTGGCTGATCCTAGAAGAAAAGAGCCAAAGAAGTACGGTGGCCCAGGCGCAAGAGCAAGAAGACAAAAGAGTTATCGTTAAATATTTTCTCTTCAATTTTTATAAACAATATATAAGTTCGTGGAGGTTATTTCTAATGATGCTTAATGATAAATTAGCTTACTTAGAAGCACTTGCGGTGAACAATGCTAGCTCCTGCTTCATCGTATTCAGCCTTGGTGACCCACATTTGTTGGAAGCTTGAAAGTGAGCTGAGGATTGAGCCTCCAATCCAGACTGAGTATTTTCTTTCAGGTGGAGCCACAACTTTAATTTTCATGCTTGGTGGTGCCTTTGCTACGAGTTCTTTATTGAGTCTTTCAGCAATTCCTGGATACATGGTAGATCCTCCACTCATGACAACGTTTCCGTATAAGTCTCTTCTGATATCCAAGTCACATTTCATGATTGATTTATAAGTAGTCTCGTCCATGCCGTCAATATCAAGCCCTAACAAGCTTGGCTGGAACAGAGCCTCTGGGGCTCTGAATCTTTCACTTCCAAGGGTGACAGTGCTTCCGTCAGGCATTTCGTAATTCTTTTCGATTTCTGAGGAAGTTCTTGATTTGTTCATTTCTTCTTGGAAGTCCAAGGCAACATAGCAGAGCTTTTCTTTGATGTCTCTGACGATTTCTTTTTCAGCAGAGTTTGTTAAGGAGTGTCCTCTTTCAGTCATGAGTCTCACAAGGTGCAGGGTCAAGTCACGACCAGCGACGTCAATTCTTTGAATTGCGTGAGGCAGGGCGTAGCCTTCGTAGATTGGAACAACGTGAGTGACTCCGTCACCTGAATCTACGACCATACCAGTGGTTCTGCCAGAGCTGTACAGTGAAAGCACGGCTTGAATGGCGACGTAAAAGGCTGGGACGTTGAAGGTTTCGAACATGATTTGGGTCATTTTTTCTCTGTTGTTCTTAGGGTTGAGTGGGGCTTCAGTGAGGAGGACTGGGTGCTCGTCTGCTGGGACTCTGAGCTCGTTGAAGAAAGTGTGATGCCAAATCCTTTCCATGTCGTCCCAGTTGGTAACAATACCGTGCTCGATTGGGTACTTGAGATTGAGGACGCCTCTCTTGGCTTGTGCCTCGTCACCAATATATACTTCTTTTTGTTCTGTTCCTACGATGATTCCTGGCATTCTTGGACGACCGACAATACTTGGGAATACTGCTCTTGGAGCATCATCGCCGGCTATGCCAGCCTTGCACATTCCTGATCCGTTGTCAATGACGAGAGCTTGGACGTTCTGATCCACCATTTATAACCATCGATGAAGCATATTTGTAAAATTAAGCGAAAGCAGTTTAGAAAGTTGGGGAAGAATTAAAATGAAATGAAAATTTATTAGATACGACTAAGAAAAATATTCATGATTGCTCCAAAGCTATTTATTAAAACCTAGCAAAAGGTTATGAGACCACTTCAAATAATTTTGATTGAAATCGAAATTAATAATTTACTTTTTAGTAAGGCAAACAGGGAACATTCCAGAAAAGTAGATGGATGAAAAACATGAACAAATACTCATAGAAAACTTAGATCAAGAGATAACTGAGGAGTGACTAGACGAGAAAATGAAATATTGAAGTGTTAAATTAATTTTCTCTACCATTTTGTTTAAAATTCATGTGAGAGTTTTAGGGTAAGATTATTTATAAGAATTAATGTATTAGAGAACCTGATAATTAACTTAAAAGCATGTTTAGTAATTATTATTCAATCCTGGGTAAATTCTTGAAATTGCTATTAAATAACATAAAATTGATGTATAAATCTGGAATTTCTAAGTCAGTCATTCAACATAATAAATTAATTAAACTATTGTTATTATATGAGCCTTCTTTTTCCTTGTGATTCATATTGAAATAAATTTGAATTGTATTATTTACAGCTGAGAGTACAGCAAAACGTTTTAAATAAAACCTGGATAGACTTGCTTTAAAATCTTCTTTAGTTAGCTCTATTTAGAACTTATGAAGGCAATTATAAATAATTTCTGTTAGTTATATTAACTAAAAGCATTTTTGATTTATAATACCAGTGCCCTTTTCAAAAAATTCATCTCTTGTAACCCAAAACTGATTCATACTTGACAAAGAGGCAAAAATGCTTCCACCAATTCAAGGATTGTGTGGTCTTGACTCTCTTCTGAAAAGCAATTGAACTCGCACATTAGGCGGCGCTTTTGCTTTTAATTCTTTACTAAGCCTATCATCAAATCCTGAAAATAGCGATGTGCACCCACTTGTAATGATATTTTTTCATAAATCTTCTCTTATGTCGCTGTCGCTATTCATTATTGATGAATTAGTGACTTCATCAATTCCTCCAAATAAATTACTTGAATCCACTAAGAATGGTTTGAATAGCACTTCGGGAATCATATATCTCTCTCTCCCTAAGTTTATTTGGCTTCCATCAGGCATTATATAATCAGGGCTTACTTCTGCTAAATTAATAGAGACTTCCGATTCAGATTGTAAATCCAATGATACATAGCAGAGCTTTTCTTTTATTTTTCTCAAGACTGCTTTATTATTCATCCATGGGGGAATCCTTTCCCTCAAAAATCGGCTTAATAATTTAGTTAAATCTAATCCTCCAATATCTATATGAGCAACATTTGATAAAGTATAGCCATCATAAATTGGTACAGCATGAGTGGCTTGGTTTCCACAATGCACAACCAACCCAGTAGTTCTTCCACAACTATAGAGAGAAAGAACGGCCTGATTGACCACATAAAATGCAGGAATACTAAACTCTTCGAAAAAAATCTCAGCCATTCTTTCTCTTGCATCTTTTGGGTTAAGTGGTGGCTCAGTAATAAGAATAGGGAATTCAGCTGGATTAGCCTTTAATTCTTTTGAAAAGAGGTGGTGTCATATAGTTTTCATTTCATCCCAGCCCTGAATAATACCTTTTTCAAACGGACTTACTATTTTGTCTGATTCTCCAAGAAATAATGTTTCACTTCCTATATGAAAATTTTCGATTTTTTTCTCTGAAATATTATCAAAGCTCTCGGTGATTCCAATAACACTTGGAATTTCTATCTTTGGGAGATCGTCTCCTGAATAACCAGCTTTAATGGTGCATGAGCCATTGTCTATTACGATCCTCGAGTCAAAGCAATTGGCCATCATTATTTAATCAAACATCAAGTTATTTCCATTAATTTAAATCAGGTATTATTATCAAATTTTTATTTGTCTAGCTTATAGAATTTCATAATATCCTAAAGGGAGAATAAGGATGGGTTAAAAAACCATTTATGACATTTATAAGGATCCTGGCTCAAAAAATAGGTATCCAATCGATAGTTCATATAAGAGATAGAATATTGGATTCTTTAGAGCTAATAAGAATTATCATATTATAATAAAGTTATCTTAGAAAATTTTTCTTAAAGCCCCATTATTATTTGAAGAATAGATGTTTCTTTTTCTTAGTAAAATTTCAGCTTTTTATTTGTTTTTTTTTGTAATTTACTGACATTTTGTAAGAGTAATGCGCATTTATTAGCGAATTTCTTTTCTAATTATTTAATTAATCGAACAATTTGAGGGTTTGCATTTAGATGCCAATTGAATTTTAGTATGCTGAAAGTAGATGCAGCTTTTTAGTTCACGTGTCAAAACCCAGTTTGCATATTAAAATATTATGCATACTCTCAATAGCTATGTCATTTTCAAGCTGATTGATATTGATTATAAATTTAGACAGATTAATATATTTAGAAATATTGGTAGTGAAGATATTGGATTTTAAGCTTATAATATTAATATGGACAAATAAATTATTGCTCTTAGCAAATATAATAAGCATATTTTAAATAAAAATATCTTATTTAACTTAACTATTGTTTATATCCTAAATATTTCTATCAAAAACTCATTTATCAATAATTCTAAAAGAAATTTGGTTATATCAAATAAAGCTGAAATTTAATTTCGAAATATATGACGCTTATTGGTCCTTCTCGATGTTGACGCTGGTGTTGCAACAAAATTTGTTAAAAACACCGAGTCCTGGCTCAATCTTGCCTCTCTAAAAGTTTTCATCCCATCTCTTCTTTCCAGCAGCTTTTTCATATGAGTAGTTTTTTTCTCAATCAGTCTTTCGGTTTTGGATTTTTCATCTTCTTTTTCATTTAGCTCATTTGCATAAGCATGCAGCACTTTTAGGCCTTTTTCTCTCATATTTGGAGTTCCGCCAAGATAGGTCTGCAGCATTAGTTCTCTCCTTTTATTTGACATCAGCAGCTTAAAAGGCAAATCTTTATGCTCCTGATAAATGTTTCCACTGATCAAATCCTTGAAAAAATCAAGCAATAAGTTCTTTCCTTGCGTGCCCTTGGCAGTTTTTATTATTTGAAGGAATTCTTCGAATTCAATTACCCCAGAACCATCAGTGTCCACTTTGGAAATTAATGATTTTACCTGGTCTTTCTTTTCTACAAGTCCCAAGGCCAGTAAAGGTTCAAAAAATTCACCAGAACTGATAGCTCCTGACTTATCTGTGTCCAGCTCTCTAAAAAGTGTTCGTAGAGCTGCCCTTTCATTCCCATCGAAGTCAACGTAGACCCCTTTGCCCCTCCGTTTCATTCATTCTCTAGTTGTATAACGCCTTAATAAAATCTGATTTTCTTCATTGTGCAGCTTGTTGAGTCCTTTTGGATAATTCGACGAAAGCGTTGGCTTGTTCGAGACTCCAAAAGATTTTCTCTTGGAAATGTCAGAAAATGATATGGTCTTCGGTTCTCCCATTTAATTACCTATTAAAAGAATTTAAATCTTGAAATATCTATTATTCTTAAATTAGATCAGAAAAGGGATCTCTTGGGGCATTTCCTTTAGGCTGCTGAGTGCCAAACGGATTTGAAGCCTGAGGACTCGGCCCTCCAAATGGATTAGGAGCTGGGTTCGAGGTTTCGAAAGGATTAGCACTTCTTTGAGGTGCTGGCTGGGTGAATAAGTTGTCGAGTGAAGAGCCTGCATTAACTGGATATCCCCCTTGATTTTTTGGTGGCCCATATGGGTTTGCGCCTGTTGAAGCTCTGTTGAAAGGATTATTTTTCTTGTCAGGAACAGCATTGCCGACTGGCTGAGAAAGAGGATCTAAGTTTGACTTGACAGCGGGCTGTCCTGTCTGCATGGCAGGGTTCATCATCATTCCAGTCATCATAGGGTTAACCATTGGGTTCATCATCATTCCAGTCATAAAAGGATTCATCATAGGGTTCATCATAGGATTCATCATCATTCCAGTCATCATAGGGTTCATCATTGGGTTCATCATAGGGTTCATCATAGGATTCATCATAGCATTAGGATCATTCGGGTTTCCAGGATTTGTAGCGGGCTGATTGAACGCAGACATCACAAAATCGGCTTTTGGATCAGTTTTCGTAGCTGATGGTGGAACAATTTCTTGGAATATTAAATCGTCGTCTTGCTTAGCAGGAACCTCTTGCTTAGACTGAGATGGGGGTGGCGGGTTTCTCTTCTTTTCTTCTTCAACTCTTTTATTATGCTGCCTTTCATATTCTTCTAGCATTCTGCGCTGCTCTTCTAACTCTGAAGGGGACATATGTAGATCTTCCGGAATATCAGGCGCTTTTTCTGTCCCAGGTACATGCTCAGGCTGGTCAGAAATATATGACCTCATTGATGCTACAATCTCTCGAGGCCTGTTCACAAAAGTTGGTGGGCTGAGCCCAGAAAATGGCAGATGGTGTGCAAGTTCAAAAAATTGGCTTAACATCCTTGTGCATGTTTCAAATCTTTTATAATGCTCCATCGCAATTTCTGCCATCTGCCTATCCAGTGCGAAAAACCTATCAACCATTCTATCTAGTACCAAAGAAATAACTCTATAAAGAGGCGTAGCATCTTTTAACACCAAAAAGGCTGCATTCTGGGTGACCCTCAGCTGATAGTTCCTAATTGCCTGGCTTAGACTTGGCCCTAATTTCACCAGATTTTGCAGCTCAGTCAATAAATACCCAATTTCTTTGATCAAATCTGTGTCAGACATCTTTTCTATTGACTTATGCAAGTCAGTCTGCTGAACAAGCATGATTGAGCCTTTTCGTGAATGGTTGAGTGCTTTGGATCTAATAAAAACGTAGTAGTCTTGGATTATTTGATTGTGAGCACTGCCACGCTCGCTTGGGTCATTAAAGTTTTGCATTGAAATGTTCAGCTCTGCGAGACGTGCTGAGTAGCCTGTCCCTACTTGCTCAATCCCTCGGTGAAGGATTATGAAGGCTTTAACTCCCCCCCCCTCCGTGAGTGAACAAAAAAATTTTGTTCACTCACGGAGGGGGTTAATTTTTTTTTTTTAAAAAAAATTTATATATAAATTTTCTAAAAAAATTTTTTTTTTCGAAATTTAAAAAAATCCTAATTTGCAAAAATTTGAAAGCAAATATTAATTTAATTTATAAAATTTATGTTTTAAAATGCATTTTGTTTAAAATTAAACAGAATTAGCTCTAGATTTCATTATATTAATTATCATTTATATATCAAAATTTTTTTCCATAAAAAAATTTTTGTTCACTCACGGAGGGTGGGTTTTTGGGCAAAAAATAGGGATTTTTCTAATGGTTTTGTTCACTCACGGAGGGGGGGAGTAAGCAGAGTTGCCCAGCTGCTGGTCAAGAGCTGTTGGGTCAGAAGCGAAAAAGCTACTTCTGGTGGAGTTTGCATGTTTTGGCCTTGAAGGGTCCATAGAACTGTTTGAACGTGCTTTTCTTTGGGAGGGTCGTTGTCGCCATGATAAGTTGCTTTGAGAAGAGATTTTTCATAAGTTGTTTTAGCTCCAAGGGCATGAAGCGATCTTTTTAAGTTGCCTGACATTTTTTTGTCTATATTGAAGAAGTCTAAATTAAAAATCTCGAATTAAGAAAGCAGAAAATCAGAAAAGGCTTAAAGTAACTATAAAAAGAATTATTAGTCCTTAAATTTGAAAAAAGTATCAATATCTACATGTAAAGTAGAATTATGCTTTAAAGGATCTATTAAGAAAAATTTGAAATTCAAAAGAGGCAATAAATCTATTCACGCAAAATTTAAATTATTTTAATCAAAATAAATTAGGGATAATATTTGCTACTAACTCTCCTGCCACCCAATAAAGGCGAACAAAATTATTGGAAAGAATCCCTATTTTAGTAAATTGGCGCTTTTTTAAAAACGAGTGAAAAAAGTTTCTGTTATTTTGTAAATTTTTTATATATAACTAATAGCTTTTATAAAGAAATCTTGAGCTATTTCTATTAAAGTTTTAGGCAACTTAAATTTTTAAACATAAATTTTATAAATTAAATCATATTTCTTTTCAGGCAAATTGGGATTTTTTGGAGTCCAAAAAAAATTATTACTTATTTTAATATAAAATTTTGAAGCAAAAAAATAAATCCCTTTTAAGTATGACTAGAAAAATTTTGCTTGCTCTTAAAGGGGAGAGCAATAATAAATCCAGGTATAAGAAATTTGCATATTAAGTGAGAAGTTTCATATTGTAAGTTGCAAATCAAATTTTTGATGTATTCAGAATTAATTTTTTAAAAACTGCTCGGATTCCTTAATTTTAATTGAGACTAACAATACATGCACAATTTTCATAGGCTATCCAACTTAAAAGAAGGTACCAATGAGAATTTTTTCCTTATTTCCTTCCCTTTTAATTAGAAAAAAGTTATAAGTTCTAAATATCAGGGCCTAATTATATTAAAAAAATTATATGGGTTTTCATAAAAAACTTATAAAATATTGACGTCAAGTACCAAAATTGTTTAAATAATTGTATTCCTTCGATTTAAAATAGAGATATTATAGGAAGATCTTTGAGTTTAGTCGCGTTAAATTGGGTCAACAGCTATTTAAATAGAAATTATTTTTATAAAAATATATTTTGCCACAATTACAACAATTTAATTACCTAAAAAATAAAAAATTAATGATGTTGTTTCAATTTAAAGGGGGGCTTAAATTTTAATAGTTTCTTGCAATTGAAAAACTCAGGTTTATATATAAATTATAAATATTATCGAATATTCTTATGTCAAATAGCTTGCTTGTCCTTCAGGAAGGAGAAAACCACAAGGGTTGTCATTTGTTAAGTCAGGAAGTGGCAAATCGTTATCTGCTTCATAAATGCTTGAAATAGCAGATTCACTTACTATTGACGGTAGTTTTCGAACTCTTCTGAGTTCTAGTGCTTGATTAATTTGGCTTGAAGCAGAAGTATTATTTGATTGGGCAAGTGGCGGGCGCTGCTGAGAATCATAATGTTCTGCTATTAGCAATTGGCTTGGCTCAGTATTGAGGCTGTTACAACAACCCATTAAATTATGTATAATCATTTGCTTTCGTCATATTCATGCAAATTTATGGTCATCACTCCCCCCTCCATAAGCGAATCAAACAATTTTATTGCCGAAATTACAAGAAAACAAAGGAAAGCAAAATTAATTTAATTTGAATTAGCTTGAGATTTCTTTATACTAATTATCGCTTATATATCAAATTCTTTTCATAAAAAAAAATTCTTGTTCGCTCACTGAGGTGACGAAAAATCGGGATTTTTCCAATAGTTTTGCTCGCTCAGATGCAGGGGTCAGTATGAAAATAGTAAAAGCAGACATTTCTTATTAATAAAATACCTTTAATTTAACACCTAATGCAACATAAGAAAACGTTTAACATTGATTTCAAATTAAGTCGTTCATTAATTGAGTTGATATTTATTACTTCTATAATTCTTAATAAATAAACAATTTAGCAATATTGATATAAGATAAATAGATATTTTATTAGTATAAAAAATATAGATAATTCCTGGGGATAGCGCGGAATACGCTATCCCCAGGACCAACCGGGATCGGATTCACACATGGAACGGGAGTTCCATGTGTGGATCCAATTTTTACATGTGAGATATTTACTTTCACGTGTGAAAAATGGATCCACACATGGAACCCTCGTTCCATGTGGGATCCGATCCCGGTTGGTCCTGGGGATAGCGTATTCCGCGCTATCCCCAGGAATTTTCTATATCAATAATATATAGCAAAACATATTTTTAAATTGTGCATTAACTGCGCAAAAGCAGATTATAAATAAAATAGGCTGATTGATTGATTGATTGATTTAAATGAATAATACAAGTATCTCCTTAGCTTTGAACCAATAAATAAAATAGGTAATGCATAAATTTTGCTTTAATAAGCTTAAAGCAAGTAGAATTATTCAGAGAAAATATTATAAAATTTAATGTTCATAAGATGAAGCAAACTCTATAAGTTTTTAAGCAAGCCCTCTTACTCCCCCATTTTTTAAGAGAGATTTAAGCGAGCAAAAAATGTTTATATCATTTTTATTAGAAATTATTTTTTATAGATAATTAATTACTATAATAATGAGGTTTTAGCCGATTTTATTACTTTAATTCTTAAATTGTGCTAGCAATAATTTTTCTAGTGGGATTTTCAATACCAAAAACATAATTAACCCCTAAGGGCGCTAATAATATAAAAAAATAAATTAGCATTAAATATTATGTAATAAAGTTTAGTATCCATAAATTATTATTTATAGAAATTGAAATTTTTGCTAATTTATATCATCAATTTAAATAAAATAATTATGATTATATCTATACACATTCTTTAACTTCAATTTAAATATTCCGCAATTTTTGTGCTATAAATTTATGCATTATAATTTGAAAAGAATGCTTATTAATTCTTATTATAACATCAACAATTTATTTGTAAATCTCTTTGCATCTGCATAATTTCAGGTCTAATTATATTCATTAAGAAGCCCTACCTAATTTTTCTTCCCCTCTAGGCACTTTAATTAGCAGCCATTTTCCAAATTTATATTAAAATGCTTCGTAGGACAATATTAAAAGCCTTACCAAAAAGAAGCGGCGGACATGCACATCCTGACTTTCCTTTCTTAGGCAATTACAAGCACAAGAGAATTATCAGCATTTATGAAACCAATCTTTGGATTTATGATGGTGTTCAGCCTGAATATTTAGTTGACTTTTGGAATCCTCATATCACTGGGCCTGTGCTTGCTTTCAGATGTTTCATGTTTACTATTGCCATTCCTTTAGCAGTGATGTACCTTACAGTTCAAGTGGTTTATTCTCCTCCATGAGTTTATGTTTAGAGATTCCTAGGATTAATTTCATTATATGAATGAAAATAATATATATTGTCCATTGATTTAATTCGAACTTTATACATAAAGGATACCCATTCTTTACCAAACCTTATAGAAGCTTCGCTTGGGACAATCCAAACTCAAATGTCAAAAAATTCCACAATAAAATAGTGAACGAAAGAGTTTTCCAGAAGAAAAACCCACTAGGGCTTGTGAACGTCCCTGATTATCCTACTGAAGGATGGGTTGCAAATGAACACCCAGCTTACAGGAAGTTTAAAGTCTAAGCTAAATCCTTCGAGAAATATTAATTCATATCAATTTTAAGCGTTTTCTTCATGGTATTTATCAATTTGAGCTTTAAGTTCTTTTATTACAGCTTCTGCTCCTTTTCTCATCTTTTCTCTTTCAATACTTAAAAATGAGTCTGAGTCCAACTGTGGGATGTCATCCCAGCAGAAAATCAAAACCCGGATTTCTTCCTCCATGTGGTCTATAACCTCATCTTCTGTCTTAGCATGAATATAGCTTGCTCGCCTGATTTTTACTAAATGTGGCCTATTGTTATCTTTTTGAATAATAGCTGAACCTTTGATTTCTCTTGAAGTTTCAGAAAACTTTTCAGCTCCGAAATTTCTAATTAAATGAGTTTCTATTTTTCCTCGGTCACCTTCTTTAAGAATAACATTTCTTATGCATTCTTTGTCGCAGTGCTTCATTTCTGATTTTTCTAAATCTTCAGATTCCTTTGCTCAGAGGCCTCTTGCGAATAGTCAGAAATCTCTGCAGTCTTTTGTTAATTTGTCTAATAAGACTCTCTTTTGTTCTTGGTTTAGCCCTTTGTCTTGCATGAGTGCAATATTTGAAATTAAAGAATCTGGCTCGATGATCCCTTGGAAGTCATCTTTTACGTTTGTTGAGAATTTGATAGTTAAATTAGGCAAATCATAAGATATTTTTTTATCGTAATCAATGACTTTTTCATCCTGCAATGTAAAATCTCTGCCAAGCCAAGTTAGAGTAGACTCTGTTACTCGATTCTTCCCACTTTCTGTATTAACATCTTTAGTTTCTTTATCATAGAAGGCTTTAAATTTCATACTTTTTATTTTGACTTTACCTTGGCTCCCCCATGCAAAAAAAGTAGACATAGCGGCAGTTGCAGAACTTCCTCCGCATCCCATTTTATAAAATGTTTAAAACTTTCATATTAATTTAACTAGAAATGTTTTAATTTTTAGGAATTTAATTCAAACATAATAATAGGAAATTAATTTAGACATTAAGTTTGTTTTCTTCCATTAGTTATTGGTTTATCAGGTGGCTTAGCATAAAATCGTAACTTTGAACTAAAGATTACTTGAAGCACAAGCATTTGAAGTGTCACAAAAAGCAGCGAGTCCATTTTCTGATCCATCTCCAGATTTTTATAATTATAAGTTACCCCCCAATATTTTAGCTAGTAAAAAAATGAAATCAAAATAATACTGATATCATATGATACCCAACTTCAGTCCACCTTCAGAAAGAGAAAAATCTCAAGCTCTTGGCGCATTAGGTGGTTCTAACTTTTCAATTAGAAAAGCCTTAAGCAACCTTCAAAATGATTTTTCTCCTATTGAAACTCCATCTCCAGATGATTGACTTGCCCAAAACTTTGAGCCAGGCCAAACATACGAGCAGTTCAAACCTTATGCAAATATCCCTTCGAAAAATTCAAAAATCTATATACAGCCTTATACAGCGTGCTTTACCTCTTTCCCTTGCCGATATAAAAGGCAGGACCCTTAGGCCGAACAGGCGCTGAAGGAAAGTCGGACAGAGCGAGGTAACGCGCCAAGCCGCTAGTGTTTCCCGTACTTCTGGATTTCCAAATGGCTTCACGGGGATTAGAAGGAGCGAGCCGTACAGCGAGGCCCGACTCGAGTACGCGAGTAGCGACAAGACGGAGAAAAAATATGCCCTTGCGGCATTGTGCATCTAGGGGCCCAACTAGAGGTCGAGTTAAATTAAGTAATTAAGTAAGATAATATCATTTCACTTGAAACGATAATTGTAACTAAAAAATATTGCAATGCATTTTTCCCTGGGGTTAAATTTATTATACGTCGACCGATTAATATTGAAGATTTGAACATAGAGCACAGAGAAGTAGAGTGAGGAAAGCAATTCAGTGCTTGTCAAATATTAAATAAAATGTATCAAATTGCTCCTCTTGATAGATTCGCAATAATTGGAGTCACAATGGCTGACATTTATAGTGGAGAAGCTTCCAATTTTGTGTTTGGATTAGCAAATGTGATAACAAAATCAGGAATTTTCTCATTTGCAAGGTACAGCCCAAGCTTTTACGGAGAAGAGTCTGAAAATGAAAATGAGATTATCGTTACTTAAATTAATCCAGATCCATGAAATTGTTTTAATTAATGAAAAATAGAAGATATTTTTATTCAAAATTGAATTTATTTAAATTTAATGGGATATTATATATAGAGCAGTTAAAGTGATGATCCATGAAATTGGGCACATGTTTGGGCTGCTGCATTGCATTTATTATAGCTGTATTATGAATGGGTCTAATCATATTGAAGAGAATGATAGAAAGCCTTTACATTTGTGCCCTATATGCTTGCGAAAACTCCATCACTGTTTGAATTTTAACCCAATAGAAAGATACCATAATTTAGAAAAATTTTGCAGAGAATTAGGTGGGAAATTTCTAGATCAAGCTGAGTGATATAGCAGCAGAGCATCCACAATAGAAAAATCATTGCCAAAATTAAGAAAATAAATCTTATTTATTTCACTTTATATAAATTCTTATCTTTTAGATGATTTCTTTGTCATCTGATTTATATCAATTGAAAAATGTTCATCAAAGTTGTATATGGGTATAAGCAAGGCACTCTTTTCAACATCAACTGTCAAACTGGCCCACTTCTCGACGCTGTAAAGAAGCAGGCTTTCACAGACATTACTTCCCTCATTTCTTCAAAAATCACTTCTTTTACACAAGAAGTCGAAAACACGTCCAAGAAAATCGAGTCAAAACAAAAGAAGCTTTATAAGCTCGAAAACCCTCCTCCTGATGAAGAAGCAAAAACTCCAGCTGATAAAGCAATCCAAGGCCAAAAGTCAATAAAGGAAGAAAACAAATGTCCGCCAAGACAGGAAGAGTTTTTACTTATGTCTGAAAATACAAAAATTGAAGAAGCAAAAGCAAAAGCTAAACCAGCAGCAAAAAAAGGGAAAAAAGAAGAGGTAAAAGAGCTGTCTCCTGAAGAAATTAAGCAGCAGCAGTTGGAAGCACAAAAGGAAGAGCTGAGAGCTGGGATTTCTGAGCTTTCCAGGAAAAGAGATATCATGAATGAAAAGCTTAAAATGCTTAATATGTATCAGGAAAAATACCAAGGCCTGCCTGCTAATATTGATTTTGTTGATCCTGTAGGAGCTAGAAAATTTTTAGGTTCAAGAATTGAAGATAATGCATCAACAATATTAAATAATCGAACGATCTACCAGCTGAATGTTATTGATGCTGATAATAATGCAGCTCCATATGACATTGATGGTTTTTGTATTAGAACTGTTGAAGAGGATGCTACTTATGTAGAAGAGCCAGATCCCAAAACTAAAGGAAAACAAAAAGGTAAAAAGAAATAAATAATGATTACTACTATTAAGCACTTTTTATAGATATAGCGCTTTCCCGAGGATGGCGCGGAATGGCGCCATCCTCGGGAAAGTCAACTAAGCATCCACACGGGAACTGGGAGTTTCACGTGTGGATGCTATTTTTGACATGTGGGATCCAAACTTCCACATGTCAAAATGGCATCCCCACGTGGAACTCCCAGTTCCCGTGTGGATGCCTTCCTGGCTTTCCCGAGGATGGTGCCATTCCGCGCCATCCTCGGGAAAGCGCTATATAGCAGATAGGCATTTATATTTTCCTGAAGTAATCCTATGCTAATTTTACCAGTCAAATATTATAATGCAGAATGATTAATTGACTAGCAAAAGTTTATAAAGTTTAATTTATTGACTATGCTTTAAGCTTCTTATGCGGAATTTCGACATAACTCTTTTTATATTGATGAGATTATAATTTAGATTCCTAAAATATATGGAGCCATTTAGGTCACCTGATCAACGTAGACTTTATGATAACAGTTACCCAGTGGTAGAAGACTCCAAACTTTCATATGAAAAATTGCAAAAATACCAACTTGCAAACCACCAGCCTGAAAATGAAGTGGAAATAACTCTGAGCAACCCACTCATAAAAGATTCACTTTTAAAATATGTTGTCTATTCCATCAATGGGAAAGACAAAACAGGCACGTTTGAAGCTTACAGGCGATACAAAGATTTTGAAGCTTTGAGAACACTGCTGATTCGGCACTGGCCAGGCTGCGTGATTCCTAAAATCCCTCCAAAGCAGACTTTAGGAAACTTAGAAGGAGACTTCATCGAGCAACGTCGGAAATTGCTTGAAGCTTTCTTGGTCAGGGTAGCAAATACTTCATATCTCCACCAATCCGAAGAGTTCCACATGTTTTTAAGAGGCCCAAATGAATATCACAAAGCCATTGCAAATTTCAGAAGGCCAACATACGATCAGCTTGCTGCTACATATCAATCAATATTTCCAAGTTTTGCTGAGTTTCAAGTTACTGATAGTATTCAAAAAGAATTAGAAGAAGCTTTTAAATATTTTCAACAAGGCCAAATCACATTGGAAATTTTCCATGGGAAAAGCAAAATGTGTGTCGACTATTTTGGCTACTATAAAAATGAGCTTTTTGGAATGTTCCAAGGGCTTAAAGGGATTAATAGCCAGTATTTAGAGTCAAAAAATGAAATCCAATTTGATCTGTTGGAAAGTAAAGAAAACCCTTATGGGGAGTTATTAGATTGAATCAGAGTTGAAATCTTGGACATGGGGGGGATGGTTGAAGCTTTTAAAAAGAAAAAAGAATACGAAAGAATCAAAGAAAAAATTGCGGAGAGAATTGACGAAGAAAGAAAAAAGCTTCTAAATCTACAATTGGATAAGAAAACTGTTATGCAAATTCTTGTAAGAAAACCTAAAGAATACTACACTGATAAAATATCGAAAACAATCCAAGACTTGGAAACAGAGCTAAGGAGCATCAATACCATCAACAATATCATAGCAGGAAGGCTCATGCAAATTGAAATCCCCAGATTCAGAAAATCAAAAACAGTGGTTTATGAATCAGTAATCAGAAATCTCACAAGCTCAAGCAGCAATCAGCTAGAATTCATTATCGCTCAAACCAGAAAAGTTGAAGAGAGCCTAAATTAATAACATTGTTATAAGTTTCTTCGTAAATATGGCAAAACTTTCCGTATTCTTATTGCTCTTTTCAATTGGATTCTGCTGTGATCAACCCGAATTCTCTTCTTTTTTTGATGCTGAAATTGTATGTCCCTCATACGCCTGTAAGCTGGCAACCCAAGAATTCTCGCAGGGCACCTGCATTTATTATGACAATACTGCGAATGGGACTTATTATGTTACAAACTGCACAAACACAGCTACTCCTTATTGTCCAGAATCAGTTGGCCAAAATAGCACCTGTGCAATAAAGCCAGACCCAGCATCTAACTCCAAATGGCCTGGGGAAAAATGTGTTAGTGATGATGATTGTGGCACTTATGCATCCCAAGGCTGTGTAGACGAGGTCTGCAAAGGCTCAGCTGAAGGAGGATCCTGCACAACTCATGACATGTGTGACCCTGGGCTTTATTGTGCGAACAGCACTTGCAATCTTCAGATCGGGATTGGAAATAAAGGATGCACTGCTGATGAAGAGTGCGTCAATAATGCTGGATGTGATATAGCTGAAAATGCAGATGAAGGAACTTGTGTGAAGTATTTAAGTGTGGCTGAGTATCGAAGAGTGCAAACTTGTGACGTACAAAAACATGTTAATAGGTTTTGCGAATCGAACTTGTGCACCACAGAGTGCGAATATTCTTATTGTCTGCCAAGCTTGGCAAGCGAAAATAAGACCCCAAATACTTGTAAAACGACAGGAGATTGTAGTTCTGAGCAGGATCAACAGTTCAGCCTTGTTCTTTTTTCAAGCTGTAATTGTGGGTACAATTCAAAAGGAAATGCATATTGCGGACTATTCCCAGGAGATAAAGAATATAGTGAGTATTTAGATAGCCTAAGCTCATATGTGGATAGTGATTCTATTTTGGATTGTAATACATTAAGAAGATTTAGCACAGTTTGTATGAAAGATTGGTGGGGTGCCAAAAATACTGCGATTTATTCTTATTATCTTACGGTTGTTGGATCATATTCTGATATAGCACTTTCCCGAGGATGGCGCGGAATGGCGCCATCCTCGGGAAAGTCAACTAAGCATCCACACGGGAACTGGGAGTTCCACGTGTGGATGCCATTTTTGACATGTGGGATCCAAACTTCCACATGTCAAAATGGCATCCACACGTGGAACTCCCAGTTCCCGTGTGGATGCCTTCCTGGCTTTCCCGAGGATGGCGCCATTCCGCGCCATCCTCGGGAAAGCGCTATATTCAAGAAAATGATGACTGCGTTGCTAATGTTTTTAATTCGAAATATGTTAGTATCTCACAGGAGTTTGACTATTATAGTAATAGCTTTGGAAGCGTTATGACTATTTTGGCTGGAGCTATTTATATAAGCATGATAGTTTAATTCAATTTTTTATGTTTATATATAATCTATCAGCGGTAACTTTAATGAAATTTATTTTTATTTTGAGATATATTTTCAATCATGCTTTTAAATCTGTTCTTAATAAAATGGAATTCAAGCTGGCAGCTTTAATTTGTATTATTTCATTATCCGCTTGCAAATATGCTGACGAGATGCACTTACCCACCTTTAAGAGCGATTAAAACCATTAGACAAACTCTGCTTTTCTGGAATAATTTCCCATCTTCATAAGTAAACAAATGTTTTTTTAAATATACATTATTTTGTATGGAATATTTTTATTGTGTATAAAATTTTTTATTATATTTTAAAAATATTATCAAAATTAATCCCCTTCAAAAGCGAACAAAAATCTTGCTCTGTCTTTAAGGGATTAAAGATAGAAGAATCTTCTATTACATGTCCATCTTATACTTGCCAAGGATCAGACCAGAAGTTCGGTGATGGAACATGCATTTATTATTCATCTGCAGCCTCAACTTATTATGTATCAAGCTGTAGCTCTACTCAGACTCCTTACTGCCCTCCCTCAGTTGGACAAAATAGCACTTGCACATATACACCTTCTTCGACACCTACAACTAAGTGGCCAGGCGAAAGATGTTCAGACTCCTCTCCTTGCAGTTCCTATGCTATAACCGGCTGCGTCAGCGAAGTTTGCAGAGGATCAGGTTACAACAGCCAGTGCTATGCAAATGACAACTGTAATCCAGGATATTATTGTGCAAATAATCGATGCATTGCACAAATTGAAATTGGGAAGCCTGGGTGTATCAATGACTATCAATGCGTTAATAATGCTGGCTGTGATGTCTCTTCTTCTGCTTTGAGTGGGATATGCGTTGAATATTTTAGCGTCGCTGACTACTCAGAGGTAAAAAATTGCAACGGATACACCAATTTGCTATGCAAATCGTCACTTTGTGGGATTGATGGCGAGAAAAAGGCATGCATAAGCCAACTAGCAAGCCAAAAAGATACACCAATGGCATGCACAAGCAATAATAATTGCACATCTAAAATTGATAGCAATTACGGGTCAATCATGCTATTTTCTACATGCAGCTGCGGGTATAATAGCAAAGCTGAGGCTTATTGTGGATTATTCCCAGGAGATTCAGTGTACAGCAGATATTTAGAGTATGCTCGGCAATATGTGAAAAATATAGCAATCCAATACTGCAATACAAATAGAAGATTTAATGTCGAATGTATGAAAGACTGGTGGGGAATAAAAGAAGCTTCAACCTTTAATTATTATTTGGCAGCAGTTAATTATTATGTTGCAGTTCAAAATAGCGAAGATTGCGTTTTGAATGTGTATAATTCACTATATCAAAGCATCAAAAAAGAATATGGTACTGAGTCTTTTAGCATATTGGGTGCGGTTTTTGGAGCTGCTTATGTAAGTATCTTAATTTAATTTCGAAGTTCCATTTGTTGACTTTATTTTTAAATAAAATTCGATCATAAAAACTAATAAGAAAATTATTAAAACAATTTTTCCTTTGTTAAGGACTTTATTGCTAACTCCCCCCCCCCCCTCCGTGAGCGAACAAAAAAATTTTGTTCGCTCACGAGGGGGGTTAATTTTTTTTTTTTTAAAAAAAATTTATATATAAATTTTATAAAAAATATTTTTTTCGAAATTTAAAAAAATCCTAATTTGCAAAAATTGGGAAGCAAATATTAATTTAATTTGCAAAATTTATGTTTTTAAAACGCAATTTGTTTAAAATTAAACAGAATTAGCTCTAGATTTCATTATACTAATTATCACTTATATATCAAAATTTTTTTCCATTAAAATTTTTTCTATTAAAAAAATTTTTGTTCACTCACGGAGGGTGAGTAAGCAAATATTCTTTTTATGAAGAATTCGTAATTATTTTGAATTATTTTGCCTGTAAATCAAAAAAATTACGTCATCATATATATAAAAGATATCAGTTGGTGAAGGTGGTGAATAAATAAAAAATGGTATCCAGAAGATTTAAAATCATTTTTCTTTTCTTAGCTTCTTCAATTGTCCTTGCTAAGGGTGAAAAATTGCTTGGAGACACTGATGGGACTTGAAATTATCTTGGGTATAACGGCTATGCTGGAAATGTCATTATGAATTCTTTAACAGGCTCATCTTATTTCTATTGGCTTTTTAATGCAATCAATGGAAATATTTTCAGTGATAGCTTGCCATTAGTCATATGGATTTGGGGAGGACCAGGCTGTTCTGGGGATATGGCAATGATGTATGACAATATTGGCCCCTTTATATTGAACAGCAACGGACAGCCAGTTGCAAATCCTTTAACCTGAACCAATAACTACCACGTAATGACAATTGATCACCCGCTAGGCACTGGGTTTTCATTAGCAAACGCAAAGTCTGATTTTGCTAATTCCACGACTTCTGCGTCTAATGCCTTATATAACTTTTTGGTAAAGTTGGCTCAAAAATACCCAACTTGGTTCAATAGAGACCTTTACTTTTTTGGAGAAAGTTATGCTGGGCATTGGATTCCTGGGATTGCTTATAAAATTGATTTTTTTATAAATGCACTAAAAAACAACCCCTCTTAATTTTCCTCATTAAAGCCTAATTATATCTGAAATCAATACCCCTGGAAAATTAATTCACATTCAAAAGTAAATTGTTTTTAAGAAAATAAATCTCAATAAAATAATAAGTGAAAATAACAGCCCAAGTCCGTTGTTCCATTTTAATCTTAAAGGCATTGGAATTGGAGATCCGTGAATAGATCCGGCAACGCAAGGCAATTATTCAGGCTATGCTTATTCAAACTCCTATATAGATAAAGAAGAACTTCAGATATTCTAAATTGGATTGATCAAAACTTTAAGTTTTACATAATAAAGAGCAAATTCTTACTGTTTATTCATTTTTTCTTGGGAATAATACAATCATATGAGCAAAGCATGAGTAAAGCCTTAAATGAGTCTCAATTGCTTAAAGCTCATCAAGATTGGAGCTGGTCAAACCTTGGCAAATCTCCCTAGACTTACCTTTGCTAATGATTCTATGCCTACTCCAAAATCTGAATCCTGCTCTTATACCCTTTGGCAGCCTTAGAGTTGGTGAGTTTATCTGCATGTTAAATTTATATGAAACTCTGCTTAGCAGACTAGGCTTCTAAAATCTTCAGTTTAGTTTATAGTTCATAAATTATGTATAATTTATGAACTCAAATAAACTTATTTTGCCTAAAATCAATAGTCTTCAGACCAAAAAATTATCAGATCGGTAAATTCCGGTAACTAAATTTTATAGAATAATATGTAATCTTAATCGTATGTTGCAATTTCCTGTGGATGGCGCTATTTTGGCCTTGATTTTCCCACTGAAAAAATATTTGGTCCGACCAGTTCCATATGATTTGGTCAAACCAAAAAACTTTCCCAGTGGGAGAATCCCATATCTTTATATGAGCTGGACTGCTAGATAAATCTATCAACCATGCAGGCCCATCAAGGCTTAGCCATTGAGCTACATTTTAGATCTGACTCAAAAATATTCAGGAGGGTTCAACATTTATAACGTAAGAGAATTTACCCAGCTAAATTCCACCCTCTATGCTAACTGGTTGAATTTAAACACAACCAAAATAATGCTTCATGCTCCATTAAACGTTACTTGGGTAGATTGCAGTGATCCAGTTTACAATAATTTGGTGACGGATATGATGATAACGGTAGGAAACTTACTCCCTTACATTATTGACAACATTAAGGTGCTTATATGGAATGGCCAAGACGATTTCATGGTGAATACACTGTCAACTGAAAACATGCTCAATAGTTTGAAATGGACAGGAATTTCAAATTTAATCAATTCGAATAAGATTGCATGGAAAGTCAATGGAAGCATTGCCGGGTATGTAATAAATTACCAGACGCTAACTTATGCGCTTCTCTTGAAGGCAGGACATATGGGATCGCATGACCAGCCAGCTAATGCACGGGATATGATCAATAGATTTATTAACAATCAAGGATGGAAATAAATCCTTTAAATTATTTAACTCTTTTTTCATCTATAATAAGTAATTTTTCACAATAAAATTTTCAATAATTTTATAAAAAATAAAAAGATCATCAAAGAACTCGCGGATTAAGATAACTTAAGGGATAAATTTTAGTGTTTTAATAAATTAATTGAAAATCGGCAATAAGATTATTCATTTATAGCCTAGGGACTCATTTAGATCGCCCTGGGCTGTGATTGCCTTACCTAATGGTGGAGTTGCCTAGGACTGCAAATTGCCAAGTCAACTCCACCAGTTGACAAGTAAAACCTATAACGGCGCTTGTCAACTGGTGGAGTTGACTTGGCAAATTTGCAGCCCTAGGCAACTCACCAGTTAGGCAGAGTAATTTTCAGCCCAAGGCATCCAAAGAGGCTCTGGGCTGTATAAGCACCAGCTACCTGTAAGCTGTAACTATATAAAATTTTATTTATTTAGGAGCGACAAAGTTGACTTTCAGAGATCCTATAGTTGTTTGAGGTTATTTCAAAAGGATCTAAGGTGAAATTTATCTTCCATTGTTTTGGGGAAAATAATAATAATTTCACCATAAGAAATAAGAAGTACATGAGGATAAAATTATTGAATTTGGCGCTTTTTCTTTTAGCTCTGCAAGCTTCAGCGCAAAGTGAAGGTCTTCTTGGAGATACAGATGGCGAATGGAATTTTCTTGGTTTCACAGGATATGCTGGAGAAGTTGTAATAAATCCTTTAACTGGCTCGTCTTATTTCTACTGGCTTTTTCAAGCTATCCAAGGTAATATTTTAACTGATAAGTATCCTTTAGTTATTTGACTCGCAGGCGGCCCTGGCTGTGCAAGTGGTCCAGCAGTTATATTTGATTATATTACTCCTTTTATCATAGATGATAATGGAGAACCGATTTTGAATCCAAATAACTGGGTAAATCAAGTCCACTTTATGGCAATTGATCATCCTATAGGAACTGGATTTTCATTCTCAAACTCTCCAAATGATTATAAAAATAACACATCTGGAGACACAAACCAATTATACACACTTTTGGTTAGATTAGCTCAAAAGTATCCAACCTGGTTCAATAGGGATCTTTATATTTTTGGCGTAAGCTATGGAGGAAAGTGGGCTCCTGCAATCGCTTATAAGATTTTAAGTGAAAATCAAGGCGCAAGCCCTCCTTATCGATTTAACCTGAAAGGAATAGGAGTTGGAGATCCTTGGACCAACCCTGCAGTCCAAACTTCATTTTATGGTTATGTTGCATATTCAAGTGGATTGATAAATCAAGAAGAACTTAGCATAATTCAAGCTTATGAGGAAGAAATTCAAAATCAGATAAGTTCAGGAGATCTTTATGAAGCTCAAAATAATGTTGGTATGGTTATGGAGCTCATCTATGAATATACAGGAGGCATTAACACTTATGATATAAGAAAGTTTACAGACTATAACTCTACAGCTATAGAATACTGGCTCAATTTAAATTCCACAAAAGCTCTCCTGCATGCACCATTGAATATGGAGCACCTTGGCTGCAATCCAAACGTCTATGACATGACCACTGATTTTATGGAATCTTCAGCTATGCTATTTCCTTATATCCTTGACAATATTAATGTCTTGATGTGGATAGGACAAGATGACTTACTCCTTAATACTCCTTGTGTAGAAAATCTTGTAGCTAATATTAACTGGCCAGGTATCCAAGGTCTGCTTAATACCAATAAAATGATTTGGAAAGTAAACGGAACAGTAGCTGGGTATGTCAAAAATTATTCAACATTTACGTTCGTGCATCTCTTAAAATCAGGACATATTGGATGCCATGATCAGCCTGCAAATTCAAGGGATATGTTTTTTAGGTTTATTTATAATGAAGGCTGGCAGCAATAATTCTATATTAGCTTTATGCAGCTTTAATAAGTTAATAAATCTTCATAGAGATTAATATCATCTTATAATAAAATAGACTTGATAATGGGTAAGTTAAAATATCTTATTGTACCTTTATTTACAATTTTGGAAGTTTTATCACAAAGTGAGGATCTTTTAAGTGATACAGACGCTGAATGGAGTTTACTTGGCTACAGTGGTTATGCAGGCGAAGTTGTAATAAACCCATTGACTGGTTCATCCTATTTCTACTGACTTTTTCAAGCAAATCAAGGGAATATTTTTACAGACAAGCGTCCTTTAATTATATGACTATCAGGAGGTCCAGGGTGCTCAGGCGATACCTATTTAATATTTGACAACGCTACACCCTTTATCATAAACAGCAATGGCAAGCCAGTTTCAAATCCATATGCATGGACAAGTGAATATCATTTAATGACAATTGATTATCCTTTAGGAGTTGGATTCTCATTCGCAAACTCTCCTTATGATTATAAAAATAATACAACTGGCGATTCAAATCAGCTCTATAACTTCCTCATCAGATTAACTCAAAAATATCCAGCTTGGCTTAACCGAGATATTTATTTCTTTGGCGAGAGCTATGGAGGCCATTGAGTCCCAGGGATTGCTTATAAGATTTTAAGCGAAAACCAAAGTCCAAACCCTCAATTTAAATTCAACCTTAAAGGTATAGGAATGGGAGATCCTTGAATAGATCCTTCAACACAAACTTCATCGTATGGCCATTATGCATATTCAAGTGGACTGATAAATCAAGAAGAGCTTCAAATTATTGAAACTTATGAGCAAGAGCTGCAAACTGAGCTCAGCTTAGGAAATCTTCCTGAAGCTTATATGAATTGGGGTAATATTTTAGGCTTGACAGCTGAATATTCTGGAGGAATAAATATATATGATATCAGGCAATACACAAATTATAATTATACAATAATTGAAGAGTGGCTGAATTCAAATGAAACAAAAACAATGCTCCATGCTCCCTTAAATATTGTGCATGAAGACTGCAGCCAAGCAGTGTATAATATGACTCAAGATTTTTTATCCTCAACAGGAATTTTACTTCCTTTTATCCTTGACAGCATCAATGTCTTAATATGGATCGGCCAAGACGATTTTATCGTCAACACTCCAGCTATAGAAAATACTATAGCCAATATAAATTGGCCTAACATCCAAAACCTAATCAATACAAATAAAATTATTTGGAGGGTAAACGGCCAAATTGCAGGGTATGTTAAAAAGTTTTCGACCTTTACTTTTGCATCACTTATGAAATCAGGACATATGGGATCGCACGATCAGCCAGTTAATGCCAGAGATATGCTATTTAGGTTTATCAATAATGAGGGTTGGCAGCAGTAATAGTAATAATTTTAATCTTATTCTCTCCTTAATGTCTAGATTTGGGGAAGAAATGATAAATATGAGACCTCTTTTCCTTTTGCTTCTTTTAGGAATTGCTTTTTCTTTAGGAAGCGATACACCGTTACTTGGAGATACAGATGGACCTTGGTCTTATTTTGGGTATACTGGGTACTCAGGAGAAGTAGTAATAAACTCACTAACAGGGTCATCTTATTTCTATTGGCTGTTTCAAGCAATCAAAGGAAATATTTTGACTGACAAGCTTCCACTTATACTGTGGTTTGAAGGTGGACCTGGCTGCACTGGAGAAATAGGAATATTTTATGATAACATTGGCCCTTTCCTTATCAACAACCAGACTCAGCCTGTAAATAACCCTCTTACCTGGATAAATAATTTTCACGTCATGACTATTGATTATCCACTAGGAACCGGCTTTTCATACGCTAACTCTCCATCTGATATGACAAACACCACCACTTCTGCGTCAGCCCAACTTTACAATTTACTTGTAAAGCTCGCCAAAAAATATCCTACTTGGTTCAATAGAGATATTTATATTTTTGGAGAAAGCTATGCTGGACATTGAATTCCTGGTATTGCTTATAAAATTTTGAGCGAAAATAAAAGTCCAAATCCTCCTTATAAATTCAACTTAAAAGGTATTGGGATGGGAGATCCGTGGGTTGACCCTCAAACCCAAACGCAGACATATTCATATTATGGATATCAGACAGGGTTGATTAATCAAGAAGAAAAATCGATCATTGCTCAATATGAAAGCACTGTTCTTGCAATGATGAAAGCTGGCAATCTAACTCAAGCTATGAACGAGACTGATACGTCTGTTGATTTGGTTGCGCAATATGCAGGCGGGGTTTCTATTTATAATGTTAGAATTTTTGAATCCTACCCTACTCTAGGACAATTCCCAGCTTGGTTAAATTCGAATTCAACTAAAACTCTACTTAGAGTTCCACAGAATTTGGTATGGGAAGATTGCAACCCTGAAATAAACACAGCAATGGCAGTAGACGTTATGACGTCGTTTATTAATTTAATGCCTTATATAATAGACAATATAAAGGTTGTTATATATAGCGGGCAAGATGATTTAATTTGCAACACAATAGGACAGGAATTGATGATTTCGAAAATAAATTGGCCTTATATTAAAGAATTTATGGGGTCGATAAAAAGAGTATGGAAAGTTAATGGAGAAGTTGCTGGCTATGCTCAAAGTTATAAGAACCTAGCTGCCATATCAGTTATGAAATCTGGACATATGGTAGGGCACGACCAACCATTACATCTGAGAGATTTAGTAATAAGGTTTGTCAATAATCAAGGATGGTAATAAGGTTTTAAAAATCTTTATCATTGAATTTATTCTAAATTAAGTTAACTATCATAATAAGAATCAAGCTTAAGCTTCTATTTCCATTTTTTGAAAATTATAAATTCTTAGTAAAAAAATGTTGCCCCTCTTGTTATTGTGCTGTGTTCTTAAGCAAAAACGCATTTTCTCAATTTTTTCATAGAATAATTTTCAAATTTTCGATTTTCTCAATAATTTTTTCTATATTAAAATATAATTTTCTAAATTTTTTATGTTTTCTTTATCAAATAATTTCAATTTTTCAATATTCTCAAAGACTCGTGTTTAAAGTTCAGAGTTTTTGTTTTTATGTTTATATTTTCAACTTTCACTGTTTAATAATTTCAATGCCTATATTTATAGGAATTTAATTTAAAGAAACATGTGAACATTCTACTTTAATGGGAGTTATTAAAACCATATTTTCGTATATATTTTGTTCCCCATTTTTTAAATATAATGTCGAGAAAATTATTTGAAGGCTTTCTTATAAAAAATTGAACACTTTTGATCTTTTTTTGGCAGTAATTCTTGAATTGAAAGCGATATCCAAAGGTAAAGTAAAAGTTTTTTAAAATATATACCATACAGCCAATTTGCTTGTTCTTCAGATAAGTCTAAATCCTTATGTTTAGCCTTATAAACTTTTTACCATTATTTTGCAATATAAATCAACATCTAATGGGTTGCTTTAGATGCTTCAGCCTTTTCAGATGGGAAAAACTATGCCTTATCAACTTTATTTTCTTTCCGATTTTTATTATAGGAATTTGTGTGTGATCTGGGATTTTCTTCGGTATTTATTTGCCATTGCTTAAAAGAGACTACAAAGAAGGCATATGCACAATAAACGAAGCTGACTTATTTTCTTTCAATGATACCATTTATTATTATAGCTATAGCGTATCTGTAAATATAAGCAACATTCTATATCCAGCTTATGGATGCAGTACTACTTATGCAGAGTACTCCATTTCCAATGGATGAGCTGCTGGATCATATCCTTACCAATATGCTGATTGCAGTGCAGACCTTGTTGTAGCTCATAATAAACCTTGCTTTCATGATCAGCTATTTCAACCTCTCTGGACTTGTCGTGATGCAAGTGCTGTATACTTTAAACTTGCAACTGTTCCTTGTAAATGATGACTTGCGAATGATGCTGGATCCGAAACTGAGCCATCTAAAATAAAAAATCTCAAATACCCTTCCTATGGAAAAGCTTGAATAGAAGTGATTTTCACGGATAAAGTCTACATACCCAAAATTGATTATATGGTTCTTTGAATTGCTCCTTTCTGAATGCTAACTTGTGGATCTTTTGTAACTCTTGCATGGTATAATTGTGGAATTTATTTTGTGGGATATAGACATGAATTTATAAGAGATATTGTTTATTATTATATGAAATATATAAGACGAAACAAACATATTAGAAAAATTTATAGGCCTCCACATATTGGGGTTGTTGAGAATGATAGAGAAGTTTCAACAAATATTTTTTTAATGTCAATTCTTCATAGCAAAAAAATGTCAAAATTTCCTAAAGTATTGATAAGAAAAACGGTTAAATATTTTTAAATAAAGCATCAAAAGAAATGAATTTTAGCAGTTAACTTATTGATATTAATTAATAAAATTAAATAATTATTTAATTAATTTATTTGCCAGGGTTAATTTAATTTTTTATGTTCATAGCACTTCATTTTATTCATATAAAGTAACGAAATTAAAAAATGTAAAATAAGTTAACTAGGTTCTTATTAAGATTTTTTAAAACCAGCTGGCCACTCTCAATTTTGACAAGAGAGTGCTAATATGTTAATATTGTCAATTATTATTCAGAATAAATTGAAAAATTCAACTTATAGCATTAAAAAAAATTACAGATAATGAGAAATTACCAAAAATTTAATTATAAATTATTTTAACAATTTATAAGCAAAAAAATTCAATTTTCCTTTATTTCAAAGATATCAGGCACCATTTATGAAACTGTCATATAATGTGTAAATCAAATTTTTACAATTGAAACAAGAATGTATGCTTTTGGATAAATGCAATTTTATTTTCATGCTATGTGTTAGGTATATGTGTTTGAGCAGGAATATTTTTTATAATTTACTATCCTTTGATTAAAAGAGACTATAAAGAAGCTCCATGCACAATAACTGGCAAAACAACTTTTACTCTTTCAGCCACCTCATCATGAACGTACCACAGTTATAGCCTAGACGTTTATATAAACAATACAAAGTACAAAGCTTATGGTTGTATATCTAATTCTGCTGAAACATCAATATCAACCACAGTGATAAGTTTTTATTACCCTTATAATTACATCCCATGCAAATCTGATGGATATGTTGCTCCTTTAGAAAACTGTCTTGATGATCAAATATTCTTACCCTTTTGGACATGTAAAAATGCATCAGACGCATATTTGGCTATAGGATCTTCTTTCACCTGCAAGTGGTGATTAGCCGATAAAGATGGAGAAACTGACCCAGCAAAGTCAGAAAGCATTACTTATCCTGGCTATGATAATTCTTGAGTTGAAGTTCTTTTCAAAGATGATATCTTTATTCCGACTGATGATTATAATACTTTGTGGGGAATTCCTTTTGCTCTTTTAATATGCGCGCCTTTGATTATAATAATTTGGATTAATTGTGGAATTTTTTGCTGCGGATATTCAGAGGAATTTAAGCTGGTTTTTAATTATTGATATACAAAGTATATAAAATGCAAAATAGCAAAAAAGCCTATTAAGCATTGTGATGAGCAAGTTAACATTGATAAAACTATTTCAACAATTGCATTTCTCATGGCACTCACAAAAGGCAAGCATGCCCCAAAATTCCCGAAATCCCTAATCAAAAAAACAGTTAACTACCTCTAATCTTTTTAAAATATATCATTTGTTATATTCATAATTGTATGTCAGATACTTTAAGAATTTTAGCATAATAAATAGTTTAATTTTAAGTTCCATTTACAATTCTTGTAACCAATAAATGCTATCATTTGTAATAATTAATAAATGTGTAATCCTGTATGCTTCAAGTGTAGCAAAAGATCTTGCTTTTTGTTCAATGCAATTGTTTTTTCTTTTTATGTGGTAGGCATATCTGTTTGAGCAGGAATTTTTTTTGGAGTTTACTATCCTTTGGTTAAGAGAGACTATAAAGAAGCTCCGTGCATAGTTTCTGATTTTTTATCTTTTACTATTGCTGATATCACTACGCGCAATTATCACAGCTATTCCTTATATATCTATATAAATAACTCATCATATAGAGCTTATGGATGCATTTCAGACTCTGCAGAAATGATAATATCATCACCGTATATGGGAATTTACTATCCTTATATGTATACTCCCTGTGATGATAGCTATTATGTTAGTCCTTCAGACAGCTGCCTTGACGATCAGCTATTTTTACCTTTATGAACATGCAAAAATGCATCATATGCATATTTGCCTGCAGGATCTTCTTTTACCTGCAAATGGTGATTAGCTGACAAAGATGGAGAAACTGACCCGGCGAAATCAGAAAATATTACTTATCCTGGTTATGGAAATTCTTGAATTGAGGTCCTGTTCAAGGATGATGTTTATATTCCTACTGATGATTACAATGCTTTGTGGGTAATTCCTTTTGGCTTTTTAACAATAATTCCTCTAATTATTGTTGTTTGATTCAACTGTGGAATTTATTGCTGTGGGTATTCAGCAGAATTTAAGCAGCTTTTTGCCTACTGATATACAAAATATATAAAATGCAAAAGAGCAAAGAAACCGTATGGATACTATGAATCTAATAAAGCTGAAATGGACAAAAAACTTTCAACAATTGCATTTCTTATGGCTCTCACCAAGGGTAAATATGCTTCAAAATTCCCAAAATCATTGATTAAAAATACAGCAGGCTACTTTTAATCTTCTTAAATCATAAATCGATAAATATTGTATCTATTACTACAATTCTACTAGTGTATCGCCTTGTATAGCACTTGCCTTCATACTATATATAGGGAATCCCCTATATAAAATACAATTGGGAATGATAGTTCAAAAAATATATAGAATTTTGACTTTTTAATTAAGTAGAAACTAAAGAAAATTATGACCTTTATTATAACATTAAGAATATGAGAAAATTATTATTAGTATTATTTTTAATATTAATAAATGTGTAAGTCAAGTTCTTATCAGTGTGGCAGAAATTCCTGTTTTTGAATTAATGCAACTATATTTTCTTTGTATGTGGTAGGCATATGTGTTTGAACAGGCATTTTCTTTGTAATTTACTATCCTTTTATTAAAATAGACTACAGAGAAGCTACATGTACAATCACTGACGTAACAACTTTTACTATAACTGCTACTACAGTAATAAGTTATCACAGTTATGGTCTAAACATCTATATAAGCAACTCGAGTTACAGAGCTTATGGCTGCGTTTCTGGCTCTGTTGAAACGATGATATCAGCCACAGTGATGAGTTATTATTACCCTTATATGTATATTCCATGTGATGATAGCTATTATATTAACCCTGTTAAAAGCTGTTTAGACGATCAGCTATTTTTACCTTTATGGACATGTAAAAATGCATCAAATGCATATTTGACTGTAGGATCTTCTTTTACCTGCAAGTGGTGGCTAGCTGATAAAGATGGAGAAACTGACCCAGCAAAATCAGAAAGAATTACTTATCCGGGCGATGGTAATTCTTGAATTGAGGTGCTTTTCAAGGATCATATTTATATTCCCACTGACGATTACAATGCTTTATGGGCCATTCCTTTTACGCTTTTAATATGCATACCTTTGATTATAATAGTTTGGGTTAATTGTGGAACTTATTGTTGCGGATATTCTGAAGAATTCAGAAGGCTTTTCAGATATTGGGAAGCGAAATATATAAAATGTAAAAGAGCGAAAAAGCCATATGAATATGATGATATTAGTAAATATAAGATGGATAAAACAATTTCAACAATTGCATTTCTTATGGCGCTCACGAAAGGTAAGCATGCTTCAAAATTTCCAAAATTATTAATAAAGAAAACAGCAAATTACTTATAGCTACATAAATTATTATATTAATAATATTTATTCCTAAAATCGATTAATCAACTTCTATATAAATAATTCATTCCGCATATTTATAAAATTAAAATTACAGAGGTAAGCACCTTGATTTTGATTTTTTAATAACAACTTGTCTATTACTATGAGCGACTCTTTCCATATCGATTCCTAGCCACTTTACAACTCGATTATCATTCATAACCATCCTCTTATAAGAGTTTTTATCAATATACTTTCCATTCTCATCCTCATGGCACATTTCTGTTTTAATCAAGCTGTCGATAATTTGTGAGATCTGCTCCTGGCTCAATTGAAAAGAATTCACCTGAGAAATCGCAGAAACTAATAATTCTTTAATATCGCTAATATAAACTTTATCGTCTTCTTTTACATTGTACATTCTGAACGAAGCTTCAACCTGGTCTCTGTATTTTGATGCTAAAACAGAAGAAGCTGTCCCTTGAGATGTTCTAGGAGTTTCATGACTCTTTGAAATAAATGTGCTCAGTGCTAGTAAAAACTCTCGAAAATTTATAACTCTGTCTCCATTAGCATCAAATAATCGAAAAGCTCTGTCAGAAATAAGAGGTGAAACAGGCAGTTTTAAGCCGAGGCAAAATTCAGAGAAATCAATTACGCCATCATCAACTTCTGATTTGGAAACTTCATAAAATCGTTTGTAAAGCATTTCAACTTCTTCGACTGTGAATAATGTTTGGCGTGAAAATTCTTGGACTTCTGATTGACGAAGCCTAGGGATTTTGCTCGTCTTGCTAGGTGCTGAGCCCATATTGAATATAGAATTAATTTAAATCCATCTAATCTAGCTTTTTAAAGTAATATTTATTCCATTACCAGCAATTAATCCAAATGTATATTACAATCATAAATTCGTGAGTTTATTGAAGAAGTCTTCAAAGATAAATACAATAGCTATGCTCTAAGTGGCTAGTATCTATAAGATTTTACCTTGATTATTAGCCCTATAATTAAAAAAGAGGAGTTGAATATATGAATACTATATGATCATAAAGATCAGCCCTTATCTTCATCTCAATTTATAAATTATTGATAAAAATACTAAGGTTAATGATAATACCCATGATTAGTCCCTATACCTTTATGTCGGTGAATCCAATGCTTAAGTTTATAATATTTTTTGAGCGATATTGGTAGAAAATTGCTAGCTTTATAAATATAATATAGTTAAAATAGATACAATCATTTTTTCTTTGTCTATCTAAAACCATATTTCGTAAAACATCGGCTAAAGTCGAGTGTATATTGATATATTATAACTGCGCCATTGATGAGTGAGCAAGATATTTTGCCCGCTCAAGGAGGATTGATATTTTTGGAATATTTCTATAAATAAAAATTGTTTTCGTTTTAAAAAAAGATTGCAAATAATTGAAAATTAAAGTTTATTTTAGAACTCAGGCTGATGAAAAATAGATTCAACATTTACTTATTAAAAAATACTTTGATCCTTACAAAAGGTAATTCTCCGAAAACAGTAAGATATTTCCAATAGTTTTGCGAATTCAAAACGGTGGAATAAGCATTTAACTAAAGTTAATCAAAAATTCCAATAAATAATTAATCTATTTCTTTAAATTTGTCACATATGACAAATAAGAGTTCCAAAAAAGCGCAACGAAATTAACAAAAAGTACTTGGAAGTGCAAAGGGACAAAATTGAAATTGATAACCATCGCAAGTGGCCAAATTCTCCAGTTCATTTTGAGAGCTTCCCAGAAATCTTCTTTTATTTTAGTGACGCCTGCAGATAAACCTGCATTATTCATTAGTGGCACAGCGGTAAAAAAGGAACATATAACAAACGATGAGAAAAGAGTTTGGTCTAGAAAAACCTTTTTTACTGTCGAAACAACACCTTTTTGAGGGAATAATACTGCAAGAAGCCCATACCAGTTATGAAGAATCGGGCCTAGATAGAATCCTCCAAATAAGCTGAGCTTTAGATATCTGGTGAAATCAAAATTTTGTATAAAAGGCCTATTATGAATCTTGCTTTCTATATACTGGCTTAAAGCATCTCCTAATCCTACAGTGCAAAATGTTGAGATTGACTTAGTAAGCAATGGCCGAGCGTTCAAGCTTCGATTGTAAAAGCTTAGAAACTTCGCCATTTACTTAAAATTATCAAACATATCACATTAGGAATTAAATTAATTAATTTGGACTTATTTCTTATAGTTCGATAAGTAGGACAAATACGCGTTCCAAAATACAGCTACAAAGTTGACGAAGATAACTTGAGTATGCAGAGGAATAATTGAAAAATTAATCAACATCACTGGAGGCCAAATTTTCCAGTTTACAACAAGAGCTTCCCAGTAGTCTTTTTTAATTTTTTCTTGAGCTTGTTGCAGAGTGCCACCATTGAATAAGGTTGCAGCTGTAAAGAAAGACCAAATACACCAAGAGCAAAAAAATGTTTGGTCAAGTGACAACTTCTTAATAGTTGACAAAGTGCCAGGGGCTGGAAAAGTTTTTGCTAAAAACCCATACCAGCCATGCAGAAGTGGTGCTAAATAAAAGGCTCCATAACAGCTCAGTTTAAAGCATCTTTTATGATCAAAATTTTGAAGGAATGACTTGCTTTGAAGCCTGCTTTCAATATATTGGCTTACAGCATCACCAGCTCCAATGATGAAGAAGGTGGAAATTGACTTTGTTATCAAAGGACGAGAGTTAAGGGCACGGTTATAAGCTGCGATAAGCTGAATCACCATTTATATAGAAACTAATAGGACAAGGATATTTATTCACCTATAAGCTAAAAGACTCACAAAGCATAAAATAGAAGACTTGTTTACTAGACAAAGTTTTCCATTTCATTATAATTTTTTAAGTATTCGCTTGAATTACAATACTGGGGATATACACAGCTATCTTAACTTAACTTAACTTAATATTTACAGGCGTCTGCCGTAGTGTTAACGCAGTCACACCAAGGATCCAGTATTAGGGTTCACCTGCTTTGTGGCATAGTCCAAACTGGCCATATAAACCAGTCACCAGGACATACGCCTCCTCCTTCCCACGGTTTCCCGTGGCTTAGTGTTGAGTGGGCGGGCTATGGGCTTCTGCGGCTGCTGCTTGAGTACGAGAGTTGGCTTTCCGAAATTCAAAAAAATGGAATTTCTGGTCACCTTTCGGCAGAAAGGAAAATTCCAAGTCCTGGGACGTAACGCCCCAGTTTCACGCTAGGTAATTGCCCGAATGGTCTGGCGTTGCCTGTAGACTCTGCTGGGCTTACCCTTTCCAAACCCGGACTCCCTTTCCTCTCGAGGAGAAAAACCATTCTGGTCATTGAGCATGGGCCAGGCTCTGCACTGCAGAATTGCTTACCATGGCATTGTTGCTCATGTCTGGAATGGCAAAACCTTGTCGGATATAATTAAAATATGAGTCGAGTATGTATGGCCGTGAGGCCATACCCAGACGAAGACGCCATATTTTAATTATGTATACACAGCTATCAAATTGAGAAATAATATAATCCTCAACATCTCTAAATAGCTCAGAATTCACATCTTCGTTGCTTTCTCTACACAAATAAAATGGCAGCTTATCCAGCCCATCCTTCTCCCAAACCCTTTTGGGTTTTTTGGGTTTAAAAGGGCTGCTGCCTGGAAATTGTATCCGGGGTGGGTTTTTATTCCAGGTCAGAGTTTTTACCCCGCACCATATACAAGAAAACCAGAGTCTATAAAACAACTCCACATTTCTGGTTGCGAAGGGTAATAGGGACCAGAAGAAGGATTCGGGGTCGTATCCTATATCCCATCCTGGATAGATCATGTCGACCATTAGGAGTTGTCCAAGGAAGTACCTGGGTGCGTCTCCCCGAGAGATGGCAACGTTACATTTTTGGTGATGTTGACAGAAAAGGGCATAAGTGCAGCCCGATGCCTATGGTGAAGAGCCTGAAATAAACCCGAAGATTCGTTCTAACTTTTAATCTAATCTAATCTAATCTAATCGTGCTTTCTCTTGAAAAAATTATTGATGCTTTTATCCCCTTCACCACCGCTGCTGGCAATATTGATTGATTTTGAAAGAAATGATTATAAATATCTTGTGCTCTTAGTGCTGTATTATTGATTTTAAAGACGTTTATTGAAACTAATAAATTTAGATAATAAAGCCAAACATTGTTCTTTGACTTTATTATGAAATTTCTGAAAGTTTCATAGAGGTGGAAATTTTCAAGGACCATTCGTGAATCTTTAAGGTTTGGCAGAGGGATTATTGATCGCTTTGTACTTTCCTTATTAGTAATTAAGATAGTGACAAGCATGGTGAGCAAATTTCTTATTGGCATAATGCAAATATAAAAGACATCTATTTTCATTCAGGGAAAAGTGAATCCCAGAGATCATATCAAAAGATATATAAACAATTCAGTCTTCATAAGTCCAACATTACTCGCCTTTCTAATTCTCCAAATATAGATTGCATAGAAAATTTCTTCACTGACAACGTCAGCGAGCCACATATATAGGTGTTTTCCCTATATAGCCCGATAAGGGCCGTGAGTTCTCCGTGGAATCCCTCTGCTGTTGAATCAACCAGTGAATTGGTCAAACAAACGCACTGAGTTGGTTTAACCAACAACAGAGGGATTCCACGGAGAACCCACGGCCCTTATCGGGCCATATAATAATACTTTAGCTTCTTTTTGAGGTCCCTGCTCAGGGAATTTGAATGATTATATCCGAATTGAACTGAAAAAAGCACAACAAATATAGAAGACAAAGTAAGAGTATAAATAATTATGACTTTTAAGTTCCAGCGGTCTGTAAGTCTTACTTTTCTATTTAATAGTTTTTCGTAATTGCTTATATCGCCTGACCTGATTTGATAGATCAACCGCAGACGATATACTTTTAAGATGGTCGTGATATATAAAGCGTGCCTGGACAAGCAATAAAGCACCATAATAGGAAAACCTATTGGCATATCTCTTTCTTCTCCCATAGTAAAAAGACACCCCAGCAAAATTGATGAAATTGTGTGTGTATAGCTTAATACAATTGATAGTAATAAAATCACTGGAGACTTCGCAAAGAGTTCCTGGTACTCCCTTCTTCTGTATACATAAACTCAAGCTACTGAGTATGCTATGGATAATATAATAAACAGAATTGGTAATATGATCGTAGTTGGCAAATATTTTGATTCCATTATTGTCGAAAAATTGGCAAATGAGCGATTTTTTAGAAAATGGAATTAATTGATTATAAGTTTTTGGCAAAGCCGGTTTTATTCAAAATTCTAAATATTATGCTAAATTTAAGTTTTTTTATATAAAAATACTTTAGATTTCAAAGAGCTTACAAGAAACTTATTTCTATTAATGAAATTTGTATTGAAACGAAAAGATAAATAACAATGGAAGAACAACTTGAGTAAGTTCTATCTAGATTTGACGAAGAAATTACTGAAACTCATTTGAAAAAGTTCAAAGCATGCTCTACAAACTTTGTTGGCTCTAGAGGAAAATTTAATAATTTCCTTTCAAATATTGTATTTGAAGAAGAGCCATCAGCCCCATGAAGACCTCCACAACCAACCCCTTTAGATAATTCCAAATCAAAAATACAAGGCTCCTTATTTCATCAGAGTAATAATGGCACAAAATCACTTTTCAAAATTGAAATTCCTCAAAACAATAGTTTAAGTGACGGGAAGAATTTGAAAATTGAGAGCAAATCTTTAACGACAAGAAGTGAGTCTAATAGAGAATATGAGAATGCAGCTAAAAATATAACTAAAAGGTATGCATTTCCAAAAGAAAGTGGAATTAATGAAAAAATAAGTAAAAACCCGTTTACTGAGCTGAATAGCAAGAAAAAAGAAGCATTAATAGATAATAAGAAAGAGACAGGATTGATAAAAAAGTTAGGCGACATAGATAAGGCTGCAAAATTGCAGAAAACTCAAGAAAATTCTTGGCAAAAAGCATACTTAGAAAATCCAATAAGCAAAAATAAAAACAAAAATGAAAATGGCGGCCCTAAGATTTCCCATAGATCCCATAACTCAGATTCTGATGTTTTAGCTAAAATTTTCAAATCAATTGACAGTATGAAGTCTTCAGAGTTTTCGATCCAAAAGCCAATCTTTAACCAGCAAGCAATTTTACCTTTCGAGCCTTTCTCTTCTCCAAAAACCATACTTATCCCAGGCATAAAAACCCATGAAAAATCAAAACTTGACATAAAAGCTCAAGAAGCATTATTGTCTAGACTATATCAAACTCCCAGAAATTGCAGAAGTGAAATGACATCTCCAACCCTGACGAGCTCTTCTAGAGCTACACCTAAAAGATCACTCACAAATAACAATAGCCCAGAAGTAGCCAGAACGAAAATCAAAGATGATGGGCACAGATCTCCAATTAAATTAAGAAATAACCATAAAAGTAGTGGAAGTTTAACTGATAGAGCAGCAAGGCCGCATTTAGAGTCAAAAATGAGCAAAGCGCCCAGGGTTAAGCAAAAATATTTGGACCTTAAAAATAAATAGAATATAAAATTGATGTTTAAGCATCATTAAATGAATTGTATCTACTTTAATATGATGAAATGTTAAACTTTTTTTTAATTTTTAATTTATAGTCTTAGTAGCTATTGTCATAGTTTATGGATGATTGTATTGATAAAATTATGATATGATAAAATTTATATATTTTAATTTAATTGATTATCATTAAAATGCTATTGAATAATTATAAATTAAGCAAAAATTAAATGAGGCATTACCTTCCATTTATGTATAAACTTAATGAACATGGAAAATCTGATCAGAAACCCCTCCGAATTAATGAAAAATGCCCAAGGTGAGATGAGAAATTTGGAATTAGAGCTTCAATATGGTCATATTGGTCGCTATGAGCAAGATTTGATTAGAAATATTGATCCTAAAAATATTCATTTTAGTATAGCTGGTGATTTATCGCTGAACCAAGTCTTGAAATATATTGAAACAACAGGCTATTCCATCTCCGGATCCATGATTTCTTATTACTCATATGAAAAAGATATTCATATCTTTGTGGGCCACTACCCTTTAACCCATGATGTGCAAATCTCTCAAAATAACCTAACTCCCACCCAAATTATAATTAAATTAATTATAACACTATGAATTTATATTTATTAAAAGAACCTAAATACTGCATAGACTATAGTTTTGTACTTCAAAAGCTCTAATAGATTTTTATATTCAGTTATCAACATAGAAAATATATAATGGCTCTTGAAGTATATAGTCCATCGGCTATTTTAAAATATGGTCCACATGTGGATTCGAACTCCAATTGCAAAATAGCATTCCATATGGAGCAGTATGCAGGCTAAATGTAATATTAATCATGTGTGGATTTCAAACCAATGCGTGTGCCATTTTTTAAAAAAGTGGTCAACGGTATAATAAATATTTTCCCAAAATTTTGTCTATTTATGAAAAGTAGTAGTGAGATATTAAGAAACCACACGCTCAAACTGAAGTGCAGATATGTAAATCCAACTGAAAATTCAAATGAAGAAGCTGGGATTGATGATGACGAAGCTTCAGAGAAAGGAGAGCAAGGCTCAAGACGCACCAAAGAAAGAAAAATTGGTTATATCATTGAAAAGGTTGCAAGATGAAGAAATTTATATAATGGAACAATTAACTCCAGAGGAGAAAATGTTAGGCTCACTCTGGAAGAAGCTGCTGTACAAGTCGGAATTTCAAAAAAATCGCTTGATGATTATTTACTTCAACTTAGATTTGGAAGAAAGTTTGGGTTCAATTTTGAAGAGCATAAAGGCGATAAAGTAGGATTGCTAAGGGCCTATGTAAAAAAATTCAAACAAATTCAGTCAGAAATTGCAAAACTGGGACCAGGAGACCAGCTTTCAAAAGAAAGCTTGGAACTATTAAATCAAAAAGGAACGTTAGCTTGTAAAAGTCGCAAGTGCTGTGTGCCACCTCCAGGAGTGCTGAAGCTTCCTCTTCAAGCTCATGGACCTCAAGTTGACAATGAGTTTTTGAAATATGTCAATCAATAGAGTAATTATTTTATTCACCAATTTAGTTTTAAATAGCACTCTTCCATGATGCATTAAACTATTTAAGTTGTTTGAGATGAATTGCGGTATGGAGAGGCAAAAGCATGGCACAATTCTAGGAATAATCATATATTGAGGTTTTTAGCTTCTTCCAAATTTGAACGATGAATATCAATTTCATAATTTTAATGCATTTTTTATTATTTTAAGTAAGTTTGAAAGCTCTGTTTAGCTCAAACAAATCTATAAAAATGGTATTTGAAATATCAATTTAAGAGCTAATAATAATATCTTACATTATAGAATGACAGAAGAGTGTGAACATATAGATTTCTCAAAGATGAAAAAGAAAAGAAAGCCCAAGCTGATTGCTGGCACAACAGATTCCATCCAGCTACAAAATGAAATAAAATATAATGAAATGCTCGATCAAATCTTTTCCAATTTGAAAACACATAGAGGAGGCAACTTAAAAACAAATAGCCAAAAGATAATTATTAAGGGGCCAGAAATACAAAAGATCGGGACAAAAAAGACTGCTATAGTTAATTTTCTAGAAATTTGCGATACGCTCAGAAGACCATCAGATCATGTTTCTGAATTTTTTTTCCAAGAATTTGGAAATGAAGGCAGCATTTCCCAAAATATACTAATAATAAAAGGAAGATATACTGAAAGTCAAATTGAAGTGATCCTAAAGAAATATATCACAGAATATGTTCTTTGCCAAATGTGTAGAAGCATGCAGACTAATTTGGTTAGGGATCCAAGCATAAGAACGTTTATGCTGAAATGCGAAAAATGTGAGTGCATAAGAAGTGTTCAGCCTCTACACAAATTTTACCATCATTCTCTCAAAGCGGATAGAAAGAAAGCAAAGATGGCAGAACATTAATGCTAATCTTGTAAAGTAATATACTGCTTCCCATTCCATTTATTCAAAAAGTTGCTTCTTTCATACTTAAGCCATACAAAGTAGATAGTATAATAATATGTACTATATTATTTTTTTATAATTGCGTCTATTCTTCTTCCTCGCTAATTTCGTCTTCTTTAGCAAAAAAACTGTTTCTTGTTTCCTCATATATTTTTAGTATCTTACTCGTATTTTCTGCGACTTCATAAGATTTAGACAGCTTAAACTTCATTAAATCAAACCCTATTATGCTGCCCTTTAAATCATAGTCCTTATTTACTTCACAGTATGGATTAGTTCTAGAAAAATGAGTAAGCAAAATCCTTCAAGCATTCATTTTTTTTCCAACTTTAATTGCTTCCCCAACTGTAGAATGAAAATATTTCTGAGCTTTTAATAAATCTTTATCAATAAAAGTAGCTTCATGAATTAATAAAGTCGCGTCTTTTCCTTCATTTACCAAATCCTCACAAGGTCTTGTATCTCCACTATAAACTATTTTTCAGCCGCTTTCATGAATGATAATAATTCCATGAGATTTTGTGTTGTGAATTGTAGGGACAAATTTGATTAATTTTATTCCTGGAATACGTGGAGTGTGTAATGATGAGTAGAAATTATAATTAAACGGAGCAAAAATTGTTTTAAAAGTTTCTAAATCGTATTGAAATTTGCCATGCGCCACAATATTTAATGGCTCTGAAGTAAGTTTTGATCTTTCATGGACTAATTTAGCTATCCCACTATGATGATCTTCATGCAAGTGAGAAATAAAAATGGTTTTTATTTTAACTAAAGCTTTGTCAATATTGTCGCCGAAATGTCTGCATAATTGGCCATAAGTACCTTCACCACAGTCAAATAAAAAGCTTGAGCCAAAATCTCCAACCCAAATGCTGCTTACACTTCTGAACTGGTCTGGTTTGGCAGATGAGGTCCCTAATATGAGAATGGAGGGATCTGAGCCTTTTATTTTAGTATTTACAACACTACTATATGGTATATTATTGATTCTATTTTCATCAGGAAGCGCAATTTTTTCCGCTTTATCATGCATTTTTTGAATATTTAAAGGGTTGATGGATTCAGACATTTCAATGTTTCCTTTAACTCCAGGAGGATTCAAGTGTATTCTCAACCCAGATTTTGGGATAAGCAAATTTTTGAACTGAAATTTTAGAAAGTCAGCGTGATCTGAATCTATAGCAGGATACATATTCGTTGGTAACTTCACGATGCCTACTCCACAATAACTATCGTTAGTTGCTTAAATTGGAGCATTGTAACCTACGTGTGGAATCTTTTCCACATGTGAAATCAAAAGGGTTTTACATGTGGGATCATCTCTTCACACGTGGAAAAGATTATTTTTTTTCTGGCTTTAATTATTTTTGATATTTTTGGCCTTTCATATTGACTATTTCGTGTTGGTTTCAATTCATTTTAGTCTATTGTTTTCGGCGGAAGTGAGCTTATAAATTTTCAGCATTACTAAAAGAATACCAAAATAGGCCAGAGGTGAAAAAAAGGCAAAAATAATGGTCCAAAGAAAAGTCTAAAAAAAGGGCAAAAAATTAATAAAAAGGCAAAAAAAACTGGCTTAAAAAAATAGGCCAAAAAAATAAATTAAAAAAATTTAGACAAAAACTAACTCCCCCCCATCCTTGATCGAACGATTGACTGTAAAAATTCCTAAAAATTTGGGAAATTAACCCCCATCCTTGATCGAACGATTTTCATATCATAACAATTTTTATATATATAAAAATATATTAGTTATCAAAAACTTGGAAAGATGTACCTAATGAAGTTGTTTTCAGAGCTTTGGGATGACAGAAAGCTGCGAAATCAACTATCCGAAGTGATTTAGTCATCAACTAGGCTTGAAAACTCAATAATCTAATAAAATAGAGATTCTTTAAAATTTAAAAAAAAAAAATTTTAATTCAGTAAGGAACAAATTAAAATTTATACAGTTTAAAAGGGGTAACTAATAAATCAAAATATATTAAAAATTGATATTTTATGAAATTAATTCAATTTTTTGCTGTAAAAATAATTATTAAATACTCTTAACCCTCTTATTTAAAAGTAAATAAAAAATATATACATATATATTTTTTATTTTATATATAATTTTTTTTTAACCCCCATCCTTGATCGAACGATGGCGAGTCGTTCGATCAAGGATGGGGGGGGAGTAAGCGAAAAAAGAATAGGACAAAAAAAATATAGTTTTATGGTGTAGGCGCGGTGTGAAGGAATCATTCGTTGAGCATTTGAAATATTTTGGAAACACTTTTTGCAACTTAATAAGTAAATCATCAGAATATGAGTAAATAGGAGATATTAGTGTATTTTTTAATGAATGGGAGATATTTTCATTAAAAACTACATTGCTTATATGAGGAGGCAAAGTATCTAAAAATTTATGGTAGTCGGAGTGTAGGAGTACTGGTGTTGGAGACATATGAAAAATGTAATCAAAATCGTTTTCTTGATTAAAATAGCTGGAAATAGTTTTGGAAACTTCAGAAAGCAAATACTTTGTAGAAGGCATATAAATCACTCCAAAAACTTGGGATTTCGTAGGAGGCCCCAAGACATCGTCTGGATAAATGACTTTTCCATTATCAAGTGTAATCGAATTTCCTTTTACAAGCTTCGCATAAAGCTTACCTCGAGGAATTCCTAATTCTTCAGCTTTTTCTACTAAAAATTTTCTAGCTTGCTTTTTGCATTGCACAATATAACTTGCACATGAATCTTCAGCAAATTCCAATCTTTTGCTTTCAGAGGAATAAAAAGTATAATATTTTCCAGAATTAAAGGAAAGAGCCTTTACCTTGATATTATCATCAATATAGGAATCTTCGACCTCTTTTCCTAATTCTTGATTTCCATATTCAATAACATCAAACTTAGTATTCCTAAAAATGTCAGCAATTGCTTTTATGCCGACTGGTCCATGAATTCTTCTTTTGAATGTTTGTTTACTATCTAAAACTAAATGAGAAATAAGCCCTCGCAATGATGATACAGCATCCAAATTAATTCCAGTCACAAAAACATCTTTAATGTTATTTCTGAAATTTGAGTGCGCTAAGGACCGAGGTAAATTTTGACCACAATTAAAAATATACTTCTGTCTTTCAAAGGCCAACATCAACGATGGACTTGTTAGCTTACTCCCCCCCCCCCCTCCGTGAGCGAACAAAAAAATTTTGTTCGCTCACGGAGGGGGGTTAATTTTTTTTTTTTAAAAAAAATTTATATATATAAATTTTATAAAAAAATATTTTTTTCGAAATTAAAAAAAAATCCTAATTTGCAAAAATTGGGAAGCAAATATTAATTTAATTTGCAAAATTTATGTTTTAAAACGCAATTTGTTTAAAATTAAACAGAATTAGCTCTAGATTTCATTATACTAATTATCACTTATATATCAAAATTTTTTTCCATTAAAATTTTTTCTATTAAAAAAATTTTTGTTCACTCACGGAGGGTGGGTTTTTGGTCAAAAAATGGCGATTTTTCTAATGGTTTTGTTCGCTCACGGAGGGGGGGGGGGGGAGTTAGAATGAACGCCTAATATCTCAATGTGGCATTTCATTATAATTTAAGAAAAATGGCAATATATCTTAGATATCGCGAAATATGATAAGCGTTTGAAATTAATACTTTGCTGAATTATTCAGAATTATACGAATATAATGTTTTAATTAAAATAATGTCCCTCTAAATGAATAAGCATAAGCGCAAGCATGATCAATAAAATAATATAAATAAATTTTTATATACTTTTTATAATTTAAAATATTAAAATGTCTCAGAAAAGACCTGTAGATATTGAGCTAAAGCCAATGTCTTCTAGAACATACCCAGATGAGCCTCCATCTCCTGAACACACAATAATTGAAGAAACAAAATCGCCAACCCCTATTTATACACCTCCCCCGCCTCCTCCTATTTTTAATCAGCCTAATCCTCTAAATCCAGCTCCCCGTCCCCAATCCCAAACATTTACTCCACAAATGCAATTTCCTCCTAATAACTTTTCAGGTCAGCAAGGCACAATTAAATGCGCAACTTGCAGCTTAGCAATGGCCTTTCCAATTGAAGCTTATTTTGTAACATGTCCAGCATGCAGAAATGTGACTGCAACTAAACACTTAATTCCAATGGTCTGCACTTACTGCCAGGTACGCAGCTATTTCCCAATGGAGGCTGAAACGGTGAGATGCCCATGTGGAGCGATTTATTCAAATCCTTATAGAAGATAACTAATTTTGCTGAAATTAAAATTTTTTATATGAATTATTTTATATTTGATAATTTAACGCTTGGACGAAGTGAAAATAATCTTAATGCTGCAGCTGCTCCGTATGCTCCTGAAATTTCAATAATATTTTGAATGCTTCTAATCGCATTTTCTTGTTCTGGTTTTGCTAAAGTTTCCCGTAAATATTTGAAAAAATGCAAGCTGCTAAAAATTAACTATAATTAAATGGAGATCTTATCATGCATATATTAATTATTTATGGTTTATTTATTGTAAAAAAATTTTGCTCATCAATTATTTTCTCAAAAATGGGGCATTTTTGCTCGCTAACCAAAGTGGAATAAGTTTTCTACCATCTCAACAACATTTTTATGGAGGTTTTTGATTTTTCTAATAAAACTGAGTCCAGCAGTCAAAGCTTTTGACAGTGTTTCAGCTTCTGATAAGAAGTTATTGTTCTTTTTAAGCTCACTATTCATGCTGTGCTGTTTCAAACCTATCTGGACGTCAACAAAATTTTTTTTCATATTGGGCAGTTGAGGAATAATCCTCTGTAAGCACGTAGAGAAATCATTCCAGTACTTTGCCCCTTCTAAAGCTTCACCTTCTAGAAGGTCTATGTTGAAGTCAATATATGGAAAAGAATTAAGGAATACCATTGCAGTTTTAGCATTAGGAGAGCTTGATATAACAAGAATGAGGGTAGTAATTACTACCTTAATACTAGGACTTTTTACTCCCCCCCCCCTCCGTGAGCGAACAAAACCATTAGAAAAATCGCCATTTTTTGACCAAAAACCCACCCTCCGTGAGTGAACAAAAATTTTTTTAATAGAAAAAATTTTAATGGAAAAAAAATTTTGATATATAAGTGATAATTAGTATAATGAAATCTAGAGCTAATTCTGTTTAATTTTAAACAAATTGCGTTTTAAAAACATAAAATTTTGCAAATTAAATTAATATTTGCTTCCCAATTTTTGCAAATTAGGATTTTTTTAAATTTCGAAAAAAATATTTTTTATAAAAATTTATATATAAATTTTTTTTAAAAAAAAAAAAATTAAACCCCCCTCCCGTGAGCGAACAAAATTTTTTTGTTCGCTCACGGAGGGGGGGGGGGAGTTAGTATAAGCGCTAAACTTTTCAGCGAAATTCAATAAATTGTTATACCCTTCTAGCAAAGTAACCACATACTCCTCGATAATCCCAGCATGCTTTACTAAAGCCATAACAGAATCGTCAAGATTGGGAGATCCTGATTCACAAGTATTTAACGCAAACATGCATTTATAAGAATCTCGGTCCACCCTCACTTGCAAAATTTTGTCATTTCAATTTCTAAGGGCAGCTTGAAAAGATTTTTCATCTATAAGCTGCTGCTGTGCTCCTGTTTTAGAATGTATATAGGACATATGATAATAGTCTAAAGGATCAGAAGATTGATACATGTATTTTGCAACCAACTCGACATTTTGTTCCAGTGATTCATAAGATACTGGCAAAATAGGCAGGCTAAATGTTTCATCTCTTATTAGCAGCTGTACCTTTTTAGGCGTATATGTAGTGCTTGGTCTACGACAGTCATTCCCCATTTTAAATATATTGGTATGAATTTAACTTGGTAGAAACTTAACATGAGTGGCATAAAAAAGATGCCAAAATGTTAGCAATAAAAATTTTGTAATAATGTTGAAGAAGCCTTTTGTTGGGGAAAATAATAAAATTTAATTTTTTTAAATATTTGAGCAATTATGATTAAAAAACATAAATTTATCGGATCATTTTTGGTTTTTTTATAATAATTGATGCTTTAAGCCATTTCCAAGCGATATAAAAAATAAATCGAAAGTTTCTGTTAATAATCTTAAAATTGCAGCAACATACCAAATGCTTTTTATTGATTATATTTAATTTCATTAACAAAAAAACTCTTTCCAAATTTTTATCCTAGAGCCTCTCAGTATAATATGGACCCTCAAGAACTGTCTTACAAATCTCTCTTAAAAAAACTCGTAATCCTAACATAGAAAGGAGAAATAAAATGGTGGCGTTTACAGAAATTGACTCAGAGGTCATTCCCTATGGGCAGGTATGATCCATCCTGATGAAGCTGAAAATAGTGCCTCTGCCACTTTTGAAGTAGGCCTTTGGGTTTGGGGAATCTATAACGAAGTTTGTTTTTCCTTTGAGGGTTTCCTGTCCCTAGACAAATTTTATCTAACAAATGATCTTTCTCACTATGATTCAGAAGGTGGCCCTGCTCTAGGGAGCTTGCTACTTGGACACTTTATTTGAAACTCCAAGGTATATGAAGACTGGCTTTTTAAAGCCGAAAGAATCCAACGCTAGTGATTATCGCTTATGGCTAGTTTTTTTACTTTTAACTTAACATAGAAACGTAAAGGCGGTCTCAAACAAATAAGTTGTGAGTTTTGTCTCAAAGATATAACCCTCTGCACCTATATTCAATGTGCTGAATGCCAAAATTTTTTCATTTGCTTGCAATGCTACATCTCTGGTCAAGAAAAATCAGAACACTCTCGGCTTCACAAATACCACGTTGTTGACCCACTGAAATTTCCTCTTTTTATGCTCAATTGGACTGCAAAGGAAGAACTTTTGCTGCTTGAAGGCTTATTAAAGTTTGGATATGGGAATTGGGGTTCGATATCTGAATTTATAAGCTCGTCAAAGAACAGCTGGGAATGTGAAAAGCATTATAAACAAATTTATCTAGGAAAAACCAAAGAGGCCTTATTACAGCTAAATATTCTGAGCCATCGAGATGAAAATGAGCATTTAGTGTCAGCTGAGGTCGATAACTCAGAAAATTTTATGGATATCGCGCCAGACGTGTTTCCAAATCCTGAGCCTAGAGTTGAAATAGAAAAGCACCCTCTTACAGAATTTGCAGGATACATGCCCTTGAGACGCGATTTTGAAATAGAATATGAAAATGACATCGAAATGTATTTAGCGGACTTAGAATTTTATGACGATGACACTTACTTACTTACTTATTTACTTACTTACTTACTTACTTACTTACATAGTCTTTAAGGTGTCTAATGCCCACACCCCTTAATAAAAAAGGTCAAAGCGACAACTAATGACGTCACCAAGCCATCTTGGAATATGTGATCAGCCCACACCCAAGCCTTCTATAAGGCTAGTCGCCAGATAAATCGCCGCACATCTCACCCGGCGCGTTGCCGTCGCTCGCTCCGACTCAGCTCCTGCGCGTGTTCCGCCTAAGGGTCATCCTCCCGTGGGGACGTGCTGAGAGGTAAAACTCCGAGTGTCTTGAATGCACTGAGGAGCCGTGCCTTTGGTTATCCCCAAAAGTTAAACGGCTGTTGCTGTGCAGAAGTTCTCAAAAAAAAACCCAACCCCATAAATAAAATTCCATGAGGGAGAGAAAATTGGCAGAGCCAATTTCTCTCGAACCGAATGCCATTTTATTTATTATGACGATGACACACAAGAAGACACCAATATAAAGCTTAGACAGTTAGAAGTCTATAATAAAGTCCTCGAAGAGAGAGAAGAAAGAAAAAAATTTGTAATTGAGAGATGGCTGGTCAAGCATAGGTAGCAACCCTACACCCCTACCCCTCCAATAAGGGAACCCCCACCCCCCCTAAAAATGACACCCCCCACCCCCCCTTCACAGATGGCACCCCCACCCCCTCCCTCAAAAGAATATTTTAAATATAATCCAATTAAAGCGCTATATTGATAAATGAAGTCTATAAATTGCTTTAATAATTGCGATTAAATAATAAATTTATTTAAATAAGATGATCTTTATAATCTCTTCTTTAAACAAGAACAAGATATAACTAAATTTTTGATTTTAGTTAAGAAGAAACATTTAACTTATATCAAAACCTTTTAGATAAAAATTATTATAATTTTTTATTATAAAATTAAATTTTGTTTCAATTTAAAGGGGGTTAATTTACCAAAAAAGTGGAAATTTTACCTATATTTTGTTCCAATTTAAAGAGGGGGGGAGTAAGAGCATTTCCTTTATTATAATAATAATAATAATAATCTCCACAGTTTGGATTTTTTAATTGCATCGTTACAATGTTTTAGTGTTTTTTCATAACTCTTTTCTTTATAGAAGATAACTCCTATGCTATTGTATGCATCAGCATAATTTGGATCAACTCTGATAGCTTATTTATAGCATTCCATATCTTATTCTCTACTGCCTAACTTATATAGAGCATCTCTTTCATTTGAAAAGCAATGTGCTAAATAAAAATAGTATTTGCTATTGTCAGTTTTACTTTTAGATCTCTAAATGGACTCTTTAGCCATTGTTCCACAAAGTTCATAAATATATACAGGATATACTGCTAATTAATACCAAAGATCATTATGCTTGTCAGCAAATTTCTTCAGATGTGGGGTCTTAGTAGTTATAGGAAATTTTTCACCACTCCTTAATCGATTGCGCTACGCTATATAATATTGTATAAATCAGTAATTTTTAATATCTAAAATAATAATTTATTTATTACGCCTGCTCTAAATTAGCATTTGTGATATATCTATACTATATTAGGGGGGTGGGGGTGCCATCTGTGAAAGGGGGGGTGGGGGTGCCACTAAAAGGGGGGGTGGGGGTACCATTAAAAAAGGGGGGTGGGGGGGTGGGGGGGTGGGGGTACCACTTTTAGGGGGGGTGGGGGTGTAGGGTTGCTACCTGTGCTTGACCAGATGGCCACAAGAATTACGAAACGAAAAAAATTTCAGTAGAAATATCATTGAAAAAACAATTTATCAAGCTATGAAACCTTACGCAAGGCTACTGACGCCTGAAAAGCACTTCCAACTGTGCACAGGACTTGTAAAAGAATATACGCTTAGGCTGAAGCTGGAAGAATTAAGAGAAGCTAAAAGCCAAGGAATAAAAACAGAAGAAGAATTTAGAAAATTTATAAATGATAAGAAAGCAAACAAAAGCAAAGAGTTTGATGTAGTTTTCAAAGATTTTAAGCCTCAGCAAAGATCACAAGAAAGCCCAAGGAAGACGGAAAATAAAGAAGAAGCCCAAAAAAGTAACCACAACTCTTCTGACAATATGGAAATAGAGGAACAAGAAAAGCCTGAAGAACAAAATCCTGAGGATGCTAGCATTGATTTCTTGAAATCTGACGATAGATAACTATAAATAAACTATTCGTCTTTAGTTTAAATGCTAATAAATATTTTAAAATACAGAGAAAAACAAAACACCGAGGGTTCTTGATTTATAAGCTCTATTATAAGGTTTAAAGTATTAACAGATCATTACTCCTTTAAAATGTTATAATAAATCCCAACGATTATCTATTTTGTAACGCAAAAGCATTTCGCTGTATGTTATATGCAGTAAAAATTGCTTACTCCGCCCTATCGTTATACATTAAAATGGCTACACGTGTGTGCTCTTGGCGCAATAGACCAGACCTTATGGCTGCAGCAAACTGGGACGAACTACGAGTTTAGAATCAAGTGCAGGTTAGAGAGATGTTTATCTGGGTACGTTTTAACTGCTTTTCTGTGGTTGGAAATGGAGGTGCCGAGGATCAATGGGAATTCCTCTACTGAGAAATGGGGGTATCGGCCCACGCCACAGTAGTTTTTTTCCTGTAGCTGTCGAATGAAGGGACTTCGGGACCCGAAAGACCCCAAGGAGTTGATCCTTGGAATCAAGTTACCCCAATCTCCCGTAGTATAGCCGCAGAAATCTATAAGCTGCCCACTCAAGACTGACGCCGCAAGGCAAGGAGGAGATAAAGGTGCGGAAGTGGTAGAGAATCTGGGCTGGGAGGTCTTTGGTGACTAAGCCACCAATATGTCTAATGCCTGTCTTTAATAGCCTAGCCTAACCCCATACTTGATCGAAAAAGAGGCAAGGATGATGGCTAAAGCACTTCAGATGATTTACTTCGTGCAGATTATTAAGAAAGCACGTGAATTCCTATTAATTTATCAATGCAAATTATTAATTTTCCCAATTTTATAATGGATCGATCGGTCAAGGATGGGTGAGCTAATATTATATTTTTGATGCTAAGAGGAGTAATGTTTAAACCCATCAGATGCTTGAGTGTGAAGGCTTGTCTCGAAACTTATTCAAATTCTTAATTACCTAGAATAATATTTTAATTTAATATTTCATTACTTTACTTATAGTAATCTTTGATTTTCTATCCTTTATACAAAATTCTGATCTTTCATCTTAAGATCTTTAATTGAATTTTGATATTTAAATCAATTAGAATTACTTTTATCTTCATCTACTTCCATAACGTGAGAAAAAAATTCACGTTGGCTTCCTAGCATTTCTGATATTTTTGAGTTCACTTCTTGAAATACATAATTGCAATTGTCTAAATGGGCATTTTTCTGTACTTTATTATAATTTACTTGATTTTCATCAACCGGTTCTTTAAATGTGACATGCCTTTTTTTTCGGAGAATTTTCTTGACATCAATCATTCCAAGGGGATCGCTTTTATAATCCTTTTCACCAGTGATTTTCACTTCGCTCGCTTGGAATGCTTTATTGGTTTTAAGAATAGAATTGAGTGATTTCACACTCAATGAAGATTTTAATACTTGGGACATATTTATTATATTGCTGACTTCAGAATAGTAAAAAAATGGTTTGAAATTGGGGCGATAAAAAATGATTCTGGGTTAATGAAATAAAGCTGTAATTGAGAAAACTGGCTTTTTTTAAATGGAAAATGATATATGCAGAAAGGTTTTAATTATTTATATAAAATTAAAAATAATTCCAGCATATAAATTTATAATTTTAAGTCTGCTGCGCCCAACCGACATGATAAACAATTAAACAGTATTTAATTTTATTGTTAAGTTTATTTCGATAATCTTTATTTTTGCTATATTTTGCTATAATTTTTGCTGAATTCAATTTGCATTATTTTTTAATATCAAAAATTAATTTAAAAAGAGCCTATCAGAATCATTTTAATAAATATGGACACTAGCCAATTGATTATATTTTTGGTAAAAATTTTAAAAGCTCCTTATTAAGTTATGATACCTTTATAATTTAGATAAAAATCGAAGTGTAATGCTTTTTCATTTCACTTCTTTCCGTTAAAACTTTTAAATTTTCTTTTCATCCTCCCTTCAGATTTATATCACATTCTTTTAACACTTCTCCAGAATGCTGCGAGTCAATTAGAAATGATAGAACCTCATGGTGATTATTAAGCATGCTTGACAAATCATCGTTCATTTTCTGCACAACACGCTTCAAATCTAAGCCTTTGCTAGTCATTCTCTTAGCTTCTTCTCTTACTTTTGAAGAGAAAGAAAAGATAGCATCTGAGTGAAATTTGTACTCTTTATTTGTTGAATTTCTGGTTAATTGAGGAGAATTTTCAAAATCGTTAGGAATTGAATTCATGATATCGAGAAAACTTTCTTGGGCATGGGGATAGCTATGTTTAACAGGAGATTTTATGAGCTCTGGACTGTAAATTTTATCGAGATGCTGAGTGAAATCTTCGAGATTATAGATAAGGAGCCGATTTCTTTCCATAGTGTTGTTGTTGTTATTATTCATGAAATAAATTTTAAATTGCAGAAAATTGCAGCTTATGCAGTTCAAAATTTTAGTAATTTTATTAGGCATATCTAAGCCATCATAGGTTCTAACATAAGAATTATTCAAAAACGAATTTTAGCACTTGTTCTCAAATTTCTATTAAATCATTTTCTATAGATTTTGCGGAAATGAGCATAAAAAGTAATGATTTTTTGCTCGTTTGAATATCATGAAAATTGATATTTCTTAACTCCCCCCCCTCCGTGAGCGAACAAAAAAATTTTGTTCGCTCACGGAGGGGGGTTATTTTTTTTTTTAAAAAAAATTTATATATAAATTTTATAAAAAATATTTTTTTCGAAATTTAAAAAAATCCTAATTTGCAAAAATTGGGAAGCAAATATTAATTTAATTTGCAAAATTTATGTTTTAAAACGCAATTTGTTTAAAATTAAACAGAATTAGCTCTAGATTTCATTATACTAATTATCACTTATATATCAAAATTTTTTTCCATTAAAATTTTTTCTATTAAAAAAATTTTTGTTCACTCACGGAGGGTGGGTTTTTGGTCAAAAAATGGCGATTTTTCTAATGGTTTTGTTCGCTCACGGAGGGGGGGGGGGAGTAAGTAATAATATTTTTGAAAGGATCATGTCTATTACAAACAAAATGATTAAAAAATATATTAATAAATTATTAAAATAGATTCAAATTTAAAATTTAAACCGCCAAATAGCTCTATCATAAATTAAGCAAATTAACGCTTAAAAAAATGAATATACAAAGAAGCTTATCACTAAGCTTATCTTCTTCGTTTCATCCACTCAAATCATTTTCCTTGCATTTCTCTTAGGCTTTAAATTTTTTTTCTTAATCTCCCACCTAAAAATGGAGATTTCAAGAGTCAGTAATCCCATCCTTCACTCAATTTCTATCTCAAGAAATACTTACATTAATTTAATACTTATACTTAACTCTTCATCATTGCTAGATGCCTTCTTAATCTACAGTTCTCTACATGGAGTTTTGAATTATCTCTCCGAAGCTGCATAAGTTTGCACAAATCATTAGCTTGATAGGTTTCTCCAGTATGAGTATCCATCAAAAATGAAAGTAATTTATGCTGGCTACTTAGTAGACTTGAAAGTTTGTCGTCCATCCTTTCTACAATCGAATTTAAATTCTCTTCTGTCTCATGGCGACAAGATCATGACCAAGTTGTCTGAGAGGATGACTGAGGACTCGTGCCATCTCACTCAAGCTGCTTGGATTTTTGGGGTGATTTTAAAGGATTTTTCGAAAAATTTTGGTTGCTTGGGAAGTAGCTGATGAATTCGTTTCAGTTTTCTTCGGTCAGCAATTTACTTTGTGAGGCTTTGTATTTTGGGGTCTCTTCTATTGGAAATGAGTCTGCTGTGTGTGTAAATTCTTCAAAATTTGAGAAAGCTGGCTTTAATTTTGTGATCATATTTATTTTTATTATTCAGTCAGTACGAAAATATGAAATTCTAGTGCATATTTTGAAATTAAAATTAAAAATAAAATTTTGAAGGGCTAAGATTCTATTTTGTTAGTTATAAATTTGTCTCAAAAAGAGTCCTTCGATTAAATCCCCCTGTATCTTTTCTAGTTATTCTTTTGAGACTAATTGACCTTGAAGTGTTCTCATTAGATGTGTTAAAATATTTTTTATTCTTTTCTTTCTCATTAGAATAATTTCTCAAAGATTCAGCACTTTCAATTATATTTTTGCTTGATCTTGGACTTCTAAATCTCTGCCCACGGACATATTTTGGTGTTAAATCTCTAACATGTATCCTTTCTCTTGAAATTTCTCTGTTAATTTCATCTAGAGTCTTTACTCTTCTTTCACTAGTTCCCACTGTTATTAGACCTCCCTTATTGGTTTTGCATTCTACTTCTCGTAAATAATTATATATTTTTGGAGAGAGCATAAGTGGTCGTTGAGCTGGGACCTTTTTGAATTTGAGATTTAGACTTTGTTTAATTCAATTGTAGAGCATTTCTTCAGTCATTGCAGGATCTGCAGAGTTTCGATTAGAATCACTTTCAATTTCATGAAGCAAACTTCTTCAATATGGATAATCAAGTTCCTGCTTTCGAGTAAAGGTTTCACATTCAGCTAAAGGAATTTTCTTAAATGGAGAGACTGACCTGAGCATTTCTTTGAAGCTTTTTGGTGTTGGAGAAGAAAGATCTTCTGGGCGAGGAATCTCAAAGAAGGGATATTTTTTATAACAGAAGCCTTTGATTTTTGGCATAACTTTTCTTGATGTACTTATATAATGGAAAAGAATAAAATGTAAAGTTTCTTAAAAAAACTGTAAGGTATTTAAAAGTAGAGGGAGGTTTTAAGATAAGAGGCCATTCATTTTATTGTTTGGGATATATGTAAGAGTTACGCAATATAGACAAATAAATTAATCATGTATGGATTTAAATATAATTAAAGCTAATGAGTATCTGAATACAAACATTTAACTAAAGACGGTTTCTAATTCATTATCAAGTTCATTGCAAACTAAAGTTTATCTTGGCAAATCATATTATTATAACCATTTTAATTAAAAAATCTAATATAGTTTTTCTTAATAAAATTTTAATAAAAATTATTCATTAAATTCTATTCTATCTAGCATGTCTTTATCTTCAAAAGAAGATTCATATGAATCTTCCTCTGATCCAACTGATGAAAGCTCTCCAATATTTTCAGGCACTTTATACATAATAGCCACGTCTTCAGATACCCCTAAATGTACTTGATTATTTGCTAAAGCACATTCATTTCCATTCTTTGAGCTAAAAGATACGCTTAGGTCATCTAGTATTCTTATTCTGTTATTCTTTAAGTCATAGCTTCACACATTAAATGAAGTTTTTATCCCTGCTCCACAGTTTCCCCCAAACAGTAATATTTCATTTTTTACAACGCAAACCCCCATATTGCTTCTGCTTTCAGGAAGCTGAACACCTAGCAATTTTCATTCTCCATCTCATAGTTCAATACTTTTTAATATTGCTCCTTCAGAAACTCCTCCAAACACATAGACTAATTCACCTACATTAATGCAGGTTGAATGAGATCTTGGATAATTCAAAACTGAAGAGAGAGTTCACTTTGCACCATCAAGTGTGTAAACTTTATCAACTGGTGATTTTTCTAGGCCGCCAATTATAGCTGGCATTTCGTTGATTAAAGCCATACAATGCAAGCGAATAGGTTTTGGCTTTGGTAGATTTTGGATAAAGCCATTACTAACGTCGATTTCTATACTCATTCTTGCAAGCCCTCCAGTTACAATTATATGTTTGTTACTTGACCAGAGGAATGCAGCACCTTTTAGATCTTGAACGCAATTTAATGTCCTTTTTTCACCAATTAATGGGCTATATAGTATTATTTTGGGGCCGCTGGCTACTATTAAAAGGCTTTCGCCAGACTTAGAAAGAAAATTGTTTACAAGGGCGCATTCATTTCACTTATTCTTATTTTTCTCTTCTATTACTGAATTCTCTCGATTCAAAACTAAAGAATTGAGGCCATTAGCTCCTTGCTTTACAAAGTCAAGTTCCCTTAAATTTCCAACAAGATCTCTATTAATTGTTTTGGAAAAGAAATTTTTTGTATAATCTAATAAAGAGTACAAATCACCGCATGTTTCATCCATTGAGCTATCACAATGTTGAATTTCATTATAGCATTTAGAATTGACATCGCAAAGTATTTTGACTTGTTCTATTGCATTTATTATTAAGCTTTCAATTGAGTATTTAGTACTGTCTAATATAAGTTGCTTTTGTTTACTTCCCTATCCCTATAGTGAATCTTGTTATTTTTTTCAAAAAAATACATGAAATTTTTATAATAAGCATAATAAAATATTTATCGATCTAAAGTGTGTTGGCTTGCTAAATAGTATTTATTGCCCTCAAAAGTTTAAAATAAAGCTATTTATAGGTAAATTTTAGAGCTCCTGAAATTTTTAGATCATTATTGATTATCCATTTCAATTTTTGATACTTGACAGTTTTTTTGAAACTAGAAAATTTCCATTTATGGTTTTTAAGATTTCTAATCAGACTTAGACTGGATAAGGCAAATATATCCTGGACCATATTTTTTCTTCCTGGAGTATAGCGATATAGTATGGTGCATAAATTATAGCACTAAATTGGTATCAAGCGATTGCATTGAAATTGTTATTTTAATTTACCAAAATTGGAAATTTTATCATTATTTTTTCTAATTTAAAGAGATGGAGCTAGTAATTGAGTCAATTATTCTTTCAAAATTGTTTGAAGTGGCATTGGTAGAAGCAGATTGAGGTCTAAATCTTTGTGCATCAATCATTTTTGGGGGCTTTGGGTGATTATTCATAGCTTGGGATATGTTTTTTCTTTCTTCAAATTGAGGAATAACTTTTGCTTTATTTTGTAAGGTAGGAATTGACCTTGAGATATTTTCAATCCGATCCGTTGAGGCCTTAGGATATATATTAAGAGTTTGACTTGATTTATAATCTGCAAGTTCTTGGTTGTCATTAATTCTATCCTCTTCCGAGTAAAGGCCAGGCTTGATATTGGCATTATTAAACACCTTATCAGGAATGGAAATTTTACCTTGAAACTTTGGCCAGTCAGGATTCAGAGGCTTTTTACTTTTTTTTTTGCTGTCATCAGCTTTATTCTCTATTTTTTGACCCGAGCCTAGCATCTAAGTAAAAAGAAATTAAGATCTTTATTAATATTAACTAGCTAAAATAAAGAAGGCTCTACAAATGAATTAAAATAAATTAATAATTGTCTAGCTATTTTCTAGCAGTGAGTATTCGTTAAATTCATTCTTCTTTAATAAGTAAACTATATTCCCGCTCAATACACATTCATTCCCAGATTTTGCAAAAAAATCAAAATATAAAGGCTCAAGCTTACTCACCTTATTTGTTTTATAGTCAAATTTCCACACATCCCTTGTGCCAATATCATTTCATCCTGATTTCCCTCCAAATATAATGATTTCACCACCATATAGGCATAGGCCTACGTTTAGTTTAAAAATTGGCTGTAAGATATTCAGTAATTTTCACCTTGAGCTTCACATGTCTATTGATTTTACTACTCCTTTCTGTGTGGATATGCCTCCAAATACAAAGACCATTTTATTTACATTGATGCTTGAAGCAGCATGTCTTTTGGCTACTAGAGGATCAAATTCTTCCCATTGATCATCCTTAAGGATATAAACTTTATTTGAAGATGATTCCATAGTAAAACCTCCAATGACAGCTGCATATCCATTAATATATGCCATACAGTGAAATTGCACTTGCTCAGGCAAGGAAGGTAAATATTTTTTTTCTCCTGTAGCTATATCGATTTCTTCATGCTTATTTTCATTTCCGCCAATATGCAAAATACTATTATGATCAGTAAAAAGAACAGCAGATCCTGCAACTTCTTTTTCTCATTTAAATTTGTTTATTTTTTTATTTATCAATGGGTCATAAATAGAAACTGAGTTCTTGTTCAGTTTAAGAGCAAGATCTCTGTAAGGAGCAGGCTCTAAGTCTATTTTTGATTCTTCAATAGCAGGCCCTTTCCTCTTTTTTGGACGGGAAGCAGGAATATTTTGTTCTTTTAATATTTTCTGTAAATGCCGATTTTCTTTATGATTTTTTTTAAATTTTTTGTTACACAATTCTCTCAAGCCGTTTTTAAATTTATTTAGTTTCGATATGAGTTCATGATCAGAATTTGGAGTATCCCTATATATCCCCATTAATTCATCCTGCAAATCGGATAAAGCTTTAATTTGGGTTATTGATGAATTTAATAAGCTTTCAATAGTTTGCTTTGTGTTTATTTCGACCTCTCTTTAAAAAACTTTTTTCCAATTTTAAAGAAATTATATATAATTTGTTTTGAGTAAATTTTATTTCAGCAATATTAAACCTGTATAAAACTATTACATAGAAACTATTATTTTTTACCTATAGCAAATAAAATTAAGCTTGAGTTTTAAAGAGAGTTTAATTTATTCCAAAAAGGGGAATTTTATGATTTTGGTCCATTTTAAAGGAGCAAGTAAGAGAATATGCTCTTTTTGCATAGAATAAATATTCGAAGAGCTTAAGTCTTCTAAAGAATAATCTGCATTTTGTATGTAATTACTTCTAATATTATCAACTGGATCTTGAATACTTGCATTAGGGATCACTATGGGCATTCTAATACCTTGAGAACTTTTTCCTATGTCTTCCTTGAAAAATATTGAATTATTTTGTGAGGTAATTTCTTTGCTATTCGATATTTTAACCTGTGGAATCGGCTCAGGTTCTATATTATCTATGCTCATGCTCATGCTCATGCTCATGCTTATACTCATACTCATACTCATTTCAACTGGTATAGGTTTAATCACAAATCCATTACTTTCTTCCTGCTCTCTTCTACTTTCACTGAAAAATAAATCCTTCGAAATCAGTGGGTTATTAAAAGTCTTGTCAGGAATTTTAAGCTTGCTTGCTCCTTTCTGCTGATTTGCATTTTCATTACTTTTATCCTTATCTTCCAAGCCTCTATCTCACATTAAAATAAATCCTTCTAAATTATAAAATTTGCTATAATTTAATAAACTAAGATTATGCTATTATGGCTCTCTTAAACAGGAGAATGGTATCAGCTTTTCGTATTTTGTCCAAGCTTTATCTTGCCTGTTGAGCTGCATGCTGACCATTTCACAAAGCCAGACAGTGTTCCTAATTTCTTGTTCTTTCAACTTCAGATAAGCATAAAAGCATCCGTAATGGAATTGCTGGTCAAAAGCCAAGCTGTATTTTTTAATCCCGATTTCATACATAATATCGTCTAAGGTTTTTCTTGAAGGGTCGTTCATTTCTTCTTCGTTGGCTGGGTCTGCAACATTTCTCAGCATTTCAATATAAAGAGGGAAACTTTCTACAGCGGCTCTTAGTGTTGTGATATCGAAGGCTCTTGATAATTGGGCTTCGTATTCTGGGTAGAGGTATCCTACATTAGGACATAATGCTTTTCTGTCAGTTTCTCTGGCTGCTGGTTTGTTTAGCTCTTCGTTGCTGATTGAGTTGTAAATAATTTGGATTGTCATGCAGTCCGCTTCAAATTTTATTAAATCTTCTAAAATTTCTTTAGAGATCCCGTTAAGCTGTTTGGCAAGGTCGAATAAGTCTTCGAGCCACATTTTCTTCAGAGAAATTCTTAATACTTCAGGTGTGATTTCAGCTAGCTGCCTATGGACATCTTCTATGCTTCTGTTTTGCATTGCTCCAGCTTTAATGATGTCTTCAAGCAGTCTTTGGAAATAATCGCCGACTGGTGTGTCAATCAGTACAATTTGGTAAAGTTCAGCAATATCATCACTTTCAAACCTCAAAATGCCTTCAATGCCTCTAAAGTACCCTAAAGGATCTGGCTGTGCTTGTCTCTTTCTGTTTATGTCTTTATTTTTTATAATTTCAATCATATTGACCACATTATCTATCATGTATTTGTGAGACACTTTTTCTAATTCTCTCTTTAATTAAATAAAAAAAATAAAATTTATTGTTTTTAAATGCAGCTATTTATCCCTTATTTTGACTTAAATCAATGAGAATTCGGTTTAGTAAGAAATTGAATAGTTGCGGAGCTGCATTGGATTTCATGTGTTCAAACTCTTTTGCAAGCTTTTCTTTCATGCGAGCTCTAATTACGTTTGGTTGGCATGGGCTTGGCTCATTCTGAAGGAAAGGCAGATAATCAGTCTCTTCCAAAAGCATTTTTGCATCTCCCAATGAAGCACAGTCCTTAAGAGCGTCATATTCTTCTTTTCTGATGAAGGACATTCTCATGCCACGGATTAAAGCTTCTGCGTAGCCATCATCGACGTTGAAAGTCAGGAGTTCCATATTACTAATTTAATCCAATAATCTTTGAAAATTACATATTAAAAGGAATAGAATTTTTAGATGTAAACGAAAATGTTTTCGTATATGCTATTCTATTTTCAATTTTCCACTATTTGGCTCAAAAATGTCTATTTAAAGATTTCAAGAACTTTTTCTAATTAAATGGAGCATTTATGATATACTGAATATTTTAATTTTGATAACAAGGATTTTTGTTCATTGAAAAGAGATGGCATAAATTTGTCTACATTGGAAATTCCAACGATGGTAGAAATCAGGTCACGAAGTGATGTATTGTGGGTTTTTTCATAGTTATTGATGGAGCATTCAGAGACAAGACGCTTCATTTCTTGAAGCTGAAGATAGCTCATTTGAGCTTTTAAATAGGAAATTTGCGCTTCAATTGTTTTCATGTCTTTTAAATCTTCAGATTCTTCTGCACCAGGACTAGACAAGGTAGGAGAAAGCGGGGCTCATACAGTCACATTGGTTTTCTTTTGTTTGTCTCATTGAGATATGGGTTTTTGGATCTCTATATTTTTACTTAATTTGAAAAGACGAGACTTTATATTATTTCATCTCGTAGTTATATTTTTTGATGATTTTGTAGTAGAAGATGAAGGGTTTAAAAAGCAGCCTTGAAGCTTGTCTATATCAAAACTAATTTGGGCAAGGTCAACCAGGCATACTATAGTTTTTTGGTCTAAAAAGTCAGGAAAGTTTTCTGGTGTTAATTCTTGGTTTAAGTCTCATAAAACTTTAATGATCCATCATAGCCCATCAGTTCTTGTGTCTTTTCCTTCACTTAACAATTCGAAGTAATGGCTTACTCTTTCTTTATTTATTTTTTTCAATTTATTTTTCACAGTTTTTACTTCTTTATCCACATCTTCTAAATTCTTAGTCTGTTTTTCAATCTCTTGGCTTATGGTATTCACCAAGCTTAGAATTTCTGATTCTTTTTTTAATAAATTTTCCTTTGATTCTATTTGTTTTGGAATCGTAAATTTTTTAAAAAACTGATAAGGCCTCTTAACTTGCCTTGCCTTTTCTAGGCTTTCTTGAGACTTAATGTTCTCCTTGATCTCTCGGAGGTCGTTAAGTGCATCATTTAATTCTTCTTTCAATTGAGTAAATTCTGATCTTAACTCATATCTTTCATCTTGCAATTTTTTTAGATTTTCTTCGGTATCTCTGTAGTTTGAATTGAGAATATCTTCGTATAGCTTAGACTTCAAAGACTTTTCTTTATGGATTTTCCACTGCTCTACTTTTAGTAGCCGAATATGCTTAGCGTTAGGAAGAATTTTTGCTTCTGAAAAAGAACGATTATGCGCTGGCAAAGGATGTCTCCTTAAAATATTTTCTTGAAGTAAATTTTTGTTGCTAAATGTTAGATTAAGCTGTCCTGGATTTTCATAAGCGGCTCTGATGGGATCATGAGGAGTATTTAAGCCGAAGCTATTTAATTTAAAAACTTCTTCTTTTTCATTCACTTCAAAAGAGCAAGATGCTTTTCTTGGGTGCCTCTTTTCAAAAATTTTTGGTACTTTTACAATCGATTCACTCTTCTTAATTGCATTAGGACTTTCTTGCCGAGATCATGCCAAAGTGCTTCCTAGACTATGAGAAGATTTGGCAGACGTATTTGATGTTTGTGCTCTCATTTTGATTTTTTATTATATTTTGTTAGAATTAATAATTTCATTAGTGAAGTTATCTAATGAAAGCTGTAGGCACGCATTTATATAATTTTTTTAAGATAATTTTTTAATGGATTACAGAATCAATCTCAGTGACATCGATATCCTTCAAACCTTAGGCAAAGGTATAAGCTATTTAGGTGCTTATGGAAGAGTGAGGCTTGGCTGCATGAAATCAACTGGCCAATATGTAGCAGTAAAAATAATAAAAAAAGCAGCAATATTACAACAAAAGGAAGTTGAGCATCTAATCTCAGAATTTTCAATTTTAAGAAGAATCAATCATCCTTTTATAGTAGACTTCAAAGGATTTAACCAAGACTCGAGGTACTTATATTTGATACTGCAATATGTGCCAGGTGGGGATCTTTTCAGATACCTCCGAACTATCGGGAAACTTGAAAACAGCCATGCGTGTATTTACGTTGCGCAGATGATTTTGGCTTTGCAATATTTACATCAAAATAATATTGTATATAGAGATTTGAAGCCAGAAAATATTTTAATTGGAGCTGATGGTTACTTAAAGCTAACAGATTTTGGGTTTGCCAAAGTTATAGAAGCAAGAACTTATACTCTTTGTGGTACACCAGAGTACTTAGCTCCAGAAATCATATTAAATAAAGGCCACGATCATAGTGTAGACTGATGGACTATCGGAGTTCTTATTTTTGAAATGCTTGCAGGGATTGACCCATTCAACACAAATGATCCATCGAAAATATACAAAAGGATTCTTACTTCCCCTCTGTGAGCGAACAAAACCATTGGAAAAATCCCTATTTTTTGCCCAAAAACTCACCTTCTGTGAGAGAATAAAAAATTTTTTAAGAAAACTTATTTTGATATATATTTAATAATTATTATAATGAAACCTCTATCTAATTCTGTTGAATTTTAAAGCATAAATTTTTATAAATTAAATTAAATATTTTCTTTAAAATTATTTCGAATATTGATTCTTTTAATTTCGAAAAAAAATAGAAACTTTTTTTAAAATAAATTTTGTTTGCTAATAGGAGTTAGTGGAAAAATAAGATATCCACAAAATTTTAACCCAAGGGCCAAAAATTTAGTAAAGCATTTGATAGTCCACGATGCCTCCAAAAGATACCGACTCAACGACATAAAAAATCACGCATGATTTGAAGAAATTGACTGAAACCGTCTGCTGCGCAAAGATCTCCGGATGCCATATGTCCCAGTACCCCGAGATCCCACAGAAAATTCCAACCTCGGCTACTACCCTGACTCAGTGAATCTGGCTCCAGAAATTGCTCCAGAGTCCGACCCATTTATAGAGTGGTAGTGTAAGCATAATGTTAATAACTTTTTTTATCTATTAAAGCTCGATTTTTGGCTGCTGTGTAAGCAAGAGGCCAAATCTCTTCTTGCATGTAATCCTCTCCTGTGAAAAGGCATCATCAGGTGAAAACTTTGCTGGATGTGCTGACTGAGTGCAGGTGCTATCTGGTGCTTCTTCCTTTAGCGTATAAACTCTTTTACCGTCAGACCCTTTGTAATGTCTCAAAAGCATTATGCAATTATAATTCCATATTAAAAGCCTCAGATTATTAAGGATAGGTATTAAGCTTATTCTGCGTGCTTCTTAATGAAATCAGCTTGTTCTTCTAAGATGGACTTCTTAACACCTTCTCCCTTAGGCAGAGCTACCAAAGGTTTTTTACCTTTTCCAATGACAAAAGCGTAGGTCAGTCTGGTGGCGAACACGTTTCCATGGGCATCTTTGATGTGGACAATATCAAAACCACCTTCGTGTCTTTCTAAGTAGCTGAGGGTTCCGACTCTTCCAGTGTTTTTACCTCCAGTGACCATGACCAAGTTTCCCATTTCCATTTTGACGAAATCGCTGATTTCTCCAGTGGCCAAGTCGAGCTTAATGCTGTCGTTGATCTTATGCTGGGCTATGTTGAATTCAGCTTAGTAAAGATAAGTATTAAGTATAATAGAAACAATTTAGAGCTGTATAATATCTGGATGTGGATATCTAAAGGTCCTTCCATCATGTGTAATAATGTATGGCACATGGTTTGGCCCTACAATACGATTCTTGACCTTGCAAAGCTTGAATTTTGCTTCAGCTTCATCAATCCTGAGTACCTGGAAGCGTCCTTTGGTGTCGTAAAGGAGTCTGAAGTGTTCTTTTGTTTGAGGGAGTGAGATGACATCCATGAATCCAGTTGGGTACTTCACGTCTTTTCTGACCTTGCCGTCAACCATGACTGATCCGTGCCTGTCTTTCACGATTAGTGTGGCTTCTCTGAAATTCAGAGCGTAGCGAAGTCTGTTGCGGAGCAAAACAACGAGAGGAAGGCACTCACGGCGCTTGTGTGGGCCAGATGATGGACGAGGAGCCCAAGTGCCACCCATTTTGCTAGCTCCCTCAGAAAGCCATCAAAATATTTATAAATGGAAAATTTTTTTTCAAAAGACTTGATAGAAATTATACTAAAATTTGAAATTAAAAATATAACTTAATTTATAGAATAAGTGCATAAAAGTGCAAAGTGAGTAGAATTAAATAGATTTTATTATATTAATTATACTTGTAAAAATAATTCTATTTTACGAAGGGGAAGTAAGCATCCAGTGATGAGGGGCTCTGATTCTCTTCAAGTGTTTTTTGATTCCTCCAGCCATAACCACAGATTATTATGGAATCTGAAATTAGGTTTAGTTGATAATTTAAGTATGAAGAGATAGCTTTAGTTATTAAAACTTCAGTAAGTGAGGATACATCCCATTTCTAAGTCTAAATTTGGTGGAAAGATACTTCTTAACTGTAACATCTGAAATGTTGATTTTGCCATCTATTTGTTTTTGAGCTGCTTTTTTGAATTCTGGAGTTTCTTTTTTGGTAGCCTTTGCTACGAAGAATTGTTCTTCTGATTTGGCTGCTTTGGCTTTTGGCTTAGCAAAGAAAGCATCGGTGACTGAGGATAGATCGAGTCCGTCTGTAGGGATTGAAAGGGTTGTTGGGATTGTGTAGGCTTGTGGAATACGTTTGAGAGGAACACCATTTAGCTTGTAAGGTCCTGTGACTAGGAGAAGTCCGCTTTCAAGTTGCTTTAGGAAGATAACTCTTTTTCCTTGATGTTTGCCGGCAAGTAATATTAAAATTTGGCCTGGCTTGATGTTTCCGCGAAGACGAGTTGGCTTCTGTTCTTCTTTAACCTTAGATTGTTTGTAATCTTCAGTTGGATACCACTTGACCATTTTGCTAAACTATTAATATCCTACCATAAATAAATTAAATAATTTCCTCTGCACAAAGTATAACTTTATGAAGATTTTGTATAAAACTCTATAGAATTCTATGAATTGTAAGAAAATATTGCCCAGTTACAGACGTGAATGGATTTTTTATACTCAAGAAGAAAAACAATTATAGCTAAGCATAATAAGTTTTATTTAATTAAACAGAAATATAGAATTTGCTTAATATTTTAAATCATTCCATAAATGATAAATTTCGACTTATTTTAGATTTCTAAATCTGTCTTCCATTGAGTCCAAATAATTTGAACCTTTAAAATCAGGATAATTCCCTTGGCTTGGAAATTCAGTTGGAGGAGACGGAAATTGATTAGGATCTCCATTAGGTTTTGATGACGGAAATTGATTAGAGCCTCCAGTAGATTTTGGTGATGGGAATTGATTAGAGCCTCCATTAGATTTTGGAGATGGGAACTGATTTGCACCACCATTTGATTTTGGTGATGGGAACTGGTTAGAGTTTCCATTTGGCTTTTGCCCTGAAGCTGGTCTATCAACTTGCTGGCTTCCAGGTCTTGAGTTAAGATCAGGAGCATTAGGAACATACTGGTAATTATTAAATTTCATCATCTGCATATCACTTACATTTTTCGCTTGGTCTTTTGTCACATAATCCACCTTTTTTGCTGCAGCAATTTCCTGAATTTTCACTAATTTAAGCTCCTCACAAGGAACAGTCACAGTTAATTTTTCAATAATCATTTTATTTACAAGATGATTTTCATCAAAATTGGCTTTCTTTGAAAATTCCACACCAAATTTTGCGGTGAACTGCTGACGAGCTTCTATTAATTCTTTGCAGTCTACTCTATTAGCTGCGTAAATAATAGATTCAACAGCAGTTCTTATATCGGTTGGACATTCCTTTGCTCCCCTGAATTGCTGGATTCTTTCGCAGCACTGGAGACAGAGTAAATTTATGACTTCTAATGCCATCAAGAGATTTTCGTTGTTAATGTAACCTTCAACTTTTATGCTTGCCATCTCTTCTTGGCCACTTCGAAGAATTAGGATTATTAAAATTTATGTGTTAGCCATATTGGTGACACAGTCATCAAAAATCTCCCATGTGGGAGGCTCTAACGCTTTTCGACTCCAGTCTAGAGGGTCTGTGCCACTTCCGATACCCCTCCTTGCCTTGAGTCTTAAGTCTTGAGTTCTTATGGATTTCTGCTACTACTGGCGATTAAAGTAGCTTGACTCCATGGATCCTTGAAGTGTGTTTGGCGCCAAATTGCTTTCTTCGACAGCTTAAGGAAAAAGCCTATTTTCCTTGTGGACTGTGCCGAACGCCCAGTTTCTTGTAGAAGAATGCCCATGGGTCCTCGTATAAAAAGGACTTTATTGAGCGTCTCCATTTCCAACAACAGAAAAGCAGTCAAAACCTACCCTGATACACATCCCTTGAGTCTGCACTTGATTCTCTGCTCGGAGTCTGTCCCAGCTCACTGTAGCCATAAGGCTGCGCCAATAGGGTAGGTTGAATTGTGTCGCCATTTTAATGTATTGCCAACTTCGTAGAAACCCAGCGATTTCGTCTCTTAATTGAGAGTTTTTGCCGATGATCTTGTTTTTAAGAATACCAATTCTGATAGAACTCATTTTTAAGCTTGAATGAAGCTTTCTTGGGTTAAATTTCACCTGAGTGTTTCCCATTTTTATAGCTCAGAAACAGTTTGGTGGATAATGAAAATAGTTTTCTTAATTGAAATTTATAAGAATATTGATATTATATTTAAATTTATATGGCGAATAAGATTTTAAATAGAAATATTATACAAAATGCTTTAATAAAAAGCTTAATGGCTTAAATATTTAAATATCAACAACCAATCTATTAAAGTTAAAGAGAAAAAATAAAAATTACAGATGTTGTATCTTGTTTAAATTATCTCATTTATCTTATTTGATAAGTCTATTTCGTTTAATATCTCTTATAAGATCGCCTATCTTGCAGCTACCGCTGCCATGGCTCTAGAGTTTCTTTTTTCTCGCCCGGAAAGACTTTTGAGACAGCCTCAAATGAAAAGAGTCCAACACAGGCTTCGATGGAGGTAAATCTTATCAAATAATAATGGTTCTTTTTGAAATTATTTAAAATTACAGGAGCATTTATAATTTCATTTAAATTGTGCATTTATACAAAGCAAGCTCACAAAGAAGTATGTTTAAATACCATATAATTAGTTGGTTAATGACAAAAAGTAGAATCTAGACAACTATTAGCAATTAACTCTCCTCCTTCGAGAGTGAGCAAAAGCTAAAAGAATCACAATTTTAGGAAAATTAACCGTTAAGATTGAACCATAAATTTTTAATCTATCAATGTTGTATAATAATTTATGATTGTAATTTAACTAGTTATAATAAAATCTAAAACGCTTTATTAATTTTAAATATTTTTATTGTCTTTTTTTAAATCGAAAAACTAAGGACCCCCCCTCATTTGTCCAATTTTCTAGTCTTTTATCATTTGTCCATTTTTCTAGTTTTTTTTTTATAGGAAAAAAAAATTTTTTAGGACCTCATTTGTCCAATTTTCTAGTCAAAATTTTGATAGAGAAAAAAAATTTTCAGGACCTCAATTGTCTCATTTTCTAGTTTTTTTAAAGTAAAAAACTAGAGTTTAGGGCATTCGAAAAAATCCAAAAAAGACTAGAAAATTGGACAAATCATTTTTGACTAGATTTTGGGACAAATGAGGTCCTGAAGAAAAAAAAATTCTTATAAAAAAAAGACTAGAAAATTCGACAAATGAGGGGGGGGGTCCTTATATTGTTTAATATGAACTTTTTAGAATTAAAGATACCCGTTTTTCAAATAAGCAAAAAAATTTCTACTCTCTCTAAAGAGTAATTAATTCGATGCTCAATGCTATATAAATGAGAATTAAGCTTTATTAGTATCTCTCTATATCAATTCGCTATTTTTAAATATTTGAATAGCATCTATTCAGTATAATATAGAGATTCGAATTTCAAAGCCTAGCATTCATTATCTTTTCAAATCCAAATTGCATTAATAAATCAAAAACCTAAAATTAACATTTATTTCATGGCTGTATGCATTTCGCTTATTATTTGGAATAATTAACCTGTTAACTAGATTATTCTATTGGTTGTCCTTCAAGCACATTGACTCTCTTCATGCCTAATAAGATTGGAAGAATTGGATAAAGTGGGAGTAAAGCCCAACGAAGCATCCAAACCTTATCAAAGAATGGGTCAAGTCTTCCTCTATTATGAGCGTCTTTTAGGTGATAGAAGATTTTAGGCTGAGCACAATTTTCAACGCATTCAACCCATTGTCTGAATCTAAAAATGCACTTTTTCTCACTATCAACTCCTTTGATGATTTTAAGTGCTGCTTCGCATCTTTCTACCATAGCTTTGTAATCAAGGCACTTTGGTTTGCACCATTCAAGGACAAATGGTTTGGGATCTTCACCTTTTTGGAGGGTTTCTAAGACTTTATGATGTAGTTGGTCCTCTGATAAATCAGCCATTTATTTATGAACCAATTGAGAATGCTGTTTAAGATATTCCTTTTTAAAATTTGATTAAATTGAGATCTTAAGAAATCCATGCTCTTGCATTAGAATATGCAGCAAAGAAGAAGATCTCAATGGTTTGAAAGGGTGCTTTTTCTTATTTTACTTTTAAAATAGTTAATTATTAAAATTTATGCATTTTTAAGCTAAAAATATGTTTCAAAAAGGGAAAATTATCAATGTTCAGTCTCTCTACAGTTTTTTCAAGTTTATTTATAATTCAAAAATATGCATTATTAGAGTTTTCATAATTTAATATGCAAGTACTTTTCATCTTAATTAAAAAAATTAAGTTATGCGCTTAATTAACCTCCTATTTAGATGCTGTAACTGGGTTCGTGAAAAAGATAATGATAGCACTTCAATTGACATAAACCATCCTCCAGATCTCACATTAAAGAAAATCGAAGACTACTCAAGTTTATATGAGAAAAATAATCTTTCAGAAAGCTTACACTCAATCTCGGAGGTGAAACTAGAGGTTTCGAAAAAAGAAGAACAAGAAAATGCAGAAATACTCCAAAAAGCACCACCAAAAAATTACCCCAAAATCCATTTGATTAATCTTGAGGTTTCTCCTGATCCAATTGTGCTTTTTGAAAAGAAGGACAAAAATAACATAAAAGTAGCTACTCCTCATAAGAAGAAAGCGAAGAAGAAAAAGTCGAGTGAAAAGGCTTTGAAAAAGGAAGAAAAGAAAAGTGAGAAATAAACTATGTTATAAATTTTAATGTAAATATAATCAAACTTGTTAAAATGCTCTTGAGGAATGTCTGAATTAAAAGGTATCTGTTTTTACGGATATTAGCAAATCAAAGCATATTGCATAGGCTAGTAGGTTATTGGTTCTTTGGAAAATGAAGTATCACTTGCAAGTAAATTAAAAATGAAACGAAATCTTTATAAGCTATTTTATAAGAGTAATATTTCTTAAAGTAAAACTCAGCAAAGTTTATCTTGAAAAAATAGTGATTTTCAAACATATAAATAAATTACCAAAAAACGCTAAAATAACAAAATTTAACTACAATTTAGAAAGTGTTATTAATCCATAATCTTATTTTTGAATAAAGGCATGAAACAATATTTGCTCAAGGGAAAAATTAACTCTTCAGAGTTCACTTACCATAATAGCGAATTAAGGTTTCAAATGTTATTAAGTAAATTACATAGTCTCTCATTAAAGTTCTAGGAGGATGATTATTTAGTTTTCTTTTATCAAGATGCTTCTAAAAGAATTATATGTATGTTTTTAAAATGTTTTATCTAAAATAATATATCTTACTTTGATTCATTATTCTAATATTTTCCATAATTACAAAATGCAGTCAATTCCTCAATTAAAACGCTTAGAAGATTTCGAACTTCCAAAATATCAAAATTCTTGTCCTCAGCCGAAAGGTGTCCGTCGCTATCATGTCCATAAGAATTTTGTATCTTCAGAATACGCACTTGCCCAAGATGATTATTCAAACTACTTAAAGCGAATTTTAAAACTGGATTCATCTCCAACTCCAAGTCTTTCCTATAGATCTCCAACTCATATGAGCACTCAATCGACAACAACTGATGACTATTATAAAAATGAAATTCCTACAAGGTCAGTTTCTTCACTAGAAAAACCAGTTACGATAATTAAGGTAAAAGACAGTGGAATACAGACAGAAATTTTCGAACAAAAAAATGAAAGCTCTAGCGATGAAGAAGAGGAATATAGAGAAAGACTGTCGAGAATAAGAGAAAGTAGAAGCTTAAATCAGCTTCCAAATATTAATACGCAAGAGCCACCCTCAAAACTGCTCCAGCCTCATTTAAATTTGTCTAGTCCAGTTAGAACCCCATATAGTAACACTATGAACCCTTATGCCACGCCAAAAAACATAAACCCTTTTATTGATTACGGAAAACTCCCAGCTTTTCAGCAGCCTCTATATTCTCATAACCACCCAAAACTTCACCCAGACAATCCTATTGTGGGTTATGGAAGAGATGCTTATAAATACACGCCTAGAAAGATGTCAAATTTCGGTACTATGATGGTAAAGCCTAACAGTTTTAGATAATGTATTTTACATTAAAATAATGAAAATAAATTATAATCATATCTATAATAATGCAAAGCTTCCCTCAAACCAAAAGACCAGAGGATTTAAGATTTTATACGAATCGGGCTGCACATCTTCATCTGAATGGCAAAAAACGATTTTTTATGCATAAAAATTCAGTTTCTCCAGATTATGCATTAGCTCAAGATGATTATACAAATTTTTTAATTAGAAGTGCGAGGATGGATATAAATCAAATTAAAGATAACCCGATGCTTTCACCTTCACGGATAAGCGGAAGTATACAAAATTTTGAAGATTATGATAAATTTACTCAAAGTAGATCGGTTTCACAAATGGAATCACCAGTAAGAAAAATAAAAATAAGTGAGATTGGAATTCAGACTGAAAAAAATAAAGAAAGTTTAAATGAAAGAGAAGAAACTGGTAACCTTTATTTAAATTTGAAACCTAGTCCTAGTCTTAACGCATTACCCACATTTAATAAACACGAAAAGCACCGCAGGAATACAGTAAGAAATGATTTTTCCAGTCCAATTAGTCCATATGCAGCTGCTGACCATACAATCACCAATAAGAATAAAGAAGAACAAAATATTTTTTATCAGCAAACCCCAAAACATTATCAGCAATATAAAATAGGTTATCAAAACCCTTTCCCTAATATCCCAGCTTCAGATACCCTAAAATTTCATAGCGAATCTCCATATCATTCTCCCAATGCCAACCAAATTTTTAGGCCTCAGAACCAATTAATTTCAAATAATCAAAGTAACGTTAACAATTTCTCCAGTAACCTTTCAAACTTCGGCTCAATGCTTATAAAGCCTACCAATTTTAGATAATTTTGTTAAAAAATTAAATAAATCTATGATTCTATTAAAAGTTCAGAAATAGTGACTGAGCTAATTCGGATATTTTCCACAAATCCGCTCCAGTCAGGTCTAATTGTATCTTTAAGAGCTTCAAATTCTAAACTTGCTCCTGAGCAGCTGAAACTAATAATTTCAATAATATCATTATCAGCCATAATAGGCCTCAAAATAGGGGGTGTTAAAACAGGTGGCATTTTGGGTGCTGGCCGCAATATATTGACACCTCTATTGTCTTCGTATTTTCCTGTAATATTTCATCTCACATCTGCGTCAAAATCATGGCTCATCGCTGTGTTCAATCCTAACCAATATTCATTTGTGGGGTATTTTTTGTGGCCTTTTTTAACTACTAGTGAGCAAGCAATGCGGATATTAGGTACTGGGTCATTGGCAGCATTTGATAATTCTTCTGCAAATAAACTTTGGAAGTCAGGTAAATCTACGAGATGAAGAGCAGCTTGAGAAAAAATCAATCGGTTTGTATAGCTCGGATCAATTGCAAAACTTTTGATTGCTCGACTTATTTCTTCTTTTTTGTCTGATGATAATATTAGAGCTCCAGCCCTCCCTAGTCCTAATGCAGCCTCATCTCGAATTTTTGCAATTTTGTCTTTGCATAAATCAAAAATTATTGGCCAAAGATCGCCTATAATAATAGAAATGGGATATAAGTCTACTAAATCTTCTAATTGCTTAGCGATAGCATGCCTTGTTCTTCAGTTTCCATTTTTTGAGTTTTTTTTTATATACTGCAGAAAAACTGGCCTTGACTCTTCTTTGATATATTTCAAAAAATTAGCTAAATTATCCAATGCAATTGATTTTGCGGGGCATGTTTCTAAAAACATTCCTTTGTAAACTTTTATCAAATCATTACTTGCTGCCTCTGGACCTATAACTTTTGCTACTTCATGGATACTTCTTGCTATGCTCTTTTTCGCTATATTTTCTCCTTCACTGCACAGTTGGAAGTACGAGCCGCTTAAGATATTCCAAGTTTCAGGGCCTAATATCTGCAGTATTCCTGGAAAATAATATGCACAATGATGCTGAAATTCGCCTTTACAGGTATTGTTTTGCGATAATCCTACAAACTGATCTAAAATTGCTGGCAATAATGCTCCTTTAGTGTATGCAATTATTTCTCCTAACTGTAATAAAGTAGCTTGCTTTACAGAATTGGATTTATCTTTCATCATTTCTATGAATCTCAGCTGCAGAATGTTTGCTTGCGCTTCTTCATTATAAACTTGAATCATCAAAGAAAATCCTTCCACACATGATTTTCTAACTCCCCAAATAGGATCATTACTCAGTGTTATATAAATATTCAGCAGTTTATCCAATAACGCAGGCTTTGCTACCTGTTTAGCTGTCTTTGGCACACAATAAGCCACAAATTTTCTAATTTTTACTATTGGGTCTGCTGCAAATGATGCAATTTCAGGAATCACGAAATGTTCACAAATATCGGAAGTGATATAAGGAATAATATCTTTTAGAGCGGTAAATCCTTTTAGCTTATTTTCTTCTTCTTCATCATGTATTAATCTTAGCACTAAAGTCAAAATAACACCTTCTCTTTCGTCTTTTTCTACAATAGGAGTTAGTTTTATTGCAGCATCGCATGCACCTTTAATAACTTCAGAATCTGGATCACAAAATATAAAAATTCAGGTTAATGCAGTTATAGTAATATTTAATTTTCTGTATAAGAGAATCATGGAATATTCACCCTAAATAGATATAATTTATCTAAGCATGGCAGAATCTGCTCTACAACGTCTGAATAAGAGTGCATTTCTTTGATAAAAATATCTGCTAACTCTCCCCACCACGTGAACGAAAAAAAATTTTGTTCGTTCACTGAGGAGTGTTAAATTTTATCTTAAAGAATTTATATAAATTTATAGTAAATTTTATTCTAAAATTTAAAAAATACGAAAAATGGAAAGCAAAGATAATTTAATTTGTAAATTTATTTTTAAAATCTGTTTAAAAATCAACAGAATTAGCTAGAGATTTCATTATAGTAATTATAACCTTTATCTTAAAATATTTTTTGCTAGCTCACGGAGGGTTGGCTTTGACCCAAAAAATAGGGATTTTTCTAATGGTTTTGTTCGCTCACCGAGGTAAGGGGGATTAAGTGAGGTAGCTGCAAAGCAAACTCAGTTTTAATTTCAGGTTGATCTTCAATCTGGCTGATTAGGGCTTACAATTTGAGAGAATACATTGAACGCTGAGTCTTTTGATGATTTTCCAAGTTGCTGAAGAAGCTCAGGCAGGTTCCTTGTAAATTTTATGCGGTCTGATATAGAAGTTGAAATTGCATATTGACTAATTTTGAACAAAGCAAAGTCTATAGAAAGATCTCCAGTGCTTCTGGGAAAATTGACAACCCCTGGACCATTCCAATCATCTTGATCTAATGCAGAACCTATAGGAAGATTTATTGAAATGTCTGTGCGAGTTGAAAACTCCATATATATATTAATTAAACAAACTAAATAAGCATTTGGTTAGTAATTAGATTAATAATCAGAGTCCGAGCTAGCTTGCTTTTTCACTCGTTTTTTGCCTCTTTTAGGAGCTTGATCCCAGGACTCATCGGACTCAGACTCAGATTTGGGTTCAGATTCAGAATAGTCTTCGTCAGATGGTTGGCTTTCTTCGCTTTCTTCCTCTTCTTCGTTATATGACTCTTCTTCAGAAGGAGTTTTTTGCTTTGGCTTCTTTATAATTTTTGGCTTTACATTTTGATTTGTATCACTTTCATCTGATAGGAGAACACTTTCTTCATCAGAATTCTGTATAGTCAGCTGCTTTGGCAAGAGGTTTCCGTTTAATTTGGCATCTGCAAATTCATCTTTAGCTTTTTTATTAGGAGTTCCTGTACTTGGATCGTTTTTTTCATTTTGGCGCTTAAGTGGCAATGTATTGGAACTGGACATAATCTTTTTATTTTATCTTCGCTAGTTTATTTATAAATTTTATATCTAATAAATTTATAATAGGGCATAATCAAATTATTTTTCTATTCTTAAAGCAGGCAATCTACTGATTTTAAACGATTTTAAAAAATAGTCAATTTGTTGGATGAAATGCCATAGATATATAGGCGAGCCAATATTTTAAATATAAATGTATCAATTTATTTGCGATTTTTCATTTTAAACAAATTGTCAAGGTGGCATGATATGGGAACAGAAATTCAACGCTCAAGGCATACCTTCTCCTGAGTTATATCTTTGAAAAAATTATTGCATATGCGTGCTAATACTAATAATGATAGCCACCATAAATGGTATTTTTATTCTCCAAATTTCAGATTAGATAATCAAAGTGCAATTTTTTATATTTAACATAAATGGAAAAATAAGAAGACCTTTAAATGTAATACATTAAATATTCATAGCTATGAGTTTATAAGCTGATTTCAAAAGTTTTCTTTTTCTTTGCAGGCTTTTTATTCCTCATAAAACTCGGAACATAATCAACATTTCCAGCGGCTGGAGCTTTAGTTGTAGGAGTCGACGATCTCACTGAAGTGCTTCCATGTCTTAGTGAAGTTTCACTTTTTTGTGAACTCATGCTTATACTTTTCAAATTCAAAGCCTTAATTTCTTCTTTTCTTGGACTTTTCGCCAGCGGCGGTGACTCAGAGTCATTTTCTTCATCTAAATATCCTTCATTGTTTACTGGAGGTAAAAATTCACTTTTTATCATATATGCTTCAGGCATCTGTGAAAAATTAGTTTTAAGCACTTCTGACTCAGTTGTGGACGCTGTTTGATTCCTTCTGTTTGAAGTCTTAAATTTCGCTAAATCCAAAGCGCCTTCTTTTTGAATTTCTTCAAGTAAAATTTCATAGCTTCTCACCTTATTCCTTAATTCATCGTTTTCATCAAGGACTGCTTGGACTTGGGTTTCTATTTGGAATCTTTGATGCTGGGCATCTTCTAGTTGCGTTTGCAGCTTAGGGATGGTTTCTCTTTTTAGTGTGGTGTTTTCGGATCTAAGAACTTCATTTTCTTCGCGAAATTCATTTAGCTCATCTTCGTCAATGTCTTTGGTTTCAGCTTTAACTAGTAGCGCTTTGGCTTCTCTGTATTTCTCTTCAAATGTTTCTTTCATTTTATTAGCAAATTCAAGCTCATCCTTTAATTTTTCGATTTCTGCATTGTTTGATTCTTTATTTTTAAAAGACTGGCTTTCTTGCTCTTCACTTTCTCTGGAATTTTTGAGGGAGCTTAATTTGCTGTTTTTGTCTACTTGCTGTTTAATTATTTCTTTGAGATGGACGATTTCTTCATCTTTTGCCTGAAGAAGCGCTTTAAGCTCGCTGATTTTTACTTCCATTTGGCTTACTTGGGCAACGTAATATTGGTTTGCACGGGTAATTGTATCTTTCTCTGATTTGAACTGCCGGAGTTCAAAGAGTTCTTTGATGATTTGCTGGTTGAGTGGAATCTCTTTAGAGAAATCAGACATATTAATTAAATAATAATAAATTTTAAGTTAATAGGAAAGCCCTACTTAAGAAGTTGAGATTCATATCAATCAGCCTAAGGTATAGCTCCATTTCTCAATTTATAATTAATTTCGTAATAAGCCATTTGAGTTCTTATCTTTTGGATTGAAAATCTTTCCTTAATTGATATAAATATTATTCTTTAATCTTAAAAATAGCCTTCTATAATAAAGCGACAGCTAATTATGCTTCTTTTACTAAATTTAGAGCTAAATTACATATTAAAAACCATATTTACCTTATCCTTCATCAAACCTATGCATTATTCATTCCTAGCCGCAGTTATTTATTAATAGAAACTTCAATAATTTTATGCTTATTCATAATCCACTCTCTATTCTAACTATTTCCTCATACAAATTCCATTCTTCACTACTCCAAATTCCGAGGATTAAGTAAATCTTGCGAACATATAATAAATTAGTGGTCAAAATGGCAGAGGTCAAGGCTAAGAAGTACGAGTACTGGGAAACCCTCTGGAAACTAGTTGAAGAGTACCCACAAGTTTTGATCTGCGAAGCCAACAATGTTGGTAGCAACCTCTTGCAGGACATCAGAACTAAAATCAGAGGACAAGCTGTCATGCTCTTCGGAAAGAACACACTGATTAGAGCTGGGCTTAAACACAGAATGGAAGAGCCAACTCCAGAACAAGAAGACTACGAAAAGAGAAAAGACAAATGGTTCCCATTGGAAAGCGTCAAAGAGCTCATCCCAAATATCAAAGGCAACGTTGGCTTAATCTTCTGCAAAGGAGGAATGGACAAGATCCTTGATATCATTGAGAACTCCACCACTCCAGCCGAAGCCAAAGCTGGCACCGTCTCTCCTTGCAACGTTTTTGTGCCTCCAGGACCAACAGGTATGGATCCTTCACAGACTGCTTTCTTCCAGGCTCTTGGTATTTCAACCAAGATCGCTAAAGGCCAAATTGAAATTATCACAGAAGTCCAGGTCATTGAGAAAGGCAAGAAGGTCGGAAACAGTGAAGCTGTCCTCTTGAAAAAGCTTAACATCAAGCCATTCAAATTCGGTCTTAAAGTCACCAAGGTTTTCGACAATGGCTCAGTCTACAGTGCTGAAGTCCTCAAATTAACACCAGACATTGTAATTGAAAAATTCTTGAACGGTGTCAGAAACATCGCTGCCATGTCTTTGGAACTTGGAATCCCAACTGCAGCTTCAGTCCCTCACTCAGTCCTTAATGGATTTAAGAATTTAGTCGGAATTGCAATTTCCATTGACTATCCATTAAAGCAAGCACAAACCATCATTGATGTCATCAAAGATCCATCAAAACTTGCAGCTCTTCAAGCTGCCCCAACCGCAACAACCACCGCTGCCCCTCAGGAAACATCTAAGCCTGTAGAAGAAGAGAAAGAAGTTGAGGTTGATGAGGATCTTGGAGGAATGTTTGGAGATGAAGACTATTAAATAACATATTTTCACTAAAATCGAGCTTAAAAGATTATTATAAATAATTTTATTATGGAAGCAAAAATGCTGAAAAATTATTTTTTATTTATGTTTTTATTCAAAGTTATTTAACTGGCTCTGCTTTGTATATTTTATAATAATGGCAGCCATGGCTCATAATCATTTAATGCATAAATCGAATCTTAAATATAGAAATAAATTAACTGACTTAATATTCCTTTTCAGGCCAAAATTTGTTTCAGCCAAGCTTACCTAATAGAATTTATTACAAATTAGCCAGGCAATAATTTTTCTTTATTCATTTTTGTTTACTTTTGCAAGTGTTTTAACTGCAATTGCATAGCATTAGAAAGCGATTTTTCTCTTTATAGCCTCAATTAATAGCAGTCATCTCAATTTTGGCTTATTTAGGCTAAGCATGAAATTTGTTTTTACGAATTTCTCCTAAAATCAGTGTTCACCATTTATGATAGAAGAGTATTGATCCAATAATAGCCTATATAAAATTATTATATGTCAGAGGTAACTCAAGCATCTTGTACAGGCGAATTTGATAAAAATTCGTGTATTTTTTCCCCTAAACCTAAAAGAACATCTATTCCTCCAATTCGAAGTACAATAGAAAACCCATTTTGCTCTATGTTCCAGGAAGACATCTCCAAGGAAGAAGCTCATATCCTAAATGAGCTTAATTCGATCCTTATGCAACCAGAAGTAAAAAGGCCATTTAAACTGGCTCAAACTCCATCCCCTGCATTTTGCAGGTCCCAACGACCACTTTCCCGGCATACAAGCAATCCGATGATAAACGACGTTTTATTCGAAGAAATTAACTCCAATTCATGTAACCTACCAACATATGTTTTTACTTACTGTCAGATTTAATTAAAAATTGAAAAATTAAACAAAGATTTTATTAAAGGTGCTTAAATATATATATTAAAATTAAAAAAAAAAAATTAGAGGGAAGTTAGATAATAAACTAAAATTTTTCAATTAGCTTTTAATCCTTGTGCAGTTCTGGAAATGTAATTCTGAGCAAAACAATTGGAATATGGTAGGGATTGGACAGAAAGAAAAGAAAGATGATGAAATGTGGATGCCTAAAAGAGCAAAATAAAGCTTAGATTAAGAAATATAAAAACACAAAGAGCAAGGGGACTTAGAAAATAATCTATAATTGCTATTTTGCAACAAAAGCAATAATTAGAAAAATAAATTGACATTCACAATGTTGAAAGAAAAATATTTTAGATATTTAAAAATATGATGTGTTTCTTATCGTTATATGTAAATTTGATAGGATAAAAACTATTAGCAGAAGTAATTAAGCAATTATGGAATGATGAAAGTTACGTGAAAATTCAAATAGGGATGAAAATTAATTCTTATAAACCAAAAGGCTTAGTAAATAAAAGTAGTTTTAAGTTTGAAATATCAATTTAAAATTAAGCCACTCTCATTTGCAAAAGAAGTACTTAAAAATTTGATTCGAATGATTAAAATTGATTGAGAGATATAGACTCCTAGCCTTTAATTATGCTTTGCGTACAAATAAAATATATTAGCTAAATGATTCCTTCACTGATTAGAATAAGTAGTTTTTGCACTCCTTAAGTTAATGCATCTCCATTATCATGCCTCCAAAAAAACTCCCCTTTAAATAAATAGCCATAATCGATTTATTCCGAATAAAAAAACTTAAGATTTTCCAATTTTAATCCTATTTCTTTACTATTTTCCAATTCACTCACTGCCATCTTGCAAATAAAAATGAAATTAGGCTTTGAAATACAGGACATCGGGTATCCCGATATTGCACATGCATCGCCGCCAGAGTTGTATTTTCATCAAGCTCAGCATTTTCTTTTTCAAAAGAACTTAGACATGGCTTTAAGGTGCTTTGACTTAGTTTGTCACTTAGCTCCGACAAATCCATCATATTGGATTGCATATGCAGAGTGCTTAAAGCTGGCAAACTGTTCCAATGACTCTTTAAGAGCCTATTTAGCTGCTGCTTCATTACAGAACTCCTCCGCTTTACAAGTAATTATAGGATACCTTTATGAAGAATTGGGCTTTGACAATGAAGCTCTACAATCATACGATCAAAGTATCTTGCTGGATCCATATAAATTTGAAGGGTATAATTATAAAGGAAATTTATTACGGAAACTAAGGAAGCTACAAGAGGCTGTGGAAGTTTTTTGTACTGGAATTAGAATGGGCGGTAAAAATGAGCATCTGTATAATAATCTTGGAAATTGCTATTTAGACTCAAATTTGATAATAGAAGCTGAACAATGCTATATCTCAGCAATCTCAATTGTCCCAGAAATGGTTGCAGCGCACTGCAACTTATCAAATGTATTAAAAGCACAAGGAAGGGTATCAGAAGCATTAGATCAATGCAAACAAGCAATTTGTATTGATCCTTCTTATTCTGATGCTTATGCTTGCATGGGGAATATTTTGAAAGATACACATAATATTCAAGAATGCTTGATTTATTACCAGCAAGCTTTGCAGCTAAATCCTACCTCTGTGGTGATTCTTAATAACTTAGCAAATGCATTGAAGGATATAGGAGATGTGCATAATGCAATTATTTGCTATAAAAAAGCATTAGAAATTACTCCATGGTTCCCAGAGGCATATTGCAATTTGATATATTCAAAGATTTTTATATGTGACTGGGAAGATCAGCAAAATTCTTTTATACAGATGGCGAAGTATATAAAATATCAAGTGGAAAATAAGCAATTGCCAAGCGTACAGCCTTTTCACGCAATTATTTATCCATTGGCACCTGAAGATAAATTGACATTGTCAAGAAAATACGCAGAGCATGCTCAGTCATTGGTATCAGGATACTCGATTTTCCCAAAATCTCAGCCTAATGAAGGAAAAATCAGAATTGGGTACGTTTCAAGCGACTTTGGAGATCACCCTTTGAGCCATTTACTACAAAGCATTTTTAAGTTCCACAATAGACAATATTTTGAAGTTTATGGGTTTGCTTTAAGTCCAAACGACAAGTCTGAATATCGACGGATAGTAGAAGCTGGATGTGATGAATTTATTGATATATCTGGAATCGATGATCCTTATAAAGCAGCACAAGTTATAAACCAATATAATATTGATATTTTAGTTAACTTGAACGGATATACAAAAGGCTCTCGAAATGAAATTTTTGCCTTAAAGCCTGGCAGAGTGCAAGCACAATTTATGGGATTTCCAGGAACTTTAGGTGCTGATTACATACCCTATATGATCACTGACAAATCTGTTTGCCCTCCTGCATATACACATTATTATTCTGAAAAGATGATCTGGATGCCACATAGCTATTTCGCAAATGACCACGCCCAGTCCAATCGTGACGTCTTAGATCTTTCAAACCGTCCTACTCGGCAAGAATACGGTCTTCCTGACGATAAATTTATTTTCGCTAACTTTAATCAGCTCTATAAAATAGACCCAGATACCTTTGCTATATGGATGAATATACTTAAACGAACACCCAACAGTGTGCTATGGCTTTTAAGGTTTCCTTCAGTTGGTGAAGCTAATATAAGAAAATATGCCTCCGATTACGGCATAGAGCAGTCAAGAATTATTTTTACAGATGTAGCTCAGAAGAGAGTACACATAAACAGATGCTTTTTAGCTGACTTATGCTTGGATACCCCTCTATACAATGGGCACACAACCGGCTGTGATTTATTATGAAGTGGCTTACCGATGGTAACATTTCCTCTTACTCCCCTCAGCGAGCTAACAAAACCATTGAAAAATCATAATTTTTGGCTCTGTGAACGATCGAAATTTTATTTGTTCGCTCACTGAGGGGGAGAGTTAAAACAATGGCTTCAAGGGTCGCATCAGGCCTTGTCACAGCATTAGAATGCCCAGAAATGATTGCAAGCTCTCCGTCAAACTATGAAGAAAAAGCAGTTCAATACGCAAATGGACCAGTTGTAAGCCAAATTGAAAGCACCTTACCAAAGCACATTAGAAGTAGATTAGGCTCAAGTGAGCTTAAACTTTTACGTTGTAAAATAGAACACAAAAGATTGACAGCGCCTCTCTTCAACACTGAGATGTGGGTCAGAAATCTTGAAAAAGGTTTAAAAGAAGTCATGAAAATTGAATTAGAAAATGGAAGTCATTCAAATATTGAAATTGTTCCATAGCTAAATAAAATTCTGGCTCTTGAATAAGTTTAAATAATCAAAAGTATGCATTAAAGTTAATAATCAAGAAAATTCTAAAGTTTAGATTTCATATGCTTTTAAATGATGCTTTGTCTTAGCATAGATAATATAATTGCTTATTTTTATATGAAATTGATTTGCATTTTAATAATAAAAATGGCTAAATTTTAAAGAGAATATTGAATTAATGGATTATATAATAAAAAGGCATGAGACTCGATACTCCCGTCTATCAAAGAATGCTCAGATATAGATACAACATTTATAGAGCTGTTGGATTCCTTCCTGCAGTTGGACTCCTAGTATATTGGACACTAGAGCATGGTTTCAAGAACTTCAATTCATATATTCTCAATCCACCTCAGCCAGGTGTGAAAAAGAGAGAAAAGGGTGAAGACATAGAAGATTAAACTCATAACCATAATCATTACAGGTTAAGCTCAAATCTCGCTTTTGATCTTTATATAATAGATCTTAAATCTTTAAGTGGTTAAGAAATTTTAGATGAAAATCGAACACATATCGAGGTCATCCAGTATTTAAGTTCCAGAGTTTTTAAATTATTTAATTCACTATTTTAATGACAGAGGAAGAGGTCAAATGCCTATAAATGATTTCTAATATCAAAATTTCGATTATTTTCAAGCATTTGAAGCAAACAACTTTTGACAGAAGTAATTTCTTAAAATAGATTGATAGAAAAAAATTAATCTAATGCGATACACAAAGCTTAATGACAGCAAGCTATTGTTCAAAGAAAAATTCTGAATAATAAATGCTTAATTCATATTTAATAAAGTTGAAATAATACCTAAATCATAATCTAAATTTTTGTTAAATTGAAGCACACTTTCATTATCTCAATTTATTATATGGCATTAGTTCGTATCTGCGCTTTTTCTATTTTGTAATTGCCAATGCGATTCCATATATTCTTGTGAGCTTAAGCAAAGGTAGCAGCCCATATCGTAAAGTAGGCAATCAATACAAAAATTACCTTCGAGCTCATAATAATCCCTAAATCTTTTTCTGTTTATAGCGCATCCGATACAGCACAAAGTGCATCCTAATATAAAAGTCAAGTTATGATTGAGAACTCCTGTTGTTTTATGGGCCATGGATTGCACAATTGCAGTTCCTATAACGGGACAGCAGCATAGTAGCAAGCACTCAGGGAAAGCATCAAAACAGTCGCACATGGTTTTATGCCAATTCGTTTTTTTAGCAGACATTTATTAAGAAACTTTGATTAATGCTGATTATGCCCACATAAATATAATCTAATTTTCGGCGTAGGAATTATTTCTACTGAGCTGCTTATTCCCCCCCTCCGTGAGTGAACAAAATTTTTTTGTTCACTCACGGAGGGGGATTATTTTTTTTTTTTTAAAAAATGTATATATTAATTTAATTTATAAAATTTATGTTTTAAAAAGCAATTCGTTCAAAATTAAACAGAATTAGCTCTAGATTTCATTATACTAATTATCATTTATATATCAAAATTTTTTTCCATAAAAAATTTTTCTATTAAAAATTTTTGTTCACTCACGGAGGGTGGGTTTTTGGGCAAAAAATAGGGATTTTTCTAATGGTTTTGTTCACTCACGGAGGGGGGGGGAGTTAGCAAATAACTATTCCCAGCTTTAATTTCTTCACCACCATATACTCCGCTTCCTTCTAAAACCATCCCCAACATATGATCAGTTACATCGATTACAAATGGTTCTGTTTTTACATATTCAATGACTTTGAATTCAGGGTATTCTGTGATGTATTCTTTTACACCTGTCTCTCTTTCATGCCCTCTTATTATAGGCGGTCTTGTCCTATTTTCATAATTCGCTATCTAAATACCAAATACTCTTAGCAATGCTTGCACATCTTTGTGCTTAGGAGTAAGGCCAGCTCTTATCACATTATTTGAAGTTGCTTGTGCTTCAATTAAATCTCCCCATATGTATGCATGAGGGTCGCAAGGATGAATTAAAACAGCCTCTCCAGGGTTAAGCTCAATATAATTCATAAACATCCCGACAAAAATTCCAGTGTCGCCTGGGAAATATTCATTGATTTCTTCATAAATGTTATGAATGTTATTTGTATGAATTCTTTCAATATAAGCATTTACGTGCTCTTTAGTGACTTCTTCATTCTCGTAAAGTTTTTGAAGTTGAGAAGGCAAATCATTGATATTTCGAATTAGATCATTGAGTTCTGGGGTTTGATTTAGCATATCAGACACCTCTTCAGGGCTGCGGAAGCCATAGAAAAGTTTCATTGAAGATATCGCAATGCACATTTCTGGCTTATGATTATCGTCAGGATAAAGCTTTGGATTTTGCAAATGTAACTCCTCACCTTGAGATTTATTTGGATGAAGCTGGATACTGAGAGGCCAATTAACAGTAAGCAATTTGAATAAGTATTTTAGCTCGCCAGTAATATCTTTGATGCTGTTGCCATTGTAAAGTGTAGGAAGATCAGAATGGGTTCCGAGCCAATACTCAGCATAAGGTCGATCTTCAATAATTTCGTTTGAAAAGATAGTTATCATGCTTGATGAGCCTTTCTTTCCCCATAAGTAGTTTTGAATTCCTCCATTAACACGTATCATTTGATATGTGGATTTTATATTTAATGCCGGATTCTTATTAAATAAAAATAATTAATATTATATCATAAATTTAAGCAGATTTTTGAGCTAATTTTCGGGGAAAATCTTAAAATTTATTGTTTGCATTCCTTAAACTTTATATATTTATGTAAATGAATATTAAATCTTAATATAATTATCTAAATAATCTTTATTGGAAATTTAAATAAACTTTATTTCTATATTTATTTGCATTATATGATTTATCACGATATCTTTCTTACCTAATACTTAGTCGAGCAAAACTGCAGTAACATAAAAAAATTGCCCGAGATAAATATAATGGATAGATAGCTATTAACACAATTTTAAATTTATTTAGCAATCAACAAAATCAGCTTCTGTTGTATATCCCAGAGAAGCATTTCCATATAAGTTTTAATAATAAAATTGTCAGTTATTAAAATAATAATTTTTCCATTTTTAAAATATTTCACATTTGGATTAAATGTATTGCAGAGTTTAATTTTAAAAAATTTCACACTCTGCATGCTATTATAAAATGAACATTTCTTCGTCAGATTACAATAAGCTTGAAGACATCCTTCACTCCAATTTATATTTATGTGGAGGCACTCCGACTAAAACTGATGCAAAAATATTTAGAGAGATTGCAGATTATTGCATCGAATTATATCCTTATCCAAACCTTTATGGATGGTATTGCTTTCTCAGAAATTTTTCAGATGAAATTCTAAATAGTTGGCCTGACTCTCTTATTTTAAATTGAAATGGGCATTTCTGTTCCAATTTAAAGGGATTCATTTATTTTAAAAAAATACATAAATTCTTGAAGACTTAATTATATAAAATTTATCGACTCAACACTGCTTAATTTTAAATAGAAAAGTTATAGGCAAATATTTGATTTGATGATGTTAAATTTACCTATAAAAGTTAAAATTTTGTTGCAAACTAAAGGGCTAATTTACTAAAAAATGAGAATTATAACGATATTTTGTTTCAGATTAAAACGAGGGGGAGTGAGCCTACAGTTTATAATACCTCAGAATACGAAGAATTTGATCTTTTTGCCAACCACGGGTGAAGCGGAAAAAAATACACTGTATTTTTTTCCTACAGTTTCCCACAGTCAAATTTGACATAAAATTTTCCAATTTTTTGAAATGATAGGAAAAAAATACATGGAAAAGAAAAAAAAATTTGAAACCAGGGCGGAAAAAATTCAACCCCCAAAAATGAAAAAAAAACGCATGAAAAAAAATACACATAAAAAAAATATTAAATTACTAATATTTAAAAAGAAGCAAAGAAAATGCTTTATTAAATATGAATGACAATAGCAGTCATTGCATTTGCTATAAATTCACATAATAGATAAAAAATAGATGCAAGAACTGTATCATATGCTTTATAGTAAAAAGTTTTCTGTGTTTTTTTCCAAACCGCATGAAAAACTACTATAAAAATTTGAAATACAGATCTTTAAGTCAAATAGAGTTAAAAATAACGAAAAACAGTCCCAGCTTAAATCTCTCTTTAATAACGAGATTTTAAGAATAAAATGAATGCCTAAATGTTAAAGATCAGTTTAAATAAAAAAATTAAAAACAGAAGGAAAAAAATTCAAATTTTTTTTCTAAAAAAACAGATGAAAAAAATATCAGTAAAATTTTAACAGTCTAAAAATTTCGGCATGAAAAAATACAATAGAAAAAATTTAGTAGGAAAAAAATACATATAAAATTTATATATTTTTTTTAAAATTTTTTAATTAAAATAATCCAAAATATCTAAGGATGAGTTATCCAAACTCTACTGTGTGTGATTAGTAATAATAACTGATAATAAAACGATTAATTATTTATATTTCTAAGTTTTATTCCTTCTGGTTTGGAGTCGATTACACTGCGCTTAAGTCCAGTTGATCAACTCTTCTTTTAATTGTCTATTGGATAGTTCTAACTCCCCCCCAATTAATAGCGGACGAAAAAATCGTCCGCTATTAAAAAAGTTCGATATTTATAAATATTTTTCTATTTAAAATTTTTTATAAACGGCTGAAAAAAAAATGCATTTTTAAGTCAAAAGAGAAGCACTAAATCTAATAAAATGGAGTTGAATGGAGAAACCAGAAAGAGAAAAGACTAACAGCTGGTGATAAGCTAGTTATTGCACAATACTACCTGGATCATCAAAATGAAGGTCTTTCATATGAAGATATAGCCTACAAGTTCAATATATCAAAGTCAAGTGTCGGCGAATTAGTAAAAGGCATTCATCAATTGAAAAGGGGAGATCAAGGTTTAAAGAAAAGAAAGCCAGATGCATATTATTAGCTCTCATAATTTTTTAATACCTTTGCGCTTAAATTAATTCTATTTAAATATTCCCATCTTTATTTCATTGGCTCTAGTAAATTTATGTTATGCTTTGTTATGTTATGTTATGTTATATTATGTTATGCTATGTTATGTTATGTTATGCTATGTTATGTTATGTTATGTTATGTTATGTTATGTTATGTTATGTTATGTTATGTTATGTTATGTTATGTTATGTTATGTTATGTTATGTTATGTTATGTTATGTTATGTTATGTTATGTTATGTTTATGCTATGTTATGTTATGTTATGTCATGTTATGTTATGTTATGTTATGTTATGTTATGTCATGTTATGTTATGTTATGTTATGTTATGTTATGTTATGTTATGTTAAGATGCTATGTATTTTAAGTCCCTACTTTGCCGCCGTGACGTTTTATGGAGATAACCCCGTAAGGTGGCTAAGGCGTGGGCCTCTTCAAGCCCGGTCCGAAACCCCGGTTTCTCGGTTGAGGTGATGACCAACTGACCGCCTCCATTTCCAACTTGATTCGTCGCCCTGAATCTTGCGTCAACTCTGTCCGTACGTCGCCAAATCTGCCCACTGAAGGGCACCTTTTAATTGGGGAGAACCCCGATTTCTCGTCTAATTTGCCTTCCCCTCTTTTCCAGTCATCCCGAGAAAGAACTCAACAGCTTTCGCCATTCGGGGCAAATCACAAAAGCAGCTTAGGCAGGTATGTCGCCCTGCCTCATTTCTGACACCCACTAGGCTGGGCTCTGCTGGAAAAAAGGAGTCACGAATAACTGCCCAAGGGTCTTGGTCACAAAAACAGCGATCTTTGCGCTTAGACCTCTCGCTTTGAGTACAAAGACATAGCTGGGCCAATTCCTGGCTCCAAAAACCATGCCCGGATATACACAGGTAACTGTCTCAAGAGGACGGGTTGGAAGTCATCCGCCATTTTATGTATATTAGTAAATTTATAATGAACGATTATCTTATATAATTTAAAATTTTTTATAGTAAAAAAATTTCCGCTATTAAATGGTACCTAAGAGTCCATTTTTAGGGGAAAAAAAACATTGATTTCATCCGCTATTAATTGGGGGGAGTTAGATATTTTGGATTTTTTTAATTAAAAAATTTTAAAAAAAATATATAAATTTTATATGTATTTTTTTTCCTACTAAATTTTTTCTATTGTATTTTTTTACTGATATTTTTTTCATGCTGTTTTTTTAGAAAAAAAATTTTGAATTTTTTTCCTTCTGTTTTTAATTTTTTTATTTAAACTGATCTTTAACATTTAGGCATTCATTTATTCTTAAAATCTCGTTATTAAAGAGAGATTTAAGCTGGGACTGTTTTTCGTTATTTTTAACTCTATTTGACTTAAAGATCTGTATTTCAAATTTTTATAGTAGTTTTTCATGCGGTTTGGAAAAAAACACAGAAAACTTTTTACTATAAAGCATATGATACAGTTCTTGCATCTATTTTTTATCTATTATGTGAATTTATAGCAAATGCAATGACTGCTATTGTCATTCATATTTAATAAAGCATTTTCTTTGCTTCTTTTTAAATATTAGTAATTTAATATTTTTTTTATGTGTATTTTTTTCATGCGTTTTTTTTTCATTTTTTTGGGGGTTGAATTTTTTTCCGCCCTTTTTTCCTATCGTTTCAAAAAATTGGAAAATTTTATGTCAAATTTGACTGTGGGAAACTGTAGGAAAAAAAAATACAGTGTATTTTTTTCCGCCTCACCCGCCAACCACCCTAATATTGAAAAAGAATTCCTAGATCAAGCTCATAATAAGGTAGAAGACCCAACTGACAATGAACCAGAGAGGAGCCAAGTTGTATTTGACATTAAGCCAGTCGATATTACAGTTGATCTTGATAGAATTGCAAGATTAATTTTATTAGATATACAGCTAGATGGTCTCAAATGGATAGAGAACTATAACCTCAAGCCTGTTGCCTATAAGATTAATATGCTACAAATGGGCTGCATCATTGAAGACACTATTGATACTGATTTTATTGCAGAAAAAATAATGGGCATTACTGGTCAATTGCAATGCGAATGAGAAGATGAAAATGGAGAGGGAATAGGGATATTTTATTATACCGAAAGTCCCTTGATTCAAAGTGTAGATATATCAAGCTTCCAAAAATTTTAATTACAAGTTAAAATTAATTAGCTATTCACTCTCCCCTCTTTAAATTAGAGCCAAACATCCTGCTCCAATTTAAAAAGAGTTATTTATATTATATAAAATAGAACTAAATTTTTAAAAATTGAAAAATTGGAAATTTTACCTATATTTTGCTCAAATTTAAAGGGGAGAGTCAGTAAAAATTGTATTCATATAACCAAGAAATCTCTCTGCATAAAGTTTGGAAGGCACACATGAAATAGCTGAACTCCCATATATGCTTCCTTTAAATAAATGCTCAAGTTTCTTTTTCGCACCATAAAGTGTCAAAATATCAATTATTCCCATAAAATAGAGTTTATCCCCATTTAGCGACATAAGCCCCCCTCCTTCAGTTTCTGCTAAAGGCACATTTGTTCTATGAACAATCCTTTCCCCTTTTGTATGATGGATCCCAAGTAGCAGGCTGTAATCAATAATATCATTTTTCACAAAAAATTCGCAGTCTCTTTCCATCTGTTGCAGAACTTTTTCTTTTTTTGTAGGATCTATATCAATTTTTAGTCCTGATCTATTGAAATCTAAGTCCTTTCTGGCAACAGAAAAATCTTCATTTGGGTCTGTAGATCTGCCATAAGTGGATCCTTTTAGATCATATCTTATATGTATTTCATCTCCTGAAGAAAAAACATTCCCCATTACAATGATATATCTTTTAATTGTTTTTCCACCTCTTGGTGAAAGCAATTTATGGAAGCCATAAAATCTTGGGATAAGTGTATCAGGATAAGTCATTATGTGCTCATAATACTCAGGTAAAATTTTTCTTAAAAACACATACTCATCTCTGGTCATTGTTTTTACAACATATTTTCCATCATCACTATAATAGAAAAAGCTGCCACTTTTACCACTGGACATTAGCCCAACTAGGGAAGAAAACTCACTTTGGAGTAGGCTGCTCATTATCATATCAACACCTAATGATTTTATGTACTGATTTGCTGAAATACCATACCTTCTTCGAATTCTCTCAAAAATAAATGGAGAATAATCTCTAAATTTGCACATTTTGGACTGAACAGAAGACTCACCTGGCAATAAGTTTAGTTTTGATCTTTCTGCAAACTGTTCAGGAGTTGGGATTGAGTTAGGATCTAAATTTACAGCAGCTGCTCTTACAGCTTTTTGTATACCGAGCATCATGCTTACAATTAAGCTTCAGTCTTCATCACCCCAATGTATGACGCTTTTCTTCTTTTCAGCATTTTTCTTGGGAACATTATATCTTGTGCTTGCTCTCCTTCTTGGGTTATCTTGAGCGTCTTCATCTCCAAGAGTTTCTGCCTTAAGTGAGTGCATAGACCTTGCTAGCTCTTTTAATCTGTCTAAAACCATTGATCTTCTATTATCATAAATTTCAGAAGTATCTAAATCACTTATAAAGCTGATGGATTTCTCTGGGGATTTCATTTGAGGAATGTGGCTATAAGTACTATCTGAGACTGGCTGTGTGTCTATGTCAGAAAATGATATATCATCGTCTATATAAGAAAAAGGAACGTCCATATCTCCATCAAGCCCAATTTCTTGATGTGAGCTAAATTTTGGTCCTCTTTCAAAATCTTGTTGCAAAATTAATTTTGGGCCTCTATCAGCTGAGTTGTCTTGAAAACTTCTAATAAATGAAGCTTTTGGAGACACTTCTTCATTAGCAGGAGCATTAAGCAGCTCTATACAAGAATATAACTTTCTTTCCAAGGACTCTATCCTATCTCTGTAATTTTCGCTATTAGTTGACTCTTTCCGCTCTTCACATCTATCATTAACTCCAAATCTAGCAAGGCTTAACCATTCAAAAATGGGCTTGTTTTTAGACAGGCTTTGTTTGAACTCATCGAAATCGATAACTCCATCCCCTTTTAAATCCATCATGTCAAACTGCTTTTTGACAACTTCTTGGCTTGCATCGTCTTTACTGCTTCCAGTCAGGTTATTTCTCATCTCTGCTACACTCAACAAATATTTCGAAAATTCAGGAAATGTAATGATTTCGCTATTTTTCTGAGCTATCAGCCGAAATGACTGGTAAGCTTTTTCTTCTCGATTACCGTGCATTAATATATCCATGTACTCTAAAAACTGTTCAAATGTAATTCTCCCTCTGCAGTCTTTATCCATTACTTTAAAAATCCGATCTGCTATTGCGCGAGTGCTTTTCATGCCTAACAATCCCATGTTTTTTCTGAATTTCTTTAATGTGAATGCTTTTCCTTTAGCCATCCTGTCAAACCTCTGTTGATATAATAGCAACTCCTGTGGAGAAAACCTGAACTTGTGTGATAGCAGATATGCTTCAGTTTGCCTAATAGTGACATGACTTTTCTTATGCTGGCTACTGCAACAATTCATAATTATTTAAAAAATGATTAATAGTCTATCTTTTAGAATTTCTTAGCTTGTCTGACAGCTTCCTAACTCCCCATCTTTAATCAAGCGACAATTTGAAAACTTTATAGCAATTGGGAAAATTAATCCCATTTTTAATCAGCGATTTTTTATTGCTAAAATCAAGTCCACTCCCTATCCAGCCTTAAATCTAACTGTCTACCCATTTTTAGTAATGGATTTTAGAATTTTATATCGTATAATATCTTCTACGCAATTCTAATGCTATTTAAGTAAAATATTACATACTCTTTTTATGGTTAATGACAAAATATTCATATGCAGCAATTTTTCTCATATATTTTCCCAGAAATTTTTTAAACCTCTATCCTTGATCGAAGGATGGCTATTCGTTAGATGGGGATAAGCTTTTTTCTATCATATGCGTCAACTAAACGGTAGTCTCCGTTAAACCCACATCTCAACTCTTCTTTGTTTTCTACAATCCGAATCATAGAAAGCATGGAATTTTTGAGTAAGATGCTTTCTGAGCATAAGTCGGCAAGAAGCATTTTTGTGGAATGCTCACAAAAATGAGAATTCCATGAACACTTTACTTCTTGCTTGAAGATAGGATCTTCTAGGTAGTCACTTAGTGAGCTATGGTTGGTGTCTGATTCATCGGTAGAGATTGAGCTTTGTGGGCTGGCGGGAGCTGACTTGGGTGCATTGACAAGTTCAAATCGGTAAAATGAAGAAAAAGAACCAATTATTAAATCATTTTGAGGTTTCATGAGGTTAGGACGAGATTGAAACTCAACCATGGCAAAGGACTCAGATTGTGTATGCTATGGCAAATTGAATTAAACATTGTTTTAATTCTTTTTAATGTTTTTCAATATATAATTTATGTTTTCCAAATTAAATTATAGGAGTATAATATTTAAAACAGTGTGAAACTCTATTGGGGTTCTATCAAACATATATAACATCCGAAACCCAGAAGTTCCATCACTTCAACACATTTCTTCCATCTCAATAAGCCTCAAGTCCCATTTTTTCCGCTCATGAGGTACTGTAACGATTTCAATGAGTCTTGAAATACATGTTTCCACGCTGAATTCCGCATTGAGTTCTAGCTTGCGGTTCATAAGCCTATAACACGCCTGCATATCTTCATTTAGCAGAGGCCTCCACATCCCAGCTGTGCATTGCGTGGCACAGGCTGGCTTTTTGAAAACTATTTGTTCGTTTTCCCAATTACTAAAAATATCAAAGGCTTCTTGGTCATCATTAAGAATTTCCATGATCTTATTTTCTGATTGGCTACTTCTTAAATGTTCTGCTAGAATTTGAAGTATATGAAAAGCTTGTGTTTGGCTTTCCCCATGCACTTTTTTAGTCAGGTGTTCATTTAGCCTCATTTCTGATAGCAATTCAGGCTCGATTTTTACGAGCTCTTTGATAACTTCTTGATAATCTCTGTGTCGGTCTCTTGATGTCAATTTAGTAATCACATCCATTACCTTACTGCCGAGATTTCGAAGTGCACATAAAGGAATGAGGGTTTTTAAGAGAAAAGATATCAAGTCTGGCCTTATGGTTCGCCGCTTTGAGAAGAATTCCCACTCGAAATCTTCAAGAGCTTTGGTTTTGTTCCTTGAATCTTTGTTTAGACGAATCGAGAAGTCAAAAATAAGCTCTTCGTCAGGAGTAGGAAGTTGGCTTGAGCAAGTACCGATTTGGCTTATAAGGATCCCCCCCTCATTTGTCCATTTTTCTAGTTTTTTTTATAGGGAAAAAAAATTTTTTTAGGACCTCATTTGTCCAATTTTCTAGTCAAAATTTTGATAGAAAAAAAAAATTTTTAGGACCTCAAATGACTCATTTTTTTTAGTTTTTTTACAGTAAAAAACTAAAATTTAGGACATTCGAAAAATCCAAAAATGACTAGAAAATGGGACAAATCATTTTTGACTAGATTTTGGGACAAATGAGGTCCTGAAAATTTTTTTTTTCTTACTCCCCCCCCCTCCGTGAGTGAACAAAACCATTAGAAAAATCCCTATTTTTTGCCCAAAAACCCACCCTCCGTGAGTGAACAAAATTTTTTTAATAGAAAAATTTTTTATGGAAAAAAATTTTGATATATAAATGATAATTAGCATAATGAAATCTAGAGCTAATTCTATTTAACTTTGAACGAATTGCTTTTTAAAACATAAATTTTATAAATTAAATTAATTTTTGCTTTCCAATTTTTGCGAATTAGGATTTTTTTAAATTTCGAAAAAAAAATCTTTTTTATAAAATTTATATATAAATTTTTTAAAAAAAAAAAATTAATCGCCCTCCGTGAGTGAACAAAATTTTTTTGTTCACTCACGGAGGGGGGGCGGGGAGTTAGAAAAAAAAACTAGAAAATTGGACAAATGAGGGGGGGATCCTTAAGATCAGCTTGAATATTTAAAAATCTATACTCGCTTGGGCGTCCTAAAGCATAATAATTATAGACATAATTGATTTCAAAACAATAAACTTATTTTCTAGGGATAGCAAAAGAATTTTTAGATATGGCAGAGTATATATAAGTATGGAGTCAATTGGTAACATTTTGAAATAGCTTTCAGTCACGCTTCAAAAAGAATCCGACGCTCTGAGATTACATTAGAGTTTTGGAACACACACTTTGCAGGAAATTTTGGGAGCGAAATTTGTGAACGCTTGAGAACTCCTGAAATTTCCTCTTTGAAAGTGCAGAATTGAGTATACCGCTTGAAAGCTGTGAGTGTGCAAGTGCAGTTGATAATAATACGGACCTCATAAACTGTGTGGGAACGAAATAGAAGGCTACCTTGATTTTCAGTATAAGTTCGAGGGATTGAAATACGAATGGAGTGCTCCATTGAATTATATTACGTAATAAGTAATTTTTTTGGTATCTAATATGTTTGAAAAATTACCATGAAAGTGGGAAAAAGATATTAAGATTTAGTAAGAAACTAAGCTATATGACTATATTATTTTTTGATTTATTGTAGACAATATATTTAAAACAATTTGCTTTTCAGTTTTATCGGAAGAATTTAGGCTGTCTGATAAATTCATAAAATTTTTTGTTATTTATCGTTTAATGAATTTGCTGGAAAAATAGAGATAATGATTGAAAGTTATGAAAGTTTTGAAGAGTTTTTAAATTAATAATTAAAATCAGAAAGTTAAATTTAAACTATGGAGGTTATTTAAATTATCTATAAAATTAAATAGAACGCTTATCAAACTTATCATTTAATTTTAAATAAAATATTTAATTGAGTATTTTTCATATTATATTTATATTTTAAAAATCCTAAATATAGAGAATTGGAGCATTAGAGGATTATGCTAAACTACTTCCTCCTCCTAAGAGGCTGTCCCAATAATTCTGATAAAATCATCATTTGGACCTTGCCAGGTAGTAGCAACAGACATAATCTGGGCATGACCATGCCCTATCTCCCATTGGCTCAGAATCTTCCAGAAGTCGTCCTCTGATATAGAGGTTTCCTCTATATAGCGCTGAAAGCGCAGACATTTTCCCAGGAGCTTTCCAAGTTCGTCGGACCAAATCGCTTTTTGGTCCGACCAAGGCATTGATTTGGTGCAACCAACCGATAAATTCCGATCAGAATTTATCGGCCTTACAGCGCCAAACATAGGAAACTTCTATATATAAATAAGAAGCTATTATGAATCAATAGGAATTTGCGATTTTAATAGGCATATTGAAATGCATTATGTAATATGTAGAATCGCCATATCTATATTTCCTTATTACGAATCAAGTTTTCACAAAATTAAAATACAGATTTCCATATTTTAATAATTTGGTTATTAAACTTTTTTAGTCCTCCATAACAATAAGTAAACAATAACCTCTTATCGCTAAACTAATAACTACTTTAAATTAAAAATAACAATAAGTAAAGCACATATATATAAAAAATCATAATATTTATAAGTTGAACCCCAAATAAACTGCCTTTTTTAGCTAAAAATTTGGGCAAATATTTATTTCTGCTAAATTTTAAGAAAAATAAAGCTAATTTGTCTCAGGTCGAAATATAATTTATTAATATGAAATAATATTTTAACGGAAACTTGTAAAATTGCTATACTAGAGCCTCATAAAATTTATCGGCAAATACCCTTCTTTATAATTGTTTATAATAAATTTGTTTTGCAGCAAGCATACTATATTTTAAGAGAAAGTTCCATTATAATTAATTACTCCAAAAATGATCATCAATGCTGAAGTGAGCCTCAGCGCTGTAGTTCAAGATTCCAGTCCCTTTGTGCTTTATGGAATAATGCTTCACACAGAATTTTCCAGTCAAATTTTAATAAAAAGATATACAGATTTTCTCCGATTTCACGAAAAATTGTGCTGCTTTTCCCATGTCCAGCTTTCAAGTGGTGGGAAATTACTTGACAGAATCCCAAAACTCCCAGGCCAAAACTTTTTTACGAAATCAACCTCAGAAAAGGTAATCCAAGAAAGGACAAAGGATTTAACTTCATACGTGAAATTTTTGATAAAAATTATTCAAAACATCCATAATTATGAAAATAAGCCATGAGCTTACATGATAAGGCAGTTTCTTAATCTCCCAAATATTGAAGCAAAGGAAAATGAATCCGCAAGCAAAGTCCAGAAACTGTATAGAAAATATATTGAAGGTGTCAATAAAAGGAGGTTATTGAAAATCGAATATCAGAATAAAGGATATACAAGCTCAATTGAGCAATTGCCGGACTCACTCATAATTTATATTTTCAGCTTTTTAGGGATATCGTCATTATTCCAAGCAGCTTTGGTATCTAAAAAGTGGGAAACCATCTCAAGAGCTCCAATTTTGTGAACAAAAATCGACCTTTTTATAAACAAAATATCATTAAGCACAACCACTCTGGAAAAATACTGCAAGAGCTCTATGCTGCAAACGATTGATTTTCGATTTAATCTTCAGATCAGTTCTGATGCAGCCTCTATAATAGCTCAAACTTGTAATCCTTTATCCCTTAAAGCAGCACTATTTGATGGTTGTCAAAGATTTGATGATTATGCTTTAGCAATGCTTGCAGAAAGATTTTGCAGTGCTCTTAAAATCGAGATTTCAGAGTCAGACTTAAAAGGAGGATCCCGAGGTTTGCAAATATTAAGTTTGGCTGAATGCAGGAATATTAGCGACAAATCTATGGCTTATATAGGGAAGCTAAAGAGGCTTGAAAATTTGAATATGAGAGGCTGCAATATTACAGATGATGGTGTCACTTTATTATTAGATAAAATTAAAGCGCTTAAATCGATAGATTTCTCAGGCACTTCTGTAGGTATTGGAAGCTGGAAGTTGTTAAAGGAAAGCCATATCAAAAATATGGTTTTAAACCATTCTAATGAAATACAAAAAGACATCCCTTTTTTAAAAAATACTTCAGTTCAATTAATTGATGAAAATTTCGAATATGAGCTTATAGCTGTTTACCCTTTGACCCAAATCCCAACATCCCGCCCATTCAAAGCCAGAAGCTCTTTTACAATCCAAAGGCTAATTTACATGATCCAAAGTAGCATAGACCTTAAATCTAATCAATCCATACAAGTATTATGTGGATGTACAGTTTTAAAGCCTCATTATACACTTCAGCAGGTCCAAGCTGAGCTCTGGGATTCTTCTACCTTGATTTTACAGTATCGGCTAAAGTCAAAAATTACTCATCGTCCAACTAACTCTTGGGCGAATCTTCCTGAATGGACTCCTGACAACTACACCCAAACCTGCATGGGCTGTGGAAGCACCTTTGGTCTTTTCTTACGAAAACACCACTGTCGCAACTGCGGGAAAGTTTTCTGCAATGACTGCAGCAACTACCGTACGCTGATCCCTTTATCTGGGTTTACGCGCAGCCCTGTAAGAGTATGTCAGTCATGCTTTATTAAAATAAAACATTAGCTATTTTAAATATTTATTTCTTACTCCCCCCCTCCGTGAATGAACAAAACCATTAGAAAAATCCCTATTTTTTGCCCAAAAAACCCACCCTCCGTGAGTGAACAAAATTTTTTTAATAGAAAAATATTTTATGGAAAATAATTTTGATATATAAATGATAATTAGTATAATGAAATCTAGAGCAATTCTGTTTAATTTTAAACGAATTGCTTTTTTAAAACATAAATTTTATAAATTAAATTAATATTTACTTTCCAATTTTTGCGAATAAAAAAAAAAATTAACCCCCCTCCGTGAGTGAACAAAATGTTTTTGTTCACTCACGGGGGGGAGGGAGTTAATGCCTTTAATTTCTAGTAATAGAGGAAGCCACTCAGGTTTCTCATAGACTCTTTTGGATTTTTCTACAGTTTCTATCATCTTTTTATAGATTTGGCCATCAGAAACACCTATTACTGATCCTATTACTAAATCAGGAGGCGCAAGCGCATCAATTACCCTGACAGAGTCCTCTACAAGCTCATTGCAAAGCCTCATTATGCTCTCCCTTACAATCTTTACGTGGCTTGCGTTAAAAAGATGCTCCATAAAAACAACAAGTGATTTTTCAATTACCCCAATGGTATAAAGTAGCCAATACTTTTTCATTATTCTCCCTAAGGTTTCGTCTTTAGCTGTAATGTCTTTTACAAATCTTAAGAGATCATGAGCCATAATGTACTCTCCGTAAGCTTTGCAGGCTTCTTGTACGTAGAATGGTTGAGATTTATTCCATGCATCGACCATATCAACAGAATTTGCAGTGCTTTCTTGAAGTTTTAATAAACTCTGGTGAAGCAAAAGGTTAAGACGATAATCAATAAGGTCTAAAATAAGGGTCTCGTTTTCAAGCTCTTGAGAGCTTTCAAAATGAGGCTTAAATGCATTTATTTCGTGGATATCTGTTTTTAAGAAAGTCATGGTCTTTGCATGGATTTTTTGCCCTTTGAAGGATTTTTGGATTTGTTTTAGCAAAAATTTTCCAGTTTGTTGGATGAGGACAGAGCTGTCTCCTTCCCAGGTAACCATTACATCTTGATTGTTCCTGATTCTTCCAAGCTGTGAGTAGCTGGAGTATCCCAGCCCACCTACAGATTCTCTGCATTCTTGCAAACAAGCTGTACCATACCATGATGAAACGCATTTTACAGATGATAATATGGCATGAAACTCATTTACTTCTAACTCCCACATTTAACAGAGCAAAACTATGGAAAATTCTATTTTGGGAATATTAATCCCCTTTAAAAAACGGAAAAAAAAATTTAATATAAATTTTATATATATTTATATATCATAGCGAGATCTCTAGCAATCTTATTATTTTTCATCTTTTTCATCATAAATTTTACCAATTAGATTAGATTTTTCTTTGTAAATATTAACAAAGTGGGAATTTTTAAAATCAGAGGAAAAGTTTTTCTCTAAAAAGGGGAGTAAACATTCTGGGTCTTCTTCTAACTTTCTTAGGAAAGCATTGATGTCTCCCAGTGAATAAATCACGCAGGACCTAATAGCAAACATCTTCGCAAGATAAGGAATAAATTTCAATCGCTGGAGTGGGTAAGTCAATATAGGCAGCTCAGGCCCTTCTTGTCCTCCAAATTGTTTTCTCACTGCTGAAAACCTCAACGCAATGGCCAATCCTAATCTCATATCTTGTTCGCTTCCACAAGTGCAGCATATTCTCCCTCCTACAAGCCCAGCTATCATGATCCCAGCTCGTTTGTCTTTATTTTTAATCGAACTTTTGAATTTTCCTTCTGTCGTAATTTGGCTAAATTTGTCTAGCAAAGCATCATAAGGGACACGATAATTTTTGAATAAAATAAAGCCATTATCTATTCCTTCAAGGCCAAGTTTCTTCCCACAGTCGCCAACCACAACTCCTGGTAGAGTATCATGAGAGGCATCATTTCGTCTAATCGGGACTACGAAAACGTGTACTCCTCTGTTGATATTATCAGCATAAAGCTGTGCAAAAATAACGGTCATATTAGCCGTTTTCCCAACAGCGCCAATTCACCATTTTGCTGATGTGGCTGTCGGAGAATTCAATATGAATTCACGTGTGGCATGGTCATAAGTAGCAGTCGTCTCAATTTTCGCCACATTTGACCCATGTCCTAACTCAGTCATTGCAAATGACCCATAATCTTGTATATTGTATGCTCGATTTACAAGATCTCGGTGCTTTTCGGTACCAAGATTAGTGATTGTATCAGTATACAACACTATGTGTACCAGCAGCCTGACAGCAAGGGCAATATCATAGTCGGCCATAGGATACAAAAGCCCGAGTTTCTTCATATAATCTTGCTTAACTATATCATAATTTAATTTAAGCTTTGGGTATATGGTCGCTATTTGGTGGACAATACGTTTGCGTAGGATTTCACGCGACATTTCTGCTTCTTCAAAGTGATTGAAAAGTGGGTTCTCATTCATGATTTTAAAGACATCTTTTATCCATGTATAGAAAGGGCCGAAATAAGATTGCTGGAGGATGTCAATGTTAATCTCTGTGCCTTTTTTGCGAAACTCGTCTAAGGAGTCGTCGTAGGGGATTGTGGGGAAACGAGAAACCAAATGAGATTCAATGAGATTGAGACGCCTCATAGTTGACATTTGTCGCTAATTATTAAGAGCAAAAATATGAATATCTTGAGGGTTAAATAAACACATGTGATGTCATGAATTATTTTTGGCTAGAAATCTCTAATATTGAATGCATCATCAAAAACATGATGTCATAGATTTTTTTGGTTAAGTTTTCGATATGTCGAACTGAAAATTAAAATTGAGCTATAAGGGTAACTATTCATTTTGGACCTTAAATTAATATTATTTATTATGCAATAATTCTTTTCTCTGAAACTTTTAATCTGCCTTTATGTGAAAATTAATTTTTTATGGGGAGACTCTGAATCTTCCTTTAACATTTGTTTATTAATTTTATTTAATATGCTAATCATAAAACCATCACAAAAATAAGGAATTATCAAAATAGCATTGATTTTCAAAACTTTATTTCAAAATTAATATCATTTCTATCATTTTCTAGCCAGTTCCCTTCACCTCAGCATTTAAAAATTTCCCTGTTGAACTTTTTCTATACCGACTATTCCCATCTTTTTGTAAATGCAGAGATCTCAACTTATATCTGAAATAACTACATTCGATCGGTCCCGTCTGCGGCCTACAAGCAACTCTCCGGTCCGCAAGCACGAAAAATCAGAGCACTCCAAAAGTCTTTTACTTTTAGATATTTCGCGTCAATTCAACCGTCCTGAGAACTCGGATATCTCTATTATTACAAATGATGATAAAATAGTCTATGTCTCTTCCTTTATTCTCCAAGCCCGCAGCCCATATTTTGAGCGTTTACTTAAAAGTGGAATGAAGGAAAGCAATTCCAAAGAGATCAATGTCTCTGCAAGTTATGATGCATGTGTTGCTTTCGGTGCATGATTTTTTGCTCTCAAATGTTTTTTTGGAATTTTCCTTTATGAAATTTTAATGGCTTTTAGCGATAAAATATTTGGATATCAAAAATAGTCAGTAATTATCGCAGAATTTCTGTGGGACTGAAGAAGAATGGCATGAAACTGTCGCTTTATTTAGATATTTCTATACAGATAGGTTAGAAACTAATCCGAAAACAGCGATTGAGGTAATGATGCTGGCTGATATGTATTTATTAGAAGGGCTCAAGCATGAATGTGAAAGTTTTGTTAAAAAAAGTATCACAGTTGAGACTGCGATTGATTTCTATGAATGGTCTAAAGGACCACCTCCATTTCCAACTTGGATCGTCGCCTAAGTTTACGCCAACTCCGCTTCGTCGTCCGCCAGATCTGCCCATTGAAGGGCACCTTTTCAACTGGAGAGACCCCCGTCTCGATGTCTAACTCGCCTCCCCTCTTTTCCGGTCATCCCGAGAAAGAACTCAACAGCTTTCGCCATTCGGGGCGAGCCACTAAAGCAGCTTAGGCAGGTAATTCACCCTGCCTCATTTCGGGCACTCACTGGGCTGAGCGCTGCTGGCAAAAAGAAGTCACGAATAACTGCCCATGGGTCTGGTCGCAAAAACAGCGGTTCTCGCGCTTAGGCCTCTCGCTTCGAGGTCCCGGACGTTGTTGGGCTAATTCCTGGCTCCAAAAACCATGCCCGGATATACATGGGTAACCACCACTGGGAGGGTGGGTCGGTCGCCATACGCCATTTTATGTATATTCTATGAATGGTCTAAAGGACAAATTTGTAGAACTGAGCTATTACGTCTCGAAATTTATATGGAAAAATATTGGAAAAATCAGTCGAAATCAGCAATTCAGGAATTTAGTTGCTGTAAATTCTGAGCTGCTGGTTGACCTGCTAAATGAATTGCCGGAAAAAGCTACTATAACTTATTAAAACTTGTATTTAAGAATTAACGTTCACTAAGTCTTTTTGATACAGCTCGCAGCTGAGAGTACACTTTGCCAGGGGTTTTTCCTAAAATTAAATTGCAGATCGCAGCTCTTGCTTGCTTTATATGCTTTTCTTGCTAAATCAGCGCATATAACTTAATAAGGCAATCTATATTTCTCATGGAGTTTATTTCAAGCATTCTACGTATACAGTCTTAAATAACCCATACAGTATATTCGAATACGACCCCATAATGTGTATTTTTGTGTCTGCCAAAATAATTCTGGTCCTCGTTGAATTCTCAATGGCATTCTTTGTCCTGCCTTTTTCTCCTGCAAGTCTGCCAATGCATCTCGAAAGGTTATCCCCTTGTAAAGTCTTTACATCTTTTATCTCAAAAGTCTCCAAATAAATATCTTCCAGTCTGAGCAAGGCCAATGCATCAGGCACCTCAAAGCCACACATAAAAGCCCTGACAAACTCGTATCCTTTTTGTATTGCGCTTTTATCTTCAGTTTGTGGAGAGTTCTAGATAGGAATTACCCTTAATTCGACGCGCTTTAGTCTTGTATTCATTCGGATTTGGAGCTTCATGTGCTCCACAATAGGGGCTACGATGTCTTCCCAATTTTCCCTTAGTGGGGTTAACCTGTGGGGAGGAACTGGAATCTTACGGAACTCTTTGGAAAGTTTTTGTTCACCTTCTTGAAGTTTAGGAAAGATTGGCTCCTCTATTTCCATATTACAAGTTTTATTAAAGTAAGTTAGCTTCTACTAAATCACGGATTTCACGAGCTTTGGCTCCTTTGATTTCACCTAGTTCTTCGCCGTTCCTGAATACTTTGACGCAGGGGATGATATTTACTGAGTATTTATTGAAGACAGGCTAATTAGGAATTACAACACAGTTGGCGAGATTACAACGAATGTGGACGACTTCAGGGAAATCTTCTCTTAGTTTAGTGAGTTCTTCAGAAATTGCGACGCTTGGCGCAGTCCAGGTAGCGTAAAACTCAGCAACAACTAGTGAGTCGCCAGCGTTTGCGATTGCTCCCATGTAATCTGAATCATCATTGACTTCAATAATCTTTGCCATATTTGAATTATTATTTTATACTATTTACCATGCATGAGTGCGGACGTCTTTCTCAGTCAATATTTATATGGATTATTATAACACTGTATAATTTTTCATAATTGCTGAATCAATACTTGAAGCTCTTAGTCTTCCTATATGGTCATTCTTCTGCTCTTCTCTTCTGGAAGGTCTTACAGTTTGATGTGAATGCAAAATTGTCCAGTCAAACACAAAATCATAGAGCAAGTTTTCTCTTTGAGCTAATGCTCGAAACTGTCTTTTTATATGTGAATACTCAGGCTTATCTTCAAATCGTAGTGATCGTGCATACCTTAATAAGTTTTCAAGCTCTATAGGAACACCATAGCATAAGGATTCTATTGAAGTTGACATCTTTTTCTCTACAATTCGATCGTACTTTTCTTTTTTAGTAAATGCACGAACCCCTTGCCAAGGCAGACTGCCTTTTATAAAATATAATAAGGTGTACGCTAAAGATTCTAAGTCATCTCTGCGCGATAATTCAATACCCAAATGAGCGCTGATAGAAGTATATCTTGCAGTGCCTATGAATTTTTTCCCTTCCCTATAAGGAATGTGCGAGCCACCTTTTCGAAATTTTTTACACATACCAAAATCTATCATAAAAATTTGGTTTGCATTTGTCCGAATTCCTGTTAAAAAGTTATCAGGCTTTATATCACGATGGATGAGAGCTTTATTATGAAACATTTCTATAAGTGGGATTATCTCATCTGCAATTTGCAGGACAGTTTTCAATGAAAATTTTTTATTGCAAGATCTGAATAATTCTTCAAGAGATAAACCAAGGAGATCTAGCACAAGAACATTATTATCTCCTTCAACGCCGCATCAATGAAGCTTTGCTATTCCTCTTTGTCCGTATAAGAGTTTATAGATTTTAGATTCATATATGAGCTGTGGATTTTTCGAATTAATTTTTTCAAGTTTAATTGCTACTTCTTCGTTTTTCAGCACGTTAATACCAAGATAGACCTCGCTAAAAGCTCCATCAGCTAATTTTCTAGATAAGCGAAATTTGCCTCCAAACCGAAATTCCATAGGAATTGATTTTGGTTAAAATTTTATTATTAAGAAAATAAACTTAAGGAAATTGAAATGGGAAGTTTATCTGTATAAATAGGAAAGCTAAATACTCAATCATAGCCCGTCTAGCTCAGTCGGTAGAGCGCCAGCCTTTTAAGCTGGTGGTCGGGGGTTCGAGCCCCCCGGTGGGCGCTTTTTATTTATACTTCTATCAATTGATTTATTGCCTGTCTTTATCTTTCTCTCCTTAACCACATCCACTAAACGCTTTAATAAAACTTTTCCAAAATTAAATTAATTCTATTACAATTTTTATAATTTTTCTTTCAAACAGCCATTATAAAATCTTCAACCTAAATCTCTCGCTTTAGATTTGCTCTTTCTTCAAAATCTAGATTTTTACTTCCCTCCTTCTCATCTAAAAGAATTCAAATTTTAATATTCTATACGTTAATCCTATTCAATGTCTACTCCAGAGAAACCAGACACTACCTCTCACAAATCAAAAAGCATTGGTCAATACATCTTACTCTCCACACTGCGAATAAATGAAAACAAATTATCAACAAGATATTTATGATATATAATGATAATTATTAGAATGAAATCTCTAGCTTATTCTTATGAATTTTTAAATAAATTGTATTTCAAAAAAATGGATTTAAAAAACATTAATACCTCAATAACGATATTGCTTGCAACAGAGGGGAGTTAGGAAAAACCATCGGAGAAGGCACTTTTGGCAAAGTCAAGCTAGGTACCCACATCTTAACAAGTGAAAAAGTTGCCGTCAAAATTTTAGAAAAGGAACGAATCAAGGATGTAGCTGACATTGAGCGTGTAGCTCGAGAGATCCATATCCTCAAACTGATCCGTCACCCCAATATAATCCAGCTTTACGAAATAATAGAAACTCCAAAACAGTTATTCCTAATCATGGAATATGCCTCTGGAGGCGAACTTTTCGATTATATCGTAGAGCACACCAGAGTTGAAGAAAGAGAAGCCTGCAAATTTTTCCAACAAATTATTTCAGGAGTCGAGTATATTCACAAGCTTGGTGTTGTACATAGGGATTTAAAGCCAGAAAACTTACTTTTAGATGAAAACAAAAATATTAAAATTGTGGACTTCGGGCTGAGCAATACTTATAAGCCTGATGAGTTGTTAAAAACAGCCTGTGGAAGCCCTTGCTATGCAGCTCCTGAAATGATTCAAGGAAAAAATTATGCTGGATCGAGGGTTGATCTGTGAAGCTGCGGGGTTATTTTGTATGCGTTGTTGGCTGGATATTTGCCGTTTGAAGATCCTGATACAGGAAAATTGTATAAAAAAATACTCAGCTGCAGCTATGAGTGCCCTGAATGAATATCAGAGAAAGGAAAAGATATAATTAGCAAAATTTTAAACACAGACCCAGAAACACGATATACGATTCAAGACATCAGAAACCATCCATGATATAGGCTTTCTCAACAAAGCAGTTCTGAAGGAATTCTGGTCGGGTATCAGTCAATACCAATAAATCTCGACATTTTAAATAAGCTTGAGCCATTTGGATTTGACTTGAACTACTGCCAAAGCTGCATTGAAGCAAATAAACACAATAATTTAACGACAGCCTATTATTTGCTACTGAAAAAATATCAAGCTCCTCCACAGGGCAGCATGCCATATAATGAAAATATTAAATTCTTCTAGGCAATTTGTCGAAAATTTTTGATAGTAAGATATTTTCTGAATCCCCACTATTTTCTATCAAATGTCTTATGAGGAGATATCGATTATCAAAACATTCTATCAAAAAAGCATGCTCCGCTTCCACAGTCGCCTATTCTTGATAAGCCAGCAATAATCCATCCTCACATAATGCCATTCCCACCAAGATTTTCACTTGAAATGAATGCAAAGCCAAAGCACAGAAAATATAAAGAAAAAAGAATTGAAAGCACAGGAGGGTCATCTTCTAAAGATAAAGAATTGATATTTATGCAGACACCGTTTACAGGAAAATTACTAGGAAAAACTCCAAGATCAGCTAGAAGATCAGTTAGAGGATCATCACATTCCCCTTTAAAAGCAAAGTTGACTAGTGAAAGAAGATATCAAAGTGTAGGGAGAAAGCACTCTAAAGAGCCTAGAGAATCTAGAGAACCAAGAGAACCTTCAGAACCAAAGCCTAAGTCTATAAGGCCAGCTAGAAAAGCAAATTATAGTGCTTCAAGAGGAAATACACCAGGACGAATCAATAGTTCAGATTACTCTATGAAATCTTTAGGCAACTCAATAAGGCAGCTGCATGTTGATAACTCTTATATAGAGCATAAAAGAAGGAAAGCAAATGTACTTTAAATAAAAATTCTCGCTTAAATTAAATTAATAACACGTTCTAAGATATAAATAATAGTAAACACGGTGAAGTACTTCTAGTAAAACCATTGAATTTCCTTGCCTTAGTTTGAAGTCCAAAACATAGCTGTTTTCATACTTGTAAAGTTTCAGATGCATTTTAACCCTATTTTTATGGGAAATCGTTCGCAAATTAAGGCTTAAATTGTTTAAGCACCTTCATTCAAGGCCTGAATCTTTAAAAGAACTGAACATGCTTATCATAAATTGACTTGCATCTAAATTGGATCGGAATCCATACACCCAGTTCGAAGGAGACTCAGGTTTTTGGTCACAAAAATCATTTTTTGATGATGATCTTGATGAATTTGCGGTACTTACAGCGGAATCTGCTATGAATAACGGTATTTTAATGTCTTCTCTTAATGATTTTTTCCCATTTATATGCTGATCTAACAGCAAATAGTAGCAGACTGTAAAATCGTTCTCAATTTTATTTATAATGGCTTCTCGGATTTCTTGAATTTTTCCTTTATCAATTTCAACAAGTTTTTGGCATTCTAGAAACAGCTCTTCGTCTATTGTATAACTATTAGTAGTAGATTTTGATATGAAATCTATAAATGAGTTTTTTCTGACAAGCCTAAATGGCATATTGAGTTGAAGCCACGGATGTCATTTTATTTGATTTATAGTGATCCTTGCAATCGGATCAGGATTTAGCATTCTTTGTATAAGGTCTTTTGCGGGTTCTGAAAAATGATAAGGAATAACAAAATTTCCATTTCTAATCTTAGCAAAAAGAGAAGCTAAATTGCTGTCGTCAAATGGAAGAAAACCAGAAAGAAGCGTATATAAAACAACTCCCATGCTTCATATATCTACCTCTGGCCCACTATATTTTTGTCCTGCCAGGACTTCAGGAGCAGCATAATTTGGAGATCCACAACAAGTCTTTAAAAAATCTCCATCAGCCATGAAATTTGAAAGTCCAAAATCAGCTAGTTTAATGCTGCCGAATTCATCGAGGAGCAGATTTTCAAGCTTAATATCGCGGTGAGTAAGCCTCATATTGTGGATATATTCAACCCCTGAAATTATTTGCTGTATATATAGCTCGAGTCTTCATTTGGTCAGGCTGTCCAAATATCTCCTGATATCAATAGGGACTTGATTCTACCGACATTTGTCGGTAAAAACCAACTCCCAAATGGTAAAATTTTTAATAAGAAGTGGACTTGTCATCTAGGGAGTTGGCTTTACCAATGTTTGTTGGTAAAATCAACTCCCAGATGATGAATGGAGATATCGAAATAGCCCGAGCCTCCTTAAGGCTTGGCTATACACTCGTGTTCGATCTTCTGGGATTTTTCCATTTCTATCCAAATAGGTATAAACTTCCCCACCTGGGAGTATTTATTTTGTTTAATTAATTTTTTTATTTTTTTTATTATTTATGAAAATTAAAAAATCATCCTGGGAGATACTCCAGGACTAGGGCAAGGTTCGAAGGACTCTCTATTACTTCATAGAGTCTTATTATATGACAGTGGTGGAAATGTTGAGCATAATAAATATGACGTCTCAGCCAGGGCATGGTCTTCCAGCCATCCAGCCATCCAGCCTCGAACACATATTTACTTATATTCGACAAGGTTTTACTTACCAAAAATTGACAGCAATGATAGATATAGGGGAAACCCCTATATGCAATTCCGGCAGCGTATGGAGCCCAGCCCTAGTCCTTTTTCAGGATTGATTTTACCTCGTAGGAAGATGGAGCTTGGAGTTGGAAAAGGGGAAGCTCAGAAAGACATTTAGTCGCAGCAAGGCCAATCGGGCAACTCTCCAGCGTGAACCAGGACTTTCGCCCCAGGCTTAAAGTTTTCCTTTTTGCCGAGAGTCGGCTAGAAATGTCTGTGCAGGCAACCCATGCCCAAGCCTGAGAGCTGAGAGTACAGCCGCTGAAATGCTAACAACCCAACCGAGGTGGTGCACAGCGCAGCGGCAGAGCTGAACCACGAGAAGGAATGAAAGTTAGTGCAGGTGATGTGGTAGTGGACGCTAAATGAGGCTCTTAAATCTTAAATTAATATATCGTAAGTAGCGGAAATTTTTGAGCACTTTTATTTCCCGTTTGACTTTAGATAGAATACGATTTTCTGAAATAGTTTTCTTTTTTAAGATTTTTATTGCAACTTTTGTTGAGGTTGGGAGGTGCTCAGCAACTAAATAGAGGTTACGCTTTACTTGTCCAAAAGTGCCACTACCAAGAGGACTTAAAATTCGGTAATTTGCAAGACCTGACATAAATTAATTGATGACGTGATCATTTTAGTATGGTTAAAGCTTAATTTTCCACAAATTATGTGGCTGATTTAAGATCTGGCAAGGAAAAAGTTGATATTACGTCATAAGTTTTTATATTGGCTTGTAACAAAATTATTTTGTTAGGTATTAAAAATTAAATAATTTATTTATTGAAGATTTGCTTATACGAATTCAGAATTACTTACCTTTATTTACAACTTTCATATTTAATTAATTTATTTAATAAACTTTACACCAATATTTAGATAAATGAAATTTATAAGTCCTTATGATATTATAACTAAGCATAAATAGAAAAGCAATAAAAGAGATTTAAAAAGAATATTTTTAAAAACTCCTGATGATAAATTCCTCATTCTAGAATTACATCAATTATTAAATCGATTTAATTCAAAAGAGATGCGCCAAGCTTGCTAAATGTTTTATTAGTTCTTTTTTTAGTCAAAATTCTTAAAATATTGATGTTACATTTTATAAAAAGCTAAATGGTAAATTCAGACCAAGTTAAAGAAAGGATTCAAAATGCTATTCCTTGTGAAGTTCAGAAATAAATTGGTATAGTTGATAGATTGGGCTCATAAGCACAGAAGGTTGTGCTCATCCTAATGCAGCTGAGAGCAGGACTTCTGTACCTTTTTAAGTATACCTTCAGGTTTGGGAAACCTTAGAAGGGCGACCTTTTTTGAGTTAAGGTGGGCTACGGCTAGTGGGTTTACCCGCTTATGCCAGAATAACATTTAACTTAACTTAGCTTGTGAAGTCCTTGAAGTTGAAGACACAAGTAGTGGCTGTGGAAGTAGCTTTAGATGCCTGATCGTTTCTCCTTCATTTATAGGTCAGCCTCTTCTACAGAGACATCGACTGATTTTCAATCTATTTGAGCAGGAAATGAAAACAGAAATTCATGCTTTTAATCTCTCAACTCTAACCCCAGAGCAATATCAATCTCAAAGATAATTTACCAATCTTAATAGCCTGCTATATCTGCATTAATACATATCAATATAATGATTAATAAAATTTCGTCCTTCTTTATAATCATACCAAATCTCTCTTTAATTTCTAGTAAAATGCAATTTTGGTTAAGCTTTTTAGTTCAAAAATCATAATTTTAACATTTTATTAATTCCCACCTTTAAATTGGAACAAAAATTCTAGTTCCAATTCTTGAGGGGTTAATTGTTAATTATTTTAAATTTTTCTTTTAAAAAAAATTTTTTATAAATAAAAAGTATAAATTGACACAATGATTTTTAATTTTAATTCATTTTTATGATGAATTAATTCAAAAAATTACCATAAATTTCCTATTGAAAAAAATTTGTTCCAATTTAAAGGGTTACCCAAAAATGGAATTTTAACTATGCTTTGTTGAAGTGAGTAAGAAGTTTAACCTTTGCATTCGTCAAAATTATTTCAATCTGTTCAGATGGAATAATATTTTAGTGCATTACAATAATTAATTTCTACATGATTTACTATAGACTTGATAGAAAGCGATATTATTATGTAGCGATAAATTAAATTGAAAGAAGCCTACATTAATTAAGTAACATTATGATCGTAAAGAATATAAAGTCTTTTTTTAATAGTTTTTTAATCTAATTTTTCTCTGATATTTGCTTCTAATTGACTCATAACATTAAGACAAAGCTCGTCTTGATAAGGGGAAGCAGCAATTTGCACACAAATAGGCAGCCCCTTACTTTTCTGCATATTTGTATTCATAACCTTTGTCCAGGACTCCTCAGTCTCTGGGTAAGATTGCTCATCTTCAGATATAATACCTATAGGTACATTGCCTACTGGGCACTCTAATATACTAAATAGAGTAACATAAGCAAACCCCAGCTCTAATTTCTGATTTGACCCATGAATCATTGCTGGCACTGGATAAGGAGCAATTATGGCATCAATTTCTAAATCAGCCCATTTCTTTAAAAAATCATTTCTGAGTTGCGTTGTTTTCTTCAGATGCTTTACAAATTCATAAGAATTGGTAACTGATGTTGCATCAGAATATATTGAGTACTTATCTTTTATTCCAAAGGAGCAAGAAGCTTTCAAGGGATTATCTAAATTATCGACAAAAAGTTCGCACTCAGGCTCATTTCAGTATGAATATCTTCTAGAGTTCATTGTTTGGGCTATTATAGAAAAATTTACATCTTCTAAGCTTGGTGGCTGAATTTTAACTATTTCATGGCCTAATTTTCGCAAGGTTTCTTTGGCTACCTCAACAGCTCTAGCCATACATGCAGGCAAAGGCCAGTATTCATCGCTATCTAAAGGAAAAATTTGAAGTTTGGGGCGTAACTTCCATTTTCACGATAGGAAGTAGTCTGAATGATCTAGGTTTTGCCTGTAAATTTTGCTGGGCTTTTCTACTCTGAGCCCCCTTTTTTCCTTGAGGTCAAATCCAATCCTGAAAGTGGAATAGGTGGGGTTCTGTGCACTACCTGAATTGCTTAATATTTACTTCTGTCCATTTCTGGCTGGGAAATCCTTGCCGGATATAATGTTTGAAGGAAGTCAGCGAAGCCGATCACGAAGCGGTGAAACGCCATATTTAATTATGCATTCATCGCTATCAATATATCCAATTTTTAATTTTCTTTGGTCCCTATACTTCTCTTCATTTCAAGGCAGTGGAGGTATTGACAAATCTCTTTGATGCATATATTTATCACAAATTGCTTCCATATAAACCACACAGTCATCAACAACTTTGCCTATAGCTCCAAAAGAAACATTAAGGCATGGAAATCCGACAGTATACCCAAAAGGGCTAACTGCTGAAATTCTTTTAGGCGTAGCTCTAAATCCAGCTAATCCACAAAATGATGCTGGTACTCTTATGCTCCCAACTAAATCGTCACCAATTCCTAGAGCTGAGCAGCCTAAGGATACTAATGCAGCTACTCCTCCACTTGATCCACCTGGAGTGCGGTCAATATATTGAGGATGAAGTCCTCTTTTTGTAAAATTATTGAAAAGCTCATATGACTTTAATCCTTGAGGGACTGCAGCTAATGCATAAATAATAGCCCCTTGGCTTCTTAGAGCTTCTACATGTAAAGCATCTTCATTTTGAATATTTTTGTAGTGTTTTACCCAACCGCATGTATTTATCATTCCTTTAACTGAGAAATTGTCTTTTGATACGATAGGGATACCATGCAAAATCCCACGTTTATGGCCTTGCTTTAATTCTTCATCAAGAGTTCTAGCTTCTTTTAAAGCTTCTTCCACTTTAACATCGCTAATGAGGTTTCTAATTAGAGCATCCTTTGCAAGAATTTTTAGATAAGCTAGCAAAATCTGCTCTGAAGTGAAATCACCTTTGTCTAGACCTTCTCGAAGCTCGCTTAGGGTAGAAGAAGCTATTTTTACCTGAAGCTCTTTTGGAACTTCAGGGAGTAGCTGTCCTTGAATATGCCATTTAAGCTCTTTGATTCTTCTTTTAGCTTTTGATCTCACTCTGCGCTTTCTTTGTTGATTTCTTCCATCGATAGTTAAGATTGTAATAAATGCTCCGATGGCTGCAAAAGCTAGTTTTGAATAAAGAATTTCAATTCATTCGTGCATGACTGCTAATAAATAAATAAATTTAATGAAGGAACTATACTTTATTATGCTTAATAATTAAAATATCGTTATTTGGAATTATGCTATCTGGGACAAGAATATTTCTTTTTATCAATTTATTCTGAGATATATTATATTTTTCATTATTGGCTTGTTAGACTGGCATGGTGCCATTAGAAATTTCCCAGGAAGAGTTTTTTCTTCTAATTTTGATTATGGGGATTTGTTTTACTGCCAAAATTTTATCTGTCTCTACCTGAAGCAAGACCCTGAAAGGGGCAGTGTGGGACTTGGAGCCTTAGAAATGTAATTTTTGAAAAATCCTATCAATATGTTCAGCGGAAGTTATAATCTTTAGAGTCTCTTATCAAATTAAAGGCTAGCGTTTTAAGTGATCAAGGCCACTCATCATAATAAATATGATACAGCTATTATCTAAATAAGTATTATTTGTTGCAAATATATTTTAAATTAATGATAAGTAAAAAGAATACTTAAATTTTTTTACTTTGTATTAAATTTTAAGGATTATTCAATAGAGCATGACTCTTCTGTAATATAGAGTTTAGTATGCGTAGCCATTTGAATTCCATTAAAATCAGTTGCTAATGAAGCAGTGTACCCTCCCATAGTATCAAAAGCAATTTTATCTCCAATTTCAACGACTGGGAACTCGCATTCAGTAATTTTATCGTCTCCATCACAAGTAGGCCCATAAAATGCAGAATTATATTTTGGAGGATCTTCTAAACTCCCCAAATATATATTTAAACTTAAATGCTAAACTAGCCATAGCGGGCAAACCCACCCGCCTTTGCCTCATCTTGGCTACAAAATAGTCTCCTCCTTCGCCCCACGAAATAAAAGAGGAAGCAAGGTTGCCATTTTGGATTTCCGATCTGAGCCACCTCTCTAAGGGATTAGCTCCCACTAGAGCAGAGTCACCTCCAGTAGAGTGCTCCAATAGTCCCGACAAGTGAAGACCATGCAATAGGCAAAAACTGTCTAGCCCATCTGGCAGGAACAGGAAAACCTTCGGGGAGAAAGAAAACTTCCCTCTTCGACAATCATCCCGAAGCCTGAAGGCCCTTCAAAAGGGAATGAGGTCCTGTTTTAGCTTAATCAGGATGGTTCCTATCTGCTCCATAGATGTGCCTCGGAGTCCAATTTCCGTCACTTCACCATTTTATTTCTCTCCAAATATATGGGAATGGCTTCATTATCTTCAGCTAAGGGTAGATGACAAAATGTTCCATTGATTCCATCAGAAATGACATAATCAATTTTCATTACTCCATCAAACACTCTTGTCCTCTTTCCTACAACAGTAAAACAGCTAGAAACTACTGAAGCAGAAAAATATTTCCCAGGCTCAGCAATAACTGTAATATTTTTCCCTCCAAAAAATTCTTCAATACCATGATTTATATCATTTGCCGCGTCTTCAAAATATTTCTCGACAAATCCTCCTCCAACATCTAGCAATTTCATATCAAATCCATATTCCTCACTCCCCTTCAATGGGTGAGTAAACCATTAAATTATTCTTCTCTTTGAAAAAAAACCTTATGAGTAAAAAAATATTCCTATTTTTTAATATGCAATTAATCAAATTTATCTGTTGTTCATTCTTTTAATTTTTAAGCATATATTTATAAATTAGATTGCACTTAATTTTCAAATTTTGTATATGAGACTCTTTGAAATTTTGAAAAGCAATTCTTTGTGAGCTAGTGAAAAATGTTGCTCATTCACGGAAAGGGAAGTCAGCTATTTTCCATACATCACTGGCTTTTTGGATTGCTTTATAATAAGCATTCGTATTTTTAACAGAATGGCCTACATAAAAGCTAACACCTACAATAGAAAGTCCAAGCTGGACTGCACATTCCAGAACTGTTCTATATTCGCTTTTTAAGACGCCAAATCTTTTATTATATTGAGCATTAGCTTCTTCATCGCCTCCAGCAATCCTAAGCACCAATTTTAAGTCTCTAAGCCCAAAATTCGCAATTTTTTGTAGCTCTTCTATATACATTAAAATGGACATATTATCAAATACCCTCTTGGCGCAACGGTTCAGACCTTATGGAAACGGAGAACTGGGACAGAGTTCGAGTCGAAAAGCAATTGCAGCCTTAGTTAATACGTATCCGGGTAGGCTTTGGCTGCCTTCCTACGGTTGGAAATGGAGGTGCTCGGCAATGTCCCTTGGATCCAAGGACTCATGGGCATTCTTCAACCGAGAAACTGGGTATTCGGCCCAGGCCATATCGGAGCAGTCTTTTTTCTGTAGCTGTCGAAGGAACCCGACAGACTCCAAGGAGTTGATCATGAAGAGTCAGAAGTACAGGAAGAGACCTCGCTTTTCCGAGGCTAGACCCTGGGTTAGAATCGAGAAGCGGTAGAACTTTCCGCATGGAAAGTCTTGGTGACTGCGTCACCAATATGACTAGCACCTGACTTTAAATAGCCTAACCTGCTGTAGCTCTTCTACACAATCAAAAGTGGTGTATTTGACTCCTAGGCTAGAAATAGCTCTTAATCATTCCCCTTTAAATATGAACAAAAAATCCTGCTCTACTTAAAGGGGTGCTAATTTTTTTTGAATATATTAAATTTTTATAAAAAAATAAAATAATAAGTTCACAATATTAAAATGGCAATTAGAGTAAAGGTTATTCCCTACAGCTCAACTTATTTGAAGAGACTCATGATCTCTAGAAGGTTGAGCTAAAAGAGAAGTTAACCTGAACCGATACTTGCTCAGGCAGAGAATCCTAGGAGCTGTTGCAAGTTGTCAAGTCTAAGGGTCGGCCCGTTTTTCCACTGTTACTCACAGTTGGGCTTGTACGTAGCGAATACAATTCAGAACTGGATGAATTTAGAGGAATAATAGAATTCAATAAACTTAAACTTAAAAATATAAGTTGAATGCAATATTTAGGAAATCAGTGAAAACTGCTTAAATAATATTTTTCTTCAACATTTCCATTGAATTAGGTCAAAACTAATTCTCATTTTCACAATTGAAAAAAATCTTCTTACAAAAAAATGGAAATTTTACTGATCTTTTGTCTAATTTAAAAAGGGGGATTTAGTTCAGCTGGAGACTTAAATGTTTGAGCACAGATAATGTCTGCCTCGAAATTTATGCTTGCGTGCTGTGCTGCTAATTCTAATTCTTTTCTGCTTGCACAGTCGAATCCTGCTCCTAAAGAGGCTAGCTTTGAAATGATTTCAGGGTCTGGATTTGATTTTACTGCATAATAAGGCCTGACTGATGGAAGTTTCTGATATCATCTGTCCAAAAGGAACTTTAATTTGGGCAAATTATAAAGAGCGACATTAGTTTCTGTGAATTCTCTATTTTGAAAAATATGATTGAAAAGGTCTTTGGTGGACGATTCATCATTTATTTTTAGCTTCCATCCATGATCGTCTTTAATAACCTTGTTCATTTTATTTCAATATTGTTTCCACAACTATCATTTATCTCACCTAATTTATTTGCAATAATGGATTGTTATATTAATTAAATTATGGCTTTTTAGAATTTTTAATCATAAATTATATATAAAATTCTTATAATTTTTTGTTTTCCAAATATAGTTTAAATAATCAGTTTAACTATCGTTTTGCTCAATTCAGCTCTTTTCAAAATTGAATAGTTAAGGAATTTTTTTGCATTTTAAATAGTAAAAAAGATATAATTCCAGAATCTGAAAAAAGTTACACTTCAACAGGATTAAAGTATAGCCAAAAAAAACAACAGCAAAATAAACCTGTATTATATTCAAGAGATCTTAGTTGTTTTTATGGGGTAATTGCTATAAAAAATTATTTGAAACAGCAAAAAGAAATATATTATTTTAGGTTTTTAGAATCTACTACACAACAATATTTTGGATAAATCAAACATAATAATATTTATCAAAGGTAAGATTGCCAGTGTTTTTTGCCTTATTCTCCATTTTAATGCAGAAATTTGCCAAATTTATTTAGGCTAATAATAAAAATGCTGCAGCTTCTTGCAATTTCGGTTTTCTTCTTTGCTTTCCGATCCAAAGCTACTTTTTCAGAAGAGACTCAAGATAATTCGCAAAATAATGAAGATCTTTTGCATTCTGTGGTCAAAACCTTACTTACTAACGGCCCTATTTCCAATATCACCCAAAGTGAAGAACTTTTCTATAATACTCCAAGGGAACTTCTAGGTTCATGCGGGCAAGGATTATACAATGCTTCAGGGACATGCAATCACTGCGGCGCATTATGCTTGTCCTGTGCTGACGCTACTGGAATATGCAACGCATGTAATGACCCATTCAAAATGACGCTGAACCAAACCGACAACTCTTTATCCTGTCAATGCATTGGAAATCAAATCCTAAACCAAACTAACTGCACTTGTCCAGAATCTACTTTCTTTAATGGGACATTTTGTGACCATTGCAACCAAACTTGTGGAGACTGCAATAACCCTCACAACTGTACTAAATGTAGAGACCCAATAATGGTATTAACAGTAAAAGGAGACTGTGTTTGTCCAAGCAATGCCTTTATGAACTCAACTTTTCAGTGCCAGCTATGTCCAAACGGAACAGTCTTTAATGGGACTGAATGCACTCCGTGCAATAAATGTGACGAATGCATAGACCCAAAGATGAATAAAACTCAGGATGGCTTTTGTGTCTGCCCTGAAAATACATTTTTAAGCCCAGAAGGACACTGTGAAAGATGTGGAGAACTGTGCCATTCTTGTATTGATGCTACTCATTGCTTAGAATGTGTTGGAGGCTCGATATTAAATAGCACAGCTAACTCAACTGTTTGTCATTGCCCTGATCAAACATTTTCGAATGGAACTGATTGTGCGCCTTGTAAAAACTGCACTGGGTGTTCTGACCCTATGATGGTTTTGACTCTTGATGGAAGTTGCATTTGTCCAAATGGTACTTTTCTTAACGCAGCAGGACATTGTGACAAATGTGGACCATTATGTGATTCTTGCACAAGCCCTAATCATTGCTTACATTGTGCAGGAAATTCCACCCTTAGCCAAAACTCCACTTCTGCTGTGTGTCTTTGTCCAAATGGAACTTATAACGATGGATTCAACTGCTGGTCTTGTGATGGATTTTGTGGCCACTGCTCTGATGATATAACTTGCCTAAACTGCTCTCATCCCCATATGTTTGTAAATGAATTTAATGTTTGCCAATGCTTAGAAGGCTTCTTTTGGAACGAAACAGATTGCCAACCTTGTGGCAGGAACTGTAAAAGCTGCACAAATGACCATAATAATAAATGGCTGCATCGGAATAAGTTTTCTTTTAAAGTCTTTCCATCCTTCACAATTTTAATATTATCCCTTTGATCATTTATCCAGCTATGCCAAAATGCCCAATGTATAGAATGGTAGTCTATAGCACTTGGATTTAGGAAGAATAGGGTTTTGCTGCTTGAGACTATCGAAAAAGGAAAGAATCTTAATAGAGTATGTGCAGGAGTCAAGCGAAGAAAGAGGCAATGCTTTCCATGAGATTTTATGTTTGGCGTTTTGTTCCAATAGAAAGGGCATGACAAGTAGCTTAGGAAGAGATGAGCTCTGAGTTAAAAGGTGGGTCTGTATGGAAATTTAAAACGTTCTGGAGCCGAATGACACACTAAGCACTAAATAATTAAGAAAGCACAAATGCAACCACATGCAATGAATGCATGGACAAGTCAATGGATATTCTTTCTGATCACCCAGGCTCATGCTCTTGTGGGCTTTCTACTTATGATAACGGCACTGACTGTATCCATTGTGGACACTTATGTGGCAATTGCACAAATACGACTGTATGTTTGTCATGCATTGACCCAGACACTATGAGTTTCAATCAATCCAACCCTGGCTCTTGCATGTGCAACTCCTCAATGGCAGACAACGGCACCTCATGTGAATTCTGTCCTGCTGGAACTTATTTAATTAATAATACCTGCAAAATCTGTCAAGATAACAGCTGCGAAGTCTGTTCAGGATCTGAGACAAGCCAATGCACAAAATGTTTCAGCACCCATATACTTAACCTTCCTTTAAATCGGAGTAAAAAATCTTGCTCAAATTAAAGGATTTAAAAAGTTTTTCATAGATAAAAAATTTTCTATTAAAAAATACCCAAAAAATGGAAATTTTACCTATATGTTGTTTCGATTTAAAGGAAAGGTAAGAATAATGTGTGCACACAATGCCCTGTAGGTAACTTTTCAAGTGATGGAACTACATGCATTTCATGTGAAGACGCTGGCTGCAAAGTTTGCAATGGAACTGGAACTGGGCAATGCTTGCAATGTACTGAGCCACATAAGTTTATATTAAATGGAACTTGTCAAGACTGTCCTGATAATTCTTTTCCAAATCTTGATGGAAAAACGTGCGGGAGATGCAATGATACTGACTGCAAAACCTGCCATGATGGAAGACCTGGCCAATGCACTGAATGTTTGACGTTAAATAACTCAATTGTTAACGGGACTTGTCACCCATGCGCCCCAGGATTCTTTTCAAATGAAAACGGTTTTAATTGCACGAAATGCCAAGATACGAATTGCACTGCATGTGAGGGAGCTGGATCGAATACATGCATGCTATGCAATAATCCTTATTTCCTCGATCAAAAGAACTGCACTTTATGTCCAAAAGGTCAATATTCAGATGGGCTGCAATGTCATACATGTGAGGATACTAATTGTACCAAATGTGCAGGAAATGGTACAGAGACTTGCTTACTTTTTTTTAAGCTCATTAAATATATAAATTTAATATAAACATTTTAATTGTATAACTTAACTTGAAAATAATAAGTTTTTGACTGAAAAATAGCAAGAAATCTAAGAGAGTTAGAATGTGAAGTCAATCTCTTTTTAGTCAAAGGCACATGCCAAACTTGCGCTCCAGGAAATTATTCCGCTGATGGTAAATGCACTCCATGTGGCCTCGGCTGCGACTTATGTGATAACAAATCAGTCTGCCACGACTGTTCTGATCCAGTTTTAATGATAAATAACGGAAATGGAACTTGCTCATGCATAAAAGGCTACTTCATGGATGCCCTCGGCCACTGCAAGCCTTGTCCTGGATTATGCACGTCTTGTTCTTCTAACAGTACTTGTGATAGCTGTGTTCCTACAGCTAATTTGACTGCAAATGGAACATGTGCTTGCAGCGATGGCTCTGGTGTACAAGGAAACAGCACTTGCAGCCAATGTCCTAACCTCTGTGCCAAATGTTCAGACTCCAATACCTGCATAAGCTGCATAAAAAATTCTCAATTGAATGCAAACAACCAATGTGTTTGTTCTCAAGGTTTCTCCCAGCTAGGAAACGTCTGTGCAGCGGCCTGCAACAATCTCTGCACAAATTGTGACCATAATAATGGGAATAGCTGCACTTCATGTATAGCAAATGCTGAATTACTCAAAAATACTTGTTCATGCACAGCCCATTCGGTTTATGACTCTACTTCAAATTCTTGCAAATGCAATGACGGGTTTACTTTAGTTAGCAGCAAATGTGTATTATGCAAGAACTATTTTGCTTCTTCAGATATTGTTGACGGTTATTTCAATGACCTTTTTACTAAAATTACCGTAGTTTTTGCTTCAGCTATAGATACCTCTTTAGATTCTTCCTGTTCTTTGACTGTAAATGCTACAAGTTTGCCGAAACTAGGAAGAAATCCACAGTGCTCATGGGATGGAAATTTCAATTTAGTCATCTCACTTGGAGACCGGTATACCCCTTTATACATTTCTTTATCGAGCAAAATGTATTGGACTATTGAACGAGCAAAACAGAGTCTCTCAAAGAGATGAGCTCAATCTCTATATCAGAAAGTGCTAAAAAATGACATGCCAAAAATGGTGACAAGTGTGAAAAAAGTTGACAAGTAAACACGCCAATTTTTAAAATAAGATACCAAATTAGACTGGGATTGATTAATAACTAAAAATCTATTTTAAAGGTCTTATAAATTAATGATAATTATTATAATAAATCTACATATAAATTATAATCGATTTAATATTTTTGACTATTTGTTTATTTAAAAAGTGCTTGAGATAAAGCTATAATAATGAGTTTTAAAAATTGAAAATGGAAAGGGGAACTTATCGAGCGAACAGTTGCATAGTTCTCCAAGTGCTATAACTCCAGTAAGCATATCATTCAAAAACTCCAGTAGGATTTTGACTTAAGCGATTTATAAAGATGGAGTCAATTATTGAAGAATTCCACATGAACTTTAAAAATTGAAAATGCAAAGGGTGAACTTGCTGAGCGAACAGTTGCATAGGTCTCCAAGTGCTATAACTCCAGTTAGCATATCATGCAAAAACTCCAGTAGGATTTTGACTTAAGTTATTATAAAGATGGAGTCAATTATTGAAGAAATTGCACATAAATTTTAAAAATTGAAAATATTAAATAAATAGCCCATATTAATTTGCTATTATTATCTTCAGTCTAACTGGGTATCTTAAGTTTTAATTATTTTAATAATAAAGCCATTTTGAAAATTGGCGCGTTTACTTGTCAACTTTTTTTCACACTTGTCACCATTTTTTGACATGTCACTTTTTAGCACTTCCTGATATAGATGTCTAACCCGTTCCTTTAATAGAGTCTTTCTTTGTCGTTGCACTTTCTATTGCATTTTGCCTGATAAATAAATCTATATCGAGGCATGAGCTATACCTTACTCCCCTCCCTCCGCGAGCAAACAAAGAATCTTATTCGATCATGGAGGATAGTTAATTTTTTTTTTTAAAAAAAAATTTTCGAAATTTAAAAAAAAACCACTTCTTGAAAATTGAATGGCAAATATTAATTTAATTTGTAAAATTTTGTGTTTTAAAACGCAATTTGTTCAAAATTAAACAGAATTAGCTCTAGATTTCATGATACTAATTATCATTTATATATCAATTTTTTTTCCATAAAAATTTGTTCTAGAACATTTTTTGTTCACTCACGGAGAGTGAGTTTTTGGGCAAAAAATACGATTTTTTAATGGTTTTGTTCGCTCACGGAGGGGGGTTAAGAAATGAGACACTCTTTTTAGATGGCACCTATATAGTCAAAAAGTTCGGGACTTGCAGTTACAACTATAACCCTCTCAGAATACCTGTTAAACTAGCAGCAAATCCTAATCCTGCAGCAATTATAACGGGCCCTCAATTCTTCTCACTAGCCTGTGGAGCACGAGACTTGATGTACTCTGGCGACCGTTCAACAGGCTCTCTTAACAACCAAATGAATTATACCTGGTCTGCTATCTCATCTCCATCAATTGCTGCACTAACAAAATATGTTTCCATGCAAAGTACTTCATCTATTACTATTCCAAGGAGCTATTTCAGCAGTTCTACCAATACAACTTTAAATGTTACCATGACAATTTCCAACATATATAATTTGACCAACTCTTCTTCTATTGTAACTTTCGTTACTTCAACGCCTTCTCTAAGTGTCAATATTGATATAGGAAATTCTGACTCTATGAAATCATCAGATTCTAGAGTGTATACTGCTTCTGTGAACTCCTTGTGTGATAATTCTACATCTTCTATTAGCTGGTCGTGGGTTTATAATCCTGCAAATGGAGCACCTACAATAGATTCAAGCTCTATTCTAAGCAAAGCTAAGCAGCCAAATAAGCTTGTAATAGAAAAAAACATGCTGCCAAGTGGGTATTCATATTCGTTTACTGCTATTGCGGCAAGCACAAATGCGCAAGGACAAGCCATAACTGGAAATTCAACTATTTTAGTCAGCACTAGCGCATCAAATTTAATAGTCACTTTGAGCAGACCAGGGGGAAGCATCCCTCCAAACCAAGATTTAGTTATAAATGGCGACAAATCTTTTGATCCTGATGACAAGAATTCTGCATTAAACTTTACTTGGAGCTGCAAATATACTTTAAACAGCACATCCTGCTTGGGAAAAGACAACAATGTCTTAGTTTCAGGCCAAACCACCTCTTCATTGCAAATACCAGCCCAAAGGCTTATTCCTGGAGCCAGCTATGACTTGACACTTCTGGTCAGCAAGGGTGCAAGAAATGCATCTGCTACTATAACAGTAGAGGTTTTAAATGCAAACACAGACACTTCAGTGTCAATTAGTATGTCATCAACTAAAATTACAGCTAGATATCAGTTTACAGCAGATGCCAATATTCAAGCGAACTCTTCATCTACTCTTGAATGGTCCTGTGCAAACCCTCCGCTTACCATCAGTCCTAATAATCTGTCTAAGCTAACTATCCCTGCAAATACATTAACCTCTGGCCAAACCTATCAATTCCAGCTGAAAATTACTGATCCTGCAGGAGTTCCTTATACAGTATACTACCCAGTTGAAGTGAACCAAGGAGCATCATGCACTGACTCTTTAAGTATAAGTCCATCTACAGGGACAGCTTTAGTTACAAGCTTTACAATGTCTATCTCAGGGTGTACAGATTTGGACGGTGAAGACTTACCACTTATGTACGCTTACAATTTGAATCAGAATTCCATTAATTATATGCTTGCCAGTAACCAAGATAATAGCTATTCAACTTTCTTGATGCCTGGAAGCAATAATGTGAGTGTAACTGTATGTGATCAATATGATGACTGCTCAACATATTATCAAGTTATTCAAGTTGATAATTATACAGCTACTGCTGGAAGAAGATTAGATGATAGCGCACTTATTGACATATATTCACAAAATACTTTGAATTCTGATAACATTCCTTCTATGATTGCAATTATTTCGTCAGCTACCACGATTAATAGCACATTATTTGAAAAAATGTGGAGTGATTTGCAAAGCTATATCAACTCACAGAACTCAATGAACAATAACATATTTATAGGTGTCATCTCTGCTATTCAAGCTTTAGCCACAAAGCAATCTCATATGAACTCTACTCTCTATGAGCAGCTCTTCACTCAGGCTAGCCAAATAATGACAAATAACTCATTGCCAGTCATTGTTGATGCTTCATCAATACTAAATATTTTAGTATCTATTAATGATGCCTATTTAAATTTAGCTAAAAATCTCACAACTTCTCAAAACAGCACCAACACTCCGTCAAGTCACAATTTAAGAGCACTAAAGAGTTCTTCTCCTCTCAGCCAGAATTCTACAGCCAACGCTACGTATGAATCTTACCTTATTAACTCTAACAACTTCCTATCAAATTTCTCCGTCTATTGCACTCAAAATGATATGCCTGGGCAAAATTCGCTTCCTAACGCAACAGTCAGTAGCCAAACTTCTACCTATAAATCAAGATACTTTGCTGGTGACTTACTCCTCTCCATTCGTGAGCGAGGATTTTTGCATAAAAATAAGATTTTTCCAATGATTTTGCTAGATCAAGATGAGAGAGTTAGCAAATCAGACCTTACAATATGGAGCTACAAATATCACGATGCCTTCAAGTTTGCCATTTAACTCAACTGATATTGTGAACTTAAGAGTTAATTTATATAATAGCACAGACGACTACTCAAGTGTACTAGATATAAGCTACGGTAAAAGTGGTAATTACTCAGATTTTGTGTATTCTCAGTATAATGAGACTTATGCGTCGTTCAATAATGCCAACCATACAGTAAATGTTACAATTCCTTATAATAAAAATGCTACAAATGGGTGGGCCTGTGTCTATTATAACGGAATTAAAATATGGCGTCTTCGTCTGTGCATGGCCTCTGGCCATGCAGCCTCGACTCATATTTTAATTATATCCGGCAAGGTTTTGCCATTTCAGAGATGGACGGCAATGCTAGGTAAGCAATTCTGGTGGAGTACAGAGCCTAGCCCTAGTCTACTCTCAGAGATGGTTTTTTTTCCTCGTGGGGAAGGAGAGCACGGCAGTTGGAAAGGGGAGGCCCAGCAGAGTCCACACGACCCATCGGGCAACTCCCTAGCGTGAAACTGGGCGTTACGTCCCAGGCTACGTGTTCCTCCTTTTTGCCAAAAGCCTACCAGAAAATCCATTTTTTGGGTTTTCGGAATGGCAACCCATGTCACAAGCAAGTAGCTCATCCATGAGCCGTCGAAGCCGGCAATACTTGCCCCTAGGCGCACCTTGGTGAACGAAGCGGACCGGCCCAGAGGTCTGTGGGCCCGATGCGACGAGAGGCGAGCGGAGGTCTGGGCTCTGCCAACCCCGTAGTGGACGTTAAGCGTTATAAGTAGTAAGTTAAGTTAAGTGTCTATTATAACGAAACAATTAGTACTTGGCTGACAAATGGATGCCAAATTGTCTCAGTCGAAAATGGATACGCGACGCTGACTTTAAGCCACTTTTCGATGTTCAAGCTTACTGACTCTTCAACAGTTGTCGTTCCTCCAATATCTCCAGAATCTTTAGAAGATTCTTCATGTGGCACTAATTTAGCACCTGTTTATATACTAGTGGTAGGGCTTTTCTTAGCGCTTATTATTTGGCCAGCTCCAATCCTACTAGATGCATATTCTAAATCTAAAACTCGAGGAACCCAAAAAATTACTCCTCTAAGCGTAAGTCCAAAAGGAGAAATCAGCCAGACTGAAGAATACAAAAGCTGTGAAGAAGGGGCTAAAAATAAAATGGAAAATAGTACAGTTAATTTTTCAGGCATTGGGGATAGTATTTTAATTGATAGACAGCAAGATGTTGACCCTAATGGCAATAAACCAATAGAATTTGATCAAGACGCCTTTAAAAATACCCTAGACGAAAAGTCAAAATGGGAAACTCTTATAGAAGGCCACTTAACTGCTGGATTATTCATATATAAGAAAGGCCATGCAAGACTTTGGAGATTATTTACTTGGGAAGTCGTGATATTCTTTGAGCTGCTTCTTGAAGGACTTTTGTTCTCTGGGTTTGAAAGCACTGATAATGGAGTAGGAAAGGACTCACAGAGCTTATTTGATGATTACAAGGGAACTTATTTCGGATATACTGTATTTGCAGTAGTAATTGCAATGCCAATAGAAATCTGTTTATCAATATGCTTGAGCTTTGATAGAAGCGCAATGCCAAAAGTTTTCTACTCTGCGTTGGCTTTGGGGGCTATGGTAATTATGGGGTCTATTGCAGGAGTTTTTGCGTTGAGCTTCAAGTTTTGCAGCGAGTGGAGCGGATACTGGGCGATAAGCTTCTTGTGGGGGATTTTGCTTGAAGTTTTTGTGATGCAGACCATTTATATGGGTGGAAGGTATCTATTCCTCCACTTTTTTAAATAAGATAAAGCATTAGTTTGATAATAAGATTATAAAATAAAAACTTCTAATATTTTAATAGTATAGGTTTGATTCTGAGAAAATTCGCTTATAAGATGTAAGGTCTTCAAGATTTGATATCTCAACACGCTTTCGACTACCGGCACTTGCTTGCAAGGGTAGCATCGGTTGCCCGAGCTTCATCAACAGCAGTCTTCTCCTAGGACTAAGGGCTTTCATTACTTTCCTGAGTTTCGACGGGCTAGGCGACCCCTCTGTGCTATGCTTCTTGTGGGGGTGCTATGAGGTATAGGTTAGCACAATACCTCCTCTCAGCCACCTTGAAGGAGGGTTACACTATGAAAAAGAGACATAGGGAAAAGAATCCGTGATTCAAAACCATCCGGATAACTAAAACTTGGAATGGAATCGCCACCAACTGACTCCCTAAGCCGCCACACCTTACGTCAGCCATAAAGCATGGTTAGAGTTAGAATAGAGGATCTGAGGCTATAAAGCCATTTTGGTGCCCTTAGTGGTGTGTCGTCGGTAAGTATACTGTCACTACCACCATATTAATTATTCGCTTATAAGATTATATTTTTTTGGCAAATTGTTTATGACTCATTATAAATATTTTTTACCCTTTGGTTTCTTTTTTGCAACTCCCACATTTAGAGATCTCACCTTTTTAATGATGAAAATCACTGCAAAGAATAAAAACACTCCTCCAATTACTCCTAAGTAGTAATTCGTTGTGCTTGAAACAATTTGAAATTGCGGCTGCGTCACAGGAGTCTCCATCGGCTCATTTATCATATAAGGTGATGGCGGAAGTTCATCAGGAGGCATACTATATTCTTTTTCAATTTTTTCAAGCAGTTCTACTTGGCTTGGAGTCAGGCCAATACTGGAGCTTTCATTTAAAAATTGTTCTCTGTCAACTTTTACGATTGATTTAATAAAAGGCTGATTTAAATCGATGATTTGGTCTGTGATTAACTCTTCAGCATCTTTTCAGGATATTTTTTGATTGCAGTTATAAAGGATATCGGCTAGAATTTTCTTTTTTGTGAGATCTGGGTCATGCTTTGTAGAGAAAAGAATGTCTTGAATTTCATTTGGCTCTTGTATCAATTTTGCACGACAAAGTAATAAGCATGCAATCCAGCGTGAGCGTTTTTGAGCTTGAGCGTTTTCTTCTATTCCATCAGGGAAATCATAAGGTCTTTTGATTTCTATGCTTAAAGCAAAAGTAATTAAAATAGCAATTACTAATTTCATTATATTAGAACTCGAAAAAATTATAATAAGCAGCATGATTCTACTGTCTGTAACTTTTCACTTATATAGTGAATTTCTTATTAATATCAGTTTATCAGAGATTTCGTCTTCTTTAACTTTCACTAATCATCCATTATAAATTGCAATGGTAAGCGTCTCCTCCGACCTTCTCTGGGAACTCTTAAGAAACAACAACAAATATCTTATTCGTCGCCAAAACACTGATTTCTCAACTGACCCTTATAATCTTGTCAACATCCACAGCCAGAAATTCGCAGGGATCGCAAGCACAAGCGCAATTGGCGTAGCAACCAGAAAGAAAGGTGAACCAGTTACTCTTAAAGCTAAAAAGCTCAGAAAATATGGACTTAAAGGCAAAACCCACCACGAAGAAAAAATCACAGTTAAGAAAGCAGGATATTCTGGAAAGGCAAAATCCACAATAGTCTCTTTAGTTGAAAACAGAAACCCAAGTCTCGCCAAAGCTGCTTCTGAAAGAATGCAAAAGCTTCACAGAAGTGAGCAGCCAAAGAAAACAATTACACGTAGAAACAGAAAAGCTTAATAATTTTATAAGCAGTTCATTTTCACAATAATGAATTAATTATGCAGCTATTATTAATTAAGGCTGGAGTAATGGGCCTCAAGATATTTGTTTTTCCATAACAGATCTTCTTGAATTTGTGGGAAGGAAAAGCTCTATATAGGCTCCTTCTTTCGCTTTTTTGTCTTCATCTATTAGCCCTGGAGATTGAGAATCCTCCCTTGGAGATCTCAAAACTGACTTTCTCGTTTTTCTGTGAGGGAGATTTCTGTTTTTTCAATCAACAATCTGGGATAGAAGCATCCCAATTTTTTCAACAGTTGAATGGCCCTCATGGAAATTTCCTCCAATTTCTCTGAATAGAGGCTCTAAACTTGGCCTTGGGGTCAGTCCTTCATATCCTGCAGCTGCACGTACAGAAAGATCTGATTTTTCTTTTAAAAGTTGAGAAATTCTTCTTTCAAGCTCATCATTTGACTCATAGGATTGCTTTAACTTGTACACAATTGTGGAATACCCTCCACTGACTTTTTCACATTTATCTTTAATCTTTTCGTAGTCAGCATTTGCGACTCTCAACTGTTCACTTAGTTCAGCATTAGTCTGGCTCAATTTTTTTAGCTCATCATTTATATCACTATTTAAAAACTCTGCATCTTTTAACGCCTTCTTACATGTTTTTAATTTTGAGTCAAGTTCACTATTTTTGGATAATGCAATTTTAAGCTCTCTCATTTTCCTATCAAAATCGTCATTTAGCCTCTTATAATCATCAGCTATATCTATATTTCCTTCTGATTTCCCATCAATCTTTCTTTGCAGCTCCTCAATTGTTTGATTTAAAGAAATAATTTCGTCAAAATTTTTCTTTTTGATTTCTTCGATATCTTTATGATATTGACGTTCTTTTTCTATATAGCCATCATTTATCTCATTCAAAATATCATATAAATAAGAATAAGGTATATATCCATCTAAATCACTAGCTCTTCCATAATTAATAACGATATGTTTTATTAGCTCAACCTATTAAATTGGAATAAAAATTTTGTTTATAGTGAATTTTTATAACAAAATCTATAAAAAAATTTATGAAACTAATATATATAATTTCTCAATGCAAAATACTGGCTTTATACTCTACTTTCAAATAGAACAAATTTTAAATTAATTTTCGATTTTGGGGTATTAAAGCTATTTACATGGAAAATAGTTTTGTTCTTTATCAAATTAGAGAGCAAGCGCATCTGTATGTTTTTCATATACTATTTCTAGTAACTTAGGCTTAACTTCATCTTTATTTGCAAAAACAGCTTTTTTGATTTCATCAACTATGTAGCGATGACCCCTCATCAATCTTCATGTCTATGGCAACAAAAATGCAATTTTTTAATATAAAATTTTATATAAAAAAAAAAATTTTCATGTCTCCTGCAACAAATTTTCGATGTGCATCTTAACTTTTTCCGTACTTTTAGCTAGATAAGTTTAATAAAATGGCGAGCAATAGAAAATTTATTAAATTGTTTTTAAAAAATGTTGTGCTGCAGTAGACATGAAGATTTTTTCGAAAAAATTTTGTTGCAATAGACATGAAGATTGAGGGGGGTCATCGTTATTTCATTTCTGCTTGGTATTTTCCTTCTTCATTTGATAAGATTTCTAACATTTTTAGTAGCAGTTTTAGCCTATTAATAGATTGGCCTGCATCGTACTGTTTTTGAGATGCAATAAGTTCCCTTAAAGCCTCGATAATGTCAGATTTTGTTTTTATAGAGGGAGAGTTGAAGTGATGATATTTAAATTCAGGCTCTGAAATTCGAAAGAAATGAACTGAGTTTAATGGCGTTTGGTTTCGATGTGGCAGCCAATGATCCAGGGCTGTAGAGGAGTGCTGAGATAAGTCATTATGATCAAGCAATGCTATATATTTTTGGGATTTTAATTTGTTTAGTGCTGATCTTTCTGTCATTGCATGGGATGCCCGAGGTGATGATATAGCACTTGTGCATTTTAATAAGTCTTTTGCTGTCCCTGAATTTTTAATTTGATCTCGTAGATTCGGTAGTATCGGTGAAATTTTAGTATGCCTATGACTATCCATTATTTTAGATATGTATATTATTTTCAAAAATTTTACATTTATTTGAGATTATTTATTTAAATTTCAGTTTAACAGCTTAAAATATTTTATAATTACATTTATGGATTAATTTCTATATAAGAAATTTAGTTAAGGCTAGTATTTGTATGCCTCAATAATTTTTTTATTAAGGCGGGGCTGAGATTGTACCTTGATGTGAACGAAGTCTTCGAACCTTTCTAAGATAATTTGGCGAGTTTACCCCATTAGATATATCAGGTTCATTTTCTTTTAATGGAGCTAAAAGTGGATTCCTTTGAAAATTCTCTTCTTTTAACTCTTCCACTTTTAAGAGCATGAATTTTTTGCTCTCTCTTAAATAAGCGCAAAATGCAAATATTTGAAAATAAAAATTTAATCTAATTAATAAATTTTATCAATTTGTCGAAATTTCAATAGAATTAGCTAGAGGTCTTATTATAATTTCATATTAGATATGAAAATATTTTATAAAAAATTCTATGCCCGCCCTTTTGGGTTATTTTTCTAAATTTTACCCTTCTTAAAGGGGAGTAAGCATAAATATGTACACAAACAAACACAGCAGCACAAAGGAACGAGAGCTATAAGTAGAAGCGCTCCAATAAAAATTTTTCACCACTCTAAATCGAAAAGTCTTTCTCTGCTTTTACTTTGCTTTTCAGCAGTGTCATCATTGTCTAAAATATCTAGGTCTTCTGGGTCCTGCATGCTATCTTCATTGATGGCATCTCGGATTGCATTACTATGTGTAAAAGTTATAAGTACAAATAAGCAACAAACGTACAATAATCTGGCCATAAGCGATAAGATGTTCTTTATTATAAATGGGAGCGCACTTAAAAGCTTATTTTTGGATTGTGTCAGCAGAAAAAATAATTGTAAATATAATCCAAAAAATATTTATGAAAAAAGTTACTAGAAATTATTAAAGAAAAAATCTGTAAGCCATTTTGGATTGAATATTAAGTAAAAATGATTAATGAGTTCATATGTATTTGTAAAAGACGCTTTAAAATAAGCTTAAAGAGCTCTGGCTTATAAAATCCATATAATAAAATTTCATAAATTTTACTACAAATACTAATTTTACCTTCTCTATTAACAGCAGCGATTAACTAAACTTTTTCTGCAATAAGTGGCGAATTTGATCCTCCACTTTGTAAGCTGTCTATATGCACACTTTTAACCCCCGCAGTCCTCAGTCTTTTAATAAACATAATAACCCTAATCAAAGTAACTAGATTTCTCACAGCTAAAATAATATTTCCAGCTACCCCTGGCAAGTTATCGTGCCTTTCGAAATCCACATAAAAAGTAATCACAATTGCTACAGCAGAAGCCACAGTCAAAATCAAATCAATGATATTTACCCACGTTTTAAAAAACCACGCAAACCCAAATATATAGAGCCTTGCCACTAATTCCAAAATAACAGCAACTGCTATGATCCATTCAAGAATGACAAACCAAAGAGGATCTATTTAGCTTTTACCTTCAAAGTGCCCGTATTCAATAATAATCCATACAGTCATAATCAGACATAGAACGATCAAAAAGACATAGAGGATTTGTGTAAATTTTGAAAAATAAATACTTTTCACGCAGTTTTGGCAACTGCTTGTTTCGTTTACTGTTAATCTTGTGGCAAGCGTGGGTTTTGGAGTGAGCCTTTCGTTTGGTTCCATTTATTAAATGTTTTCATGAATAACTTTAAATTATAGCATTCTAGCAGATTTACGAGCTATTAATTATTATACTGGCAAGCTAACACTCCAAAAAACCATTGGAAAAATCCCTATTTTTGGGTAAAAGCCCAGTACATTAACAAACTCAAAATTTTTTATGAAAAAATATTTTGATAATAAGTGATAATTATTATAATGAATCTCTAGCTAATTCTGTTTAAATTTAAATATAATATTTTCCCAAATTTGGAGCTGTTTGCCCTTGATTTGGCCACTGGGAAAATTTTTGGTTCGACCAGTACCATATGGTTTGGTCAAACCAAAAAATTTTCTCAGTGGGCAAATCAAGGGCAAACAGCGCCATCTATGGGAAAATTCTATAGCTACATTTTAAAAATTAATTTCTATAAATTAAAAATAATATTTTCATTAAAATTATTTCGATATGGGATTTTTAAATTTTGATTCGATAAAATTATATGCAATTTTTTTTAAAAAAATTTTAAATTTTGTTCGATATGGGAGTAGTAATTGCTTTTCTCATATAAAAATAGCTCATAGATTCACGAACGGTATTGCTTATTATATTAAGCTTAAATCAAATTTTATAATATGAAAAGCTTAAGAGATAAAAATCCAACTTTATTTTCTTCGCTTGCAAGCAGCATTAATGTTGAGCAAGGATATGAAGGCACTGTACAGAAATTAAACAACAGCAAGTTTTTCTTTAATCGAAGATACCTTGCTGTAGACAATTAAAAATGTCAGTTAGGGGTAGGGCTTAGGTCCTACATCGGCTCAGCGAGAGAAGTTCACAACTTTTTGAGAGTCTCGGATTAAGAGAATAGATCTAAAATGTGCCTGGTGTAGATTGAGAGATCCGAGAGGGCTTAAGGCACAGAAGCAGTTTGACAATTAGACGAACCCATCTACCGTTATTAAAAGTGTGATCCAAGCTGAGGCCAAGAAGTACGGGACTTGAAGAATTAACATAAGCTCAAACTTTAAACCTTGTTGTAAAAAATGGGCTAATTTCTTATTTCAGAAACCCTCCAAGCGAAGGCATCCCCACAACTCCCAACAAAACCCCTCCAATGCCCAAAGCAAAAGTCCACGCAATCGACTGCGAAATTAAACGAGTAGACCCTGAATACTCCAAAAAAAAGAAAAAGCCCTTCATGTTTCAAATTTCATTTTGGGTTGCTCAAGGCAAAAAGCCCAAAAGAATTATGTGAATTTTCGCAGTCGAAACAGAGATGATTTTAAATACCTGGCTAGATTTTCTACAACGTGCAAGACATCCTATAAATGAAAGTGAGGAAGAGCAAGGGTTTCAATACGAACTGCCTGAAGACAATTCAGAAAACGAAGATGAAAATGAAGAAGAAAAACTAAAAGAAATGGAAAAAATCAACCAAGAAAAGCTGAGGGCTGAGAAACTTAAAGCTGAACAAGAAGAAAATTTCAAAAGGAGCTTGGAGCTGGAAAAGAGAAAAGCAAGACAGAGGGAAAAAGAAAAAGAAGAAAATAGGAAGAAAATGGAAATTGAATATGAGCTGCAAAGACTGCAAGAAGAAGCTGATAAAAAGAAAAAAGAAGAGCTGGAAAATCAGAGGAAGGAAAGGTTTAGAAAGCTGCTGGAATATTCGTGGGATTATAGGTTTCAAAATTTGTGAAGTAGAGTGTTAGGGTCAAGAGATGACTATGAACAAAATTTGACGTACGGAATAAGACTGTTTAAGCATTTAGGAGTTTTTGAGCAAAAAGCTGTGCAAGCGAGTAAAGCTATAATTGATGAGCTGTACCAGCCAAAAACAAAAAGAAGAATCCAGCCTCTTTCAGACTCTCTAGTGCCTATGTATATTTATCAAAACATGATATTCCGCTTAACATGAGACCAAGAAGACAGTAATTCTTGCAAGCTATTTGGGCATGAATTTCGTGCCTCTGATATGCTTCTTGATGCTCTATTTTTACTAGGTAGAAAAGAGCAAACATTTCACTTGCGAGTTCCTTTAACTTCTGTTATTGACTACAAAGGATTTCGGATGCTCGTTATTGCTTTGTCACCATTAGACGGTGACAGAACCTTAATTCATGGGCCAAGCTCAGAAGGTGTATATCATGCCTCTTTGCCTATTTACGACTATTTGTCATGAATAGCCCAAGTCTTAAATCTAAAAGAACACAAATTTGAATGAGATGAAAGAATAGCTCCTGCTTATGTCCATTTAAGCGTTTTCACACAAGTCCATAAAAGTTTAGGTTATAAAGAACTAGAAGAATATGTCAAAGAAAGCATGGGCTCAGATTCTCCTGAAGAAGTGACTAGTGAAGACCATATGTACATGGTAAAATTATCTGATTTATTGCCTATTGATATTGATATAAATAAATCTGATCCTGATTTTTCACAGCGACTAAGGCCGGAATTTATATGTGACTTTGAAAATCCACTATCTGCAGATGCTTTTATTAATAGTTCTGAAGAAAATGCGAACCAAGAAGACATAGAAGTAGCTGAGGCTAGTAGATATTTGAAAACAGCTAAAATTCCTGAGCTAATTGAGCTGTTGGATTCTTTGAGCATTATGCCGATTGATTCGAAATCAATGACACAAGCTTTGCATAGTAATGGGATTAATATAAGATATTTAGGAATAATATCAGAGCAGACAAGTCTGCCGCATATTAAAGATATAGCAACTGTAGAAATTGTAGCAAGAACTTGTAAGCATTTATTGTTTCAACAGTTAGCAGAACTAATGCTTGAGTCTAGCGATTTGTCTCCGGAGAGAAAAGCAACAGATATTGGAGAAGATAAATTAATGGGCACTTTAGGCACAAAAACTGTTGAAGGCAATTATTTAGATGAAGCTAGCGAAAAAATTAAAGATGATATTGAAAAAGCTGCATCCTTATCGTATCATCAAAGTAAACCAATTAATTATGAATTAAAGATTTTATAGAGCTGAAAGTATTATTTTACACTTTATATTAAAAATAGATATTCCATTTAGGAAAAGAGCTTTCACAAAAATGATAGCAGTCTCTTTACAAATGCCTATACAAGAGACTCTAGCTGATTCTCATAGAATTGATCCCGTTTCTCCAAGATCTCACATAAGAATGGATGCTTCTATAAACTAAATTAATTAAATTACGGCCATTAGACCTTAAAGTCTGATTTTTCAAGTAATTTCTCCAAAGTCTATCCTTTTCAAGTAATTTCTTTGCTTCTATAAAGGAATGCGTCGTTGACTATTTAAACTTGGTTTTCACATACATAAATGGCGATGACATCTGACCCGTCCTCTCGTGTTCGTGTGAGGGTAACCCATGCATATCTGGGGCATGATTTTCGGAGTCAGGAGTTGGTCCAGCAATATCTGGTGTCCTGCAGTGAAGGACTTAAGCACAAATCCTCAGATTTGTGGCCTGATCCAATGGAGTTGTTCACAACTTTTTTTTACCAGCAACGCTCGAGCCAGCTACACCGAAATGGAGGAGGGTGAATTACCTGCTCAAGCTGCTATGGTGATATGCCTCGAATTGTGGAAGAGGTTGAGTTTTTCTTAAGTGATGATCTGGGAAAAATGGAAATCTAATCTAATCTAATAAAACTTGGTTTTTGGCAGCGGAGAAGAAAGTGATTTATTCTGGGATGGGATTTTACTCCCAAAAGCTTCCAAAAATTTCAACATCAGTGAAACAACTTTAACAAAAAGCCAAATAAACCTCCATGCACTTTTACATGCCGTCTGCTATCATTGCGGCCTTAATTTAACATTCTATAAAGAAACTGAGCTTGGAAAAGCAGAAAACCCCTTTGTTTTACAAAATCTCGATAAAATAAATGAAAAAGTTAAAATGTTTTCTATGAAAAATGTAGAGTACAAAATTTTGGCTGAAAAATATTTAGAGTATAAAGATGCAAAAAACCACGGTTTATCCTTACAAACTTGCAATTTAAAACTAAGAATAAGCAAAGCTCTGAGTTCAGATCCAGAGTATTTAGGAGATCCTGCACTTTTAGCTGATATTGGAGAAATCCTTTTAGAGACTGGGGATGCAGAAAATGCAGTTAAAAAAGCAAAAGAAGCCCTAATTCAAGTGCATCCTTTGCATTCAGAAAGCGTAAAAAGTTGGTGTGTATTAATGAGAGCTCTTTTTCAAAAAAATATGATGGATGAAGCGCTGCAGTGCTTTGATAATGCGTTAAATGCTCTTGATTACCATTGGGGTCCTTATCATCCTTTGCATTCTACTATCTACTCTATTTTAGCCTTTTTGTATATGCAGAGGCAAAATTATGATGATTCACTTATTCTCTATAAAAATTCACTTATGTGCTGCTTAAGGGTTTTAGGTCCAAATCACCCGCATACAGCTGAAGTTTATATGGAGCTTGGGAATCTTTATATTAGGATTGAAGACCAAGCTGAAGCGTTGGCTGCTTTTGAAAAAGGATATTCTATATATGAAGCATCAATAGGTAAAAATTCAATAATCACAGTAAATGCAGGAACACAATTAGCCCAATTATTGATAAACCAAGGAAGATATGACCAAGCGAAGCCAATAATTTCTCATTGTTGTGAAGTCCATGAGCTTATAATTGAAGAGCTTGGTCGTGATAAAGACCCAGAAAACTCAGTTAAAATAGCTCATCATTATGATAAGCTTTATGAAATTTTAGCCCTTGGACTGACACTTGCATTAGCAATATTAAATTATAGCTTAGTTTTAGTGTATTGTGAAAGACTATGAGAAGTATTAGAAATAAGAAATGAAGAGACTGATAAGGAAATCATTGGAAGGGTTTTAAAGTTTGCACTTGAAGCAAAATTGAAGCTGTTAATACCTGATAAAAAAAATCTAATTTTGAGTGCTTTATTGAAAGAAGAAGAGAATACTGACCAAGAAGAAGTATAACAATAGAATAAAATATTATAAATTTTATATGTATATAATTAGAGTGAAAATACAATACTGCCAGGCATATATAAATATGTTGAAGAAATTAATAGCCATAAATATATGGAAAGGACTAGAAAAGATGGAGGACTATGCAGACATGTTGATAAGTTGATTGAAGAAACTGTAAGTTTAGAAAGAAAAAGAGGAAGAATTATGGCTACTGATGATAATATTAGATTGAGAAAAGCTGTAGAAGAATTGCAAGGAATATTAGAAGTTGTAGGACCAGAAGTTCTTGATTTATAATAATTATTACAAATTGTCTATTTATCCTTTACTCCCCATTTTGGCTAGCAACAAAATTTGTGTTCGCTCACTCATAAATGAGGTTATTTATATTTTTAGAATTCTATAAAAACACTGCAATTGCAATTTTAATAAATATTGACTTTTTAAATAATGGAAATGAAAATAAATTTAATTTGTAAAATAAATATTTGCGAATGCAAGCTATCTAAAATTTAATAGGAATGGCCAAATAGTTATAATTAGAATCGTAAAAATTATATATTAATTATTATTGGCATGCATTTTTATATTAAAAATTTTTCTTGATCACTAACAAAAGAAGTTAATTTTTCCAAAAGTAGATTAATCAGGGGAGTGGGAATTAGCTTTTTCTTTTTAATAAATAATTTCTGCTTCATTAGCCTACCAGCTTATTGCTTGAGATCAGATTTTTTATTTAGCTCGTTTCCGTTAACTTCACTCTTAGAGAATAATTTTTTAAATGGAATTTTTGGTATATTTTATTTTCACATACGAATCATGGAATCTTAAGCCAATTCTATTAAATTTTAAATATTATAAAATTTGAATTTTTTAAAATAGAAAAAACAAATTAATCTCCGCCATTCAGAAAAAAAAATCTTTCAGACCAAGGCATGAAATAAGAGATAAAATAGTATTTTTATTGCATTAGAATCTCTGAAAGTGACTATAAACTTTATTTCTATATTGCCCTTCAATTTTGTATCAAAATATTTGGCACATAAGGATCTGAATTAAATCGCACTAATTGAAGAATCATCATAAATTCCAATTCAAAATATAATAGGAGTTGCAGAGTAATCTCATAAACTCTGCTGCAACTTTGTTAAACTTACTTGGTAAGACATATTCATAAATATGAGATAACAATTTGAGACCTCAAACTATATCTTTAATGCAACTTTAATTTCTCCTATACAATCGTTAGCTTTATTAACATTAATTATAAACTGGCCTAAAGAACTCCTTTGGCCCTGATAATTCTCCTTCGACTAAGCTTCCATACAAAGAATGAGGTGTTGATATGAGAAAAGCATTTTCAAATTCGCCCCTCATAAGTGAACCTCTAAGAGAGTTGATGGAGAGCGTTGATAAGGATCTCATGTGGGAAGAAGTCTTGCTCATGAGTTTTCCTGATGTGACTTGAGAATTATTTTGTGATGATAAACTTATGTCATCAAATTCCTCTTCAAAAGGTTTCTTAAAATCGTGTTGATCTTGGTCCACAATGTTATCAATTTGAATTATCTTAATAGGCCATAAATATGCTAATAGCTGCATTTTCTTTACCTTACTCCCCCCCCCCCCCCTCCGTAAGCGAACAAAAAAAATTTTGTTCACTCACGGAGGGGGGTTAATTTTTTTTTTTAAAAACAATTTATATATAAATTTTTTATAAAAAATATTTTTTTCGAAATTTAAAAAAATCCTAATTTGCAAAAATTGGGAAGCAAATACTAATTTAATTTGCAAAATTTATGTTTTTAAAACGCAATTTGTTTAAAATTAAACAGAATTAGCTCTAGATTTCATTATACTAATTATCACTTATATAGCAAAATTTTTTTCTATTAAAATTTTTTCTATTAAAAATATTTTTGTTCACTCACGGAGGGTGGGTTTTTGGTCAAAAAATGGTGATTTTTCTAATGGTTTTGTTCGCTCACGGAGGGGGGGGGGAGTTAGTAGAAATTAACTATCAGTTTAATGCTTACTGAGTAATGAGTTAGGATTATTTAATTGGGTATAATTCTCCTTTATCGAGTTTTCTACACTGACAGCAGCCCATTATTTTAATATTTGTCTATTTTATTACGTTATGGGTGGAAGATTTCATATTTGATAGGAATTGTGAAGAGAAAAAAATAAAGCATTGAATTTTAATAGATAATTTGCATTTAAAATGATGATCTTTCTATATTCGAAAATTTAGTCATATAGCGGCAATATCAATATTATATTTTAATAAATTTTATTATAAATTAGAATTTTTATAATAAAATAGTTAATATTGCTGAACTATAAGGTCATCAAAGGCAATATAATGCATTACCTTGATATTTTATAGCTTTGAAAAGAAAATTAGCTTTAAAAGCCAACAGACTATTCTATATAAGAAGTCATATCACCAGCTGAAAAATACTCTGAGTTAAAATCATCAGGTATCCAATCAATCGTTTGCTCAAATTCTTCATGATATGGATCTGATAAAATTTCTAACACATTTTCATATCCACTAACCCCTCCACTATCTTCCAGCGGGCAACGCCTACAGCCTTCCAAACATATCGGATACTTCTTTCCTTGCTCTGGAATAAATATACCCTCGAATTCGATTAAATGTTCCCATCAATCTCCATGATTAGGTTAGGTTATTAAGAAAATGCTTTAGCCGTATCTTTGATGCAGCTATCATGGATCAGGTCTAGGAGTAATCGGCAAGTCATATCCTTGCTGTTTTGGGGTTTTAGTCTTTAGTGGTAGACTAAAGGGCTCTTCTGACTTACTACAGCCATTGATAGAAGCTTGATTCCAATGATACACATCTGGTGATACTGCACTTGATCCTTGGCTTAGAGTCTGTTCCAGTTCTCCTTGACATTAAGGCCAAGGCTACTGTGCCATGAGGGCTGGTGGCACGTGTCGTTATTTTAATGCATGCATGCAGTCTTCATAGTCATAAGTAAATATCGCATTTATGTTTTGAAAAGAAAAATAATCTTTGATTATTTCGTTTTCTTCATAATGTTTGGAATAGAAATGCATTGAAATAGTGCATCTTCTTCAATTTATTGGATTTCTTAACTTAAAATCATGTGTATGGTAGTCTAGCCAGCCCATTGAATCAATAATCGCTTGGCTAAATTCTCCAAATGTGAAATCGCTTGGGACTAAAATTCTTCTCCATATTGGAGGTCTTGAGCCAATTAAAGTGATCTTGAATTGAAAAAGGTGATGTTGAGAATTCATTTTAAAAATTAAATGGCGCCTGAAATTATATGATGAAAAATTTATAAATTCTGCTAACTCCCCTTTGGTAGCGATCAAAATCATTATAAAATCCCTATTTTTGGGAAAATTAACAGTAAATATATTACATTCCAAACAGCTTGCATCTTTTAAAGCACAAACTTTGCAAATTTAATTAGATTTTTATTTTAAATATTAAAAATATTGGCTTCTAAAGTTCTGAAACAATTTTTTATATAGTTAGCGCATCTTAATAAATTATGAGAGCAAATTCTCTCAAAGAAAAATAATCTTTTTGTAATTTAAAAATAATTTTGAAAATTAAATCAAATATTGGCAGAAGATATATAATGAAATTTGAAGAACTTTTCGATTTTTCTTATATTTTAAATTTTAAGGGTGTTGCGGAAGAGCATGTGCTATGCATCTTTATATAATTTTTTCTTTAAAAAAATTAACCTTCATTTGAAACAAAAGTCTTGCTTGCTAGTCAGAGGGGGTTGCTTCATATGAGAATTCATCGTAGTTTTAAAAAGTGTAAAAATTATCAGTAAAAATCTCAATTGATGCTTTATGATGGCAATCTCTTGAATAGCAATACTCTATTAGAGCTTCAACATCAATTCAAGAGCAACTTTCTGGAGATATGTTCCACTTGCATTTAAGTAGGGGGCAATGCTTGAGTTCTTTTCTAAATATATTACTTTTAAATAGTACATTAATTAAAATGGTATAATATTTTGGCTTAATTTCTGATCGGCTCTCACGAGTCAAATGGGTTTTTCACATGGAATTTCCGGATTTTCACGCGTGAAATCCATCTTTTGGCTCGTGGGAGCCGATCAAAAATTTTAGCAACTAATTATAGCACGTAACGCCTGCCCTCTTGGCGAAACAGACCCAATTTTATGGCAACAGCGAACTGGGAGGACTCCGAGTGGAAAATCAAGTGCCATCTCAGCAGATTTATATCTGAGTAGGTTTTGGTTACCTTATTGTAGTTTGAAATGCCTGATAACGTCCTTTGGATCCAAGGACCAATGGGCCTTCTCTACCGAGAAGCTGGGGATTTCGACACAGGCCATATGGAATAGTCTTTCTTATAGCTCTCGAAGAAAAGACCATCGCCATTCGATAGAATTCAAGGAGAATCAAGTTAATTCAATCACCTGCCAGAGGGTTGCAGATATCTATAAGCCGCCCACTCAAGACTAACGCCGCAAGGAGGGACAAAGGTACTGAAAGTGGCAACCGTTTTGGGGAAAGACAGAAGAACCTCCCTTTGGTGACTGCATCACCAATATTGCTCACACCTACCTTTAATAAATTAACATTACTTTAAAATTTCTGGAATAAATTTAATCGTCAATAGGCATAAATTGCTGAAATATTGTTAGAAGAAAATATATTTGTATAATGTTTCATTTTCTTTCATAAAGCCAACTGATATCTTTTTAAGTTTATCTTTTCTAAATATAAGGCATTACTCATAATGGCATATCTAAATTCTTCAAATGTAGAAATTTCTAGAGTTTGAGCTTTTCTTTATTTTGAAAAAGAACTTTAAAGATTAATTTAAATTTTCCAATTTCCCATTTTTAACCCATTTATTCTATCTTATTGTTCTAATATATAAGATAATGCTCGTAATTATATAAAAGTTAATTTTCTAGTATAATATATGCTCTATTGTTAATTCTAGCTTAAAAAATATGTTGATTTGAGCTTTTGTAATTATTTATATTATTTACACCTAATCTTCAGCAGCTTTAAGCTTAAAGAAAATTGGCTTTTGTACATTAAATTTATCATAAGAGAGATACATGAGATATATATTTTTTTGAATAATATTTATATTAACTTATCCAATAATGTGTTTTCTATCTTACTCCTCACTCTGTGAGCGAGCAAAACCATTGGAAAAATTACAATTTTCTGGGTAAAAGTCCACTCTCCAAAAGCGAGTAAAATATCTTTTAATTTTATAAACTTTTTTATAAAAATATTTTGATATATAAATAGCATTTATTATAATTAAATCCGAATTAATTCTGTTTATTTTAAATACCTAGTATTTTTAAACATAAATTTTGTAAATTAATTTTATTTTGGCTTTCTAATTTTGGTGGATATTTTTAAATTCAGGAAAAAATAGTTTACTATAAAATTTATAGATACAAAATTAGTCACAGCTAAAAAATTTTTTTTGTTAGGAGGAGTTAAGATTTCTATTAGTTGAGGAAAATATGGTAATAAATTTGCTTACCCAAGCAATATATTTTTGCACCCAACAAGGGGCTATGCAAATAAGAACTGGAGCAACTTTTTATATAAAGGATTAATAAATAAAAATTCTTTTATTAATTTTTAGTTGATTAATTTTTCAAAACATTAAATTTCTACAAAATTTTGCTCTCTACAAGATGAGAAAATTAGTAGCCAAGCCATATGACAGATCTAAATTCTACATCACAAGAAGAATCCGAGCTTTCTCAAGACCTTCCAAAAATTCCTTCCATAAATCAATCATATCCCAACCACGACGCCGATCTAAAAGTGTTTTGAGAAGAAAAGAAATCATCATTTATCAAATTAAAATTATGAGAAGACGAAAGAAGTAAGTTTTATTCAGTGAGTCAAGCATCCAAACATCGAACGTTATTAGAATGCATTTTAGGCAGAATAATGCAAAAAGCCAACATAGGGAGAGAAGCAAACCTAGCAACAGCTAAATTTTTAAAAGAAAGGGCACAAGCTGATCTTCAATATGCTGATATCTTGAGAAGTCAACTAATTTATCTCCCAACTCCAACTGCACACATGACAAATAATTCATTAAAATCAGGGCTTGCATCAGTAAATGCAGTCCAAAATGCACTTTTGGCTAAACTCAAAGATTTTTCTCAGCATATAGAACTGTAAATTTTATTTAGTGATTTGCTGAAAAATGACCTTGCAGAAGTATTAATAAATTATGACTCAAAAATTATTGAATTTCATAATAGAGCAGAAATACTGAAAAAAGAGCTTGATTTTTTGAATGAAAAAACTATAAAAAGTTTCAAAGAGCACGCTACAGTTTTCAGATCAGCAGAAATCCAGCTCAGTTCTAATGGTTTGGTAACTTCTTGCTCATGGCTTTCTGAGACAAGATATTTAAAACAGTCAAATTTCCAACTTCAGCTGCAAGGTGCTTTTGCTGTATTTGTGAGCAGCTTCTGAAAAGAAACTTTAGAGCTAGAACTGCAAAGAATTAAAGCAATTAAATCTACAATGAAAAAGTTTATTGAGTATGAGCAAGAAGTTTTTAACCTCAACTCAGAAGAAGCCCTTCAGTCCTTAGAAGATATTTCAGAGGATTTATCAAAAACTATGGACAGCTACAAACTTCTTACTCCAAGTGAGTTCGAAATCCTAAGAGAGCTGGCAGGACCTGATGAGCCTTTAGAAGCTTTAATTAACTGGAAGCTAGAAATACCAAAAGGGATGAGCCTAATTGTGAGGGAAGGCAAATTATCAAGAGAAGCTGGAGTATTTAGGCATTGAAACAGCTGTTATGTGGTGGCTACAAGTGATAGATTTTTGCATATATTTGCAGATGTGATTTCTGAGGAATTTGTTGAACCATTAATATCGATCTTTTTAATGGGAGCAAAAATTTTACCATCGAAAACACATGAGGAATATTTTATTGAAATTATTGAAGCTAAATCTCAAGGATTTTTTGGAATGTTGAGTGCGCCAAGGAGGACAATGCTCTACACAAATAATCTTGAAGAGATGCAGGATTGGGTGAGTACTCTTAATATGCTCATAAAATAATTGAAAATAGCTTTTGATCATATTATGGTTTTGTAAAATAGAGCCTAATATAAGCATGGCTAAATTAATATCTCCTCCAATATCAAATCGAAGGCTAAATAGCTAGCTTATGCTTATTTAAGTCGGCTTCTCAAATGGTAATCACCCAGCACCAAGTGAGTCTATGTTTGGGAAGTTGGCCTAGCTAGCATAAATGAATTATTTAGCTCCTCTTTAGGCATCAGAAAGCATCGTATAGCTCAGCTGCTATCAAAATAGTGCTATATGTAATTTTATTATTCTAGACATTATTGCTTTATTTTCTTATCCACATTTCCTAAACTTATAATTTTTTTGCTTTCCTCAATGGAAACTAATATCCAGAACCTTCTTAGCTTAGATGAGCACGGCGGTCTCTTTTTTGTTGACACAAATCCAGAAACTTCTTCTCCTTCACCTACAGACTCTCCGAAGCCTCGCGATCCCCTCATGGAAGATTTCAAATCTATTCTATTAAATTTATACGCTTAACGTCCCTTACGGGGTTGCCCCATCCCAGAGCTTCCGCCTGCCCTATGGCGCATCGGGCACACTGGCCTCTGGGTCGACCAGCTTTGTTTCGCCAAGGTGCGTCTAGTGGTAGACGTTGCCGACTTCGACGGCTGAGCTACTTCGCTTGAGGACATGGGTTGCCATTCCGAAAATCCATAAAAAATGGATTTTCTGGTAGGCTTTCGGCAAAAAGGAAAACACGAAGCCTGGGACGTAACGCCCAGTTTCACGCTAGGGAGTGGCCCGAATGGTCCTAACGGACTTGGCTGAGCTTCCCCTTTCCAACTCACGTGCCTCCTTCCCCATGAGGAAAAAACATCCCTGAAAATAGACTTAGGCTAGGCTCTGAGCACCACCAGAATTGCTTACTTAGCATTGCCGTCCCTTTCTGAAATGCAAAACCTTGCCGGATATAATTAAAATATGAGTCGAGACTGCATGGCCGGGAGGCCATGCCCCCAGACGAAGAGGCCATATTTTAATTGGAAGATTTCAAATCAAATGGCCGCTACTACGAAGACCCAAACCCTCTCATAAAGTGTTTTAATTGCAACGAGTTTGGCCATATGTCCAATTCTTGTCAAAGTATGTCATACAAGTTCAGGTGCAACTATACTATGTGAAGCCTAATAGCGCTCTATTGACTACGCCACATCTATCTCGCTTCGAGTTTGGCATGCTTCTCATTTTTGAAAAGTTAATAAAGGAATGAAAAACTCATATATATTTCCCACAATTTTATTTTATTTCATTAAATTTATAAATTCTCTAAAAACGTTTTAAACTGGAATTGAGAGGGTAGGGCATCCTTAAAGATTGCTATTAGCACATATATGGTATATTGTGGTGAACTTGGACATACCGCGTATTCTTGCACCCAAATAGTTTGTCATCGGTGCCTGAATGTTGGACATAAAATAAACCAATGCCGGGCCGATACAAATGATAAGTGTGGGATATGCAGAAGAGCAGGACATAGGCCTAGGGTTTGCATGCTGAGAGATAAACCATTAGAAGATTCACAACTAGCAAAATTGACTTGTTTGAATTGCGGGGAAATTGGGCATACAAATTGCTACGAGCTTGAAAGCTACTCAAAAACAGTCTACTGCTGTAAATGCGCAGAAAAAGGACATCTGTGGGATGAATGTGATAGGAAAAGAAATAGAGAGGTGGAGGAGGATCGGAGAAAAGAGAATGAAGGACGAAAAAAACAAAAAATAGATAGTTTGTTTTAGAGATAATTAGTGTATAATAATTAAATAATAATTAAAATAACAGATTGAAAGTATATGCAGCAGAGTTATACAAAAAATGGATAAATAATAAGGTATTAGGTATTTTAATGCAGATAATAAGTTAAATAGTCGTTTAATCTAAATCCACCCTAGTTAACGACTAAGATTTTGCTAACCAAAGAAGAAATTAATGTTTTTAATAAAAAAAGGTTTTAAAAAAAATTAAAGTTAAAATATTTGAAATAAAAACCTTATTTAATTTAAGAAGTTCTAAAATTTCATTATGATTCATTGAAGATCTGATTATTACAGCTATTATTATATATCAACATATTTTCTATAATTGAATTTTTAAATTTATTTTCATAAGAACAATATTTTTACTTGCTCTATAATCGAAAGACGGAGTAATTTATAAAAAAATATGGATTCATCAGGCTCTAGCAGTCCAAAAAGCTCGAAAAATCACTTTCTCATGCTAAAATTTTTAAGGTTTGGCTTCAGTATTATCTTATTATCTATCTTATTTATTGGAATCTTCCAAAACTCCCTCCATTTCTTTATATATCTTACAAACTGAGGCCTTACATTGACAGCACTTTATTTTGTTGTTTCTTCAATTTCTTATTATTACAGCAAATACATGCCAATTTCAGTAATTCTTTTTGAAACAGTCTGGTGTATTGGCTGATGTATTTTTGTGGTATTTTGGGGTGTCGTTGGCCCTCTTAAAGGCCATCACGTGATAGCTGATGTCCTATTACACATTTTGCCAATTGTTCTCGTTATTATTGATTTTTTACTAAATGAGATTTTAATGACAAGAAAACATGCAATTTTCCCTATTGGAGTCAGCATTATTTATTTAGTTTTTATAAATATTCCATATTCAATAGCAATTCATGAAGTTTATCCTTTGATGAACTATAAAAACATTTGGACATATTTGATTTTGTTTTTAAGCTTAAGCGTTCAAGTGTTTTCTCTTGAAATTGGAATTTGGATTAAAAGAAGACAAATTGGCAACCAGAGAATTCTTGAGCTTGAATTAGAGAATGCTAAGGTTGTTTCTACATCTCCAAGCGTAGCATAACTAGGCTATTTATATAATAATTTACTAAAATAAGTATTTTTAAAAATGAAAAATGCGCTAAAATCAAAATTATGCATTAAACTACTTTTGATAGAGCTAAATTGCTTTCAATTTTCAGTGAATCTATAGCCTCTATCACTTCATTTCAAAATTTATCAACTTCTTCCTTATGCCTTGATATTTTTTCACTTGAAATCCCTGACACTGGTATATCGTTTTTAGGAACGTTATTTTTTCATACGAAAGTTATATTTATGGATGCTTGCAGATATTCTTTGGCTTTAGCTTTTGAATCTTCTTCGCTAATTGGATTTGGTTGTGCAGATAAATCCAGAAACTGGGTGCTTGTCTCTTCAACTATTTGAGTCAATGCTGGCTTTAAGGCTTCTTCAGCTTCTTCAACTGTTTTTGGCCGATTTTGAGCTACCTTCCGATTATCATTGCTTTGCTTAAATAAAACTTTATCATTTGGTCTAATAAAATCTTTAAAATATGCACTTTGTCCAAGCTCGTGATTATTAGCAATAGAAATAAGGTAGTCTTCCAATCCTTTTTTTCTCGTTTCTAAAAACTCTTTATTTTTATTTCCAAAAATTTTTTTGGGTGGAAACTTACTCTGTATAAATATAATGATTTTAATTTTTTATTGTATTTTTAATGCTGAATATGGAATTCTACTATTTTAGCTAAATTAATATTAACTTTATATTAATTTTAATAAAATATTCAGTAAATTGTATAAGTTAGGAACCTGGCTGGAGAAATTTTTCAAAATTTGGTGCAATTGTCTTATTTGTGAATACCTTCTTCTCATGCTCCACCTTTCTCCAGAGATATTATCAGTAACAATGATCGTGTACTCTATATGACCTTTTGATAAAGAATATTCACCAATTGCAATTGACAAAGACATTAATTATTAATTATTTCTATTAATCAGCCCAATTTTCTATTAATTAGCTTACTAATGGGTATGAATATTTTCCGTCCATATATCCTTTGAAAATCACATAATGCACAGCTACTCCAAACTCTAAAGAAGTTGCAAGATTAGCAAGCCACATTCCTGGGCCTGTCCCAAAGTCGTTTAAAAAGGCGACACTAATGAGCATTATCCAAACTATCATTGAAAACGCAAAAGCTATAGGTGTCAATATATGTGGGAACTAAATAAAAGGTACATCAAATTGAAAGAGGCCCATTCCTGTATTCCATCCGATGCTTGCTGATGAAACTATACAGTAGCCTTGGAGCAATAAAGCGAAAACAGTTAAGCAGATATACTAAATAAAGTTTACCATAATCCCTGCAAGCTCGAAATTCGTAATCTGGAGGCAATCTTCTCTAAGGTCAGGATATTTATTTAAATTTTTCTGATTGCACATGTTTTTGAAGTCACCATATACTCTCCAGCTTTTGTTTTCTCCTCCCATATATATTTCTCTCAATGAGAAATCACTTTTCTACTTATTATTTACCCCATAGGAAAACCAATGCTTTATGCTTAGACAAATCACAAAAAGTATCATCAGAATCAGGTTGGCCAAGGCATTCAATTTCATATGCTGATGTGGTTGAAGTGTGCAGATTTTGCTAATTCTCCTTTGATTTTCCATTATCAATTATTACCAAAATGGCACTTCGCACATTAAAATTAAAATTATTACACTAATCCTCAGAAATTTGAAAACTCCTTTCTTTTGCATAAAAGCTGTCAGGTCTGATCTCAATTTCTTCGTTTTCTTCATAACTGCCTTCAAGCGCGACCCTAAAAATAACTGGGTTTTCGTGGGCTGCTGGCTTGATTTCAGTCGTCACTCTACCTCTTTTTATCTTTTCTCGGCCTTGCATTTTACTTATGGTGTCTTGAATTTGGTCTTTTTTTTGGTGTGAGGCGATATACTCTTCAGCTAGTTTTTCGTTTTTTTCTAACAATTTAGAATTTTCTGCAGATATTATTAGCAGCCCTTCGCTTTCTACAGTCAGCTCTTGTTTCATATTATGAATTTCTTGTTTCATCTGTTCTATTTTGTCTTCTAAAGCTCTTTCTTCTGGCGTTAGGGCTGTTTGTTTATAATAATTATCTTGCATTGAAAGTGTTTTATTTTTAATTTTCGTAAAATCAAGGACAGGTACAGGCCTTTGCTTATTAGGCGTTGTATGAATTACTTCTTCATCTTCAACTGGCTCATTGATTATTGAACTTTCTTCTGATCCACTTGTCTCATCAGATATTTTGAACTCAAAGCTGAACTCTTTTCTTGGGCTAAATAAGTTATTAATATAGCTTCTTTCTACCCCTGGCTTCCTATTTACAGGATTTTTCAATAATGCTTCTATTTTCTGACATTCACTTCAAAGCATTTTTGAATTCTCCATAAGTTTATATCTATACATCTGCGTACAATAAAGGTCCCTTGCAAGATCTTGCATATATTCTTTTAAGTCTTCAACTTGGCAATGCAAGTCCAAAATTTCATCAGTAGGTGGGACAATTATCATATTCCTGGATTTTCTATACAGCTCAGCATCGATTTCTAACTGCTTGTTTCTTGTCATGAGCTCACAGATAATGCGTTCTTTTTTGTCGTTTTGGTACCTAATTTCTTGGAGCTTGTCTTCGTATTCTTGGACTAATTCTTGTTCTTTTCGTTGAAATTCTGCAGAAATTTGTTCGTTTATTAAGGCTTTGCCTTGGGCATCATTTCGGTCAGTGATGAGCTTTTTGAGGGTGTCTTCAAGCTGCTTTGTTTCGGTGAGCAGCTGCTCGATCATACGTGGAGCTGTATAGCTGATATTGACAGTGTCTTCAGAATTAGACTCATTTAATTTACTTGATAATATATCATGAAGCATTTCTTTATTAAGGGCTAGGTTTGTTTCGAGATCGTCTATATAAATTTTGAGCTGCTCAGATTCTAGCTCTATTTCTTTGGCTTTGGCAGCTTTGCGGGATGGGATTCCTTCGCCTCCTGGAAGTGTATTGAGAGCATGATTTAGCATTTTTGTATTTAAAAGATATAAAGGAGATTTCAATATTATGGATAAAGTTAAAAACTCAAGGCCGATGCGAGCTTTGTGGAATATTGCCTGAACATATTTAAGCTATTAATAAAGCGCCATTAGTTAATATAATATTGTTTGCAAAAAAAATAGATTCCACAATGTCTCTTGGAAAATAAATTTTGAAGATGTTTTGCTATCAATAGCATGGTGATTGTGCTTTCAATAAAAAAAATTAAGAGTAGGAACAATTTTTCAAAGGCTGCGACTTTGATTCAAAGTGAGTAAAAATTAATTGATTTTATTTTTTTCTAAGAATTGGAAACTCTCTGAGGTAATTAAATTGATATTCTTCTTGAATAATTTCTTATAGCCTTCTATGTGTGGAATGGAATTCCACATTTTAGCATGAGAGATGTGAGGAAAAAAATTCTACGCTAGGAAAGCTGAAAGAAATTACGACAAAGAATTATATTAAATTAAATTTAAAATATTTGGACTTTCGTCATTTTTTGTCAGTCAATGCACTAATGGAAGAGAGGATTTTCAGAATAATTGCGTTGAATGGGATTCGAGCTGAACTCGGTAAACTTGCCATTTCATACAAAAATAACGGCAAGTATAAATTTGTTTATGTCTTAGATTTAGGCATTATTTAAACTTATCTTCAACGCTTTTATTTCGGTTGGTTTTCTTCGCATAGGGTCGGTAATTTAGACAATTGGCCAGAAGATACTTCATCTTTCGGACAATTTTGCCTTCTTGAGTATAATCCACTTAACTGCAAATTTAATTTCGGAGCATTTTGGGCCTTTATAACTGACTCCCCCTTTAGATCGGAACAAAACATAGGTAAATTTTCCATTTTGACCTAGTTTAACTGGAAAAGTAAAGTAGATAGAATATTATTTTTAAAAACCTTTTTTCGCACTGAATCAATTAATTTTTTGAGTTAATTTTTCATAAAACCAAATTGAAATTCAAAATTTATATTTATTTTTTTTAAGAACTTTACTATTTAATATAATTATAAAAAAAAAATTTAGCTTTTAAATTGGTAAAAAATATTCTGTTTCAATTTAACCTTTTAAATTGGCAGAGAATTTTTTGTTCCAATTTAAAGGAGGGCAGTGAGAGAGTCTTCTCTGCAAAATTAAGCTTTCCTCCCTATTTATCGAACTTTTTTCAATAATTCTGTAATTAGATGAGCCTCAGCTAGATTTTGTAACACACAGACCCATATTTATTTTGCTGAATATTAATTATAATAAGCCAATTCTGGATAATTTATTAATTATTGCATGCCTATTAGCATCTTAGCACTTCAAAAACCAGTTTTTTACTTATTAAATTTTGTTTAATTTATAAAAGGAAACACACCAAATATTGTGTTGAATAAATTTATATGTTAGAAATTTGATTAAATCTTTTGAAAAATAATAATAAATTAGTAATTTTAATTTAAGTATATAAGATTTTAGCTTGGTAGGCATGTGAAAATTTAAATATATGAGAAAAATAAATCTTTATGAAATTTGAGTAAAATTAGATTTAGTAAACAATCATATCGCATTTGGATATTGGTTGCCGGAAAGGATCTGTATAAGAAACTTTGGACTTAATATTTGGGAGTTTGCTTACTGAAATGTTCCTTCTTTCTGTTGGAGAAGTTAACACATCTTCAGTGATAGGATTATTCTCTTTTATCATATATTGAAGATATTTCTAGAATTTATAATACCATATGCCTTTGATTATAATTCTGATATCGGAAGTATATAAAAATTAAGCTTTCTTGTTCTGTTTTTCACCCTACTTACACCCCCGAAAACTGGAGAGCCACTATTTATGTTGTTCTCCAGGTTTGTTGCTTGCTTTTTAATTGATGGGAGCTTGATTTCGCTACAAGACTGTTTGTGCATTTTTATAATGGATATAAAGAACTTATTTGATTACTTTTTAAAGATTTAAGGTAGTATCTAAAGGGATAAACACTAACTCCCCCCCCCCCTCCGTGAGCGAACAAAACCATTAGAAAAATCACCATTTTTTGACCAAAAACCCACCCTCCGTGAGCGAACAAAAATTTTTTTAATAGAAAAAAATTTTAAATGGAAAAAAATTTTGATATATAAGTGATAATTAGTATAATGAAATCTAGAGCTAATTCTGTTTAATTTTAAACAAATTGCGTTTTAAAACATAAATTTTGCAAATTAAATTAATATTTGCTTCCCAATTTTTGCAAATTAGGATTTTTTTTTAAATTTCGAAAAAAATATTTTTTATAAAATTTATATATAAATTTTTTTTAAAAAAAAAAAATTAACCCCCCTCCGTGAGTGAACAAATTTTTTTGTTCGCTCACGGAGGGGGGGGGGGGGAGTAAGCAGCTCCTCATTCGTTTTTTCGACTAAATGCTTGTATATTGGGGCTCCGTTATCATTTGCTTCCAAGATCTTTTTCAATTTCTCAAGCATTGCTTTTTGGTTTTCCATTATTGATTTCTGACCAATTCTATAAATAATCTAAATATATTTTACAGCATTCCTTTCTCTTATAGGCAAATTTGTACTTAATAGCTGTAAATCATACTCTAAAGGCGTTGTGAAATAGCGCTCAATTTCAGAATAAAGGGCTAAAATTTTTTCTATGACATAGATTTCTAGCTTAGGAAGACAAGGAGTTCCATAATAAATAGGAGGGTCAATACCAGCAAGTTCTGGGGCTGAAAAATCAGTTGAGGCTCTAAAATAGCTAAAAATTTGTGTGTTTAGCTTTTTCCTTTTAAGAGTGTATAATTCTGAAACATCGTCAATTAAATGCCCATCTGTTTTTCATTGCTTCTGTTCATAGTCATCAGGCAGCAATAATCCTGTTTTCGTACTTCGTGTATTTCAAATTCTGAAGTATAGAGCATCATATCTGTTGTTTTCTAAATCCCCTCCGTGAGCGAACAACACATTGGAAAATCCCTATTTTTTGCCCAAAGCCACACTCAATTAGCGAGCAAAAATGTTTTTAATATGAAAATTTTGATATATAAGTGATAATTATATAATGATATCTCTATCTAATTCTTTTAAATTTTAAGCAGCTAATATTTTAAAACATAAATTTTACAAGGAAATTAATATTTGCTTTATATATAAATTTTTTTTAAAATAATTAACCCCTACGTGAGCGAGCAAAATATTTTTGTTCATTCACGCTAGGGAGAGTAAGGTAAACCCATAATCTAAAAGTAGATCTCTGTTGCTTAATCTACCATAAGCATTATATACTTGTTCCCCTTTTTTAAATCCAGTCCTCACTCCTGTTGTTAATATAAAATAGCTATCAGGCTCATCTCTAATTTCAAGATCAGTGCTTGTTTCATATTCATCCTCCTCTTCGCTAGTAAGTTCTCCAATTACTCTGGTATCTTCCTCGTCTGAGCTGCTTCTATAATTCTTGAGTTCTTCATCTAATTCTCATATTGAGTCAATTTCAATTTTTTTGTTTTCTTCAGAATTATCGAGATATTTTTGCAGTCTTGTCCTATAGAATCTGGCTTTTTCAAATTCAAAAGTTGGGTGGCTTTCATTGGAGAAATCCCTATAGTCTGTATCTCCTTTGTTGTTTTTTGATATTTCTTCTAAGACACATTTATACTCACTTTCATAACGAATGTAGCCATCATCATGATTTAAATTATCGGCTAGAGGTATTAGCATTCCGTCTTCTCATGCAAAAAGTCGTGTGCACGCTACTCGCCACACCCATTCAAAAGTTCCTCTTATGTCTTTTTCAGGAGGGAAATATTGAGGGTGCTCTTTTAAAACTTTTCACATCGATTGCCAACAATTTTCTAAATAAATCCTTCACTTTTTTGCTTCATATATCAATATTGGATCTTGTAGGATCTCTAGTTCTTCATCAGTTCAATCGATAACTGTTTGTGTACCTTTAATTGTTTCAAAATAAGGATGCCAAAAGCTTTCTTCACCTTTTAGCCGTTCATATATTACAAAAGTCCACAGTATATGGTCGTCTGCTCTTGGATGGGAAATATAAAATCCTGAATGTTGAAGAAATATATGAGCAATTTCACTTTTTTTTGCTTTAAATAGATTGATGGTCAATGAGTAGGGAACAAAGAGCAAAGCCTAACTTCCCCTCTTTCAATTGGAACAAAAATGTTTTTTCCGATTTAAAGGGATAATTCATCGAAATATTTTGCTAATATTTTTTCGTAAAATTTGCAGGGGGGTAAGTAAAATTCACTTTATTAGGAGTTATATCTATTTTTGCTCTTGGTCCTACTAGCCCTGAATCGGGAAAATACACAGGATACTCAAGCTATTTGATAATTACACTGGGAAATATGCAGCCATTTTCAATCAGCCAGCTTAAATAAGCTTTGTATTTTTCGTCTTGATCCAATAAATAGCTTGAACTGTTTAGACAAGAATCAGAAGAATTATCATTTAATGCCACTTGCTCTGTCATTTATAATTGCAAAAGCTTTTGCTATTTAATGAAGCTAGAAGAATTTTAATAGTAATATTAAATCTGGATAAATCTGAAAAGATAAGAATTATTATTAACATTTTCAATATAACTATACATAATTATTAAATAATAAGTAAAAGTAAGTTGTTTTATTCTTAATTTTGGTGACGATATTTCATTTCTTTATATTAATATATTTCTTCTTTCCATATCGTTATGAGAAATGCTATTAAACTTCCTACTCCAATTAGTCCATCATCCTCTTTTATTCCTCCAAAGCTAGACGATGGGGACTCTACCCCAAGGTTATATGATCTAGATTTTTGTCCAACTATATCTCAATTTAATGATTCACAAGCTTGCTATGTATTTTCGCCTCTATCTCGCTCAATAAAGCTTGAAAATCTAGGCCAAACAGACCGAAAAATGCTGAGTGAGCTCAATGGAAGTCAGAAAAGCACTTTTTCAGAAACCCAGATAAACAGCTCATTAAAACTTGGTATAAAAGAAAAAGCTAAGTATGAGAAAAAGATAGAAGATCTTGAAAATGAAATTAAGGCACTAAAAAGAATGAAAGTCTTATTAAGGGAAAAAGACCGAATTGTAGGAAATATTGAATCACAATTAGATATTGTTAAAGCAGAAAACCAAAATTTAAAAAGGGAGGTTAAAAATCTCAGATTAGAAAATCTTGCTTTAACTAATAAATTCCAAAGCAAAAGTGAAGAAGAAACTAAAAAAACGTCAGAGGACCCTGTAGTTCGAGTTTCTAACGCTTTAAATACTTTTAAATCAGATTTAACTGATTTTATACTTCTAAGCCAAAGAAAAAGAAGCAAAACAGAAGCCCCAAAACCTGCCAGATTATAATAATAATTTTTACTTTAAATTTTCAAAATTTTCCATTAAATTATTGCCATCAAATAAACCAAAGAAACCGCATAAAATAAGGCTGACTCATCAAGGTCTTTTTCAGCATCTTTCCAATCTCTAAGGAATATTTTTATAACGCAATCTTCACTTTCCTGCATTTGGGCATAATAAAGCACTATTCCTTGATAGTATTTGTGAAGTTCTACATTTTTAGAATCCCAATAATCATTTTGGCATTCTTCTGCTTCCCTTCTCACTGTATTGCATTTATTTATTTCTGAGCTTTGAAGCCATTTAAGATGCTGCTGGGTATATTGAAAATAAGGAGGATCTCCAGGGAATAAAGGGCAAAATGAAGATCTGTCTTTATTCCAGCCACAAGTACAAGGCTGAACTATTGAATATGCTGGAGAAAAATTTGGGTCTTTATTTGAGTAGCATTGATCTGAGGTGGTACATAAAGTAGGAAGTTTTTGAGGATTTTTTAACGGAATTGTGCAAGCCCACACGTTAGGCTCCGATTCATTTTTTAGTGCACAAGTTCCTGATTGGCATAATTTATTTTGGTCATTTATGCATTGGTAGACTTCATGCTGTGGAGATAAAGAATAGTAGCTTACACAAGTATTATTGTCAGGATCTGAAGTGATATAGCAGCCAGCTCCATTTACGCAGTCATAATCATCGTTGCAGCTAGTTTTGCCAATATCAATTTGCTTTTGGCAAGTTTGAGCACCTAATATAGTTTGGCATCTCAGTCCTGGATTACAATTATTATCATCCACACATGATTCTCCGAGATCAAACCCAGCGCAAGTCCCGTTTACGCAGTTTGGGCCGAAAATGCTGCAGTCCTCTTTTTTTTGGCATTTTTCTCCTGGTCATTTATTATTGATTATTGGTGTAGGATTGACACAAGTGGAATTCTGATCGACCAAAGGAACACATATTTTAGATTTATCAGAGCATTTTTGAGCATAATAGGAATTAGTTGTGCTGATAAAATACATGCAAGTGTCAGAAGTAAAAGATTGAGCTGCCTTTCTGCAAGTGAATGATGGGCAGGTATCAGATATATACAATTTTTGGCTTGCTTATTTTAATACTGGAATTAGATATAAATTTTTACATAAAACAAGAAATAGCTTGACACTTAATTTATTAATTTCCCTGATATGGTATACATTTTTTATTTCTGATAAATCAGTGCCAATTCAAATGGAAATGTCTGATTTTTGAGAAATTGTACAAGTAATGAGGAGGTTAAATATGAGGATAATGATTTTCAATGGATAAGCCATATTTTATTACCACCAATAGATGTGATTATTGAAAATGCTTACTCCTATCTACGTAAGAGAAATAAAACCATTGGAAAAATCCTTATTATTTTTTATTTTTTTAAAATAAATTATAGCTATTATAATGAAATTACTATTTAATTCTATTATATGCTTAATAATTGAATTCTAAAAACTATTTTTATATATTAAATTATAAAAAATATTAATAGTTTTAATTTGTCATATTGAAAAAAAAATTAATATGAAATTAAAAATAATCTAGCCCATAGCAAACAAGCAAAAATTATAGTCACTTGGAAGAAGGGGGAATTAAATAAATGTCATCAGAATGATCTGTGATTTTAATTTTATTGATAGCTTTTTATATTTTATAAATTTTTAAGAGCTACTCTTTTTTTTTGAGAACAATTAATTTGTATAAATTAATGATATATTAAAGAATCAATACATAAAATTTTCAATTAAATAATTGCGAAATTATGATTAAGATTTTCATAATTATCAGAATTTTTACTAGCAGTCCTTCAAAACCCCTTCTTCAAAAATTTCAAAATGAAAATGTTTGAGGCCCTCTTCTTAAATATGTATTTAAAATATAATTTAAATGATGGGGAACCAAGAAACACAAGATTACGATTTCTACTCCGTTCGCAAAGATTCTCAAAAGCGCCAAAACTTCTTCGGCAAGCTAGAATCCGTAAAATCATGGCTTAAAAGCATGAATCCCTTTTCATCAGCCTCCTTATCAACTAACCCATCAGCCTCCTCATCCACCTCCACTGGGCAAATGATGAAAAGTGTTTACGACCTGGTATAATAAACTAATTTTACTACAAAAATTAATTAAATTCAAAATTAAAAAGAAATTAAACAACCACTAATTGAAAAATCTTCTCTATATTTTACATAAGCCACATCGCATTTATTCGTAATGCCACCTATATTTATCATTGCAAAATATGTGGAGTTTTATCCATTTAACTCAGCAAGTAAATAATAACCATGTTATCAAGACTTTGTCAGTCTGCTCGACGATTGACCTTCAGGAGCTTTAGCACAGCAGGAGTAGCATCAGAAGAGCCTAATTTCTTGGAAATGGTTAACATTAACTACGATAGGGCTTGCCAACATCTTGATATTGACCCAGCTGTATTAGAACTTATCAAACGTTGTGACTCGTCGTTAACAATGACAATCCCATTAAGGAGAGATGACGGAGCTGTTGAATATTTCACAGCCTACAGAGCTCAGCACTCCAGACATCGTACCCCAACCAAAGGAGGCACCAGGTATGCCCCAGATGTCGATCTTGTCGAAGTGACTGCATTGGCGTTCTTGATGACCTTGAAGTGTGCCTGCGTCAACTTGCCTTTTGGAGGTGGAAAGGGTGGGATCAAGCTGGATCCGAAAAGTTTAAGTGTGGGAGAATTGGAAAGACTGACTAGAAGATATGCAATTGAGCTGGCGAAGAAAGGATTTTTAAATCCAGCCACAGATGTACCAGGACCTGACCTTGGAACTGGAGAAAAAGAAATGGCTTGGATGATGGAAGCTTATAGATTTTATAATTATGACAATATATATGCAACTGCAACTACAACTGGGAAACCAGTTTCCTTTGGAGGGATCTCAGGGAGAACTGAGTCCACTGGTCTTGGTCTTTATTACTGTCTTACTCTTCCTTATTTAATATCGAGCAAAACTAATATTTTTTTAAGAATATTTGTTTATATATTCTTGTAATTTTTCTAAATCTTTTGTTTAATTTATTTTAATTATATTTGTAATGATTTAAAACATCTTCTATTTTTAAAACAAAAATATTTGATACAAGTGTCTGCTTATTGATTTTCTCTTTAAATTTCTATATAGCATAATTTTTAAAATATTAAAATCAACATTTTTTGATGAAATTATTTCCAATTAATAAAGTCAAAAACAGTTCTTTATTTAAATTCGGGACAAATTTAGAGAGTTCCTTAATGATCCTTACTATACAAACCCAGTAGGCTTAAAAACTGGAATAAAAGACAAGTCTTTGATTGTCCAAGGCTTTGGAAATGTAGGCTACTGGGCAACCAATTTCTTAGAAAAAGATGGCGCTAAGCTATTAGGTGTCATTGAAAGAGATGGAGCCGTCTTTAATGAAAGTGGTATTTCAGTCGATGAAGTCAAGAAATATTTGATTAAAAAAGGTACTCTTAAAGGATTCCCTAAAGCTCAGTTCTACGAGGACGTCCAAGACGTTTTTAAAAAGCCATGCGATGTGCTTATTCCTGCAGCTGTTGAAAGATCAATCACAGGCAAAAATGCTGTAAACTTCCAATGCAAAATTGTAGCTGAAGGTGGGAATGGCCCTACAACTCCGAGAGGAGAAGACGTTCTTGCCTCAAAAGGCATCCTTGTGCTTCCAGATTTATTGATGAATGCTGGAGGTGTGACTGTTTCTTATTTCGAATACGTCAAAAACCTAGGCTTTATCAGACCAGGAATGCTCACCAGAAAGCTCGAATCCACCACAAATAAATGGATCATCGATAAAGTCATGCAAGGCGACACAAAACCAAGCAAAGGAACCATCAGCAAAATTCTTGACGGCCCAAGCGAACAAGATTTGGTGTACTCTGGGCTAGAAGACGTCATGTGTGAAGCTGTCGCTGAAACCAAGAAAACAAGCCAAGAAAAAGGGGTTTCTCTGAGGCTTGCAGCATATACAAATTCCATCAAAAGAATTTATGACTCAATGAAGCTAACTCTTTAGATTGATTATTCTTTAATTTAGATAGAAAAATTGCTATTCTTCTCAATTTTAAATGGAAGATTCCCCTAGACTTACAGAAGAAAGGAGGAAAGAAATCCTTGAAAACCTTAGGAAAGAAAGGGAAAAAAGGAGAGAGATGCTGACTAAAGGAGAAAATATTGAAGGATCGTATAATAATACTCCGCAATCTTCAAATAAAAACGTAGGATCGACTTTAAGAAGCGAAACTTTGAATAAACTGCTGCAGGAAAGAAGGGAAACGATGGAGCAAGGACAGAATTTGCTTGATTGGACTAAGCAAAAACTACAGGAAAATGTTAGAGAAGAAAAAGATTATAGGAACTATTTAAGTGGAAGTGGGTCAGAATGCCCAACTCCTAGAAAAAATATTAATCTTAACCTTAAGTTAAATTATATAAAGCATTCCTGTGATACCCAAATGGATATTTAAATCCACCTTGCTTTGTTGGGCCTCTGCCACAGAACTACCAGGAGGTTAACTCCTCTTCACCTGAGGCTCGCATTACTGAGAGTAGAATGGGATGGGTCAACGTGCCCCTACGCCAGATGAAGATTGCCTGCTTGGAAATTCAAAAAAATGGAATTTTTGGAAGCAAAAAGGCAAACTTGTCGCCCAGGGTGTAACTCCTGGTTTCACGCTAGGGAGTTACCCATTGGCCTAAAAGGCTTTGCTGGGCTTTCCCTTTCCAACTCAAAGTCCTTATTATTACCTCGAGGCAAAATCCAGCTCCTGAAAGTGGACTAAGGCTAGGCCCAAACAAATTAGGATTGATTACCCAGTATAGCTGTCCATTTTTGGGCTGGCAAAACCGTGTCGGGTATAATTAATATATTTAATCGAAGGTGCATTGCTGGAAGCCATGCCCGATTGAGACGCCATATTTCAATTATCCTTGAAAAAAACCAACAGCGATTGCAAGCTCTCCTAGGTCAGAAATTAGCATAAAAAAAGAGGTACCTATGAGCAAAACTAAAGAAGTCCCTAAAAAAGCAGAAAAACCTGAGCCAGCTAAACCTCCAACAAAACGAAAAGTTCCAAATCCAAGACCTTCAAGCGCACCTCCTCGTAAGAACCAAGAAAAGCCTAAGCCTTCAGCTCAGCCTACATATAATCAAGAATGTACTTTTAAACCCAAAATAAACCCCCTTCCGCAAACTAAAGAGCTAAATTATAACAAACCAAAATCCCAGGATTTTGACTCTCGAATTGATGAGCTTTCCAAGCCAAAAAGCGAAACCATTAAAAAGAGAGAAAAAGAAAGACTCGCAAAAGAAAAGGAAGCTGAGAAATCCTGCCCATTTAAGCCACAAATTTCGCCATATCCTATGAAGCGGCAAGATGAGCCTGTTGAAGAAAGGCTAATTAAGTTGGGAGAAGAAAGGGCTAAATCAAGGGAAAAATTGCTTCGAGAAAAAGAAATGAATGAAATGATAACACATAGTTTTACGCCAAAAATAAGCTCAGAATCTGAAAAAATAGCAAAAAAGAAGCCGCCAATTTATAAAAGGATTTTTGAAATTCAAAAAGAGAAAAACAATGAAATGGAAAAGCTTAGGCTTGAAAATGAAAAAGGGTCAGAAATGGCATTCCAGCCAAGGATAAATCCGAAATCTGAAAGAATTGCAGAGTATAAAAAAAGGCTTGAAGAGCAAGGAGAAGTTCTTACTCTCTCCCTTTTTATAAAATTTATTATTTTTAATTTCTAAATTTAAATAGTATTCCATTTGCACTTTCCCATTAGAAATAATATTAAATTATATTAAAGCTATAATAGATATTATTATTTTTGCTTATAAATATTAAAATTTTGCTTCAATTTAAAGGTGTTAATTTGCCCATAACCCGATAATTTTTAAAGAGAGAAGCTATAGAGGCTGCCTTTGAGTAGCGCTCTAAGCGCCCGAGACTTCCCGACGAAGTCTGGGCGGTGGTTTGACCAGCTGATGTTGGTCAAACCAACATCCAAAATGACAAATTCTTCTCATACAGAAGGTTTGTCAAATTGGATGCTGGCTTGACCAACATCAGCTGGTCAAACCACCGCCCAGACTTCGTCGGGAAGTCTCGGGCGCTTAGAGCGCTACTCAAAGGCAGCCTCTATAGAAAAACTCGGTCCATCGACGAATATAGAAAAGAAGAAAGTGAAAAATACACTTTTTCTCCAAAGATTTCAGCACGGACTAGCACCTCCTTTTGAATTAGAACAAAAAATTCTGTTCCAATGTAAATGGCTAATATTTTTTTAATTTTAAAAATCCAAAAAATATAAATTGAATACAATATATTGAATTTTAAATTTCTTTTTAGCAAAGAATTAATTCAAAAATTAATCGATTCAGTGTGAAAACTGTTTAAATAATATTTTACTTGTTTTTTTTTCTCAATTATATAAGGTAAACAGATTTTATAAAAATTAAAATTTTACTTATTGAAAAATAATTTTGTTTAATTAAGAGAGGTTAAAGTACCCAAAAAATGGAAATTTACCGATATGTTGTTCCAATTTAAAGGGAAGGAGAGTAATGGAAAAGGATTCGAAGAGTTTTTAGAAAGACAGGAAGAGTTCAAGTTAAAAATAAAAGAAAAAACCCAGCAAAATATCACAAAATGGCAAAGTGATGAATATACATTTGCTCCGACTATAAATCCATCTTCAAGGCAGATGGCTCAGAACATAGACAAATCATATGATGATAAGCTTGACAGGATAGGAAAAGACGAGCACGAGCGACGAGAAAACAAAAAAGCTATGATTCAGCAAGAATACTATTCAAAATTCACTTATGAACCTGAAATAAATCAGCTCTCAAAAGCATTAGGCAGAGCTGTATCTCTAGAAGAGCTTGCTTACGATGAAGAAGGCAAAATCAAAAAAAGATTGCTTGCTGGTGCTCTGACTGCAGAAAAAGAACAAGCCTGCACATTTAAGCCTGAAATTAACAAAAATAAATACACTGGAATTCGCAGCAAATACACCGACCCAGAAAATGTCCTAGACAACATTCATGAAGAATTAAACAAGAAAAACGAAAAAATCGAAGCCCACCGCAGCATAAAAGATTCAGAGGAGCTTAAAGACTGCACATTTAAGCCACAAATAAACACTCCAAAGCCACAAACTGCAAAGCCAATAGTAGTTTCAGGCCTGGACAGATTTTTAGAGCTTAAAGAACTGAAAAAAAGATATGATGAAGAAAAAAAAGAAAGAGAAGAAAAAGTGTTTGGGTTGAAAAATAAGAATAATTGGGACCATTACTATACAGTTCCTCAGCCTTTTAATTTGACAACTGCAAATAAAGAGGAAAATCTTAAGAAACTGAAACAGGAGCGATTAGAAGAAGAAATGAGGGAATGCACTTTTAAACCGAATACAATGGAATCGTAAGAAATATTTAGAAAAAACCTCCAAGCTATCAGTAGGATTCTGGGAGACAGCTTTTTACATTTAAAAGTCTGATAAAATAGCATTATTTTAATATAAAATTTCCCTAATATTATTAGATTTAACTTATTGAAGCCATGAGTCATCATCCAACAACTCTAAAACATCTTGCTCAAACGTCCTAGGCGGGTTTCTCTTATACTCCAGCGCTTTCCTACAGCAAGTTTCAAAAATCCTAACTACATTGGTCCCATCTGCTGCTGAGACAAAGAAAAATTCCAGTCCATGTGTTTCTGCGAACTTGAAATTCCTTTTCGTCACTTCTAAATCCACGTCAATTTTGTTAGCTAATAGAATGCAGGGAATATTAGGGCAAAATGTTCTCATTTCTTTGTACCAAACTTTTAAATGGTCATAAGTAATCTTGCGTGTAACATCAAATACAAGAATGCAGGCATGTGCGCCGAAGTAATAAGAAGAGTGCAGCCTATTGAAACAGTCCTGGCCGGCTGTGTCCCATATGTCGACTTTGAGAGGATCTCCGTCCAGTACAGTGTTATATCGAAACATTGTAAGGGCAAATGTGGAAAGTTGACGTTCCTCATAGTCATCGATGAGGAACCTTTCTACAAGTTTGCTCTTGCCGACTGCAGAGTCGCCTAAGAGGATGATTTTTATGTCAGCGTTTGGAAGTTCAGCAGCTTCTTTGGCTTTTCGTTCGATTTCTGGATCCATTTATGAATCTCGTTAAAATAAAATAGAAATAATTTGAAAATGTTAAGGGTTTTATGCTTTGAAAATCTTATTTTAATAAAAAATAACTCATAATATAATAATTCAGAAAGAAATTTAAAATCAACATATAGCATTTAATGCTCCCGTTATATTGTTTTTATATAACTCATTCTCCTTTAATTTAATAGTTCTTTATAAAATGCCACTTGATTCATGCTTTATTCGAAATTTTAAAATGGATCCTTTCAAATCAAGAGTATATGACGATAAGAAGTCACTGGATCGTGATTTTGCTCCTTTTCTCAAAGGAGTTGGAGGTGTTCACTTTAGAACAGAAGAAGATGATGATTTAGAAAGGCAAGCATTAGCTGAAATTGAAAAATTACAACAAGAATTAAACCCAGAAGAGCCTTCACAAGTTGAGTATAAAAGGTCGATCCAAACTCCAATGACTCCAAGTGAAGAAAATGTTCTCGGAATGCTACAGACTAGAAATAGCAGAAGGAAAAGGACTGTGGGTGCTGAAAATTCTCGACCTGCCACAATGCCAGTTGCTAAGTCTATTATGAAGCCTCCAAGTGAGACTAGAACTATAGTGACTCAGTCCACTGGTTTTGAAACAAGACCATTTACTTCTTTTACTACTGATGAATCTAAAATATCTAAAACTAAAGATGAAGAAGAGGCTATTCTGAATTATAATAAATATGTAAACAGATAAACACCCTATTTTTATTTAAACAAGAAATAATTTTAAGTACCAAAAGATGTATTTTTATTTGATTTGTATAAATCTCCTGAACAATTAAGGATAAAGCTACTTGAAACACAGCTTGCAAATTTATTAGCACAGAAAGAAAGAATGATCTCTGAACAAAAGGCAAGATTTGATAATCAGCTGCAGCAAGAAAAGCAAATTCTTACTCGTGATTATGAAGGAAGCGTAAATCAGTTAAAAGAATGGTTTGATTCTAAAAAGAGCTTGCTGGAATCAGCAAGAAGGCAGCAAGAAAAAATAGCTAGCCTTTCTCAAACCTTGTCAAAAAATGTTCAGACTGTTTCCAGTCTAAACCAGCAATTTTCAAGAGACAAAAATTATTCACTCCATTATTTAGTTAATTATAAAATAATTAATATTAAAAGCATAAAAATATCTAATAAATTATGGGCGAAGCTAGAAAATTTGAAAGAGCAAGAACTCATCGCAAAAGAAAAATCATTAGAGCTGAGAGAAAGCAGATTGACTTCACAAGTCCAAATTCTTGACCAAGATAAACAAAAGTTTGCAAATAAAGTTAGACTAACTGAAGAGATTGAAGCACAGAAAAGAAACTCCATTTACCAAGATAAGCTGCACTTGAGACATGAGCTTGATAAATTAGAAAAATATCAAGAAGAGTTAAAAGCCCAAGAAAGAAAAGAAAAAAAGCAACTTGCAATGGAAAAACATCAATTATCATTATATAAAGACCAGATCGAAAGAGAAGAAAAAGAAATGTGGGCAGATATAGAAGAAAGAGAAAGAAAACTAATAGAAAAAGAAGACACAATAGAAAACGAAAAAAATGAAGCCATTTTCCAAATTCAGCAAGAAAAAGGTGCAATTATTGCTCAAATGAACTCAATTGAAAATTTTAAGAAAAATATTAATGCAATGTTTGCAGAGCTTGAAAGAAGAACAAAATATATTGAAGAAAGGGCAAAAGACATTAAAATAGAAATTGAGTATATCAGCAAAGAAAGCGAGCTGCTAGAAAGGGAGCGCGAAAAATATGAAAAAGAAGCACAAAAAGTCCACCAGATGTCTGTAGAAATAAGTCAACAAACTGAGCTCATTGTAGCTACTAGAAAAGATATAGACACACAAAAAAATGATTTAGAAAAAAAGAAACAAGAAGCGCTTACATTAATGGCAGCTTCAAAAAGCGAAAAATTAAAAATTGATCAGAAAACCAGAGATTTGATAAATAGGATGAAAACTTTTGAGTGCTTAAGGTCAGGCTAGGTTATTAAAGTCAGGCGTTAGTGATAGTGGTGACGAAGTCACCAAAGACCTCCAATATGGGAGGTTCTCTACCACTTTTCGATTCCAGCTCAGAGGGTCTTTCCCCCAAAGGTGAATGCCATTTCCAGTAGATTCCCACGGCCCTGCTACAGACAGTTGGAGTAGCTTGATTCCATGGATTAGCTATCTATCGGATGCCGAAGTGCCTTCCTTCGATAGCTACAGGAAAATGACTACTCCCTATTGCCTGGGCCAAAACCTCCAATTTCTCAGTAGAGAAATGCCCTTGTGTGCTTGGATCCAAAGGACGTTACTGAGCATCTCCATTTCAAAGCACAGGAAAGGAGCCTAAATCTACCTGGATACACACTTTTGAGGCTTCACTTGATTCTCAGCTTGGAGTCCGTCCCAACTCGCCGTAGCCATAAGGTCTGGAATGTTACGCCAAGAGGGCAGGTTGACACGCGTCACCATTTTAATGCATATTTTGAGTGCTTAAGGACTTTAGATATTTCTGAAGTAGAAATACCCAAAATGGAAAGCATTGACATCGATGCCATAAAAGTTCCTAAAGTAAGTCGCCAAATCCGGTCAAAATCTGTTGCTCCAGTAGCTAGAAAATTCAATTCACAAGAGTTTTTAAAAGAACTTGAGCCATATAATAAAGCTCGAGAAGAGTTTCAAAATTATCTTACAACAGAAAACAGTGTATTGCTTAACAGTAAGTTGGCTTGTGAAACTGGAATAACGAAGAGTATGATAGGATCAAGGCATGTGTTTTCAGATGCATCGAATTCTTTTTTTGGGCAGTCATCTTATTTTAGTGCAGGAAGTTTTGCTAAGCCGATTGATAGTATTAGAAAATCAAGGAATTTTGAAAGTTTTTCTTCGAATAATCCACTTTAAACTGAAATTTTTGAATTATTTAACTTATATTAAGAATAAACTAAAGTTATTACAGTTAAAAAATTGTGAATAAGCATATACCAAAATGTTTCGTTTTCTAATCGCTTTAGCTTCATATTTCTAACTCCCTTCCCTTAATTGGAAAAACAGTCCTATTCTAATTTAAGGGGGTTTTTTAATAATAAATTTTTCTCAATAAAAATTTTAAATATAAATGTACTCAATGCTTTAAATATATTTTATTTGCACTATTTCAATTAAATTTATTCAAACTAATTTTATAGAAATTAATCTTTTTACCTATAAAATTTCCTATTGAACAAAATATCCAAAAAATGGAATTTTGACTAGGTTTAATTCCAAATAAAGTGGGGGAGTAAGTCGTAAAATTTGACTAAATAGCCAAGGCAAAAGCAAGAATGTTAATCCTCTTATAGACCCATAGCTAATTATGTCTATAATAGTATTCTATTTGTGATAAGACGTATTAAAGCATTTAATAAATAAAATTTTAAAATCAATTAAATCTAAAGAGCATATAAAGAGCTATAAATAAATTCAAAACAACAAAAAGTCTGTAGCACTCATGTCTTCCCAGCAATACCGCTGTTGTGACTGTTTTTGCTTTGATATCTTCTGAAAAGGCGCAAAGCTCAAAGATAATTTTTCAGTTTTGGTATAATAAATGTGTAGGAATCATATCTAGAAATAATTTAAATGAGATTTCGCCTGTAATCGTTATAGAATTTAGTTCTATAAGCAGAAATCCATGTGTAAATAATCTTAAAAGTCCACCATATCCTTTATTTTCTAAATTTATTTCTGGAATGTATTGCAAGGCTATTAAAGACAGTAATATAAGCGAAAATACTGCAAATTGCCAAAAAGACTCAGCTTGTGCGGCTGTAATAACTGCTATTATAATGCAAAAAGTAAATCCAAATGCTCCATAATATCATCTACCATGCCTAAGATATAATCACAAGTTTTATAAATTTTTAATTTAAAAAATTAGTAATTTTTAACAATTTATTTTAAAATACGAATAAAGTGCTTTAGCATATTTTTAAACTTCTTCCATTTTTTGCCCATTTTAGGTAAAAAGTTGAACCACCCCTGGTGCCACTGGCCTAGGGTCCGAATGTCCACATCTTGAGGGAGATTCGGGATGAGCTTTGCCAGATAATTGGACTTTTCACTGGCTTCTGAAGTATGTAGCAACAAATCTAAGGTGACTTAACAAAATAAAGACGCTAGGAAGTTTGTGCTGAGCTGGGATGTGTAGCAGACCAAAAATCATCTCTAGCCGATTACCCCCTGAAGTAGGACGTGGGCTAGCTAGATTTTGGATTCAAAAGGAATAGGGTCTCCCCGAGAGATGGCCGCGCCACCAATTGGTGATGAGTCACTAAATTTGATGATGTCATCAGAAAAGAAGATAGAAAATTTGCAAGTTTTAGCAATTTCTTAAAGAAATTTAATTGGGGAAATTGGCCTGAAAAAAAAAGTAAATAACTTTCTTTTCTCTCTTCAAAAGTATCTGATATTATTTTCATTCATTTTGTCCTATTACACTCCCAAATCCTTGATTGAATGGCAGTGGGTTTCGATCAAGGATGAAGGCTAAGCAAAATTTTAAAAAAATTATATAGCGTATCCTCACTTTTATCCTCTGATGTTTCCCGAGACAATCAAAGAGAGGCTAAAAGCGCGGAGACGCTATATACAAAATAATGGTATATTTTTTTAATCAGTTTATAAGATAATAATTAGTAATATATTAAAATCGCTCGATCAAGGATGGAGACTTCTAAAGGGGGCTAGCTTTCCAAAACTTCTGAAAATCTAATTGAATTGCTCATCTTTGGTTGAGAAATTAGGGTCTTTAAAATTGATATTTTCGTAATATTTTCATAAATGAAAATTTTAAGATGAACAATATCATTTTTAAAGAATCTTTGCTATTAATTGGGAGGAGCAGGTGTTTTATTATTTCCGATCTTTAAGCATCCAATTGAAATCTGCAAAATGAAAATAAAAAGTATTCAGATTTTTCAGCAGTAAAGCTTAAGATGTGGATAGCTGTAAAGAGAGCATAAAAAATATTGAATCAATGCAAGTGCAGCATCATCTATAGCTATCATTAACTATTTATATCAGAAGTAAAAATGGGATCAAATGCAAAGTGCAAGATTTACGGTAAGGCTGGCTAATTCTAAATTTTTAGTAATAAAACGCTTGCTTTTAAGCGTATAGTTAATTTAATGAGCAAAAATTATAGGATTTTTAAATAATATATATATGTAAATAAATACAGCACTTAGATATAAAAATTTTTTATCAACATAATGATTGATAATCTTTAAATAAAAAATTGCCATATTACAATAATCTACTCATCACTTATATATTCAAATCCAAAATCCCATTTCCGTCCCAACCTTTTCTCTTCTTACGCCCCTATCACTCTTAAAAATCCCTAAATTTCCAATTCTAATTAATCAATCTCATCAATAGCCATCGACAGTTATAATAATTATGGAGCCTCCTTCACGCAAGCAGAGAGGAATTTACTCTGAAGTATTAGCTCAGCCAGATAAAGATGACCCAACTGACAATATAGTTCAAGAATCAGTCGCTTCAGGCCCAACAGCTCGCTTGACCACCCACCAAGTCCAGCGTCTTCCCCGGGCTCGAGGTCTTCAAAGGCGAAATCAAAATGACCACGATAAAAGCATAAACGCAGACTCCTCAGGAATTTATTCGAAAAAACGCGAAGGCGTCGCAGACCTCGACCCAAAAGTCTTTGAACCTTTTGTCCCCATTCCAGGCCGAACACCTCGTAAGGTTGTGATTGACCGAAAGAAGAAGCTTTTCGCATCCCTTCGTATTGAAGATTTGTTGAAGGCTGAAGGGGTTGATTATAGCAAGCCCATCGTCGCTTGGCTACCTCTTGAACCTTTTGATGATAGAGAATTTGACGTCAGGAACCCTGAAGAATGAATTGAGTTGGCCACAAATAATGGGACCTTTGAAGCGGTGCCAGGACTTGGGCTGCAAAAAGACCACAGAGAGCCCGGAGTTTTCAATTGGAAACAAGTGCTAATTCACTCATATGACGCTGAAAGAGAAGTTTTCTATGGAATCTGGGACGATGCGTCAAAAATGGCTGTAGAGCTGCCGAAAATTAATTTATTGATCCTTGCTGAAGACCCTTACGTTTTTGCTAAAAGAGTAGCAGCCTCCCATCAGCAGAGAAAGTACGCAGAAAGCTTGATAAGATACAACTTTTATATCGACAATATGCCAACTGAGGAAATCCACACACTAGATGGAGACCAGAAGGCAAGACTTGTCTATAAAGCCACAAACGTAAAAGAAATGAATAAAAACGTGAACCCTGAGAACTCCCCATTAGTTTATGAAGTATGTTTAGATTTCGCAAGGACTATGAATAAAATTATTTTTGATAAACACATTAATGAAAGTGGAAAAGACCTGATCGCCAGCAATTTAACGCTGCCTCCTCCTGAGCCGCCTAAAAACGCGCCTGAATTCGGAATGGTTCAAATACCTAAGCATGACTTTCCAGAGCAGTTCAGCAATTTTTGCTTCAATAGTCTTTATATCAAAGAAGAAGTTATTGTTTCACTTGATAAAATTAAAGAACAGTGCTTAGGAGTGACCCTGGAAAAAGAAATTTTTAATACAAATTTCACAAAAACAATGAGATTGGAAGAGTTCAAGCAGATTGAGTTTGGGGCCATAAGCCAAGTGGCGCTTTATTTAAATGCATGGAAAGATAATATACAGAACATTATCCAAGGCTCTTTTCAAAATGTCGGCAAAGGGTGGTTTAACCTGCATGAAACTGCAAAAGAGACTTATGAGTTCGGAAAGCTGAAAAAGTACCTGACAATGGTAAAAATAATGATGCAGGACTCTTTATTTACCTTAACTCATAAATCCCTTCACAAGTTTGTGGATATTTTAGAAAAATTCATCCCTACTGAAGTGTCTATTTACTCCCCAAAAGAAGTCCGCAATCTTTTTGAGCTGACAGAAGAGCAGCTAACAGTAGACCCTGAATATGCAAGAAATAACCCTCCGATTCCTTTAATTGCTATCGATATTCTGAAAGGAGGAAAAATGTTCTTATACTCTACAGAACCCAGCCAAGTTATAGAAAAAACTAAACAAGTGTTTGAAGAAGGCCTCGCCAAAATAAAAGACATCCCTACTATGGAAGAAGTCGTCATGGAAAGCTTATTTAAAAAGCAAGGCGGAAAAACACCGCTAAAAGTCCCTGTAATTCCTGTAGACCAGCCAACTCCTCCAAAAGACGAAGAAAAGAAAGTCGGCAAGCTGCCTGATGAAAACACCTGGGTTTGGGATTTGCGGGAAAGAGTAATCAGCTTGATGACAAAGGCAATCCAGCCGCTAAATGAATATATAAAAGTTTACGATAGATTTGAAAGCGTAATGCAGCTCAGCGCTGATAATTATATAAAAAGCTTAGAAGAAGGAGAAGAAGTCTCAGTTGAAGACTTAAGAGACGAAATTCTTAAACATCAAGAACTTGAGAAAAAACTGCTAGAAGAGATCCCTGAAACTGTCAGAGTGTCCTGCTTTGAGGTCCATTGCAAAGAAGTCAGGAACACACTAGCAGGGAAGCATACTTTATTTGTCAAACAAATTACAGAACTAATAGCCCACCGCGCCAGAGAAAAAAACGCAGCCATGCTTGAAAACTTCAGAAAAATGCATAGGGATATCAACAAGCCTCCAAAAGATATAGAAGAGCTTACAGAAATAAAAGACCTAATTGCAAGAGTCCCTATGGAAATAGAAAAGATGAAAATTGATATAGAGGGTAACATGGTCACTTATTCAATACTTGAAAAATTCCAATATAGGTTTACAGTTGATGACATGAATAAGAAATGGGATTTATATGGATACCCTAAGAAAACTTATGATTTAATAGCTCAGAAAAGTGAAGAGCTTGATAAACAAAAAGAAGTCTTTAAAGAGCATATGGTCACTGAGCAGCAAGAATTTAATGAAGCAATTGAAGATTTAGAAAATATCGTTAAGACTTTTGTCCAATATACTGATATTAATCAGTATAAAGAAACTGCAGAAATGGTAGAAAGAGTCAATAAAAGACTTGAAGAGTGCATCAATATGGCTAAAACTTATAATCATAGAGAATATTTATTCGGCTCTGAGACAACTGATTATTCTCAAGTCCATTCTTGTGCAAAAGAATTCAAGCCGTTTTCAGACCTGTGGCTAACCATCAATAATTGAAATGAAAAGCATGAACACTGGCTTCATGGAGAATGGGAAACTGTCAGCGGAAGAGAAATCGAAGACACTGTAGAAACAGCGACTAAGACAATTTCACAGGTCCTCAGACATTTTAAAAATAGAGATATCCAAAGCATCTTGCCTGTTGTAGAAAAAATCATAATTAAATATGGCGTCTCAGCCTGTGCATGGCCTTACGGCCATGAAGCTCGAATACATATTTAATTATGCCCGGCAGCCTAGAAATGGGCAGCTATGCTAGTAAAAGCAATTCGAGTAGTGTTTGGGGCACAGCCCTAGTCCGCTTTCAGAATTGAATTTACCTCGAAGGAAAGAAGAACTTGGAGTTGGAAAGGGGGAGCTCTGTAAAGCTTTCTAGGCCAATCGGTAACTCCCTAGCGCGTGAAACCAGGAGTTAAACTCTGGGCTACAAGTTTTAAATTTTTACCCAGAGTTTCATTTTTTTGAATTTTGTGCAAGCACCCTCATCTGGAGCACGGCATGGTGACCCATCCCACTCTATTCTCCATTCGGCGCGAGCCTCAACAAAGCAAGGTAGATTTAAATACCCGTTTGGAGGTATCGCAGGGAGCTGCTCAATAATAATCAATCGTAATTGTAGTAGAAAAAATCAAAGGAGACGTTGACTACTTCAGACAATACGTAAAAATGGCTGTAGCTCTCAGAAAGCCTGGTATGAAAGATAGACATTGGGACCAGATTTCTGCCAAAGTTGGATTTGAGGTCAGGCCATGCCCTGGATTCACCCTTACCAAAGTTATTGATATGGGCCTCAAAAAATGGGAAGATTTCTTAGAAGAAGTCGGAGAAAGAGCTTACAAAGAATTCCAAATAGAAACCAAGCTAAATGAAATGGAAGCAGCCTGGGAAAAAGTTGACTTTGAAGTATTTGACGCCAAAAATACTGACACTTTTATTCTTGGAGGCATCGATAAAATCCAGAATTTATTAGATGAGCATATTGTAGCTTCCCAAGCGATGCAGTTTTCTGCATTTAAAAAACCATTTGAAGAGAGAATTGAAGACTGGGTACAAACTCTTATGAGGGTCCAAGACATATTAGATGAATGGACCAAATGTCAGGTGAACTGGATGTACCTACAACCTATTTTCGACTCAAAAGATATTATGAAGCAGCTGCCAAACGAAACCAAAAAATTCCGAAGTGTAGATGGCACATGGAGACATACCATGAGCCAAGTCAAAGCTAACCCTAACGTTATCAAAACTTGTAAAAATGAAGGAAGACTTGAAGCTTTAAGAGAAGCCAACCGAAACTTAGAAGCTGTCCAAAAAGAGCTAAACAACTATTTGGAAACCAAAAGAGCTGCTTTTTCACGTTTCTATTTCTTATCTAACGACGACCTATTGTCAATCATCTCAGAAACCAAAGACCCAACCCGTGTGCAGCCTCATTTGAGAAAAGTCTTTGAAAATATGGACAAGCTTGAGTTCCACGAGGATAAGACCATCCACTCAATGTTTTCTTGTGAAGGCGAACAGGTAGCTTTTGTAAGACCAATTGACCCAAGAGAGAAAAATGTAGAGTTCTGGATGGGCGAGCTTGAAGATATGATGAAAGAAAGTGTCAGATATGTTCTTAAAAATAGCATTGATGAGTACTTAAAGAAGCCTAGAAATGAATGGGTGCTAAGACATCCTGGACAATGTGTGCTGAATGGCTCTCAGGTCCACTGGACTAGTGATGTAGAAGCAGCAATTCTGAAAGGACTAGAAGGAGTCCAGGACTACTACAAGTTTTTAGGAGATCAGCTTATGGACACTGTTAAACTTGTAAGAGGAAATTTGACAAATCAAGAGTCTACAACGTTAGGAGCACTTATTGTTATTGATGTCCACGCTAGAGATGTCGTGTTTAGGCTAATTGAAAATAAAGTCACGTCTATTGAAGATTTTGACTGGATCGCACAGCTTAGGTATTATTGGGAGGATGATGACTGCTATGTAAAATGTATTCAAACGAGGTTCCCATATGGCTACGAATATTTAGGAAATACGCCAAGGCTGGTTATTACTCCTTTGACTGATAAATGTTACATGACACTTATGGGAGCGCTTAACCTGAACTTAGGAGGCGCCCCAGCAGGCCCTGCAGGGACAGGTAAAACAGAGTCCGTCAAAGATCTTTCGAAAGGTCTCGCTAAACAAGTCGTCGTCTTCAACTGCTCAGAAGGTATGGACCATATCATGGTTGCCAAATTCTTCAAAGGCCTTGCATGCTCAGGCGCTTGGGCTTGTTTCGATGAGTTTAACAGAATTTATATCGAAGTGCTTTCTGTCATTGCCCAGCAGCTTCAAACTTTGCTTGACCACAAGCGAACTGGTGATCTTGAGTTTGAATTTGAAGCTTCCAGCATCAAAATGCTGCCTACTTTTTCAGTCTTTATTACTATGAACCCTGGGTATGCTGGCCGTACCGAGCTTCCTGACAACTTAAAAGCGTTATTTAGGCCAGTGGCTATGATGGTTCCCGATTACGCTATGATCGGTGAAATTATGCTTTATTCCTTTGGTTTCTCCCAAGCTAGAGAACTTGCCAAAAAAATGGTTGACACCTTCAAGCTAAGCTCAGAACAGCTCAGCTCACAAGATCATTATGATTATGGTATGAGAGCTGTCAGATCAGTCATTAATGCTGCTGGACTTATTAAAAGAGCCGAGCCTGACATGGACGAAGAACAGCTGCTGCTCCGTGCACTAAGAGATGTAAATGTTCCGAAATTCTTAAAAGACGATCTTCCGCTGTTCGATAACATTATTATTGATCTTTTCCCACATGTAGAACGTCCTAATATTAATAGAAAACCTCTTGACCAGTCTATACTAGAAACCTGCGCCAAGCTAAACTTGCAGCCTGAAGATTCTTTTATTGACAAAATCTTCCAGCTTTATGACACCATCAAAGTCAGACATGGACTTATGATCGTCGGCCCTACAGGAGGTGGAAAAACAGTCAACTACAAAGTCCTTTCCAATGCAATGAGCGCGTTAAAGCACCTTGACCAGTTTGACGAAGTCTTTGTGCACATTTTGAACCCGAAATCTATCACAATGGGTCAACTTTATGGTAAATTTGACGAGCTTACCCACGAGTGGACTGATGGAGTGCTTGCCGATATCATCAGAAAATGTGTGAGAGACCAGCATAATCCTCCTTACACAAATAAGCATTGGGTTATGTTTGATGGGCCTGTAGATGCGCTGTGGATTGAAAGTATGAACACTGTGCTGGATGATAATAAAAAGTTATGCTTGAACTCTGGTGAAATTATTAACCTTTCTCAGCACATGACTATGATGTTTGAGGTCGAAGATTTAGCTGTGGCTTCACCAGCTACTGTATCTAGATGTGGTATGGTCTATATGGAGCCTGTATCACTTGGATTGCCACCGTTAGTAAGAAGCTGGCTTAATACGCTGCCACCAAAAGTCAAAGAGCATGATAATATCAGAAATAAATTGTCACAGTTCTTTGAAATTTATACCTACCCACTAATAAAATATGTGAGAAAGTCACTTGTAGAGCCTGTTATGTCGATGGATAATAATCTCTGTCATAGTGTGTGCAGAATTTTGAACTGCTATTTAGGAAAATATTATGATACTGAGCTGAAAGTAGTTAGTCCTGAAGAAGTCGCTGAATTAGAAGAGCTAATAGAAGGCATATTTATTTATGCTGCAATTTGGGCTTTAGGAGTTACCACAAATAATGAAGGCAGAAAGAAATTTGACCATGCGCTCAGAGATATAATGAAAACAAGAGCACTTAACCCAGCATTCCCAGAAGCTGGAACTGTCTATGACTGGTTCTTTGATCCGACCACTAAAACTTATAAGCTTTGGACTGATACTGTTCCTCCATATGAAGTTGACCCTCATGCACACTTTAACGAAATTGTGGTACCTACTATGGATTCTATAAGGAGCAAGTATCTAACCAAGCTGCTCCTTACCAATAAATACCACGTGCTATCTCCAGGCCCAACTGGTACAGGTAAATCTGTCAACGCCAATAGTATGCTAGGAGGCGAAATGCCTGACAATTACCAGTATATCAGCTTGACATTTTCAGCACAAACATCAGCAAACCAAACACAAGACCTTATTGATGGCAAAGTACAGCGTAGAAAGAATAAGGAATATGGCCCACCTCCTGGGAAATATTATGTAATCTTTGTAGATGATCTCAATATGCCTAAAAAAGAGAAATATGGGGCCCAGCCTCCTCTTGAACTTTTAAGACAGTGGATGGACCATCATGGATGGTATGACCGCAAAGATAAATTCAAAAAAGACATTGTAGATGTGGTGTTCTTGTCAGCTATGGGGCCTCCAGGCGGAGGGAGATCACAAATCACTAATAGGCTCGTCCGTCATTTCAATATTTTAACTTACACAATTCTTGAAGAATCTGATATCACCATGATTTTCTCTAACTAACCCCCCCCCCCCCCGTGAGCCGTGAGCGAACAAAACCATTAGAAAAATCGCCATTTTTTGACCAAAAACCCACCCTCCGTGAGTGAACAAAAATTGTTTTAATAGAAAAAATTTTAATGGAAAAAAATTTTGATATATAAGTGATAATTAGTATAATGAAATCTAGAGCTAATTCTGTTTAATTTTAAACAAATTGCGCGTTTTAAAACATAAATTTTGCAAATTAAATTAATATTTGCTTCCCAATTTTTGCAAATTAGGATTTTTTTAAATTTCGAAAAAAAATATTTTTTATCAAATTTATATATAAATTTTTTTTTAAAAAAAAAAATTAACCCCCCTCCGTGAGCGAACAAAATTTTTTTGTTCGCTCACGGAGGGGGGGGGGGGGGAGTAAAATTCTAGGAGCGTTCTTAAGACCTTATCAAGAGCCTATCAGAAATTCGGTACCAAACTTAGTCAGTGCTTCAATTGAGCTTTATAATATAGTTGAAAAAACACTTCTGCCAACTCCTGACAGATCTCACTATACTTTTAACTTAAGAGATATGGCCCACGTCTTTGAAGGAATCTGCTCTTCAGACCCTAGCTCCTCACTTCTGTGATGAGCAAAATTGATTTGATTGTTTATGGAAGGGGATTAATTTTTTTTTGGAAATTTATAAATCTCAATGATCAAAACTCAGAATGCAAATGATTTAAAATTCAATAGAAATTTCATTATAATAATTATCATCTATAAATAGAATATTTATTTTAAAAATAATTTTTTATCGCTTACAAGGTAGACTTTTTCCCCAAAATAGGAATTTTTAAGGTTTTGCTCGCTGACAGAAGAGAGGAGTAAAGTAACCTATGAATATATAACTATTGTCAGACTCTGGTGCCATGAAAACTTGCGTGTCTTTGGAGACCGTTTAATCAACAACGAAGATCTCAAAATTCTAAATGACGCCATCAGAACCAAAGTTGAAGAAATTTTCAAGATAAAAGCTGAAGAAGTGTTTTCCAGAGAAAGGCTTATTTTCTGTCATTTCTTGAACCAAAATATCCCTGAAGAACAAAGGGTTTATGAAGAAGTCGCGAATACTGAAGAGCTAATGAGAACTGTGAACGACTATTTGGACGGATATAATGATAGGTATACTAAAAGACAAATGAAGCTTGTTATGTTCCTAGACGCCTGTTGCCATATTACCAGGATTTGTAGAATTCTGAGACAGCCTCAAGGAAATGCACTTCTGCTTGGTGTAGGTGGCTCCGGAAGACAAAGCTTGAGCAAACTTTCCGCTTTCATAATGGAAACCGAGCTAAAACAAATCGAAATCACAAAGAGCTACAATATGGCCCAATGGAGAGAAGACTTAAAGTTCGCTCTTAAATTTGCAGGTGTCAAAAACGAAAGGGTCATTTTCTTGCTTGTAGATACCCAGATTATCGATGAACAAATGTTAGAAGACGTCAATAATGTGCTAAACTCTGGCGATGTCCCTAATATCTATAAAGCAGACGACTGGGAAGACATCGCAGGAGTTGGCAAACCTGAGTGTCAGCGTAAAGGTATCCAGCTTTCTGAAATGAATATCATGTCTCAGTATTTAGGAAGAGTCAAAAAGAACATCCATATCATTTTAGCTATGAGTCCTATAGGAGAAGCTTTCAGAAGCAGACTTCGTATGTTCCCATCACTAATTAACTGTTGTACCATTGATTGGTTCACAGATTGGCCTGAAGAAGCTCTTGTGTCAGTCGCAAGAGGTCAGCTATTAGAAGAAGACCTTAATATAGACAGTAGCATAGAACCTTTAGTCCAATTCTTCAAGGTCGTCCACAAGTCAGTTGATGGAATGTCCCAAAGGTATCTTAATGAGCTCAGAAGGCACAACTATGTCACCCCAACGTCATATTTAGAGCTCGTCAGGTGTTTTAAGACTCTTTTACTAGACAAACGTGCACAGCTTACAACTATGAAAAATAGATTCTCTGGAGGAGTCGAAAGACTTATTAAAGCAGCCCACGAAGTCGAAATCATGAAAGCCAAATTGCAAAAAATGAAGCCGGAGCTTGCTGATGCACAAAAAGAAAGTGAGCATATGATGGAAAAAATTGTGGTAGATAAAGCATCTGCAGAAGAAACCCAAAAAAGCGTCGCAAAAGAAGAAGCAAGTGCCCAAGAAAAGGCTGATGAAGTAGAAAAACTCCAGTCTCAAGCTCAAAGTGAGCTAGATGAAGCTTTGCCACTGCTAGATAAAGCTCTTGAAAGTGTCAAGCAGCTTAAAAAAGAGCAGCTAGTCGAAATCAAATCCTTCACAACCCCAGCATTAGGCATCGTCAAAACCATGGAAACTGTCTGCTACTTCTTCAGAATCAAGCCAGTCAAGAAAAACGACCCCAATAAGCTTGGAGCCAAAATTGATGACTATTGGGAAGCCTCGAAAAATGAGCTGCTAAAAAATCCAAAAGCACTATTAGAGGATCTATTGCATTATGATAAAGAATCAATCACAGAAGAACTGATAGAAAGAGTCAGACCAAAAGTAGAAGACAAAGATTTTGCACCTGAAGCTATTAAAGTGGTCTCAGTGCCTTGTGGGGCTATGTGTGCATGGGTGCATGCCATGTATAAGTTTTATCATGTAAATAAACAGGTGGATCCACTCAGAAGACAAGTTGCACAGCTGAATGCAGAACTGGAGGTGAGCAGATCGTTACTTAAAGAAGCAAAAGCCAGACTTAAAGAAGTCACAGATCAAATTGAGGAGCTGGAAAGAAGCTATGAGGCTTGTATGCAGAGACAAGAAATGCTTAAAGAAAGCATCAATGATTGCGAGATATATATATTAAATTAAATGAGGCATGTACTATGACGATGCAGGCCAAAAGAATAAGGAGATTAGATTTAAAATATTAAAATGCACTCAGCTGTGCCAGTATAAAACTAGAAAGGGCTGAAAAACTTATTGGTGGTCTTGGAGGTGAACAAGCCAGGTGGACCCACGAGTCAGAAGTCCTCGCCGGAATGATTGTCAAACTTCCCGGAGATTGTGCCCTTTCAGCTGGTATGGTCGCTTATACAGGAGCTTTTACAGGGACATATCGAGGTGCTTTAGAAACAATGTGGAGAAATTCCCTCAAAGAATTCGGCATCGACCACACAGACGGTGTAAATATGAGGTCTACCCTTGGAGACCCAGTTGTCCTACAGATCTGGAAAGCTGCAGGGCTTCCTTCAGACGCAGTCTCAATTGAAAATGGTATTATTATATCCAAAGCCAGAAGATGGCCACTTATGATTGACCCTCAAAACCAAGCCAACAACTTCATTAAAAAGCTTGGAAAAGACCACGACGAAGGCATTGAGTTCTGCAAAGCTTCAGACTCCAACATTATCAGAAATCTCGGCACTGCCATTATGAATGGCAAATGGTTTTTAATAGAAAACGTAGGTGAAGAGCTTGACCCAGCACTAGAATCAGTCCTCTTGCAACAAGTAGTAAAAGAAGGTGCTGGATTTTCTATCAGAATCGGAGATAAAAATGTGGAGTACAACAAAAATTTCAAATTCTACATGACGACTACCTTACCAAACCCTCATTATTCCCCTGAAACCTGTGTAAAAGTGACTTTGCTTAACTTCGCCATCACTCCTGAAGGTCTTGAAGAACAAATGCTCGGAACTGTTGTCGCAAAAGAAAATCCTCAGCTAGAAGAAACTAAAAGCTTGCTGATCCAGCAGAATGCTAGAGCTCAAAGAGACCTTAAGCAAATTGAAGATTTAATTCTGGAACAGATTTCGAGCTCAGAAGAAAACATTTTGGAAAATAAAGAACTGATTGATACTTTGGCTGCTAGTAAATTAACGTCTACAAATATCATGATGAAGGTAGAAGAAGCGAAGAAGACTGAGCTGGAAATTGACTCTAAAAGAGAAAGCTATAGACCTGTAGCGTTTAGGGCTTCTTTACTGTTTTTCTCGATTATCAATTTGTCAAATATTGATCCTATGTATCAGTACTCTTTACAGTGGTTTACAAGGCTGTTTGAGCTTGGAATTGATAATGCTCCGAATCCAGGAGGAATTGATGAAAGACTTACGTCACTAAATGAATATTTCACGTATTCGCTTTATCAAAATGTCTGCAGAAGTCTTTTCGAGAATCACAAGCTGCTTTTCAGCTTTATTTTAGTTGTGAAAATTCTTGATGGTTATAGGCAGATTGACCCTGAAGAGTGGAGATATATGCTGACAGGGCCTCAAGGATCAGTTCCAATCCCTCCAAACCCGACTACTTGGCTTAACGATAACACTTGGAAAACAATGTATGAAGAAATCCATGGACTTGAAGACTTAAAGATCTTCAAAGGCTTTGAAAGATACTTTATCACCAATATTGACCAATTCCGAAAGATATTTGACGCAGTAAACGCACACGAAGAGCCGCTTCCTATAGAATGGCAGAACAAGCTAAACGAGTTCCAAAGAATGCTGGTCCTCAAAGCAATCAGATCTGACAAAATGATTTCTGCAATACAAAACTGGGTCACCCTTAAGCAAGGCAGAAAATTCATCATCCCTCCTACTTTTGACTTAGGGCTAATTTACCAAGACTCAGGCGTAACCACTCCTCTTATTTGTGTCCTGAGTCCTGGTTCTGATCCAATTTCTGCAATTATGAGATTTGCTGAAGAAAAAGGAATGACCAAAAAAATGACGTCGATTTCTCTAGGGCAAGGACAAGGTGAAAAAGCCAAGAAAAGTGTGGACGACGCGAAAAGCAGAGGAGAGTGGGTTTTGCTACAAAACTGTCACTTGGCAGCAAGTTGGATGCCTCAGCTAGAAAAGACCGTAGAAGAGTTTGATGACTCTATACATAGAGATTTCAGGCTCTGGCTGACTTCTATGCCATCTAAAGACTTCCCAGTCTCTGTCTTGCAGAATGGTATTAAAATGACTATTGAGCCTCCACAAGGGCTAAGATCAAATCTGCTGCTTTCTTATTCTTCAGTAGACGATAAACAACTAGAAGACTGCAATAAGATAGAAGCCTTCAAGACTTTGTATTTCGGGTTCTGCTTCTTCCACGCCATCGTGCAGGATCGTAGAAAATTCGGTCCAATTGGCTGGAATATCCAATACGAATTTACAAATGAAGATTTAGGGGTCACTCTGAAGCAGCTTAAGCTGTTCTTAAATCAAAATTCTGAAATTATCCCTTATAAAGTTCTCAATATTTTAGGAGCTGACGTAAACTATGGCGGCCGTGTAACTGACGATAAAGACTGCAGACTTATCGTGACCATCCTTAGAAATTACATTTGTCCTGAAGTTTTTGACCCTAATTATAAATTCTCCACATCAGGGAAATACTATGCTCCACCTCTAGGCAAAAAAGAAGACTATGTAAGATACATTGAAAGCCTTGACCTAAATCCTGAGCCAGAAGTCTTCGGTTTACACGATAACGCTGAAATTATTACAGCCCAAAACGAGACTCGTAAAGTTTTCGAAATCATTTTAAGCATGCAGCCAAGATCTGGGTCTGGGAGTGGTAAAAGTAGAGAAGAAATAATCAGAGAAATTGCCCAAAATATTGAGACTCAGATGCCGAAGAAATTCTCCCTTGAAGATGTAGCAACTCAGTACCCTACGCAATATAATGAATCTATGAATACTGTGCTGTTCCAAGAAGTTGTGAAATATCAAAGGCTACTGCTAGTAATGGAAAGCACCTTGACAAATGTCCAAAAAGCATTGGTTGGGAAGATTGTTATGAGTGATGAGCTTGAACTGATTGCAAAAGCTTTATTTGTGAACCAAGTGCCTGAGCTGTGGGCGAATGTAGGATTTCTGTCTTTGAAACCGCTGTCGTCATGGTTCCAAGATTTGCAGGACAGAATGAAATTCTTGAATGACTGGATTTCTAATGGAACGCCTAAGATCTTTTGGATTTCTGGGTTTTTCTTCCCTCAAGCCTTTATTACAGGAACTCTGCAGAACTATGCAAGAAAGCATGTGATCCCAATTGAATAATTAAAATATGGCGTCTCCACCTGGCATGGCCTCCGGCCACGCAGCTTCCGAGCACATATTTTAATTATATCCGGCAAGGTTTTACTAACCCAGAAATGGACAGCAATGCTAGGTAAGCAATTCTGGTACTATACAGAGCCTAGCCCTCAGTCCAAATTCAGGATTAGGTTTTACCTCGAAGGGAAGGAGGGGTTCAGGTTTGGAAAGGGCAAGCTCAGCTGAGTCTACAGGGAACACCTAGACCAATCGGGCAAGTGCCTAGCGTGAAACTGGGAGTTACGCCCAGGACTTGAATTTTTCCCTTTTTGCCGAGAGGTCACCAGAAATTCCATTTTTTGGGATTTTTGAGTGGTCAACTTCGTCACCCAAGCAGCAGCCGCAGAAGTCCATAGCCCGCCCACTCAACACTCAAGCCGCAAGGAGAGGAGTAGACGTCCAGGTGAAATCTCACTTCAGAATACCATGCCACCAGGAGCTGAAGAAGAGGAAAGGCAGTGTCAGAGCCGAGCTTGGCCGGCGAATCATTGTCCCAACTCGAACAAGGTGAATCCGAAGACGGCGCAAAGCAGGTGAACCCGACTTTAGGGTCCGTGGTGACTGCGTAATCAAAACGGCAGACGCCTTCTAATTTCTAAGTTAAGTGATCCCAATTGACCATTTAAGCTTTAGGTTTGAAGTTTTGGATAATTTAAGGGTTGAAGATATCAGAGAAAAGCCAGATGACGGATGCTATGTGTATGGACTGTGGCTAGAAGGAGCAAGATGGGATAGAAATCGTCATTGCTTGTCTTGGAGTTACCCTAACTCATAAATTCCAAAAAATATGTTTTAAAGAAATATAATTAAAACTATTTAAAAAGCAGATCAAAAGGGTAAGGATTTATACACAGAAATGCCAATCATCCATTTCCTGCCTTCTGTTGACCGCAAACCGCCTGAGACAGGAATTTATCAATGCCCTGTTTACAAAGTTTTATCTAGAAGAGGTACTTTGTCGACAACTGGCCACTCAACTAACTTTGTGCTGTTTTTAGAATTAACTTCAAAAGAGTCGCAAGATATATGGATTAGAGCAGGAGTCGCTTTATTCTTAGGTTTAAGAACTTAAATAATATATTTATGAAAAATATTAAGGAATATTGTAATATTGCATAGCTAATCTGGGCTTTTTCTGGCACTCATGAGTTTGGTTAATGATCTCGTGGAAGAAAGAGCTCCTGCAGTGTTAGGCCTGGTCGACTTATTAGCCAGCGTTGTTGACATAGAGGCGTTTTGGCTTGACCCAAGCCTCCCTGCAATGTGGAATTTCTGAAAATTTTTATTTTTTTGCAGCACAACTGAATAAGCCTCAGACGCACTTTTCGCGAGCTCTTTCATATTTTCGTAATTAGCTTGATAAACACCTTCTTTTCTGTTCGCAAACTCACTGTTTTCGTCCTCGTTCCAAGTCCCGCTCTGGACTTTTTTCTTGACCATGCTTTCTAAGCTCATATTTACGTGACAGAGTTCTCCGATTTTATTCATATACATTTTCCTTTCATTATCAAATCCATCTTCTTTGATTTTCCCTTTGATTTCCATCTTATACATTTTCCTTATCCTTTTATTGGCTTCTTTCAGCTCAGCTTCTTTTTCTTCAAGCTTCTTCTTATAGTGCTTTACAAGGGCAAGATTTGTGTCATAAGGCTCCTCCTTGGCGAATTCCTGACTCCTCTCCTCTATGAGTGAGCAAAACCATAGAAAAATCCCTATTTTTTGAGTAAAAGCGAGCGAGCAAACTTTTTTTAATATAAAAAATATTTCGATATAAAATTGATAATTATTATAATGAAATGCCTTGTTAATTCTGCTTAATTTTAAACAGCTTGCATTTTAAATTATAAATTTTATAAATTAAATTAATTTACTTCTCTATTTTTTCGATTTTAAATTTCGAAAAAAAAATTACTATAAATTTATATATAATTTTACTCCATTAGCAAACAAAAGTTTTTTGTTTACTCTCGTAAAGAGGAGTGAGGTTTTTTTAACTTTTTTAAGTCTTCTATTTCTTTCTGCTGCATTGCGACCTGTTTTGTAAGCTTTTGGACTTCTAATTGTTTATTGTCTAGTTTTACTTTCATCCTATTGCATTCTATTTCAAGCTTTTGTACAGACTTGGAGCGGTTAGAAATAAGCTCTTGTAACTGCTCCATTCTACCTCCATTATCAACTGTTTTGTGGAACTGGCGTCTATAGCTTTCAAGCTCCATGGATAGCTGCTTGATTTTTTCTTCATATTGTGCATTTAGAGCTATTATTTTGTGGTACTGCTTAAGTTCTTTAGAACTTTGTGACATTTCATTGGAATGTTTGACTGTCATTTTTGTCATATCAATTTGATATTTCTTTTCTAGCTCTTTTATGTTTTGTTCTAGCTTAGGAACTGAAGCAATTTTGTCTTCTTGGCCGAGAATCACTTGTCGATGGCTTTCAATTTGCCCTTTGAGGTCGTCGATATACATTTCTTTCATTTTGAGGAGATCAATTAAGCTTTGATTGTCTTTTTTTATTTCGTCGATTAGCTCTTTGCTAGATTTTGCGAGCTCTTCTTTTGATTGCTCTGCTTGCTCGAGCTTTGTTTCTGCACTTTCGAGCTTTAGTCTTAGCTGTTGCTCTTCTTTTGCTTTATTTCGGAGGTCTTTTTCGAGGTTTTGGACGATTTCTTGGTAGTCTTGGATTTGAGAAAAGACCTGGTCTTTGTCTTGCTGCTGGGCTTGGGATTTGAACTGAAGTAGGCTGTGAATTTTGTCTCTAACTTTTTCGATTAGCTGGATAGGGTTTAAAGAATTTATATTGGTGATTTCATATGTGTTTATCTCTAATTCCCCCTAATTAAATTAATACAAAATTTTTTATTTTAAAATTGTAAGTTACTTTTTATTTATAGTAAGAAGACTATTAGATTGAAGGATTTAATGAAAATTCCTAAATTTTTGTGATTATTATTTTCATCAATTATAATTTTATATTAATGCTTACTTTTTATAAAAATAAGAAGAGTAAGCCATCCAAATTGCTTATTTGTTTAAAGAGAAATGAGCACAAATCCCTAAGCTCTCTTTCGATTCTCTGATATCTCTTTTCAGTTGTTTCTCCCATTTATATCATATATTATGCCAGCCCAAAACTCCTTAAACAAAAACTAATTCTTATAAATCTTGAAAAGTTTATTTTTTAAATTTAAATTAAAAATATTTCTATTAGCAGAAAAAGTATCAGCCATCTCACTTAACCGTAATTTAATATGTCTAATTATTCTCCTAATTTAAATTACCCACAAATAGCTTCACCAAATCCGTTTAACAATTAATTCATACGAATTAAACTTAATCCCTTATGGCAACTATAACGTTCTCTTCAAAAACAATAATATGGAAGAAGGTAGTAAAACTCTGGTCTCAGAAGGTAATTCCCATTCAGACGATGTCCCTAAATTGCTTTTAGAGTATATTACCCTGTCTCTTCAGTTTATTGAAAAAGAAGAATTTGAAAATGCTCTTGAAGCTCTTTCACAAAGTGAAGAATTACTTGAAGCAATTACGACACAGTCAGGCTACGTAGACCCTGATCTTATATTAGTTACCATTCACAATATTGCGCTTTGCCATCAAAAGTATTAAATAATATAGACTAAACCGATTAGAAGAATGTGCTTCATATCTCGATGGGTGCTTATTTAACATACGCACCAAAAGAAACCTTCAAAAAGATAAACAAGACTCAAAAGCACAAAACTCTGCTGCTGAAAAGCTAAAATATTTGAAATACGAATGTAAAGCTCACATACAGCTATGCGCAATCCATTCGCAGTTAAATAAGCATGAGTCAGCATTTTCTCATGCGAAAATTGCAGTAAAACGAGCACAGTCTATTATACAGTATTGCTACAAGGTCTGTAATAACCATATACAGCGGCAAAAGAAACCAGGATCTTCTATAAAATTCCGATCGAGAAATTTTGAGCAGTGCAAATATATGGAAACTCCTCAATACCAACACTTTAACGAGCTGATCGTAAAATCTTTTCCTCTGCTTGAATACCTTACTGCAAAATTTGAAGGAAAAAGAATGATTAGAAGGCAAAGCATGAAAGTCCCAAAATTAGACATGAGAAGCGTTTTAGGTGTACAGCACCATAATGACTGGGTTTATGCGTATAGTTTGTTTACCTTAATAGATCTCTCTGTAAAGTGAAATACCGAACAGAACAAATATGAATCAGAACATTTGCCTTATGCATTATAAGCCTATTAGGCACCTCAAAACCATAAACGGGGATATCTCATTTTCATTTGTACTTTTTCAAAAGATTGGCAAGCACAAATTATTTTAAAATTAAAATAGACGATCAATGTTGATCTATTAAAATTCAGAGACTATATAATATTGGAGACATGATGGCAATCCAGCTGCTTTCTATTTTAGAGCTTAAAACCAGTTTTGGTGTCCAAGCAGAATTCACTCGAGATCTGATGCTTGACAAAATTTTCCTTCTCGTTGTTTCCCATTTTTGCATGGCAACTGAACTGCGGTTTTTAGCATGCTCTGAAAATTCTACAATAAAAGCTAAAGAAGCCCGAATTTGGCACAAAAAAGCTATGGATTATGCCAAAAGCTACCTACCTGTAGAGTGTCCTCTTTACGATCATGTGAAATCAAGTTATCACAGGAACTATAAAGAAGATCTTTCAAACACAATTAACAAAAAAAAAGAAAAAAACTCAAAATCCCAGCGAAAATTAGAGAGTTCGTTTAGGTCAAAACGAGCCAAAACCCCTCATACCGAGCAAACCAAGTCGCAGTCAAAACTCAGGTCAAGCTCAGCGAAAAATAATTTGGTATTAAAAGAGGAAAACAGAAATCGACTAAGCCAGCGTCACAAGACCCCACAGCTTAAACATAGTGTGGGGAAAAACCCACCGAAACCTGAAGAGTTTTCTATAGAGCAGCAAGAAACGAATTTTACTGAGCCAAGTCCGAAAAATGAAAAACAGTATAAAATAGACGTTAAACCGGAAAATTATATACATAAACAAAATGATATGTCGCATCCTGTACCTTATGATGAATTGGATGCTAAATTGAAAAAAATACAGGAGCATTATAACAAACAAAACAAAAACACTTGCAGTGAGGAGAGTGAAGAAATAGACAGAGAAGAAATTATAATAACTTCATATGATCTATATGGAATCCATTCAGACGAAGAAGATGAAGATTACGAAAATTTCCAAGAATCAGACAGCACTGGAGGGAGAAATGAGAATGAAGGATTTTACTTGAAAGAAAATAATATGATAGGGAAAATTATAAGTGGGACCGGCGGAGGACATTAGTAGCAAATTGTCAATTTTGAAATATAAGTGTTAAATTTTAACTTATATAGTAATATCATTTTAAATCATATCGAAACAATGCTTACTATTATTTTATATTTATTTACAAAATATGATTGGCTTTCGATTATATTAAAAATATATTAACTCTACCGCATTAAATCTTCTCCAAGTTCATTCTTAATGGTTTGAGCTTCTTCACGAGTAGGTCGATCAATTCCATTTTCTATAATTTTCAGTCTATACTTTCTTATCCCTGTCATTTTCGACACCTGCTTAATCGTTAAATTTTTCTTCATCCTAATTGCTCTTAAATATTGCCCTGTAATTTCTGCAAGTGGGTCTACAACTGTAATAGTCTGAATAACTGTCTTTTTTCTCTGATCAGGAGAAAAATATTGAGTTCCAGACCTTTTCACCCCTCCAATTTCAAACTCATTAATTTTTGTCATTGTAGAACTTCTCAGCAAATTCATCGAGTCCCATTTATCATCAGCCAGAAAGTTCCTGGGAGTTTCAGCATTAGCAAATAAAGTCGCTGGATCGTCCATGCCAGTAGTCTGATCAGGGGCAACTGTTGCTTTTTTCGCTGTATATCGCCTTTTCTTTTGCCGAACCACCGGAGGCAAGTCTTTATTAATTTCCATTTTCCTCTTGCAACAGGCTTCTTGCAGCACAAAAAGTAAGCTTCCTGAGCACCTTGTGACCATAATAAATATTCCTACAATTGCAATATAGTAAAACAACGAAAACTCAAAGTCAAGCTCCAGCTTGTCAAATAAATTAAAAAAATAAGCAAGTGAAGCGTTACAAGTGACCCAGATAATTGACCATTTAGCTCGGAATTCTTCATATTCGTCAAGTCTGGCACGCTCTGAGACTTTTAACGGCTCTGTGTCTTTTTCCCATGAAATATCATGCATATTGCAAATCGCATAGGTAAGGAAAATATTCACGTGGGTTGGGATCAAAAATATATAGTGAAAAATACCTTTACATACAGTACTTTAGATTAGATTAGTCTTGAGAGACAGCTTAGCCTTGGTTTATAGCATAGCAATTCCTTATTAATTGAAACAAGTAAAGAAACCGCCCTGCTCCTTTTCGAACGCCTATTCGTCTGGATGCTGCTAATATATAAAAACTGTCCATTGAATCAGGCTGCAAACCTGGAGATTTATGCTCAAGTCCTTCGGTGAAAGACACTAGACGTTTTTGAGCAAACTCCTACTCCAAAAGCCATGCCTGAGACTGCATGGGTAATCGTCACATGAGAGGATGGATCGGATTCATCGCCATTTTATATATATATCTATGCACAGTACTTAAAGCGTTGTGAATAAAAAGGTCAAAAAAGAATAAAAAGACTATGGCTGCGCAAGCAAGACCAAGCCAATAAATGCCAACAGCAAGTGTAATGAAATCATAAAGTATTATACCAATTGTGAAAAATATATAGCCTCCAAAGGCAGCTGATAAGATTTTATAGCCGTCTTCTAGTCTTCTGGGTTTAACTGAGAGCGCTAAGATTCAAACTATAATTACAAGGCCAACATATATAAGTATTACCCAATTTCCAAATCCTGATTGGTCATAGTCATTTGTGTAGCTTGGGAACACTTTTCTTACGGTTAAAGCCATAGCTAAAAAATAAGACCCAACCAAAAACCATGAAAATAGAACTGTGATCATATAATATGGGGGTTTTCCATAGTAATTAAGTCAAATTTTTTTGGTAAAAAATAGAATTTTTTAAATTTTTAGCTTAAATCAACAAAAATACCCAAAATTGCCCTTCTATGGCATTTTCAGCACAGCCCATATAATACCCCATCTGCAAAGTAAAGCACAGCTTGCGCAAGCAGTTATGATTTGTTTTAAAAATTTTAGTTGTATGTCTCAGCATGTCAATCAGCGAAAACCACGACCCATTTATTCATCTCCTGCGCTGTGCCATTAACGCAGCAAGTGATTTTGGAATTTCCACTCCTGCAGCTGCTTTCCAAACATATCTTAGCTTATAGCTGCTATTCTTTTTTGTTACTAAAGCGTGACAAAGTACTCTATCTTCTGCTAAATAAATATTTGCATGGAAAGCGTCCATCATTTCTGGGTGGCAAATTGATTTAAAATATTCTTTCCATAGAGGATCTCCTTGTAGCGCCTCTCATCTATATGCACAAAATGCACTTGGCAGCTTCGTGACAAACCCTGAAAGGCTTTCCAATGTTTTGCCAAAAATATGTTCAAATTTATACTCCACAGCCTGATACCCGCCAACTAAATTCCAGTTATTTTCTTCTACAGGCTTTATTTCTCCGCAGCATCCTGCTAGATCATTATCCACCTTCAGCGCCTCATATAGATAAAACAGCGATTTGGCTGCAGGCTTTGTCCCAGCATCCATCAAAAATACAATATTCGGGTTAAACATTTCACAGAACCCTCCAAAAAGCCACAAATGTGAGTTCAATTTTCTCCTTGTTTTCTGCTTTACACAGAAAATCATTTGAAGCCCTAAATCACAGTTATCAAAAAAGGCGTTCTGTATAAAACAATGAGCAAATTCATCTTCTTCGTTTTCACTAGGAATTTTGCACTCGTGGACATCAGAAACATTGAAAAAGGCTTTGATCCTTTCTTCGTCAAAAAACTGAGCGAAAAAAAATTTTTGCTTTAAATATGTTTCGATGAATGGTTTCATGCCATCTATAATAACAACGCAGCAGACCTGGTCAGGGGAAATCCCAGCCTTTCTGAACTCTTCTAGATGTCCTGAGATGCCTAGAACGGTGTTTTTGAAACTTTTTGCATCTTCATCTTGCATGGAAACTCCTATGAGGATTTCAACCTTTGAAGTCATGTTTTCGACGTAATCATATAAAAGTTCGGTAAAAATACTCTGCCGAAAATCGCGGTCGGGAGGGATTCAGGTTAGACCTTCAACTTTGCTGAGGCCTCGGATTTGTTGGGTTCCGTAATAGTGATTGGTCATGTGTTTCATTAGTTTCATGGGCTGGTAAACCATTTCTTCGCTGACTCCTAAAGCTTTGTCTCCGCATTCGTCACCGTTCTCTTCAGTGACTAGCCCATAAGGGTCTCTAGGAAGTCGGACAACCTTTAATGATTTGATTGTTTTTCGTCTTTGCTGCATGACTAATTCCTTCCGAGGGGACAAAATAATTTTTTTCGTTCATAGAGGGTGTAGCAATTTTTTCACATTAAAAAATTTGAATAAAAAGCAATATTAATAATTTAATTTATACAATTTATGCTTAAATGCAAACTGAAAGAATTAGCTAGAGATTTCATTATACAATTATTACTTTTGTATCAAAATATTTTTTCATAAACAATTTTATATTAAAAAAATTTTGTTAGCTCTCTTTTTACCAAAAAATTAAAGATTTTTCCAATGATTTATTCACTTGGAGGTGGAGTAAAATATATTTATTATTAGCTACATAGCATCGCTAGCTTTTAAATTAAGTTAGTTTATTTATATTAATTTAAAGGATTAAGTTTTTTTAAGTAATAATAAGAGAATAAACAAAAAATTTTGAAAATTCTTTAAATTTGATGGAACGCATAATTTAGAGGAAAATAGGGAGAAGAAAAAATCTTGAGATTGCTGGAATATAAAATAAGTTAGTGTTTTATCCAAGAATATGTTGAGATAAGATAATCTATGATAAATTTATAGTGTGATCTAGGCATAATATCAGTTTTGAGCATTTATTTTTCAAATATTAATTATTTATCGCTGCATCTCTCAACAGCGCTAAAGGTCCTATTTTCTTTAAAAATTCCAACTCTTCATTACTTTTTACAAGCATAAATCCCATATAAGCCATAGCGTTTAAATCAAACCTGTTAAAGCTTCTTTCCTTCTCCCTTGGCACCAGAAGCATTCATTTCTCTGTAAGAATCAGATTATAAGAATGTGACGGATTCAGCAAATTCATCAATTTCTTATAAATTCCATGCAAGTGCTCATATGTCGGATTTTTCGGAATCCCATGATAAAAATGCTTGAAATGGAAACAAGAAATTGCAAAAGGCCTCTCTAATCTTAATTAATCTATAAAATTTAACGTCCACTATAGGGTTGCCTTACTCCAGATATCACCAAGAGCACCTCTTATCCTATCGCACTTTCTAAAGGCAAAAGGCCTCTCGCTTAAATTTTCCTCTATAACTTTGCCTAATGGAAAGTTTGGTAAGCTTGACCATGGTATAACCTGTATATGTTTGTGTTCTTGAGAATATCCTGAAGCCGGACCGGAGTTATAAAACGCAAAAGCCCGGAGTTCTTTACATACTTCTCAGGCCACTCTGAAATCTTTTACTGTTAAAGGCTCTTCTTGCTTTTCAAACTGATAAGTAGCTATCAGCACATGTTTGTCTACAACCGGAAACTTATTAAAAAGCAGCCTATAGCTTTGCCCAATATTTCTTATATGAATGCCTTCCTCAAAAGGATAGAGAAAGGGGTTAGTCTTTTGTGAGTTCCGAGCTGGTTTTTTGTGTTCTTCAAGTTTTACAGAGACTATAAAAGGGATATCTTGATCAATGACTTTTTCGTCCTTTACTTTTAATTTCAGTACTGAGGGTGGGTTTAAAGAATAGATAACTTCTCTTAAGTTTTTCCTTGATCTTCTCCTAATTATTTTTCTTAAAGCCAAATAGCTTGCTGCAATAGCACTAATCGAAGCCAATGTTGCTAAAACATGATACTTTCACTTACGAAAATTAGCTAACAAGTCCATTTTATTTAGAATGGATACTATCCATTTACTTAATCCCATAGAGAATGAATATGAAGCTTGAAATCAGCAATAAGATTCGGGTGCCAATATTTCTTGTCTAAGCAAAGCTTAAAGTTCTCCATTGTGCTCATGTCAGTGAGGGTGACCCAAGTTCTATCGTTCACGTTATCAAGTCCAGTCTGTGGGGTTGGTGGGAGAACTTGTAGATGGGTGACTTCATGAGCTACTTCTACTTCATGTGACCAAAAGGCTCCTGTTCTTTTAGTAATGAATAAAATATCTTTAGATGCATTGAACTGCATCTTTGACACAATATCATCAGTAGCTGCATGAAACAGATAAGTGTATCCCAGTGCCATAAGTGGGATAAGAGGGACCACAAATGCAGTCACAGCAATTGACCCAGTAGCTTGCCAAGGCGAGTCGAAAAGTACAGTCTGCTGCAAGAAGTTTTGGTTAATATTAGCATGGTCGCTTCTGATATCCATAAACTCATTTCCTACTGGATAAATAAATCTGCCACTCCAAATACCATGCCACATATTAAAGCCTATATAAAAGAAGCTAGACCAGCCAATTTGCCTGACAAGAACTGCGCCTTGTCCAGCGTCTTTATTTTCATATAAAATATCCCCTTTTTCGAAATCCACATCTGGGTCTGGCTCTCTTGCAGGTTCTTGGACGAAGTGCGACTTGAAATTAGGGTTGTTTAGGTCAGTTTCGACTTGAAGCCATTTCAAAAGTTGGTCGTTGCCGGTCTCGATATGTTTTCTGTAGTTTCCAAGTCTTTCAGCTAAATGTGGGTATTTATCTTCAGTAGGAACTGCTTGTCCATACCAGGGATAGGCTGGAAAACGGCCAGCTCTGCCGTACTTGTTGGGGAGGTTTCTGATTCTGATTTCTTCTGGTTTGCCAGCTTCTCTTAAGGCTTCTATTTTAGCAACATTTGAATCCAGCTCAGCTAATCTTTCGTCGAGAGTCTTCTGCCTTTCTTCTTGGGGTACTTTTGCCTCAGCTGGAGCTACCTTTTGGAGTACTTGAGCAATTTTTTTTTCTATTCTCAGCTTAATAATCTGGTTTTATTATACTTAATACCAATTTTTATACTATTTATATATATCAGCATAATTCATCAGTAGCAGCACCTTGGCTGGTGGCTGCTGAGCTTGTGAAAGCTCTCCATAGTGTTCTACGGGCCAACATTATTTATTTAATTGGATATCAAAATGGGATACTGAGACAGCTTATCCATCCAAAAAAGCCTTGTTTTTCTCCTTACCCTGCTTATCTTTTTATTTACGCTAAAATAATAATTCTCTGTTAACTCGCTTACGGTTTATTTCCATAATTCAAAACAGCAATGAAATATTTTGCTAATATGGAAAACAGAGTTTCAGATCGAGTGGAGAATATCGTAAATTTGGATGAAAGACCTGTACAAGACTTGCTTGATGAAGAAAACAAATTTTATTATGACCTCGAGCCTATGGACATAAGTGAGCCTTATACCAGCAGTATAACTCTCCCTCCGTTAGAGAACAAAAAATATTTTGTTTCACTCATAAAGGGGTAAATTTTTTTTTTAAACAATATATAAAATTTTATAGTAAATTTTATAGTAAATTTTTTTTTCCAAATTTTTTCAATATTTATGTTTTTAAATCAAGCAGTTTAAAATTAAACAGAATTAGCGTGAGATTTCATCAAATTATTTTCATAAAAATTTTTTTAACCAAAATATAGGGGGTTTTGCTCGCTCAAGGAGGGGAGTCAGCACTATTTGGCCTATATTTTTATTTATATATTTTTTGAGATATAATAGATTTTGTAGAGAAAATGTCTGATGAGGAAAAAGATTCGATAAATGCTGAAGAGATGCCTGCTGGGGAAAAATCTTGACCAAAAGGCAAGATTCAACAGACCATTATTCATCAAATATCGAATATCATAGTCTAGAAAGCCATGATCTGCTTGAAGACATTTTCATGGCAGACCAAAAAGAAAAAAGGAAAAGAGGTCGAAGGCCGATTCGCCCCCAAGACCCGATTCGAAAGAAAACAGAAGAAAAAGATAAGTATTGGCTTCGAGCTTTCAGAAGCTATACTTTTCAGAATTTTAATGAAATCATAAAGGGGTTGGGGAAAGAAGATGTAGAATTCTGACAGTTTTATATGAGTCCTGATGGAAAACCTGGGAAAGGGCACAAATTTTTGTCATATGGAAAAATTTATAAAACATTTTTATACTGATCACATACAATTTTGTAAGCAAAAATGACTTAAAATTAATAGTGGGAAATTATAGTGAGAAAGAATATTTTCACATAACACATTTAGGAGCGCTTTTCGAGTCTGGTTTGAACAGGTGGGAGACGAGCTGCTGAAGAAGAAATATGAGCCAGGGAGCGATAAGTGGTTTGTATTTTATGATTATGCAAGCAAAGATTTGTGCTATTATGATATGCCGCAGCCGACACCTGAATCTCCGCCCTCTCCACTTGTATGTATGACATTGGATGATGTGGTGCCGCCTGAAGAGTTTTTACTTGAGTTTAGTGACCATACTGAGCCTGCATTATAATGATTCTTATATAGATATTGTGTTAAAACTAGGACGTGAATAATCTATTCATTTCTTTTCAATTAAAGGAATCTTTTAATAACCAAAATAAATCAAAAAATCCATAATAAATAAAGAATCTGAATTTTTCACGACTTTATAATTTTGTTTATCTAAAAACCAGCCTTAATTAGAGCATTATTCCTTAGCTTACCTTCAAAATAAAAATGTTGCATTTTTCTGATCAGATATACATAATACCAGCTTGAATTTCTTTTAAATAAATTTGTAATTTACCGGCAGTTATTTTATTGAAAATCAAAAACTCCAATAAGTCATCAATTTTTCATCTCCCCACAAAAATGTTTAAAAAATTATTTATTATTTATAATACAATTCTCCCGCTCTATCCAATCTAAATAGCTTCCCAAAATAATTAATTATCACAATTTCTCTCAGCCTACAAAGATCTTTAATACTCATTTTAAATATAGCCACAAGGAATTTCCCGGGTTATATTTTATCATACCCATTTTCAACGCATAAGTTAAAGTAAATTTAAATAATTATAATAATTACAATGAATTGTGAAGAATGTTCAAATGCAATTGCCAAACTGTTATGTACTGAATGTGATGAAGCTCTCTGCACGAGGTGTGATGAGGCTATACATAGAGGAGGGAAGAGAAAAACACACACAAGACTCCCTCTCTGCCAAAACTGCAGGTCATCCGCCTCTGACCAATGTAGCACATGCCAAATTGTGTTCTGCGGGGAATGCAAGCAGTCACACTCTCAGCACAGCCTAATCCCAATAATGCCTATAATCAAAACAGCTGTTTTATGGGATTTAAATTCTTGCAAGCCTTATAAATCTGAAGACATCCAAAGAGTTGCTGGAAATATCAGGGAAACTGCTCAGAATGTTGACTGTTTTAAAGCCTACGGAGAAGCTTTCCAAAAGTGAAAAGGTCTATTTACCTCAAGTGGCATAGAGTTCATACTGTGTGAAGGTCTCAAAGAAACCGAAGCACTCATGATTGACCTTCCAATAATTGGAACTAAAGGAATCACCGATATCTTAATCATTTCCGCCCAGGCCTCTCAGCTGAAGCCTTATTTATCACAAATCCAAACAAATTTCCCATCAGTCCGCATCCTTATAGCTACTTCTATTTCCCCTTTGAATTTTGTAACAATCAGCCAGCTTGCCAAAGACCTTCCAAGATTTTCAAAACCTGAGGTGTTTTCTACAAATTCCAATAGAAACTCATGCTCACAGCTCAATATAAAGCCTATAGAAAAAATTGCCAGTCCTCTCAGTGCAGCCGTTAATCAATTTTTCAAAAAATACGGACATGATTCTGCATGCGAAATTGTGATAAATTCACTAAAAGAGCTAGCTGAAACAGGTTTAATAATGCACGACGCTGCTTGGTTTACTCGTGCTTTAGCTCAAAGACACCAATTTTCTGTCGACAGGGCAGCAGACTACATAAATCTTGCCCAAAGAGCTCAAATTATTCATGTAAATGAGCGTCAGTTCGGAAACATAAAAACCATCAAATTCTGCAGCTTTAAGCTTGAAAGTGTCAGCTTAGAAAGCTTACTGTGGGTTTTAAGGTCTCTAAGAATAGATGAAATGATGCCTACTGAAAGAGCGATCCAGTCTAGAATGAAAGAGGCTTTTGATTTCAAGCCATCCCCTTCTCAGTGGGAAAACCTTATAGACTCCTGTAAAATATATTCACCGAACAAGCATCAACATACAAAAAGTGGGTTCCTTCACACGACGACTATTTTCATAACGACTATTTTTTTTTGGCCTATTTTTTTTTGGCCTATTTTTTTTTAGCCTATTTTTTTTTAGCCTATTTTTTTTTTTTTTTTTGGCCTATTTTTTTTTGGGCCTATTTTTTTTTGGCCTATTTTTTTTTTGGCCTATTTTTTTTTGGCCTATTTTTTTTTGGCCTATTTTTTTTTGGCCTATTTTTTTTTTTGGCCTATTTTTTTTTGGCCTATATTTTTTTGGCCTATTTTTTTTGTTGGCCTTTTTTTTTTGGCCTATTTTTTTTTGGCCTATTTTTTTTTGGCCTATTTTTTTTGGCCTATTTTTTTTTGGCCTATTTTTTTTGCCCCTATTTTTTTTGGCCTATTTTTTTACCTATCCTCATTCATGAAGCTGCTGAGAGGACTAGAACCTTATTGAGAAACAGAGACTTTTTCTTACGCGATTAATATTGAGTAAATTAAGTGAAAACTCCTAATTAAATCTAAAATTTTCGAAATTTAAAAAACAATGAATTAGTATTCATGGAGTACGAAATCTGTTAAGGGTGCATTTTTTGTTGGTTAAATCGTTTAAAAACACATTAAAAATTATATTAAAACAATTAGTATGGAATTATGCCCAAATATTAGTAAAAAATAGTTAAAAAATTGTCAAAAAATCGGCAAAAAAATATAGGCAAAAAAATAGGCCAAAAAAATAGGCCAAAAAAATAGGCCAAAATAAAATAGGCCAAAAAAAAATAGGCCAAAAAAAAATAGGCCAAAAAAAAATAGGCCGAAAAAAAATATGCCAAAAAAAAATAGGTGAAAAAAAAATAGGCCAAAAAAAAGGCCAAAAAAAATAGTCGTTATGAAATAGTCGTCGTGTGAAGATACGCAAAAAGTGCGCCTTCTGACAAGCCAGAAACAAGTTTTTCATTATTTGCCAGAAATTTATTGAGTAGGGACGAAAAAATCCCTGAGTTTTCTCTATCAGAAGTAATTGATCCTGTAACTGGGGTAGAAACTTATCTGATTTACCCAGTCGGAGAAGAATGGGAATCTGTCGATCAGCTTATAAAGAACGGGGACACACTTAGAATCAAGGCAACTAAAGAATGGGAAGCTTTTGTACAATATTTAGAGTCGTATTTTCTAGGATCAAAAATTGATGATAATTTAGCTATTCCAGGAGGTAGGTATGGGTGTGCACAATTTTTAAAACTATGTGCCTCACAAACATTGAAGAATTGCTCATTAGGAAGATTAAGCTATATGGTCCAGCTTGCTATTGATGAAGACTTATTGAGATACCAAAAGACGTTACTTGTCTGGACAGCTGCAGCGTCTAATAAGTCAGAAGAAGAAAATATGATGAAGCTTAGACTAGTTACCAAAGGGATTTTAGATTTATTAAGAGAAAATAGGTCAGGGATTTCACTTGCCCAGCTGCCACAAAATTTGAAAAAGAAGCTAAATTTCAGCTATGATATTACCGAGCTTGGGTTTTCCAAGCTAAAAGACTTGCTGCTGACCATGCCTGAAGTAGAAATTGAGCTGCGAGGCTCAAACCATCCTTTTGCAACATTAAAAAACCCTAGGAAGAGAAGGTCTGATGAAACTGAACTTCTTGTGAAAGAAATGGACGATATTCTTGGTGACTTTAAACAAGGACTTCCAGGCAACAGAGTTGACAAAATGCTTCATGCAAAGCTTGGGCATTCTATTAACTGGACTGACTACAAGTGCAGCAATATTTATGATTTTGTCCAAAAGAGAGCCTCAAGCTCGTTTGCGATAAGTGGAAGTGGAGACTCCAGAACTATTATAAGCAAAAGATCAATATCGTCTGATATAGAAACCAGAGACAGCGCTTCGTCAATGGAATATTTTTTATCAAACCCAAGTGATTTATTCTACATACCAAATTCCCAGCCAAAAGTAATTAATGTTTCAAATCTGCCTCCAGAGCTGCAAGATTCAATGCAGCAGCAAGCTTTAGAAGGCCATGCTGAGCAGCAGAGGAAGTTTATAGAAGAGCTGCTTTATGAAGATGAAGATATTTCTAATACTTTGCATGGAGTGGATCCACCACATTACAGGACTGATAGTGTAGAGTATCACTGGAGCCCAATGTTTTCAAGCCAGATGGGAGAAACACACAAAGATTATAATTATATTAAGTGCTTAACGTGTCTAAAACCAAACTCACTAATAGGGGGCCTGAGCCAAAAAAACAGAGAAGTCTAATATAGGAGACCATCCTAAATGTTACAACCCTTTGCAAGGCTAACTTCTCTCACTCGTGTGTTGCCATCGCCCAAAACCAGCTATTACTTGTGTGCTAAAGATCTCCTGCTGAGCAGCAAGGCCTAAGCTTTTCATCGCCCGCTCAAAGTTTGCACCCATCAATCTTATATGCATGGCTCTGCTAGATAAGGATTAATTGAGAAAAATCAAACTTCATAATAATTATTTAGCCCAGGAGAGGAGATTTCACATGTTTCTCAATTTTATTATTATGAAAGACACAAAAACAAAACGTTAAGTCAAGATTTCAATGGGCAGCTAAATGAGTACACACGAAAACATCATTCTTCTTATGAAGGACTTGGATTTTGCCCACCTCCTGGATTTAGCCAATAGTGTAAATAATGCGATTTTAAGAAATTTTAAATTTAATAGTAATTAGTTTTTCATGAATGTGCTTACATTCATACTCATTTGTATCAACTTCTTCTATATATAAGCTCTCTGGTATCGAATTATTTCAATATCCTGCCGCAATTAAATTTCCTTCATCATTTACTGAGCTGGTTACAATTATACCTGTATAAATACTTAGCCTTTTCAAAAGCCCTTCCAGCTCTTTGCACAGCTCATTAGCTTGGCCTCAGTCTTCTATAGAAAAAAGCAAAGGTGAAATCCCATCTATTACAACTAATCCATACGGATTCGCCCGACTCAACCCAAAGCATATACAAATAAGCGATTTAATATCAAAACACGGTAAAGTTACTAAATTTTCATGATAATTCAAAGATTCAGCAAATGCGTCACAATTGCACTTTGAGATGTTTACATATAGCACCTTATTTTGCTTTAATAGCGCATTCGAAACAGCTCGCCTGCAGAGCATAGTTTTCCCTTGTTTCGCCCTTCCTTGTATTTCTATTAATCCTTCACACAGCTCTAAAGCTTGGTCAAGCTCAAAAATCCCAAACTGAAACCTGCTTTTCTTATCCCCCTCCGTGAGTGAACAAAACCATTAGAAAAATCGCTATTTTTTGCCCAAAAAACCCACCCTCCGTGAGTTTAACAAAAATTTTTTATGGAAAAAAATTTTGATATATAAATGATAATTAGTATAATGAAATCTAGAGCTAATTCTGTTTAATTTTAAACGAATTGCTTTTTAAAACATAAATTTTGCAAAATTGATTAATATTTGCTTTCCAATTTTAGCGAATTAGGATTTTTTTAAATTTCAAAAAAAAAATTTTTATAAAATTTATATATAAATTTTTTGAAAAAAAACCTCCGTCTCCGTGAGTGAACAAAATTTTTTTGATCACTCACGGAGGGGGGAGTTATCAAATCAATAAATCAGCAGCAGATACTGGTATTGGTGCAACCTGCGCAGCAATTCCTGCATAAATATCATCAATCTCTTCTTCATTATACTCGGAACGCTCATTTAGCATCACATTTGTTACTCCTTTCCTAGAAAATTTAAATATGAAGTCTTCCATTTTATAGAGTTACTTATGGATTCGTTTCTTCCCACTCCAGGTCTCCATCTTCATCAGGGAACACCTCAGGCGGGATTTCAATTGGCCTATTGCTTTCAATCTCGTCAAACTCCTGCAGAAACTTGTTATCATCAAAAACAGCCCTTTCTGCAAATTCGTCAAGCAGGTCTTGCTCTTTATTAAACTTATCCCTAGCTTCTTCTAAAGCTTGCTGTTTCTTATTGGCTAAATCTTCAAAAGTTTTGATGGCAAGCTCCCTTTCTTCTTTTTTCATAAGATATTGTCTTCTTCTGCAGGTCACGTCAAGAATCCTGACTCGTAGACACAGTTCTAAAAACCTGAAAAGCAAGAAAAGTGATAAGGAGTATTTGCGTAGAAGCTCAGAATTGACTGACTTTACGTCTTTGTCTAGTTTTAAAGTTCTAGCGTAGGCTGGAGGTTTTTCGTTTTTTGGCCCAGAAGGGTTGACTGTTTTGAGGCAGTTTTCGAAATGGTCGTTGAGGTATTTTTTGGAATTTTTCCAGTTTAGCTGGTTTGTGCCAGGGGTGACGAGCTTTTCTCTGTCAATTCCGAAGTAGTAGAAGACAAGTTGGAAAACCCTGGCGAATTTTATGACTTTGAAGTCTTTAAAGCTGTAGATTTCTCTGAGCATTGAAGGGTCTAGCACACGCTTTCGGAGGATTTCAAGGAGAGCTTTGGATTCTGCGAGGTGTTTTAAATCGTCGTGGGCGTTTACATCGAGGGTTTTGACAGCTTCTTCAGCAGCAAGTCTTTCTTCTTCGCTTCAATCAAGCTGTTTTTCGTTGTAGACTTCTTTGTTGTGGTCATAAACAGAGAGATAGGCAGTTATATCTTTTTTTAGGGATTGGTTTTCTGCTCTTTCCCATTCATTTGTAAAGAAGACGATTCAATCGACACATTTTTTTCTATCTTCTTCTGTAAATTCTCTGTCTTGGCCCATTGAATCGAGTCCGACGATTAGTTTTATGTCATTGGTTTTATAAGGCGCTTCTACGATTTCTTCGAAAATTTTCTCTTCTTCGTCCTTGTTGCTTCTGTTTTCGTAGTTTAATTTTTCTTGCTCTTGGTCTGCTCTTTGTCTTCTGCATTCTAAATCTTCATTATAAGAAATAATAAATTTTTATTGTTTATAATTTTTTTTAATTAAAAAAACCTTGGATAGCAAAATTTTTTTATATTTCTTTAAATTTTATTACTCTAATCATCAAAATATCTAATGAATCCTCAAAAAGAATATAAAAATAATAAAATTAGAAGATAATAAGAGTAAGGCATCTTCCACTGCAAAGTCAAAGCTAGCTTCAGATAAGCAGCTCTTATAAGTCATAGGCACCACAAAATAAGAGCCAAGCTTTGGAACATCAAAGAACTTCAATTTAAGTTCACTAATAACATCAGGCACAAATTTTGCATTGAGCTGGTACAGCTTTGGCGGTTTTTCTACTTTATTTTCCTCATCTCCACTTCCTGCATCTTCAACTTCCGGCTCCTTCCAAACGCTATAAGTAATTTCTCCTTCCTCTTCTTTAATTGTTTTTCCAACCATAAATTCGGAGCCTTCAGAAGCTTCGATATATCTGATATGCTGTGGTGCCTCATCGTCTATATGTGCCAACTCTTCATCAGTCTCTTTAATAGGCCTTTTCACTTTTTCCAAAATCCCTGCATACACAGCAGTTGCATTGGTTGATTTTTTTAAGAAATTTATAAAATCCTTCAAAATATCATCAAGATCTAATGAAGCTTTTATTGAGGCTTTATCTAATGCACGATTGCAAAGGGCCAATTTACTGAATATTTATCAAGCAAAGCCATTAATTTTAAAAAAAATCCCAAATTTTGCTATTAAAAAATCAAAAATCATGAGCCGTTTATTGATGCAGCGAATTCTTCTTCTTTTGACTTTTTCAAGTCTTTTTCAATTCTTTCTTTTTCTTCTATGTCACGTTCATCTTGTAGAGCTTGTTCGTGCTTTTGGATAAGAGAGTCTTTTTGTTCAAGCCTTGTGTATTCTTGGTCTTTGTTTTTAAGAGTAGCGGCATAGTTTAGAAGCCAGTTTCCGAGAAAGTGGAGAGGGTTATTTGGCTTGGCAAGATATAGCTCGCTTAGAGCTTCAGCGACAACGTCACCAATTGGGTCTTGTTTGAGGTATTTAATGTCTTCATGCTCTTGGGCCTTTATAAACCTCGCGTGGTTAACCAAATTTGACATAACTGCTAAATATGGATTAATAGATTTTAATTTATTGAGAAAGTTATATTGATTAATAGATTGCAGTTTTTTGCAACTAAAATCTTATTTAAATAAGTATTAGGTTACTTACTCCCCACTCATTGAGCGAAAAAACTATTTTGTTAGATCACTTAATTTTTTTTTTTCCAAAATTTAAAAAAAAAAGATTTTCACAAAAAAACTAGAAAGCAAATATTAATTTAATTCATGCTTTAAATGCAAGCTGCTTAAAATTAAATAGAAAAGCTGAGATTTCATTATAATTATCACTTTTATATCAAAGTCTTTTTCATAAAAATTTTTGTTTGCTCATTAATAATTTTTTTCACTTACGGATTAGGGAGTAAGACTTGTCTATTTTTCTATTTTTACTAAAATAGTTCTTATACTGATATGGATTTTGCTTTTTAATTTATAGTAGCTTCTTGAGCGGATAAAATTGCTGCTTTAGCGCTTACTCGAAACTAGAAAAATTGTCGCATCTAGTCATACTGGATATCTCTGTTGAGAAAAAAATTAGGATTTCCCCTTTCCAATTCAAACTTTTTCTCCATGCAAAGCTTAAACTAACGAATTGCAAGGCTATCTTAATATTTGAGTTAAAGTTTAATATTATCTGATTAAGAACTTATACAAATTAAAGATATGTCTGCACCAAAAGCACTTACCATACTCTTTTTGAATGATGCCAAAATAAATAGAAGAATACTGTTATCTTTATAAATATGACCATATCATACTAGAGACATTAATAAAGAGAGAAAATCTTTTGAGCCTTTATACAGCTCTAAATCAGGAAAAGCTTAACAAATCTGACTTCTATTACAATATGCGCATTAATGCTATACGCAGAGCTAATAATTCAATAAATTCTTTTACAAAATCCTCATTACCAGCTAATATATTCTCCCAAATGAGAATTTAATTCTTCTTCATGATCTGAAGGCAATTGTAAATACATATCATCTTCTGAACTGCATATTAATTCTCCTTCCTGCACTGAAGATAATGGCAATTCACCCAATATTTTTCCTGAACTTAATCTTTTTTCTTTTTCTATAATTAAGATCTAGCATTCAAAATAATTATTTAATTTTAAAGCAAGGTTTTTTGTAGACTTATACTGAATTTATATATAAATTTTATTACATGCTTATTATGATGATCACCCATTCCGATTACGATTAGGTATTTAAAGTGCCCGGTGCCCACTCCTAGTGAAGGATTAAGCTCGACTGATGATGTAACGGGTCATTCTGTCACTTAAAATGGCGCACCATATGGGCAGATATTCCTTCGTGTTCGTACTTACGTCAGACCGCACTTCTCACCCGACGCGTTGCTTTTGATCTTGCCAGACTCAGCTCCTTTGCATGTTCGCCTGAGGGTCACCCCTCGGTATGCTGAGTGGAAAAACCTTAAGTCTATTGAATGCACTGGGAGCAGTTCTTCTAGCCCTATGCAAATAAACTTTATACCGCTACCACTGTGCAGAAGTTCTCCAGGTAAAACCAAACCTCATAAATAATATTTCCATGAAAGAGAGAACCGAATGAATGTCATTTTTATTTATGATGATTAGCTATTTCAATAAAAATAGTTAAAATTCAGTCACAAATATGTTAAAAAATTATTAAAAATGATGACGACTATAAAGCCATATCATACGAAGTCTGAAAAATAAAAAATAATTATTCACTGACTCAAAGATTTGTGTGTTAGAAAACGAATAAAAATGGGATCCTGCATATCCTTTAAAACCAAGATTTTGGCTGATAAACAAACCGCAGAACTTAACATTAATTATCAACAAAAAAGAATTGCGATCCGCCAAATTTACCAAAAAAAGGCTAAGCAGGCTCCTATTTTAAAACTTGACACGAATCCCTTGTATATTAAAAGAACTTTTTCCGAGATTACAAGCAAAACTGGAGTGAGTAATTCCCTAAATCATCTTCTTGACTAAGGGTTCTAAATTTACACTCAAGGCTTAAATAATTTTTGATTTAATTTATTTCATTCCCAAAAACATCGAATTCTTCTTCTTTCAATATTTGGATTTTGCTAATTAAAAATCCATTAATTTTCTATTTTAAAAAATCAAGAAAGCTGAGTCATTTTGGATTTCAATATTATAGCATATAAGTATTGGCACATATTATGGAAAAATCTATTATAAATGTCAAAGACAAGAGTTCCAATCTTGCCAATAGGTCATCGTGTAATATTTCCTGGCACGACTGTGCGGATTACGATCTCAAATATTTCTGAATGTAATTACCATTTAGTTTCCCGAGGAAAAAAGCTGACAATGTTTGGAATTCTCCCATTCAAAGATCCAGATCGCAAGCAATTTTACAACTATGGAACCTTAGTCGGAATAGTCCACGAGCAGCCTGTAATTCGCCGTAATCCTAACACAGGAGAAAGCCTTATCACGAACTTTTTTAACACCCCTGTTTCTTCTTTTTCTAGAAATGACTCCAATATAATCGCAATCGGTGTCGAAAGATTTAAACTCTTATCAATCTCTGAAGAAGGCAAGAACTTATGGGGAAGTATACAAATAGAAAAGGACACTAAAACTGAAACTTAAATACCACCTATTGGTCACGCAGTCACCAAAGGTCTCCTAGGGGTTTACCCTCTTTGTAGTTCGGCAGGGAGAATTTTTTGAGCGAGATGAATTTCAGCTCTTGAACCATCATTCATCTTCTTTAGCATCTGACGCCATAACAACTGTGAAGAAGGGCTCTCTGTCTCCATATCCTCATTGCATTGTCGACTCCAGTGTCGAGTGGAAGGCAATGGACTTCTGCGGCGTGCTATTGGGCTGAACGAAGGTTTCCCACACAAAAATCCCAAAAAATGGAATTTCTGGTGGAGTATTGGCAAAAAGTAAAAATTCAAAGTCTGGGTGTAATCCAAATTTCGCGTTAGATGCTGCTGGGGTTATTTTTTCTAACTCTGAATCCATTTTTCCCTCAAGTTAAAATCCAATCCTGAAAGCGGACTAGGGCTAGGCTCTGTACATTACTACAATTGCTTCCTAGCATTGCTGTCTATTTCTGGGTTGGCAAAACCTTACCAGATAATAAATAAAATGTGCTTAAGACAGCATTGCTGAGAGGCAATGCCCAGATCAATACGCCATTTTTATTATAATAGAAAAGGACACAAACACGAAGGTTTCTGATACTCTAATAGAAGATCTCAGAAAAAGTGGAGTCCATTATGTCCAGCGCGCTAGGATGGCCGAAGCTATTTCTAGAGAGTAATCATTATGTAGGCGACTTCAAAGAATCCAAGAAGAAAAAGATATAACGAACCTAGGGTTTTATATTGCAAGCTTTCTCGAGATATCTACCCCTGAAAAACAAGCTCTTTTAGAAAATTTCAATTTAGAAAGCAGGACTAATCAAATTATTGCACATGCCCTGAATACGACTGAAGAAGACCAAATAAGCGAAGAAATTAGTAAAAAGGTGCAGAAAAACTTGCAGGAGCAAAGCAAAAGGATATGCTTTTTGCCTTGAGTGGCGCGGTACGGGCGCCACTTCGGCAAGCTCCTTCTTCCAGTTGGCCGAGCCAGCTCAGGTTGGTTCGGCCAACTAGAATTGACAAGTCTCCCCAAAAGGCCTCACTTGTCAATTCTCCAGTTGGTCGAACCAACCTGAGTTGGCTCGGCCAACTGGAAGAAGGAGCTTGCCGAAGTCGCGCCCATACCGCGCCACTCAAGTCAAAAAGCTATAAAAAGTGATGGGGTTATAAGTGGGATTCCTGGGATGTCTGGAGGAGAATCTGATGATTTTATTACAAAAATTCAGCAGAAACTGGATACTTTGCAAATGCCAGAAAATAGCAAAAAATATGTCCAAGGAGAGCTGGATCGGCTGAGGACGCTTAGGTCTGTTAACCCAGAATATAATATGATTAGAACTTATCTAGAAACAGTCTGTGCACTTCCTTGGAATACTTCAAGCCAAGACAAAAATGATATTGACCAAGCACAAGTTCAGCTTGACAATGACCACTTTGGGCTGGAAAAAATCAAAAAGAGAATCATTGAATATTTAGCTGTGCGTGGGCTCAAAAAAGATATGAAAGGCTCTATTTTGTGCTTCACAGGCCCACCAGGTGTCGGGAAAACATCTTTAGGCAAATCAATAGCAGATGCTATGGGCCGAAAATTCCACAGAATTGCTTTAGGAGGCGTCCGTGACGAAGCTGAAATAAGAGGACATCGCCGCACTTATATTGGATCTATGCCTGGTGTCTTTATTCATGCCCTTAAAAGCTGCGGGACCAACAATCCAGTCATTCTTCTCGATGAGATTGATAAAGTTGGTAAAGACATGATCAGAGGTGACCCTGCTTCTGCATTACTTGAAGTATTAGACCCAGCCCAAAACCACACATTTACAGATCATTATATGTCAGTACCTTTTGACCTCTCTAATGTCCTATTTTTAGCCACCTCAAATCGTATAGAAACAATCCCAGCCCCACTCCGTGACAGAATGGAAGTTATTGAGCTGACTGGGTACAGTACTTATGAGAAGCTACAAATTGCCAAACGGTTTTTAGTACCAAAGCAAGTCAGTGAAAATGGAATAAAGCTGGAAATTATTGAGTTTACTGATGACAGCTTAAATAAAATCATTTTGGAGTACACAAGAGAAGCTGGGGTAAGGCAGCTGGAAAGAAATATTGGGTCGATATGCAGAGGAATTGCAGTGGAGTATTCAAAAGCACTTAAAAACGGTAGCAATTTTCCACAGAAAATCATAACAAATGCAGTTGTGGAAGAAATTTTGGGAATTCCGATTTTTGAAAACGATATAGAAGAACGCTTAAGCACGCCTGGGGTTGCATTGGGGCTTGCATGGACTCCTTATGGAGGAAAAGTACTGATAGTAGAAACTTCAAAGTCACAAGGATCAGGAAAGCTTCGAATTACAGGGCAGCTTGGAGACGTCATGAAGGAATCAGTCTTAACTGCAATCAGCTGAATTAAATCAAAATTCCCCAGCATTGCAAATGCAAATTCTTCTTCCAGATCTGACGAAGGCTTTGACGGGCTTGACATCCATATCCATTTTCCAGCCGCAGCAGTCCCAAAAGACGGTCCATCTGCAGGAATTACTATCACAACTGCCTTAGTCAGTCTTTTATCAGGCGTCAAAGTCAGAAGTGACACTGGGATGACTGGAGAAATTTCTCTCAAAGGAAACGTACTTCCTATTGGCGGTCTAAAAGAAAAAGTCCTCGGCGCACACAGAATGGGAGTCAAGAGAATCATTTTGCCTGAGAGGAACAAAAAAGACATTAAAGACATCCCTGACTACGTGAAAAAAGATTTAGAATTTATATGTGTCAGAAAAATAGAAGAGGTGCTAAGAGAAGCCTTAGAAGACAAAAGTATACTTGGGAAAATGGAAATAGATAATCCTAAGCTTTAGATTTAAATTAACCGGACAGCTAATGATAAATGGTCGCTTGGATAATGTGGAGATGGAAGACCATTAGGCCCAATTTCTTCTAATGATGGAATTGAAAGCAAGCTTTGGATTTGGAAGCCACGGAGCCATATGTAGTCTTCGGTTTTTTTCTGAAGAGAATTTCTGATTTTTACAGTTGTATAAGGGACTTCTCCTTGTGAAAAAATGTCTCTGTAAGCACTTCGCAAGCCAAGCTGATTGTTAAACATTTCTAAATGGGCTGGGTTTTCAGGCAAACTGTTGAAGTCTCCACAAAGGATTAAGCTTTTGGTATAGTCAATTGGTTCTAAATGTCTTATCAAAGATCTGATCTGATTCACCCTTACATCTTCATAGTCTTTATTCGCTTTCAAATGCAAAGCATAGACATAAAATTCTTTATTTGACCACGTGTCTAATAGCCTAGCCCCTAATGCAAATTGATTACGGCCTTCAAAATGGCAAACTTCATTAGAAATCACAGTAAACCTGTTTGTTTTATAAAATATCGCAGAGCCATCTCGATGCCACGATGGCTTTTTTTGAAAAAATCCTGCATATCCAAGTCTTATAAGTTCTGGCTCTAAAAAATCAGCATAATGGTCGACCTCCTCTGCACAGAGAATATCAGGATTGAAACGTTCAATTTCAAATAAAATTCTTGGCCTTCTAAAATTTCAGCTTAAATTTTCTTCATTTACAGCTGGAAAATCATTTGCTAGTTGGTCTGCCAGCATATTTCATTGCATCACAGTTAAACTGCTTTCACCTTCAGCAACCTGCACAAAAGCTCTAGGGAGAAGATCCATTTATACTAAAAAAATTATTAATAAATCATGCTGCCTCTTAAAATTGATTTTAGGCTCACACCTTCTCAACGTGCAGGTGCTACAAGTTCAGAGCCTCCTCGAATAAGCAGAAATACAGTAGAATTTGGCAAAAAAGTAAGGCTTATAAAAAAAATTCCTGAAAAAATCAAGACATATGAGACAATTAAACATGCCAGTTAGGGGCAGCACTCAATTCCTGCATCCGAGATTATTGAGATAAGTCCACGACTTCTTGAGAATTTCGGCTCAAGAGAATAAGTCTACACTATGTTTGGTGTAATCAGAGAGATCTTAAGGGGATTCGGGACAGAAAGAGTTGGACAGTTAGGCCGGCCCACCTACCTTTATTCAGAGCTGTGGCTCAAGCTGAGGCCAAGAAGTACAGAATTTAAAGAGTTATAATAAACTTAAACTTAAAGACATATGAAGAAGATTTTTTATTAGAAAAAGAAGGAGACATTAGATCGTTTTTTGATGAAGCTAATTCTCCTGGTACCCCAGGAGTAAGATATAATGATAAAGGCAAAATTATTCCATATTCAATTATTGGACCTGCTTCTTTATTTGAAAATCAGCCAAATGTTCCTAAGTATTCTCCTCTCCCGTCCTACAGTTTGCCCAGCAGCCCACTAGGGATTTTTAAATTTGGCTTTCCTTTAGTCAGAAAGCAGCTGCTTAAAATAGACCATGAAAAAAAATTTAAAGATCGCTTGCACAAATAGATTAGATTAGATTAAAATTATAGCGGGTCGTAGGAGTTTATTTCAGCCCCTCGCTATCCAACGGATAGCTTCGCAGTGACGCTAACTCCCCCCCCTCCGTGAGTGAACAAAACCATTAGAAAAATCCCTATTTTTTGCCCAAAAACCCACCCTCCGTGAGTCAACAAAAATTTTTTTAAATAGAAAAAATTTTTATGGAAAAAATTTTGATATATAAATGATAATTAGTATAATGAAATCTAGAGCTAATTCTGTTTAATTTTAAACGAATTGCTTTTTTTAAAACATAAATTTTATAAATTAAATTAATATTTGCTTTCAAATTTTTTGCGAATTAGATTTTTTTTAATTTCGAAAAAAAAATTGTTTATAAAATTTATATATAAAATTTTTTAAAAAAAAAAAATTAACCCCCCTCCGTGAGTGAACAAAATTTTTTTGTTCACTCACGGAGGGGGGGGAGTAAGCTCTATCCTCACACCACCTTTTTCTCTTCTGACGTCACCATCGAAGGTCTAACGGAGGAGACACCCTATCGAACAGAGCAAACGGTCTCAAAACTTCAGCAAAAGACTCCTTTAACCTCTTACATGCTCAGAATACGGGGGAATCGCCTTTTGCCTCCTCCATGGTCTGTCAGAGCCGTATCGCAGGCTCGTAAATACTCCCATGGAGTGGTATCGGGACTTTGCGCCGGTAGGGTCATCTCGTAGGTAAGGAAAAAGGACCAGGGTCAGCCCCTAGGCCAAAAACCCATCCCAGAGGACCATCGCCATGTGGCTCGTCTTTCCTGGGCCACATCAACTCACGGGTCACCAGGAGTCCACGTCAGATCACGCCATTTTAATAATGCTTGCACAAATAGAAGAAGTTAAAAAAAGCAGCAAAGCCAAAGAAAAAGAAACTTTAAAAGCTCTGACTCCCCCCCCCCTTTAAATTGAAACAAAAAATTTTGTTTCAATTTAAAGGGGGGTTAAGAAAATTTTTTTATAAAAAAATTTATATATAAAAATTTTTTCAGAGATAAAATTTTATAATTTCATGAAAAATTAATTCATAAATTTCTCAATCTCAAAGTGTAAACTTGCTGAAATGGTATTCTTCTAACTCTCCCCATAACAATTGGACAAAATAGAGTTTAATTTCTAAATCTTATATATTTGAAGCATATTAAATAGGTTATTAACGTATTTTACATATAAAATAATGATTTTTACCTATAAAATTTTCTATTATAATAAAATTTTGTTTCAATTTAAAGGGGGGTAATTTCCCCAAAAAAGTAGGAATTTTACCTATATTTTGTTTCAATTTAAAGGGGGGGGGAGTGAGTTTAGAAGAAAAAATAAAGATAACTAAAGAGCAGAGAGCTTTAAGGCAATTTCAAAGAATGCAAGAAAAATGAGACCATATTGATGAAGGACTTTGTAAAAGGATACAAAAACATAAAGAAGAGCTGCTTCCTACAAGGGCATGATATACGTTAAAATGGCGGCATATGCAGACCTGCCCTCTTGGCGCAAAGGTCTAGACATTATGGCCACGGCGAACTGGGACAGATCCGGGTAGAAACAAGTGCAGCCTCAGGTAATGTATATGGGCAGGTTTTGGCGGCTGAAAATGGAGGTGCCCGGCAAGGTTCTCTGGACCCAAGGACCCCGAGGCATTCCTCTATCGAGAAACCGGGGTTCCGCCATCAGTTCACAGTGGAGCAATCTTTTCCTGTAGTTGTCGAAGGAAGGCATTCGGCATCCGACAAACTCCAAGGATCCTTGGGAAACAAGCTGCTCTAATTGCCCCTAGCAGGACCGCAGCACTCAAGACTGAAGCGGAAAGGCAAGAAGGAGACAGAAGGTGGTAGAAGTGGTACCCGTTTTCGGGGAAAGGCCCTATGGCTGGAGTTGAAAATCAGTTGAACCTTCTGTATGGGAGGTCTTTGGTGACTGTGCTATCAATATGGCTAATGCCTGACTTTAAAAAGCCTAACCTAATCCTACAAGGGCTTGCGAATATAGAGAAAAATTAGAAGAGCTTGATATTATTGATAAAGTTAGGAGCTTAGACAAATCAAATAAATATCATTGATATATGTCGTTAAGAGGGGACCCAAGAACAGATAAACTTGATGCTATTGTAAATGTTGGGAATTTTATGACAGGTCTATATACAAGAATAAGGCAAAGGTCTTCTTCTCAGTCAATTATTAGGAAACCAGGAACAGTTAAGGCAAATTCTAACTCCCCTTGATCGAACCAATCGCCATCTTTCGATCATGAATAGGGTAAAATATTATCAGGAAATGTTTTGTGCTAGCCACAAGAGATGAATTATTCAATATATTAGCAAAAAAGCTGGAAGTCGCTTAAAAGTTATTATACAGTATAATCTATAATACTAATTACTATCAAAAATAGGTGAGGTGGGATAGAGAGCGGATTTCATGCTAAAATAGTTTGATTAAGGATGGTTTTAATTTTCCCGATTTTTAGGAAAATATTTGCCGTTTAATCAAGGCCAGGAGTAAGACTTTTCGTGATGACCCTTATTTTAAAGATACAGCGAAAAATGGAGAAATTTATAGCAGCTTAAGCCAGGCGAGAAATATAAAATGCGAAGAGCTTAATGTTATTGGGTTAAGTAAATTGCCAATGGAAATTGATGCAGTTAAATCAGCAGGCTACGAAAACTTAAAGCTCGAAGCTATAGAAAAAGGGGACGAAGAAGAAATCATTGTCGAAAACTACGCTCCCAGAATCCGTGCATTTAGTACAAAAACCACTATAAAATATTAATTTTTAATTTAAATAGAAGCCTCGCTCCCGCCCGACTCACTTTCATTTCCATCTTCCCAAAGCCCTTTCATTCCCATCTCATCATCTTCTATTTCTTCTTCTGCCTCCTCTTCTTCTTCCGCTTCTTTTTCATTATCTTCTTCATTTTCTTTCTCACTTTCCTCATTTTCTTCAAAAATCGGGACATTTTTAAGCTCTTCTTCTTCGTCAAGCTTAATTTTTTTACTATGCAGCTCTTTAGGAAAAGCATGCGGTCTCTGATGTACAAGGCTTTTCATAAATTGTGTAGCATAAGATCTCCGTGTTTCCAGCAGTATGTGTGGGTTTATAGATTTCCGGAAATATTGGTAATAAGGAGAATTTAGTGCTTTTCCTAGAAAAGACCTGCTTATTGAGACAAGCTCAGCTTGTTCTGGTGATAATGAAGGGTATTTAAATGTTACTTTTCTAGGCGGATAAAGCGCTGGGATTTCAATATCTTGTGTATCAATTCCTCCTTTCTTTTGAGACGATAAGGTGCCTAGCTCTGCTCTTTGGTTCCTAACAAACACAGAAACAGCTGATCTCGCTTTTCTTTTTCGTGATGACATTATTTAATTATCTTAATGGCATATACAAATAGGTTGATATTAATTTTTCTGCAGAAGTTTCGCTGTCGTTTATTTTTTCCCGTAATTCTTCTATTTCTTTTTGGGCGTTCTCTATAAAACTTGGCAAAACGTTGTTGAGGAAGGTAAAACAGCTGAAAATTACAATATTCCCTGAGTGCGCTACAATGGCCATGGTAGGGGTAGAGAGGTTATCGACTGCGTAAGCTTGTGGGACTTCTTCGTAGCGATAATAATTGCTGATATTTTCTGAGACAAAATAAACACAGCCATCTGAGGTCCCAATTGCGACGGTTTGGCTGTTAAGATAGCCTATAAATACAGGTCTTTTTGTAATAGAAGTAGTCAGTGAGCTTTCACTGGGCTTGTCTGAAACCCCTACAGAGTCAAAACACCCTATTTTGCCATTCCCATTGACAGCAGCTACACAATTTTGATATGTCGTGACCATTACATAAGTGGAGTCTTTTCCACACACCTCAGTAATATAATTCCTATTGCTAGCTCTTTCAGGATTATCATTTGTAGGGTGAATTATCAGGACTGACCCATCCCCCTCTCCTAAAAATAGCTGTTTTTCGCTTTCCCTTACCCTTATACAAATAGAAGTGATCTCATTTCCAAGCGTCCAAAGTTTCCCTGCCTTTCAAGGGCTGCTCGCTTTAGAGTCTTTCCCTGACATTTTATAATGTGCGAAAACTCCATAAGAAGTCCCTATAAACAATTCCGTCCTTTTTGAGTCCTCATTCTGATATAAAGCTATGCATTGAGGATTTAATAATAACTGCTGAGTATATCTGGGAGTTCAGGATTCTGTAAAACCTAGCATACGATCCATAATTATCTCAAAAATATAAGACTTGCCTTCTAATGTAGCGACTAGTACTCCTATATCTTTTAATAGAGAAATATAATCAATCTTTATGCAGCAGATCGACCCAACCTCTGTAGCCACTAATAAAGGCTCTTCATTATCAAATAAAAATAAGCATAAAGTCCCATCTAGGTTTCCGACTACTAGTATATCATTCTGAATAAGCTATACGTTTTCTCTTCTTCCAAGACAAATTGCATTTCCTAGGACTCTTCCTGTGAAGTTAAGAATTTTTGAAGGAGTCAGTGGGATTGCAGTAAACTCAGACATTTTATATATGTCAAGCAAAAGGGCTAAAGGCTATTTGGTAGAAGGTTCAACTGATGAAGGGAATATTGAAACTTTGACAGAAAACATTGAACAAAGTGTAAGGAGAATCCAATGCTGCCCTGTTCTTTCTGATGATTGGCTTGTGGTTGCTACTGAAATAGAGAGATTAAGCCATTTGTCAGCACTGGAAGAAAACACTAATAGCAACCAAGCTCAAAATGAAGAGGGCATGAAGATGCTTGGGAAAAGCGGAAATGAGACACTTTGGGATACGAAAAATCATATAGAAACACTTAAAGCTCTAGTTGAGCAGGCAAAATGCAATGTTTTGATAAGGCTTATTAAGGAATATAAAGAGTGGACTCGATTGCCTTCAGCCCCACAAGAAGTCCAAAATTGTGTTGCAAGACATCATAGAGAATATGATGAAATTATATCAAAGTTAAACCAATTTGAATTCGACCTCGGGCTTCTTCTAAAACGACTTTTCGAACACGCTGAAACTTTACAGATCTCTGACATCCCTCTTCTATTAGAACATATCAACTTTATTTTAAGAGGAATTATAGATAGAGCAGCCTCTTTAGAACACTTAGATTTACGACAAGAAAGCTTGGTCTTTTTTTATCTGTATTCAATATTCAAAGCAATTGAGCAACTCAACGAAGAGCAAATCGTCCACTGGAGCAAAGAGCATGAGCTGCCTAGACTTCTAGTCATCATTTTGGTGGATTTTCACAGCATCTATTCTGAAGGCTGTAAAACAAAACTGTTAGAAGCCTTAGGAGCTATGTCAGACGTAGATTCATTTTTTAGTAATGATTATGATTTCGCTGATGCTCATTATAAGCAAGAACTGATTAACCTAAAAAAAGGAATGATAAGAGATCTCATTGTGGAGCACCCAGAAAAGAGACCAGGAATTCGGCCATTCTTAGACTTGATTGACAAATATGAAAGAGATATAAGGTTTCCAAAGAGAAAATAATTTAGCCATTAAAAATATTATCTAACTATCCTCCTCTGCTAATAAACACCACTAGAATATCACCAATCCTCATTTGGACAGGCTTATGCCTATCAAACAAAAGTCCCATTCTTTTTACCTCATTTGTAATCACTTCTTCTTTAAGTTTGACCTCAATTAATATCCCTAGTCTTGATATAGCGTCCAATACAATCCCTTCTTTTACGGCTTTAAATGTATATTTAGCGACAATCACGTCGACCCCTGCAAATTCTGCCTTAATCAGCTTCAAAAAAGGTTCAAAATGGTTATAGTCAAAGGATACGTTGGATTTAGAGTAATATCTGGCATCATACCAATCATTTTGTATCAGCTCCATTTCACAATGCCTGGAGATGTTGTACATGTAAAGCTTCTGCTTTATTCCTTGGTTTTCTGCTTTTTTTCTTGGAAAATCGGGCTCGAGTTTGATGGATTTTAGGATAGCTTTAGTGTCTTGGATTATAGGAGGCTGCCATTGGATAGACTCAAGCCTTGTGAGGCCTAGTAAGTTGTATCAGTTTATAGCGAACTCAAACAAATCTCCTATACAGATTTCAGGAATTTGTTTGGAATAAGCTTTATTAGAGTCGTTTGCGTTGATTCTGCATTCGTCTTTGTGGAGTCATAAACTCATCTTTTGGTATCGTATTATGTCAAGCTTGAATTCAGCTTTAAAAATAAATTCAGATTGGTAGGTCCTATAGGTATATCGAAATTTTATTGTTTTGCCTTCTAAAGTGCTTAGAGGCTCTGCCACAATTGCACGATCAACTCTGTAGCCTTTTCGTTCACTAACACAGATGCCACTGCTGCTTAAAAAGCTTTTATTGAATGCAAAAAGGTGAGAATGGACTAACGCAAAATGGCTTTCAATTGGATTGAACATTTCGTCAAAAGCATCAATGATATGGATATATCAAGAGGGCGATACAGCCATGAGAGCTCTTATATCACTTGCAAGAAATTTGATTATGATTAGAATAACTTCGTTTGGTAGGTTAAGGAAATCTAGCTTTGGGGTAATTGATTTTGAGTGTTTATTTAATATTCTTCACATCATTTGATTATAGATTGAAAAATTTTTTTCTCTGGCTTGTTCGATTGTTGATGAACGATGCTCTCTGGCTGAAATAATATCAGGGTCTGTAGCTTTTGTAGTGAATTTTTGTCCCATTTCTTAACTTACAATAATAGATAATTTTTCCATAATGATTTTCTATCGGCATAAGCTTTGGATATTAAGATAGAATAATTTTAATTGCTTATTTTCGCACACATATACAATTATATGATTTTAAAATTTTATATATTAAAGATGAAAAATTAAAAAATATATTAATAAATTTTGCTTTAAATTATATAGTGACAGTATAGCTCATTAAGAAGTTTTTAATTAAGCCTAGCAATTCATTTGTGTGAAAACGGTAAGCACTTTGATTAAAAATAATTTTTTCTGCTTCTTTAGAAATACGCTGATGGCCACGAGTAAATCAAGGAACTAAAAAAATTTCACTAATTTTCCCTGCATAATTAGGATGACTTTGAAAGCACAGTCACTTCCCTTGAACCCCAAAAATTTCATTTGGGCAACTATTAGAGTACCCTCATCTTTCCCATCCACTTGGCAGCCTCACAGCATTTTCTCCGTGATTTTCCGCAATTTTATATACTTCTCTTGTATTTTCAAATCTCATTCTAAATTCATTTGTTGTAAATACTGTTTCATATCCTAAAATATATTTATTTTTCATTTTTTCTACAGTTCCACCAAATGTCTTTGCAATAATCTGTGCCCCTAAACAGATTCCAACCACTTTAATATCAGGATAATCCTCATTAATTTCTCTTAAAAAACTTTTTAAATTAATCAGTCAGTTGTATTGATCATTTGCAGAAAATTTCCCACCTAGTAAAATTATGCCTTTTATAGTTTTAAGCGCATCTTTTGAAGGAAGCTGGCCACTTACTACAAAATAATGCTGCCATCTGTCAAAAGGCTGGGAAAAAATGCTTGTTGACCATGCTTCCACAAATCCACAAATATTTGACTCCTCATCAAAAAAATGGAAAACTGCATAATCAGGGTTATTATGTATAACAGGTAAAGGATAATGGATTTCTTCATTACGTAAAGCTTTTTCTAGAAACTTGTATTCTTGTGATAGATTATAATTAGAAATCAAGATTTCTTCATATGCAACTAAGCTTGGGAGCGCCAAAATCCCTTCAGGCAAGCTATGAATTGGGATATAGATTGTGCTATCTGATATGTTATATGAAAAATAAGTAACATGGACCATCACTAATTTAGTTCTGTCATGCCATATTGCTTGAAGAGTATTATTAAAATGATGGCGACAAAATCTGTTCTCAGCAATGACGCATCATGGCCTCAAAAGCCACTTTGGGTATGAGCCTGACGGCAGACAGACGATTTAATTATACCTCTTAGCTTGCTTTCGTGGCTCTATTGAGTGGGTAGGCCATAGTTTGAAGCTGTGGCACTCTATGATTAAGATTAACTATTTGAATAATTTTTGGAGCACAGTCTTTTGCTCCGGTCTTTGGAGGTTTGCTCCCTTTTGGCCTAAATGACTCCGCTTCTCATGGATGGCCGACAGAAGGTATCAAGCTGACCTTGCAGTCATAGTATCAATCACGAAATGATGGAGAAGTTTTTCTAGCCCATCAATAATCATAGGGTACTAATGTAAGCCTATCCCTAGAGAAAATTGCTTTTCCTAATAGAGGCTGAGTACCCTTCAAGCAAGTAAATAGCTCTGGTCGATATTATGCGAAGGCATCAATTTGGAAGATTTGGCACTTTAAGTTTAAGCTTGAAGAGAGTCTCATTCATTTTGTGAGTATTTTTTGAGTCCATATCACTCTGTAATTGCTCTTGATGCTGCCATTTGGACTCCTAGTTCTCATTCATTTATAATGTATACAATTGGCTCGCAAGTAAAAATAACGTTGTTTTCAACTAAATAAGGAATAACGTCTAAAAGCATTTAGTTTTTAATATTATCTGCCCATATTGCATATTGAAAATAATAGATGAGATCAGAAGCCACAAAGTTAGTGTATCGTGCTGTGTGGCTCAGGTATCCTTGTGAATCGCTCAAGCCTCAATCTCCACTTGCCTTTGGGGAATTTGATCATTATAAGTCATGTCTTAATTTGGCAAATCTGCGAAATCTTGAAGATTGATCGATAGCCCGCCAATTGGAGATAATAACTCCCCCTCCGTGAGCGAATAAAAAAATTTTGCTCACAGAGGGGGTTATTTTATTTTTAAAAAAAAATGATATATAAAAATCCCAATTCGAAAAAAGCAAATATTAATTTAATTTATAAAATTTATTATTTAAAATACAAATTGTTTAAAATTAAATAGAATTAGCTAGAGTTTTATTATGCTAATTATCACTTATATATCTAATTTCTTTTTTCATAAAATTTTTATATTACAAAAAAAATTAAGCTCACTCCCCCCCCCCTCCGTGAGCGAACAAAACCATTAGAAAAATCGCCATTTTTTGACCAAAAACCCACCCTCCGTGAGTGAACAAAAATTGTTTTAATAGAAAAAATTTTTTATGGAAAAAAATTTTGATATATAAGTGATAATTAGTATAATGAAATCTAGAGCTAATTCTGTTTAATTTTAAACAAATTGCGTTTTAAAACATAAATTTTGCAAATTAAATTAATATTTGCTTCCCAATTTTTGCAAATTAGGATTTTTTTAAATTTCGAAAAAAATATTTTTTATAAAAATTTATATATAAATTTTTTTTAAAAAAAAAAATTAAACCCCCCTCCGTGAGCGAACAAAATTTTTTTGTTCGCTCACGGAGGGGGGGGGAGTCAGGAAGGGCGGATTTTTTTACCCAAAAATAGGGATTTTTCCAATGGTTTTGTTTGCTCAGGTAGGGGAAGAGTAAGCATTCTCCACTTGACAAGTGGAGTTGAAGACTTGAGCTATCCATAAGGATGCCCAAGCTATACTATAATAAAAATTATATTTATTTGGATTGTTTTATAGCAAAATTACCATTAATTCTTAAAAAGTGCCCTTAATTGAAAGGCCATTCATATCTCTTTTTATTTGTCTCATTTCTACTTCCGTAAGCCTTCTCTTTTTCTTCGCAAATCTTTTCCCTTTGGTAATCCCATCTAAAACTTGATAATCTTTTCCAAGCCCTTCAATCACGTTTGCTGTATTGCTCTTAAACGTTTTATTGTCTATAAATAACTCATCACACTTTTGTATAATTTCCTTTATTTTACTCAGTTTTGTACCAGCATTTTGAGTACTAAACGACTTTCTCCTCAAAGTCAGTCTAGACGGCGACATCATAATATTCAGCCTATTCTCATGGTTTTTTTGTTCAGTGAATATTGACTGCCTCATTGCATTTATGTCCATAATATAAGGTTTGTTTGGTTTTGATATGCTTTTATCATTTTTTATGATATCAATATCATGTTTTTTCTTTATCCCTATATATGCGTCCCATAGCCCATTAATTTTTAAAAATGCTTCTTCTTTTGATTCACCTCAAAGATCTGTCATACACGAATTGGGCATGGTAAACTTCTTTTCTGATGCTCCGAATCCTCGGATAAGTGAAGAATGCTTGTCAAAGTGGCTGCGAAAGCCCATCTTGTCGAGTGTTTCCATCTGTTTTTTGAGGGATTCCTGTCGTTTGTATTTTTGTTTTTTGGAAGGATTTAGAATATCTCTGAAGGCTAGCTGCGAATATGGCCTGTCGGTAATTATTTGTGGAGGAATAGGGGAATTTACACTAGACCTTGTTAGATCTTTTATGTTCAGTGAAGGAAGCGAACTTGAGACTTCTAATATATTTTTAAAGCTTGTTGATTTGAAATTTTGTTTAGTTAAGTCTTTACTTTTTGGGGATTTTGCGCTTTTTTCGAGGTCTGGAATAGGAGATTTCATTAGATTTTTTAATAAAACGTTTCAATCATCTTTTTCTTATTAATTTGGAAGAATTTAAGATTTTATGGATTGATTGTTGGGAGAAAAAATTGAAATATTTTTTGGACTTAATTATTACGATGCCACTAATATTTATTTAATATATAAACAATTCAATATTTTTTTTTTATTTTTATTAGCCCTAAATCATTCAATAGAAAAATAAATAAAAATATTTTTAATATTAAAACCAATTTTATTTAATCAAAAAAGTTAAGTCTATTAAACAAATTAAATTGAATCAAAAATTTATTATGCTTATATAAATTTATTGAGAACTTAATTATGTTTCAATTAATATAGAGAGTAAGTTCCTTAATTGTCAAAAAAAGAATTTTATGAATTCTGATTTTTAACCATAAATATGACATTCTTTTTATCTTTAAAATGATGCACTTTTAATTTAATTTTTATTTTAAAGAATTCATCTCGCTTTTTATGTTTCAAAAACCAAAAGATCACTTTTAAAATAATTAATGCTAATATCAAAGCCAAACTATTTGGGGGCAATTTTTTATTATAATAATGAACATAGTTAGTTTAAATTGCAATGGGCTTCACAGTTATTCTTCCAAATTCCCCTCCTTTGAAGATATGCTTGATTCATTCAACGCCGATATTATCTGTCTCCAAAAAATCAAGCTTGCACGAGAAAAGCTCCAGCCAGAGCTCATCAACCTAAACCGCTATTACGCTTTCTACCAATTTTCTCAAAGCAAAACTGCAAACGGAGGAGTCGCCACTTTTTGCAAAAAAGATACAGCATGCCCTGTCTTTGCAAAAGAAGGCTTCTTGCAGCCTGAAAACAATAACCATGACTTAGAAGGCCGGTGCCTTGTCACAGACCACCAAGAATTTGTATTATTCAATGTTTATTTCCCAACTAATGGCAATGGTGAAAGAATTCCTTTCAAGTCTTGGTTTTTCTACATAATTCAATATGAAATGGAAAAGCTTGTCAGCGGAGGAAAAAACGTAATTTTAGCGACTGATTTAAGTTTTTCGCATCATGAAATTGACCATTATGACCCGGACTCAACCTTAGCAGAAATGGGGCTTGATTCATTTAATGAGCACCGAGGACGGCAATGACTCACAATTTTATTATCTTCTGACCGATTTTTTGATGCATATAGACTATTGTATACAAACCAAAAAGGATATACATACTACAAAACCCCTGAAATGAAAGCTGAAAACAAAGGCTGCAGGTTGGACTATTTTATAGTTTCAAAAAAAATAGCTGATCAATATGTAGAAGACCTAAAAATTTTGCCTCATAAAATCCCAAGCCTGCCTTCTGACCAAGTTATAGGTCACTGCCCTATAAAATTAACCTTATCTAGCTATCACAGTGCAATCCCAAGTGAGCCACCTACAAGTTGTGCAAAATTTTATAATGAATTTTCCTTTGAGAAGCATAGAAGTTTAAATATGTATTTTCAAGGTGAAGAAGCCAAAGAAATTTGTAAAAAAGTCAAAAGGTCAGGGGTTGAGCCAGAAAATACCAAAAATAATGAAAAATTTAATAAGAAATTTGAGATGGATGGAGTGGAACTTTGCACTCATGGGGAACCTGCTATTGTACAAGAAGTCAAAAAAGAAGGCAAAAATAAAGGAAGGCCTTTTTTTACATGTGCAAGACCTCCTGGACACCCTAGAGACCCTGAAGCTAGATGTGGGTTTTTTAAATGGGCTGATGAAAGCAAGAGTGCCCCAGTTTGTGAACATGATATGCCTGCAGTTGTAAGAAGAGTACAAAAAGAGGGGGCAAACCATGGGAAATGATATTATAGATGTCGAAAAAATATGAAGCAAGGGCAATGCGGATTTTTTAAGTGGGCTGATGCTTTGAATAACCAAATGAGAAATGATAAAAAACGTCAGGAACCAAAAGATGAATAACACATATTTAATGTTAAAATAATCCTATTAAAATTATACTCTCACACGTATTATGGATTAAAATAGCCTTAAGCTGTTCTTCTTATATATTATAGTTATTTTGCAAGCTTTATTTATCATTTGTCATATTAATGCTTCTCTAATTGAAATTAAGCTCCTCTAAGATTCTCATAAATAATTATTCAACATCACATTAATTTATAAAAGTTTTCGATTTCATCAGTGACATCTTTTTCGCTCATTTTTGTTTAGGACTGTTTTTAAATTTTGCAAAATATTTCAGTCTTTTAGTTCATCTGTTTGTCAGTTTTATTTTTAAATCGCTTATTTTATCACTTGCGGCTTAAAACTAAGCTCTTAAGACATTTTATATTTTAGCTTCAATAATTCCTTTTCCAGTGTCAAAAAATTTTAGGTTCTGCTTTTACTGCCCAATAGATTCTTTTCTGTCTTAGTGCTTCTTTTTAAGGCTTCTTAAATAATATATTTTTAAGAGATATTATTAAATATTCATTGAATTATCCATAAAATAGTTGAAATGCAGCCTCAAGAGAGCTTACTCTTTCGCTTATTTTAATTGCAGTATTTAAGTCAGTTCCTGTAACTTCCATTAGCTGCTTAGCTATTTCATATTTCTTTTGAGCTTGCTCTTGCTTTCTCTGTTCTAATTCTTCTTCTGTTAAATCAACAACTCTACGATTCTCATTTTCAGGTGGCAACAAATTATTTTCATTATTCGGCGGGCCTTGCATTTCTTTATCAAGGACATCCCGAAAATCTTCGTTTTCTTCTATATTTTTTTTGGCATTAATTTCTTGAATTACTATTTTATTAGGAATAGGATCTTTTTCTATATTTTGCTGAACATTAATTTTTTGAGGTACTACTGGATTAATATTGATATCAGGGATAGGATCTAGAACTTGAGGTGCCATTTTATAAGGTTTTGCATTTAAATCGGGTAGAGGAGCTTGATGTGCTAATTCATAGGGATTTAAGATAGGGGCTGGGGCTAGGTTAGGAAGGTCATTAAGTTCATTTTGAGGTGGATTAGGAAAGCCTGCTTTATGAAGAGGGGCTGGATTAAGGTTGGGAAGGTTATTAAGTTCATTTTGGGATGAAATTTGCTTATTTTGAGAAGGGTTAGGAATATTTGCTTTAGAGATAAAGGCTGGATTTTCTTGGATAAAAGGTGGATTATTATTTGATTTTGGTTGAACAGGTCTTGGAGGCATAGGTGGCCATTCTTGATATGGTATATTAGGGATAGCTTGACCATAAGCGTTAGGATTGGGGTAAATTTGAGATTTTGAAAGATTAAATGCTTCTTCAGGCAAAGGCACATCTTTATTATTTATTATTCGAGGAGCACCAGTAAAAACTGCTTTTCTAGGTTCATGAGAAGGAGGCAGACGAGTTTCTCCTTGCTGAGCATTATATTTAACTTCTTTTTGTTGAGGTTTAATATCCTTAATTTTTATCTCTTGCTTGGGTTTTTTAGGTGAAATTCTAAATTTAATCTCACTCTCACTGCCTTGAGCAAGCAAAATATTTTTGCCGGCTAAATTTATTTTAATTTATTTTACAAACATATTATAATAACTTTTTTAAAATCAAATTTACGAAATTTAAAAGAGAAATGCAATTTACTAATAAAGTTTATGCTTCAGAGTGCAAACTATTTAAAATTTAATAGTTTAGCCAAATATTTCATTATAATAGTTATTACTTACATTTCAAGATATTTTATAATAGCCTTGTTCACTCAAGGATGCAGGCGAGTCAGCATCTATACTAATTAATTTCTCTAAAATTTCTATACTTGCTTCAGAATCTCCTGCTGATATTGCTTCTATAAGTGACTTGCTTAGCACCTTACTCCCTGTAGCTATGATCGAGCAGTTCGATTAAAATTAAACCCCAAAATCGCAAAAATTAAGCCCATCCTTGATCGAAAAAATTTCATATTGTCAAGTTTGAAGCATACTCGCGCTTCAAGTCTAACTGCCTATCATTGATAAGAGTGAATTTTAGAGATTGTACCTCATATATTCCTAAACAATTCTAATGCGATTAATAGCATTGCATTGAAGATTCTAAATGCATAAGATCTCTATTTCAACACAGGCGGTATTCTGACAGATTCGCTAGAAACTGTGTTGTGACCCAAGCGAATTTTGTGTACTTCCACATAGTCCTCTGAGCCCAGGCCTAAACCTCTCTTCTCGATATTGGTTTCCCTGTTGTCCGTAGACCATTGCTGAATATCACCATTTCCAACTTTGTCTCTTTGCTCCTACACCAACTTCTTTCACCTTGAGGTGGAGATGTTGCTGGGATAACTAGTGGTTCCAAAAACTATACCAGGTATGCATGGGCAGCCGTCTCTAAGAGGAAGGGCTAGACTTCACTAGCCATTTTATGTATATGAGATTTATAGCACATTTGCTAATACATTTAGAGCATAGAATATTTTATATCGTAAAAAAATTTACCCTCATCTTGATCTAACAATTTTATTCGGTTAGTTGAGGATGAAGGTGTTAGGATCTTTATCCATATTTCTATAAACTTATGTATAACTCTTATTTATTTCTATTAATTTGTAATATATGACTTTCTTTTAAAAAATTATTAATTTTTAGTTCATATATTTTTCTTGATTATTTATTCATATGGAAATTAATTTTAATAAATTTTGATGAGATGAATGAACGATTAATAATAATTAAATGGCAGAGAGACGTGCAGTGATTAAGAATGCTGATATGTCTGAAGAAATGCAGCAAGATGCTGTCGATTGCGCAAATCAGGCTATGGAAAGGTTCAATATCGAAAAAGATATTGCAGCTTACATCAAAAAAGAGTTCGACAAGAAATATAATCCAACTTGGCACTGCATCGTTGGTAGAAACTTTGGAAGTTATGTTACTCATGAGACAAGGCACTTTATTTATTTTTACTTGGGACAGGTAGCTATCTTACTCTTTAAATCTGGTTAAGCTAAATATTTAAATTGAATTTCGAATTTTCTTAAATAAATAACTGATTTTATGTAAATTACAGATTTAACAAAAAAATTAAGCAAGAAAATCCATTTATAGGCTGTTATGATGAAGGCGCTGCACATCACATTTCTCAATAGTTATTAATTTTAATTCGATTTTTATTGATATTTTACTATTTACATTGATGCTAACGCTAATAATGACTTAAGAGAAAACAATAGCAGTAAATAAACTAATAATGCATCAGTTCTCCTTAAAGAGACTTAAAAACCTCCAACCCCATTTAAAAACTTAATTGTCCTATATCTTTGGCTATTAGTTTAAGATGATGCTTTCGCTTCTTCTTTGTGCTGTTTTCTTGCAAGTGGTCCAAAGAATGCGTATTTTTCGTCTGATGTCTGCCATCTACCATGTCCAAACTTGCTGCTAGTATCAATGAACTTAAGTGAAATTTGTTCAGCAGCTGCTCTCGAAACGTTAGTAATCAGTGATTTCCTCAGAGTAATGACTCTCTTTCTGGTACCAATAATGGCTCCTTTGACCATTAAGAAGTCATTCTTAACAACACCATAGTGGGCGAATCCTCCCATTGGGGTGATTTTCTTTTCAGTGATATCTTGGTCAGTGCTGCCGTTCTTTGGGTCTTCAGCCTTGCCAATTCTGTAGATCTTCTTGTTGATTTCAGTTCTGTGGTGGTATCCTCTCTGTCCAGCTCTTGGGACTGCGAAGTTGACTCTTGAAGGATGCCATGGCCCAATACAAGCGATCTTTCTCCTACCTCTGTGGGTCTTTCTCTGTAGAAGCTTAACTCCCCACCTTCTTACGACGCCACTGAATCCTTTACCCTTGCAGACTCCAATGGTATCAATCATTTCGTTTGGCTGGAAAACTTCGCTGACAGCGACCTTTTGCTCGAATTTAGCATAAGCCCAGTCAACCTTTTCTGCGATGTTAGCACCACCGTTGACCTGGATTTCCATAATGTGGGCTTTCTTTTGGGAGAAACCTACAAGCTGGGTTTGGGTGTGGGCAATGACTCTGACGACTGAGCAGTACTTCTTGATCCTGTCCAAGGCTCTTTTGATTTCAGTGCCTGACTCGTACTTGGCAGCGTACTTGACGAAGGCTCTTTTCTTGGATTTGACCCAGTTTCTGTAAAAGCGGCGCTTGCACTCTTCACTGAGATGTTGAGCCCAGACTGTGGTAAGAGCTTTGAGGCCTCTAGGGGTTTCGATGTATCCAACAAGTCCAACAATGACCATAGGAGGGGTCTCCACAATGGTGACTGCTTCAATGACTTCTTTTTGGTGAAGCTTGGAACCTGGCTTATTGACCTCACGAAGAATATGGGTCATTCCTGCCTTGTAGCCGATGAAAGCTGTAAGGTGTGGAGCCTTGCTAGGATCATCTTTAGGGAAGCTACGCACTCTGCCTCTATGATGCTTTGCTCTTTTTCTTGGGAGGAAACCAAGAGACCCATGTCTCGGACGCTCGAATTTACGGTGAGACATTTATTTGTAGCCATAAGCACGTAGGTGTGAAAATATGAACATTTAAGGAAACTAACTTCCTGCTGAAGTAATTATATTATATTTAATAGACTTCTGATGATTTTATAATGAAAATTAAGATTTTTATATAATCATTTATTTTATAAAATTTGAGTAAGTCTATGCAGAATTTGTGGATAGAGGTTAAAGAATGATCGTGCAAAAGAAAATAGCTTATTCAGGGTATTCAAAATTTTAATCCAGAAATAATGAAAACAACGCTAAGCGTAAAATTCATAGCTTGTCCAGCAGAATCGAACCAAATCCTTACGTACTCTTCGCAATGATTATAAAGAGCTTGAAAAAGTAAACTTTTAGGCATGAAGCATGACTAGATATATATACTAAATGCCTTTAATTTGTGTTGAAAATAGATTTGAATTCTAGACAACTGATATCAATTATAGTAATTTAGAATATTTTACTTTAAAATTCAAGTTCTAAATGATTAAAAATAAAAAACAATGACAAGCTTGAATTTTTTAAGCACAAAGCTAAATATTTTTTTCATTTGTTAGATGCAAGAACTTTTGGAAGGATTAGCCAAAAATATTCTGCCCAATTCCCGCATCCATTTAAATATCATAAAGCGCAAGCTATTTTTGAAATTTAATTTTCCAAATCTACTCAAGTTGCAGAATACGAAAATTCTCTTTTTTCAGATCGCTAAAATTTGGCATAAAAGCTCAGACTATGTTTTCCTCTCCAAAATTAGCAAAATTTAATTGATTTATGTTTTAATATTCACTAAATACCTGCAAATCAATATTTTTTCTACATAATAATTCCACCATATTTTTTTACAATTAGATAATTATTTTATATTAGAGTAAGTCTTTATATAAAAACTCACAAAAATTATTTTAAATGGTAGAACGTATTCAAGATTCTCTAAATTCAAGCTCGAATAGCATTATTACGAATAATAGAAACATAGAAGAAATTCTGAAGTGCTTTATTTGCTTTGAAAAAGTAATTGATGCCAAATTATGCCCATCCTGCTCAAAACTATGCTGCAATTCTTGCATCATAAAATGGTTATCTAAAAAGCCAGAATGCCCTCATTGCAGGTCTCCTTTAAGACACCAGAATTTGGTTAATGGACGTATTGTTTCAGAAATATCACAAGCCTTAGAATCTCTTCAAGTATCTAAACCAGAGCCAATAGAAAAATGTGCTGCACATTCAACTCCACTTTCTTATTATTGTTTGACTTGCCTTAAAGCAGTTTGTTCTGATTGTGCAATGTTTGGCTTAGAGCATAAAAATCATGAATTTCAGCGTCTTTCTACAGTTCATGAAAAACATGTAGAAATTATCAAGCATGAATCACAAATTCTTACCTAATTTACTGGATTTTAGTGGCTCTTCTGATAAATAATGGGAATAAATAATTTTTTAAGTTAATTATATTGCGAAAAATAAATTTAATAATGGAGATTTAGAAGAAGAATTTGAGAACTTTCTTCAATTTTGCAAGAAATTGATTTAAATATTGCAAAAGTAAAAAAGAGCAATGAAGAAAAGAGTAATGAATTGATTTCCTCGGTTCAGCAAATGCAAGAAAGATTGGATTCAGAGCTAGAAAATAGGCTGCAAGTTTTAAATAAACAAAAAGAAACTTTAAGTGAAGAAATTGATCATTTGGAAAATATGCATATTAAAATTAGCAAACAGTTAATCAATAATGCAAAAAGCAAACTTATCGCAAAAACTCCAAGAATAATCAAAACCCTAAAGGAATTGCATTTAGCCCCTTTACCTCCTTTAATACCTGTGCCCTCTGAATTTCCTTCCGAGATAATTCCTAACTACGACTCCGAAATTTTTGAAATTAACCACTACACCGTGCTCAGATCGTCAACTGAAGTGGTTTATTCCAAAATCCTCCAATCTGACGGAGTTTCCTGAAGGCTCAAAGTATATCCAAACGGAAATGGCGTGGCTCGAGACAGCTATCTCTCAGTATTCATAGAGATGATTAAAGGATTCCAATACTCCTCAAAATACGAGTACCGTATAGAAATGGCCAACCATTTAAGCTCAAACTTATGTGTTGCTAGAGAAAACACTTCAGAATTCGAGCCTGGAGAATGCTGAGGGTATAACCGCTTCTTTAAAATCCAGCTGCTAAAAGAAGAAGGCTATTTAAATGAAGAAGACACAATTCTACTAAGATTTTTCGTAAGAGCTACCACTTATTCACAGAAATGCAGGGACCAGAAGCATTATATTAACTATTTAGAAGCAAGCAAAAACAATCTACAAGAACAGCTAAAAAATTACAAAGAAAAATGTGAAAAAAATGCGTCGGTTTTGGATTCTGATGAAAATCCACTAGAAAAAATAGAAGAAGAAAATTTAGAAGAGGAAAAAGATGGAGAAGAGATAGGAAAAGAAGATGAATTAGGGATATTGCAGAAACAAATTGAAATAGAGTGGAAAGTTAAAAATGAAGGAGAAGAAGTCAAAAAAGTGTCTAGAGATGAATTAAATACAGTTTTGCAGCGGTATATGATGACCCCAGAAGAGGTAAGCTCTCTAAGTTCAGAATCTGCAGAAGACTGTCAGGAGTTTGGATCTCGCAGCTGCTCTGATATTCTTCTCCATGATCTTTTAGACCCCTATGAGCCAGAAATCTCGAATTCCCATACAAATTCTGAGCCCTTTAGGTAGTGCTTCTAGTCATGTTTTACATAATAAAACCATTCTAAATTATCTATAATATTTAATTTATTTTCCCTTATAAGGTGAAGGTCCAAGCATTTGTTCAGGCCTTACCCACTGATTAAACTGCTCTTCCGTCAGGTATCCAAGCTTAAGTGCTGACTCTTTCAGCGTAGTCCCTTCTTTATGTGCAGTCTTCGCTATTTTAGCTGCTTTGTCATACCCAATATAAGGATTCAGTGCCGTCACAAGCATCAAGCTTTCATTCATAATCCTATTGATTTTTTCTCTATTTGCCTGAATTCCTGACACACAATGGTCAGTAAAGCTTCTTGAGGCATCTCCAATTAGTCTGATAGACTGTAGAACATTTCTAATGATAAGAGGTTTAAATACGTTTAGCTCAAAATGCCCATTGCAGCCTCCAATTGTGACTGCAGTATGGTTTCCTATTACTTGGGCACATACCATAGTTAAAGCTTCACATTGGGTTGGGTTTACTTTACCAGGCATAATGGAAGACCCAGGCTCATTTTCAGGCAGTAATAACTCACCGAGGCCACATCGTGGCCCTGAGCCTAAAAATCTGATGTCGTTAGCGATTTTCATAAGAGATGTGGCAACAGTATTAAGGGCGCCGCTGAAGTGAACCAAAGCATCATGTGTGGCTAACGCTTCAAATTTATTAGGAGCTGTTTGGAAAGGAAGTCCTGTTTCTCTTGCTACATCTGCAGCGAATTTTTCAGGGAAGCCTATATAAGTGTTAATCCCAGTGCCTACAGCTGTGCCGCCTTGGGCTAAGAAATAGACGTCTTCTAAGCTTCTTTCAACTCTTCTAATGCCATTTTCTACCTGTGCTGCATATCCGCTGAATTCTTGTCCAAGTGTAATAGGTGTTGCATCTTGAGTATGAGTTCTACCAATTTTTATAACATTTATAGAGATTCTTGCCTTATTACTATAAGAAAATAATATAATTTCGGTTAGTATAGTCTCTATAATAATGCATATAATATCAGCAAACTCCTTTGACTTATCCAAAAGTGCCTGATGAAGCTTTCTGAGCCCTGGCAGTAACACCTTATGCGTTTCTACAGCAGTTGCGATATGCATTGCAGTAGGAAATGAATCATTTGAGCTTTGGCTTCTATTGACGTGGTCATTAGGATGGACTGATTTATCACCTATTTTTCCACCTAAAATTTCGATAGCTCGGTTAGCTACGACTTCGTTGCAGTTCATATTAGACTGTGTGCCTGAGCCAGTTTGCCAGACCACTAGTGGGAAATGAGCCATAAGTTTTCCTTCTATGATTTCGTCACAAGCTTTTTGGATTGCAGAAGCGTGCTCAGCAGACAGCCCGAACTCTGTATTTACTCTAGCAGCACATTTTTTTAGGATTCCAAAGGCTTTTATGAGAGGAGCTGGCATTCTTTCAGTTTCTCCACCAATGTCAAAGTTTTCTAGTGATCTTTGGGTTTGAGCACCCCAATATTTGTCACCTGGGACTTTGATGTCACCAAAAGTGTCTTTTTCGATGCGAAAAGTAGCGAAAGTGGCTGAGGTCTGGGCAAATGCGTACTTGCTGCTGGAAAAAAGGACTTTTGAAAAGAGAAGCTTATTTGCTCTAGCCAAAAGCATTATTTATTATATCCATTATTTATTCATAATTAGATTTGTAGTAATTTTTAGATTTATTTAAAGATTATTTTAATTTTCACTTATACCTTTTTAATATATAAAATAATTTTCATTACTTATAATTTATATTAATAAACTGATTTTACCAGATATACATAAAACAGATATTAATATTCCCATTATATTAAATAAAAATGCGTTTAATTTTTATCATCAGTGCTGCAACTGTATGTCTTTCTATTATTGAACTAATAAGCCATGAGCAACTAGAAAGCACTGGCGCATACATAATTGAAGAAATCCAAAAGGACAGAAGTGAGGGAACTGATGAGCTATTTTTGATGATTGGGTCAGTCACAAGCATTTGCTTCTTTCTTATCAGTGGTATTTGCTACTTAACTGGATATAAAGAAATAGGATTACTAGGAATTTTTGGAAGCCAGCTGGGTGCTGCATTCTCTGGTGTTCTGAAATCTGCCTTTGCTCACCCACGGCCGTTTTGGAAATACTCAGAAATTGACGCTCTTCAATGCTCAAAAGACTTTGGGGCTCCGTCAGGCCATGCTATGTCAGCTGGTGGTAGTTTATTTGTATTAGGATATATATGAATGAAAAATACCGACCGATGATATATAAAACTTTTTATTATAATTATGATCTCTATTATTACAGCCTACGACAGACTGTATTTAGGCGTTCACTTTTATTTTCAAATAATCCTTGGCTATGCTTTTGCCTTACTAATTTCTGCAATAATTGTCCATCCTTCAAGCATAAATTTACTTCAAAAATTTGGCAATGATAAGTTAAGTACTATAAGGTATAAGAGGATTAACCACTAGTCTAACAATCTGGAGTAGACCCACCTAACCTAACGATTAGCTGCCTGGGCTAGAGCCGCCTCTTGCAGGTGCCCCCCTAGTTCTAATAGACAAAGACTAAGTAGGAGGCAAAGCCTGTCTAGCATCTGGAAGGACAGGAAAGCCTTCAGGTTAGACATAAAATTCCCTATTCGGCAGCATCCAAAACCTGAAGGCCTAATTCTAAAATTGACAAAGATATTGCATTTATCTTCATCAGGATGAGTCTTACCCGCCCCATAGGTATCCTCAAAGTCCTATTTCTGTTAGCATCACCATTTTTATTCTAGGCATTAATAAGGAATTATTAATAAAAAGCCAAATAACATGACTTTTATTATTGGTTTTTTCTACAATTTTTTGTTTGTGTAGAAGTCCTGATTGAGATGAATCGTGGTCTATTAATTATGAAAAAGCATGTGGAAATAGTTTTGCGATTGAAGATGTGATTATTAAGAATACTGCAGATTCTTATGTCTTTAGCTTGTTGGGAGGATTAACAATGGGGCATTATCTGCAAAAAGAGAAAGGGGTGCCTGAGTTCTCACTTCTAGCAATAATTATATCTGGATTTTTGCATTTGGGGTTTATCAATATATGCCTTAAGATGATAGAAGGATATATCTCGCTGAGCACAAGCAATTTTTTAGGTTGAATTTTATTATTCATCACAAGATACAGTTGTGGAATAATTTATGCGTACTTTTTACCTAACTCCCCTCTGTGAATAAGCAAAACTATTGGGAAATCCTTATTGTTTTTTACCAAAAAATCACCCTCCTTAAGCGAGCAAGCAGTTTTTTTTAAAAAAATATTTTAATATATAAGTAGTAATTATTATAATGAAATCTCTAACTAATTCTGTTTAATTTTAAACAGCTTGCATTTTAAAATACAAATTTTACAAATTAAATCAATATTTGCTTTCCAATTTTTGAGAATTGGGAGTTTTGAAAAAAAAAATTTGCTTATAATTTTTTAAAAAAAAATTAACCCTCTCTGTAAGCGATCAAAATTTGCTTGTTCGCTCACGGATGGGGAGGGATTGAGATAATTTTTAAGCTATTTAGAAAAAATGAAGCTTTAGAGCAAAGATTTTCAGTGTTGACTTTTAAAATCAAAGTATAGTAATATAGCTAAGATATTTAAACTTGTCAAATTAATATTTAGCATGTTAAATTATTTGGCACCGTTAGGGGGTGGGTGACATGGGAGGGGAAGCTCAAAGCCGATCCAAAGCGGGGTGTAAGCTATACAAGGATTCTTTATGGATTTTTAAAACTGTTACCCAGAAATGAAAATTTTGCTGATATTTTGTTCCTATCAAAAAGTGGGAAGTAAGATTATATATAAAGACGAATAACAATTTTGTTTAACAAATATTTATATGTATTAATTCTTTACAAAATCTTTACAAAATTTATCCATTTTATATAGCTCGAGAACCCATTTAGATCGCTAAGAAGCAATACCTTAAGAGGTAAATTAGCGATATGAAAAGTCAAAATGACAATAACAAGCACCACTTTTCTGACGAATCAAGTAAAAATTTGAAAAAATTTTATCTCTAGGTTCTGCTTGTCAAGCTGAACATGAAGCTGCCATGAAAGAGCAACATCTCATATTCAATATGTATTTTTTTAGAATGTTAACTTGTCTCTTTAGGCATTTTTCAGAGAAATCTAAAAAAATGCATAAGCTATAATATTTATATTAATAAGAAATCAAAATTAATATTCATTCCAAAATTAAACCCCAAATGTAAAAGTAATAAAAAGAGACACAAATATTTTTTGAAAAAAACTTAAAATAAAAAAATATCATTAATCGTATGTTATTCACAAAATAAATCACTCTATCTCAGTTTCTAACGCCTAGTCTTAAAATCCTAAAAGCTTTTTAAAATGGAAAAAAAATTAGTAGTTAAGAAATTTAAGATGGGCAAATCTAAGACTCCACCAATTCGCGCAATATTTATTGAAAGCGATTATGCCTCCATTAAATTTAGCAATTTTAATATAATCCATTGCGTTTTTTAGAGTCTTATTTGGCTCATTATGCGTTTATTATATTTCTAAATAATATGGGCTGCAATTTTTCACACATAGAGAGAGACATAATTGGCTCTAACAAAGAAGAAGAAATTATCCGCAGCTGAGAAAAGGCTTTGAATTTTTATACCTTAAAAGACGATGAATTTCTTCGAGCTATAGATGGCAGACAAGACGATGATGGGCTTATTCATATAAATTCACTATGAGATTTATTTTATCTCTGCAATTTCCCTGCACACTCTTTCCCTGTAAATACAGGCCCAGTTAGCATTTTTTACAAAACAATTAGAAAAAACGACAAAATTGACGCACGGAAGCTGATGACTTTAATAATCTTGACCTCTTCATTTACAGACAAAACAAAAGCTCAACTTATATTTAAGGTGTATAGGGAAGACAAAACTTTTATGAAAGAAAAAATCCTTGAGAGGCTTTTAATTGATTTATCGAACATATCAATTAACCTTATATGGATGGCTCTAGGAAAACAGCCAGGACAATTATCAAGAGAAATCTTGATGAGGTATGAAGGAAAGCTTGAGCAAGGTCAGCTGAGCTTTATTTATAAGCTCAAACACTTACTCCTATAGAAATAATAATGAGTGAAGCCATATTTTTATAAATTTACTAATTGGATTTTTTTATATAAAAATATAATTTTTTTTATAAATTATTTTGGAAGGTTAATAATTGACTCTGACTATTTGGCTACTGAAAAAGGATTTCTTAATAGAATTGGAAAATATCCAAAAATTTTATCACCTTCTGGTATTCGGAAATTTATATTGAAGGAGATCAAAGAAGATTCTTTATTAAGCCCGAAAAAGCCATATATAAGACTAATGTCTATTAAAACAAGTGATACACTTGACGATATAACTGAGAATGATAGGGGTAACAAGAGGCTAAATATAGATTTTAACAGTAGGATTTCGAGGCATCAGAGCAAAAGCTCAAATCATGTGTCTGACTCAGGTAAATTGTCAAGTAAAGTGGATGAAAGGTATTTGAAAAATTCATTGATGATGAAGAAAATAGTAGAAGCTTATCTTACTTCCTTCCTCTGTGAGTAAGCAAAAATTTTGAATAATTTTACTTTTTTGATAAATTGGCGTGCGAGCAAAATATTCTTAAGTATTAAATGAATCTCGATCTCATTCTATTAAATTTTATCCAGCTTGCATTATAAAAATTATTCTATTAAATAATTTCTATTTTCAAATTAAAAAAAAAATTAAATACAATTATAAAATTAACCTTTCCATATTAGAGTTAGTAATTTGAAGACTGCTATAAAAATTTGGAAAAATATGAATTAAGGAGAATATGCAAGCTTTTTCTATTAACTCCCTTTCTGTAATCGAACAAAACTATTGGAAATATCTCTATTTTTTTGGTAAAACCTACCCTCCGTGAAAAACAAAAAAATTTTGAGATTATAAAAATATTTTGATATATGAGTGATAATTGTTTCATGAAACATCTAGTAATTCTGTTAAATTTTAAACCACTTGCATTTTAAAACATAAATTTAAAATTAAATTAATTTGCAATTTGAGATTTTTTAAAAACATTACGCCTCCTCTGTGAGCGAACAAAATTTTTTTGTCCACTTATGAAGACGGAGTAAGACGAAATATAATGAAAGATCTGCAGAATTTGCAAAAATAGTGTTTAAAATAGATGGAAACGAAAATAGGAATATTAAAAAAAAATGAAAAATAATTAAGAATTGTATAAATTAAATAGCATAAATTTATGCTATTTAAATTATTTTAATCTCTAAATAACCTTATTTTTCATGCCTAATTCTTAAGTACATTAAAGAAAGTCTATTATTGAAATAGAAAATGCTATTTTAAGGTATGATATCTGAAAACTTTTTATTCCCGCCAATTATTAAAGCAAAATCTCTGATTGAAACTCATTTTTACAAAAATTATTCAAAAATCTTTCATAATTCTCAATATATGTTTATATCTGAGTTGCAATGCCCGATTTTAAATTTTCATAATACTTTTAAATGGTTGAAGACTCAAATGTATGGTCAGCTCTTGGAACCTGCATTTCTCGGTGCTTAGAAAGCAAGCGTGGAATTGTAATTCCTAGTCTTGGTACTTTTACCTTTACCTCTCAAGTTTCATTAGAAGGAGTTACGAGCCCTAATTTACGAGATCGTGATGATCGTTTACCTGTTTTTATTGCAACCCCCGATCTGGCTCCGAACGTCAGAGCTGGCTTGGTTCTTAGTTAAGATATAGAAAAATTTCCCTGTGATACCTAAAGGATATTTATCTCCATATTGCTACAGCCGTCTATCGGATATGCTCCTTCAGAAGTGGGCTTGAGTATTAACTGGATTTTAGTGGGATGGGTCACCATGAGGTAAGCCAAACTTGGCCTGCCTATCTAGAAATTCGAAAAAAAAAACTTTCTAGTAAAGAGTTAGACTAAGATGGAATTTTAGCCAAAGGCGAAACTCCCAGTATCACGCTAGAAATTGCCAAATTGGCCCAGGGGATCTTTCAGGGCTTTTCATGTCAACTTTAAGCTTTCATCTTTTGCAAAAGGTAAAATTTTGGTCTGGAATGAGCTGCATTCGGCCTAATCCGACATTGCGCTTTGCAAAATTTGGTAAAACCTGGCTGGATGCACACTACCTAACGCATCCTCTCTTCGACTATTCCCTAAGTTTCCCAGCTACAGGGAGGGTTGATTCGCCACAACATTTTAATGTATATACATTAGAGCAGGTATATCTCATCAATCAGGCATTAGGCCATTTTCAGCTAAAGGAATCAGTGGAAAAGTCCCTACAACCAAGCTGAATTACGCTGAATTCGCCATCTTGACGAATTCAACCAAAGATGAAGGCAAAAACAAGGTAGACGAAGCCATAAGACATCTAGGGGAATCACTAAAAGCAGGAAAAGACATAAGAATCCCTATAGAAGGAGTAGGCAGTTTAGTAGGGAAAAATGGAATCGTGGCAGTTGTATTTCATAAAAAATATGAGCCCAATCCAGCTGCAATGACTGTTACAGAAGATGGGGCAAATTGGCTAAAATCTAATTTAGGCATTGATATTACAAGGCCGAATTCAAGTAGGACTGAAAGGGTGCCGAAATTTCAGAATCCAAAAGGAAGACCTTTGACGGCAGGGGCTAGACAAATAAGAAGCAGTTCACAAAGGCCGATATCAAGCAACTCAGAATTTTTGCAAGAAGACGAGACAACAAGGCTTGATAGGCTGCAAGGCATAGAGCCAAAAATGAGGCCTTATTCAGCTACTAATCTCAATACGCTTAAAAAGTTTGAATCAGCTGTAAGACCGCAATCTGAGCAATTTCCAAGGCCTCAGCAGTCACAGTCAGCTTGAATTTTGACACCTCAAGAGTCCCCACTCAACATAGTCCGGCCTCCTTTGCATTCAAAATCTTCTATCTCCCTTAACGAGTCAAGCCAAGTTGGAAACTTTTTAACCGAAAACCAAGCCAAATATATTTTGACTTGCCAGTCTAAAGACCAGTCAAATAGAGGAATTTTGCCTTATGACGATTTTGTCCAGGTGCTTAGGATGCTAGAAATCCCAAACCTCACAGAAGAAGCTATAAATAAACTTATTTTGATAACAGGCTGCAGAAGTGCCAATAAAATCAGGTATATTGATTTTATAGACGCATTAACAAAAAAATCATCATTTAAAAAAACCAATGGAAAAGGATCGGTCGCTTCAGATTTTACTGCAAATTATAACAGAAATTCAATTATGCCCATTGTAAATTTAATTTGGGATAAAAAATTAGTTATAGCTGAGCTCTCTGGGAGTGGCGGGATGAGACCTAGGGTAGCTTTAATTCCATCTGAGCTATTAGCGCTGCTAAAAAAAGCAGGGATTCAAATAAATATTCATCAATTAAAAGCAATTTTAAGGGAAGGGAATATGACTTCTGCATCAGCACTTGATTTGTTGAAATTGGTAAAAGATTTTATAAATCCTGCGTCAGATTCTTCTGTATTAAGCGATATAATGAGCGAAGCAAAGTTTTCAAGGCCGAACTCAGCTGTAGTTTACGACGACCAGCTTGAAAAAATCAGGAATTTTTTAAGAAATTATGATCTACAAGAAGTTTATAACGAAATCAGTGAAGGCGGCACTCTTAATGCTGAGCAGTTTATTTCATTTATATGTGAAAAAAGTGAAGGAAGAATCAAAGGCCACGAGGCCCACAAAGCATTTTTATTAGCAAGCCAAGGAATCGATACTATAGCTGAGGTCGATTTTTGTAGAGCTTTTCAAATATACCAGCAGCCTAAACATATTGAAAACAGAGGGATGATTAAGCTAAAACACTGGCTTAGAAACGCAAAAATCACAACTGAACAAGGTTTTCAGCACCTTTTACAAGCGGCCAGCTCTGCTGATACCTTAGACAGAGAACAGTGGAAAATAGCAATGAGGGAGTTTGACTTTAATGCTTATGAAGCTGAAATATTATTTGACGCTTTAGATGTAAAACATGATAACGTCATTGATCTTGCAGAATGGATAAATAGGATTTATGAAGAAGCTGGGCCTTTACAAAGCTTAAGAGACACCTTTATAGGACACAATTTAAGCGCTGAAGACTTATTAATTAAACTTAATGCCCAAGGCAAACAAAGGCTGAGTATTGAAGAAATGGCGAATGCGCTGCAAAGAATGGACCCAACTCTGACAACTGGAAATGCAGTCGATATGGCTCGAGCGGCTTCAGGGAAAAAAGGGTATGTGGATATTCAAGATTTTCTGGTTCAAATTTCGCAGAAGCCATTTGAGTTTGAAGGGGATTGGAAAAAACAAATTCTCAGAAAAATCCAACTAAAAATCAGTGGAGATATAGCTTCTTTTAAAAAAATTTTTGAAGAATGTGATGAAAGAAACACAGGGAAACTACCTATGTCTACATTTCAAGATTGCATATACAAAGCTAACGCTGGTCTTAATGAAATTGAAATTGACAGGCTAGGACGAGTTCTTGACAATGGCCAACATTTAGTTGACTACACTGAATTTCTTGATCACCTTGAAGGGCCACTTTTGCCACCTCAAGACCCCTTAAAATCAACCATTATCCGTATCCAAGTCTTCATGAAGCAAAATGGCCTAACCCACAGCAAGCTATTAAAAAAAATGGGAAAGCATGTAAGTGTCCAGACTTTCGCTGATTTTATATCGAGGAAACTGCAGAAAAAGCTGGATAAATCCACTATTTATGAAGTCGCTAACAAGTTTGATGTAAATAAAGATGGATTTATTGATATCCACGATCTCAATGCTACACTTTCTGGGAAGTCTTTTAAAGACATAAATAGTGAAAAATCATTCCCAGCCCAAAGACTAGCCCCAGATAGGGCAAAATCTGTAATAAAAGATATAAGAAGAGCTCTAGTTGCAAAAAGAATGAGCTATTATGATGCTTTTAGGGCTTTTGATGCAGAAAATAATGGAGTTTTATCTGCCCAGGAGTTTTATGATGGGCTGGACAAAATAATTGAGCTTTCTCAGCCGGTAAAAGATGGACTTTTTGCTATTATGGATAAACAAAGCATAGGGATCGTGACTCGTGAGAGTTTTATTGCTGTCTTAAAAGACACAAATATAGAGCCATCTGTGTTTGGAGACTCGTGGGGATGGGAAAATGAGACTTTAACCAAAATAAGGCAGTGGATTTATAAAGAAAATTTGACTGTTGAAGAAGCTTTTAGGGCTTTTGATAAGGATTTTGATGGGGTTATCAATAAAAAAGACCTTGAAAAGGCTTTGGTAGATGTTCTTAAATTGGAAGAAAGAGAATGCTACTCAAGCAAAGTAGATAGGCTTTATAAACTTCTAGATACTTATAACTCCTTCTCCTTGTTAATTAACAAATCCATTGGGAAAATTAGCCTAGATAAATAAAATATTTTTGATATAAAGAGATCTCCAGCTAATTATATTTTAGACACATTTGCATTTCATATATTTAAAACTCCAGAAAAAAAAATATTGCACTCTAACCAAGGGGAGATTAAGAGAAATTCTATACAGCTATCTGATTTCAAACTGCTTTTTGAAGAAAACAGAAGTCCAGAATGAAAAGAAAGTGCAAAGCAGCAACTTGGACTATTTTTGTCAAAAAATTATAGTGACATACATGAGTCATTTGAGACGATAGGCGAAATGACTGGTAAAATCACATTAGACCAGTTCATCTCTTGAATAGAAAAGAAGCAAGTCCTAAACGGCTTCAACCTGACCCCAAACCTTCTCCGAGAACTTTTTACATATTTCGATCCTCACCGCAAAGGTTACTTAACGGAGCAAGATTGATTCCATGCAGGAGGTAACATAAGCCATATAAAGCAAAACGTTCAAGAAATTAAAGACGCTATTAGAAGCAATTTTGCTGATGTAAATTCTGCATATGAGTATTTCCTAACTCTGCTCATTTATTAAATGAACTACAATTTAGTAGAGGATTGAAGATTTTTGTAAAAAAATTATTATTTTATTGCTTTATTTTCAACAAAAAGATTTGCAATATAAAAATCGTTCAATTAAGCGTAATTTTCCAAAATTTGAGAAATTTTTAATATGATTTGATTAAGGTTGAAGAAGTAAGCTACCACAACTCAATTTCCCAAAATATCCTCTACCAAGAGTTTGAGCAAGCCATTCAAGCTTTAATCCCTAACAGATTTAAAGCTGCTGACATCAAAAAAGCCTGGGACTCAATTTCCAAAGAAGCCTCTATCTCAGAATCCGACTTCAAACGGCTATTCGATGATGGGCACTTTATGAGCACTTTTTCCCTATCAAAATCCTCCCACAATTTCACTAAAACAGCCAGTTCAAATTCAAAATTAACGACATCCCTGTCAATTTCTTCATATAACTCTGACACCGATCCACTAAAAAAACTGCAAAAATTGATAAAAGCGAGTCCTTTTACTGTTGAAGAAATTTTTAAACAAATGGATACTGATGCGTCTGGGAAACTTTCAGCGATTGAGTTCAGAAATGCAATGAGAAAGCTTGGGCTTGGCCTGACAGCAAGAGATATAGAGCTGGTTGTATCAAGAATTGATACAAATAACGACGGGCTAATAGACTGGCAAGAGTTTTCAAGGCATTTTAAAGATACAGAAGCAGAAAGCCATATAAAGGCAGCATCTAGCTTAAGACTAAACACACTTAAAGACCATATGAGCCATTACATGCTGTCTCCAAAAGACGCTTTTGAACAATTTGACACACAGAGATCAGGCAAGCTCTCCTTTAATGCTTTTTCTGCCTTAATAAAGCGACTCTGTGAGCTTGCCAATGAGCCATTTCCCCCTTTTAATGTGATAAAAGACCTTTTCGATATCATAGATATCCGAAAAGATGGGTTTTTAGACATGAGGGAGTGGCTTAACACCTTTAAATTAAGCAAAACAGACAGCTGGGAGGACTCAAAGTTATTTGAAGACGTCAGTAAATTAATTGCAAGAAACAGAAAACTCTTGCAATTGACCTTTGAAATTGTAGCAAAAGATGGGAGAGTTGAGTATAACCAAGCCAGAGAAATATTAGGAAGTGTATTAAAAGAGGTCAGGCTAAATGAAGAGCAGTGGAAAAGTACATTGGGAGTTGCTATGAGGAGCGGGATGGTGGATTATAGGTTTTTACTGGAAGTATATAAAGAAAGGGCTGTCACAAAGCAGTCACATCCAAAACCTTTATAAGTGTCTTTTAAATCATATTATAAATAAGATGGAGAGCTAAGAGAGGACTCAATAATAGCCTTTCTGGGATTTAAGTTTACCAATTTATCCTCTTTGTAAGAAAATTCTAAATAGCAGAGACATAAATCATATTAGAAATAATTTTAATAAAAATGATGACCAGCCAGGAGGAAGAAGATGCAAGAGTTATAAATAAGCTGAATGATGAGTTTTTCAGAGGACTTTTCTTAGAAAGAGATAGAAAATGCATTGCGTGGAATGGAGAAGATATGGATACTTATTTGTGCAGAGAAATATACCCAGCATTGGTACCTGCTTTGGAAGAGCTTTCTAAAGAAATAGAGAGATATATGAGAGATGGCAGCAGCATTGACATAAGAATTAAATCAAGGTTTAATCCTTGTAGGTGGCTTGCACAGTTTTTGATGAGAAATAACCCAAAATTTGGACAAAATCCAGGAATAACGGCTGATTATAACTCAAAAGCATATTTAAATGCTGCAACAAAAACTATAAAAGCAATGAATCAGGAAAGATAAACTAAGGAATATTTTAGATATTATGAGAGCTAATTGGAAACAATTAAGAAATTAAAATTATAATTTAAAAGAACATGGTAGAACTTTATAATGTTGCAGATAGCCAAATTTCATATTTGAGAATACTAAATAATTCTTTTCAGTTTGTATTAAAGATGAGCTTTTTATAAGATCATCCTAATTAATCTCTTTTTCCATCTCTTAATATATTTAATTTTAAATAAACAACAAAAATGGCTTTTAATTATCAATCAAAATTCACAAAAATCAAAAATTTGGAAAATGCCAACCTTCATCAATTTCCTGCAAAATCAGGGACTTACACTACCTCGTCTACTTACCAAAGCTCAAAACAGCAGCAAGTTTCTCAAGATAATAACGAAAGGTTTATAAGAAGATATAATATGCTAATGAACAGGTTTGCACAAAAAACCAATGAAAAGATTAATGAAAATCATCTGGATCTTCAAAACTGTGACCTTCCTAATGAAAAAATTAAAGATCAAAATTTTGAATTTACCAGTGATACTACACATGGGCTTGAGAGCACCGTTTTGCCTCATTTTGGGGATATAAGCTCAATACAGGTTGAAGAATCTCAGCTGGAGTCTACAAATCATGAGCTATTTTTTAATGCAGGTGACGCGGAATCATACTTGCAGCCTTGGCATTTAGTTGAGCAGGCAGGAAGTGTTCCACAGAAGCGAGACCTTGATGAATTTGTAAAAAACTCAATGAAATATGGAGAAAAAGTTACCAAAATATTAGCAGGCTCGGGGGTGGTGTCGCCTGCTAACTCTATTTACAATATGGAATTTTAATTTTATTAAAATTTATACAGGGTTGATATTTTAAAAAAAAATTATAAGAAAAGAGTAAACTGAAATCTTCCCCTCCAAGTTTTCCAATTAAAACTGAAAGAACATCAAAACTTAGACCGATATCAGAAGGGCATATAGATTTTATGAAATATAGATCACAAACTGCGAGAGCAGCAGCCAAACACAAGAGCGAAGTACCAATGAGTCCAGTAAAGCATATAACAGTGCGTCTGTCACCATCAATATCTTCATTAGAACTGCTGCAGCAAATTAAAAGCAAATCATATAAAAATTTGCTTGCGAATAAAAAGCGATAGATGTGCTACCCTAATTAGACACTAATTTTTAAAATAATTACTTCAAGTGTTTTAATTGGTATTTATAGGAGGGGTTATTAGGTTTTGAGGATAAACTTAATCTTAATTGACAGATGACCTTTACTATTAAGTTTGGGCCCTCAAGCCTTCCACAGCTCCAGCATTGAGTGGGTGGACTATGGACTTCTGCAGCCCAGGAATTGTCGATGGGAAAATAGTTGATCCAGTGAGAAAACCTGGAGTCTATCTGGTGTTGGTGCCTCCCATAAGCAGCTACAAAAAACGCTTTAATTCAAGAGCCCAGCTGCAACCTTGTATTGCGATGAGATCCACCTTCGGTACTGAAGGGCATTGCAGGTTATATCTTTCCAACCATAGAAACTAAGCAAAGCCTATCCTGATATATAAGCCCTTACCGTTTTGTATCTATAAGGTGAGAAAATCGCTTCAAGAATCTGTGCGCTTAAAAAACCATTTTATGTATTTTTTGAGTATAATAGTGCTATTAATCAGATAAAATCATAAATATGGTTGCTAACAAAGAAATAGTTTTAAAAAACTTATATGGAAATTAAAACTTCTATTTATTTATCTATTTTAAGCTATGATTTTTATTAATTATCACTTTTATATGTTTAAAATTATTGCTTTTAATTCCAACAAAATCAAAAAATACCAATTTTATTCAGTTATAAAAGTTTCTGTTTTTATTTCCTCTTTATTTTCTTCTACTACTGTCGGTGAGACTATTTCTTTTTCTAGCGTAACAGTATTTTCAATAATCTCAATAGGAGCTTCTTCTACTATTTTTTGATTAATTGTCTCAAAATTTTCTTCAACAACGCTTTCGTAAATAGGATCTGAAAGTTTATATTTTAACAAATAATCCAAATTCGCCAATTGAGTTTTGGCTTCTGGTGATTCTATTTCAGCATAATCATTGGTGAATACTTTTAGCGGCCTCACAGGTGGAGGGGTTTTTGATTGCTTTATTTTTTGAAATGGCACAAATTGGCTGCGTGAAGTAATATTCCTTGCTGCTGCTAAGCTAAAAGGGCTTCTTGGCTCTATAGTAGGGTGATAATAATTAGACTGGTATGATAATGCCATTGATTTTTTGCTTTTATATTCGTCTTCAATCCTCTTCTGCCTGAGCTCGTTTTTCAGTCTTTCTAGCTCATTTATTGCGTCAATTCTTTCATTATTAGAGTTGCTTGCTTCTTGGCGTATTTTTGTAATGATTTCTCTTACTCCCCCCCCCTCCGTGAGCGAACAAAACCATTAGAAAAATCGCCATTTTTTGACCAAAAACCCACCCTCCGTGAGTGAACAAAAATTTTTTTAATAGAAAAAATTTTAATGGAAAAAAATTTTGATATATAAGTGATAATTAGTATAATGAAATCTAGAGCTAATTCTGTTTAATTTTAAACAAATTGCGTTTTTAAAACATAAATTTTGCAAATTAAATTAATATTTGCTTCCCAATTTTTGCAAATTAGGATTTTTTTAAATTTCGAAAAAAAATATTTTTTATAAAATTTATATATAATTTTTTTTTAAAAAAAAAAATTAACCCCCCTCCGTGAGCGAACAAAATTTTTTTGTTCGCTCACGGGGGGGGGGGGGGAGTTAGCGCGTTGTGCTGGCCTACTAGCTCACTTCGTGACTGTCATACTTCTAGTTCTCTTGGCTTTACATCATAAATTGTTTGCCTTTGGGGTTTGACTTCTTGATATTCTTTTGTCTGGAACTCCATTTTGGGCTTTTCAATTTCTCTTTCTTTCGGTGGTAGTGGTTCTTGAGAATAAATCTAATTATATATAAATATTATTATTTTAATTAATTTTTAAAAAAATAATTTCTTGAGAAAAAGGCTCACTAAATTCTGAATTTGTGTCTTCTCCTTTTTCAAATTTAATTTCTTTTTTATATTTATGCTCGAGCTCCTTTAGTTCTCTCATAATTTTAGCCTCTTCAATTTTTTCTTCAAGCAGTTTTCGCTGCTTTTGCTCTTCTTTTTGTCTCTGTCTTTCGAGAACTTGTTCTTGCAGCTCTTTTCTTCATTCGTCCTTTTGTTTTTGTTTATTATTTTGATAATCTTCATTTCGCAAAGGCTGTGGGCTATTTCCATTGGATCTTGGGTTGTTTTGGTGCTGAGGCTCAGGTTGAGAATTCATGAAATTTCCTGGTCTTTTGGTCACAATATTACCGTTTTCGTCTCTATTTGGAGCACCAGCGCCAGGCTTTCCAAATGGAAAATATTCTTCTGAGGGACGGTTATTGGGGAAGACAGGGTAATTTATTTTTGAAGGTTGCTCCTGGAAAGACACTTTTTGAGGAATATTTTGGGAAAAATAAAAATTTGAAGAATATTGGTCTTGGGCTGGAAAAGTTTTGTCAGGAGTCAGCCATGTAGGCTCAGGCTCTTTTGAAAAATTATTTGAAAACGACTGTTGCCGATATCCAAATCCATTCATAAAATTTTGAGTTGGGATATTCCCTTCACTGCGGGTAAAAGATTGCTGGATAGGGTATGGTATGGGGTATGGTCTTGGCTCTTTATTTATACCATATTAAATAATTTATAATTAAGAAATATTAAAAAAATTCTTTCTAATAAATCAATTACGACCATCTTTTTCTAATTCTAAAGTTGTATTTAATCCAAAAACATTAGTGTATCAGGCACATAAGTTTCTTCGTTTTCTGGAATCCGACCTTTCCTTGTTTTCTTTTGTGATTCTTGCATACTTTTCTGGAATTCTTTCTTATATTCTTCCTGCATCAGTTTTCTTCTTTGTTCTCAATCACTGGTCGGGTTAGTAAAAAAATTGTTTCTCTCTTGAGCTGTTTTCTGGGCTTTTTGCTGCACAGGTGATTCAACTGTAAGTGTAGGCTTTTCTTGGTTTGACTCTAAACTTATATTTGATTGCACTCTTTGAAATCTTATAGGTGGATCTATACTAGATTTTGAAGCATTTAAGTACCTTGCTATTGGCTCTAAAGAATATAAGCTCATTTATCTTCTAAGATTAAATTTTATCTTTATTTAAAACAAGAAGATTTTAACAAAATAAACCTATCCTCTCTGCATATAACACAAAATTTAGTATAATTCTTAATTTATTTCTTATACCTTTTATATAAAACGACTCCAGCCAATATAATCCCTGCTATAGTCAATCCTACCACCGCAATCTTTGGAATATTATACTTTTCTGCCCCTTCTTCTACAACAATCTTCTTTTCAGTAGCTATTTCAGGACCGAGAACAAGCTTCACATCTCTATTACACTCATCACGAATTTTCTTTATCACTTCAATTTGTATATCAATTCCTTCATATGACGGATCTTCTCTCTTGATTTGTTTGAATAATAAAAGCGCATTGTTCAATTCTTGCTGGGCAATCAGGGCAATCCCCAAATAATACTTAAATTTTGTGTTGTGTGGGTAGGACTCTAAAGCATCTTCACATTCATCTTTGGCTGCGTCGTAGTATTTGTTGGCTATTAAGCAGGAGACTAAGCTTGTCCTTATGCTTTCGTCCAATTCACTGAATTCTTTATTAAGCTCATCCTTTGGGATGTCAGGGATAAAATCAATGCAGTCGTAATATTTAGCAATGGCTGCTTCATAGTTATTATTCGTGGATAATTTATCAGCTTCTTCTTTTAATTTTTTTGCTTCATTTAAATTTTGCTGATCTTTTGTAAGTTCCATTTACCCACTTATAAATGTATTAAAATTTATATTTAAAACATTAAATTTATTGTTTAAAAAATATTAGATTTTTGTTTTCTTTAAAAGTATTTAATTAAAAAAATTTTTGCTTTACTCCCCCCCCCCTCCGTGAGTGAACAAAACCATTAGAAAAATCCCTATTTTTTGCCCAAAAACCCACCCTCCGTGAGTCAACAAAAATTTTTTTATGGAAAAAATATTTGATATATAAATGATAATTATTATAATGAAATCTAGAGCTAATTCTGTTTAATTTTAAACGAATTGCTTTTTTAAAACATAAATTTTATAAATCAAGTTAATATTTGCTTTCCAATTTTTGCGAATTAGGATTTTTTTAAGTTTCGAAAAAAAATATTTATTATAAAATTTATATATAAATTATTTTAAAAAAAAATTAACCCCCTTCCGTGAGTGAACAAAATTTTTTTGTTCACTCACGGAGGGGGGGAGTTAGAATATTTCTGAATATTATATGGAAATAAATATGATAGGGCCGAACAATTTTTTTTCACAGCCAATATTTAATCAAAAAAGTGAAACCAGTAAACTCAAAAAGAGGACAAACGGACGGAATTCGTCACAATTAGTTACAATGGCAAATCCATCAATGACGCTTGCATCTTATAAATATAAGGCAAAAAGCCTTAAAGGAGAAAAAAAACCATCCATTTGTCTCACAAAAATTCCAATAAAACTCTCCAAATCTGCAGCCAATTCTGCAAGACCTCCACATCGAATGAGATATGTTCCAAAATCATCATGCATAGCAAAAATTAATGAAAATGGCTCAGAAAATAGTTTTGAGTCGACGAATTCTTGCATATATAAAACTCAAAGTTCTTTTGCAAGATACCCAGATAAGAACGCGTCTGAAACTTCTTCATTATCAGATGATAAATTTTCAAGTTTTTCTATATCAAATCTAAATATAGAAAATAAAATTAGTTTGACTTCCCTATCAATTATTTCACTTAAAGAAGAAATTTCTAGTGCAAAAGAGCTTTTCAAAGCTGAAATCGAGTGTATTAAAATTATATTAGATTAGATTAAAATTCTAGTAGGTATTCAGGGATTCTTTCAGCTTTTTTTTCTCCAATAACCAATAGCTTCGCTTTGGTACGAAGCGCTATCCTCACACACACATTCCTTTTACTTCTGACATCACCCAAAAAAAATGTAACGAGGAGGTTTCTCAGCCTCCCGTCTTCTGGGTCGCACCAAACGACAAAGATTCCCAACATCCGACAGGGCTCAACTTATGGGTTGCCGTATTTTCCACATGGTTAGTCTGAGCTGTACCACAGGCTCAGTAATGCTCCTGTAGAGTGCTGAAGGACATTGGATCAGTAGGTATGTCTGTAAGCCAGGAAAAAATGCTTACTCCCCCCCCCCCCTCCGTGAGCGAACAAAACCATTAGAAAAATCGCCATTTTTTGACCAAAAACCCACCCTCCGTGAGTGAACAAAATTTTTTTAATAGAAAAAATTTTAATGGAAAAAAAATTTGGATATATAAGTGATAATTAGTATAATGAAATCTAGAGCTAATTCTGTTTAATTTTAAACAAATTGCGTTTTAAAACATAAATTTTGCAAATTAAATTAATATTTGCTTCCCCAATTTTTGCAAATTAGGATTTTTTTTAAATTTCGAAAAAAATATTTTTTATAAAATTTATATATATAATTTTTTTTTAAAAAAAAAAATTAACCCCCCTCCGTGAGCGAACAAAATTTTTTTTGTTCGCTCACGGAGGGGGGGGGGGAGTTAGGGCAGCCTGTGAACGAAAAAGCCCACCCTGGAGAACTAACACAATGTGCTATCTTCTCTAGATTCAGATCAACTCACAGGCTGCCACGCCAGATCATCATTTTAATAATTCTAGTGTATTAAAGAAGATATCAAAAAAATTAAGGCTGAATTTATAAATAAATCTTTTGAGGATGAAAGTGAAATAAAAAATAGTTATATTAAAAAAATCAAAAAAAATGATAAAAAAATAGAAATGCTTGAATACGAAAATAAGCTACTTAAAGCAAAGCTCAAGCAGAAAGATTTACTTTATGTGAGAGAATTGAGATGCAAAATATAAATGAATATTAAATATGGAAACAATGAAAATTTAATCAAAATAAATGGAAAGTGAGTACTTAAAGTATTTTCCTTGCTGCTGATTAAATATAATTATTCTAATTTTCTTTTTCTTTTAAACTGATTTTTTATATCATAATATTTAACAAAAGCTTAAAATTTTGCTAACTCCCCCCCCTCCGTGAGTGAACAAAACCATTAGAAAAATCCCTATTTTTTGCCCAAAAACCCACCCTCCGTGAGTCAACAAAAATTTTTCCTGGAAAAAAAATTTGATATATAAATGATAATTAATATAATGTAATCTAGAGCTAATTCTGATTAATTTTAAACGAATTGTTTTTTAAAACATAAATTTTATAAATTAAATTAATATTTGCTTTCCAATTTTTGCGAATTAGGAATTTTTTAAATTTCGAAAAAAAAAATTTTTATAAAATTTATATATAAATTTTTTTTAAAAAAAAAAAAATTAACCCTCCGTGAGTGAACAAAATTTTTTTGTTCACTCACGGAGGGGGGGGGAGTAAAGATAATTTATTTGTCCCTCATTTCAATTATTAGGCATAGAAGGGGTTGCATTCATAAATGTCATATCAAAATTTGGTAGTGGAAAAGGGTCCACTATAAAGGGATGCTCTGGCCCATAATTTTGAGACAATTCTGGAGAGCTAATATCAACAGGTTTTGGTCGCTTTGTCCTTACTTCACCATCACTAATTTCATGCGTTTTTTCATGAGCTGTCAGGTTACTTGACTGCGTAAATCTTTTCATGCAACCAGGAAATGCGCATTGGTAAGATTAGATAATGATGTTTTAAAGCCATAACCAGAGTTAACCACTAGCCACTTGCATTGTCTCGGCTCCAAAAAGCCACCTTAGAATCTGAATAAGGAAAAGGAAGAGATTCATTTTTGATTTCCACCCTATATCACCTGTCCAAGGAATTAACTGCCTAAGGCAGAGACACTGTCTGGAATGTGCCTTAATGGTTCTGATAAGGAAAGAGCTTATGCTAACAAAAAAGTGTCTAGCCCATATTGCAGAAATAGGAAAACCTTCGGGGGGAAGAAAACTTCCCTCTTAGGCAATGCTTCCCCAAATCCAAATGCCTGCTATAAAAAGTGATAGAGGCACTATTTTGAGCTTCATCTGGGCAGCCCTATCTACTCCATAGGGAGTGCGTCTAGGAATCCATCTTCCGTCACCCACAACCTTTATTTCTTCCTGAATTGGTAAGGCTTTTCTCCTGTATGCACCCTCAAATGAGTTTTCAAATTAAAATCTAGTGAAAATCTTTTCCCACAAAATACACATTTAAAAGGCTTTTCCCCAGTATGTGTAAGCATGTGCCTTTTCAGCTTTGAGTTGTCTTGAAATTTTCTCCCACAGGTTTCTATTTCACAAATATATTGTCTTTCGCCATTTGTATTTTGCTTTCTTTGAGGTCGAGGAATTTCTGTAGGGTTTTCATCATTTTTAGGTTGCTTTTTAGGTTTAGTAGGCTTAGCAGACGCTTTTTCAGGATCTAGAGGCTGTTCAAGTGTCTTGCATCCAGATGGGATTTTTTCTATTGTGAGAAATATTGGATGCAGTTTTGAGCGGCGAACTTTGGCTTGGCTTAAGATCGATCGAACATTATTAGAGTCTTTGTTTATCAAGTCTACAGAAAGTCTGATTTTAAAATCACTCTTTGGAGCAATTGTAAAGCGACTGTCTCCCATATTTCTGATATGACAAAAATTTGCTATTTTTATTTAAATTTTAACAAAAAATTTTTAAAAAAATTTGTATGTTATAAATCTTAGCACAGTGATCAATTTTTGTTTTCCTCAGAAAAATATTCAAGCATAAATGAAGCTTTTTACTTAATGTAAAATTTAAAATTAATGATCATTTTTTTATGCTGTTTTAAATAAGTATAATAAAAAAAAACTATTATTGCGGCTAATAACTTTTAAATATATAAATGTCAAAGGTTATTCTGTATTGTTTATCATAAAATAGCTTGATATATGGTAATTTACTTGAGATTTAGCTTCTCTTCGTACCCAAAGCCTATAGACTATTAGAAAGAAAATTATTATTGATATCACAATAACCGTAATAGCAAGAGCCATTCATCCTTCTATTACATATTTTTCTGATATTTCTTTTTCAGGAATTAGACATAGATCAGGTTTCGATTCTTCATTGAAGCCTTCACATAATGCATTCTTAATACCTAAAATATCCCAGTCGCCTCTATATGTAATATTGTTTACTATAAGTGCAGGAAAGTATATTAAATCTAATTTACCTCACTCAAGTTTCTCTTTACTCAATAAAAAGTTATCATCAATCATTGGTCTATTTTTGTCAAAACTGTCTTCCATGCATTTAGCCCTCCATTTAATTAGCATTGTCGATTTAATGTTAAATAATGATTTTTAAAAAATTTATAAAAGAAATAATAAAAATCAACTAATTTAATATTTATAAATGTTTTAGTCCAATATCCTATTTTTTTTGTTTTTATTATTGAATGAGTTAGTGATATTTTTCCTATTAAGATTCACAGCACTCATAAGCGCATCTGAGCATTTATCAGAGAAATCATTTGGACACATTTCATAGCGTTTTTTCATATATCTATACCATAATTTGTAGTCTTTATACAGCCTAAAAATACAAATCTGTCGCAAGTCTTCTGTAACTACATCTCGTCCTGTAAAAGGACCAGAAAAATCAGGATCTCGAGCACAGTATCTTCCTCCGCTTAAGCAGTCTGGATGTGGCTCTTGGTATCCTCTATACTTGCATTTATAACACGAAAAATGAGCATAATGAGGCACAAAACTAGCCTGCTTTTCACTTAATTTAATTGCAGTGTCATAAAATTCATAAATAAATCTTGAAAATTGCAAATCTCCAGAAGACATTCATATTGTGTAATTTATTTTTCTATTAACTATTGGCTCAATTTTTTCAAAGGTCAAAGACAAAATGACTTCATAGCTGCTGTCATTTGTGTATTTTTTAATTAAATTTCCATCATCTCCAGAAATAATGTAAATAGGAATCTCTTTGTTAATTTTTGACTCATTTTCAATAGAGACAGCATAATCTGATTGTTCAATGCTTTCATCTGATATAATTAAAGCAGCTGCTCCAGCACTGTGAGCATTTCGAGCTTGAACTGCAATTGAGCATTCACTGCTGTCTACTAGCAAAAAATAGGCATTGCTAGCTTCTATATGGCTTATGCACCATAATAGATAGCTATGGCCAAGCAGCACACCTAAAAAAAAAATGGTCAAGGGTACTTTGCTTATACTCTGATTAGGGCATTTTAAAACCATAAACGGAAATTTATCATTTTAGTTATGCTTTTCACAAAAATTGACAGGTAAAATTTATTATAAAAATTTAAAATAGATGATCAATAATGATCTATTAAAATTTAGGGGCTATATCATAATTTGATATGAGGGAATAATTAAAGCTGCAAGTTCCATTAATATAAGGATAATAAATAACTTTTCCGTTCATTATAGAGCCAATAGGTAAATTTGTAAGGCCTGCTTGCTTGAATTTAACTCCATGGTTAGAGTAGCGGTTTTCTATTTCAGATTTCAATTCTTCAGGAGAATAAATAAAAATTTTTGTGTAAATAAGAGAAAACAAGGCTGAAAAGATAATTTTTGACATTTTATTTAATAAGAATTTTGATAAATAAGATCCCTATGCTCATAAAAATAATATAACTAAATATATCCTTGATAACGCCCCACTTTGATCGCAAAAATCGTTATATAGCCTAAGTCAAGATTCGTTCCTTCAATGATAGCCTTTTAATGTGCTTCTCGCCGCTATATGGAAGGAGTAAACCCTGGTAGTCATCTGGTGACGAATCTTTGACTAGATATTAGTTATCAAAATGATTTGTGGGCTACGGTTCTTTACCTACCTGCTACAGAAGGCATAATTTCTTATTTCCTGAATATCACTCTTCCAAAGGTGGCTGACAGAATATATCTGTCTCATCTTTATTATCTCAATAGCACCCAATAGCACACTGATAAGGAGTCTTCTAACCTGAGCGACAGTGAAAGCCCGCTCCACTAGGAGACCGTGATCTAGATAGCTGATACTCGGTAGTCTAGCAAGCAGGAGCGCTAGCAAAAGAGCACAAAGGGCATCAAACCTGGAAACCCTAACTTCTTAATCTATGCTCATTGACTCTGCGGATTATACTTTTTGTATTTATTAATTTCTTCAATAGTAGCTAAATGGTATTTAATTATCATCCTTTTTAAGATCTTTATTGGAATTGTAGGTTTTTTATTTTGGTATATTAAGATTTAGAAAAATACTCCAAAAGCTTATTTTTTTAATTAATTTTATTAATAAATAATACAAAATATAAAAATTCTACTTTTCTATAAAAAATTATTTCGAAATAGCTATTAGAGCACATAAAAATACACTAAGGGCAACTATTGATGTTTATTTACAGTTTTATTTGAGCTTCATGTAGAAAAGTAAACATATATTTGCTTTCGAATAGCCTGAGATTGTTTTTATAAATTCATGAAAGAATATTTTAATATGGTTATCTTTTAAACTGAGTTTCACAATATTTACTAGAAATATAATAATGAGTGCTGAAATGATTGCGCTGAATACTCTTATATCCACCATACTGGGCTATGAAGTATCTGTTCAAGAGAAAAAGTTGATTACTATCTAAATTCAAAATAATATTTAATATTATTGCCTTTGCATTTCTTCAAAAAACCAAATTATCCTATTTGTTTAATTTGGCATGCTAATTCTATATCATTAATAGTCTTTTTCTCTAAGATTTGTATAAACTCAGCTACAGGGCAACTTTCTTTGCTGCAATCCGGTAATTTTAACAATTTATCATTATAAATAATCTTAGCTTCCCTCTCACTATAAACTTCAAATATTAAGCTCGACGCAAATGGTGGACACTCTTCTTGAACCAAATTAAGGCATGATAAAAATCCTGCCAAAGTTGTGTCATGAGCCGAATAGTAAGCATATTTATAACCCCTCGAATCAAACGCTTCATTAATCCTAATAATTAAATCTTTAAAAAATTGGCTGCAAACCAATATTTGAGCTTCTTCATTTGAATATGGCACAAAAAATTTTTTAAAGCCTTGCACTTTGGTTAATGACTTATGATGTTCCATGGTCAAATTATATGGTAATATATTCCCTTCAAATAAATCGCAGCTTAACGATGACCCTAGCTGAGAAGCAGATTTTATTGAATTTATAGTTAAATTTACAGCTGAGCTGACTTCATCAAACAAAGGTTTCAATTCATTTTCTTTGCTTTTATAGCTATCACTTTTCAATATGCTTTGATATATTTGTTCTACACGTGGACATATTATTTCGTCATAGCCTCTTAAGATATGGTCTTCTTGCTCTAGAAGTACATTAATTTTCAACATTTCATGGTTGCAAGCTGCCAAATTTGGGAAAAAATAAGAAAATTCTGAATTTTGATCCTGCATGATTTTCCTAGAAAAATTAGGGTAAATTCCGAGCATATGATAATAAGCGCTGGTTCTTGTCCTTTCTTTATTCGAAGAACAAGCGTAAATCTCTGAGGAATTATAGTAAAAATTCAATAGTTGGAGATCTTCTACATACTTTTTTCTAATTTTATTGCCTAAAAGAAAATGCTGCTTTTTTCCTTTATGAGTTAATTGTCCACGATCATAATTTCTTCAAAAAGGTGTGTGAAAATTGAATACTTTTAGAGGAGCTCTTGCTCCATGCCTTGTTATCTCAGCTACAAAGATCAGTTTTGGGAAGGTGAGCCAAAATAAAAGGAATAAAATCAAAGAAAGTCAAGTCATTTTAGAGAGAAAAAATAATTATAATTGCTAGTAATCAGCTTGGCTGTGATATCAGATTGAAGAATGATTATAAAATATTGATTAAAATTAAGCTAAATAAATTCTTTGCAATTTTTCAAAAGCGATAAAAAATGCCGTGACCCGGGATTGAACCGGGGACCTTAAGATCTTCAGTCTTACGCTACTCCCAGCTGAGCTACCACGGCGCAGAATATTTTAATTAATTACATATACATATCCAAAAAAAAACAATGATTCCTAATAGCTTTCTTTCAATAGTAAAACAATATCTAGTTTTTATAGTTTATCATAATTATAATACAAATTTAACTTCGTCTAAATCAAAAAAGATTCTTTTGTAGGCTTATAATGGTCTCTTGAAGAAAAAGCACCTTGAAAGCGCTTGCTATATTTTCTTGTAGTTATCGCCTTTTCAGAAATCAAGAGCTTTGGCTTAAAAACGGGGCAATTTGCACTTTCTGAAGGCTTTATATTTAAAGGCTTGAATTCATATTTTCCACGATAGTCTCGTTTAAGTGCGTTTAAATGAATTTGATGCTGAGCTAATTTTTGTTCTAATTTATAGCGATTTGCGTCTAGAAATACCGATTTTACGTTTCTAAATAATATGTATCTAGGGTACTCAAAACTTCTCGGCTCTTCAATTGAAAAATCTTGCAGGAATTTGGATCTTCGTAAAATATTTTTACTTACCCTTCCAGATAATAGTGAAGATTTTGCCAACTGGGTATTATAAAAAAATATCTTAAAAATAGATAGTTTTTTTATGAAATATGATGATTTAAATATAAATTATTTTTATTTGTTATAAATTGTAATTAAAATAGATTAAATTGAGTAATTTATTTTTAAAAAAAAACTATTAGATATTTTATTTATTGAAAGGGAGATAGCGGAGAAGATCTATGGGATAAAGGCTTCAATAGCCGAGATAATGAAGTATTGGCTCTGGATCTTTCAGACAAGACACTAACGTTATTCATTCGTCCTGGACTAGGCGTTCTTCTAGGGACTTTTTGGAGCAAAGGTTTATGATTCTCTTCTGTATTTCAAGGAGAAAGCCCAAATAACGTTTCTTCCATTACTCAATTAATATCATTTATATATTCCAATAATATATAATCCCCTATTTGCCAGCTTGCAATACCTTTATTTTTTAAAATCCAAGCAGAAAAAGCCTATTTATATTCCTAAATTCCCAATAATCATGCATATTTTGCTAAAAACTATTTTATCTTCATGAAAATTACCTTCAAAACCACATGCCTAAAAACAAGGCCATAATTATGGCATTTAAACTTATAGCAAGTTTATCTGCAGCAACATTTTGCGCGACCAAATTTATCAACACAGCTGATGACGATCCTTTTTGGCGTACCAAAGCCCACGTCCCACTCAAAAGTTTGCCTGAAAGCTCCGGCTATTTGGTATTTTCCGGCAACTCTAATCGTCCATTAGCAAGAGAAATTGCAAGCTCCCTCGGCACCCACCTAGGTAACGTAAAAGTGGGTAGATTCGCTGACGGCGAAATAAATCTTCAAGTATTTGACCACATCAGAGGCCGAGACGTCTTTTTAATCCAATCCACCTGTCCGCCTGTAAATGAGCATTTAATGGAATTGCTATTAATGATATCTACAGCTAGAAGAGCTTCAGCCAAAAAAATTACTGCAGTTATCCCTTATTATGGCTATGCTAGACAAGATAGAAAAATGATGAGCCGTGTCCCTATTTCGGCTGCTGATGTAGCTAAGTTATTATAGTAGTTTAGGTATTTTTTATAGTAATGGGGCTTATAAGGCTTAATTTTAAAGTCTTTGCAATTTCTTGTCAGAGGTACTATTAATAATATAGAAAATATACTATAGAAACGGTAGGAGTTGATAGGGTTATTGCATGCGACCTTCATTGCGGACAAATTCAAGGGTTTTTTGGGCCAAGAGTGCCTGTCGACAACTTAGAATCAAGCATTGTGGCGCTTGACCATTTTAAGCAGCTTAACTTAATCAACCCTGTGATTGTATCCCCAGATGCAGGCGGAGTTTATAGAGCTAAAAAGTTCCAGAGCTTTATGATGTCAGAAAACTGTGATCCTGGACTTGCAATGATTATTAAACAAAGAGCAGGGCCGAATAAGATAGAAAGAATGGATTTGGTAGGAAGTGTAGATGGCTGTGACGCAATTATTATTGACGATATGATAGATACTGCAGGAACATTATGCCAAGCTGCAGAGGTATTAAAGATTAATGGCGCCAGAAGAGTTTTTGCGTTTGCTACACATGGACTACTGTCTAAAGATGCTATGCAGAAAATTGAGAAAAGTCCTTTAGATGAAGTTGTGATTACTAACACAATTCCACTGCCTGGGAATAAGGATACTGAAATAGCTGATTTAGTACCGAAATCTAATTTCAAGTCAGAAAAAGTGAAACAGGTGTCTGTCGCCACGCTCCTTGCAGAAGCTATTAGAAGAGCTTATCAGAAGGAAAGCTTTTCTCAGCTGTTTTATCCAAAAAATTTTAAAGGAGAATAGCTAAAAATTTAAAATTATAATCTGTTTTATTAAAAATTTTATAGAAATTTCCCATAGATGGCGCAGTTTGCCCTTGATTTGCCCACTGTGAAAATTTGTAGGTTCGACCAGTACCATATGGTTTGGTCAAACCAAAAAGTTTTTTCAGTGGGCAAATCAAGGGCAAACAGCGCCATCTATGGGAAAACTCTATAACTATTTATTGACTGTTATCATGATGCTGCATCTTTTTTGTAAGTAATTTATATGTTTTATACAATAAAAATATAGTTTATTATCTTTTAGTTTTATTCTGAACTTGTGAAGCCGATAGGGGTTTAGGAGACTTTTCAACCGATGTGCATTTTATACCGATTTGGCTTTTAGAAAGCAAAGGACTTGCTGATCTAAGGTTGCTTGATGATTTTTCTTCTTTTATAGGGGTTTTACTGACCAATTCTTTTTGTGTGTAACTATTCCTTCTCCTTTCAATATAATTAAAACTATGGTCACTTGCCCTTGTCCTCAGCATTCTTATTTGTTTTTCTAGTTGTGCTACCTGTTCACATTTTTCTTCAAATTTTTTCTTATAAAAATCAGTCACACAATTCGCGCTTTCTGACCTATTTTCTTTTGATTTTTCTATTTTTTTCATTTCAGGCTGCGATTTTTGCATAGCAACCTGTAGTTCCAGCCTTTTTTTGTCTTTTATAAGTTCAGCTATTTTTAATGAGTCTTTTTTCATATTCATTTTCAGTGTTGATATTTCTTGAGTCAATTTTCTTTCATGTCTTATTTCTGAATTGCTACTTCTTGACGTGGTTAAAGGTGAGCTTTCTTCTCTTCTATGGGTGGGTCTATCAGCGTCTTTTTTCAGTTTTTCGATAATTGTCTTGCTGGTAGAAGCGAGCTCCAGTCGAGCATTTTCAGAGTCTAATAGTTTTTGCTGGGTATTTTCTATATGCAGTTTTAGCTGTTGCTCGATTTTTATATGGTTTCTGACTTCATCTTCAAGCTTTTGAAGGGCTTTGTGGTATTGATCAGTATTTTGATAGTTTTCAAACTCGTCCATAAGCATAAAATCACGCTTGATTTTCAATAAATCTTTAAGCTCATTGTTTATTAGAGATAAAGCTTGTAATGGGTCCATTTTCACAATATCGTTAACTGAAGGATAAATATGGTCTGGGTCTGGCTTCTGCTTATATAATACCATTGAGGATAGTTCAGTGTATAAATAAACACATGTTTCTATTACTGATTTTTCAATTTTTGAAGGCTTACTTTGTTGCATATTATTTGTTAACGATAATTAAAATGAAAATTTATTTAAAGTTGGAGAATACATAAATAGTTAATAATTATGTCAGTAAACTGAAGGAGAGGCTTCACTTATTTTATTTGGCATTTAAAAATAAGAATTAATATATATTATATTAGTGGAAATATTAGAATTCTACTTAAAATAGTCCAAAGATTAGTTTTCAAGACTTCAATAGCGTTAATATGCGTGCAAATAATAAGGCTTGCTTTGAAGTACTGCTATTTTTTATTTAATTATACTTAATTGTGCATAAAAAATTTGATGAGCAATATTATATCAACTAGATTTTTATTTTTCTATCAGAAAAACATATAATATTTCTGATAACTAGGCACTAGCATTAAAAGATTAAGCAAGTATTTTCTTATAATGTCAGCGCACTCATAAGATATAAAATGCTTTAGCTAAATAGCTTGCTATAGAGTCCCATTTTGCAATACAATATTTCTATTTCTTTTATTAATTAATAAATGCATGTATCTCACTATAATAAATGATCCTTTAATCATTAGCAATATATTGAAGAGAATAGAGTAATGAACATAACAGGCTCCGTGGCGCAACGGATAGCGCACCAGACTTCTAATCTGGGGGTTGTGGGTTCAAATCCCACCGGAGTCGTTTTTGCCATATTTTCAAATCAGAAACTCAAGATATCATAATTTTATTTAAAATTTAAACAAAAGCATGCATTATGAAAACATATGATAGATTTATTAAATTAAAAAATATTTTTCAAGCCTTAAAATAGCATCTTTTACTTTTATCATTGAATCCAAATATAAATGTATTTAGGCATTATTATGAAAATAATAAAAAAACTAAAAAAGCATGAAAGCCTATGAAATCAATGAGTAAATTATAAATTCTTATTTAAAACTAGAATTAGTCAGCTACACAAGCAAGTGCAAAATACAAGGATGATGGTCACTCCCCAAAATATCAGGCCGAGTATACGCTTTTTCAATGTTTCGTTTCAAGCATTGAGAGATCAAAATATAATCAAGTCTTCAGCCTTGACCCTTCTCTTGTGCTCCCACATTTCTTCTGCTAAAATAGCTCCATCCCTTAACCCCTGGATGCATATATCTAAAAGTATCGACTAGTCTGCAAACTTCAAGAGTTGTATGGAAATTTCCTCTTTCTTCAGGAGTAAGACAAGCCCAAGTTTCTTTTCCTCGTATATCATAAATATCGATATCCTCATGAATAACATTTAAATCGCCACACCAAATGACAGGCTTTACTTTTTGGAGCTCCATAATATAAGCTCTTATTGCTAAATCCCACTGTTGGGTCCTATAAGCGTGGTCTTTTCCAGCATTTGGAACGTATGTATTTAACAGGAAAAAATCATTGAACTCAGCAGTAATTGCTCGACCTTCAATATCATGCCTCTCTGTGCCTATTCCATATATCACTCTTTCTGGCTTTATTTCTGTAAGTATAGCTACCCCTGAATAGCCTTTTTTCCCATGTGAACAATTTCAATATTTATTAAAATGACTGGGGAAAAGCTGTTCTACATCTTCAATATTCTTGTCTTGTAGCATAGTCTCATTAAAGCATAAGATATTTGGAGCTTCAGACTCAATCAGGCGCTGAATTCCACCTTTAGAGAGCATTGAGCGAAGTCCACAGACATTCCATGATGCCAGCTTTATTAATTTCATTTCAGCTTTTTTGGGGCGCTTGCGAGGGTGATATTCAGTCTCAATTTTTCGGCGCTTCATATTTTAATAAAAAAAGATGCTGGCTAAGAATTATTATTAATTAATGAGCAATATGAATCAATAGCGATTATTTATAAATTATTATTTTCTTAATGGCATCAGAATTATAAATTAATATTTTTTATTAATAAAAATGACTAATTTATAAGCTAAATAAAAATTTAGCTATTAAAGTCTCTTTTACAATTTGATAGATAAGGATTCTATCACTTTTTATTTATATATGGAAGAATCAATTATTTATTTTTACGGGAAACCTACACAAAGAGTAAAACAAGAAGACGTTTATTTAGGTAACTTTTATCATTCTCCTATTCTTATCAATGGTGTTACTTATTCCACCGTTGAACATTTTTATCAGTCTCAAAAGTTCGATGACCCTGAAATTCAGGAAAGAATTAGAAATGCCCAAACACCCAAAATAGCCAGCAGACTTGCTCATGAACTTACAAATGATTCTAGAGAATGAAGCCATTTAAAAGAAAGTGTGATGAGGACTGGAATTTTTGCGAAATTTACCCAGCATCAAGATTTAAAAGAAAAACTTCTAGCTACAGGAACAGCAAAACTTGTAGAAGATAGCCATAAAGATTTGTACTGGGGAGGCTCATTAGAAGGGAGTCAAAATAGAATGGGAATATTATTAATGGATTTGAGAAACCAACTTAAAAATATGCCATAAAACAATATTTAACATTCAATTTAAAAATTTAATTATGCACTTCTAGGCTCACTTCTTGGGGTCGAATCGTGGGACTCTTCTTTCACTCTTTCATCTCTTTTGCTAAAGAGGCTTGGATTATCTTTTAACCCATCTGCAATAGTTTGAAGTTTTTGCTTGATTTCTTTAACAGTTTTTTTCGAGTTTTTTATTTTACTGAAAATCGCAAGTGCTTTGTTAAAATATATACCTAATCCAATCAATATACAGTTTCGTCTATCCTATTTACAAATATCAAATAGATAGGGCTAATTAGTAGAAATGCTTTTAATTCATTACAATTAGGTATATGCCAATTATTTTCAATTTAAGCCAAAATATCTGTATGAATTTTTCTATTTATGAAAAAATTATCAAAAAATCCAAATAAATGCCAATTACATATATTCAACACAGACTAATCCTGTGCTTCTGCATATCGATTCAGTATCATCAAAATCGTTCCAATAACTTTCAAATCTTTTCCATACTGCTGACTATTCTCCCCATGCAAAGATTTATCCACTTCTTCAAGCTCATAGCATTCTTGCAGTGCTTCTTCATATTCTTCTGCTTTAAGTAGCAGCATACATATATTTCTTTTTACTTTAGCTGTGCTTTTATGTATCATACTATGATTATATTCATAAATATGTTCTGCGTTCCTTAAAGCATCCAAAGCTTCAGGATAATTATTAGAATCTTGAAGCCACTGAGATAGTTTTAAGGCTACTTCTGCTGTAACATCTGTGTGAATATCAAGCTCGCCCATTAGGTTTAACGCTCGCTTTTGAGTATCAATTGCATTATTTAGGTCACCTTGTTTTTTATAAACTTTGGCCATATCTATATAAATTTGTGTTAGTGATTCATGCTTCATCCCATAATGCTTTTCGTGGAGTTCCCAGACTGTAGTTAGGCAGTCTAAAGCTTTGGCGTGGTTTTTTTTCTTGCTTCATACTTGGGCTAAGGTGGAATATATTTGGGAATTAGATAAATTGTCTTCTCCTACTGGGTTTAAAAAAATTTTATTTTTATTAAAATATTTTAAATTATATGAGTATAATTATTGAGGTGCAACTTTAATAGTAAAATTAATTCTCCTACCATTGCTTTGTTCATTTTGAGTGCTTTCTCTAGAAGGCTTAAAGAGTCATCAATTCCTCCAGCTTCGAGATAGCATTTGCCTAATAATGTTAAAATATGAGTATGATAAGGTTTAGAGCCTTCATCTTCATTAACTAGTCTGCCATTATGACTTAAAGCTGTTGTTAAGTGCTCTAAAGCTTGCTCAAAATATTGATTATTAAGATAGCTCTCGCCTAGATTAGTATGGGCTTCAACCAAGATAGATTTGTGACGGTTATGTACATTTGCTAAAACTTTGCATAATGCCAGTTGGTGGATTCTGACTTGGATGACTCCTTCTTTGTCACCAATTTCTTCTCGATCTTTTACGTAATCACCAATTCTCCTAATTAATTATTTTATTACTATATTTTTATTTTAAGATTATTTAACAGTTTTTTTTTAATCCACATGATGAGCTAAGGACTCTATTTTTTTCTTCCAGTTCGGCACAGATTCTATCTGAAATGCTCATTGGATGCTCTTCCATTTTGTCTATTAAATATAATTGCTCAATCAAGAAACTGGCTTTCTAGCAAATCAATCATAAGTTTGAAAATGTTTTAAGTATAGTTTAGATTTAAAAATTAAAATTAAACTAAATTCAAGACACTAGATAATATATACTTTTGGCTTACTCCCTCCTTGATTTGGTCAATAAACATCATTCGAACAAAGGTTGAAAAAAAAATTCTGAAAAAACTATTTATTAAATCGATTTTAAAGGAGAAATTAAGACTATATAATTATTTTATTAAGAGCTAAAACAATATTTAAGCTATTATAATTATTATCAAAATTTTATCTCACTCAAAATATATAATTATCTTAATCTTTATACTTATGCTATTTAGTATTAAAATGATTTAATATTTCGCTATAAATCAAACTTCATTATGAAATCGTGAGGAATATTTAATGCCTTGCAATATTTACCCCAACTATATGTATCTTTATATTTCTACCCACTTTTAAAGTATTTATACAAAAATCAAAAAAAATCATTTCTGTCACAATTAAAATCTCACAAGATCTTCCACAGGCCCCAATCCTTTATTAATATAAAGCTACCTCTTAACGTTTGTCTTTATAGCTAAACTAGTCATATATGGCCATTCTTAATATTTAGCAATGGCTACTCCACTCGTTAGACAGCACAAAATCAAGAAGCACAGAAGACAATTCTGGAGATTCCAAAGTGACAAGTTCAAGAGAGTTGGCCGAAGCTGGAGACAACCTCACGGTATCGATAACAGAGTCCGCCGAAAGTACAGAGGAAATCAGGATATGCCTGGAGTCGGATTTGGAACTGATAAGACCACCAGATTTGTCCTTCCAAACGGATTCAAAAAATTCCTCATCCATAACGAGAAAGAACTTGAGGTCCTTCTTATGCACAACAGATCATTCTGTGCAGAATTAGCCCACTCATTAAGCACAAGAACAAGAAAGAGACTTATTGAAAGAGCAGCAGAGCTAGACATCAGAGTTACAAACGCAAGCGCTCGCTTAAGAACTGAAGAAAAGAAATAAGCTTAACTTTACTTCGAATAAATTTATCCCCAAAATTAGGAATTAATCTATGGTACTTAAATTTCAGGCTAAATTTCAAATAAAAAAATTAAAAAAAATATTTTTTATTTAGTTAAGAGATTAAATTAATTTGGTATATTGTCTGGAGAGTTTTACTTCTTCACAATTTGACTAATTTTATAGTAAATAATTATGTATTAAATGCAAAAATTATTTAGATTTCTTGAGGATTCATCTCAAGCTGTTTATTTTCTGTTTTTTCAGGTGAGCCTTCTGATGTTTCAGTGCTTAGGTCTCCCTCTTTTTCGAGACTTGCTTTGAATTTTTTGTAATCTTCGACGTCAAAGTTTTCAGGCTTTTCTGGGCTTTCCTCCTCGCTATCCCCTTGAATTTCTTCAGTGTCCTCTTCCTGAGGAGCCGGTGGAGGGATGAATTCTTCGTCTTCTTCTTCATCTTGTTCAGAAGGTTTGAATACTTTTAATTGAGGCTGGCATGCGTTTTCAGCTTGTGGAAGCTCTGAATTTTGAATTTCGACTTCTGGGTCTTCTCTTTTTCTTTTAATAGCTTCTGGCTCAGTGATTTCGTGAACTTCTGTATCCATTTAATTATTTATAACCCGCCATATTTCACTATAACTTATGCATGCCTATTTCATTTCAATCTTTTTTGCCAATTATTTTTCTAAAAATAATTTAAATTTATCCATTAATACTTTAAATTATGCATTTATTACTCTATTTCATATATAAAATAAAGATTTTATCTAAATTATTCTTTTTTATTTCTTGGAACTTGTTTTCTTGCATCCATATATTGATCAGTCATTTTCTTTGGAACCCCAGCAAGCTCATCAATCAAAACAGTGAATTTTTGATCAATTTCTTCAAGTAATTGTTTATTTGTTTTTGACTCCGCAGAATCTTCATTCAGCATATATCTATTTTCAATAGAATCATAAATAGCGGACCTGATATCTGAAAGACTATTAATCCCAAAGATTTTCTTGAGTATTTTATAGTAAAAAGGCAGCCCACAGGTGGTATAGATTGAGGACATCAAAAAAGCTAGACCAAACAATCCAGCAGCGCTTCGTATTTTTAAATTTAGCATTCGTGAATGAAAGGCACAGAATTTCTTGAAGACTGTTTGATTGAGCATTATAAATAGAGGAATTGAAAAATAAGTCATTGTTCATATACCTCCATAAGCAAGCCTCCTGTAAGTTAGTCTAAAAGCATTGACGTCATCTGGATTCCGCTTAAGGCTTCTGTATTTTTTGGTAATTTCTTTGGCTGCTTCCTTCATAGAAGCTTTAGTCTCTGGATCAGACATGGATTAATTTGTGTAATGGCTTTAGGTATTTATTCATAAAAATATTAGGCAATTTTATTAAAGAATATCTAATTGGACCAGAATGTAATAAATATAAATGATACAATTTTTATTTTATAGAGTAAAGATATCCAGTAGAAATGCTTCGATTAATTGTAAATAGGTATAGATATTTACTTGCAAGCCAATTTTATTTAAATATATCATATTTATTAGCTAAAGCCTAAGCTGTTCTATTAGAAGAATAATGGCTGATATGTAGCAGCTCATCTTATAATGCTTAATTATTGCTTTTAATTAAGGTCTAATATAATGGAGATCATCAAAAGCCCTACCAAAAAAATTCCAGTACTTCCTAGTCTCAATTCAATAAGATATAGATGCTCCTCAGCTATAAGAATTGCATCAAAACATATAGCAATCTCTCCAGAAAGGCCAACTAAGCGAAAAGTTGCTGATAATGACTTATACCCTAACAGTCCAAATAAACCAATTTCCCCAATCATGAATAAAAGTGTCGAAGAATTCCATCCTTCATATTCTATAAAAGACCTATATCTTGGAAAATGCTTAGGCAGAGGAAAACAAGGCAGAGTCGTCCACGCAACTTTGAGAAATAAAGAATTTGCTGTCAAAATTTTGCATAAGGACGAAAAAAAAACTGGCGAAATGGAGTGAAAAATCTTAAACAGGCTGAAATCACCTTTTCTTGTACATAGCTATGGAAAAATAATGGACAGTGACAATATGTATCTTCTTCTAGAACTTATGGACGGAGGCGACTTATTTCATCTTATTCGAAAGCGTAAGCTGAATATAAAAGAAATCACATTTATTTCCGCAGAAATAGTACTAGCTGTTGAGCATCTCCATAATCAGGGTGTTATATATAGAGACTTAAAGCCTGAAAATGTAATGCTCGATGCTTCAGGACATATCAAGCTTGTCGATTTTGGACTGTCAAAAATAATTGACGACGATAGAGCACAGACAGCTTGTGGGTCAGCAGAATATATGGCTCCAGAAATAATAAGGAGGCAGCTATATACCTATAGTGCGGATTGGTGAAGCTTTGGGGTGTTAGTTTATGAACTTTTTCATGGCCATACACCATTTAGAGGTGAATCCAATAAAGAAGTCTATCAAAATATACTGAGAGGAGATATTATTTATTCTAGATCACTAGATGCTACCTCAAAAGATTTTATTAGAAGTCTATTAAACTTAGAATCAGAATACAGACTAGGAAGCTTAGAAAATGGAATTTGCGACATAAAAAATCATCCTTTTTTTAGGAAAATTGATTGGAGAGTTATCCCGGAGAGATTACAGTCTCCTTTGCGTGAGCATCAGATTTGTAAAATATAATAAATAAAAATCCTTTAAAACTAAGCTATTAATCGTCTACAGTATTTACTACTTTATATTCTTGGTGCCTTCTGTCTCTTCTTATATTTTGCACTTCTTCCTGCAGCTTTAGGCCCATTTTCTTCTCTATAGCTGACCAAGTGTTGTTTCTATAATATCATATAATTAAGCCAAAAAATGCCATATACATTGCGACAGAAAAATTTACGTCTCTTCAGCTGTCCCAAAACATTTTATGTGCCTCAGGACTGTCATTAGGATGGAGCTGTTCTCTTTTTTTCTTCAAAAATTCTTGCCGCCTTTGCTCATATATGTTGAAATTTTCTTTTTTCTGGGTATTTTCCCAGAATTTGTGATATTCAGAGTCATTGATGTCAAATCCGCCATATGCAGTTGATTTTTTGGTAAATGGGTCTTCATTTTTATCTTGACTTTCTGTGGTGCTTGAAGTGGTTGTATGTGGGTCTCCTCCGTTTAATATTTTTCGATCATAGTCTTCTCTTCTTGAAGGATCGACTAAGGTTGCATAGGCTTCATTAATTTCTTTAAATTTGGTGCTGTCTTTGTTTGGCATGGCATCTGGGTGGTATTTTCTAGCAAGTTTATAGTATGCTGCTTTGATTTGCTGGCTGTTTGATTCAATTGGAACATCTAGAATTTCGTAATATGTAGCGAAATATCTTAATGTTCTTCTAAGCATAATCCTTATTATCCATTATTCCATTCAAAATCTTTATTTATAAAGCTTTATTATAATACACTAAACAGCGGAGATTTGTCGTCAGTCATATCTTCTCTAAATGCTTCGAGTTCTTCTTCTATTTCCTCAACACTCAAAATATCGCTTTCAGTTTCTGAAATGCTCCCTTGTCGTTTTCCAGGCATTTCTAGCAATGCGTCAACCATTTCGTCATAATTTTTGACATTTGTTTTTTTCTGTACAGTGTAAATAAGATTATTGTATTTTGAATTCATGTCTTTTATATTTGCAGCAGCTGAACAATCTGTAATGAGAAGCCAGTTATTAAAGCTCAGTTTAAAATTTGCAAAAAGCCTGTTTAAGTGCTGCTCAAAAGGCTCCATATCGTCATTCATACTCATCTTGGCTAGATAAGCTGTATAAATTGTGAGAAGTCTTGGCTTGACTGATCTATCCTCCATTGAGGCATTTTCTAATAACATTCCTCAATAAAGAATTTCAACTTGATTCAGTAAAAGTAAGTCAGCAATTGAATTTAGCATTGAGTAGATTTTTTTGTATGATCAAGAAGGGCTCAGGTGGCATTCTAATGCTATTTTTTTTAATGATTGCTGTCTTAGATGGCTTACACCTAAAGAGTGAAATTCTCGATAAAGCTCGTTATAAATTTGCAAAAATGGGGTTTGGGGTGGAGATTTCAGAACTGCAGATTCTGCGAAATCAAGAGGAGAGAATAGTGAGTCACTGGAACGTATATTGCACTCAACATTTAAACCGAAGTTTCTTATTCTTGACACCATTTATATTCTTTTATAAACATGTATACACTGGCTGCTTATTTAAAAATCAAATTATAAGTGAATTTTTTTATCATTGAGGTCATTTTCTGGAGTTTTTAATCCAGAGTTAGCATTTATATCTGTTGAATTTCATTGTATTTTAATTGCAGATAAATAATAGATTTGCTTTAGTTTTGATTCTTAAGGTCGAAAAATGAGATTTAACTTAAAATGGGAAATAATTTTTATTTCATTAAATGTTTTGATATAAATAGATATTTAAAAAATACATAAAAATAGGCTATTTTATTGATTTAATACTTAATTTAATACAAATATATTATAGTCTCATAGTTAAAATATCAGATTTTGTTTTAATTGTTTTAAATGGTAAAAAATTAATAAATTCTTTATTTTAGATAAGGGTTGTAATTATTGTGATTATACTAATGATATTAGCAGGTTTTTATATCTAAAATACTCTTAAAACTCCCTTTATCCTAAATAAAAAGTTAATTCTCTATTTGATTAATTATTAATTACACAGAAAGCATGCATTAAACATAAAATCCTAATAAATAATATTTGTCTAGCCTTAAATGCTGATTTTCAAATTAAATTCCTGCAGAAATTTAAAGGATAACGCCATTTCTACTATTTAAGCTTCAGATTCTTCTGACTCTTCTTCGCTGCCTTCAGACTCTCCTTCTTCTTCACTTCCTGCGCTTTCCTCACTTCCACTTTCTTCTTCTCCACTTTCAGAGCTTTCTGCATTCTGTCCATTATCCTGCTCTCTGAATTTCCTATATCCTTCAAAATCAAAATCCTCATCCTCCCCATGCTCTTCTTCATCAGATAGCAATGACGGCACCTCTTCGGAGGTGTCAGAATGATCAGGCACAAATTCTTCATCAGAGACTTCAATGTCTTCATCAATAATTTTCGCTTTTTTTGCAGGCTGTGGTCCTCTTCTCTCACTTCCTTGGCTATCTCTTTTTGATGGTATTGATTCTCTGTGATCTCCTGACATTAATATGTTAAATATAAGTGTGGAGCATAGCTGGCGCTAATAAATTATTTATAAATAATTTTGAATCGGCAAAAACTCAGCTTTGGTTTTAATAAAAGATATAAAAAGGGCTGAAATCATGGTAAAGAAAATAGCTTATGAAGAAGTTTATACCATTTTTTTATATGAATTATTTGCTCTAAATTATATAAAAAATCGTATATATATGAATATTTTATACTTATTTAGCTATTTCTGCTGTAAGAGCGTTCTTGGCTCCTTCCTCTTCTGGCTTTGCCTGAGTTGAGATCTCTGGGGCGTCCTTATAAAGCTCCATAAGTTTAGCTACATCGATCTTTGGCCTCTTGATCACCTTGACTTTTCTGACGTAAACGTTCTGTAGTGGGAAAATAGTTGAGCATTCCTTGACGATTCTCTTGTTAATATCAGTTCCAATCAAAACCTTGACTAAGCCTTTCAAATCGTTTGACTGAGCCTCGTTAGCTAAGATGTTCATCATGGTTTTCCTGATTTGTTTAATTTGTGAAGTTTTGGCGTAGCAGGTCTTTTTGACTTGGTTGGCTCTTTTTGCGGTAAAGCCAATGCAAAACATTCTAACTTTGAAGTTGTCTTTGGTTTCAACGTCAATGTGAGCTTCAATAAGCGTCTGCCATTTTCTAAGAAGGGAACACAGCATATCTCTGGTGAAATCTAAGCCATAGAAATTTGTAAGACATTGCTTTCCTTGGACTTCGTCAACAATAAGCTTGACTTTTCTGTAGGCAAGTTCGTCTGAGTTTTGGAGGTCTGCAAGGTTGGCTTCGAAAACTCTGCCTTTAAGAGCATCACTAGCAATTTTGGTGCCTGATGTTTTGTTTACAAAAGTCTTGCCAACGTTTCTTACTGTGAAGGTTGAAGGAGCTTTAACTTCGAAGACTTCTTTTTTTGAGAAAGGATCTCCGACACGTTTTTTGCCTCCTTTACGAGCACGTGAAGCTTGCTTGTTCTTGCCCTGTGCCATTTAATGTTAACCACAGCCAACATGGAGTCATAGTAATATTTAACCAATTGATATAAAAGTATCTTTGAAATCTAGGTATCGACTTCATTATTATCAATTAGGAATTTTTAGCTACAACCTTTCTTTAAAACATGATTTTATTATTTTTATGCAAGTTCTTCATCCAAAGGTCCTTTATTTGGCCCATTCAGCATATGCGTGAGTATATCTTTTGTATATTTCAACCTCTTCGTCATCTCTTGATTCGTGCTTTCAAGTGCTGTTGCCAGCGCATACGTCGTTCTTTCTCCTTTCTTATTCACATAAGTTACCATTCTTGTCTCGCTTGACAGAATAATTTCTGTGTGATCTTGGAAATTAACCTGCACAATTTTATTATATTTTTTTAAAATAATTCTCATTATTATTTTTTTTAAAAAAATAGAAAAATCTAATAATTCCTGAATTAATTATAATAAATATAGAAAGTCTAAACATAATTGCATGCCGAGTCCGCATCCATTTTTTGATATAAATTGGTGTTGGATTTTCTTTTTCTTCTTCAAGCCCTGTATCTTGTTTGACATCTCCATCTAAATAACTTCTAAAATGCTGGAGTAAGGTGATCTTTTTTTGCAGATCTTTAGGATATTCAGTTAAAGTATGCTGCACAATGATATCTTGCTTATCAGGACCTCTTCTCTCCATATAATTAAATCTATGGCCGTTTGGGTCTAAAATAATTTTGGTGGAGTCGTTAAAAAATACCCCAGTGGCTCCATTTGATAATAAATACCCTAACTCCCCCCCATCCTTGATCGAACGACTCGCCCATCGTTCGATCAAGGATGGGGGTTAAAAAAAATTTTTTTGGGAAAAAAAATTTTATATATAAAATGAAAAAAGATATATATAGATTTTTTTTATTTACTTTAAATAAGAGGTTAAGAGTATTTAATAATTATTATTTTACAGCAAAAAATTGAATTAATTTCATAAAAATACCAATTTTTAATATTTTGATTTATTAGTTACCCTTTTAAACTGTATAAATTTTAATTTAAATTAAATATTGTTTTAAAATTTTAAAGAATCTCTATTTTATTAGATTATTGAGCTTTTAAGCCTATGTTGATGTCTAAATCACTTCGAATGGTTGATTTCGCAGCTTTCTGTCATCTCAAAGCTCTGAAAACAACTTCATTAGGCACATCTTCCAAAGCATTTGATAACTAATATTTTTTATATATATAAAAAATTTGCATGATATGAAAATCGTTCGATCAAGGATGGGGGTTAATTTCCCCAATTTTTAGGAATTTTTACAGTCAATCGTTCGATCAAGGATGGGGGGGGAGTAAGCCGTATTTACTTGAATAATCCACCCATTTTTTCACTCACACTTCTGGCCCGTTTTGGGTCGGAATATATGAAGAACTTGCACTAGTTCTGGCTCCAAGGACTTTCCCAGTCTCTTCTTTTATTTTCGCTGTCCTTTCTGTATTCATTAATTCATTTCTGGGGGTTCTTAGTGAAGCTTTTGGGTTCAAAGCTGAAGGGGTGGTATCTGAAAATCTTTGGGTCGCTGAAGAAGTTTGCTGGGCATTAGGCATAAATTGCCGCAAGTACGAAACTGACGGTGGACAGGCTAAAGTGGACGCTGGGAGCAACTTAGGCACTGTATAACCTTGATGAAAAAATTCATGGGCCACGATTTCATCAAGAGTTGGTCTCTTCGCTGGGTCATTTACCAGAATTCTCGTAATTAAGCTTTTACTTGATTCACTAAGTGGGACATGGTCAGGAAAAGAATAAGCGTTCATTTTGATGCGGCGGTAGGTAGTTTTTACATCAGAAGTCTCAAATGGAGGCTTTCCTACCAGTAGCGTATAGGTAATAACCCCTAAAGACCAAATATCGACTTCATAAGAATGCCCTGTCTTCCCATCCAGTACTTCTGGGGCTATATAGTTAGGAGTCCCACAGATGGTCTTTTTCTTCTCACCGTCATATTCCAGCTTAGCAGCCAGACCAAAGTCACCGATTTTTATTTCCATCTTATCAGATAGAAACAAATTCCCAAGCTTAAGGTCACGATGGATAACTTTGTGGCTCTGCAAATATCTCATTGCAGAAATACACTGCAAGATATAGCATTGGACTTCTAGCTCAGTAAGTCGTTTGCGCCTTCGAAGAAGCTCATTCATAGTTTGATTTGAACATAATTCGAGCAAAATATAAACATTTTCGTTGTCTTCAAAGAAATGCTCAAAACCGACTATATTATATAATTAAATGAATTTTATGGAAAAAAATTAATTTAAAAAATAGGGGGAAGTGAGAGAAGGTTTGGGATATATTAGGATGATGTAATGCCCTATGAATTTTAATTTCTGACATCAGTTTCTGCTTTGCACGACTTTTTTGAAGTGACTCCTTAGGGACTATCTTTGCTGCTGTAACTTTTCGAGTTTCTAAGTTTGAAAACTCGTAAACACGAGCAAAGCCACCTTTGCCTAGGAATCTTCCTTTGGAATATCTACGCATGGCTACTTCTCCGTTAGTCTTAACTATTTTTTCTTCTATAGTGGTTGCTGACTCTCCATCTTCATGGTTTCTGCCTGACTTACTATCCATAAAATATTAATTATGATTAATCTATTTATATTGTATAAAATCCTTTAGAAAATTAATGGTTTTTGGTTTAAATTACAATTGATAAATTTTTAATAATTTTGCAAAAGTGATTTTATTCTGAAAAAATCCTATATATAGATAATTATAATCTGCACCATTTATATATCTGCAATCCAAATGGTTTATAACTGATTATGAGCAAAATAAGCCTTTTTTCTTTTTTTAGATAAGTTCATCTCACCAGTAAAAGTCGTCCTATAGGTTGTGGCAAATTGGCCGTTCCAGTCTGATCCTGGCCGAAAATCTTGACTGACTGCTTTTTCCCGTTTGGGAATATTTCTCTTGTTAAATGGCTTAAAGTCGCGGGCAAAGGTAGATGTTCCTATAAATTCAGACGAAGGCGAAATCACGTTGGAGTTTTTAAGCTGAGTTGGGGATTGAAGTCTTACATTTAAGTCTAAAAGTCCTTCTTGTATTCTATATTATTTCAAAATAAATATCTTATATTTCTAATAATTCGAGAGTAATAATTTTTATAAATAAAAGCTTTGTCTAATTAAAATGCAAATTAAAATCTATCAAAATAAGCTTATAGTCCTTTGCATAACTAGACGCTCCAGAAAACTTGACTTCTCCTCCTCTATACGGCAAATTTATCATATGAACTTGTTCAGCATGATATTCCCCTCAATTCGGATACTCAGACTTATAAAAACTTTTCCCTGTAAATTTCAGCTTCAAATAGTCTAAGTTTTGTTCTCTTTTCTGCCTTGGCTCTATAGGAAAAGGCTTAAAATCATTTTTATTTGTAGTGGTAAGGTCAATAGGAAGAGAATTCCGCATATAAGCTTCTTTTAAGTTTTTCTTTAAATTAGGAAGCTTATGTTTACTCTCCACCTTTAAAGCGAGAAAACATTGGAAAAATCTAAATTTCGTAGGATATTTAATCTAAAATTTTAAAGATAAAGTAGCCATCTTATCAACGGGTGAAAATATCTGCTCTTAAACGATGCAGGGAGCTAGGGAACTTAATTTTGTATATAGTTGAGAACTGTGAAGAAGCACTTTTATACATCCTTCGATAGTCTCCTGGGCATATATGTTTCTTGCAGTTGCATAAATAGCAGAAACACTGGTCAACCATATGCTCCATTTCAGTTACTGGAGGCAATGAGGGATCATTTAATGCACATCAAGGCTCGCCTTCGTCCATTCGAGGAATAGTACTCACAGAACTTTGCAGGCTTCCAGAAGAAGCCACACTTATCCTAGAAAAACGCTTGGAAGTAACAGGACTTTCCATTACACTTTGCTGCTTTTCGTTTGGTGAATTAATTTCAGGGATATTTAAGTTTCCAGTATTAGAAGCTATCCTTCCAGTTACTTCATTAGAAGTTTTATCCATTTATAAATTCTGGCTTAAAAGATTTAATTAGAAATATTATTTAATTACTTCAAAGATATTTAATACGAATTTATTCAGCCATGAAAATCTTTTTTAAGGAGGCCAAGATAAATTATTAAAGAAATGATATCATTTTTGGCTATTTTAATTGAAGTTTTGAGAGATCAATAATTATGTTGTCTCAGTTTTGAGCAAAAAAACATAAAAATTAATTATGTTAAATATTAAAATCTATAAGATGAGTTTAAATTAACAAATAATTAAATTATCAAAAATTAACAAAAATAATGAAAATTAATGAAAAATATTGCAATTTCCTGTGGGTGGCGCTGTTTTGGCCTTGATTTTTCCCAGTGGGAAAATCAAGACCAAAATAGCGCCATCCATGGGAAAATCCCATATTTCTTAAGAGATTAATTTTCATCAGAAAAAATTAAAACATAGAATGCTATAAATTGCTGTTCTATTGACTGAAAAAATTAATTGCTGAAGTTATGAAATAGAATTATTCTAAAAATAAGCATAGTTGATAATTAGTGTTTTTGAATATTAAATAGCATTTAAATGCTAGATAATCCAATTTTGTTTATGAATGGTGGAATCTTATAAAATGGAAAGAGAAGGCGTAAAGACTCCTCCAATATTAGACTGAGTTGTAGTTTCGCTACCATGCTCGCCAAGTGAAGCAGAAGATACATACTTACCATTTGAAACAATATCAGCTGCTGTTTTACAATTAGAAAAACTATACCTTGACGATATCTCGCTTAAAAGGGAAGAGAGCTTCCGTCTTCACAAAAAACATATAGAGCAAGTTCAAATTGATCCAAATCCACCAATTGTAAAAGATGATAGTTTACATGGAATCTGCAATGACGTAATGCGCAGGATGGCTGAAATCCTCAGAGAAATTGATAAAAAAGAGGATTGCTTACTCCCCCCCCCCCCTCCGTGAGCGAACAAAAAAATTTTGTTCGCTCACGGAGGGGGGTTAATTTTTTTTTTAAAAAAAAAATTTATATATAAATTTTATAAAAAATATTTTTTTTCGAAATTTAAAAAATCCTAATTTGCAAAAATTGGGAAGCAAATATTAATTTAATTTGCAAAATTTATGTTTTTAAAACGCAATTTGTTTAAAATTAAACAGAATTAGCTCTAGATTTTTCATTATACTAATTATCACTTATATATCAAAATTTTTTTCCATTAAAATTTTTTCTATTAAAAAAAATTTTTGTTCACTCACGGAGGGTGGTTTTTGGGTCAAAAAATGGCGATTTTTCTAATGTTTTGTTCGCTCACGGGGGGGGGGGGGGGAGTTAGATTTATTTTTCAAATTCCAAGGATTGGATGATATATTAAGGAAAAGAAATGAGTCGTAATTAATTTAGGCTGAAATGAGGATAATTTAAATTAATCATGTGAAATAAGTAATAAATTTAAGAATTATAAAAGATTAGAAGAGATATAGAAAAATAAAAAACGACACCTATGAGATTTGAACTCATGCGGGGAGACCCCATTAGCTTAGCAGGCTAACGCCTTAACCACTCGGCCAAAGTGTCAGTTCAGATTAATTGCGTGCTAAAATTATTTTCTATATTTGAATAAGCCTTTGCTGTGCCAAATTTAATGAAAATATTATATGCTAAATATATAACAATATTTGTTTAATTTTTTATTAATTAACTATTGCTGATTAATTTTTCATTTATTATTTATTTTTTGGCTTCAAATGCGAAGTATCATTTTCCAGCATCATTTTATAAGTTAATTTGTTCCCTTTTCTACTGAATCTAATGATATACAGCGCAGTATTATGACTTTTATTTGCTAAGACTGCTTCTTGCCCTTTGAGCTCTCTAATTGCATTTAAAAATTCCATAATTCAGCCGCCATGACTAATAATTAATATTTTTTGAGGATTTGGGCTATCATTTGTTTCTAAATGATTTCTCAACAAATGATTGAGAAAATCTTTAGCCCTTCGATGGACATCTCTTCAGCATTCTCCACCTGGGGGTTTGAATTCTCTTGGATTAATGCCAAGAGCTCTGGCTGCTCTATCAGTACTTCCAAGGGGCATGCCTTCCATCTCCCCACCACTTTTTTCTCTAATTCTTGGATCCAAAACTGGCTGTATATAATTGTGATATTGAATAATTTGAGAAAGGGTCTGCTGGCACCTATGGAGGTCACTAGAATATATTGCGTCAAATCTATGCTGCTTTACCTTAATTTTTTCCCCCAAAAATATAATATATAGGCATACCCCTAATTAGATTTCTTTATCGACCAAAATGCAATGATTTGCTGAACGACTAAGAAAGAATCTCTCCAAGTGACGAGCTGGATCTTAAAAAGGGGAAAGTTTAAAAACTGGCATGCAAAAAATGGTTAACAAGTAAAAAAGTTGACAAGCAAAAGCGCCAATTTTTCAAATGTAAATTAGTTTTAAATTTAAGATCCCTTTTAGACTGGAGATGATAAATATAAAGCATTATTATGAGTAATTAAGAATTTCATAAAGAATAATCAGCGCTTAACACAAACTTTGGCTTATAGGGCATTTAATCGCAATCAAATTGGCATTGCTTATTTAAAAAATTATCTTTCTGCAAAAAAGCAACTCGATTGATAAGTTTTAATTTTTAAGTCCATTTGAATTTGTAAAAACAATATATTTAAAAATCTACCTAATTACTTTTGAAGTTAAATTCTCCTGAAAATAGAAAAAAAGTAAGTAAAATATTAATCAATCCCGCTCTAAAGGGTTATCTTTAATTTAAAATTAATTTAATAATGAAGCATTTTAAAAATTGGCATGCTTCTTGACAGCTTTTAAACTTGTCAAACATTTTTTGATATTCCACTTTTTCAAACTTCCTGGCATAAAAATTCAGCTCATCTCTTTGAGGGAGTTTGCCTAAAAGTTATATAATTATTAAGCCTTTCTCCTAATAATAATGCTTGCTCAAACCCAAGCTGTGTTAATTCTCCTCCATGCTGTCCTTGTATTATTCTATCAACATTTCCAACAGTTTCTCCATGTCTAGTCAAAAACAGCTCCATTTATTGTAATTTTTTAATTATAAAACAAATTATTATGCTAACTCTTTTCTTGATCTTTCCCAATCTGACAGAAACTGCTTAAATTCGCCAATTGTACACGCATTTTTTATGAATGGGTGCTTTTTTAACTTGCAGGCAGTAGCCCTCTCATAAGGATCTTTTTTAAGGCATTCACTTAAAAAATCAGTAAAAAAATATATTTTTTAATATAAACCAAAAACTTTGGAAAAGAATCCAAAGCCTTATTTTCTATATAAAAAGAGTGCTTTATTTTCAATTTTTAAATAATATTCTTTCTATATAGCATAACTCCATCTATTTTGGCTGCCAAGCTGAGGAGCAGGCATCTGGGTAATATAAGCCATAGCTTTCATTGGAGGTTCATTTATGAATGGAGGGTCTCCTTCTGCAATTTCTATTGCTAAAATTCCTAATGACCATATATCGCATTTTATGCCATAGCACTTGCCTTCAGCTACTTCTGGAGCCATCCAGTAAGGAGTGCCAATTATGGTTTTTCGTGAAGAATTATCACAAGTTAATTGGACGCTGAAGCCAAAATCATTTAACTTGATAGAGCCCTAAATATAATTTACCTCAGTAGACAAGAGGATATTGTCAGATTTTATATCACGATGAATTCGATGCTCTTGATGAAGCCATGATAAACCTTTTAGGATCTCTCCACAGATATATCCGATGATATTTTCAGGGATTCTCCCGTAATTGTCTTTTATTAAAGCAGTTAAGTTGCATTTCATAGCCTCAACAGCTACCCATATTTCACTGGATAGTTAATACCTTTTGTACTCAAATGCCTTGTAGCACTCAATGATATTTTCATGCTTAGAAAGCTGAAGAATGCCGATTTCGTTCAAAATTTGGGTTTTTTGCTCTTTTTCTTGGAATTTGACCCTTTTTAAGGAAAAAAATAAATATGGCGCTTCGGCCTGGGCATTCCTCCCGCAATGCGGAATCGAGCAAACATTTTATTTACGTTTTACTAGCCCTGTAATGGACGCTGGATAAGCAATTCTGGCAATAACCTGAATTTTTCTTTTTTTCGAGAATATACCAAATTCGATTTTTGTTTATTTTGTAGGGACAACCTTCCTTCAACCAAGTAGCAAGCCGCAGGATTCCATAGTATTCAAAGCTAGTCAACTGCTACTAAGTTTAAGACCCTTTTTAAGGCCACTTCTTGGCCCGTTTTCTTATTTGTCGCCCTGAATACAGACCCTCCATCTCCAATCCTTGATGAAATAGCATACTCTTTTAATGGATCTTTCGAAGAAACCTTTACTTTGTTCTTCATTAGCTGCTTATATTGTTTTGAAGAAATAAGATTGGTAAGATTTTCTTCATCTAAATCATCTGAGCAATGGGAATAATTATTCCTTATCAAGCAATTTTATAAAAAAAAATAATAGTTTATATATAAAATAGCCTTGGCTTTATTAATAAATTTGGTATATTAATTTGAAATAAAGGACTTTCTGGCTCTCCATTATATTCAGGCGTATACCTACGCTCAAATATTATGCAGCTTTGTTGCTGTTTACTTTGGTAGCATGATAAACAATAATGGCAAGACTTTAGTGGCCAAAGCAAGTAATGCTTTTTGCTGATACTGCATCTTTTACAAAAAATATTTTCTAATTATAAGCTACTGCAGATTTTGCATTTTCTTTTCTTACTGAAAAATTTAAATACATAGTGGCAGTTTGTACACTCAGAACTTCGCCTGGAATTTGTTGTTATTGTGTCCATTTTAATATATTAGATAATGAATTCTTTAGTGGCTCGTATGATACTTTTCTGTGAAATGCAGAACGAGAATAAAAAAAATGATAAATCGTAGTATCAGCTTTATAAAAATATAATGGATTAATAAATTGGTAGATTAAATAATATTTATTTAATGTTTTAAAAATTCAAAATAATTCATTTTTATAAACAGTTTTAATTTAAAAAATAATTATTTTGAATTATTGTCAGTTTAAATAAAATTTACTTTAACTTTAATTAGGATATTTTTAGGGTTCTGTTATTTGAAATTTATTTTTTTTATTTTTATATCTCCTTAGACAAATAAAGAGTATTATTATAATTCTGCTTTAAATAAAGATAAAATAACAGTCTATAATCTCAGTAAACTTCTGGCGAATTTCTTATGATTAAAATAAGAAAAATTCTAATTTAACACGTTTACAAAAGCACCATTATAAATAATGGATCCAGACACCCAAGTTGATAAAGCCTATAGAGATTCAGTTTTCAGCAAGCTTCGCCCACTTCCAGGAAACCAAACCTGCTTTGATTGTACGGCAAAAAACCCAATCTGGTGTTCAGTCAACTTGGGGATTTTTATTTGCTACGGATGCACTTCAACACATAGATCTCTTGGAATATTTTTCTCTGTTTTCTTTATTAAAAATATTTTTGAAAATATCTGCTTACAATATCTTTCCCAAGAAAAATGCCAAAATAACTACATTAGACTAGATTAGAATTCGCCGTTCGTCTTTCTACAGGATCGGTGGATTTTCATCCAATATGCTCATCATCCAGAAGGAATCCTGCAGATTTTTTCCCGACTCCACAGGAGAGTCTTGCAGAAACAAAGCTCCGATGTCCTTAGGTCTTGATTTCTCTGGGCGCGATTCCAAATATTGTGCTTGTCCCATGACATCTTGCAGGTCTGTGAGGATTATGCACTCGCTAATATGTCCTTTCCAAAATCATCAGAGGTATATGCGATCTTTATACATCAATGATACAGTAATGGCTCCACCTAGGTTTCTCACTCAGGCTTTCCCTGCAAATAATGAGAAAATTGCGCCAAGAGTTGAGCCGCAATATTAATAAATAGAAAAATAACTATATAAAGTGCTTAATTTTTTAATCAATCTCTTGGTACTCATTTAAGCTTCGTCCGGTCTAGTGACTACGACATGTGGACTCTACGTCAGTTAGCCTACCTCGAGCTCGCAGGAAACAAAAAAGCTAAAGATTTCTTCAGATCCCACGGTATTCACGGAGCAGTTGACTATTCTTCTCAAATAGCTGAAAGATGGAGAAACGAGCTCGCTGAAAACGTAGAAGAACTCTACCCACGAGCCATCAAGCGAAAAGAATCCCACACAGAAACCGAAGAAAACGCTATAAAACCTATAATCCACACTCAAATAGTCCATAACGAAGAGAAAAAAGTGGAAGAAGTCAAACAAGAAGTCCCAAAAACAGCAGCCGTTGTAAAGCAGACTGTCCATATATTAAACAAGCCTAAATACACCCCGCCAACAGAAACACAGCATAGGTTTAGAAAAACAAAAGTAGAAGAAACAGCGTCCCCTGCTATGTTTAAGCCAGTCAGCTTTAAGCCACCTGTAGACGAAGAAGAATTTTTTGACCCGCAGCCTCTTAAGCCTCCTGAAAGACAAGTCCCAGTTATCTCATCAGAACCAATTGTCCCGCAGCCTGCACCAGCTGTAATTCAAAAGAAAAATGTAGAGAAAAAAGGCTTTGGGAGTGAAGATTTTGAACAGAAAAGACTGACTGAGAGAGCAAATAAGCAGAGATTAGCAGAACTTTCGTCTGCAAGGGCAATTTCTAGTGACATGTACTTTGGAAGAGAAGAAAATAATGGAACAAGCAATGATAATGCTGAGTATATTAGAGAAGAAGCAAATAGGCTTGCAGAAATTGCAAAGGAAAAAGCTGGAGAGGTAATGAATATTTAGTTGAAAAACAAGGCAGTTAATATATGGAATAATTTGCATGAAAGGTTTGGGTCATAGAAGATATATAGGCTTATACTTTTTTAGCATTTTTTAATATAAAGAGAAAATATTATAAAGTAAGGGAAAAAGGAATATACATTTGATAAGCTAATTTCTTTTATATTAGGTTGTAATTAATAAATAAAATTTTTGAAAAGATATATGATTGGGTTCAGTAGCATCAATAATAATCTAAACAGTTACATATTAGCATTAATTATAATAATATATCATATTGTTACAATTTTAAAATTAAAAATGTCTTGAAACTATGTCACAAAATTCTTTAAGATCGATTTCGCCGTCCCCATTTTGATCCACCTGATATATCAGCTCGTTCCAAATGTCTAAATCTTCGATATTTTCACCTTGTAATGCCCATTTTAACTCATCAGCTGATATCTTTCCGCTTCCATCTTTATCAAAAGCATCAAAAGTATTCTGCAGGTTCGTAGCAGTCGCTAATTTTTTCATATCTGTGGCAGCTTTTAAAAAGTCGGTATACCCAATGCAACCATTCTTGTCTGTGTTTACTTCTTTCATAATTCTATCTAATAGCTCTGGGGTATATCCATTTTATATTTTTTAATATTAAATTAGAAGATTATTATAGCTCAGAAATTTATTCAAAATTTCCCATCGAACGCTCAAGCATTTATTATAAGAAATTATAACATTTTAAATCCTTTTTCTAGCTCCCCTCGGCTTAATTTTCCATCTCCATTTTCGTCTAGTTTTTTGAAGGTTTCTCTTGCTGATTTTATGTCTTGTGAAGAAGCTAGCTGGGTTATTATAAAAGTAATGATAGCTTCTTTGATTTTATTGCCAGTTTTAAATCCTGATAAATTGCCCCAGGATGTTCGCATAATGTCATCAGCTGTAGGAGGCTCACTGAAGTTGTTTTTAATTCAATCGTGCTCTAGTGCGTCTCTTGCATTAATTCTGTCCTTTTCAGGTGTTAATAAGCGGTTAATTAGGTCTTTGGCTTCTTCAGAAAGTTTCTGAAAAGCTTCGGTTGAATTGCTATTGTACTTCATTTGTTTTATGCTATTTCTTATCAAAAAGAATAAATGTATTGACAGTAAAAGGCTCTGCTATTTTTTATAGAAAATATACCCATTTATAATTGATATTATTTCTTTGATTTTAAAATAAAATATATAATTTAGCTAGTCAGTAGTATTGTATATTTATTGCTAATGAGCATAAATGCTATATAATATCAATGAGATATTTATCTTTTCAAGAAGAATTATTTAGGATTTCTTCTTCAGTTGTTCCATCAAAAGGGGGCTTTCCGGTCAACAGTATATACATTATCACGCCTGCGCTCCATAAATCGCATTTTTCTGTATAACCGCCAACTAGCACTTCTGGAGCAATATAATAGGGAGTCCCAAATGAGCCAGTTAGTTCTTGATTCTTGCTAAAATACCCCGCTGCTCCAAAATCAATAAGTTTTATTCCTAACTTTCCCTTTTTAAAAGCATGAGGAAACCTTTTGATATAATTTTTTTATAAATTATTTTAATATATAATTAATAATTTCTTTACCAATTTCTCTTATTTATTCTTATTTAATTTTAAATTAACTTTTTTTCAAATATTTGCAAATTAGAAAAATTATCATCGAATAGTTTCTAATATATGATTCATTTTAAATAAATTACCCCCTGTTTGCTCTTAAGTAAGCCTTCAGACTTTTCGTCAAAAAGGATATTTTCCAGCTTAAGGTCTCTATGAGCGATATTTTTGGAGTGCATATAAGATAGGCATGAAAACAACTGTTTCATTATCATGGCAGCATCAGACTCTTTGAAACGTTTCCACTTGACAAGTGCTTCAAAAAGTTCTCCCCCTCGACAATGCTCCATTACAATGTAAAATTCTTCAGAATCCTCGAAAAATTCGTAGGCCCTTATAATATTTGGGTGATCTAGAAATTTGAGAATTTCGATTTCTCCAAGGAGCCTTTGCATGTATAAAATAATAATAATAAAATTAGTTATTAAGATTTTAGCTTTATTTTTTTATTGGGTAATTTTAAAGGAAACTTATATAATTTTCTTCAAAAAAGTCTGATTTTTTGAAAATTTTTACTGCCCGACGTGCCGAGGTTTTCTTGTGGGTACAAAATCGAACTTCTCCAAACGCACCTTTTCCTAAGGTTCTACCAGATTGGTAGACGTTTGAAAAGGCTTGGTTGTTTATTTTCACAAAAGTACTTGGCAGAATTCTTAGTTCATCAATTCTGCTTAAAACAAAGGTTGACATTGATCTGATTCTTCTCTTCTTACTTGATATACAGCCCATTTTATTATCGTGAAAGTTTTTTTTTGTTTTTTTTTAGAAAATTATTAGAATAACTATTACATGGTTTATCCTAAAAAATAGCCAATTTTATTATTATGACCGTAATTCAAACTTACTTAATGGCTTAAAATTTTTAGCTCATTTATGTTTTGAATGAGATCAAGAAGCGTTGCCTTAATTAACTATTTAATCAGCATCTCACATGAGTTTCTAATTTTTTAATATTTACCATTGTTATCGGTTACCAGAAGAAATTTAAAGGTGTTCTGATCAAGAAAAATTATAGAAAATTTGAATACAAAGCGAAAAAACTGCTTTTAACGTAAAATTTAGGAAAATAGAAGATTCCCCCAAAGCCTGGGAAGAATTTTATCATAGGCAGCTTCAGACTAAAAGTAAAAATTGAAAAAGAAATCCTCAATGAGATCTCATAAAGAACGTAATAAAATAGGTAATTAATTGACAGATTTTAAGGAGAAAGTGATGCTTCAATCCTAATGCTCTTATAAATTCTAAAATCTGCTTTTTTCCTAACTATTATGATAAGAAAATAAATATTTTTTTTTTTTTTAAATATAATATAATCTATAATATCATATTTATAATGATAATATGAAGGAATGAGAAACATCTACTTTTATAAATTGTAGAGAATTTGAATTTTCAATTGCTCCATATTTGATTATCAAGAAGTGAGTTAATTTAATAAATTGTTTTAAGCATAATCTTAATGAAAAAATTAATTTAATTTCAGCAAAAATTCTACTTTATACAGAGCACCTTTTGAGATATTAAATAATTACTTATTCTCTGCTTTTATGTAATCTTCGAAAGCTTTTATTCTAATTGCATAATTTTTGCATTTTAATTTTTAATATTTTATATAAAATTCCATGTTAATTTTACTAAATGATTTTGAATCGTAATGACTGCGAAAATTATGATTATTTTAAATAATTATAAAATAACTATATATTAAAAATAAATATATTTATTTAGAAAGAAAATTGTAGGCTTTGCCATAATCTAAGCAACATGCTCTTTTTCAGCTAAAGAACAATTGTCAATAAATTTAAATTAAAAATAATTTTTACTGCAAAAATATATGTGATTTACTCTAATTAATTTCAGATTCCATTTGCTTTATTTGGTGCTCTGTTTCTTTCAACTTTTTTGAGAGAACTTCTAATATTTGATCTATATTCCTCATTTGCTGCTCAAGCGTAGTCATTGTTTCCGAGCTGTCTTTTTCTACTAGGGTTTCTCCAACTGATTTCCAGCACCTTCTTCCTGGCCCTATCTTTTTCAGTGTCTCCAAAACTATTACATGTTCTTTCCTTTCACTCTCGATTTCTGTAATTTTCCCCACAAGACTTGAATATTCTTGCCTTGCGTTTTGATATAATTTTCTTCTTTCTTCTGCCTCACTCATTATTTTTGATTTTAATATTTATCCAAAATGATAAAATTCCTATCTAAGGGAAAAAAATATTACGCTAAATATTAATCATTACCGCCTAAAATATTTTAATTAACCCTTAAAACTGATTTTAAGCTTCATTATTGTTTTCTTGTGCTCCTTGTCCTTTATTTTCTTTATCTGCTTCTCCGCGTTTTTTTAAGAGTGAAAAACATGTAAGAAGACAAAGAAATCCTACTAACTCCCCCCTTTGAATTGGGATAAAAATACTGTTCCAATTTAATTTTTTTTCAAAAAAAAATTATATTTATTTTTTTCTCTGTAAATTATTTTAAAAAATTATATAATTTTAATTTTAATTAATTTTTATGAAAAAATATTAAAAAATTAATAGATTTAGCTCAAAAACTATTAAATAGATTTGCTTGCATCATTTCCATTAAATTATGCAAAAATAATTTTATAAAAATAGTATTTTCATCATTAATTTTTGTTTTAAAACAATATAAATTGAGCTTTTTATAAAGAATTAATAAAAAAATAGTTGATTCAGTGTTCAAACTGTTTAAATAAAATTCTACTTATATTTTTTTTTATTAAATTAGGTCAAAACTAATTTATCAGAATTAGTATTTTCATCGATAAAATTTTCCTCTTTAATGTAAAACATTGAATTTGTTTTGTTCCATTTTAAAGTGGGGCAGTAAGGCCAAACCAACAAAAACATATTGAACAATTAGGATTGCCAATGTTAAAGCCCAGGCATCATATATAATTTTTAATTAAATAAGAAAAAAATATGATTTTTGAGGAAAAATCTATCCTTTAATAGCAATTTAATTTAAAATATTATAGTAATCGTCATAGCAGTCGTCACTGGTGTATAGCCAAACGCTACCTGTAATCATCCAAGCTACAGTAAACAAGAACGCAATCCCAAAGAACGCAGCAAACGTCCACCTTACCCAAGGCGTTTCCTTTTCAGTTCTATTGCAAGCTGCTTGGAGTGCTAGATTAGCTCCAGCCACCAATCCAGAAAAAATAGCCCAAACAATCAGCCACTCTCTATATAAAAGTTACCTTATAGGGTTGTCACAGTTTTTGTCAACGTCTTCAGCTAAGACCACAATTATTGCAATTATCTAAATATTTTATACAAACGCCAAGACGAAAAGAGTTGATATAAAGGCTGCCACAATATCTTCTATTTGTCTTTTTCTTTCAGTTCGAGTTTCAGTGTCTGACATTTAATTGTAACCATATTTGAAATCCTAACCCTACCTTATCCTTGATCGAACGACGAGCAATAGCTTGAGTAAGAATGGTTTAAACAATATAAATTTAAAATAAAATTTCTATTTATTTTAAATATTAAAAAAATTGTTTGTAAATAGTTCGATTAAGGATGAAAGGAGATTAAGGTAAGAAAATTAAATTGTAAAATATTAAGACGAGTTTATGGTATTATTTTTATTAAATTTTCAAATTTTAGGGTAGGATGAGCTATTAATTTAATGATGGTAGAGATTTGTATGATTTATTAAATAATATGAATCTAAAATGCAAGTGGATTTAATTACTTTAAAATTAAGATTTATCCGTTTTTCTGATGATAATATCCTTGTGTAGAGCTTAACGCTGATATTTCAGGAATTTATTGATTTAGGTCTTGCAAGTCCTCAGTTTATAAGGCCAAAATTAAAATTAAAGCATTTTTCTTAATTTAGTGGCAAAATAATCTCATTATTCTTTTAATCGTTAAATTTCGAAAACAATATCTATATATATTAACTATTTATACTTGAGCTTCTTAATCTTACAGGAAATCCCACAAAATCAGGAGTTATTGAAGGCACAAAATCATAGTCTCCCATTGAGTTACTTTTTGATTGAAAATTAGACGAAGCCATACCAATGCTAGCTACAGTCGAAGCATTCGTTAAAAGTTTCTCTTTTAAAGAGCTACCTCCAAAAGGTAACTTTAAACAAGGAACTCTCGGCTTAGGCGGCTTTAACTGTGATTCATTATTTTTCTTTGTATTTTCTAGATTTTTTAATGCATTATCAGCAACTTTTATAAGCTCTTTAAAATCATGATTTGCAGTTGTCGCGTTAGAGCTTTCAAAAGAGGTGGATGGGCTTGTTTTTATATTAGACGTAGATTTACATCTCATTATTTTTGAAAATTCTCCACAGTATCTTGGCTTTACATGCTTATATTTAGAAGGAGAATTAATAGCTGGCTTGTGATTATACTCATTGTGCTGAATTTTTTTCCTCCCAAGGGATTTTGTACTCATTAATCTTTTTCCTGATTCTGTCGCTTCTTTTAATGTAAACTGTTTTCGTGGAGGAGAAATTTCTTGAAAATTTGAAGAAACAAACTGGCCTGGAAGTCCGTATAGGTCTTCAATGACTTTTTTCTCATTTGTCAATCTTTCTTCAATTTCTGGATTAAGTGGCCGTGATGGGTGTCTAGATTTTACTCATTGAATAATTGATTCTTCTTCACGCATTTCTTTTTCCCTTCTTTTTTCCTCTATTTTTTCTAGTCTTCTTTTAGCGTCAGCTACATAAAAATTACCTGTAAGTCTTTTAACAAGCTCTCTGGCTTGATTTTTGCTGATTTGTTTCTCTTTTGTCCTTTCCACAGACTCTTCTTCTTGCTTTTTAATAATCTCTCGGACTTTTTTTGCAATTTTTCTTTTCTTTGTATCTTCTTCTAGTCTTTGGTAAACTTTATCAGTCATTGCTTTTGGAAGTATTTTAACAGATTGGCTGGTCTGATTCTTTTCTTCAATTTCAGAGTATTCCTTAATATTTGTTTTTATTTTAAATCTTCTATTTACATCTTCTAAAAGCCTTTCAAATACACCTGTCCTCTTTGTACTCGAAGATTTGCTTTGTGTTTCATTATACTGTGACATTGATTTTTGAAGTAAAGTTTTGCGATTTATATCAAATACCATTCGGTCGACAAAATTCATACGACTGGTGTCAATATCTTTAAGCAGCTGAGCTATTAAATCAGGATTGAGCTCAGCTCCTCGTTCTTCAGAGTTTCTTCGGACAGGGGAACAAATAGGAGAGGATTCAATAGAAAATTGATGCTGACTGTTATGAGTTGCAGAAGGTTTTGATAAGGAGTGGCCAGAAGGCTTGCTGAGAAAGGAGGATTTATAGTAGGCTGGGATTGAGTCATCGCTGTTGTTTGTTATAATGGCTTGGTTTTCCATCTTTAAATGCAATGAAAATTAATAAAGAAGCAGAATTGAAAAGCCGCATTTATAAGAAGAGGAAATATTATTTTATTTATAAGGTTAATAAATCGGCTTATTATAAATCTTTAGACTATTATTTATTATATTGAGAGTTTTCATTAAACTAACTTATCTTATATACATAAAATGGCAGAGACGAGGGATCTGCCCCTCAGTGGCAGGCGAGCTTATTTATACTGGGCATATAGTTAGTAGTCCCAAAGTGAGGGACGTTAGACCGGAAGCTGCTGTTTTTGATTTTGATTCCGTAGACAGTTAAATGCAACTTCTTTGGTCAGCAGCGCCCAGCCCAGCGGGTGCCCGATATGAGGCAGGGTGACATATCTACCTAAGTTGTTAATATGGCTTGCTGCGAATGGCAAAAGCTGTTAAATTCTTGGGACGACCGAAAAAAAGAGAGGAGGTAAGCTAGACGAATTAACGGGGTCCGTCAAGTTTGAAAATGGCTGATCAAGCAATAGGAGCAATTTCAGGGTTGGCATAAAATTTGGTGACGTCGAAGGGTCGGAAATGGAAGCGGCCTGCAAAGCCAGTGAATGGCCTAAATCTTTCATTTCTACCGAGAAACGAGGGGTTTCAGCCCAGGCTCAAGACAGCTACACTCTGCCACCCCGCAGGACTTCACTACGGAACGCATGGGCCTACAAAAAGCAGCAGACTTAAAAAATGTTACTAAATCTAATCTAACTTAACTTATTTATTAATTCAGCAACTTATTTTCAAATAAATTTAAACTATTACCTGCTCTATACATTTTCTTTTCCCTTATCGGTGTCCTTATTACAAAGAGCTACCATCAGATTTGTCTGAGAAATCTTCTCAATTATTTCTTTTCTCTCTTTATTTATATACTGTAAACACATCTCAGACACTGGCCCAACCATGTTTTTAGGCACAGACTCTCCTAAAATAAATATTTCAGCCTCTAGCAATGACTGAGACGCGCTCATAGAATTTTTTATATCAAATATTGACCCAATAATCGCAGACTTATACAGCTTCATTCTTTTCTCTATAAATCTTAACTGGGACTCTAAAATATCACAATTCCCTTTAAACTGCCTTGCTATTAAATTTTCAATAGACTCAGTCTGCATCTTTTTATACTCGTTAAACAAATCCAAAATATCAGTAAAAATCCCTGCTTTTTCTATAGGCAAACTTATACAAATCGGGGTATTTAAATTGTGGATTATCGCCTGGGCTTTATTTTCTAATTTTTTTGTAGGAGTAATCGAAGTAATTTCAGAAAATGGCAGCTCTTCTCTTTCTATTTCAAAAGAATCTACAGGTCTGAATATTAATCTGTCTTTTTCTAAAGAAACTGAAACCATTTTTTCTATTTCTTTTCCTTTTTTTGTGACTTGTCCATTTACTCCTTTCATAATTTCTACATACTTTTTAGAATCATCACAAAAGCCTGCTTCTTGTAGCCTTTTTTCCAAAATATTGTTTCTTTCTGACATAAAATCAAGCTCAGTTTTAAAAAGTCTGCAGTCTCTTGATGCTTTGTTTTTTTCTAAATGTAAACGTTCTAAAGTTTCAGCGAAGTCTTCAGTTAATTGCTTTTCATCATGATAAATATTAGTTAAATCTTGAAGGGTGTGCATATGGGTATCGTAATCTTGCTTAATTGTTTCAAGAGAAGTCACCTTTTCTTGAAGGACTGAAACTTGCTGTAATAATGATGTAGTTTCTGCAGATAAGCTTGGATTTTGGTGCTTTGAGTTCATGATATTTGCTAATGATAAATTATTTTGGCTTAAAATAATTTTTATGCTCTGAGGAAGCTCTTCTAATGATGATTGCGATGTATCGTGTATGGCAGGATCAATGATAGCTGCTAATTTGTTAAGAATATATTTATAGTCTTGTTCTGATGTAGGAGAAGGTGTAGAACCTTCTGTTATTTTATTTGCAAAATACGATAAGTTGTGAATCGAACTCGCTGGGGTGTGTTTACTCGGATTTTTTTGATTTTCGTCTAAATTTAGCGAACTAAAAGAAGAGAGACTTTTATTTGGCTTATTTTCCTTTTTGTCTAATGCCAAATTTAACGCTATAAACCAATAGTCCCTTTCTTCTTGGCTGTTAGCCCAGAATTTTATGGTATGGTGATGTGTTTCTAGCTGGAAACCATAAGAGCTAGCGTGCTGAATTTTTGTTAATTTGTTAATGTGAGTTAAGGCAATTCGTTTGAATTGAGATTGGGTAATTGAATGATTACTCCATCTAAGCTCTCCTGAAGAATATTCAAGCCACATATATCTTTGGTTTTGCAGTGATTTAGTGTCTTTATATATTCCAGATCCTGTATAGATTTCACCTTTTTTGGCGTAGTCTTCGTAAAACTCAGATACTCTTTCTGACCTTTTTTCAACTATTTTTGACATTTTATAAACCGTTAAGTACGTTATGAATACATGTTATGTTATCTATGGTTTTTACTATTTTGCAATGGCATAATCTTGTATGATTTCCTTGTGTCAAAAATAATCGACACGGGAAGTCTGGTAGTTTCAGACCTTTCACGAGTCAATTTTCTTTTTGGCACGTGGAATGGTTGGTCAAGCACAGTTAGCACCCTACACCCCCACCCCCCTAAAAGTGGTACCCCCACCCCCCCCACCCCCCCTACAAAAAGGTACCCCCACCCCCCCTGAAAAATGGCACCCCCACCCCCCCTTTCACAAATGGCACCCCCACCCCCCTTAATATAGTATAGATATATCACAAATGCTAATATAGAGCAGGCGTAATAAATAAATTATTATTTTAGATATTAAAAATTACTGATTTATACAATATTCATATAGCGTAGCGCAATCAATTAAGGAGTAGGCGGAATGGGGTGAAAATTTCCTATAAATACTAAGCACCCCACATCTGAAGAAATTTGCTGACAAGCATAATGATCTTCGGTATTAATTAGCAGTATATCCTGTATATATTTATGAACTTTGTGGAACAATAGCTAAAGAGTCCGTTTAGAGATCTAAAAGTAAAACTGACAATAGCAAATACTATTTTTATTAGCACATTGCTTTTCAAATGAAAGAGATGCTCTATATAAGTTAGGCAGAAGATAATAAGATATGGAATGCTATAAATAAGCTATCAGAGTTGATCCAAATTATGCTGATGCATACAATAGCATAGGAGTTATCTTCTATAATGAAAAGAGCTATGAAAAAAAACACTAAAACATTGCAACGATGCAATTAAAAAATCCAAACTGTGGAGATTATTATTATAATAAAGGAAATGTTCTTACTCCCCCCTTCACTTTAAATTGGAACAAAATATAGGTAAAATTTCCACTTTTTTGGTAAATTAAACCCCCTTTAAATTGGAACAAAATTTAATTTTATAATAAAAAATTATATATAATTTTTATGTAAAAATTTGTGATCTAAGTTTAAATGTTTCTTCTTAACTAAAATCAAAAATTTAGTTATATCTTGTTCTTGTTTAAAGAAGAAAGTATAAAGAGCATCTTATTTAAATAATTTTACTATCCTTAATTGCTAAACTTTAAAAAAAAATTAATGTTGTTTTTAAAAATTTTTAAAAAAAATTTTTATTCTGATAAAAATGATATTTTTAATTTAAATAGTTTTGATATAAATTCAATAGGAATTCTTTATAAAATTTTAAAATTTACTAATTTCTTGCTTTATTTCAAAGAATAGAGTATAAATAACACTCTTATTAAACAAAATTAGCACTTTGATCGATAAATTTTCTAAAATTTTTTGTTTTTAATTTTTTGTTTTTATCATAATTTTTTGTGTAAATAATTTTGATACCAATTAATAGTTACGTATTAACTAATAATGAAAATTTAGTTATATCTTGCTTTTTTTTTTCAAAGGATAAAAAGTAAATAGCATTTTATTAAACAAATTTATTAATCTAATTCGATAAGTTTTTGAATTTTATATAAATGTTTTTTATAAAACAAAATAATCCCTTTAAATTGGAACAAAATTTTTAGTTCCAATTTAAAGGGGGGGGAGTTAGAGAGCTAGGAAGAAGATAAGAAGTTTTGGAATGCTATAAAAACAATCAAAAAGAATAATGACAACTCAAGATGATATAGGCATGGTATTTAAGAAAATATGAATATAATTAATACTTGAATTCGTAAAAATTTTATTTTATGAATTGATTACTTTTAAACCTACTATTTAAGCTAATTATCCATCTTCTGCATATCCTGCATTAGCTCATATTACATCCATCTTGAAGTTACCTACACTGTATTCATCTTCGCTGCACTCTGTAGTTATTGTATTGTGCTTGGTTCATTTAATAATTACTGACATTATCAATATCTTTGGCATTATATTTATAAAATAAAAAACAAATTTAATATATTTTCTAATTAATTTTTAATTAATTTGAATTTATTAATTAATCGCAATTATTAAAGCAATTTATAGACTTCATTTATCAATATAGTGCGTTAATCGGATTATATTTAAAATATTCTTTTTGAGGGAGGGGGGTGGGGGTGCCATCTGTGAAGGGGGGTGGGGGTGCCGTTTTGAGGGGGGTGGGGATTCCCTTATTTGGGGGGGGTGGGGGTGTCTGGTTGCGACCTATGCTTGACCAGAATGGTATTAAAAAAATGTTAAATCATTATATTATTTTAGGTTAAGAAAATAATAATTATCAGAAATATTTTAATTTGTTTTTATGTTGCATTAATTTAATTCTTAGTTTAAATTTGTATTTATATGCGTTTTAGACTTTTATATTCAAAATTTTTCTTATAAGAATAAAATAAAGTTGATCTGTTATTGGAGAAAAATTATGAATTTATTTAAAAGAATTCAATTTATATTTTATCCTAATTCCCCCCCCCTCCGTGAGTGAACAAAACCATTAGAAAAATCGCTATTTTTTGTCCAAAAACCCACCCTCTGTGAGTGAACAAAAATTTTTTTAAATAGAAAAATTTTTTATGGAAAAAAATTTTGATATATAAGTGATAATTAGTATAATGAAATCTAGAGCTAATTCTGTTTAATTTTAAACGAATTCTTTTTAAAACATAAATTTTATAAATTAAATTAATATTTGCTTTCCAATTTTTGCAAATTAGGATTTTTTTTAAGTTTCGAAAAAAAAAAAAATTTTCTATAAAATTTATATATAAATTTTTTTAAAAAAAAAAAAATTAACCCCCCTCAGTGAGTGAAACAATTTTTTTGTTCACTCACGGAGGGGGGGGAATAATCATTTTTGGCGTAATTTTTAAAATATTCAGTAATTTAATAATTCCCTTATAAAACCCATATATGTCTCATAAATTTTTTCAAAAAATAATAAAACCTAAGGATTTCCTTAATAAATCATATAGCTAGCTCATAAGGATTTAAAAAAATATACTTCCCTCGCCCTTTAATAATTGATATCTTGTCAATAATATCCCAGATCTTGAAAAATAATTCAACTGAAAATGAAGTCAGGACAACTGTAATATCCATACAGAATCATAATGAAAACAATGACTTGGGGACGAGACTCACATAACTTATTCGACTACGAGTCACGAAATTGCTTCAAAAAGCAACTGCAAACTTCAAGTTCGTGCCAAATCGCCCGTGCGGAAACTGATGTAAATTTACTGTCTCTCCCAGCAGAATCACGAAGACTTGGCCCAAACTCAAATATTCTTGCTACAGTTTCGCAAGAAAACGGCAACTTTTATATATCCTTATTTAATTTTAATAATAAATTTCTAATAAAGCCAAATTTTAAATAAAATTCATCAAAAATATTATAAATTCCGAAGACGAGCCCCTCTGGCAAATTGTGAGATCTTTGAAAACACAAGACGGACCAGGCCATGTCCTAAAAAAAGACGATGTAATTAAATTGGGGAGAGCTTGCTATAAAATCAAAGAACTTAATTTTGGCCAAGACGACTCTTCGAGCGAGCAAACACAAGAAAGCGAAGAAGAATCAATGAATGAAGTCCCAGAAGAGCACGAAAGCGGTGTCTGCAGGATTTGCTTCTGCGAGAGCGAGCCTGAAAATCCTTTGATTGCTCCTTGCAATTGTACAGGGTCAGTAAAGCATATCCATCTTCAGTGCTTACAAAAATGGCTTTCTTATCATATGTCCACTAACTTTTTAATTATTTTTGCATTTTTTAATTAATTTTAAATCAAAAAAAAAATTAGAATTAATTATGAGGGATTAAGCAGAGTGATAATTCTGCTGTTTATCACTGGAAAACTATTGAATGCGAGCTTTGCAAAGGCACTTTTCCATTTAGTTTGGGTATAAAGGGCAAAGACCATAACTTATTCCAAGTCGAAAAATCCGGGATGCCTTATATAGTTCTTGAGGCTTCAGGTCAGGGCAAAGGTAACGCAAAGGGAGCACACGTCATAACTTTTTCCAACAATTCCACAGTAAAATTGGGAAGAGGACATGAAAGTGACGTCAGAATTTCTGATATCTCGGTTTCAAGGTGTCATGCTATTATAAGATTTGAAAATAACCAATTCATCTTATTCTATCCATTCTTGATCGAGCAGCCCGCTGCTGCTTGGTTAAGGTTAAGAATTTTCGTAAAAACGGGCTTGCAAATAATGTTAGCGCCGCTTAATTAATTTTCCTTTTATGCGCTAGCAATAAAAAATAGAGCATGAATATATTAAAAATACGCTAGATCCCATTAGAATTGCTCAAAAGCAATTATACTATAATATCTCTAATATTCGTTATAATAAAATATAGATATTTAGATTTAAAGAAGGAGGGTTTCATACTTGGCCTTATAAAAATTGTTCGGTCAAGGAGGTAGAGGGAGCTAGAAGACAATAATTCCAAATTTGGCACATTATTGCAAGTGGCCAAGCCAATAGGGATGACACTTAATTCAACAATTGCATTGCAATGTGGAAGAACTGTGCTGGCTTTATCTTTAAAGGCTGTGAACTCAAATTTGGGTTCACTAAGTCCTTATGATACATCGATAGATGAAGCTGAAAATTATGTTCCGTACAAAAGAAGTTTATAGTTAGAATTAATTGAATTTTATAGATTTTGTGGCAAAATTGTTAAATTTTCGGTAATTTTCTAAAATAAAATTGAAATTCCATCGAAAATTTATAATAAATGATGGGAGAACCAAGGAAAAATCAACTATCAAAACTAACAAATCAAATATATTTTTCAGGAAAAGATAAAGAAAAAATTCTTACTCCTTCATTATTTCCTAACAATTTTCTCTTGAAAATAATAATTTAATATCGAAAAAAAAATATATTGATTTGAAAGATTTAACGCACAACTATTCAGCTCTCTTCATAATACGCCGAAATCTGAAAGCCCAGAAATGTCTCACAATCTAAAAACTATAAATCTTAATTTTTTCGATACTATGAGGACACCTAACAGAGTTATTAATAAACTAACACATAAAATCTATAACTCCGAGTCAAGACCAGTCCCATTCCCTCTCGAGCTCCCATTCTTAACTGGTGGAAAACACTCTCATACTCACTTGCATAATAGGCTAAAAATAGACGATTTTCGATTCCCTTCTCTTAAAATAAAAAGTCCTGAGGAAACAAGTCATGAAAAATTAAAAAAAAATCGCCGATCTGATTCAGTTGAAAAAGATTTATTATTGTCTGCGACTGTAGATTCCACTTATAAAATTACCGAAAAAAATAAGGAAAAAACCCTTAATCGTATATCGCAATCTTGTGAAAAACTAATATCTAGCAACAAAAAAAGTAAAAAAAGAATGATTAAAAACGTAAAATCATTGAGCAAGAAAATGAGAGACTGCAAATGATTCAGCGATTTAATTGAAAAAAGCAATGATAGAGTGGGATATTATGTAGTCGCTAAGGCTATTAGAGAGAGGAGGAATTAATTATAATAGACTTAATATTCAATTTTATAGTACTTGTTGCTTACAAATCCATAAAAATGCCTATTTTGCATTTAAAATATCATATTAGTCTCTATTATTCTATTTAGTTTTTATAAAAGTAAATAATTATACAAATTTTTTAAAATGGAACATGAAAATGTGCGAATTCGGCCTATAACACCTAGAGTTATAGAAACTAGGCAGGATGATTCTCCAGATGACTATGACATACAAAAAATCCTATCAAAACTTACCAATATTTCGACAAATTCATTTAGCTCAATCCAAAGACTTGAACTTTGTATAAACACAGATGAAGTGCCTTTGCATAAAATTAGTGAGGAGTGTCCACAGTTAAAAGAATTAAAATTAAATGGAAGCTGCATAGAGTCGTTAAGGGATCTTGGAACTGGATGAAGCGAGTTAAGAGTTTTATGGGTTGTTAGAACTGGATTAGTGGAGTTTGAAGGGATTTCTGGATTTCCAAAGCTCAGCGAGCTATATGCTGCTTTTAATGCGGTTACTGAGGTTGCATACCATTTGATAGGAATTTTTTAATCCCTGGGAATTTGAGGACCATTTTGATAGCGAGGCATTTGAAAAAGCCTAAATCAACCTAATGGCCAGTAAAAAATATCGACAAATTTTTTTAGAAATTAATTTCTGACAAATATTCCGATTTAAAAGCATGCACAAAAAATAACTGACCATATTTTAATATAAAAATATTATAAAGCGCCTTACTGATTTATCATGCTTGATGTTTAATGATTCTTTACAAGTTCTTGACATTGAAGGAAACCAAATCAGTGAATGAAGCCAAATAGAGCAATTAAACTACTGTGACCAGCTTTATTCACTTAATTTAGAAAGCAATCCTGTCACAAAAGACCCAGAATATCGGTCCAAATGCTTAAAATTGCTTCCACAGCTACAGATTTTAGATGATTCCTCAAGAGAAGCTGAAATTTCTATGCAGTCTCCTACAAGTTTTAATGAAAAAGAACCAGATGAGCTTGAACTAGTCACAAACTCAGTTAGGGAATCAACACCCAAGCGAAAACATGCAGAAATTCGACCAAAAAGCGCAAATCCCATTTTTAAAGATGAAGCTGTAAGCCACCTAACTGAAGAAATTTTTAATGGAAACCCAATAAAAGCTATGAGATACAGACGAACCAGACTCCTTCAAGACCGAGAAAATGTAGACATAATGACACTTATCAAAGAATAAATAAATATGGTGTCTCAGCCAGAATTACCAGGAGATAATGCAGCCTCTAGCACATTTATTTATATCCTGCAAGATTTATCAACAAGAAATGAAGAGCCATTTTTGGGAAGAAATTTTGGTATAGTTCACAAACCTTTGAAAATCGACATCATAAGATATAACCGTCCTAATGGACTCATAAATTTGGGAAGGGAAAGCTCAGCAGCGTCTAGACCATTCAGGTTACTCCCTAGAGTGAAATTAAGAGTTAGGTCTTAGGCCTTGAATTTTTCCTTTGCCGAGGTTGACAAAAAGTCCCTTTTTTTGGGATTTTTGTGTGGATAGCCTTATTAAAACCCACTAAAACACTGAATTCGAGCAAGACAAAGATGAGGTGGAGATATAAAACCCTAATAAGATTTTCCATGGCAGAAACACAAGAAGGGCGGTGGCCGAGTTTTGGCTGCCCGGCGATAATCATCTAATTCGAGCAAGTTCTTCCTGGCGACGTCGCAAAGAGTCTGATCCATTCAGGGATCCTTGGCGGCTGCGCTACCAATAGGCAAGCCAGTCAACCTATAATAATTTTAAGCTTAAACTCTTATTAAAGAATTCAAGGTCGATAGCATAAAAGAGTTCAAGCCTTTTCAAGTTCCTCAGATGGTCAGAAAAACAAGGAAAATCCTGGCAAGAGAAAAATTCACCGCAGACTATGAAAAAAGATCTGAAATCTAACTGTTAACCATAATTTTTGCATTTTTACAAAAATGAATTTAATTATCACTTTTTATTCCTTTATTCATGGACGCCACAAATTCTTCAAAATCAACGTACCCATCTTTATTCACATCAGCTTCTTTCATCATATTTTGCCAATCCTCATTAGACACATTATTTTTATAGTCAAGAGCTTTTTTCAGGTCATTTTCAGAAATTTTTCCTTGGGACTTTTTATCTAATTTTTGGAAAATTTCGAGTAAATTTTCTCTTGAGGTGAATTTAGACTGTTCTAAACATAAATTTAAGAACTCAGAATAAGTGATAGCTTCTCCTAGCTCATTTACTTTGCTTATAAGTCGGTTTACGTCAGTTTGGGCATTTTTTATGCCTTCAGCTCTAGAAAACCCAGCGAGAAGCTCAGCTTTGCTTATGGTTCCGTCACCATTTGTGTCAAAAACTTGGAAAGCTTTGACGATTTCCTTTTCCTCATCTAAAGATAAGGATTGGACTACAAAATTTGAAACAGCTTGGGAAAACCCGCAGTGCTTTTGATATTTTCGAAGCTTAGAAATGATGTCGGTGACCCCAGAAGAAACTTTTGGGGCTGCCTGCATTATCCAAGGATGCGTTAACGCAATGGAGGCAGAAATTCTGGCAAGTGGGTCAACTTCTAAGAGCTGCCGTAGTAGTAAAATCGCTTGAGGGGAGACTCCTTTTAGCGCTTTGGTATTCAACTGAAAAGGCTTGATTTTAATTTCTTCTATAATTTCTGCCTCAGATTTGCCTTCATAAGGAATATTCCCTGTTAGAAGGATATAAAATATCATTCCACAGCTCCATTCATCAACCTTTTCACTATAGTTCCCACGTATCATTTCGGGCGCCATAAAATAAGAATTCCCTTGTTCTCCTTTGAACTTTTGGCCACTATAAAAAGCGGCTTTACCGAAGCCGACTAATTTAATTTGCATTCCACAATCATCCTGTAGTAGTATGTGACTAGGCTCAATATTTCTATGGACTACTCGTTTACTGTGAAGATAAGCCACTGTTGATAGAAGCTGCCGCATAATAATTGAAACTTTTTCTTCAGGGAATTCTTTATACTCCACAATTTTATTAATTATTTCTTTTCCCTCACAGAATTCCATAGCTATATAATATTCATCTGCAGTTTCATAAAGTCCATAGCATCTTGGCAGATTCGGGTGATCAAGCAGCCTTCAGACTTTAATTTCTTTGGATTCTTCTGGAATTATAGTCAACTGAGTAGGAGGCCTTTTCTTTGAAATCCTCTTTAGCACTCTGAGCATAGATGTTAATTTCTCTGTACACCGAAATATTTCAGAATCATTTCGACTTGAAATAGAATATAAATTTTCATAGTTTTCTAAGGGATTTGTTGAATGAACATTTAATAGGGCTCGAGGACTTCCAGCTTTTAATGAAGATAAGTTGCTTTCTTCGAGTTTTATAGGTGTTATTGTTTTGTTATCCTTGCTGTTAGCGCAACCCATGATTTATATTTTATTACTTGAAATATGAGTTTTTTTCTAATTATTATTTATTGAAGAAAGATTCGAAAAGAAATGAGTATTCTGTGTTCTGGAATGTTTGTGTAAAAAATATAAAATTGTATTAACTTCAACATGTTTGCATAAATGGCATTATTTTATTCTAAGAATACAGTGAATACGCTATTTATGACATTTTTTAAAGTTTAGTCCAAGGATATATTGGAAAAAAACTAAAAATAGCTTGCAATATTTAATTATAAAATGCTAGATATTGACTGATTTTACTAATTGAATAATATTTATAAGAGGATTTTAATTTGTATAATAATTTATTTTTAACTAGTTTGTATAAATAAAGTAAATATATTATTTAATTAATTATTTTAATAACAGTATTCAAAGGAATTTAATCCTTTTCTTGCATAATCTCTTTTAAATAAGTATTTTTCATTAAATTTAAAAAATTCAGCATTGGTTTAGATCTATTATATAAAATTATGCACAATAATCCAAATAATTAATTAAATTAGATATTCTGCTTTTAATTTTATTTATATAATAAAAATGTAATATATCATTATTTATACATCTGAATAAAGTAATTGGTGCTGAGGAGAACTCTAACTATTAAGACATAGAAATTATTTAGAGAATTATTGTTAACTTTTCTTTTTAAGTATTTGTACTACATCTTCATCGCAAAGAATATGCTTTAACCCTACTCTCTGAGCTAAATGCTTCGTTGATTTTCCCCACACAAAAGCACATCGAAATTCGTCCACTAGATCTTTATGCAGCTGTATACAAGCAGCCTCAATGCTTATTCCATCTCTTCTTTCAGTCAATATAAGCGGGTCACCAAAATCAGGGTGAAATCCAGGCTTTTTGGTATAAACTCTCACAAGACCTAATTTTTGCCAAATTCTTTCGACCAGCCATTCTAAGTTCATCCTTAAATTGCAAGAGATAACGATTGAATCAGGCTCTCTTGCTAAATCATTGACTTCTTCAATTGAGATGTTATCAATTTTGTTATATACATATAAACATGGAATATAGCTTCTGTTTTTCCCTTCAACAATATCAATAAATTCATCAACTGATGCATCTTCTCTAAGCAAAATTTCAGCATGGAATATTTTGTATTCATGGCAGATTTTCCTTGCTATCTCTTGGCTCATATGTGTTAAATGGCAGGTCGCATTAAAAACTATCCCATTAGCCGCTTTTCTTTGAAATGTGATATCAGGTCTTCTCTTATTAAGCCTAATCCCGACACTTTCAAGCTCTGCTGTAATTTTAGCTTTCTGTTCTTTTGCATTCTGAGCATCTAAAACCATCAAAATTAAATCGGCCGATTTCCCAACTGCTATAACTTGTCTTCCTCTTCCTTTTCCCTCACTAGCTCCTTCAATAATACCAGGAAGATCTAGAAGCTGTAGCTTAGCTCCCTTATAAGTAATGATTCCAGGGATACATGTTAAGGTTGTAAATTCATATGCTGCAGATTCAGACTGTGTAGGTGTTAATGAGCTTAACAAGGTAGATTTACCCACACTAGGAAAACCAATCAGGGCAACTCTTGCATCTCCATATTTCCCAACATCAAAGCCTTCAGCTTTCCCACCTCCTCCTTTAGGTGGTTCAAGAAGCTGTGCTTTTAGCTTTGATAAACGAGCTTTTAGCAGTCCAAGATGCCCTTCAGTAGCTTTATTCTTCTGTGTTCTGGCCATCTCGAACTGAATCTCCTTGATTCTTTCTTGAATGCCCATTTAATTATTTACACGATCCATAATTAGCATATAGATTAATACTTATATTTCCATAACTCTAGGGCTTCAGATATGTTAAGACCAGCTGCATCTCTTTTCCATGGAATACAATGCTGCGTAGGCTGCTCTTTCCAGATTGGCAAAACATTGTGTTCAAGATTATTTATGCTGAAATAAACTGAAATGATATAAAAAAAAAATTATTTTTATAAAAAATGCCAAAACATAGAGAATTAAAGCTTAATTTGGTGCAAAATAATTCTTTTTCTTCGTCATGAAGTTTAAGCTCGACTAGCCTAAGCCTTTCTCTCCTGGTTTTGTCCTCATCTTTTATAGCTATAATTTCAGGAACTTCTAATTGAATTTCTGAGGGATGTTTTAAAGCATTTTTGATATTTTCAATTAAATTTTTTTCTGATTGGTAAAGTTCTGTGTGGCAAGCTTCGAAAACTCGTTTAAGTTGACGGTTTGTGATTGGAGTCCTTAATTGGCTTGAAATAGTTGCCTCTGGGCCTGAAGTTGAAGGATGATTAGGGATATTTAATGGGCTAGGCTAGGTTATTAAAGTTAGGCGCTAGCGATATTGGTGACGCAGTCACTAAAGACCTCCCGTGTACCCAGAGAGCCTCTCTACCGAAGGTGGATGCCACTTCTGACAGCTTCTGTCTCCTCCTTGCGGCTTCAGTCTTGAGTGGGCAGCCTATGGATTTCTGCGGCCCTGCTACTGGACTGTTGCGCCAAAAGGGCAGGCTGACACATGTCGCCATTTTAATGTATGGATATTTAATGGGACTAAATAATTTTGGATTTTTGCAAACTCAGAGCATTCTCGAGATATGCAAGTAAGTAATGGTTTGAGGAGCTCTGGAATGTCATTTCTTACTCCCTCCAACCTTGGTCGATTAGTACCATTGCAAATTTCCTAAAAATGAAAAACTCATTCTGATTCTTGATTAAATAGTTATCATATAATCAGAGATAAAGCCGGTTCCCCTAACGGGCTAAATTTTATATTAGCAAACATTTTTTTTAAATACTTGATCAAATGTTGGCAATTGGTTTGATCAAAGATGGGGTGAAGTTATGGCGAGAATATGATTTTGCATGAATTCGTCAATTCTCAGCTTATATTTCCCTAGATCTCTTCTCAATGACGAATTTCTTTCAACTATAGCACTTACCTGCAAACTTAATGAAGTTTTTCCTTCTTTTTCTCCTTTTTGTTTTTGTCTTTGCAAAAGAATAATTTTTTGGCTCAAATCTTCTTTTTTTGTATTTTTTTTATAATACATATTCCTATATCCCATAGAATTTATAAATAACCCCATTCTTTCTTATCAAGTGTATCAATTCTCTCATGCTATTTTGTAAAGAATTTACCTGTGCTTTTTTCGACTGTAATTCTATTTCCAATTTATGGAACTCTTTTAGCTTCGCTGACGAATAACTTTCTTTCCTCTCAAACAGAGAAATAAAATTTTTCCTTAAATTTTTGGTATAGTGAAGCATATTTTCGCAGTCATTAAAAGCTTCCCATGTCGATTCTCTTTCTTTTGCTATTTTTGCAGCAAGTTTATCAATTAATAAAGACGTGTCAATATTTTCTACTTGAAAATGGTCACCAATTTTAATTAGTTTTACCCCAATAGTCCTTATTTCATTTTCTGGGTGAAAATTATTGATCATGCTGTAGAGCTCGGTAAATGCAAATTTATTTTCACTGATTAAATGGGAAAAAACCGCAGTGGTCTCAAGGTCAATTCCTAATGAGTCTAAAATTCCTTTAATTGCGTTTACAGGGATATCTAATGGTTTTGCTTTGGTAGTTGATAGATAAAGAAGTCTATCTGCAGCTTGAGATAACAGTTCTTCATTGATTTTTATATTTTCTGGGCTAGATTTTTGGTTATTAAGGGCTTCTAGTATTTCTTTTGATTTTGCAATTTTTTCTCTGAGCCGGTCGTTTTTGTAAACATATGCTTGCAGTATAGATCTTTTGGCTCTTTTCAAATTTATTTCACTTTTCAGCTTATTAATCACTTCTTGGTTTGCAGAAATCTGAGAAAGTATTTTTTGAGAATTTGATGTATCAATTTGCTTTGATGAGCGGATATTATTGACAGAATTGAGCATTGAGTTCGCTCGAATTGTTTTTGCGTCGCTACTTGACTTTGTATGCTTCATTAAAAATTGAAAAATAGGCTTGGCCACACCTTGAAGCACCTGTGAGAGATCTTGGGTACTGATATCTCCTGGGTATAGCAAATTTGTCTTTAGATGGTTGCATAGATCTCCCGCCACATCCATGCTCTGAAATTTATAATAAAATTTATTTAAAAATCTTCTAGATTTTCCCTATACTTATCATCGGCAATTTCTTTTTAACAAAAATATTTGACTATAAAACTCTTCAATCCTCAGCTTATTTTTGCTTAAAGCAAACCATTTTTTAAAAATTTACACGTGTAAATGTTAAAAGGGATATTATTGGTATCTCTTTTGCTTTTTGCAGCAGCTGAAGAAGATTATTACAGATTATTAGGGGTTCCTAGAAATGCTGATGAAAAAACTATTCTTTTTATGAGCAATAAATCTATGATTTCTATATAAACCTTCTATTTTTTGTATAAAAATAATTATCCTTATTTTCATTAATTATCCTATTTATTTTTAAAAAAATATTAAAAAAGCATTTAAAAAGCTTAGTCTAAAATACCATCCTGACAAAAACAAAGAAAACAAAAAAGAAGCCGAACAAATGTTCATGAAAATTGCAAATGCATATGAGGTCCTTACAGACCCAGAAAAGAGGAAAATCTATGATCAGTATGGAGAAGAAGGACTTAAAAACGGAGGTCACCAGCAGCAACATCAAGGAAACTTTGATGACATTTTCAGCCAATTTTTCGGAGGCGGAGGAGGTGGAGGCTTCCAATTCAATTTTGGCCAAGGCGGAGGAAGGCAGCAGCAGCAGCATTTCCACTTCGGAGGACACCAGCAAGCCCATCAAGAGCCTAAAGCAGCCCCATTTTACGAAAACACAGATGTTTACAATCTAGATTTCGGCGGTCTAAAACATCTCTACCGTAGAAACGAAATTTGGATGGTCGAATTTTACTCCCTAAAAAGCAAAGCCTGTGAAGAGCTCAAAGACGAGTGGATCAATATGGCCAACAAGCTATACGGCATCATAAAGGTCGCTGGTGTGAATTGTGACGACGAAGAAGAGCTTTGTGAAGAATACGACGTCAAGCATTACCCTACCATTATTTATTTCCCAGATAATACTGCTTTAAGCTACGAGGTTTATAAAGGACCAAAAACATATCAAGCTATGAGCGATTTTGCAGTCGCAAGAATGCAGAGTTTTGTGAGGATCGTAAATTTGAAAAATATTAATTCCTTTTTTGAAGAAGAGCCTGAGCAAGCGAAAGTTATTCTTTTTACAAATAAAAAATCAACACCACCACTATTAAAAGCGCTGAGTAAAGAATTTAAAGGAAGGGTACTGTTTGGAGAGGTTAGGTCAAGTGAGGCAGAATTGGTGAGTAGGTATAATATAAATCAATTAATCAAAGAGCTTTAAAGCCTTCAAGATTTGGTGCCTTAGCACGCTTTTAACCAAAACTAAATGCTTGCTGAGAGGAAATTTAGCCGCGGTTTTGAGAACTGATCTTCTCTAGGAGTAGACTTGTCTGTGATCCCCATGGGTTAGGAAGATCCCCTGTAAGTGCATCATCAGGTGTTATGGAGTTAAATCTTTAGCCTGATGAGGCCTTCTGTCAGCCACATAGGAGACTTAATAACCAGGATAAAAAGGAATCACACCCTCCGGAGTCGGAAGGGATAAGCAGTGACCTATAAAGCATCTGAATAGTTAATACTTGATAATGAGCCTCCGCAAACTAACTCCGAGACAACCCCACTAGAAAGGTAAGAATTAGAATTAAAGGGCCTAAAACGTGTTTTGCTATAAAGTGACTTTTGCGCCATGATAGCGTATTATTGTGAAGGACATTTATCGCACCACCTTATTATTTATCGTATAATATAAAAGAATTTCCAACAATTATTGGGCTGAGTGAGGAAAATGAAAAGGATAGATATAGCGGCGAATATAAAAGAGATCTTCTGGAAAGATGGATTAGAGGGTTTATGTATAATAATAGAAGCCAAGGCACAAAGGTGAGAGAGTTGACTAGAATTTTAAATATTGGAGGCAAATGCAGCGCTGCAAGTAGCAGTTTTTGCTTTTTGTGGTTTATTCAAAAATCTGATGATAAGCCAAAAGAAATTTTAAAGGCTCTTGCTCAAACTTTTGAGAATGGCTAGAAATCTATTTAAAAATAAAAAAAATCTAGGAGTATTTCCCCATTATTTTGATGAAATTTTATATCAGCATATTTTTATAAAAAATATTAAAATTATTTCTATAAATTAATTTTCCTTAAAAATTAAAAAAGCATTGAAAATGATCCTATTGAATTTTATTGGGTAGATAAATCAAGATATCCCGGTTTTGTTATTGAATTTGAAGGAGATATAGTAGCCTATAAGCCTAAGAGGAAGCGCTATGTGAAAATAGACTGCAACATGAACGTCAAATGCTTTACAGACCAGCTTTCTAATATCTTATCAGGTGGAGGAGATATGAAAAAGCTTGACGTCACACCTGAACTTTTAGAGACAAAGAGAGAACTGTAAAACAGAGCTGGCTACAAATAATTAATTTATTATTAGTGTTATTTAAAAGATAAGGAAAAATAAAATATTTATTTATTTCTTCGACAAACTATAAATATAAAATAAATAAAAAATAATTATCAATATAAATAAGCCAAACTCTATTTTTTTACATAAATAGGTATATAAAATCGCAAATTCTTGCCTAAATTTATTAGAAAATGGCATATGTCAAGTGACGAAGAAGCCACAACAAATGACGGATCGACAGATCTTACAGATCAACTTGCCCTTATGAGCCATGTATTCGATCCAAGCGCTGACCGAAATGCATGAAAGCAAGACAAAGTCTGTTCTGTTTGCTATCAGAGTTTTTCCATGATGGGAAATGGTAAAAAACACTACTGCAAGTTTTGCTTCCGAGGAGTTTGTGGCAACTGCTCAATGCATATTAAATTTTCCCATATGTTTTCCACTATAAATTTCAAGCCATTTTTTCGCCAGTCATCCCTATAAAAACAGTATAAAGGCCTCCAGCCCGAAAGAAACGCAGCACTCAGGATTTGCGACAATTGCTACCACCGTGGCATAGAAGACCAAGTAAAATCCAATTTCGAGCGAGAATTAGAAAGAGAAAAACAAGAAACCTTAGAAGTAGAAGAAAACATAAAACTTGAAAAGAAAAACAACAACAAAGAACTGCTAGAAATCAAACTTTTAAAAGACAAAATCGAAAAATGCAAACAAGAATTAACAAGAAAAGAAACAGAGCTTGCCAATCAAGCAGCCTCTCTAAAAGACGATATGAAAAACATGGAATCTGACAGTGACGCTTTATATGAAAATTTAGAAATAATAAAAAATGAAATAAGAACAAAAGAATCAAAAATCGCTGCTTTAAGAGAAGAATTACAAGGAGTAAAAAAACAATGCGAAGTTGACAGAAAAAGAGTCATGGACTTGAAAAATGCTATAGATGAGCAGGAAAAAGAAAATTTAAAGGTCCAGGAGTCGCTGAACTTGTTAGAAGATAAAGAAAAAAGAGCTGAAGAAAATAATTTAAATGTGATTAAAGCAGAAAAAGACGTGAAATTAAAAATCCAAAAAACAAAAGAACAGCTGGAAGAAGCGAGAAAAGATAACGAAAATTTAAGGAAAAGATTGCTTCCGCTGAGGCAGGAAAGAGATAGAAGGGTAAGTGAGCTGGAAGAGCTGGAAAATAAAGTCCAAGAGACGAGAGAAGAAGAAAAAAGAACCACAGATCAAGTCAAGTATTTGAAAGAAAAATCTGAAGCACAGAAACAAGAAATTATTAGGTTGCAGGCGAAGGTAAATAAAAATAATGAGGCTCAAGAGCTAGTGGATGGGCACAGCTCTGAAACGTCATCAGTTGAGCCTGAAGCAAGGGGGCGTTGCAAATGCATAATCCAATAATGCAATTCTAATTTTAAGTCTATGATGGAATTATTGCCATTTATAATAAATTTTGAATTTTTTAAATAAAAATAAAAAATATTGATAGAATTTAAGAGAAATAAATATTTATAACGAGATTTTTTTCAGTTGGCCTGTTATTAATTTCAGCCAGCCAAACTGCGACAAGTTATTATGGATTGGGGAAAGCAAGTCCCTAAACATCCCCAAATTGGTAGGGCATATATACCCTTATGGTCACACTAATAAATTCTCATTCTCAGAAGCCTCAATCCCATCAGTAAACAGTTTACAGCAGCTTTTTCAGAATTTCTCCACAGAACTACTAACTACCCCCAACTGATCATACATTTAAATTGTCCTCGGTTTTCCCTTCAGAATCCCCTACAAACAATTTATTAGAATTTTAACTACTAGATCAGAACCCCTTTCTTTACCCACCTTACTTCCAATTTCCCTTCTCCCAAGACTCAAGTCAAACTATTATCTACTATTTCTACTCACAATATTTTAAATTATCGGGTTTAAGTCCAGCAAACGAAGTTCCATTCTTTTAAAGAGGGGAACCTGGTTCTGTGCTCTCACTTTCGCTTGGGCAAGAGATATCGTCTATTTTATATTGAATCTGTTCCAAAGTTAGCTCTAGAACCTTCTTATCTAATGAATAGCCTTGATCTATACCAATTTATTGATTTTTGATTTTTTTTAAAAATATATTTTTTTTTAAATAAAATCTCTAATAGGTCATACAACTTTCAGCCACTCAGTTTTGAAGTCTCTTACCTTGAATTTATCAAGTGCGCAACAAATCGATGCGACAGCTAACAGAAAAGGAGGCTGAAAGGACAGAAGGTTATGTAAATAGCAGAGCGCTGCGTATGAGTCTGCACTTTCGGCAATACTTGAATAATCGAAGTCTCCACAGGTGCAGGCCAGCAAGTGCCTTATAATTTCAGATGCAGTGGGGACGTCAAGTTTCCAGCACAAGGCGTTGAGTATAAACAGTTCGGTTTGAATTATGGCTTCGATCGGAAACCTCCCTTTACAGAGCTCATACATTTGTTTGGGACTGAGCTCTTGGATGTGCTCGTATTTTAAGGCAATGTTGAGTGACACTATGCCGACCAATTGTAAGACTTTTACGTGTGAAATTGACTTAAGCGACAGAAATGTGTCGAAGTATCGTATACAGTACTGAATGGAGTTAGAGGAGCCACCCACTAGTTCGTTTACTTGGAAAAGCCAGAGAAGAATTTCTTCTCTGTCCTGAGGCTTAAATCGCCCATTCTGAATTGTTGTCAGGTATGAGCTGATGTCTGGGGTGCATGCTTTTCTTCTTAATTTTTGGTAGAAAGACATTTACTTAGCGATATTTGGGTCGAAAATTTTTAGAAAACGGCATTGAGCCGATATCTAGATATTCCTACGTGGAAGGTTACTTTTGATAGTAGGTAGGAAAGGGTTTCTTTGGAGTATAAACAACTTTGATCTTTATTCATTGAAGCTTACGAATTGCAAAGTGTTATTATAAAATTTAAGATAATACAAAATAAATCTTAATTACCATTGATTTATATTGCTAGAGTAAAGTGCGTCGAGTAATTTTGACTGACGAAATTATGATATTGAAGTAGATATGGTTAGTTAGCGGGTTTTGTAAAAAATTCATAACAGAATTAATTAAAAGCTACGTAAAACTGATATGAGAGGAAACTGTAATAAATTGGGCTGGTTGTCTTTTTAATAATTTTCCTAATAATTTGTAAGAAAATTGAATTTTATAAAAATAGTCAACGAATTATTTAAAAAGAATATTTAAAGAATTTTCATGCAAAATTGTTAATTTAAACTGGCTTTAAAACAATGAATGATACTTTTTTCAACTAATAAGCTTCCTATTTGTAAAATAGCGTTTTCTGTTAAGCTGCTAATTTCTCAAAGTAGTTTTATTGTGTTTTGCTATAAAATTAGGCCTCAGAATGAGTTGTAGAGTAAATACCTCATCAGAAATTGATTTTGGATTTCAGAACTGTATCTTCAGAAGATATTTTTTTAAAATCTTTTTAAGATATATATCAGTCTAAAATAAAATCAGTGCTTTTCTAGATATTTAATAAGTTATTGAATCTTTATTTTATGGGTATATTTAGATTTATAGTTTTCTGATAAAATAATTTTTCCCTGGATGGTTTTTTAGTGATTCTTCATAAGCTTCTTTTTGGTTTAATCTTAAGCTAATTTCTATAGATCAAAACCTCTCATAACTACCAAAATGGTGCTGCAGAAAATAAAAAACCCATAATGTTTTCTTTTTGCATTATAACTATGATGCATCTGTTTAGCTCAAAAGAGTTTGGGTCCTCCAATGGTAAGCAGATTAATTCCTTATAATTTCAAAAAATTCCAAAAATATATATTTTGCTTCTTTTTCAAACCTCTAGGTTGAAAAAATAATATGGCATTTGGGTATTAATCTTTTATAGAAGATAAAAATACTCTTTATCAGGGCCTAGAAAGAAAAAGGCCAAATTATTATATAATAAAATTTTAAAACCAATAAAAGAAGTCTAGGATTATTAATTAAGACTTTTTAATGCTCACATACCCGAAGCTAAGACTCATGTTGGCTCTATTTTCAATTGGCAAAACTCATCTTAACTTATTATAAAGAACTCCCAATATGGCGCCCAATTTTGCACCCTTTTAAGCATTCAGTGCATTTATTACAACAAGTCATATAAGCATCTTTTCCACACCCTCTGCATGAGAAAAAATTAAGCCTCCCTGGATGATAAGCACATGCACCGTTGTGGTTATTCGCCAAGGTAAAATTTTGGTGGCAATTTATACATTTTATTTCCTCTATTGCTCGATGTTCCGACTCAATTATTTTGCTAGACAATATTTCATGCTCTTTTTGTAAGGCAAATTTTTGGATTTCAAGTTCTTTGAAATAGTCAATGAGCTTTATAATTTTTTCTTGATTATTCTGGATTTTAGGAGAATTTGATTGAGGAAAATTTTCTGAGTGTTCTTCTTCATTATTCTGTAGGCTACCAAGCTGATAAACACTCCTTTGTAATCTTAAAAGATAATTTATTTTTTCAGTCAGCTCATTTTCTAAGATCTTTAGACTGTTAGTCTGTTGTTCAATTTGAGATTGCAAATTCTGATTCTGTTTTAATAAGGAATTGTGTTTTTCTTTGAGATGTGCGTTTGCTTTAGAGGAATCTTCGACTTCTTTAGCTTTGTCATTAAGGTAGAGTTTATAGCATTTATTTAAGTCTACTAAGTTGTTGTAAGGAATTGGCTCTGAAATATTTTTTAGTTCTTTAGCCATTTTATTAGAAGAGATAATTTGCTTAATAAAGGGAACAAAAAATAAAATTTTTAATTTATCTATAGAAGTTTCCTATGTTTGGCGCTGTAAGGCCGATAAATTCTGATCGGAATTTATCGGTAGGTTGCACCAAATCAATGCCTTGGTCGGACCAAAAAGCGATTTGGTCCGACGAACTTGGAAAGCTCCTGGGAAAATGTCTGCGCTTTTAGCGCTATATAGAGGAAACCTCTATATTTATTTTTGGGTTTTTAAAGAGGATTGAAGAAATAACTTTTAAGAGAACAATGATAAAACAGCTGTTAGAAGATTATTTATATTATTATAAATATGCACATATAGTTTCAAATGTGCCATAATTGGCGAATGACAGATAGGTAAATCAAGTTTATTACGTAGATTTCTAGAGAAGCAATCTATTTGAGGAGAAAACTCAGCCTAAGGTATAGAATTTGATGCACAAGTCTTTTGAATTGATGACTATAGAATAAAATTGTTTATATGAGACATAGCTAGTGATGCAAGTTTTAGGATTAAAAATAGGTATGCTCATTACTTAAGTTCTTAGATTATTTAGAAGTTAGAGTATTCCGCAGCCTTGCTCAGAGTTTTCATCAATGAAGCTGCATCTCTCAGTGCTCTCCTAAAGTCGATATTTTGATTCAGTTGATCTTATTAAAGTGCAGCGGCTTTCTTTTTATATACGAGGTTGCAATGTCCCTTTAAAAGATTTAAATAATTGAGTAAATGAAGCAATCAAATATGTTCCTGAACAGCTACGTCAATTTGAGTCAGAAATAAATAAAAACCAGTTTATATGAAGAAGGATAAAAATTCGCAAACGATCCTTAAATGATATTTTTGGAAACTTCAATCAAATATATGTGAAGTGTGGATAATGCTTTTAAGTTTATTGCTATTGAAGTATTAACAAATATAAGAAATTTATATACAGATAGATATAGTAAAAAATTTGTTTATCTTAGGCCGATAAGTAGTTATTATTTAAGTATGTCCAGAAATTCGGTTTATTTTATTAATAAACAAATTATTTTCTTATTAAATATAGCATAGCACATAGCGTTAGGATTTTAATAAAATTTTTTTTCGGGATTATTAACAATACCTTTTTAAAATGTGACTAAAATCCCTATTGTATCGGAAAAAAATCGACTATTTATAAGACCATTTTTTATCATAAAGCTAATAAATGATATTTGCAAATGGATTCAAATGTGCCATAATTGGTGAAGGACATGCTGGTAAATCCACTTTACTAGGCAGATTTATGGAGAGCGAGTCTAACAGAGAAAAAAATTCATTTCAATGTCTCGGCTTTGGAGTAAAAGATGTCTGCTTTGGTGGTAATACAATACAATTGTTTATATATGAAACAGTAAGTGATGTAAATTTGAGGCATATTAATAGGCTAGTTTACTCTGATGCAGCAGCTTTAATTTTTATGTACGACATTACAAGGTCATCCTCTCTAAAAGATTTAAGTAATTGGATAATTGAAACAACTATGTATGCTCCTGGTGTTATTGCATCAATTTTAGTTGGAAATAAAGCCGATTTGGAAAGTGAAAGGCAGGTTTTATATGAGGAAGGCCAAAAATTCGCAAATGACCATCAAATGATATTTTTGGAAACATCCGTCTTTAACGAGAAGAGCATGGAGAATATTTTTAAGTTTATTGCGATTGAAATATTAGGAAAAATAAGAAATGGTCAGGAATATCAAGCAAAACTTTTATAGTATTAAGATAATGAGTAATTAATATTTTTAGTTTTGCTCTACCCTCCGTTAGTAAAGAAAGCCATTGGAATATTTTCGGAGATTATACATAAATATTTGCTCTTTAATAAATTACTATTATTAAAATGAAATTTATAGCTATTTCCATTAAGTATATATAGACCTGTTTCATTCTGAAAAATAAATTTAAAATAAAATTTAGATTAAAAAAATTCATATAAAGCACTTAAAATAAATCATTTCTATTACAGTTCTCTGCCAATTAGAAAAGTTAGAAATTATTTTCTGATTTTTATAACGAAAAAATTCCTTAAAATCCCATTTGCATTTAAAATTAAAAAACTAATTCATGATGATTAAGTAGCTTATACTTATTGAGTCGAAATCATAATACATAATGCAGACTTTTCTTTTTTCAATATTATTTTATAAGGTCATTGCATATGATATATTCCAGTTTTCACCTAATTTTATTAATTAAATTTATATAAATTAAAATGGCTTGAAGCAGACCCATTTTTCACTTTAATTCATAAACCCATATATCACCTTCATGAAAATCCAAAATTTTGGCTTATTTTGCATATTTATATCCAAATATTCCAAAATTTTAACTTATGAGCCTTAAAATTTTCCAAGACGCTTATGATTTATCATTGCTTTATAAAAATGGCTAGGTGAATTTTTCCGAATTGTGAAGTAAGATCTTTTAAGGAATACGATACAGAAAACCTTTATAAGAAAGGCAAGAAGGATACTTAGCAAACTATCTGAGCAAATGCTGAAATTTTAATTTTCTGTTTGGCTTAATAGTAAAATTCAACCAAAAAAAGGTACTAAAATAAAAATTATCAAGCTGTATCACTAATATAGATTAGATAAAAAGTCATTTTAAAAGAATTATACCATAGTCCATTGACGAATTATAAGATGGTTGACGTCAAGTAAATTTCAGTAGTGAGATAAGTGAATTTTAATAAAAGGTCAGATAGTTATTTATCCGAATTCCAATTTCGGAAGTTATCCAAAATAAAAGGGTGTATCCTTCAGTAATTTTTTTTTATTTTTTACGTCCAACCTTACCGTTTATTATAAAAAATTTTAAAAATCACGAATATCTTCTAAATATCCTTCCTTACACTCAAATAGTCCATAAATAAATACATTAAAGTTAGAGAAAATAAATAGAATTTTAACACAGATCTAGCTTAACTTAATATACTCTTCACACAATTTGCGATGTTAAAAGTCTGCAAAGTAAATTTACTAAAGAGGCATCTTAAAAGCTGCATCACCTGAGTCTTTTGCGAACTATTAATAAAATATCAGTAAAAAAATTTGACTGAAAAGTTCCTTCAAGAATTTTTTTAATGAAAAATTATTTTGAATCATTATTGAAGATTTACTGTATTTAGAGAGTTTAATTAAGACCAGAATAATTAATATTACGCACATTATTTTGTGCATAAATTTAATCCAATTTTCGCGGCAATAAAATGGTCGACAGACATTGGCTGTATGGAAATTTCCATACAATTACTGCATCAGAATCGAACTCTATTGATTGATGCAGGGAAGTAGGCATTATGAAGGATCCTATATGCGACTTATTCCATAGGCCGACCTATATTTATCAGGGAGGTAATTCACATTTTTTAAGATGCAATTCATGCCAAAAAACACTCTCTTTGCGTCGGCTTTCAATATTTCAATATTCTAGGCTTCCGCTCTCCACTTGCATTAAAATAATCTTTTTCCACATGATAAAGAACACTCAGTGCTTCAGATTGCTCAAGATCTTGGATATACCCATAAAGCAGTAAGAAAATTCATCAAAGCAGTCAGAAGGCACATTTCTAAACAAATTTTTAAGAGCTATTTCGAAGATGATCCTTTAGGATCAGAAAATGAGCCAGGTAGAAATCACCCAACAGTAGAGATGGATGAGACCAAACTCCTGCACTGAAAGAACGAAACCAGATGAGTGTTTGGAATTTATGATAGAGGCACTAAAAAATATCGGCTTTTTTACTGTTCTAACAATAGGTCCTATGAAGAACTTAAAATTATATACTCTTATCAGTTGCTACTGATCCGAATAACCCTACGGAATGTTGGACTGATGGCTGAAGAGCATATAACTCTTAGTAAATGATGGATTTAGGCATAAAGTTGTGTTTCATAACAGGCCTTTCAGAGTCGGACGAGAAACTACGAACCACATTGAGAACTTATGGTCTCGTATGAAAAAGCTAAAAACATTTTCAAACGGATTTGGAGCAAATAATGAGGAGGATCTCGAAGATTACGTAAACTATTTTCAGTTTCTACTTGCAAATAAAGGGTTAGATCGCATTGAAGCATTCATACAAGCATTGAAGGTAGATAATTTCTCATATTCTAACTAATAAATGGATATTCAACTCTCTAAATACAGTAAATCTTCAATAATGATTCAAAATAATTTTTCATTAAAAAAATTCTTGAAGGAACTTTTCAGTCAAATTTTTTTTACTGATATTTTATTAATAGTTCGCAAAAGACTCAGGTGATGCAGCTTTTAAGATGCCTCTTTAGTAAATTTACTTTGCAGACTTTTAACATCGCAAAATTGTGTGAAGAGTATATTAAGTTAAGCTAGATCTGTGTTAAAATTCTATTTATTTTCTCTAACTTTAATGTATTTATTTATGGACTATTTGAGTGTAAGGAAGGATATTTAGAAGATATTCGTGATTTTTAAATTTTTTTTATAATAAACGGTAAGGTTGGACGTAAAAAAAATAAAAAAAATTACTGAAGGATACACCCTTTTATTTTGAATAACTTCCGAAATTGGAATTCGGATAAATAACTATCTGACCTTTTATTAAAATTCACTTATCTCACTACTGAAATTTACTTGACGTCAACCATCTTATAATTCGTCAATGGACTATGGTATAATTCTTTTAAAATGACTTTTTATCTAATCTATATTAGTGATACAGCTTGATAATTTTATTTTAGTACCTTTTTTTTGGTTGAATTTTACTATTAAGCCAAACAGAAAATTAAAATTTCAGCATTTGCTCAGATAGTTTGCTAAGTATCCTTCTTGCCTTTCTTATAAAGGTTTTCTGTATCGTATTCCTTAAAAGATCTTACTTCACAATTCGGAAAAATTCACCTAGCCCTTTATAAAAATCGCACCCAAAATATGGTGAAGAAATTTCTGATTATCGCTGCCTCTTTAATTCAGATTTTTGCACTCTCCTGCTTAGACATCAACGGAAACCCTGTAGCATGGTGAAATTTGGTAAAAATGCCTAAAGCTGTAAAAAATGCGCCTTTTTATGGAAAATCTTACTTATATGTATCTCCTGATAACCCAACCCCGACCCTCAGCACAAATCCTATAAACGTAACAAGCCCAATGACTTATACGCTAAACCAATTAAATACTGATAAAACTGTTTCCTTTTTATTTTACAAGTAAAATTCATATAGTGACGGCTATCCAGGAAGTGAAACAAATTACAGTTCTTATTATGGGCATTCAAAAGGGATTTTAGCTTATACCCAAAACCATATATAAAAATAGCGCGGCGAATCAGTCCACCTTCTTAACACCTATAGCCGAGGTGGCTCGTGAAGTGTTGAAGGAAGGATGAAGCTATTTCTGTCAAGGACTGTAAGCAAGGGCTGAGCGTTATGGGGATGAATATGGCCGACGGGCTTATATCAAGCTAAGCTTACCCCAAACCCAAGCTATTTACATTATCCATTCAGTGCCTCATTTTCCTTATACTGATAATGTTACTAATGCAGTTGTTTTAGACATTGCAGATCCGCAGACTATGTATGGGCAAAATATGATGTGCATACAGTTGGATCCTCAGACTTTATTTAATATTGCAGGAATTATGACAATCAACCACCCTGCAGTTTATTTTTCAAGAATAGTAAATCAAAACGCTAATATTACTTATCTCGTTAAAAATGTTACGGCTGGGTACAAGTTTACTCAATCAATTTACAGTTTTACGTAATTTTTATTTAGTTCAAATGGGAATTTTTATACTTATTTTGCTAAAGATATGGCAGGACAGTGGGATTTATATGAAGATATAATTGCTCCTTACTATAATGATGGCTTTAAAGTAGAAAGCTGGGGTCGTCCGTATGATGCCAGTTTTTGTAAGCCAAAATACAGTTATAACGTTTTAAATGTTTTAGGAGTAAACCTCGGAAGATATGCTTGGTATAACACTGACGACCACTCAAAATGGGGAATTGCTATTAAAAATACCAACATCTATTGCTCTTCAGACATAAACCGCATGAATTCTCAGCGTAAGCGAGGTGGAGGCGCTTTATGTACCAATTCTACACTTCTTTACACCGCTTTTTCCAGCCTAATTACCTTAGAAGAGTCCTGCAACGAGCTTCTTTCTCAAACTCTCTCCTATATTACTTCATAATTTATCTTAAAATCCATTTAATCGTCATAATAATGAATTAGTTATAAAAACTACTCCATCTTGACTGCAGAATTAATAACCCCTACCCCACTAATAATTGTAAAAGTTGCTGCCAGCATGATCACCATAATATTTCCTTTATCTCCCCACCCTTTTTTCGTATTATGGACCTCCAATAGTGCTGGATACACATATGCAAAAATCGTATATGTCGCCCCAAGGAAGGTAAAAATGACTTCGGCAGCTGGAATTGCTATAGAGACTGATAAAGCGCCATATAAAATAAATGCGGTAATGAGAACATGCCTGTATAATGGTTACGTTAGGGTGGAAACTTCTTCTTTTTTATTAAATTTTGAGGACAAGCTGATTATAGCTTGCCGGCAGGTGATGGTGAAGAGCATCACAGTGCACATGATTACAAAGACTATTAGCAATCGTCCAATGCACATATATAAATCTGAGGTATAGTGCTTAGGAGGGTTGCGCTCAGTAATAAACATAGGGGTGTCTTCTAGCAAAGAAAGATACCCAAAAACTGCTATAAAAATGTATGATTTTTAAGATTATCAATAAAAAATAATGAGAAAATAGACTTTTTTATATATTTTTATAATAAAATTACTATTTATTTATTAAGAAATATATTAAAACTTGAATCAAAAAGACTCTCGAATTCGCCTTCTGCATCCTTTTTAGAGAAGGATCTTTCATTTCACTAAAAACAGTCGCCACACTCATATGCCACACAAATGCAAAAACAGCTAAAGAGCACGCTGGGAAAAAGTCATTATCCATGCTAACCCAGCTTACCTCTGATAATTCATTTGTGCTTTGAAAATGAGGAAAATCAATTATCAGCACCACGCATAAATAAAGAATGCTGCCAATGCTAAATAGTGAAAGATGCTTTAGTCCTGTTAATTTCTTCATTAAAGACATAGGAAATAACACGAACGTGGTATATCCTAGCATAATGAAATTTTTATATTCATCAATTTCTATTGAAAAATATTTCAGGAAACTTACGACAGTGATGATGCCTAAGTAAAGGTTACAAATTATTTGGTAGCCAACAATCTCAAAAAAAATATATATAGTTTGCTATAATTTTTTTCAATTTTTATATTGATTAGTAGAAAGTCTTACTTATAGGAAAGTTAAGTTGTAAAACCATAAGCGGATCAATTATTAGACTGACTGGCTATCTGGCGTAGCTCACCTAGCCTAAAGATTAGTTTCATAGATTAGAATCGCCTCTTGCAAATGCCCTGTTAGTCCCGATAGACAAAGCCTAGGAAAATCTTCAGGAGAACAAGCTTCATTCTTCAACAAGGTCCCCACACCTGAAGCCCACTTCAAAAAATGATAGAGGTGCTGTTTTCAGCTTCATCAGTATGGATACAATCTACTCCATAGGGAGTGCGTCTCCTTCTCCCTTCAACATCACCATTTGTTTTTCTTCTTATTTATAGGAATTTTTATATAAAGAATCATCAGGACTTCTAATATTATTGATGCACCCTAATTGAGAGTTACTTTTCCTAGCACATCGTATACTAAGCCAGAGTAGCTATAAATCTGCCTGTGGCTGGCAGCTTTACAAATACAGTTCATGCCAATTAATGACCCAAGCGCAGAGGCTAGAATAAGGCAAAGACCTGGGACCACTCCTACGTAATGAAGGATCAGAGGCAATGAAAGGCAGCTGGTGTCCATTGATGACGCAATCAAAGTGAAAATCGAGCTTCTCATAGAGCCTTCTTCCATTTTCCCGAATGTACGCTGAGCCCATGATCTTGTCCTGATTAAAGGCTTTCTTTGATCGCTGGACATTATAAATTTATGCAACTCTTAAGCCATTAAGCAAAAATCAATCATGGCTGAGAATAATAAGTTAAATCACAATATATAAAGATTAGGTGTAGTATAGCAAAAATTTTAGCTTTGCGCCGTTTGTAGGGGAAAGTTTGGAATGGTTTTTCTAATGCAAATAAATGATGGAAATGGAGAATATAGACTAGGGATTTTTTTAAAGTTTATATTAAAATAACTTGGAACACTTAGCTATGATTTTTCTGAGTAAGAAAAGTTAGTTATAGGAAAATATGAAATTAATAGATAGGGTGCTATAAATAGAATTTTGATTTATGGGTAGTGTAAAATAACTGACAGTTTTTATCAAAAGGTAAGTCAAAAGCGCTTCACTTTTATAAAAATGGTTCTACTGAGAATTGAACTCAGATCTCAGGATTCAAAGTCCTACGTGCTACCACTACACCATAGAACCTAAGTTATTAAATTCATTTTAGATATTTACTTATACGAGCAATTTAAAGCGGCGAAACCTGGCATGGGATTGTTTTCATCCATAGGCTTAGTGAAGCGAGATCTATGATCCTCTGAGGACTTGGGTCAATAGAGACACTATCTAGGGCACGGGGTAGTGGGAAAAGAGAGTTCGTTGGAGCTGGAGGCAAGGAAGCTCTAACAGTAATGCATCTGCCGACTCATTGCTCAGAGCGGAGGTCTTTTTTATCAATAGCTTCCAGGGAAAGAAGATATTTCATTTTTAAGTAATCTTATCAATCAAGCAATCACTTATACGAAATACTGCGTTAAAAATTAATCAAATTTAATAATAGCAATTAAAAACTAATTTTTATAAAAATACATCAACATTTATATTTAATAAGGCACAGAAAGGGTGCAAGAATGAATTTATCTATTTCTCTTACTTTCCTTCTAGATGGAGCAAAAATATTAATTTATAAGAACCTTTCTGAGTATTTAATATCAATAATAATATTTTAGCATATATTTAATAATTTTTTATAAAATTAACTTAAATTAATTAATTAATTAATAATTTATTGTATAATATTTGATTTAAAAGCATAGAAAATTATATTTGAGCAGGAAGCTAAAAATATCAATTATTTCATAATAAGACTCAATCTCTTAATAAGTCTGAAACTATCTAATTTTATCCAAATCCTGACACTAAATTTATATTTCCACATATAGACTTTTTCAAATTTATACATCATGGATTTCAGATTTTTGCTACTGATACCATTGTTGATATCAAGCACAGTAGTCTACGTATACTTATTTGCATAATCATCCTATAACTTTACGAACTCAATACAGTTTTCTATAAAATAATTTGACAATCCTTCTCGAAAATATTTAAATTCGTTCTGTTTTAGTATAGTCGAGCTTGCCAGGCATGGGCTGAGAACTCCTACACAATTTATGCCTTGAGACGAAGGCATATGATCAGTAGGACCAGGCCAGCTCACCCCCGAAGGTATGAGGCAGCACTTTTTAATCGGGACTGAATTAAATTTTAAGTTAAAAATAAAAGCTTTATACAGACGGACTATCTTAACTCAAGGAAAGGTGGCAAACGCTGGGTGCATATACATGTGAGTGCAAATGGTATAAGGTTTAACCATAATTCTGCCCTCTTGAATTTCTGGCGAAGCTCACTAGCTTAAGGATCAGCTCCTAGAGCCACGCCCAATAGTCCTGATAGACGAAGACTATGTGAGGAAGGCAAACCCGTCAAGCCCTGGCAGGGAAGAAGCAAAGCTTCCCACTTCAGCAACTCTTCCCAAACATGAATGTCTACTTCAAAAGAAATAGAGGCTCTATTTTCCACTTTATCAGGATGGATACGTCCTGCTCCATAGAAATAGCGCCTCAGAGGTAAATTTCCATCAACTTCACCATTTTATTTCTTTGGACTGAATTAAGGAATCGTTATATTAACAACACCAAACTTCTCAGTTCTTCTTATTACAAGCCAGAAGTAAGCTTCTACTCAACCGACTACGACAGAACTTTAATGAGTGCTATGAGTCAGCTATCTGGCCTTTATCCCCCTGAAACAGGTCCCAGCCTCAAAAATTCTTCTCTGAACCAACTAGCCAAGCCTCCAATTTATATTGAAAATTTTAACGAAACAATTGAGGAGCTGGGAGACGCTGCCCTTCCTAATAATATACAAGTAGTCCCAGTTTTTACAGGCCTAAACCAAGATGACATTATATTGCTACCTAGTTTTAGCTGTCCGAAATACCAATATATTTCGAATTTTAATTCTAATAGCTCAGCAGTGCAGTCACTGATAAAAAAAAATGCCAATCTTTTTGAAACGATTTCTAATGTGATGGATATCAGTATAGAGGAAGCTATAAACATTTCTCCACAATTATTAGACTCATTGATTATATTCACTGTTTTAATGGAATTTACGCTGAAATATTCATTTATTTATAGATTTTTATTAAAAATAGGATAAAATAAATAAAAAAAAATGGGAAAATATTTTTAAAAAATATAAATAATGCATACGGAAATACTAGAAATATCCCTGCACCTTTTAATGAACAATTTTTACAACAAGCTGTAGCTTTGTCAAACCAAATTACCCAAATCATTTATTATACACCTGAAGTTATGTCTCAGCTTTCTGGGAGCCAATTTCTCAGGCAGCTTTCTACACTTTTAAATGAATCTCAGTCAAATCCTAACAGCACTTTAAAATTTAGCTTATTTTTAGCCCACGATTCTAGCTTACTAAATGTACTTTCTGCCCTTAAACTTCCAAACCTAGAAAACCCAACTTTTGCATCAACCATTCTTTTTGAGCTAATTTCTGACGAAAATAAGAATTTTTATGTGCAAGTTTACTATAATGACATTCTCCAAACCATCCCAACATGTGGTAGCACTTTATGTCCTTTTTACAATTTTATGAGATTTATAGAGCTGAGGTCTTTTCCTAATATAACTAATGCGTGCATTTTTAATAGTGCAGAAGAAAACTGGGGGGATTTGGCTGAAGCAGAAAATGAGGAGTTTCCAGTGGCTGGAAAAGGAGATGACTGGAATTTGAGATGGTATGGGTGGCTTGCGATAGCTTTTTGCTCAGCTGTTATTATGGCGCTTGGGATAGCTGTTACTGTTTTAATTAGAGATTTTAAAGCAAAGAGAGGGAAGAAAAAATATGTCGAGATGTGAGAGCGATAAACGTAAAATTATTTAGAAAATGTCTAATTAATAAGCTATAAATAATTGTTTTATATGCTAAAAGGGAAGGAATTTAAATATCACTGCAAAAAAGCCAACTTAAATATTTACTGTGTTAGTAGAAGTATTCAGCGCTAATAAGCCAACTGTATGTGAAAGCAAGAGTGTCATACATTGGCTATTAGCCCAGATAAATAAAGAAATAGTGCTAGACGGCCACAAATAAAATCCCAAGCAAAAAATCCACACCGCAAGAATCGCTTTTAGTGTCAAAATCTTAAAATTTCTCGTAAATTCTTTACTAGACACCATCATAAAGCATCCAGCAATTATATATCATGCTAATTTGTGTATCCCAAAAATAACCCCAGTGAAAATAGGATAAATATCAGGCCCAACTCCTCACGAGTGATTGCCTGCCCTTAGCGAAATATCAAATCCAAACGTCCCTAGTGTGATTAAATATGATGTAATTGCTTGAATTAATATCAAATATATAGAATCCAACTTACTATATATATAAATCTATATAAAAAGTACTATAGGCAAGAAAAACAATGTATAGTGAAGCCGCTGAGATTGGCTTGCAATAAAAAAATACACAATAATGACTGGATAAGTCGCGAATTTTGCTTTAAATTCTCGTGGGGCAAGTATCAAAGAGAATATCACAAAAAATATTAATGATACATAAAAAATCCTGATAGTAGTTATCATTATTTGCAGATTTTTGAACTTTACCACCTAAGTGTGGAATCTTTTCCGTGTGTGAAAAGAGGATTTCATATGTGAAATCAAAAGGGCTTCACATGTGGAAGCCTCTTTTTTCACACACGGAAAAGATTCCACACTTAGGTGGTAAAGTTCAAAAATCTGCAAATAACGATATCATATTCGGCGTTTGGTCAGTCATAGAATAGTCTGTTATTTGTTCATAAATTATCATTAAAGCTATAGAAAACTCCCCAAAAATAAGCAAAATATAGTGCCAAATCCCTTTAATAGACTTGATATCGTATAAGTATAAGAATTGTAGTGCAGAGTAATGGAATCAGTATAAAGTATAGTCTTTTATAACAAAATAATCGTAATGGCTGGATAATAAGAGAAGAATATTTAATAAGCTTGTGATAGGCTTGATGTCATGAATAGTAAAAACTCTTCCTTTTCCGAGGGAATATATGTAGGCTAATATTGATTTATAAGTAGAATATGGCGAAAATGACAATAAATCAGATTTTACTTTGACAAATGATGATATAAAATTCAGTATGTGGAAAAGCACTAAAGGCCAAAAAAGAGTCCGCTCTACCCTACCAGTCAGTCCACCAAAAAACAATATAAAAACATGCTCTATAAATAATAAAATCACATTTATCTGTATTTCAATGCTGATACAATAAATCCAATAAATAATGGCAACGAAACTTAAAATGAGCAAAACGTAAGCTTCTTTGGAGGTTTCTAAGTTTTCTGCTTGCCTTTGTAGGTTTTTTAAATATTCAGGATATTCCTCATTAAGAGAGGCTACAATTTCTTTATCTTTTATAGCGAAATCATATTTTCTGCCCATCATTAGCTTGAGGTTCCGATTGCCACCATCCAAATAATTCAAATAATTAAGCAGCTGGATTTCTTTGGCTCGGAAATTCATAAGCTCGAATTTTTCTATATAAATTTTACCTCCTTCACTGATTTTCTTACTCCCCCTCCGTGAGTGAACAAAACCATTAGAAAAATCCCTATTTTTTGCCCAAAAACCCACCCTCCGTGAGTGAACAAAAATTTTTTTAATAGAAAAATTTTTTTATGGAAAAAATATTTGATATATAAATGATAATTATTATATAATGAAATCTAGAGCTAATTCTGTTTAATTTTAAACGAATTGCTTTTTAAAACATAAATTTTATAAATCAAATTAATATTTGCTTTCCAATTTTTGTGAATTAGGATTTTTTTAAAATTTCGAAAAAAAAAAAATTAACCCCCCTTCGTGAGTGAACAAAATTTTTTTGTTCACTCACGGAGGGGGGGGAGTTAGGAAACCCGCCTGCTCTAGATGGTAGTCCTGCATTATTTATATATTGACTGACAATTGGCCCAATATCTTCATGCTTGATTTCTCCACGAAAATTTCCTATCGACCCTTTGTTATAGATATATAGAAATCCTTCATTGCCTTTATCCATATTGCAGCCATGGTTACAGACTTCGTCTTCTCCGAAATCTCATTGTCCTCCATGATCACTAGACACAAATAAAACGTATTTATCTCCCATTTCAGTTTTTTCTAAAATTTGAATAATTGCTTTAATATCACCTAATAAAGCTGATGCGACAGATAAAGTTTTAATAGAGAAGGCAGCGTAGTTGTGATTATAGCTGTCCATAATGGTAGAATAGTAAACTAAATTTATATCATCATAGGCAAGAAATGACTTTAACAATGATTCAATGCTTTTTATATTGCCATTTTCTAATAGCTCCTCTGAATTTTCTATGACAAATTTATTAGCATTGGAAGTTCCTTTAATTTCTCCATTCTTCGTCAAATCAGGTCTTATAAAAGAGCTTCCAAACATTCCAGAAGCTCTTTCTAACGTTTTAAAAGGATACTGTTCCCTCACATTAAACTGATACACCTTTGCAAACCTTTCTTCTCCTAGTAAATTTATTAAAGGGAAATTGTTCCCTACATAATAGTTTAATTTTCCTTTCATTTGGTCTATTGCAGTTTCTGATAGTAATTTAGCACCTACAAGGTTTCTGGATACTTTTCCTGTGACTTGCTCAGCATGGATTGTGGCGGATTGTGGATATCCACTGAACTTCACATTGTAATAGGCAGAATTATTTACATATGAGGCTAAATCTCCAGACTGAAATGCTGCAAAGGCGTCTAAAAACAGTCAAATATAATGCGGCTTCTTCAACATATTCCTACACACCTCAATATCAAACCCTTCAATTTTTCCTTTGCAGTAAGAATTTTCTAAATCAATTTCAAAGGCCGAGTTTTCTACCAAAACATTGTAAACTTGGCTTTCACCTAAAAATAAATGTGTGCAAAATAAAGTACTGAAAAGAAGAATCAAAGAATATCAGGCAGGCTTCATATAAAATGCTGCAATTAATAATTCTATTATTTTCTATTCAATTTAGCTATTTTCTAATCACTTTTATAGGTTTTCATAATCCTAGTATCAATTATTATACTTGGCAAGGCATGCTGTTTTTTCTGTATTTATTAAGCTTATATTGCCTAATTACTTTGCCTTTTAGCCTTATTGAATATATAATTAATTATAATTTTTTCCTAATGAATAGGAGGTGGCTTATGGGATGCATTTATGACTACCTTCGCAAAGGCTTTGACCCTGACGCAGACGAAATCACAAAATTTATCAAGGCAAACGACCATAAAGCTTCCAGGATAAAATTTGCACCACTGAAAAGAGAAATTGAAAAAATTCTTAATGAAAATCTGCCTAATGAAGAAGAGCCACAACAAATAAAAACTTTGCCTCTGAAAACAGCCCCTTCTCCGCCTGCACAAAAACCTGCTAAAAATGAGCAGGTTTTTACGACAGAATTGAAATTTAAAGATATCGGCGGAATCGACCAAATTATGAAAGATATCCAAGAACTTGTAGTTTACCCTATGGTCCATCCTGAGGTATATAGAGAGCTACATATAGAACCTGCAACTGGGGTTTTATTGTGTGGGCCTCCAGGGACTGGAAAAACTTATCTTGCCCATGCAATTTGTGGAGAATTAGGTGTACCTTTTTATATACTGTCTTTTAAAAGAATGATAAAAAATCCTGGATTTAAAAATAGCACCCTAAATTTTGAGAAAATCAATAAAATTGAGCATAAGCTCGCAGCCCCAGAAATTGTCTCCGGCATGTCTGGCGAATCTGAACAAAAACTCCGCGAGCTATTTAAAAAAGCTTCAGAATCCGCCCCGAGCATCATTTTTATAGATGAAATCGACGCAATTGCTCCAAACCGCAGCAACACCCACCGCGAGATGGAAAAGCGCATTGTCTCGCAGCTCCTCACCTGTATGGACGATTTGCGTGGCTTTTTAAGCCACGGAAAAGTTGTCATAGTCCTTGCTGCTACCAACCGAATCGAATCTATCGACACAGCCCTGCGCCAAGCTGGGCGCTTTGACCGAGAAATTCATTTTGGCATCCCAAGCGAGCCTCAGCGTTTTCAAATCCTAAGCCTTCTTATGAAAGACTTAAAAATTAGAGGCGACATTGACATCCACGCCATTGCCAAGCTGACTCCAGGCTATGTCGGGGCTGATTTGCAGTCTTTGGTAAAAGAAGCTGGGAATAGGGCGATTTCGAGAGTAATGCAAGAAGAAATGCTGGACCTTGAGAACTTGTATATAGAAATGGGAGACTTTTTGCATGCAGTTAGCAAGGTACAGCCCAGTTCGAAAAGAGAAGGATTTTCGACGATTCCTGATACAACTTGGCAGGATATTGGTGGAATGGAAAATTTGAGGACTGAGCTGTATTTTAGCATTGTACATGCGATACAGTGCCCAGAAAAATACCAAGCCGTAGGAATTACAGCGGCTGCTGGAGTTTTACTGTGTGGTCCACCTGGGTGTGGGAAAACACTGCTTGCTAAAGCAGTTGCGAATGAAAGCAAGGCAAATTTTATTGCGGTTAATGGCCCAGAGCTGCTTATACACATTTACAGTGAATAAAATATATAAATAAAACAGATTTTTTTTGCTATAAAAAATGTAAAAAAGATAGTAAATCGCTATTTATTTATAGGAAATATTATAATAAATATGTAGGAGAAAGCGAAAAAGCAGTAAGACAGCTATTCCAAAGAGCAAGGGACTCAGCACCTTGCGTGATATTTTTTGATGAAATTGATTCTCTATGTGCTGCAAGAGGAGGGGATAATCAAGCTACTGAAAGAGTCGTCAACCAGCTGCTTACAGAGCTTAATGGCCTACAAGATAGACGACAAGTATTTGTGATTGCAGCGACGAACAGGCCTGACATTATTGATCCGGCCATGCTAAGACCAGGAAGACTTGACAAAATTCTGTTTGTGCCGCTGCCTGAAGAAGGGGAAAGAAAAAGCATTTTACAAGCTTTAACAAGGAGCTCTCCACTGGATTCTGATATAAATTTAGATTTATTAGCTGAAAAAACAGTCGGGTTTAGTGGAGCTGATTTGTCGTCATTAGTAAGAGAAGCTGCTTGTTTGGCCCTTCGGCAAGAAAATCCTCCATATATTATTACACACAATCATTTTTCAGAAGCTCTTTATAAAGTAAGGCCTTCTGTCACACCTCATCAGAAAGCACATTATGAAAAAATGAGGGAAAATTTAGCTATTAAATCAGGTAATTAATTTTTCTCCAATTTAAAAATTCTGAAAACCCCTGATATATATAAGGTGTTCTTTTTGATAAAACGACTTTAAAATTGGTGAAACAAAAGGAAAATCGGCTTATTAATATAGAGAAAAGAATTATAAATTTCTTCTTAGCTTGATTGCATAATTCTTTTTTAAAGGCATTTTTTAAAAGAGGCCATGCGCTATATAATTTTTTATTAAAATATGTCAACCTCAAGTGGAACCTTGATTATTCGGCTTATTTAATTTTTAATTTTTTAATTTTTTTTTATTATTTTTATTTTTTTTAAAAATTAAAAAATATTTCATTATTCGCCCGATCTGTGCTAAATTGACACATGACACAGAGACCTTTGGGAGGATGGATCCTTATTGTGTAATTACGGTAGGAAGACAAAAACACAGAACTGTTGTCGCAAAAAGTGCAGGGAAATTCCCTAATTGGGAAGATCAGCTGTCTTATATGAAGACCAATGAAGATACAATGAAAATAGAAGTCTGAGACAAAGATACAGCGTCATCTGATGATTTAATAGGAGAAACTACGCTTGCCTTAAATACTGTAATTTCAAAATCGAATTATGAAGAATGGGTACCATTGACGTATAAGGGAAGAAAGGCTGGCGAGATTAGGCTCAATATAGTGTTTAGGCCTTCTGGGCCTCCTCCAAGTGTGCATGGAATACCTGCCAATCTAGTTAATATGGGAGGACGTCAATATGCTCCAATGCCTGCTCCATATCAGTATCCTCCACAAACCTATCCACAAGCTCCTCCTCAGTCTATGTATCCTACACTCAGTCCTATGCAGCCACCTCCAATGCCTTATTATCCTCCACAAGCCCCATATCCCCAAGCGTATCCTCAGAACCCTCCATCATATCTAAATCCCCAACAGAGCCCAAACTACTATTATCAACAACCACCTCCACAAAATGTGCCTAATTTTTATCCATATGCACCCAAGTAACTGCTCATAATATAAATAAATGATTTTTTTAATTAATTCTCAGTCAAAAATCTCTATTAAACCTCTTAAAATTTTAAAAGAATTTTATATTTTTTCACTTTCCCATATTTATTTATTACAGTTCCACTCAAACCATGCAGGAGCCAATGCCTTTGAATTTTTATATGCAGAAAAGCTGATGTGACGCAAAAGATGGTCTAGGAGTTTGAAGGGTAGGGAGGATAAAAAAGCGGCAAAAAAATCTCATAACTATTCATTTTGATGGGTGAAGTGACAAATGGAAACAAGTTTATTGCCTTCATTCAGATTTAATAGCACCGTTCCGCATGCACTCTAAAGGATATACAGGGCAGTCAAAATTAGCTCTTAGGGAATGAGATTACAGTGAAGACAACTTAAAAATTCATGAAGGAAAAATAGACCTGCTTGTCAGAAATGAATTTTCTGTATTCAATGCTAGAGAATTGACAAGCTTTCTTAGAGGCGATTTATTTATACAAGTGGACTGTTTAATGAGCTTTACATATACAAATCCATCAAAAGACATCCCAAGAGTCTGCGTCTACTTCAATTATGTTTTAGATATCATTATAAAATGGCTCCAAATAGCACCTAGTAAATTTGAAGGCTCCAATTTTAAAGATCCAGACGCTTATTTATATGAAAGGCCTACGTCTATATATAAGGCAGGCTACGAAATGCTGGAAACCTTAATCAACATTTTAGGACTTAACCCAAGGACTGCAAAATTCTATGAAAAATACAAAGCACTCACGAACACAAAGCAGCTTATACAGAATTTTATGAATAAACAAGGGATGATTTATATAAAAAATATTATTGAAAGTAAGCTACCTTTGGAAGATTTTTGGAATTTTTTAGTATTTTGTATTAAATTGATTGTGTCTATATATTTTGATATAAATTAATGATTTGTTGTGTTAGGAGTCAATTAAGCAGGGATTAGTTCTTCCTCAATTATTTGCAGCAGGTGGTGCAAGTGCAGCTAACAGATATATCCCGGATTATTTAGAAGCATTAGTAAACAGTCTTGACAGCATCAGTGATGAAGGCATGATGGAAATTTCAAATAATTATCAAAAACTAGAGCAGTTTATAGAAAACTCCAACAATATGATGAAGCTGGTCCTCCCTGACAATCAAAGGGAAGTCTATATTAACCTTTTCCGAAGCAAGTTTAGAATGGATAGACAGTCTTTTATAATGAAGCGGGCAACAGAGTCAGTTTTAGAGTCTTCTAAAGATGCCAGCCCTGAAATCCCCACCCCAATTATCGACTTCCATGAGCCCAAATCATTTCCGACCCCAAAAGAAAGTTCTAAACCTAAACTCCCGATTCCCCCTAAAAGTCCTCAGCGTCCTCCTGTCTACTCTGCCCCATCCATTCCACAGTCTTCTCCTCAGTCTTCTTCTCAAATTTCCACCCCAGCCCTATTAGAAATCCAACTTTCCCTTTCAAACTTAAAATCCTACGTAGAATCCAAACACCAAGAATGCGTCGATCTAATAGAAAAATCATTAAAAACTGGACTTGATAAAAAACAAGAAAATGACTATAAATTAGAAGAAGTTTTTAAGGCGCATAATTCTTGTGATCACCAAGAATTTGCAGTCTTAAGTGCCATGGAATTTTTGCTGACTGAAAACAAGGTCCAGGATGCCTTAAAACTGCTGAGGTGGAGGAAAAAAATATACCAAATTAGCTGATTTTACCATAAAAATGCATTAAAAATACGCAGAAAAAGGTTAATATAGCTGAGAATATTAAAATTAGCTAATATGAATGGATGGGAAATAGCTGAAGATGTAGCCAAAAGGACTCTTCAGAAGCTAGAAGTGACGTCAAACGATGTTATCGACGCAAATCTTAGGTCAGTTTTGTCATCGAGGAACTCCTTAGATTCACAATAATTTATTAAGGGAAAATGGTAATTAAATATGCTTATAACTCATCAGGAATATAAATTTGGTCACGAATTTCAAAGCCTGTAAATGACACATTGGTTCTGCGAGAATTCAATAAAGACGCTGTCACTGGCCTGCTTTTGACTGGAGGAGAGTTGTTGTGGTGCTTTATTCTCAGTTTGGCTGCGAATACTGCGTCTTTTACTTTTTGAGGGGTCTGAGGCCTTTCTGTTGGGTTTTTAGCTGGGAATAAAGATGATACCAAAATGTCGTGCATGTTTTTAGCACTAAGACGGCCGCCGTATTTTATGTTTGGGACATCTCGCTCTTTTCTGTCATTTGTGACTCTGTATTTACGATAGTCATCAGTTATAAGTGATTCGTCAACTTTGCTGACTGAGCATCATCTTTGCTGCCGATGGTGTGCTCTTGAATCATTTGTTGGAGTTTTTGATAATTTTATATTTGATTTTTCCTCACTTTTCTTTATAAATTATATTTAGATTAAGCTTTTCTTTTGGCTCAGTCTATACGGATGTCTCCTGCTGCCGGAAACGGAGTTGACTTTACCAATATTTGTTTGTAAAACCAACTCTCCAGATCAAATCCACTTTATATTGAAGATTTGCCATTTGGGAGTTGGTTTTATCAATAAATGTTGATAAAAGCAATTCATCTTCAAACATCAGGAGTCTTAGGTATAGCACGAGCCAAAAAGAAGCTTAGGCTATATAAAAAATTCAAATTATTTTTTTTTTATATTTTCAATGTTTTTTAAAGTTTTAAAATTCCTTTATATGCTAGGTAGGTTATTAAAATCATGTATTAGTCATATTGATGATGCAATAACCAAAGACTCCCATATGGGAGGTTCAACCGCTTTTCAATTCCAGTCTACAGGATCTTTCGCCCAAAGGTGGATGCCACTTCTGGCAATTTCTGTCTCCTCCTTGTGGCTTCAGTCTTGAGTGTTTATGGATTTCTGCCTGCTACGGGCTATTGGAGCAGTTTGATTCCAAGGATCCTTGGAGTCAGCCGGGTGTTGAAGTGCCTTCCTTCGACAGCTACAGGAGAAAGACTACTGTGGCATGGGCTGAAACCCACAGTTTTTCGGTAGCCCATGGGTCCTCAGATCTAAAAGACATTTATGAGCACCTCCATTTCAAATCACAGGAAAGCAGCCAAAACTTACCCGGATGCACATCCCCAAAGCCTTAACTTGATTCTTTCTCGGAGTCTGTCCCAGTTCGCCGTAGCCACAAGGCCTGGACTGTTGCACCAAGATGGCAGGTTGATACATGTGGCCATTTTTAATTTATATAAATACCTTTAACGTATAGGAGAATTAGCAGATTGAGGACTTAATTCTATACGTGGATTATTAACTTTTGTACTAAAATTTCACCCAGAACTGGTTTTTCCAACGCTCAGATTTCTCTGAGGATGGACTTCAAGCCTTTTGATGCACCCATGCTTTTTCTTAGGATTTAACGAAATTTCTTTTGGTGCTATCAAAGATGACTGAACATCATCAAGGCAATAATAATTAAAATTCTTTTTTTTAGAGTAATATCTTTGTTTCAGTTGAGATAATGAAATAGATCCTTTACAGTAATCCTGAATTAATCCAGGAAATTCACCATTAGTGATCTTATTAGCTTCTTTGTATTTTTGGTCCCATTCTAACGCAGAATAGTCAATTTTTACTTTAGGAGGCTCATAATCATTTAATTTTATTTCAGAAATTGTTTCAGTAGATTCGCTATTTGAAGATTCAGTGTCAGTTTCTGGGGTTTTCCCTAAGTGAGGCCTTTCACTCCTTCTATACTTAGGCTTGTAAATTTGAAGGATAACTTTCAGCAATTTTTCATGATTTCTTGACTCTTGTTGCCTAAATTTTCGATTTCTTGCTTCCATCATTTTGACAAAAATATTTAAAAATCACGCTGCAAATCCTATTACAATTAAAATTTTGTATACAAAAGGCTGGAATTATAAAAAATTCTCTTTAAATAATATTGAAAATTAACGACTTAATAAGAAATGTCAAGCCCACAAATGAACGAATTTTTTGAAAACGATGGCTATTTAACACCTCCAAGAAGAGTTACTGGTAAGAAATTGAGATGGCCAAGCGCTGCTAAATCTTCAAATAAAAAAACTCCTATACAAGTTTTGATACTTAATGACATAGATGAAGATTTCTCAGGATTTTTTAATCGAAAGCCGTTATTTCCTCCTAAAGAGCCTATAGATTTAGTTCCAGACCTCCCAGATCCTGAAGAAAAACCTCAGCTAAACCCTAATTTATTTAGACTTACACCTACAAAAGTTTATTATGAAACCCCAAACCCAGAAGTTTTCCATCATCTTTCTAATAAAATCCAGTCCTCAATATCAGAAGCTTTACAAATATTCTTTATTTAATTAAATGTAATAAATTATATCGTATTTATTTAAAATTCTAATCAATTTACCATATCTTAATTTCAGACTTCAAAAATTCCCCTCGAAAAAAAGATGTAATAGTCCCAAATGACCGAATTGGAGGCTCCATCTATGACACTACAAATAACATGTCTCATGCTGTGCAAAATCTCGGCCAAGTTTCCCACACCCTCAACGTTCTTGCTCACTCTATATCCAAACTATCAAAATCCTACAAAAGAAACCCAAGAATGTCCATCAGCGAGCTGTCTTAATTAAATGCATAATTAATCATGCTTAAAAGAAATAAGTATTAGCTAATATTACTAATAGTATATGCCCTAGAGAGGCCAATCCACATATCGCATACTTTTTGCTCTCTAAAACAGCATCATTTTGTATAGGAATTCACTTATAGAAAAAATAGCTTGCCCATGCACAGCCAAATATCATAGCACACCATCTGACGATATAATGAGAAAAGATGCAAATAATTCCTGCAAATAAGAAAGGGATAAGTGAGTACCCGTATAAAGCTACCAGTTCTATCATACTAACTGAACTCCCTTCGTGACTTGCATAGCAATACCCAATTGATGGGATTAAAAAGGCCACTGAGTACATAAAGGAGGCTATTGATACCAATTTTGCACCTGCAGACTGTGAGACCGCAGTGTCTGAAACTGAATTAGCGCTAATTGCGGCGAATAGGAATATTAAGGTTGTGGCCGTCCAAAAAGGTACGTACATATCTGGCTGCTTATTTTCGAAGAAACTCCCGTCACTTATCATGTTTACTGTGCTTTTCAGCCGAGAAAATACAGTTTGGGTGTCGACGTCGAAATAAGGCTGATAGTAAGCTAATTCTCATATTTTGTGCTTGCTGAGTTCAGATTTTATGGTTAAGGTTTCAAGCTCTGGGATTTTTCTTACTCCCCCCCCCCCCTCCGTGAGCGAACAAAACCATTAGAAAAATCGCCATTTTTTGACCAAAAACCCACCCTCCGTGAGTGAACAAAAATTTTTTTAATAGAAAAAATTTTAATGGAAAAAAATTTTGATATATAAGTGATAATTAGTATAATGAAATCTAGAGCTAATTCTGTTTAATTTTAAACAAATTGCGTTTTAAAACATAAATTTTGCAAATTAAATTAATATTTTTGCTTTCCCAATTTTTGCAAATTAGGATTTTTTTAAATTTCGAAAAAAATATTTTTTATAAAATTTATATATAAATTTTTTTTTAAAAAAAAAAATTAACCCCCCTCCGTGAGCGAACAAAATTTTTTTGTTCGCTCACGGAGGGGGGGGGGGGGGACTTAGGAGATGAAGCTTTTTCTTCAGCATTTTGTGGTGGGAGAGTTCCATAGGATGAAATTCCTTCTTCTTCAAGTCAGTCAGTGTTCATTTATTAAATTATTTTTCTGATATGCATATATCCTGATCAAATAAATACAAAATATTTTAAGTATAAAAATAAAGCTTTAAGAAGAGATTATTTTTATAGTATTTTTATTATATTATCTATAGAAAAGAAATTAAAAGATGTGAAACTTAATTAAATAACTTTAAGTTTTTTTAGTACAAATTAATGCTTTTTCCAATAGTAAAAAATTTTTTTTCCAAAGTTTAAAAAAAATTCTCAAAAATTAGAAAGCAGTTATTGATATAATTTGCAAAATTTATGTTTTAAAATGCAAGCTGTTTAAATAAAAAAAATTAGTAAGAGATTTCATAAGAATAATCACTTATATATCAAAAATTTTTCTATTAAAATTTTTTTGTACATTCACAGAGGTGGTTTTTACTAAAAAATGAGTGAATTTTCCAATGGTTTTGTTCACTCATGGAGGGTGAGAGTTAGAGAGAAGCATATATTAACTGGAATTTTTCTAATTATTATATTTTGTTAAATGTTTTTTATATGAAAAAATTAATTAATTCATTCAATAGAAAATAGATAATAGATTAGATTAGGATTATCAGTGCTAGGATTGTAGACATCGGCAAGTCCAGCTTCTAAAAGCCAATTCAGCTGTCGGTCTTCTTCCACAAGTGTGATTTCGTTTCCGCTCCTTACTCTATTCTTCTTTCCAATCGGGGCAAACTTACCATCCCAAGGAGAGAGGTCTTTCACCTTCCGGGGTAAGACATTAGTCCAGGTTGCCCAACGTGGCAAGGTTCAAGTTCAAACACTCGTGCCCGGACTAAAGTATCTGCCCTTCTAGTGGGTATGGCCGTACTATTCTCCTCTCCTTCTAGCTCAGAAGTCCAGAAGTTGTCCAGAGTCACGCCCGTTGCACTCTAGCAAACTCCCTTGGGATATAGGTCAGCATCTAATAGAGAAAACATGCCGAGTGCCCATCCGCAAGAGCTCTGGATTCGACAATAATGATAAAAAATGTCTCTATAGATAATAAGGAAAATTTAAAATTTTTAATAGCACCGATGAATATCTCAATTCGCATTATCCCTTTTTTTCCAGCTAAAATTAAAAAATTAAAGTAAGAATTCTCATAAGTGGCAACCCACTAGCCATCACCCTCTCGGCTCCAGGACAGCCCTAGAATAAGAATCTGATGAAATCATACTTCTTACCTGATGCCATCTCGAATTTCCCACCTGAACCGCCTATCCAAAGGATCAACTCCCTTGGGCAAAGTCGAGTGTCCCGATGATCCCAATGAGGAAACACCATCTGGTAGGCAAAACCTGTCTAGCCCATCTGGCAGGGACAGGAAAACCTTGGGGGGAGGGAAGCAAAGCTTCCCTTCATCAAGGAATCTCCAAGCCTGAAGGCCCTACTATAAGAGGTAAGAAGCCCTGGCTTTTAGCTTCATTAGAATATCCTACCTGTTCCATAGGGAGTATGCCTGGGAGTCCAATTTTCCATCAACTACCCATTTTATTTCTTTTTCCAGCTAGGAATCTATCTTAATTAGCTCTATAATTTTAACTAGTTTTTCCAATAAATTTTAAATAAAAATCAATAAAAAACTGAAATACGCATATTTCTTGAAGATATTTAAAAAATTTAAAGCAGCAGTTATAGAAATAGTTTTATAAACTCAAAATGAAGCATCGTTATAATAAATATGGGACTAAAGCTTTGCTGTGCAGCATATCCTGAAGATCAAAACAAACAAACCAACCCTAGTATGGAACTTTCTATAAAAGACGAATTTGAAAACCACGAAGAACCCCCAACTGGTGAATCTAAAAAATCTCAATCTCCTTTTGCCATAGTATTTGATGAGCCTCAAACTCCATCTGAGCCAATCCCATTATACAAGAGAAAAAGCTCACTTAAATTTAGTTTGAGAAGATTAATATCAGTCTGACATGAAGCCATAACTGAATCATACGATATTAAAGAAAGACTTGGAAAAGGAGGCTGTGGCGAAGTCTGGAAAGTTCTTCACAAGCCTACTGGGATGGAGCGTGCCATGAAATCAATCACAAAAGACGCTTTTTCTGATAATAATGAGCCTGACATTAATGAAGTCAATGTTCTGAAAGAACTTGATCACCCAAATATCATTAAAATATATGATATCATTGTATCAACTCGAAAATACTTTATTATTATGGAATTAAGTACTGGAGGTGATCTTAATGATTTTATTTTAAAAAATGACCAATTGTCAGAACAAGATATTTCTAGCACTTCGAAATAGAAAAATCATAAAAATCCCAAGAAAAAGTTTTATATATTGGCTGTATAAAGAATTTGCATTTCTTAATTAATTTTTAATAATCATTAGCTAATATTGTTAAATTTAGACAGTATACATTATATAATTTTTGCTTTTATATTTATATTGAAATCCAAGCAATTTTTTAAATAATTTCTATATAGAGCTAAGGACGACCCAAATCAGGCTTTGGGCTATAAAATTTATCACGAGCAAAAAAGTTTGGCACGATAGAAAATGGAGTAAATGAATGTACAATATTTTATCAGGAATTTCTTATTTGCATTCCAAGAATGTAATCCATATGGATATTAAGCCAGATAATATCATGTTTCAAGACGACGCACCTGACTCTCTTCTCAAAATAATAGATTTTGGAATGTCTATAATCAAATCCTCTCCAAATCAACCAAGACTTGGTAATGGAAGTGTAAGCTATAAATAGATTGATTATAAAGCTCCAGAGGTTTTTGATGGGAGTCATTCTGCAAAAGCAGATGTATGAAGTTGCGGAGTCCTTTTATATTGACTACTCAGCAGAGGAAATTTGCCATTTCATGGGAAAAATCATGGAATGACCATAAATATCATAAAAAATGAAGACGTGATTTTTCCATCTGATCAATGAAATTGGGTCACTGATGGAGCTAAAGATTTAATTAGAAAAATGCTCACAAAAGATCCAGATAAGCGTATCTCTGCAAAGGATGCTTTTGATCACAAATGAGTCCAAGGATACTCTAATATCCCTCAGATAGACCCTGCTTTTTTGCATGATGCTTTTGGCCGCTTAGTCAAATTTAAGTCTTATCTTATCATCCGCCATGCTGCACTTGAATATATTTCTTCTCATTTTTCTGTTTCAAAAGATATAAGAAAACTCCAAAAAGCCTTTTTGGCATCAGATAAAAATCGTGATGGGGCTTTAAGCAAAGAAGAATTATCTGATGTCTGCCGACAATTGAAGTTGAGGAAAAAAACTGATATAGAGGAATTAATAGAGAAACTTGATACTGACCAAAATGGACAAATTGATTTTTCAGAATTTATAACTGGAGCTTTGGACTGGGAAAAAAATATGGGTTCATAATTTTGGTCTGTATTTTTTAATAGTCAGAAATTTTCTGCAAGTTGAAAATTTAGCTGGTTTTGCAGAGTAAATAGCTTCTCTCACCCCCCTCTATGAGCGAACAAAAATTGTTTTATATCGAAAAATATTTCGATATATAATTGACGATTATTATAAGTGAAACTATCTGAATCTGTTAATTTTAAGCAGTTTATTTTTTAAAACACAAAATTTTACTGATTAAATTAATTTTTATTCTTCGAAATGGATTTTTTTACAAAAAATTTAATATAAAAGCTAATCTAATTTTTTGTTAAAAAAATTAGCCCTACCATGAACGAGCAAATATTTTGTTCACTGAGGGTGGGAGTCAGTAAATTATAGGTAAAACTGCTAAAACGGAGGATAAATATATATAGCCAAAATATGAGCAAAAAAAAACTTGAAGCTACTTTTAGGACTTTTGATTTAGTGAGATCTATATAGGATAAAAGTGGAGAAATTGATCTCGATGAGCTAAAACAAGTGTTGGGAGATAGCCAAATGGTTGACGAAGAGACATGAAACAAGATTTTGTCAGAAGCCGATTTCAATCAAGATGGAAAAATTCAGTTGGCTGAATTTGAAATGATACTTACAGCCACTTATTTAGATGGGCGAGGAGGAAAAGATATAATAATTCCAGGATTTCAGAAATAATTAATCATTAGTACTGATTTCAGTAATTTGAATGATGGTATGGAATTAGAGGCTAGCAAGGAATGGCAAACTTTAATATTATAATTCGTTGCTAAATTTTAATACTTTTTGCGGAATAAAATAAAAACTATATAGCAAGGGTCCATATTTATTACTCCAAAGGTATTATTCTTACTGTTGCCTTAAATTAAAATGACTTCTCTTAAACGCAAAATAAGTCCATAATAATTTCTCAAGCAGTCTTTAAAGAAATAATAAAAATTTCCTTACCTTTATATCTAATTTTTGCTAATTAAGATTAAGATTACGCTGGGTATTTTAAGTCCCTGCTTCGTCCGAGGAAGCATTTTACGGTTTCCCGTATGGTGGCAGAGCGTTCACCAAGCTCGGGCCGAAACCTCCGGTTTCTCGGTAGAGGTGAAGGTCAAAGGGAGTGTCATACCGTCTTTGCTGACCTCCTCCATTTCCAACTTGGATCGTCGCCTAAGTTTACGCCAACACTGCCGCGTCGTCCGCCAGATCTGCCCATTGAAGGGCACCTTTTAAACTGGAGAGACTCCCGTTTAGATGTCTAACTCTCGCCTTCCCCTCTTTTCCGGTCATCGAGAAAGAACTCAACAGCTTTCGCCATTCGGGGCGAGCCACAAAAGCAGCTTAGGCAAGTAAGTCGCCCTGCCTCATTTCGGGGCACTCACTGGGCTGAGCGCTGCTGGCAAAAAGGAGTCACGAGTAACTGCCCATGGATCTGGTCGCAAAAACAGCGGCTCTCGCGCTTAGGCCTCTCGCTTCGAGGTCCCAGACGTTGTTGGGCTAACTCCTGGCTCCAAAAACCATGCCCGGATATACATGGGTAACCACCACTGAGAGGGTGGGTCGGTCGCCGTCCGCCATTTTATGTATATCTAATTTTTGCTAATTAATGATTATAAATTCTCCCAAGCTCATTTCTTGCAAACCCAGGGTTAGTCTCTCTTATATGAAAATCATTTAACACATAATGGCTTATCCCTGCTTTATGCTTCAGCATCTTTGGCTTCTCCATTGTTCTTAAATTTGCCTCTAGAGCTCTACTAAATAATTCTTTATTTATCTCTTCCCCTCCTCCCACTGAGCTTTTTCTCAATAATGACTTTACATAGCTGACCTTTGGCGACAAACTTCTTCTATAAGGAGCTTGCTGCTTTTCTGGATTAACTTTCATAGGAGTCCCATCTCTTTTAGGGTAGTCTTGGTAAAAAGTCACACGGAAATGTGAGCTGTTAAAGCGAGTTGCATCATCAAGCTTGCTTTTTTCAGGATAATTAGGGGTCCAGAATTTGGAGACTAATTGGGTTTTCCGTGGAATTTTATTTGCAGTGAATTCTTTTAGTTTCTGGATATCTGAGAGAGGTTGTTGGACAGCTGAACTCATATATGTTAGTTACTGATAAAATATAATTTATTTTTATAGAGAAAAAATTTATATATTTTTTTCAAAAATTATATTATATTAAAATTATTAAATTTTTATGCTTACTACACTTTCAGACAAAGTCCTCATATACCTTCTAGGGAAACTTACTTGTTCATCTATATTGTCAGTTTGGTTCCATTCAGGTCCTAGCCTAGGCGGCCTTATTTGTTTTCTTACTAATTGTTTCCAATCAGTCCCTTTAAAAAAGTCATGCTTTTTGATATCTGAAATAGTCGGCCTTTTTGCTGGGTTTCTATTCATGCAGAGTATAATTAAATTCTTTGCTTCTTCGCTTACAAAGGAAGGAAACGTAAGTTTAGCCGTTTTTATATTTTTATATAAAATCTGTGTGTCTTCATTATAATAAGGAGGGATCCCAGTAAGCATTTCATATAGCAGCGACCCTAAACTATATATATCAATAGCTTGATAAATCCCTTGTTTATGCAGTGTTTCTGGCGCCATATAAGCAGGCGCTCCACAAAAAGTTTTTGTGGGATTTGTGTCACTAACGTTTTCTTTGGCCAGATAAAAATTTGCAATCCTAATATGTCCAGGGGCGTCAATATAAATTGATTCAGGCTTGAGTCCTCTATATACAATATCGTGCTTATGTAAAAAGCTTAACGCAAGGACTGTCTCTGCTAAATAAAATTTTGCAGTGTCTTCATCAAGCCTTTTCCTTAAATCTAAATGGTTTCTGATAGTCCCATTAGGACAGTGCTCAAGAATGAGGTACAAATAGTTTGAGGATTGATAAGACTTGTACATTAAAATGATAAAGGGATGCTTTATTTTTTTTAGGACGCTGTACTCGGATAAGGCAAATTTTATGCTGTTCATGTTTTGGAGGAAGGTTTTATTGAACATTTTTAAGGTGTAGACATTGCCATCTGACACCCTAGCAAGCTTATAAAGGCGTCCGAGCTGCTCTACACCGATTTCTTCGACGATTTCGTAGTTGCGGTCTGGCGAAGAGTCATCTTCCATCATACGATTTAAGGCAGACAAAGGTTCGTCTTCTTCAACTTTTATAGGAGAATTTGTATAATTAATTATAGGAATTTGACAATTTTTATAGGAAACAATTATTTTTATAATATAATAAAAAAATAGCATAAAAATTCTTGGTAACTCATATTCGTCATTATCAGACTCTCGAGTAATCGTTACAAAATGTATAGGATTTTTATTGGTCGGACTTCCCTTAAAATTCCTTTTTTGTCAATAATTGACAGCGTCTTTAATTCTATTAGTCCATTGTTCAATTACTTCAGGGTAGCATGAGTTATATTTCAGCTTAACAGAGTTCGCCACAACCATCATATAGTAATAACTTCTATTAAAGCCTTTATTTGATGAATTTTTTATAGCTGTAACCTCTTCAAGAAGCACTGAAAATCTAGGCTCTTCGTTATCTAGGAAACTTTCACGGGTTTTATAATGATATAAAAAGGCTTCTTCTACGTCTAAAACTAGAAATACTTGTTTATCTGTCAAAAACATTGGGGTGTGAAAATAAATCATCCCAGAAAAACTTGGAGGCATGTCAGGGTCCTTTATTTTTGAATTTGTGTATTTCTTAAGCATCTGCTCGCCCATATACTTTGGAATTTCTTCCAAAATTGCAGGCTTCAAAGCCAATTCCAAAGGAATTTTCCCATTAGGGTCTTCAATTGTCATTGATGCACCATTTTCAATTAGCAACACTACGACTGCAGTTTCGCCTGAGGCGCATGCTAAATGTAGCGCGGTACCTCTGTTTTCTGTCATTTTATCAATATCTACAGAAGGATATGATAATAATGTTTTCACACACTCAAAATGTCCATGTAGCGAGCACAGCTGAAGAGGGGTCCAACCATCCTCAGTTTCTCTATTTACATTGACTCTTCAGCTCAAAAGAGCTTTGAGTATCTCTAAGTTACCGTTCAAGCAAACATAATGGATGCACCTTCATCCAGTTGTAAATGGCTTGTTCAAAAATGTGGTAATTTCGCCTTTAGGTACTTTGTATGACTGGCTTGCTTTGAATTTGTCTATTATGTCTGATAGCTGCTCAACTGTGCCACGTTTGCAAACCTATTTAAACCATACGCTGATAGCTTGAGGTAAAAGATATGAATCAATTGTTCTCCGCTTTGTGTATTTTTCTACTAAAAGCTCTTGTGTGTTTGTGTCAGCATTTTCTTTTAAGTGAGAAATCTCAACAAGGACACAAGAGCCGTTGGCTAAACCAAAAAAGCTGCAAAGCCAGCCTTCTACTATCATAACTTTGATATGGCAAATGTAAGTATAAAGCTTCAAACGGTTTGAGTTTATGTGAGCCTGATCTTCTATAAGCTGCTTCAGCTGAGAAACTGTGGCGTCAAGAGGGAGAGATATAGAACAGAAAATGACCTGGGGGTTGTCGTGGGCTCGTAATACAATATCCATTTTATTATGCAGGAGATAAATTTAAATAAAGTTTCAGGCGAGTAAATTAGGAAAAGCTTTACATTAATTTTAGGATGAGCAAGTAATGAAGAAGCTGGATTTAAATTATATTAAAAATTAATTTGGTAATATAGCAATTAGTTGTAGAGTTATATGGGAGCAGAGCCTCTTAGTATATAAATTTAGGAGTATTTTAGTAATAATAATTAAAAAATAAATGAAATAAGTGGACTTTTAGATATTGATTAATGTAGCTGAAATAGATTAAGTTCATTTTTAAATAAAAATAAATGAGAAAAGAGTTCTTTGCAACCTAAAAATGGCACGAAACTTAAGTTATATAATAGCTGCCAGAATGCTATAATATACTATATGCATATTATATTGATCTATAATCATCTTATAAAGTATCAGATATACTGTAAAGAAATTATCTTAACTTAACTTAACTTATTATCTGGTGTTTAAGGTGTCTAGTGCTGCATTCCCATGGAGAAATATGGCTAAACTGGTGACACCACGGAGCCATCTTGGAATCGCGGTGGTCAGCCTAACCGGCCAAGCCTTCTATCAACGCTAATCTCCAGCCGCCTACATGTCTCACCCGGCGCGTTGTTATCGCTCGCTCTGACTCAGCTCCTGCTCGTGCTCCGCTTAAGGGTCATCTTTCTCTGGAAGTGTGCTGAGAGGTAAAACCCTGAGCCTCTTGAATGCACTGAGGAGCTGCTCCTTTGGTTATCCTCAAAGTTAAACAGCTATTGCTGTGCAGAAGTTCTCTAGAGAAAGCCCAACCCCATAAATAAAATTCCATGAGGGAGAGAAAATTAGCAGAGCTAATTTCTCTCGAACCGAATGCCATTTTATTTGTGTAAAGAAATTATCAAAAGAAGCACTATAATAAGCTACAAAAAGTTTTTAGCCCAGTACTAGCTTTCAAGCCAAAGGCTATTATAAGAAATTTTTAGTGATTTAAAGCAGCGTTGTCAGATGGGGCTTATGCACTTATCTTATAATTGAAAAAATTAATAAAAGACTCATTCAGACTCAGAATATTTTAAGTAATATGCAGTTTATAAAAAAATTAAATCCTGCAGAGATCTAAACAAACTTATAACAGAGCTTTCTTATCATAGTTTGTTGATAAAGAAAATAAGCTGCTTAGAACGAAATTTCCCCCTAAAAATCCCAGCTGAAACGCCGATTAATATTTGTAACAGCCAAAACATATCTTTTTATCTTTAAGCTAAAATAAATCCATCAATAATAAAAAACGCTGCATATTCCTAACAAAAACAAAAAAGAAACGCACTTCAAGCAGAATGTAATAGTTTGCAGCAAAAAAAACAAGAAATGGCTTTAATAATTTTAAATAAAATATGAGTTCAGCAGAATTTCCTATCGAAGCAACCAAATCTCAAGGCTCAAATAAAGTAAGCCCTGAATTTGCTCAGTTTTTGCAGCAATCAGAAGGAGAAGTTGAAAAAACAAAGTTTATGATGTTTAGAGGCGACAAATCGCCGAATTCTGATTCTGTGGGTGACTCACTTACAAAGTTTAATTCTGGAGATGGATTGACTGACTTTCGAAATATAAATATTCACCCTAGGTTTGAATCTTCCTCATTCCAAATCCACGAAAAAATTGTAAAAATCATATAGGAAACAATAAAAGAAGCTCCTATAGAATACTACGAATCCATTCTATATGATTTGTGTAGGCGTTACAATTTAGAATTATTCTCAAAAAAAATAACCACAAAGTGCATTGAAATTTTTCATCACATTTATAGGCTAAAAGCTGAAGAAGAGGAATTATCGCCTAATGAAGTTTCTCAGCTAAACATGCATTTTGAAGATGTCTTGACCTCTTTTCCTAACTCCCCCCCCCCCCCTCCGTGAGCGAACAAAAAAATTTTGTTCGCTCACGGAGGGGGGTTAATTTTTTTTTTTAAAAAAAAATTTATATATAAATTTTATAAAAAATATTTTTTTCGAAATTTAAAAAAATCCTAATTTGCAAAAATTGGGAAGCAAATATTAATTTAATTTGCAAAATTTATGTTTTAAAACGCAATTTGTTTAAAATTAAACAGAATTAGCTCTAGATTTCATTATACTAATTATCACTTATATATCAAAATTTTTTTCCATTAAAATTTTTTCTATTAAAAAAATTTTTGTTCGCTCACGGAGGGTGGGTTTTTGGTCAAAAAATGGTGATTTTTCTAATGGTTTTGTTCGCTCACGGAGGGGGGGGGGGAGTAAGATTTTTCAAGAGTATGAATTATTTAAAGAGACTTTAAGCTTGGCCTCAGCACTTGCTGTAAAATGGGGAATAGCTAACATAGATCATTATTCATATAGATTGACTGGAAGATCAATGAACATTAAGATGCTTGATTTACGGGAAATCAACAAAAATTTATTCACATGCGAAACTATTTGGATAGGGACTATGATAAAGCAAGATCCTTTTGTAAAAATCGCTGATGACCAGATCGCTCAATACGCTTATTTGCTCTTACAAGTATGCTGTTTAAACTCTTATAATTTTATTCCCCTTTGCTGTTTTTTTTAAAATCTATAAAATATTCCCAATATGATAATTATAAAAAAATTATAAACACATATACTTATATAGTGACAAAGCTAGTAAACTCAATATTATCCTTAAACCAACACTGTAACCTCAACAATACCCCTACTATCGCAGGTCTTGTTGCTTCAAAAAATCCTAAAGTCACAAGATTCAGTGGAGTTGAGCCTAACTACGACGCTGAAGTGGTGGCTTATCAAAGACTGAAGCTTAATCGAGGAATTTTAAGTTTCTGCGTAAAAGACAGAGACTTAAAAACCATAAGAGAAATCAAAAGCTTATTAGAAGATTTTGAAAACGTTTATCGACAATTTGAACAGTCTTTGATGGTAAACATTTTAAGTATGTCAAAACACGCAAAAGATGTTGTATAGAATATAATGATTTTTTTAATAAAAAAAAAATAAAAATAATAATTATTTTTGGAAAAAAATTGGGTGATAACTCCCCCCCATCCTTGATCGAACGACTCGCCAACGTTCGATCAAGGATGGGGTTAAAAAAATTTTTTTGGGAAAAAAATTTTATATATAAAATGAAAAAGATATATATAGATTTTTTTTATTTACTTTAAATAAGAGGGTTTAAGAGTATTTAATAATTTTTTACAGCAAAAAATTGAAGTAATTTCATAAAAATACCAATTTTTTAATATTTTAATTTATTAATTGTCCCTGTATAAATTTTAATTTTTTCCTTATTATATTAATTTTATTTTTTTTTTAATTTTAAAGAATCTCTATTTTATTAGATTATTGAGTTTTTAAGCATAGGTTGATGACTAAATCACTTCGAATGGTTGATTCAAAAGCTTTCTCTCGTCTCAAAGTCTCTGAAAACAATTTCATTATGTACATTTTTCCCAAGCTTTTGATAACTATTATATTTATATATATAAAAATTTGCATGATATGAAAATCGTTCGATCAAGGATGGGGTTAATTTCCCCAATTTTTAGGAATTTTTACAGTCAATCGTTCGATCAAGGATGGGGGGAGTAAGAATATCCTTTTAATAAGTAGTAATGTTTGTTAAAATATTCGTTTTATATAATGGCATCGCCTTATCTGACATCTGATGGAGCAAGACACCTCCAGAAGTACACCTACACTGGTACAGATAACTCTATTTTTTATAGTTTGATATTATCACCACTATCAAATGCTTTAATCCAAGGAACACCTACATGGATATCGTAATTTTTATGTAGCCCTAACATGGTACTGGTTATCTAGATTACAATGCTAGGCGTGAATGCATTATTATTCTTCACAACAGAAATCTCCCTAAAATAAAAAAATAATTATCAATTTTTATGTCAAAAAAAAGAATTTGCTATTAAAACCAATAGGATTAATCTTTATAAAGTAAAATATTAATTTACGTCTCCACCTCCCTTCATTGTGGGTCAAGCTTATCATGCCGACTTCCAGACTCAGTCTCATTGATCTGCACAATGCTCTATTTCGCATGGGTTGTATTTGATAACATGGACGGCAAGCAAGCAAGAAGGACTCAGTCATCAACTCCATTAGGACTCATTTATGACCGTCAGTCAGATGCTATAGAAGCTACTGTTATGTCGACTTTCTTTGGAATCCTCTCACTCTATGGAAACTCGCCATATACAATTGCCATATGGACCATTGCAATGATAGGATGCTATTTTGAGAACTGGGAAGCCTGCTATACTGGTTCATATAGTTCTTCAAGCAACAAGCCACTTTTTATTGGAATTCTTGCATTAACCTGTGCTATGTTTAGCCCTGAATTCTTTACGACAACTATGGTACTACAGACCGAAATTCGCGCTTTAGCCCTTTGTGTTTTTTGCAGCTGGGTAACTATAGAAGTCTCAATCAGGTAAAAACTACACAGAATCTTCAACGTTCTTATGAAATCTGATAAAAAAACTGACGCTTTCATGAGTTTAGGCTCCTTATTTTACCTAATCTTCTGTGTAGCCGTCATCTTTGTGTTTTCTCCTTCAGGGCTAGCCTATACTGGCACAAGAGAAGTCATTTTATTTTACTCCGCCCCATCCTTGATCAAACGACTCGCCGTCGTTCGATCAAGGATAGGGGTTAAAAAAAATTTTTTGTGGGATAAAAATTTATATATAAAATAAATAAAATATATATATATATATATATTTTTTTATTTACTTTTAAATAAGAGGGTTAAAAGTATTTAATAATTATTTTTACAGCAAAGAATCGAATTAATTTCATAAGAATACCAATTTTTAATATTTTGATTTTTTGGTTACCTCTTTAAATTGTATAAAATTTTAATTTGTTTCTTATTAAATTAAAATTTTTAATTTTAAAGAATCTCTATTTTTTAGATTATTGAGTTTTTAATCCTATGTTGATGACTAAATCACTTCGGATGGTTGATTTCGTAGCTTCCTTAAGTCTCAAGCCTCTGACAACAACTTCATTATGCACATCTTCCCAAGCTTTTGATAACTAATATATTTTTATATATTTAAAAATTTGCATGATATGAAAATCGTTCGATCAAGAATGGGGGTTAATTTTTCCCAATTTTAGGAATTTTTACAGTCAATCGTTCGATCAAGATTGGTGGGGGGGAGTTAGGGTTTATTTTTGCTAGAGAAATGGGATTTTTCCAGATAGCTCATATAAGTGATACAGAATATGAGCCTTTGAACACCCCAAATTTCGCATTGCTTTCTTTTTTTATGTTTAATACATCATGTCATGCGTGGGGATTCCCATTGTTTGATGAGTATAATTTACTATTGGTTTTGACAATTTTGGCAGGCCTAAGCTACATTCATTTTATATACTCAGTTACACATGAAATTACGAAAGAGCTGAATATCCCAATTCTTACAAATTTGCGTAAGTTTTATGTAGAGAGAAAAGTTCAGTCAGTTTAATAACTAATAGGTAAAAATAATTTAAGGATTTGGGAATTATTATAATATATAGGCTATAGGCTGAAAAGTAAGGATATAGAAATTTGGTTGAAATTTATTTATAGAGAAAATGGAGGAATTGTGGAGAAATGAGAAAATTGCTTATTTGAGGAAGATTTATTATGTTTTTAACACTTATATGTGCAAATATAGCACATGGGATCTTATAAATGCCCAGTTTTGGAATGTCATGGTTCCTAGTGAGCTTTCATTAGAAGAATATTCTGACTCTTCAGAAACTTCTGTGTCTGTAATGCTTTGTATTTCTGAGTCTAGTCCCATTAAACTGCTAACAAAGGATTCATCGTTGTTTTTATGAATTAAAGATATGTTTGGGTGATCCATAATTTTATAATCTTTTTTCCTGCTATAAATATTTATTATTATTAAACCAATTTCTTAATTCTTTAGAAATATCTATGTTATAATTAAATTTATTATGAGCCTTCCCTAGTAAGATATAATCAATGCTTCTCATCATATAAGACTTGGATAGAGAGTCCGATATCGATAAATTGGAAAGGTCAACACTTGATAATAAATTAGACATTTTCAGATTCTCGTCCTTGGCTTCCTGAATTCTTGATTTAAAGCTTCTGAGGATCTTTTCTTGTCCTTCAAGCATATTCTTGATTTCAGAAACTTGAGCTTTTAGCTTGAAAATTTCAGCATCCTCTTTAATTTCATTAGATGAATGGATTGGGGATGAAATCTGCTTAAAATCTACGGCTGTTGTGGACTCTGAAAAGTTGTTAAACTTATAGTCAGAGCTTGGCAAATATTTTTCTTCCAGATCTAGGATATGGCTTTGCGTTGATCTTTGATCTGTGTCCATAATTTTAATTAATATTCAGAGAAATTGCCAAATCTAGAAATACTAATGCTTTTCCTAATATAAAAGGCAAGCCAAAGACAGTTTTTTTAAACAAATTCTGATGATCGAAGCCAAATTAAAAATAATATTAATGATCTAGCATTGGCAACACAAATTTTTTAAACGAATTATGATTAAAGATATTTTCATTTGATTTAGAAGTATAATTTTAATTAATATTCTGAGAAATTGCCTAATATAGAAATACTAATGGCTTTTTCTAGCTTAGTTAAAGTCTGTCAGTTTTATAAAACAGTTTTTGATTAATTGAAGCCAATTATATTAAAATAATATAAATGACAAGCATTGGAAAAACGAACTATGATTTGATGATAATTCCATTCCGCAGAGCTGCAGAATTTCTAGATTTAGAATCAACCCGAAATTTGCTGCTTTTAAACAAATTTATCTCAAAATCGCTCTACTCAAATGACTTTGCAAGCATAATTGTCCCGAAAATTTTAAAAAACTTCTATGAAGAGCAAGAAAATATTCTTGATTCTTACTCGCAAAAATTTTCACCTGTGTTCAGCTATAAAGATATTTTGAATAATATAAGGAAATCGACAAATCTTATTGTGAATCCTTTTGGGTTGGATGGATTGAATAAGTGAATTATTGAAGAGAGTGAAGATAATTGGCAGACTATACGAGATGCAGACTTATCATCTTGGCCCAGGAATAAAGGAGTATGCTTTGCTATATCTGGCTCAGGATCTTTGAAGCAAACTATTAAATTTAAGCAAAATTTGAAAGAGCCAATCCTGTGATTTGGGGCTATTATTATTCCCAACCAATATACAAACGGAACTTTAAAATGTTCTTTTATTAATGATGACGGAACAATGCATCAGGAAACAACAGAACACTCAAAATTATTCGAGTCCTCAAATCCAATCGAAAAATTTGATTGTATAGCCAAAATTCCTAACTCCCCCCCCTCGAAGTTCGACCAAGATATAGGGAAAATTCCTATTTTTTTTTTTGGAAAATTAACCCCCCTCAAAGTTCGACCAAGACCTATATAAATTTACTAGGAAAAATAAGCAATTTTTCAAAAATTTAAATCTATGTGGGGGTGAGCTTGCGATTTTTGTATTCAAGTTCTAAAAAAGCGTTACAAAACCATCTTGCACTATTTTTTCTAACCCTTACACTCTCAACCATACAGAAGAATATGATAAATATTTTTGTTTTTTAACTACTAAATTATATAAAACAAATTTTTCTTAACCCCCCTCGAAGTTTGACCAAAAAAATCTTGGTCGAACTTCGAGGGGGGGAGTAAGCACACAGTAGGTGCTGAGATTGCTGTTTCACTCTCGAATAATTCCTATGGGATCCGAATTGGTTATATTTTTGCCAGGATTTTTGAAACAAGTATAAATGCTTAACTTTTATCTAATTTATTTTATATAAAAATTATTTATAGCACTCCTGCAAATCTCTATAATTTAGAATATCGCCTATCTGTCTCAAATCCTTAAATTCTAATAACTTAACCGAAATTTTAAATTATTTTTGCCAATTATATTTTTTCATCAAAAATTACTAATCTCTGCACATTTTTTAAATCTGATTATGACTTAATGGAATCGCCCAGGCATTGATACTGCTTACTAGGTGAACTTTTGATCAAGGCAATCGAAGGTATCCTCTCTTTTCGAATTTTTCATCCAGAGCTACACAGATCTCGTTCAACTGACCAAAACATTGTTCTACAAACGCAAATAAATGAGTTTTCAGGCATCAGAGAATCTGATATTGTCTGCACAATAGACAACCCTTGGTCATTTTGCCTTAATATTCTATTGGATGGAACACAAATAGAGCAATGACAATTTTCCTTCAATATAATGTAGGATCTATACAGAGATAAACACCCATTCACAGATATTTACACACAAGCTTCAGTTGCTCTGCGGTCAATTCTGGTTCTGGCACAGATTTTGCCAGGATTTGCATTGTTTACTCCCCTTTTCAATTGTAATAAATCTAGGCAAAATTATTATTTTTATTTTTCTATATACCCTTTTAGTTGGAAATTGTTGAAAAATATTAATAGGCGAAATTTTAATCTTTTTATAAAGTTAATTTAATGGAATAAATACAAGTAGAATGCTTTAACAGTTCAATCACTAAATAGATTTTTTAAATATTTAATTTTTCATAAAAAAGCATTATAACTTCATTATATTTTTTTTTAAATTAATTCCCCTTTAAATTGGAGCAGAATTTGTGTTCCAATTTAAAGGGGAGAGCTAGGAAAAGGAAACTTATAACGTATAGCTTAAGAGAGGCTTCTGATTGAAGCCATCACCAAAAAGACAAATATAGGTTAACTTTATTGAAATGCCCTGCTGGAAGTTTATATGTAGAAGTTAAGTATAATAGGACCCCAGAAGTGCTCCCTCTGCCTAGAGTTCCTGGGATTCATGGAGCTAGCACTCCACCAGCTATAGAGTGGGCTTGCATTTCAACTCCAGCTTCACCAGAGCTAAGATCTATTAGTCCACCTTATAGTCCATTAGGGGAAAATATTCTTGACGATTCTATTGAAATTTTGCCAGAGTTTTTGCTAGACCCAAAACCAAATGAGAAATTTGAGGAGATTAGATTAGGTTAAAATGGGTATCTATAGTCCTCACTTCTAAAGCATGATGCCTTCAGCATGCGGGGCGGGTTCTTTCAAGGCAACTTGAGCCCGGGCTGAAACCCAGGCTTGTCGTTAGATGCATTTCCCTCCTGATCTGGGAACTCAAGATTTTTACGGAGCCTCCATTTCTAACCCAAGTGCCAGTATTACCTAATCCTAAGCAACTTAGGCCAGATCGTACCCTTTTCAACTGGAGAGATTAGCTCTTGAGTTCTAGTCCAGTCTGTTTTCCCCTTTTTTTTCTTCGGATCATCTTCTAGAAAAAAATTCAATAGTGTTGCAGATCCGAGATAAGCCAATGAGCAGCTTAAGCAGGCAAGTCGCCCTGCTTCTATCAGACGCCGTTTCTGGGCCTCAGCGCTGCTAGCAAAAAGATGTAAAAAACTGCCGCTCAAACCAGATCACTATATAAGAACAGCCGGCCATTTTATTTATATAGAGATTTGAAGGGAAAAAGCGAAGGGAAAATTATGACTGCTCTCTTGACGCTGAATGCCAAAATATTATGAAGAATATTGACTCAATTTTGCAAGAAATTCAAGAAACAGAAGAAGTTTTGAAGAATTATTATTATTTTTTAGGGATGTTTTATAAAGATTAAATTTCAACTGTTTTTTAAGGCTATGAATTAAAATTATCGATTTATAAAGACTAACCCCTAGAGAAAAAAATAATTAGAATATTCTTATTTTTAGAAAAATTGGCCCCTTCTCTGAGATAGTTAAATTGCTATTTAATATAAAATGATTTTATATGTGATTATTGATATAAATGATTATTATATTAAAATCTTTAATTCAGCAGAATTTCAAATAACTCTATCTTAAATAAATTTCCTTTTTGCTTTCAAAATATTGGAAATCTAGATTTTATTTTTATTTAAAAAAAAAATTAAGGAAACAAACCATAATTAAATGAGCCTCCATTTACTCATTTCAATCATGAATAATTTTATACTCGCTCAGGAAGCAGGAATTATTTTATTTTTACCCTATTCAATAGAAATTAGAGACTGGAAAATAGTGCTCTCGATTATATATTAAGTACGCGCTGTTTCTGCAAAACTAAGTGCTCATATAAATTATTGCATTTGCGAAGAGCAGTTCTCATATTTATTTTTTCAAAATTAAAATTTAAGAATAATTGATTTAGAAAAGAATATATAAGCATTAATTCCGAAAAAAAAAGACGATTGGAAAATCCGAACACATATAAAGCAATAGTATTCGTAGGTTTAAGCTTTATTATCATGTTCATTTATAAAGCTCGAGTTTTATTTCAATCCTCATAAGTGCATTTTATGTTTCTTTAAGCCTTTACTTGCTCTTCCATCGCTTTAATAATAATAATATTCTTGGTTTCTTCCATCTTGCCATGGACCATCTTCCTATTCTTCCAAAAGCACCCTATAGCATCTAGATCTTCAAACGATGCTAAATAGTCATTTCCCTGGGCATCTCTTATTGGCTTAATTTCTCTTATTTTTGATTAAAAAAAATGTAGTAATCATTATAGCAAGAACTCTAACTATTAAATTTAACACAACTTGATTTCTTAAACATTAATTTATAAATTAAATTAAATTTTTCTTTCCAATCTTTAAAGATTTTGATTGTTTTAAATTAATTTTAATTTAATGTTAAAAGAACAGCAAAATATTGTTCGTTCTTAGCAGGAAGTAAATAGAATGTGGCTAACAATTAATAGAGCTATAAATATTATAGTAACTATTAGTGTTTTCATAATCTTTAAGGCATTTTTACGCTAATGAGATATCCACTGAATAGCATTCAAAATATTCTTAATAGTTTATTTCAAAATATTTATAAATATCTACTTCTGATCTTATCTATTATAAATTCAAATTTTTCAAATTTATTGAAATTGTGAAAATAAAACTAAATTAGTTGTTTTACAAGATACTTTTACAGCTTTATTATAATTTAAGCTATCTATTTGCTTCTACTCCTTATTCCTCCATTTGTCTCATTTTAGAGATAAATCCCAAAACCACAGTGATGTCATCCACTCCATACCCTTCATGGCTTAGCCATCTATCTTTCGCTAGCTCAGCAAGAGCTTCAGCTCCTTCTTTCGGGTTATCTTCATACCCAGCTACTAAATCGACAGCTTCTTGATCCTCAATAAACTCTCAAACCCCATCGCTACAAAGCAGCAGTACCTCATCACAAATTTTTAATTCTAAATCAATCAGCTGTGGTTTTGGAGAAACTCCCAAGCTCTGGGCGAGTCCATCGCCCAGAGTCCTTGAGGTTGCTAAGCCAGGAAAATGTTTTCCTTTGGCATAAATTCTATATAAAATTTCGTGAGGTAATTTTTTTACTTCACCTTTGCATGACTCAATTCTTTTTCTTTCTTCTACCAGTCATGGCTTATGGTCAGTTGTGATCCTAATAGCTTTAATGCCATTATCAAATTTCGAGCCAAGGACAGCTCGGGTATCGCCAACATGACCCACATAAAGGTGATCATTTCTCATTAGTAGGCTTGTAGCTGTGGTACCTGAGAGGACACTGTCAAATTCATTGTTTTTTTGTAACCCAATTTTATGTAATCGATCGTTTATTTCAGGGTAGCATTCGAAAAATGCAAATAAAGCGTCATAGTCGAATTTAGGATGGTCTATTAAGAGCTTTGGGAGAAACTTGTGGACGTAGTTTGAAATCTGATGGCCATCTTCGCCATGTCCATCAAATACTCCTAAATAAATAAAGCGTTTGTCCACTATTATAGAAAATTCGTCTTGGTTTGGCATTCTGGGCTTAAACCCTTTTTTACATGCCACACCAATTCCAAGTTTTTGTAAATAATTTTCTTGAGATATGTCAGTGTTTACAGTTATTTTTTTGTCTTCAAACTCTTTTTGAAGGCGTGAGCTCATGACTCCTTCGATTACTACCCGAGGGCAAGACATAGAAAAACTATTTTTCTCATCTTCTTGGCTTGCAGAGGTCAGACGTTCAGTATTTTGTGACTCTTCTCGTGTTCTAAGGCTTTTAACCTTTTTATCAGAATAGGCTTTGCTAAGCATTCTTGATGAATCGTTCATAATAAAGTCTAGCTTGAGAATCTCTGGATTGACTTTTTCCTTAGTTATGCATGTTCCCATTTTAATATTGCTTTGTAATATCACCAATACTAACTGATGCTAATATTTATTATAACAGATAAATTTATTCTAGCACAATTCAAATGCCAAAGAAATTGAGATTTTAAATTAGAGATTTTTATCCATCAAATTGAAAAGAATTATGGACGACTTTTTATATTATTTAAAACATTTCGAAAATCATATTGCAATGATTAGAAAAATCGCAAATTTATTTTTTGGGTAAATAAAGATCGGGCGAATTTAAAGTGCAAAAAAAATTTAAATACTAATTTTTGAGTAGAAAATCAATTATTTAGCTGCTTATTGGCGGGTTATTTTCATAAAAAAATATCATTTTTCAGATTTATATATTTATTGTTTTGCATGGAAATTAGAGCGCTTTTAAATTACTCTTTATGGTATTAGTATACTAAAAAATTATTTTATAATAAAAATAATAATAAACTCTGTTTATTTAATGATGCTTATGGATTTTTACAATAAATAAAATTAGAAGTAATAATTTTTAAGTATAATTCAAAGAAAATTCTTCCAAATCTGCCATAAATCCTGCAACTCATATAAAAACACCAATCTCAATAAATGCATAATGATCAGAATAGCACATGATTCGTACATCCATAATTAAGAACAGAATAAATAGTTTCAAATATTTATTTGAATTTAAGTGGCTGAGTTCAGTAATTTTATTATTTTCTAGCTCTTTATGCTTTCTTTTTCCTAAATATATTTATCGCTTATTTTTTGACATTTTCATATGCAAGAATGGTTAATGTTTCGATAATTTCAATGCAGTTTGCGTAAATTTAGTCTGTGCATTATTTTTTTGATGATAATTAATTCTGAAAATACCAATCATATAAATTCTTTGAGCAGATTCAAAAATTTATGCTATCTTAGAAAATTTTGACCGGAAAAATGCTAATTTTGCTATTAATTATAATTTTTAAACACCTACTTAAATATACTTTATATAGTTATGATTTCCAACTATAAATTAATTAAATATGTTTAAATGACTAAAGTTGCATGCATCAAAATTCGAATTGGAAATCTAAACAAAAATTATATCGAATTTATAAGTAATACAAAAATATTAATTCCAAAAAGATCAATTTAAATTACTAAAATTTTCTATTATAAAAAATGTGGCGACGATTGTTTGCAGAAGGATTGTGCACATGTCTTCTATGTTTTACAATAGTAGTGAGCCATCTTAGACTAATCTATATCCCAGGTGCCTATTACAGCGCATACTGTACCGCAGGAACTATAATGGCTCTCATGATTTTCTCTGGCTTTACCTCAGGAGCTCACTTTAACCCAGCTGCGACAGTTGGCTACTGCGTCTACAAGTTCATTAACTCATCAGTCGAAAAAGCTGATTTCATTGAATACGGCATGTACATTGTCGTCCAATTTGTCTGCGCTATTCCTGGTGCCTATATAGGCTGGGCGATTAACGAAGAAACCATGTATTTTGACCTTCCTCATGATTATGATTCAATCTCAGCATTTTTAGGGATCTGGCAGTCTCTTTTTCTTATTTTTTTTAAGAAAGCCAAATTTAAAGGAATTTTGTAATTAAAAAAGCACGCACCATTTTTAGCAGAAATGGTTTATACAACTTTAATTGTCGGCTGTGCACTGATGGTAGGTCATACAAATGACTCAATTGTCATTGTTTCCTCTGGTGTAGCTACTGCGCTGTTTGGAGGAGTTCTAGGAGTTGGACTTATTTCTGGTGCATGTTTTAATCCAGCAGTCGGGCTTGCAGCAAATCTAGTGCATTATTCTAATAAACAAGATCACTTTGGACATACTTGGATCTATATAATCGCTCCATTATTAGGCGGAATTATTGCAGCTTTACTATCTCCTCCATATTTTATTGAAAAATTTAATTATTTTATTTTAAATAATATTTTTTTATTTTTTTTAATAAGTATAGAAGAGTAAGCACAGTTTTTATTCAAGAAATGAACGACCAAAAGAAAAAGAAATCCATCCTCAGAGAAGAAAGCCAAGGCCAACAATAATAGTTATAATTGCTTTAAAAAATCCTAATAATAATGGAAACTGGGATAATCAGACTCCACAACGTTTATACAAGAGGAATTAACTTCTTCGGGGCTCTTGGGCTAAACAACCATTACCAAAATTCTGAAATCTTTGTCCCAGTCCCTACTTTACAAAGAATAGAAGCCCAAAATGTATATGCAAGCTATGCTCAATCTTTATGCTTAATGCAAAATAATGATTTACTTATATGAGGGTGGCCCCTTGACATCAGATCCCAAATGCAAGTTTTATGAATGCTCAAAGACTATACCACTTTAGCCAAACTTATCCAAAAATACTCCCCATTTCCATGAATTAGTATCAGAGAAGGCGTCGAATCTCCTACAATTGCTGCAGAATTTCCAGGAAAATTGCAAAAAGTCAGCATTGGTGGAGCTTTTGTATTAGCCTGTGATGATGAAGGCAGAGCTTTTGCATGAGGAGACAACCATCGTGGACAATGTGGGACGGGCGAAGACACTCATACCTATCGTCCTTATCTAGCTAAATCTATACTTGACAAATTTGTAATTGACGTAAAAGCAGGCTACCAGCATTCTTTATTCCTGACTCATGATGGGGACGTCTATGCTACAGGCAGAAGCGCTAATTTCGCCATTGCAAAACCTCCATTCCGCAAAATAAACACACATGGATTTACCTCAGAACTTTACAAAATTCCTATAGAAAATATCACAAAAATTGCAGCTGGACAAAATCATTCTTTATTTTTAAATGATATAGGAGAAGTGCTTGGTTGTGGGAAAAATAATTATGGCCAATGTGGGCAGGTTAGTACAAAATATTATGTAGAAGAGCCAACGAAAATGTATATGCCTGAAAAAATAAAAGAAATTGCGTGTGGAAGTAAGCATTCTTTAGCATTGGGGGAAAGCGGGAAATTGTACTCGTGGGGATGCAAAATTTATGGACAGGTTGATGGGCATAGGAATGGGATTTATCAGGAACAGTCCAGTCCTTTGCCGGTAGAAATTCCATCAGAGCATAAAATAGTAAAAATAACGGCAGCGTTCGACAGGTCAGGGGCGTGGCTGGAAAATGGAGAATTTTGGACTTGGGGAGGTGAGGACTGAAGGTATTTAGAAGGGGAGTTTTATGAGAATTTTACGTTACTGAATTCTCTGCTGCCAAATTCCCAGGAAGAAATTGTTGATGTAGGGCTAGGATTTATTCACACATTAGTTATGACCACTTCCGTATAATATCTAAAACTTAATATTTATTGTGATAATTTTCACAGAGGAAAGCACAAATTTCTTTTTATAAGCTGAAAACCACAATTTTCATTAGAATTTAATACAAATATATAAATCAAGATAAATTTTCTTAAAAAAAGCGTTAAAATATAAATTCAAAATGGATTTTAATCGACCCATTGCAGAAAACAACAAAAGGCTTTACAATCCCCATACAGGCACTCTGATGGAAGCAATAAAAAAAAGAAAACTTAATGCAGGAATAGAAAATATCATGCCATCTCCAGGTCTAATTGGACCTCCCCAAAAAGATGCTGTCCCTTGGCCTCTTCCTCCTATTCCATGTATGGAAATTGAAAAGCTTGTACAAGAAAAAAAGCTTGCAGAGCAAGAAAGACAAGAACGAATTAACCGGGCCACCTACCAAACTTCAAATTGCGGCCCAATTCGAGAAAAAATTATTCCTAATAGCTAATAAAATAATTTCCCTAAAATCGCCTTTTTTTAAAAATTTTTCGTAAAGTGCAATCCAAATAACTTAATTTTTTAACAGAAATATTAACATGGGCACTTGTATGTCAAGAAGAATCCAAATCGAAAGAGTGTCAAAACTCAGTGCATTAGAAGAAAAACAGAGGATTTCTGCTATGAGGCATTCAGTTTCTAACTCCCCCCCCTCCGTGAGTGAACAAAAAATTTTGTTCACTCACGGAGGGGGGTTAATTTTTTTTTTTTTAAAAAAATTATATATAAATTTTATAAAAAATATTTTTTTCTCGAAATTTAAAAAAATCCTAATTCGCAAAAATTGGAAAGCAAATATTAATTTAATTTATAAAATTTATGTTTTAAAAAGCAATTCGTTTAAAATTAAATAGAATTAGCTCTAGATTTCATTATACTAATTATCATTTATATATCAAAATTTTTTTCCATAAAAAATTTTTCTATTAAAAAAATTTTTGTTCACTCACGGAGGGTGGGTTTTTTGGCAAAAATTGGCGATTTTTCTAATGGTTTTGTTCACTCACGGAGGGGGGGAGTAAGAAGAAAATCAAGGAAGCCCCGATTTTAGATTTGAGTAAAAACCAACTCTATGCCAAACGACAACACACTTTAGGTAAGAAAGCGGGAACCGACAAACCAATTGAAATTAAAAATAATGAGCAGCCTTCCAGCTGCGGACACAGCTCACAATCGACTCCCGCGTCAATTTCAGGTTAATTTCATATGTAAATATTTAATTGATAAGAACCCATTTTTGTGAATTTTCCTATTATACATTTTCAAAATAAATCGATAAATCAGCTTTGCAGCAAGGACACTCTGGCTTTACGATTATCCATCTCTTAATGCATTCAGTGTGGTAAAGATGCCCACACTCAGGCAGTGCTGCAACTTTTTCTTTATTTTTAAACTCGTCAAAGCAGATGGCACAGGTGTCTTTTTCTTCTGTTTCTTTATATTTTACTATTCATTCCTCTACTTTTTTTAACTGGGGTCCTCTAATTCTGCTATAATCTGCGGTCGGCTGTAATAAAGGAGCTCTATTAAGCCTCATGGCTCTTCCCATGCGGAGATTTCATCTTCTCAATACAAAAGAAATCAAAAAACTTATATAGGCTTCGCCTTGAGTTGCCCAGTAGGAAATTTAAGCTATTTATCATTGTTTATTTATAGAAAAAGACATGCAAGCGCTCATAAGTACAAAAAAACTGAACTCTTTGTCAGGCAGACAACTTTCACCATCTTCCATCACACGGCTGTAAAAAACAATTCCAATGACTCCTCCTGCTGTGGTTATTAGGAAATAAGCGAGTCTGAATAATAGAATGGTGAGCAATGACATTCTGCTTGAGTAATAAATTACCAGTCTGCCAGAGATCATGATAAAGAAAAAGATCAGCATTCAGATTTGGACGGGGTAAGAACAACTGAATTTTTGTTACCTGAAATGAGATCACTCTACACAAACATAGATAGTCCCTCCTAAATCCCTCCTCTGTGAGAAATCAAAAACGTTTGAAAAATATTATTTTTTTTGGTTAAAAGGTACCCTCTGTGTGAGAACAAAAAATTTTATTAATATATAAACATTTTTATGATAATTAGTATGATGAATTTTTTTTAATCAAATCCATGAGAAACCAAAATTTTTTGTTCATAAGAGGAGGGAGAGTAAGCAAAAAGCCAAAAATATAAAGTCGAGTCTATTTTATGATTACACAACTTGTCTAGGGTTCATTTAATAATTTTTATTTTACTATTAAATCTTTTAAATAATATATTATCTTTTGCCTATATTGCTTATATAGGCTGATGAACCAAAATTTTCTCCAACGTTTGAAGAAAATTTCCTCATGGTGGATTCTCTATATTTTCACGTGTGAAAGTTTTCTCGAAATGTTGGAAAAAATTTTAACATGCCAGCCTAGTTAAGCAATTTAGGCAACGCATAATAGTAATTTTAGAATTTTAAGTTTACTTTTGTGATGATTGCTTCGGCTGTCAAAATCAGAACGCCCAAAGCCGAAAATTCATCTGATCAAAGCTGTGTGGGGCCAGGTGCACAGCGGATGGGATATTCAAGAGTAGTAGTGGAAGCCACTCGTGAAGGAAGGGGAGTTATCTTATAGTATTTTTATAAATATGTAATATTATTTAGAGCCTGAAGTCGGTCTATAATTATCTTTATTAATTTTATGCTTTTCAGTTAAAATATTTGTAAAATTTTTTGGGATTTAAATAATTACATCTAATGCAATATGTTCTATAAATATCGATTTTTGATTTATATAATTCTTTGTATCTCATTTCATTTAAATAATTTAATTCTTACATAATGTATCGCAGTTTTAGCTATCCTTTTAATATACTTCAATTGCTTCAAAAGTATTTTTGTGAATTATGATATTTAAATATATGAACATAAATAACCAAATAATTGTCCAAGCTGTCTGCTTCTATATTTAATCATTAAGTTTGTTAAGAGTAATAACATGGCTGTTTGCCCGAGGGGTTAAGGGGGCAGACTCAAGATCTGCTGGATGAAAGTCCGCATGGGTTCAAATCCCATAGCAGCCATCTTTTGTTTTTAATAAAATTTTATTATTTATTAGTCTAAACATCTAAAAAATTAAATATTCATCTGACCTCCTTATTCTTAATAATAAATAAAGTTTCTAATATATCATTTTGAAATTCAACATATTTAATATTTCCATAATATTTTAATGCAAGATTCGATAGAAGATCAAGCCATTTTAGACTTTTCAATCTAAATAAATCAAAAATAACAGTCTTAGCGTCTTCCAAAGTCGATACCTCCTCAACTTTTTGACTAAAGCCAACATGCTTTCTCAGTCATTATTTGGAATAGTGGTGTTCTCTAGGAGCAGAGCTTGCACTGTTATCCCCAAGGGTGCCAAATAGTTAGGGAGAAGCCATATTACACGCTATTGGTGTTATGGAGTTGAAGGTGAGCCCGTTACCACCTTTGGGAGAGGTGACACCCAGGAAAAAAACCACCTCTTCTGGAAGGGAAAATCTGTGACCCAAAAACCAAAATTCCACCATCCGATAAGCAAGAATTTAGAATTAAAGGGCCTGAACCTTGGTATAGACTTTTGCGAATAAAACCGGAGCATCATCGCCAAAGACATAATTATTCGCCACAACCATATTAATTATCAATCCAAATAAAGAAAACCTATCTCTATTATGCAAAATATCGCAACTATCTAAATAATAATTTTCAAGATATTTATAATTGCTTAAATAAAATGTTAGCAAAAGCTCTGAAAAGATATCTGCTGGTCGGCGATCGAATTCCAAATCTAACTCTGCAAATTGTGTATCAAGACAAAGTCTACTCAATGCCTATGGCTGATATCTTTTCAAATAAAAGAAACTTAATAATTGGACATCCAGGAGCATTTACTCATTTCAGCACATATGAGCAGCTTCCTGAGTATCAAAATTATTTGTCAAAATTCAAAGCACTAGGTATCGAAAACATTTTTTCACTAATTTACCTTTGATAAAATAATAAAAAATGCTATAATAATTTACAATTGTGTTATAAAATCCTTTAGAAATGGAGTAAGCATTAATGATCACTTCGTATTAAAGAAATATTCAGAAAAATATAACATAGGAATCCCAATGATCTCAGATTTCAAAGGCGATTTTGTAAAGAATCTAGACTTAGCTTTATCTGAAGAAGAATTTTTTACAGCCACTTGCAGAAGAACAGCAATTATAATAGACGATATGGTAATATTAGGAGTATCTGCTGAAGATGACGTCCAATATACATCAAAAACCAAGCCTGAAACTATTGAAAAAATGCTGATTGACATTTATGAGCAGCCTGAGCTCGCTAAGAAACCAATATAAAAATAATAATTACCTTTATTCTCCTATTTCAGCATAAGATTAGTTTCAGCTTGCTTAAATAAGATGATATTCATTTTTTGATGTAAATTTAATCAAAATCTTAACATTTATCTTACTCTCCTCTCTAGAGTGAATGACATTTTTTTGAAAACTCATGGGGGTTGACTTTTTAACTTGATTTTGATTGGAAAATGAGCTTTATTTTAAAGTATTTCTTATGATTTTATCTTTTCTGCTCAGGCTAAAAGGGTCAAACAAGTCAAAACACTTTTGGCTGAAATTTCAGACATATTTGACTAGCCAGGAATTATTGAAAACAACAATAAAATGATTGGCAACTAAATCTCCCTTTAAATTGAAACAAAATATAGGTAATAATCTAAGGATATTTTGTTTCAATTTAAAGAGGGAATAAGAAATTGACTCTTTGAAATTTAATTCATATTGGCTTAGAATGTACTGATTAAAATTTAATAGAATAATCAAGAGATTTCATTATATATTTATTTTTCACAGAGGATTAACTTTAAAAAAATAGAGATTTTTTAATGTTTTTACTCACTCATAGAGGGTGTAGTTAGAAGAATCTATCTCTTAAATTAATGGCTATATAAAAATGCTATCCAAGGCCGTTCAGGCTATTCGAAAATTTTCAGCGCAGCCTTACAACCCTATGAAGTATCTCCAAAGCTACATTCCCACTAAAATGCCTACAAAAGAAGAAATCGAAGAAGGAGTGAAGACAGCCCATGAAAATGCAGGCATGCTCGTGCACAACGTTCGTCACATCAATCCATTGCGTCAATCAGGTCCTATTCCTGCTTTTGATGGTCCTTTTTCGATGGAAGATATTTTATTCTTTTTTAATATAAAATAGTCATTATAAAAAATTCTATTATATTTATGCCTATTTTTCATAAAAAAATATACAAAATTCCTATCAAGAATACTTCAAGATAAACGACATTTGCTACCCTTCAACTGATGCTGAAGAAATCATGAGACGCGTCCCAGGAGTGACCAGAGAAGAGGCTGAATATATAAGGTCTCTTGGTTTCACACCTGATGACGAAGTAGAACTCGCCTATTGGTACAAGACTATTGGCTTTGACATTTATTACCCTCTTAATAATACTTATGTAGCAAGACAAGTCTTGACCAACTCAAAAGGCGAAAAAGTAGAAGTTATGTGGCCGTATATGGCTTGGGAAGACTGCAATGAACTGTCAGTCGACACCGCACTACAAGATATGCCTTATTATACAATTAGACATTGGGAAGCTTACTCTGGTGATGAATGGTATAAGTATGTAAACAACCAAGATTTGGGTGTCCCTGATACCTGGTTTGAATATGATAAAAATACCAGATATTTGCTGCAGATGGTACAAGATCAGCTGGAAGAGCTACCTGATAGCAAGAGACCTTGGCCAAGTCCTAAAAACCCACATTGTCGTAGCTTGTTTACTAATGATCAAGAGAAAAACGCTGAAATGTCTGAAATGGCAAAACCAGACTGGAAGCACCGGTCTCCAGATGAGTAAGTCTAACTTAATATTAAGTTATGAAAAATTATTTTTAATTGATTGGTAAACTGAATGCCGAATTGCTCTACTACTCCCCCGTTAAAATTGGAACAAAAATCCTGTTGAAATTTAAAGGGGATTAAATTTTTTCTCTATAAAAAATAAAAATAAAACTAAAAAGCCAAATATTTTTGGATTTAATATATTTATGAAGCATAAATTCAAAAATTTACTTGATTTAGTGCGAGAACTGTTTAAATAATGTTCTACTTGCGCTTTTATAATAATATTTGGTCAGGCCAATTTTATAAAATTTGTATTTTTATCTATAAAATTTTATATTGAAAATAGTTTGCTTAAATTATGGAATTTTACCTATATTTTGTTTCAATTTAAAGTGATTTAGTCAGTTTATTATAAAAGTCAACAATTGTTAAATTTATTTTTGTAAATAACAAATATATTGAAGCATGAAAAATTAACATAACGCATAATAATCCGTGTATAATTTTATTTGAAAAATAAAGGTTCTGTTGAATAATTCATTTATATGGTTGAAACATAAACCCAATTAAAAAAAATTAAATCAATTCCTATTATACTTAAAAATATCAACTCTAATTTGATTATTAAACTATCAAAAATTAGGCTGTTTAAATAATCACATTTATAAGCACATTCCAAAACAAATAAATGTCAACCCTATAAGCTGGATTTTCCAATCTCCAGTTATATATATCTCTTTTCACCATAATTTCTAAGTTTTTTCTTATCAGAGCCCTACTACTTTTTTAAGAAAAATTCTTCCACTTTTTTATTCTTATCCCTCCGTGAATAAAAAAAAATATTTTGCTCTCTCGTTAATTTTATTTTAAAAATTTATACATAAATTTTATAGTAAATTTCCTTTTATAAATCTAAAAATGAAGAGCAAAGATATTTAAATTTATGTTTTTAATATTCAAGATATTAGCTGGAGATTTAATTATAATAATTATTACTACTTATATATTATATAAAAAATTTTGTGTTGCTCGCAGAGGCTGAATTTTTCTAAAAAAGAATGACTTCTCCAATGGTTTTGCTCACTCAAAAGGGGAAGTTATAAAATTCAATTTATATAATTATCAAATGGAAAGGTACAAAATTTTGAAAACTGTTGGCGATGGCACTTTCGGGACTGTCTATAAAGCAGTCAATAAATCAAACGGTGAAGTCGTAGCTATCAAAAAGATGAAAAAGAAATTCTACAACTGAGATGAATGTCTCGCCCTTCGAGAAATCAAATCATTGCGAAAACTGTCTCATCAAAATATAATTAAGATGAAAGAAGTGATCCGTGTCAACGACGAGCTGCACTTAGTCTTCGACTATTTGGACCAAAATGTATATGAACTCATTAAAGGTAGATCTGATTACCTGCCTGAATCTCAAATTCGGTCCATTATGTATCAAACCTTCCTAGGACTGGCTTATATGCATAAACAAGGATTTTTCCACAGAGACCTGAAGCCAGAAAACCTTATGGTCCACCAAGAGATATGCAAAATCGCTGACTTTGGACTTGCAAGAGAAATTAGGAGCAAGCCGCCGTATACAGATTACGTAAGCACCAGGTGGTATAGAGCGCCAGAAATTCTGCTGAGGAGTACAAATTATAATTCTCCTGCTGATATTTTTGCGATGGGATGTATAATGGTTGAGCTTTATAATTTAAGACCTCTAGCTCCAGGTAATAACGAAAATGACCAAATGTTTAAATTTTGTACAGCATTAGGAACGCCTTCTCCTTCTGATTGGGCTGAAGGGTATCGTCTCGCTTCACAGATGGGTTATCATTTTCCTCAAGCTACTGCAGTTCCATTGAGAACTTTAGTTCCTGGTGCTTGTAGTGAAGCTTTGTCTTTATTAGAACAACTATTAACTTGGAATCCTCAAAGCAGGCCGACAGCTTCAGACTGTCTCCAACACCCTTATTTCACTAATTACCAGCCAATTTTGTCAGGTCAGCCTACTCCTCAAGCAGAAGACCCAACTTCTCGAGGAAATATAGAAAGTAGAGGAAAAGGACTGCCTTCAGCTTTTCGTAGAACTAATTCAAAATGGTCGCAGGGAAGCTCTAGAATTGGTGGGGGAAGCTCTAAAGGAAAATGAAATATCAAGGCAAATATCCCAGTTGTCGATAAAAAAGATTTTGTGTTACCAAAATTGCCTGAGGTTGCAGAATTATAGCTTTTTCCTTTAAATTGCCCATTTGGTTAAAGGCTATGAGATATCTATAGGAAATTCTTATATCAAACTTTGGAGTTGCTAAAAGAAATCCTCCTAATAAATATATGCCTGAAAATAATGCACAAGGACTGTCAGGGCAACAGCGAGAAGATTTATACCTGCCACCAGTTGTAAACCCAGGGTCTGGAAAAATGCTGCCGTCAGTTTATGATAGACAGCCACCAAAAGACTTCAGCATATACAATCCTCCCTCAAATTTTGCCTTAGATAGACAGCCGCTACGAGAATTCGGCGAAAAAAATCCTAACAATAAGCCACGCGATTTTTCAATTGACAGACAAGACTACGATATCTATGGAGTAAAAGGCCAAAATAACTATTCGCATGACAAAAACACGCCAGGAGAACGATATCCATCTGGAAATGGAGGTTTAGGTCGAGGATTTTTAGACAAACTGCCTAAGTACAACCCTCCAGCATTTCCATATATGAACCAGCCGAAAAAGCTTCCGCCTGTAGGAGGGCTTTCTGGGATAGGAAGCAATATTATGGGGTCTAAAATGCAGATGCAGCCCAGAGGAATGCAGAAAGCGTCTATGCTGCCAGCTCTTGGAAGACATCGATATTAGTTTAGTATGTAAATTCATTAAATAATGATTATTTAAGCTCTCTGCTTAATTTGTTGAAGTAAAGGCAGCCAGGCTGGTTTGCTGTAAACGTCTTCGGATTTTTCTACATGAGAAATTAGCTTGGAATATGCTTGACCATCGGATTCGCCAATGACTGAGCCTAAAAAGGCATCTGGAGGCCCCAAAATGTCGATAATTCTAACACTGATATCTTTAAGCGCCTGACAAAGATAAAGCTCCGTGTCTCTGATTAGTTTGGCTTGTCCTGGATTTAAAGCGTATTCCACATAAATGCTCAAACTTTTTTCAATTCTTTCAACCACATATAAATAAAAAATATTTTTCACGGCATTTCCGGTACTTTGGCATTTTTCATATAATTTATCTACCATTTTTATCAACTGACTCGCAAAAATGTATTATTTTTGGCTTTAATTTTTCCAATTTTATTTTTCGAGCAAATTTAATTTAATTTAATATAAATAAGATATTCACAATAAGCCTTAGCTATTTCTTGGATATAATGAACCTGAGAGTTATTCCAGACATCAGTTGCGTCTGTGTAAGCTGTGGAATTTTCTCTCAATGCAATAAAGGTCTGATTTATATAGTAATTCACTTTATATTCTAGCAGCTCTATTAGAAGCCTAGGATTTAATAAGGTTTCACGGTCATGAAAAGCAGCCTTATACGCTTTTAGGTGCTCGAAGTCAACATCAAGGTACTGCAGATCAGGGTTGGTTATTTTGTTGCCTTTAAATACATGCTGGACTTGTTTTAGGATAACTTTTCCACATTGCTGAAGCAAAATCATGTTGTCACCTTCCCAAGTTGGGTGACAGTCTTGCTCATTTCTGATATTTCCTAAGGCAGAGCAAGCAAGAAATCCATGCCCACCACAAGCTTCTCTGCAGTCTTGCAATGCTGCTGTGCCATACATTGTAGAAATACTTTTCATGCAGGAGAGCATGGCGTGATATTCATTAAGCTCATTGCATTCTGGATCAACGCTTGCTTTAGCCTTAACTGAAGAATAAAGGGCCCAGAGATAGGCATTAAATTTTTCTTATAAATTAATTGTTTTTGTTAAAAATATTTATAAATCGCCTGGACATTTTTTTGGGATGGCAAATATTTTGGTACAGGTTGGCAAAAAAAAGCCAAGGTCGTAAAAATTTTGGCAAAAGTGGCGAAAAATGGCAAAAAAATGGCAAAGATTTGCGAAAAAATGGCGAATATTTGCGAAAAATGGCAAAAATTCGCGAAAAATGGCAAAAGACGGCAAAAAAATGTAAAAAATGGCAAAAAATTGTCGAAAATTGGCAAAAAAAAGCTAAGGTGGCGAATATTTTGGCAAAATGGCGAAAATTTTGCGAAAATGGCAAAAAAATTCCCTCAAAAATTCAGACTGTAAAAATGAAATCAATCTTATAATTGGTGCAGATAAAGCAAAGATATAGCATTACATTGTATGAGAGTTAAATAGATTATCAAGGAAAAATCTTAATAATAGACGTTAATAGCCTTAACTCTTAGAGGATTTATCAGAATCATTAAAGCAAAAATTGAAAATTTTGGGGTGGCGAAACTTATTTTTGAGATAATCATGGTAACTATGTATTAAAACGAAAGCTGAAGATGCATTAATTCATTTGATGTAAAATTAAGCATCCAAATACCATGTTTGCAAAAATATTAACATTTTTGTAAATTTTATAAACATAACTGAAGCATTAAAAAATGCAAGTCTTAAACTGATTAAAAGATATGATAAAGTGTGCAAAACTATAAGCAGTATAATGCATAGTGCAATATGTGTTTTATCTTTTAATAAAATGCTACAGTTATATACAAATATTATCCTAAAAAATATATTAACGATAAAAGAAAGATATGTTTTAAATAATTAAAAAATCAAAGAGAGATTTATTGCTTAAACCTTGCATACAAAATAAACTTTTTTGTCTCTTTTTAAATATTATTTGCATAATTAGGGAATTTTTGCAAAAAAATTATGAAAAATTTTTATGACCCCAATATTTCAACTACTTGGACATATATATCATTAAGAATTATATTTTATTAACCTTTTTATATGCTAAAATATATGGCTTTTGATCACATTTGAACCTTTTCAATGAAACAGTGAGTTTCGTAAGTTGACCGTCATTTCTCATCCCATCATGATGGTAGCTGCCAGAGAGCATTTTGTATCCACTTCTAGTCTTCACATATGGATTTTTTAATACAGTTGTAAAATGTTGATTTTTATATAATATTTCACCAATAAAATCATATTGAGATTCGTTATCTAGTTTAATTGACTTTATATTTTCATATTCAAGAGCGCTCTGTGCTTCATCAATAACAATAAATAAATATTTGGGTCATAAAATATTTCTAATGATTGAAGTAGCCTCATTTTTGCATTTTTTGCATGAAGTTGTTGTATATCTTAACCTGTAATCTAAGAAATTTTCAAAATCACATCCTCCTGAATAGTCTAAAATTGGTTCTAAAACGACTTCCCTTGACTCTTGAGGACATTTTTTACATACTATGATAGCTTGATAACTCACTCTGAAGTCTTCACAATTTTTTAAAATATTAAATAAAGAGCTAAGTGCACCTTTCAAAATCAATAACATCAATAACAGTTGGATGAAATTTAACAAAATTTGGAATAGGCATAATTAGTATCTTGATTCAAAGCGTTTATTGTATAGCGCTTTCGCGAGGATGGCGCGGAATGGCGCCATCCTCGGGAAAGTCAACTAAGAATCCACACGGGAACTGGGAGTTCCACATGTGGATGCCATTTTTGACATGTGGGATCCAAAACTTCCACATGTCAAAATGGCATCCACACGTGGAACTCCCAGTTCCCGTGTGGATGCCTTCCTGGCTTTCCCGAGGATGGCGCCATTCCGCGCCATCCTCGGGAAAGCGCTATATCTAATAGATCTGATATGATAGGTATATCTCTGTACTTCTCAAGCGAATTTCTATCTTCATTATATATTGCTAATGTTATTAAAGTAAAAAAAGCATCAAAGCGACAGGAATTATTTGCCCATTTAATCCATTGAAGCTCATTTGCTCTTAATCTTCTTACTCTATTAGTAGCTTCTACTTTGTCTGTTGTCATCTTTTTCTTTCCTTGCTTTGCTAGTCTTGATGCTAACAAATTACTAAGGTCATCTCAATCTGTATTTGTAGCAGTTGATGAATAATTTATTTGAGTGGCACTTTGGGTTGTTGTGGAAATATTTTCATTTTTATTCTCTTCTTTTAAGTTCTGAGATTGAGGTGGGGATTGCGTCCTTAAATTGCTAGCTGAAGTAATACTTTGATATAAATCTTCATAGAGTTTATGCAATATAAGAATAAAATCACTTCAGTAAAAATTCGCTTTTCTATTTGGAAAATAAGATTTTAATCTCCCATTGAATCCTTCTAAAACAGAATTCGATCTATATCTTTGATCATCAATATCAGCATAATTAAGTGTGCCATCTGTTAATGGTTTTATTCAAGTTTTCTCCACGTATTTAAAGAAACTTTCGTATTCTTCTAAATTTTTATATTCTTCTTTTAGTTTGTTGAATTTTTCTTTAATATTACCAGTTTTTAAAACATAATACATAATTATTGAATATAAGCTTCTTTATGATTAACCGTTATTCTTTTTTATTTATCAATAGACTAATTTATGCTAGAAAGATGCTCATATTCTTTCTAGTTCAGATTAAATTTTTTAATTTTCCCATTATTTCATCTGTTTTATCTTTCATGTTTTTATCTTTTTCTTTATAAATGCCCAAATCTTTAGCTTTCCTTAACATACTGGAAGAAAAATGATATAGACAGCCAATAATCTGCACTCCCTCAAAGCACTCTGAAATACTTTTATGCAATGCTTTTTCAAAATCCACTGTTACTGATCTCACTCTAGATTAAATGATTACAAACTTTTCAATTATAATTCATCATACCAATTTTATTTGATTATTTTATTCGCATTAAGATATTTTAGAATAATTTCATAGGATGCCCAGACATTCTAATGCAAGATTTAAGATTGTTAAATACATGTATATAAAGATCTACTTCTTTCGAAGACATAGCAATGAAACAGCCTGGAATACTCTTCTTGGATAAATTCTCGTAAACCATTATGATCAAGAGCTGCTTAAACTCTTCAGTTGGAAAAATGTTAAAGGTTGCATCCACAAATCAATGATCAGCTTCTCTTAGCAAAGAAAGCTGCCATTCAGTGGCTCATATGATAAACTTTGGATTTCCTTTAGGTGTGGACACAATTCCAGATGATCTGAAAAAATTGATATTCAAAGATTCAATTTGTGCAAACTGCTGGCATGCACTTAGCCAGTCATTTAATCCTATTAATTGTCTTGAATTTTTTATATCAATCTTCAACTGATTTTTTATTATATTTGCTTGATGTGCTATTTTAAAATGAATATAAACTTTTCTGCAAATAACCCTATAGTCTTTAATATAGTAAATAGGATATTAGCTAATTGATAAGAATGCTTATATTAATTATAGAATGTATGTTTCTGGAAACTGTTGATTAAAAAGTGTTTCAATCTCCTCAATATTCAAATTTGGATTTTGAGAAATTAAGTTCTTTATAATTGATTCAGCTTGTGTTTAATATTCAAATCGCTATTAGAAGTTTCTAATACCTTATCAGAGTTAAGATGCTCATGGTGATTCATTATATCAGCATATTTAGCATCTTCTAAGGGTATATGGATTTTGCATGATGCCGGCACTTTTTTTCTTTGCATTGAAAATAGCAGTACTGACCATGCACAGATCTTTTACGATATATTTCATTTCTATTAAGATTTGAGTGTACTCTTTGTACCACATGAATCCTTTTCTCTCATTCATCTTAAAGCGGCTATTTTAATTTTATATTTATATCAACTTTTTCCATTAGTCTGCATGCGAAAAAATTTTATAATCATTGAGCTTATTGCACATATTAAAAGTTTTTCAATTAAATTTTGAGCAGACTGTGCTATTATTGTTTTCTCATTAAAATTGTGAATTGTGTTTACTGATAATTTAAATATTGTAATTAGAATGATAAGAGCGATGTCTAAAGATTCAACTCATTAGTAGAAATATAGCTCTGATTATATATAAATATTTTCCATTACTAAATATAGTGTTATAGATAAAATATTTGGGCTATAAAAATTTTTCATAATTTTTTTGCAAAAATTCCCTAATTATGCAAATAATATTTAAAAAGAGACAAAAAAGTTTATTTTGTATGCAAGGTTTAAGCAATAAATCTCTCTTTGATTTTTTAATTATTTAAAACATATCTTTCTTTTATCGTTAATATATTTTTTTAGGATAATATTTGTATATAACTGTAGCATTTTATTAAAAGATAAAACACATATTGCACTATGCATTATACTGCTTATAGTTTTGCACACTTTATCATATCTTTTAATCAGTTTAAGACTTGCAATTTTTAATGCTTCAGTTATGTTTATAAAATTTACAAAAATGTTAATATTTTTGCAAACATGGTATTTGGGATGCTTAATTTTACATCAAATGAATTAATGCATCTTCAGCTTTCGTTTTAATACATAGTTACCATGATTATCTCAAAAATAAGTTTCGCCACCCCAAAATTTTCAATTTTTGCTTTAATGATTCTGATAAATCCTCTAAGAGTTAAGGCTATTAACGTCTATTATTAAGATTTTTCCTTGATAATCTATTTAACTCTCATACAATGTAATGCTATATATCTTTGCTTTATCTGCACCAATTATAAGATTGATTTCATTTTTACAGTCTGAATTTTTGAGGGAATTTTTTTTGCCATTTTCGCAAAATTTTCGCCATTTTGCCAAAATATTCGCCACCTTAGCTTTTTTTTGCCAATTTTCGACAATTTTTTGCATTTTTTACATTTTTTTTTTGCCGTCTTTTGCCATTTTTCGCGAATTTTTGCCATTTTTCGCAAATATTCGCCATTTTTTCGCAAATCTTTGCCATTTTTTGCCATTTTTCGCCACTTTTTGCCAAAATTTTTACGACCTTGGCTTTTTTTTGCCAACCTGCACCAAAATATTTGCCATCTTAAAAAGCGTCCAAATCGCCTCACCAAGAGATATTCGACACCTGCCTGTATTGCAAACATTTTAGCGAGATGGGGGATTAGTCTAAAGTAATGGCTTTGATAGTCAAGAAGTGAGCTTTCAGTGCCATCTTTTTTACCAAACTGTTTTCTCAATGCACCATAACGTAAGGCAATAGTTAGACCTTTTCTTATATGCACTTCAGTTCCTCCTACAACTGTGATTCTTCCTCTGATAATCCCTGATATTATAATCCCAAGCCTTTTTTCTTTACTTTTGACTGAGCTTTTGAATTTTCCTTCAGGTGTTATTGAGCTCAACTTGTCTAATAAGCTGTCATAAGGGACCCTACAATTTTTAAATATCAAAAATCCATTATCAATACCATTTAAAGCAGTTTTTAAGCCTACATCGCCAATTATGATTCCAGGCATAGGGTCATGAGTTACGCTGTCTCTTATTTTTATAGCGAAAACGTGGACTCCTCTATCTATGTTGTCGACAATTAGTCTGGCGAATAAGGCAGTCATATTAGAAGTTTTCCCAACTCCTCCAACGAGTCATTTCACTGATGTAGCTGTTGGGCTATTGATGATAAACTCTCTGGTAGAATGATCATAAGTAGCTATTGTTTCAACGCCTGGGACATTTGAGCCATGACCTATTTCTGTCATAGAAATCGACCCAATGTCTTTTAGCGCGTAAGCTCTTTCTGCTAACTGAATATGCTTTAGGTCATTTTTTAAAGAAAAATTATTCTATTTTTTTATTATATGTAATCTTTTTTATAAAAAAAATTGCACCAATGCTTTTCAGTTCCAAATGACCTGATTGTATCCCCATACAGCAAAAGTGTAACGCTCATTTTGGTCGTTAACGCCAGCTCATATTCCGCTGTCGACCAAAAAAGCTCAAGCAGCTTATAAGGACTTTTAAAATCTTCTTGATAAGTCAACCCAGACTGAAAATAAATCGCAGATATCTGCTGGACAATTCTCTCCCTTCTTTGGTCTAATGATAAATCAAGCTCTTTGAACTTGTCAAATAGAGGATTGCTCGTCATTATTGACCTCATTCTTTTAAGGCCATCGGCGACTTTGCCAAAATAAATAGAAAACAGAAGGTCACTGTTCAGATTTTCAGTGCGCTTGCGGAAATTTGCAAGAGAATCGTCATAAGCGACTTGAGGGAACTGGGATAAAAGGTGAGAATTAAGGAGAGACAGCCTTCTGTTTTCTTTCATTGACATATTTCAACAATGCAATGACGCAATAATATGTCGATTGTGGCTAGTTTTTTTATAGTTAGATTATAGGTAAAAAGCCAGCTTATTCTATTTTAAAAACTAAAATTTGACATATAAAGCTGAGAATTTTCTTTATAAATAGGCATAGCCATTATGAAAATCTAGATATTTAATTAACTTTTCTATGCAGATCTGCCAAAGGAAATATATAGGGCTTTCCCTTGAATAGCCCGATAACGGGCTGGCTTCATCCCGTTATCGGGCTATTCAAGGGAAAGCCCTATATCTTTTAAATCTAAATCAAATCTGTACACTATATATTTTGTCACAAAATAAATGCTTCTTCCCAATGCTAGTGAGTTTCCAGGACTCCATCAGTCGTCTTCAGGGATTTCTACAGAATTTTTAATGACTCCTTTTACAGGGTCAATAAACAATGCCAATTTATTTTGGAAAATAATTATTTGGTCATGTGTATAAACCAGCAAGCATTTTCCTACAGTCGGCAGCTTAATTTTTAGCATTGTAAAAACGTTGTTTAAATATGAATATTTCTCAATTGAGTCATGGCTTTGCCCGCCTCCAATATAAATATATCCTTTATATACACAAGCAGATGGAGAAGCTCTTGGAACAGTTAGATTACTGAGCGACTGTCAGGATTTGCTGCTCATGACTAATTTTTCGCATTCTCTTAAGCTATTACTCCCTTGTCCTCCGAAAACATAAATTATATCATTTAAACACACCATTGCGTGGCTATGTCTTGCAGTCTTCATTGATGGCCCAATACTGAGCTCTGATGTAGTTATATTGTAAATCCATGCCGTTTTTTTAGCAGCTGATTGGTATCCTCCTGTAATATAAAGCAGATTATTTGACACAACAGTCCATGCTGCTCCTTCTAAACAAGCTTCTTTTTTCACAATTGGCATTTTATCGATTTCGTCACTGGCAGGATTATATGTAGCCACTGCTTGGATTTCAGGTATTAAATAGAATAGTAAGGCTGGTAGCTTAAATTTGGTCGACCCTAAGGCTTCTATATCATTTGAGGATTTCATTTTGGTGATTTTCGGGATATTAGTTGCAAAATCACTAAATGAAGCATTTACACTTGAGATAGGAGAAATAGTCTGGTCGGAGCCAAAATCGAGAGATTCTTGCTCGAATGAGGACAAAGTGCTGTTAGGTAATAAATTCTCAACTTTTGAATTTCTCCTAAAGCGTGGAGGAGATCTGTTGATTTTTGCAGTTGGGGTTTTTGAGCCGATAAAGCTTGGGATTCGACCTATTTTAGATTTTGTTGACTGAGGGGCAGGAATACTTGGCTCGTCAATATCATTGTCAGTAATTGATAGAGAAATGTGATACTTTTTATTAGATGTTTGGATCAGAGGAGATTCAGGACGACTCATCCCAATTGGGTTGATGTCGATATCAAAGACAAAATATTTTTCTATTAGGTTTTTCAGATTGAAATCTATAAAATCAGCATTTTTGTTTATAAGCTGATATTTTTCCACTTCTTCGCTTGTTGTTATACCATTAATACTGATTTTTCTAGCTTTTTAAATTTATTTGCTTTATTTCTAAAATTCAAAATAATCCAGGCTAATAAAAACAATTAAATATATTTTTTTATAGGAATAATTCGGATAGATACTTAGTCAGCTGAAAATATATAAAAAATAATAAACAGGTTTTTTTTATATAGGAAAATACTTTTATTTTTTTTGAAAGCCTAAGTCAGCTCATCAAAGTCAAAATTTCCTTTTTTAATTTCATTTAACTCATTCTGCAGCTTTGACTTTACTATACCACATTGGTTTACTACCCTTTGAGTAAGTTCATCAGCAAAAGCCAATAAATCTGATTCAATTATTTTTACTGATTCTGTTATTAGCTGTATTGACAGACTTTGGAAATCATCAATTATTTTCAGCTCTTTTTCGAATTTTTGTTGTATTTCAATATTAATACTATGCTTTTGAGACAGATCAGCAATTATTTGTGACTCTTCGGCTTTGACTTTTTCAAAATTCACGGCCAAAACGGAAGTAAGGTGGCTCTGGCTTAAAGGCACTGGTTTGTGCTGGCCTGAAGGATCAGAAATGAGATGCTTTCCTATACAAGAGCTGCACAATACTATTTTTTTACAAAAGCACACAAGTTCGCTTTCCTCAGTGTTACATAATTGGCAAAGCTTTTCTGTGAACATAAGCAAATTATTATAATATTAGAAAAAATAAAAAATTAATGTCAAAAATTATTAAAAAGCTAAAAATTTCAATATTATTTACAATTAAAAATATTTTGACACTACAATTGGGTTCTTATGATTTACCTTATTATTTATAAAAAGTTTTTAGTTAAATAAAGTCACTATGATAAACCAGAGATATTAAAGATTTCCAATAAAAAGCACATAAATAAAACTAAAGCTATTTTATATAAAAATCAGCAGTAACTTTCTTTTTATATTGGCAATCATTATGATTTATTTGAGCAATTAAAAAGTTTATATAAATATGAAGAATATAGTAACTCGTTTTAAAAAGAGAGCCCAAACTTGCTGTATCTGCCTGAACTCAATAGAGTTCCAAGGCAAACTTGATACCTGCCAACACACATACTGCTACGACTGCATAATGCGCTGGTCTGAAGTAAATCTTACTTAGATTGAAAACACATGCCCTGTTTGCAAAAATAGATTTTCGTTTGTATCATTAATCCCTCATAGACTTAATTACAGATTCTCGAGGAAAAGGAAAAGCCAAGTCAAAATTAAAGACGCAAATCAGCACATGAATTATACTCATGAAGCCTTGATTGCTACTTTAATGCATGCTGAAGAAAGCATTACTCAAGAATTCAGAGAATTACTTACTTTATCGAATAAATTAATTGTGAATATTTTTTATTTATAAATTATTTATTTTATAAAAAAAATATTTAAAGTAAAGGAGTTAGAGAACTGTATGATTACTATAGAAAAGAGGCATCATAGAGATTAGAGATCTTCGACACTTGGTTCATTCTCTGGTAGAGTAAATTTTTAATTAATTTTTTAAATTTTTCATACAAAATAGCATATCTTCTATTTAGCAAGAATTTTTATTGAAAGTTTTATAACAAAAATTGAAATTGAATTGAAGATTTAGATGCAGAAATATAGTATTAAACGATCCAAATTTTACTAATAATATATACTCTGTTGGAAAATTTTCTTATACTCTTATTTTCACCAATAAGCTATTTAGATTAAATCAAGACATTAAAAAGATTGTGACCTATAATATAGTTTAAATATTTTGGCTAGAAATAATGACTAGCAAGCTTCATATTATTTACAATATTGAAAATAAAGATCTTAGATTGAGAATTTATTTAAGCCAGAATATTTGCCATATGATTATTAATTTAGCTTTTAAAATTTATAAAAGGAGATTTCCGATAATATTTTCTATTTTAATTTTTTTAAAATCACTATAAGTATATCTTGTTTAATTTGTGCTCAAATCCAAATTCGGGAAATAAAGATCAATTAATAGTGAGGTTAAGTTTAAATTTTTAATAAAACTTATTATTGGGTTAAATGTTCTTCGATTTTTAATTTTTAAAAGACATAGCACAAATTAACGATAACAAAAATTTTGGCACACTAAAAATGTTGCCATTTTCAAAAAATTTCTAGTAATTAGAATATAAATTACACTTAAATTGCTATAAAGAGCATTTTTATCTTTTACAAGTTAGGATTCATGATAATTTAATATTTAATTTATTACTTCTATAATTATCTAAAAATTTTATTAACTAAGTGTATTCATATTGATCGATTAATGAGAATCCTTAGATTCATACTTTTGTTTGGTCAAATCAAGCCCGTTAAGAAATTCTTCCAACTGATATATCAGATTCTTTAATGCACAACTGGGTGTAGTTTTAATAACTCATTTATATTCTAATTACCTATTTCAGTGAGTATGTTTTACCTTCATTTTGATTTATTTTGCAAGATCATGAAAAATCACTTGATTTTTTAATCGTCATTGATAATTTTCTACATCTTGAGTTTATGAGTAGAATTAATTATAATGATAAATTCTTGATTCGTCATATTTTAATGCTTTTATAACAGCAAAACCTAATGAATTTTTGATGTCTGTTTCCAGTGTTAAAATAGTTAATTTATTTCTAATTTATAAAATTTTTTCTTGTTTAGCACTATTCCTCAGCAATAATAGACAGACTGTATGGCGAGATATAATATAAATACTCCACTTGTCTCTCTACATCAGTTTGGTCTAAAAACCAAGGCCTATCAATTCCAATTCCCTCAAATTTAAAATTTTTAACTTTTTCTTTCCAATTTTTGGGAATTCCACTATAACCGTCCGCAGCTCCAATTAGTCCACCCACAATGGCTGCATTAGTATCTGTATCTCCTCCTAGTCTTAATATCCCAGTCATTGCATCAAAGTAATTGCTTTCATTTCTCAGGTGTCAATAAATTCTAATATGAGTAGCTTGACCGATTCTGAGCTAATTTTATTTGGGTCAATTTTTCTACCTAATTTTGCTCTAAGCTGATAAGCTTTTCCTTCATGCCAAGCCCTACCATTAGTTCACTTTTTATTTTAAGGGTGAATCGTGAAATGTCTTCCTGGAAAACCAATCAAGGATTGTGCAGTAGTGGGGAGCTTTTTGAGGAAATGGATTCTGATGAAGATAGTTTGTATTGAGATGAAGAGTTTTAGGAGGAGGTTCATTCTTTTTGGTGATTCTTTGAAAGATAGGTATGAAGATGGATATTGGGAAATTGGTGCTAAGAACACTAACAAATAGGGAAGAGCTACTAAATGAATGAGAAACTGTTCGGATTTTTCGATAGAATGAATGTGGCACAAATTGAATTGATTGCTGCAACGAGAGACTGAAAAGAAGCAGAGCCAAAGGACCAAAGAGGGGAAAATGCAAGACTGGAGCAGCATCAGAGGAATAACAGAGCAGGAATTGGAATAGAATCTGAATTAGAATTCGAAACGAAAAATTGAAGCAAAAAATAAAGCACAAGCTAAAGCCGAAATGGGAGCAGAAATTAGAGCAGAAATTGAAGCAGGAGTTAAAGATCAATTGAAGTAGAAGTTAAAGCAGGTGTTGAAACAGAAATTGAAGAAGAAGTTTAGGCAGAGAGATCAAAGCAGGAGATGAAGCAAAAATTGAGCTAGAAAGCAGAATTGAAAGTGGCTCGAAGGGCCCTGAGGTCGGAGAGCAAGGAATGGCAAAGTTTGAGGGTTTTGAAGAGTGGCTACATGCAAATAACTATAGAAGCATGCGAAATAGGTCCAATAAAGGACTGCAGCCGATGCAAGCTCATTTTATCTAAATGGGTAATAACAGCTTTAAAGGCCTAGCGCGGCAAGCCTTGCTCCTAATAAAATGATCTTACAACCTCTAATGTAAACCTAAACCTAAGTCTTCTCAGATGTCTAAAAGCATGGTCAAATGCAATTTTTGCTCTCCCAATCTTATGATCTGCTTTCATTGGCTGACTATTTTCTATATCATCAAACCATTCTTTGGTTTCATATCTTCTTGCCATAGATTTAGCTTCATTATATGCCCTTACACGATCCCCTGGATATCTAAACAAACTTACTATCGCTTTAATATAGCAAACTTGGGCGTCTTGTATTTCTAAATTTGAATGGGTCATTGAGCATTCCAATGAAACAGCCCTTCTTATCTCCTTATCGTTTAAATTTCTACAAAATACAGCCATCGGGGTGCATTTCATAAAGCTTCCATTACTTTTGGATTTTTTATTAAGCTCTTTGGAGCTTGCTATAGAAAACTTTGCGAATGCAGGGTTATCTTTGTAGACTTTAAGAGCATTTTTGGTGGTTTTCCCAATGTCAAAAGGACCTGTGCAGTATCATTCTTTGTAATATTTAGCGATAAGGTCAAGGTTGAATTTTCCATTTCCTTCATATAGGCCTCGAAGGAGGCACATAGCCAGTTCAGAGTCGTCAGTTACTTGTCCAGGGCCAACGCTAAATGGGCCGCCTCCTCTCATTTCTAAAGTCTCGCTTAGCATGCCTTCACTTATAGAATTCTCAAATTCTATATATGAGCCTAAAGAATCTCCAATAAAAGCACCAAATACACAGCCTAATGCTAAGTCTATTTGAGTTGATATTTCAGGTGGGAGGGATTGGATAGTGATATTCTGCACAGGCGTAGGAATGGAGTAGCTAGAGTAGCTTTCCAAAGTGGGATAGATTCCAAGATTGGGCTGATTCATATTTTTATAATTCATCTATAGAATTATAATATCAAAAATAGAATTTTATAGCAAATCTATTAGGCTATTAGGGTTTTGAAGCATTAAATTAATTAGCAAATTTATGGTGACTAACATCACAATCCCAAAAATGGAACAGAGTCAAAATGGTGACATCATGAGCATTTCCTATCCACAATCCTAAATAGACCATCAATCATCCTGGCCAGTGCTTCTAACCAGGCACTATGCTGTCGCCATTGCCTGACTCAGCTCCTATGCTTTTTCCGCCTAAGAGTCACCCTACTCGAATGTGTTGAGTGGTAAAATCCTGATAATTTTGATGCACTGTGAAGCAATTCCTCTGGCTATTCCCAAAATTTAAACCATTATTGCTGTAAGAGAAAACAAACCCCAATAAAATTCCATGAGGGAGAAAAAAATAGCAGAACTAATTTCTCTGCCATTTTATTTATTGGGCTTTATGAAGCAATTTTATCTTGAGTTTTTTTATAAAATTATTAATAAATATAAGATTTGTATCATAACTACATCTAAAATTCAAAAGAATAGCTAGAAAGTTAGTTTATAATTATAAAAAATATTGTAGCCTATTGCATTTTACTATTATAAAAACTCCAGTAAAAATTATTTGTACTGTCTAAAAGAAAATCCTTTTAGCACCTCATTCAATTTATTCACATAAATGGAAGGCTTAAATATACATCCTGAAGTCGCAGAACTTTATCCTGAGCTTCTAGAAATCAGAAGAGGGTTCCACAAAAATCCAGAACTATTATTCGAACTTCCCAAAACCAGCGCTTTTATAATAATCCTCATAAAAATAAATTAATTCAGCATTTCCCTTAAAATATTTTACTTTATAAATAATTAAAAATGGTATAGAATATCTTCAGTCTTTAAATATTGAAGTACATACAGAAGTCGGGAAAATTGGAGTTGTAGGAGTTATCAGAGGAGAAGGCCCTTGCATTCTATTAAGAGCAGATATGGACGCTCTTCCTATAGAAGAGCTAAAAGAATCGGATTACAAGTCTTCTAATCCTGGAGCAATGCATGCCTGCGGCCATGATGCCCATATGGCAATGCTTTTAGTAGCTGCTAAAGTCATTTCAAGGCATCGTGACAAGGTAAAAGGAAGCATAAAATTCATGTTCCAGCCAGCTGAAGAAGGCGGTCATGGTGCCAGATTTATGAGAGACGACCCTTTATATCCTATCTTAGACTCAGAACCTCGCGTAGACGAAGTCTACGCAATCCACGTCGAACCTCAAATGAAATCAGGCGATTTCTTTTGTTCAGACAAATTTTCATCATCTTGCTGTGACGATTTTTCTATAGAAATCCATGGCAAAGGAGGTCATGGCTCAGCCCCATTCCTCTGTATAGACCCTGTTGTAATTGCTTCAGAGCTAGTTCTTGCATTACAAACCATTGTACCTCGGAATATTAATACCAAATACCAGTCAGTTATATCAGTTTGCTCTATAAAGGCAGGGGAAACTTATAATGCGATCCCTGATTCTTGTATTTTGTTAGGGACTATAAGGACTTATGAAAAAGAGGTCAGAGAACAAATCATTCAGAGGGCTACTGAAATTTGTGAAGGACTTGGGATAGCGAATAATACTAAGATCACTTTTAAAATAGACCCAGGCTATGGAGCGATAATTAATGACCCGAAATGCATAGAAAAATCAGTGGATACGTTTAAAAAAGTGTCACCTAATGCGGTTAGGTATATGGGGTATCCAATGTATGGAGAAGATTTCAGCTATTTAACTGATGTAAGACCAGGGTGCTTTATTGGGTTAGGGTGTAATCCTGGAGAGAGAGGAGCAGTGCTACATTCCCCGAATTTTAATATAGACGAAAGAGCTATGATGATAGGGTCTTCTTGGTTTATCCAGTTGATTAATGATCAATTGTGTAGCAATGAAGACTTAATTTAAATTATAATGAGATTATTCATTTATTATGTAATAAGAAAAACTGATTAATGATAAATTGGTTAGCAATGAAGACTTAATTTGAATTATAATGAGATTATTCATTTTAATAAAGACCACGATTTCCTTTTTATTATAACGAATTTACTATAAAATTGCCATTTTTTGATGATTATTCCAAATATTCTAAACTTCTTTGATTTATTTTTTTTTATTTTTAAAATTAATTAATTCTTATTCAATTTAAAACGTAAACCTAAAATCGTGCCTTAAATATCATGGAGTTTACGACATCAAATGAGACTGAATTTTCCAATGAGACCTTGTGGTCTGGACTACAAGAAAATAACACAGATTCTAATGGAGACTATTATTTTGACTCCTATGACCATTTCACTGTGCATGAAGGAATGTTGAAAGACAACGTCCGGACTGATGCTTATAAAAAGGCCGGACAATTTCCCAGTAAAATTTTTCGAAATCAGAGGAAATTTCGATTAAATGTCTTATAAGGAAAAAATTTCGACTAGGAAAAAATCAAAACTATCACAATGTTTGAAATAAAGCACGCACCTATAAAAAAAGCTATCCTAAGAAATCCTTATTTGTTTGAAGACAAAATTGTCCTTGATATCGGCTGTGGGACTGGAATTCTCAGCTTTTTCGCCGTGCAGGCTGGAGCTAAGCATGTATATGCAGTTGATAATTCCGAGATCGCAGAACAAGCTATAAAAATCGTCGCAAAAAACTCTCTTAATGACAAAATTACAGTCCTAAAAGGAAAGATCGAAGAAATCGAGCTCCCTGTCTCCTCAGTCGACATAATAATTTCTGAATGAATGGGAATTTTTTTACTATATGAAGGCATGATAAATTCAATAATTTTCGCTCGTGACAAGTGGCTAACTCCTGCCCCTCCGTAAGCGAAACAAAACTATAAGAAAAATCACTATTTTTTGGGTAAAATCCCACCTCTATGAGCGAAAAAACTTTTTTGTTTCTCACGGAAGGAATGATTAAGCAAAAACGGGCTTCTTTTCCCTGATAAAGCCAAAATTTGGGTTGCAGGACTTGAAGACGCTAGCTGTAAAGACGAAAGAATCGAGTTCTGAAATGACATTTATGGGATCGACATGTCACCTATGAGGAAAATCGCTATAAAAGAGCCATCAATTGACGTTGTCGAGGCAACTAACTTGGTCAGCACCAGCACTCCAGTATTCGAAGTTGACCTACAAAAATGCAATTTAGAGCAGCTCTCGTTTATTTCCACTTTTAGACTGCAGTTTACTAGGAAAGATTTTATGCACGCGATTGTGGGCTGGTTTGAAGTTATTTTTACACATTGCCATAAGGCAATAACTTTGACCACATCACCGAAATGTGAGGCTACACATTGGAAACATACGATTTTTTATTTAGAGGAGTCAATACCTGTGGATGTTGGGGAAATTTTGAATGGGGCAATAGCTGTAAGGTTCAGCTTGAGGTTTGAAAGAGGCTTAGATATCAAAATATCGGTTAATAAAGAAGGAAAAATGCCGATTCATTCATTTCAGTATTACAGACTAAGATAAAAATAATAGATAGTAGTTAAATTTACTTGAGCATAGCTAGCTTGACTAAAAATTTAGAAATTTATTTTGTATTGCAATAATAGAAGTATGACAGAACTAACCTTAAGAAATAAATCAGCTGAGATTTTGAGCAGACCAAACAATTCAGAATTAGAGATGGATGCCATAGCAACTTTTTCAGCGCCTCAAATCAATCCTAATCTTTATGGCCCACCACTAATGCAAGCTTGCCAAAATTATCTTAATGCTTATCAACAATGAACATATCTTTATTTTCTTAGAGAAGATAGCAATAGAAGTAATTTAATTATTTATAACACTGAAACTGAAACCCAAGAAATCAAAACCTTGCAGAATTGACAACCACAAAACTTTTCCACTTGCATAACTCAACAAGCTATTCTGTTTAGCTAATTCAGGATGATTTCATTTTACAGTGCTAATTTCTACAAATGGTGGAGTCGAATAAGCTGCCATCTGGAACTCCTTCTGAAGGATCATCATGCATCTATTTCAACAAAAGTGTCTATTGCTTTGGAGGATACAATGGAGGCAAGCTAGCTCTATCTAATAGATTTGATTTAGATGAGAATCGATAAATTGAATTAACTCCAATGCTAAAAGTTGATTTCATATGCCATAGTATAATGATTAATGGGAATATTTTGATTTCAGGATATTTTAAAAGAAATCTTTTGTTATACTCAATTGATATTGACTCTTTCTCGATAATTCCTTATAAGTTTGCAGAATATAAAAGAAAGATCCTGATAAATGCAGAGAGTCTTTATTTGATTGAATGCCTTGGATCAATCTATAAAAGCGAATTTAGAAGTTACACGAATTGGAGACCAGTAAAAAAGCAGAAACCTATTGCACTATTTCTCAAGTGTATTGTTCATATAATAAAGGGTTTATATACATTGGAATAGAAAGATCTAACTATTTCAAGTTCGATTTAAATGAAAAGAGATTGATTAAATTAACAACCTAATGAAATGGTAAGTTAAAAATTATAATTAGTATCCTAGGAATTACCTGACAAGTTCTGCCTCTTTTTTGATTGGCTTAATTCTTGAAGAATTGAATTTGAAGCAAAATAAAATTGTTTTTGTCAGAAATTCTTACTACTATTTATCTTCAAAATTGAATTGTGTCAATCCATTTTCGCCACTAAGCTCTTTGCTTTTTTAAATTGTTGTGCCTTTCTCGCAAATTGCAGTAAACAAACGGATTGGGTCTCTCCTTAACCCTAAATATTGAGTGTATATTCTATTTTAAATTTTTTAACTAAACAAATTTAGAGCAAAAATAAATTCTTTAAATAATCAATTTGCTAATTTTAGTCCACTTAAATTATAATTTAATGCATAGAAAAACTGTATGTTTAATTATTAAGAATTTTTCTCAAGGACAAAATACTGAAAAGTTGGCCATCTATCAACTTTACTTGTATCTATAACATCAAATAATTCTGTTATAAGCATCACATATATTGCATTTTTTTCTTCTTCATTTCTTTTAATTGCTCTTTGCAACGCTCCTTTTAAAAAATAAGCCTCAAGGTTTTTAAGTTCATTCATTATTTCAACTCTAATCTCTTCTGGGAGATTGTCAAAATAAAGTTCGTTATCGTCCAAATGGGGAAATGAAATAACCTTATACAAATCTGAAATTTCATTTAAAGCTCTTTGAATTTCTTCATAGCTTCTTCCGTATCATGGAACTGTTATGCTTCTTTTTTCATCTTCTGTGATATAGCCCTTACGAAATGCGTTTTCTACAGTTGTATTTATAATCGCGCCAAATGAATTTATTATTGGTGAATTTTCTAATAAAATTTGTACTATTAATTGGCCTGAATTGGTAAGTTCTTTATGTCTGTTGCGAAGAAGGATAACCAAATCATCATGAGCAAGGCTATAGGCTAAATTTTTAAAATCTGGGTCGCTTGAAGACGAAGGGATTGCATGATCTGGCGCACTAAGAGGTTGAGAAAGTCAATGAAATGCTGCTGAAGTAAACCCTATATGGACAGAGTTATTGGGCAAAATTTGATCATAAAATGAGCGACCAACAGTCAAGAAATATACATTTGGGAGCTTTAAATAGGATTCCTCAGACTCCAAAATAGTTTTAAAAGTTTTTGTTCATTCATTCTCTGGCAAATCGTTGTGAATGACCAGAATTTGGTTGAAAGAATTCTCTCGAATTTTTGATAGAGCTCTTCTTAAAAAGACCATAGAATTATACCCCTCAGATGAGCCATAGTCAGCAATTACAATCTGCTCACTTGTAGAGCTTCTAGCATGTTCTAGACTCTCCATAAAAACATCTGATAGCTTCATCAACAGCGTCCTTTGGTAAAGGGACCCTTCGTTGTAACCATGGAGAGCATAGCCACCAGTTGACATTTATTAGTTTATTAGTATAAAATGATGCTTTATCAGCGATTATACGCTTTCTTTAGCTTATTTAAAACTTTTGACAATGATAATTTGAGCAATGCTAAATTTTCATTTTATTTCACCAACCGTAATAGTTAATAAAATTCATTATAAAAGGGTTTTTTAAAGTTTTATTTACAATAGCACCAATCGAGCACGTTGCTGATACATCTTCATATAAAAACTGCATAATTAATCGTCCTGAGCTTATAAGCTCTTTATGACGATTATGAAGAAAGGTTACTAACTGCCCCTCCCCTCCCCTCCGTGATGAACAAAACCATTGGAAACATCCCTATTTTTTGCTCAAAAGCCCATACTCCGTGAGTGAACAAATAGAAAAAAAATTTTATGAAAAAGATTTGATATATAAGTGATAATTAGTATAATGAAATCTAGTGCTAACTCTATTTAATTTTAAATAAATTGCGCTTTAAAATATAAATCTTATAAATTAAATAAATATTTACTTCTTTTCGAAAAACAAAATCTATAAAATTTATATATAAATTGTTTTAAAACAAAAAATTAAACTCCGTGAACAAATTTTTTTGTTCACTCAAGGAAGGGGGAGTAAATAATTATTTGCAAGGTTATAAGCTAGTCTTTAAAACTCTAGGTCAAGAAAGGAATAATATGATTAGTGCACTGAGCTGAGAGGTTAAAACAGCCAATGAAGTGCTTCTGAAGCAAACCCTATATGGAAAGAACTATTGGGTAAAATTTGGTCATAAAATGGGCAACCAACAGTTAAAAAATACATTTGGGAGCTTTAAATATGATTCTTCAGAATCCAAAATCGTTTTAAAATATTTTACTCATTCATTCTTTGGTAAATCGTTGTGAACGACTATAAATTTCTTGAATTTTTTTAAGCCTTCTTTAAAAGCATAGAATTATGCCCCTTTGGATGAGTTATAATCAGAATTTCAGTCTGCTCGCTTCTAGAGCTGCTACATCTTCTAGACTTCTCATAAAAAATCTATAGTTTCATCAGCAGCATTCTTCGATAAAGCGACCCTTTATTGCAACCTTGGAGAACACAGCCGCCTGTGGACATTTATCGTGAAAAATAAAAAATTAGTTAAAAAGTCAATGATTTAATACCTTCAAGATACTGTTTTCGTTCTTTAATTTATTAAATCATAATAAAATGATAAACAACAATTACTATCGTTGTAAGAACTGTAAATCTGACTAAAAGAGGTGTGAAAATCAAATATGCATTTGAAAAGGTGTTAGGGTGTTAGGGTGTTAGGGTGTTAGGGTGTTAGGGTGTTAGGGTGTTAGGGTGTTAGGGTGTTAGGGTGTTAGGGTGTTAGGGTGTTAGGGTGTTAGGGTGTTAGGGTGTTAGGGTGTTAGGGTGTTAGGGTGTTAGGGTGTTAGGGGTGTTAGGGGTGTTAGGGTGTTAGGGTGTTAGGGTGTTAGGGTGTTTAGGGGTGTTAGGGTGTTAGGGTGGTGTTAGGGTGTTAGGGTGTTAGGGTGTTAGGGTGTTAGGGTGTTAGGGTGTTAGGGTGTTAGGGTGTTAGGGTGTTAGGGTGTTAGGGTGTTAGGGTGTTAGGGTGTTAGGGTGTTAGGGTGTTAGGGTGTTAGGGTGTTAGGGTGTTAGGGTGTTAGGGTGTTAGGGTGTTAGGGTGTTAGGGTGTTAGGGTGTTAGGGTGTTAGGGTGTTAGGGTGTTAGGGTGTTAGGGTGTTAGGGTGTTAGGGTGTTAGGGTGTTAGGGTGTTAGGGTGTTAGGGTGTTAGGGTGTTAGGGTGTTAGGGTGTTAGGGTGTTAGGGTGTTAGGGTGTTAGGGTGTTAGGGTGTTAGGGTGTTAGGGTGTTAGGGTGTTAGGGTGTTAGGGTGTTAGGGTGTTAGGGTGTTAGGGTGTTAGGGTGTTAGGGTGTTAGGGTGTTAGGGTGTTAGGGTGTTAGGGTGTTAGGGTGTTAGGGTGTTAGGGTGTTAGGGTGTTAGGGTGTTAGGGTGTTAGGGTGTTAGGGTGTTAGGGTGTTAGGGTGTTAGGGTGTTAGGGTGTTAGGGTGTTAGGGTGTTAGGGTGTTAGGGTGTTAGGGTGTTAGGGTGTTAGGGTGTTAGGGTGTTAGGGTGTTAGGGTGTTAGGGTGTTAGGGTGTTAGGGTGTTAGGGTGTTAGGGTGTTAGGGTGTTAGGGTGTTAGGGTGTTAGGGTGTTAGGGTGTTAGGGTGTTAGGGTGTTAGGGTGTTAGGGTGTTAGGGTGTTAGGGTGTTAGGGTGTTAGGGTGTTAGGGTGTTAGGGTGTTAGGGTGTTAGGGTGTTAGGGTGTTAGGGTGTTAGGGGTGTTAGGGTGTTAGGGTGTTAGGGTGTTAGGGTGTTAGGGTGTTAGGGTGTTAGGGTGTTAGGGTGTTAGGGTGTTAGGGTGTTAGGGTGTTAGGGTGTTAGGGTGTTAGGGTGTTAGGGTGTTAGGGTGTTAGGGTGTTAGGGTGTTAGGGTGTTAGGGTGTTAGGGTGTTAGGGTGTTAGGGTGTTAGGGTGTTAGGGTTTAGGGTGTTAGGGTGTTAGGGTGTTAGGGTGTTAGGGTGTTAGGGTGTTAGGGTGTTAGGGTGTTAGGGTGTTAGGGTGTTAGGGTGTTAGGGTGTTAGGGTGTTAGGGTGTTAGGGTGTTAGGGTGTTAGGGGTGTTAGGGGTGTTAGGGTGTTAGGGTGTTAGGGTGTTAGGGTGTTAGGGTGTTAGGGTGTTAGGGTTAGGGTGTTAGGGTGTTAGGGTGTTAGGGTGTTAGGGTGTTAGGGTGTTAGGGTGTTAGGGTGTTAGGGTGTTAGGGTGTTAGGGTGTTAGGGTGTTAGGGTGTTAGGGTGTTAGGGTTAGGGTGTTAGGGTGTTAGGGTGTTAGGGTGTTAGGGGTGTTAGGGTGGTGTTAGGGTGTTAGGGTGGTTAGGGTGTTAGGGTGTTAGGGTGTTAGGGTGTTAGGGTGTTAGGGTGTTAGGTGTTTGGGTGTTAGGGTGTTAGGGTGTTAGGGTGTTTAGGGTGTTAGGGTTAGGGTGTTAGGGTGTTAGGGTGTTAGGGTGTTAGGGTGTTAGGGTGTTAGGGGTGGTTAGGGTGTTAGGGTGTTAGGGTGTTAGGGTGTTAGGGTGTTTGGGTGTTAGGGTGTTAGGGTGT